ACTGTTCTTACAGTAACTCCGGCATCAGGGTCTCCATTTGTCGTTACCATCCCTGTCACAGGTGGTTCTGGATCATCTCAGACCAGCCAACCGAGCGTTGTGACAGTCACCGAGGGTCTTTCATCAACTTCCACAGGCGGAACCGGTCAGAGCGGAACTGTTCTTACGGTCACTCCAGCATCGGGGTCTCCATTTATTGTTACCATTCCTGCCAGCAGTGGTTCTGCATCATCCCAGACCAGCCAGCCAGGCATTGTCACAATTACGTCGGGCCTTTCGTCAACTTCCACAGGCGGGAGCACTCCAAGCGGTACTGTTCTCACGGTCACCCCACCGTCAGGGTCTCCTTTCGTTGTTACCATTCCTGCCACCAGTGGTTCCGTATCATCGCAAACCAGCCAACCAAGCATTGTCACAGTTACACTGGGACCATCACCAACTTCGGCAGGCTGGAGCAGTCCGAGTGCGACCGTTCTTACGGTTACCCCGGCGTCGGGGACCCCTTTTGTCGTCACAATTCCTGCCATCAGCAGTACTGCAACATCACAAACCAGTCAACCTGGCATTGCGACAATTACGCAGGGGTCGTCTTCAATTTTCACCACCGGCAGCAGCACGGTTGGCACTGTTATTACAATCACTCTGCCGTCAAGCTCACCAATCGTGCTCACAATTCTGCCTAGCTCATTTGCTGCAACCAGTTCAGAGAGCTGGTCAGTCGAATCGGTTCTCACTGGCCTCCCGTCATCATCCTTGTCTTCGCCCACTGGAACTGGATCGCAAACAGCATCTATCTCACTTGTGACACTCAGCCAGACTGTTCCGCTTGGACCTGGTCAGTCGTCCACTGTTGTCGTATTTACGGAGGGGCTTACCATCACTGCTGGCTCATCGGCATTTGTCCCGACCGTCTCGCTCTCGCCGGTGGCTGTCACCTATACCATTTCCAGCGGATATGGCCACGACTCTACGGTGTTGACATACACAACCAGCCTTCCAGTTTCAGCTGGCACGTCGGTAGGAAGCACGTCGTCGTCAGATTCAGAATACGGTAATCCTGAAGCGACAGGGAAGTCGCCGTCCCCTGAGGTCATTACTATCTGGCCTTCTGGATTTACGTCCTCATCGATGCCAGAATCTGGCCTTAGCTCGCCATCTGTTATTACTGTTTCGCTTTCCTCGGTATCCCTTGCGGCATCGATTGCGCCGTCCCAGACATCGTCTTCTACATCCTGCACGTCTGGTGGTGAAACATCTGCAGCGCAGCCCAATGCCGAGTCGAGTGCCGCACTGCCATCCGAGACAACCCTGTGGCCTTTACCCTCCTCGATCAATAGCACTTGCAACACATTCCGAACCAGCTATCGCTCTTCTGGCTCTGGGACTTCCAGTCCTACCTCGACGACCGTAGTTGCGTCCACAGCTGGCGGTTCAGCTTTGTCGACAACCTGCACCGAGACGGCTGCTCTTGAAACTTCAAGCGCATCCTCCACTTCAGTTCAGAGTTTGGTGACCTCCAGCATCTCCTCTGAATCTCCGAGTCTATCGTCGTCGTCAAGCACAATTACGTCAAGCAGTGCCGCCGCCTCTTCCACCGTGTCAGTGCCAGAAAGTGTATCCTCTTCGAGTCTCAGCGCAACATCTCCAGAGGCCACTACGACAAAGCCCACGACGTCAGCGCCGGCCAGTTCGGCAGCGACTAGTTCAGCAGCGGCTAGCTCAGTGGCCACAACTGCCAGCGCTGCCGCACCCTCAGACCTTGTCCCTCCGCCACAGACTGAATTTCATCATGCACATGTTACGACAACCGACAGTCTGAGCTTCGGCCAGTCTGACGACTCGGCAATGTTGGAAACGTCTGGGTCGTCCCCACCATCGGTCACGGCTTCGAGTTCCTCTCTCGGCGGTTATGCCTTCTCAACTCCAGCGGCATACGGGGAGCCGGTTCCCGGCTACGGCAACCCTCCTTCACCATTAACCACACTGTCGACGTCTGTTAATGGAAATACTTCATCGGTCTCCACAGCCACACTGTCTTCTAGGACCTTGCCAGCCAATTCGACTATCAGCAGCGTTGTGTCCAGTGCCGCTTCATCATCGGCGCCTTCTGTCGGTCAGCTCAGCACGACTCGCGTGACCCAGTCCACCATCGTATCAGTTCCTGTCAACCTGACGTTGACGCGTGCGTCAACGGCACCTGTGTCAACCATCCCAGTTCAATCGTCGTCGCTTGCTCCGACCATCTCATTTGTCAGCGAGGTTTCAGCGGCAGGTCCAGTGTTGGCAAGCTCAACCAATGGGGGGACAGCTCTGTCCCTTACTGGTACACTCCCAACTGCCCTGAACAGCACCGGCGGTCTGCCAATCTCTGTCGCAGCGTCGAGCAGCGTTACACCAAGTCAAGCACCAATCAATGGCACGGCGACCTTCTCATCGCAATCGCTGACAACAACCCCGCCTCCGGTAGCTTCGGTGTCGTCAAACAGCACAAATCTTGTGTCGCCCTCTGTTGCACTGTCAACCACTTCCAGCGCCTCTGTGAGCTCGAGAGTTAATGGAACAACTCTTGGCCTGTCAGCTTCGACTTCTGCTCCAACAACTATCCCTACAACTATCGCAAGCTCGGTCAATGTGACAAGCTCTCGTCTAAGCCTCACGGCGAATTCTACTGCTCAATCCACCGTGGCGGCGACCTCGGCATCTTTGAACAACACAAGCACCGCGGTCACAACTAGTTCAACTCTTGGCGGAACCATCACGCCCACAGTGACTGCTTCAAGTTCCTCATCATCTAGTTCAACGGCATCGGAATTGAGCTCTGCAACATGCGGTTCTGCAGGCGATCGTGGCGGAGTCGTCTTCAGGTTCGACGACATCCCAACTCTTTCGATTGCCAACGGGACGGATGCCACTGCTTTCCCCCCTCAGCCTGTCCCCTTACCATATCACCGCTTCTTCTTTTCGAGGGGGTTCTCGGTTGTGCCACCGCCAATTGCCAAGTACGAGCCGTCATCTGGTACTCAAATGGTCCAATACAATACTTCCTTATCGGCCATTGCACAGATCGGCGTGGGCCAATTCCGCGAAAACCCGTGTTTCCGCTTCGACTTCCTGGGTCTGGGTCTTGGATGCAACTCAACTGACCAACCTTGCGTCTTCAATGTCACCGGACTACAGTGGAACGGGCTTGACGAGACAGTTCAGGCGACCAGATCGTTTGAGATTACACCATGCCCAGGGCGCTCGAACTGCACTCTCAGCCATCAGGTCCTAGATTCGGCAGCGGCCTTGCAGTTCACCAATCTGACATCTATCAATATCACGTTAGCTGTTGCTGGCCAGCCTCAGACATGGTGGGCTGATGACTTGCAGCTGTCGTGGACAGACAATGCTTGTACATCTGCTTCATGCCGCGCAAAAGTGCCCGACACGATCATGATCCCGCACAAGTTTGGGCATCTTGTCACGAGGACAAAGAGCTTCCTTCGATGGGCCACCCGATCTCAACCTGCGGGCCGCGGTTGAGATGACGATACCAGCGATCTTATTCTCACGAGCGTTCATTCGCTCACCAGTTTTGTTCGATTTTTGACGCACACAGCTTGTGCTAATATACCAGACACAAAAAACCATGTTAATGCTTTGTCGGCTGGCTGTCAAGGTGACCTGGCAGCCGTCGAATTTTGAGACGGGAGATTGGAGGCCAGATAGAGCTTGAGGATAGGCCATTTTATCATGTACGAGACGTGCTGAGGAGTCGGGAAGAGAAGTCGGAGTCGGGATCTTTTTGTGGACAACCTAATAGGGGAGGATCTGGGGAACTCTCTGTACATTTGCTGCAACCACTACATTGACCATGAAATGAGTATCATTGCCGCACTCATCTCATTCCGCCTTGTTGCACGTGCTGTTCTGTTGGTCCGTTTGTGCCCTAAAGTGATGGAGATGTCGTCGCTGCAGCGGAGAATGCCGAGAGGCACGACTTTGGCTACAGCGCTATAGTGCGATATCGGACAGAGCGCCAAGACATGCTCGCTTTGGCTGTGGAATGCGTCGAGCGCCGTTGGGGCGTGCTGTCTGGATTGGTCTAAACCTATTTTTGACTAGTTTCGTGCAACCGGGCGCCGGGAATAACGGTTTCTGCATGAGTTGTTGAAAGGGCGTCTTTGGCTCCATGCTTGGCGCCTGACCCGGCGCAAAAGAAGATCATCATGATGTCGCCTTTCTCCGCGGGTTATGCGATTCGTAAGCGCCGGAAAAGAAATGACCCCTAGTAGAAGGTCGGGGTTCCAAGACAGGAGGCGACGGGAAAAAAAGCCACCCCAACAACACTAACAAAACCATGGGTACTGCGTAATAAGTAATCACATGAGACCCGTCGTGCCGGAGCACAATCTGAACGTATATCAGTTATTGCATGACGTTTTGGGTTGCTTTGGTAAGAGTGGCACCGATGGAAGGAAATGCTGCACATACCCACTCGGGTCTTGTCCCGTGCCCACCGCTACCAGCCAACCCCTGACGCGCTATCTTCAATTCCTCCACCATGGTTTTGAGCATGAGTCACTACCGTTATGAAGGCACTCTAGTATTATAACAACGATAGGTCGCAGAGTATTATTTTCCTCGCGTTGCTCGTCTTCGTACACGAAGCCGAAGTGGATCACATGCATCCGCCAGCCTGGTGCTAATTAGGGTAAATTCGTTCCTTTCTACCTCATCCATTGTCTAGCGCCTATTATTAGTCACCAAGTTTGACTGCTAATTCATTGGATTCAGGAGGTACGGAATTGCACGAATCCAGGATGGCGCCGAATCCACGTGAAGAGCCATTGGCCGAGCTTGAGAAAAGTCGACAGACAGAAATTGGAGAAGAGGGCGACAGTTCGTCGTCAGGAACCGACGTGGACGTGGAAAAGCTTGCTATCGGTTCGGAGGAAGACGTAAGAGAGAGGGGTGCGGACGAGGTGGTCTCCGAGGTTGCTAGCACGGCCGGGGACCACGGCGACGGCGACGGCGACGGCGACGTCTCTAGACACGAATCACACGTCGCCGCCGGCGCGGGTGGCGGCTTGTCGCGCATCATCAGCCGAACGCTCAGTCGAAAAACCACCAGGTCGAGCTGGAATCCAGCACCGCCGCCCGACGGAGGGCTGCAGGCGTGGATAGCGGGTGAGTTCACGATACCGTGAGCGGTAGAATGTCCATGCCGCTAATTGCAGTCAACTGGCAGTGGCCTGCACACACCTCGTCGTGATGAACACGTGGGGCTTTATCAACTCTTTCGGTGTGTTCCAGGCCTACTACGTGACGACGCTGGCGCGGCCGCCGTCGGACATCTCGTGGATCGGGTCGCTGCAGGTCTTCCTCCTCTTCTTCATCGGCACGATCACCGGCCGCCTGACAGACACAGGCTACTTCAGACACGTGCTGTTCCTGGGTTGCGCGTTCCAGGCCGTCGGCATCTTCTCGCTGGCGTCCATGACTGCCGGCAGCTACTGGCAGGCGGTGCTGGCGCAGGGCGTGTGCATGGGGCTCGGCAACGGCTTCCTCTTCTGCCCGTGCGTGACCGTCATGTCGACCTACTTCGACAAGCGCCGCAGCCTCGCCATCGGCTTCGCCGCCTGCGGCAGCGCCACCGGCGGCCTCGTCTTCCCCAGCATGGCCCGCCAGCTGCTGCCCGCCGTCGGCTTCCCCTGGACGATGCGCGCGGTCGGCTTCATCCAGGTCGCCACCCTCGCCGTCAGCTTCGTCTTCCTCAAGACGCGCATCCCCCCGCGCCGCGCGGGGCCTATTGTCGACTGGGCGGCGTTCAAAGAGATGGAGTACACCTTTTACGCACTGGGGAGCTTCTTTGTGAGTTTTTGTTTCTCTCTGTTTCCCCTAGTGCCCGGACAAAGAACAGCAACCTGACACGGCGTCTCGCATTGCGCACCAATCAGTGCTTCCTCGGCATCTTCTTCGCCTTCTACTACGTGGCGTCCTTCAGCCGCGACGTGGTCGGGCTAAGCTACACGGACGGGCTCAACCTGCTACTCGTACTCAACGGCGCCGGGGTCGCGGGGCGGCTGGGGCCGAACCACCTGGCGGACCGTTTCGGGCCCATCACCGTGTTCATCCCGACGGCGGCGGTCGCGGGCGTCGCCGTGCTGGCGTGGATGGCCGTCGACACGACTCCCAAGCTCTACGTCTGGGCCGTCTTCTACGGCGCCGCTGCCGGCGGCATCCAGAGCCTCTTCCCCGCCGGGCTCACCAGCCTGACCACCGACCTGCGCAAGACGGGCGTCCGCATGGGCATGGTCTTCACCATTGCCAGCTTCGGCGCCCTCGCAGGCCCGCCCGTCGCTGGGGCCATCCTCACCGCCGGCGGCGGGCGGTATGTTGGTGCGCAGGCGTTTGCGGGGTCGATGCTCTTGGTCGGCTCCGGGTTCATGGTCGCTGCGCGCGTCGCCAAGGCGAGGAAGGATGTGGCGGGCTGGAGGGTCAGAGTTTGATGAAAGACGGTGATGCGATGATGATGACAAGGACTATCGTGGCAGCGAGCAACGAAGGACGGCGCGTCGGGTTTATTAAAGACTCTCCATGAGTGAGACTAATCTTCAGATTTCAGTATTCTTTTGGAAAAGGGGCTAGGCGACAATAATGTTGGTTTACTGATTTGGCCATCGAGGTAATTACGTACCAAGGGGTCGGCAACGCAGAGAATGGCGCGTCGCAAAACGACCTCTCGTCTCTAATCAGGCGAGAACTGTAACGTTGGAACAAACTACAGGCGGCGGCTAAGTCACGGTGCTTCGTCCCTAGACCGGGTTTCGCCGGGATTCGGCGTTTGCGCAGGATACACCTAGGACCTGGCACCTTGGAAACGGAGATGTGATTGGCAAGTTTGATGCATTAACTCGCAGCTCGTTCGTCAGTCGAACAGAGTCAGAATAGTGCGAACCTGAAACGCGTCATGGTGTTGGGCCATTGTCTACTCACAGCTATTGTTGAGCAGATTGCACCAGCTGTTGTGCGCCAAACACTGTGTTTTCACTGCTTTGTTCTGTTTGCCCGACGGCACAGTAATCGTACTGCACTGTTTCCAAGTTCACCACGTACGTCTGTATTTAAATCCCGTCTCTCTCACTCCACAACTTCATCTTCTCCTCATCATCATCATCACACACAAACCAGCGCCTTCACAGCAGCTCCTATAACAGCCAGCGAGATTTCGCTTGCTCTTATATCCACCAAATTCTAAGCTTCCTACTATCCATCTCACAGATCACAATGGCGATCAAGATCGGGACTGCCATCGCCTTCTCCACCAACACCAGCAGAAGGTCTATGCCTATCAAGCGGGGGGAGATGGGCGAGAAGAAGGTTTACCAAAACGACGTCCGGAGACAGCTCAAGAGCGACCCCAAAGACTCGCTCTACAACCACCAGTTTGTCCACTTCGTGGTCCTGGCCCATGCCCTCGCGGCTGCCGGCCTGACCCCTGAGGAGACCAGACGGTGCCTGAGCAAGTACCTCCGTGTGCTCACGCCCGGCCAGTTCGGCATCCTCAAGGTCCATCTGCCCAACGTCGCCGACGTGCGGCAGCATGCGCAGAACCCCAACTCGGAGACGGCCTGGACCAACTGGTCCACGTCATTCCCTCTCCGGGGCATCTCAAGGCTGGGCGCCGGCAACGTCTTCCCCGCCGAGTACGTCAAGAAGGCGCTCGACAAGGGCCTGGCCGACATTGACGACAGCCCCAAGTTCTTCGACGGCAACAACGGCTGGTTCCTTTGGGCCGCCTCGGACCTCTCCGCCGATACTGTTTACGACAACAAGACCGGCGACGCCGTAGTCCACGAGCGCTTCCACCTCGCGGAGCTCGAGAACGCCCTGTTCGTCTCGACCATGGTCCGCTTCTGGGCCCAGGACGTCACGCGCGAGTTCGACGCGGAGCTGCTCGACAGCTGGCGCGAGAGCTTCCTGCGCATGTTTAGTGTCCGGATGGGCGGGCACCTTCTGACTGACGAGGAGTTCCGCCAGGTCTTGTTCAACCCCAAGGACGAGTACTGGCAGAGCAAGGTCGACGACCTGGAGAAGACGATCCTGTACGTGCTCGGCAAGACCGGGTCCGACGTTGCCTCTCTCAAGGCCCTGTACGGCAAGTACAGCGGCAGAGCCCCCCGCAGGGTCTCTTGGAACATGGCCCACTGGCTGCACTGGGCTCATCCCGAGTTTGTCACGCTCTATAGCGAGTTCGGCGAGGCCCTGCTGAAGAAGAAGACTTTGGCCGAGGAGAAGAACTTGGCTAGGAAGCAGAGGCTGGCCAACGCAAGGGCTGCTAATACCTCGAAGCCTGCTCTGCCTTCCAAGCCTGTGCAGGCCGCAAAGCCTGCTTCTCCTAAGCCCAAGACCCGCAAGCCTGCCAAGACTGCAGCTGGGGAAGATGGGTGGACGGTGGTCCCGGGCAAAAAGGCTGTTCGAGAAACTGAGAGAGTTTAGGGCGCGAAGTAATTACACAGACACAAGATGTAGCTGCGATTGCTTTGGAGGTGTGATAGCATAAAACAAGAAGAATAATTGACGATGTTCGTAACAAACCAATGAAGGGCCCAATAATGACAATTACAAGTGCACAGTGAACCAATGAGCGCGTTGGATCTGGATTGGCTCTTGACATAATCTAGTGATTCCCCAGGAAAGACGTCTAGCATATACAGAGGTAGTAGGTAGGTCTACAGTTAATGATGACAGCAGCTCCGCGAGCTCCCTTCTTCCGACACAGCCCAAAACACCCAGCGCCTAGGGTCACTTGCACACAAACGTCTCGCCGATGGGATCGCTGTACACGTCCTCGTCTTCGAAAACGTGTCCGTAGGGAACGTCGATGCATGCGCCGCCGCCTGTGGGCCCGACGTGCGGGCAGTGAGTCTGTGGGTAAGAATCAGCATCCTGTTCCGTCGTCTTTGCGAAAGGGGCACATCGCAACACGAGAAAGCAAAGGGAACAGAAAGTAAAGACACACCTCCGGATTCCCGACGGTGAGAATGATGTGAATCGCGCGGCAGACGACATTATCGCCGCGCGCTTCGTCGTAATTACCAAACGGCTTCTGCGCCAGCGCGGCGACGCACTGCGCGGTGCTGTTCCACTGCACATTGTCCGGGCCGAGGCAGCGCTGCTGCGTGGCGTCGCACAGCGCGGCGATGGTGCCGGCCTGGAACTGCGGGTCGGTGACCGACACGCCGCCGGCCGTCTGCTCCAGCCACGCGTTGAGCCGCGGGATCCACGCGTCGTACTTGAGCACCGCGCCAGAGGCGTCGAATTTCCAGAAGGCTACCTGTTTTGGGGGAGTTTTGTGAGTTTGAGCGGAAGGGGGGTGGAAAGGAGTGTGAGTCTGAGCGGAAGGGGGGGTGGAAAGGAGGGCCAGGGGTGGATATGTGGATGCTCACCTGCTTCAGGGGCGGCAGCGGCGTGCCATCGTCGGGGGCGCCGGGGTTGACGACGCTGCAGTAGAGGTAAACAACAGAAGACGCAACGCCGGGGCAGCCCGACGAAAACTCGGTGATCTTGTAGCTAGTGATGGCAGCGAAGAGGTCCGAGGGCTGGGGGATGGGCGCCAGGGCGAAGAAGTACTCGATGGAAGCCTCGAAGCCGATAAAGTCGCCGACGGGGTCGACGCGGCCGACCACGTCCTGGCTGAAGAGCCCCGGCGGCACCGCCGCGCCGCCGTTGACGATGATGGGCACCTGGTTCGGGTACACGGTCAGCCCGTAGATGCTCGAGATGGTGTTGAAGTTGCGCTGCGCGAACCCGGCGGTCGAGTTGTTGGTGGTGTTCCTCGCGTGCTGCAGGAACGGGTCGGAGTGCCTCGGCGCGCTGGTCCTCGCCCTAGAGCGGCTCCATTTTGACGAGATTGAGGTCGCGGTTGCTGGAGAAATCAGGCACGATATCAGCGCGCAGGAGGCGCCAAAGACGCGGATCCAAGACTGCTGCATGGTGACTTCGTCCTGGTGTGATCGGGAGAGGCGGGAGAGGCGGGAGAGGCGGGAGATCCAACTTGGTGCCTCCTAAATCTCCGAGAAGAGACGGGGAACATGTTTTATAGGTAGACCACCGCAAGTGGTCAACCGGCCGCAAACGGAAATCGCGGGAGGATCGTGGAGCGGTGGCCGCCCTGCTCTTGCTCGGCCTATTTACTCGGCCGGTCCGTCCAATGGACTATAGGCCTCTCGGGGAGGCCTAAGAAGGGGTCAATGCCATCCTGAATCCTTCAAGACGAGCAGTGCTGTGCCACAGGTGGTGTGGTCAAGCAAGGCAAGCAGCAACGGGAGCCCGCTCGCTCGGCGGCCCGTGTACGCCGACCGACGCATTCGCAATGAAAAAGTGCCACCTGCTTCTTTCATGCAGACAGACCTGGAGTCGCACGAGGCTCCAGACCAGCCCGGGAGGCGCGGGGATCAACGCGCCACCAAAAACGCAGAACTCAACGAGATGTTGTGCTTGCCTCCCCGAGGGGAGTGATTGGCTGCATTTACCGCGGCGCCTACGCAGTAAGCTAGCTGTATGGACCTGGGTACGTATGCCGTCCTGATAAGAGATGAAGGGGGGGCCAGAATGAGGCACAGCATGTGTGTCAACTATACCCCCCCCCCCGACTGCCCCTTTTTATCGCTTCAATGTTACCCTTGGCCCCCAACCCGCATCCACGCAACCAGAGTACACCTCGTTTCAGGAACAAAAGACCCAACAAACATGCTCTGAGAGTGCACTCTAGGAATATTAATCGCCTCCCATACTGTCGACCAAAGAGAATGCAGGGCTCGGCTGGCTCCCAGACTCGTCGGCAAGACGTCAACTCCTGAGAGCCCCCCCTCCACTTCTTAGCTGTGGCGGCCTGGCGTCCGATGCGGTGTAGCAAGTAGTCGGCAGACCCTCACCGAGGTGTGCCATCTTTTATTTTGCCTCTCTCGCAATGCAACGTCCGAGCCTGAGAGCCAGCCGTGTAACCCTGAATTTCGCTGTGCCTCTGTGACGGGCGATCCTTCTGCACAATTGGAGCGGGGTCGACGAGCTGTTTTCCATCCGTTCTTTGCGTTTACTCGGGTATTAGTGCCATTCAAAAAAACATGATGAGGGTGTCTTGCAGAATTCTCCGGCGTCCGGCTGCTGCCGATATTTGGCTGCAGTTGTGGCTTTCGAACAGTTCTAGAGCGGTGCGTGGGTTGGTCTCCTTTGGCTGTTGATGATTATTATCTCGCAATCACAGGAAAAAAGTAGTGAGCTACCTAATCATAGAAAACTTCTTACCACCATTTGTATCGTGCTCTAAATCCAACGTCCGTCGTTGACGAGAACAGAACGTCAAAAAAAGACCTGAACAACTAATTACGGAATATCCCGCCGGCACGTAAATACAACCAACCAACCAGCTGCATCAGTCCCTAATAAGTTGCCGATCTTCAGGAGCCTGAATCCTTTTTGGCAGCGTCGGCGGAGGATTAAGTCCTCAGGGGTGGGGGTTCTGGTCCTGGTCCTGGTTCCTGAGCCGCCGGACTGCCGCACACGCGGGATCCCGTCTGCTCGGCACACAAAAGACCAGGCGTGGCGTGGGCGTGCATATGCACAGTCAGGCAGGTCAGTCTGCTGTCTGGCTCGGCCGCGGATTGTGGTCCACCCTGCTTGCAAGTCGCATTGCACCCAGAAAAATTTCCAGGCCCATGGCAAAGGGGGGCCAAGCGGTTCTTGTGCATTCCCGATGCTCGGTTTGCGCCTGTGGCTTGCCGGCCCAGGTCTGTGGCCCGGCCCATAATATGTACATGCTGCCGCCCAGCCTTCAGGGAGAGGCCGCAAGATAGGCAATTTAGCTGTTGATAAGTCGCAATCCCTCGCTCAGCAGCGAATGAGATTTTTTTTTTTTCAGATTCGGACAAACACGGCAAACTTGCCATTCCGCATCCACCCGGGACGGGCTTTAGGGAGGACGGCTTAAACCAATCTCAACTCGATGCCTCCCTCTTCCTTTCAGTCGAGTCGAACATGTCAGCTCCTCAAGGATCTATCTAGCCTTCTAAGAAGCAAGTCTCTTGCACACAATATGTTCCTTGATCTGTCGGCCTTCAGATAGTGTTTTGTCGTCGGCTCCGGGTTTGGCCTCTATTCTGTCGTGGTAGTGCCGGACGACCGGCTGTAGCATCTCAGCAACGCGCTCTTTGTTGTCGTTTCGAATGCGCGGGTGACCACGTCGTCGTCACAATGCCCTTGGCCTACCAGTGCTGCAAATACAGTTTGTGCTGTTGGGCTGGGAACCTTTTGTTCCGATAATTCCTAGCTATCGACTGCCGAGGCGACATGGTGCGAGAAATCGAAATATTTCTTTCGAATGTGCGGTGGCACCTGAGGGTCGATCTGGGTTTGGATGCTGTCTATCTTCCGCCCGTGTACAGCCAATATTCCTGAATCACAATACCTGATATGGGGATACGATAGAATCGGCCTCCGGATTCCCGTGGTAGAGTTCTAGATACCGAAAACGGATTGAGGTGCTCCGGGGAAGTGAAGTCGGGTGCCCAAGTCAACGTCCTTCTGGTGGACGGGCGGCCGTCCTCGCCATCTCCTGAGCGGCAAAGATACTCGAAGATATCCAGTCGGCCTGACCCTTGGATGATTGCCTTTGCCGACCGTCGTGGTCCTCCAGCTCAGAAGCTTCATAGTCTGGCTCGATTTGTATGCTTGCGTCAAGATTGAGACCCAGGAGTGCGCAGACACGACCGTGGGGAACCGAGGTCTCCATTCTCGGCGCGATAGATGATCATGTCTTTGTGATGCTGGGGTACGGCACTGACTGTGGGTCGCCTGGGAGATGCAGGCTCCTCCAAGTCTGTCGCATGATAGGTGCCGTCCTCGGGCCGCTGGAAAATAGGATTGTGTTGTCGGCGACGACTGGTAATATATCCTGAGCGTTAATCTGACCAATCGCTTCGCAGATCCAGTAGAGGCCTTCGAGAGAGACGGCCGAGGATCCAATGAGGATGCTGGAACATTTCGGTAAAACCACTTGAACGACCCAACCCCGGGAAAACCAAGGGACCAAGGGCTGTCGAGGTACTTGTGCAGTTGCCAAAGGGCCAACCGCTCATCGTTCTCACACGTGGCTATTTCACCGTTGTTCAAGACCACATCGCCAAGCAACACGGTCTGCAAGCGCTTGAGAAGATCGTTCTTCGGTAGGTCCCTTCCAAGCGCAGCGTTTGCAATATCGCAGACAAAGTCCAGAGCAGAGCATTCGGGCAGGTCGTCGTCGCACCCCAACCAGACAAACACCCAGAAGGCAAGACCGGTAGATCTGGCCCATGATCTGCACCTGATGGTTTCGCTCTGCCGTGTCCGCCTGGTTGATGCAGATCTGGTCCGCCCAGAGGTATCCCGTCGAGCAGTGACGCACCACGCCAACTAACACTCGCTCGAGGTTTTCGTTGATGCGCAGCACGGCACCAGTGGGTGATTGAGGGGAGTCAGGCCCCATTCATATGAGATCGTTTCGTACGGCGGTGCATGGTCGATGGGCGTGTGAACGAGCATCAGATCCCACTGCTCGGGCGAGTCCGAGGAGCTGGTAACTTTCAGCAAGCGGATCTCGCCGCGCTGCAACTGCTCGTAAACGTAAATTTGAAGAGAGCAGTGTGGCATCGTTTAAGTGTTAGTTCGGCTAATGCTGAGGGAAGAACGGAAAATGAGTTATAATTAGTGTTCGTGGTCGCCAAGGTAAAATTTCAGATTTCCTAGCTCGGGGATGTTACAGCGTTGGTAGGTGATCACTGAGGAAGGCAACCAACTGCCTGCAAAGCCAGCCGAAGTTTATCGACCACCTCGCGTTTCTGCCAACGCAATTTAAATATTTAGGGCGGGCAGGAAAGACGCCTTTCGGGCTGTGCAGGGGGTGCCTGCAGGACCACCCTATCTCAGGTAAGAATCAGGGAAAGCTCGGGGCAAATCAGCCACAGCTCACCTCTTCAGGGCAGTTCAACCGACCAGAAGGCTGTGTAACCCCAACTACAGGGCGGAAATAAGACGGGTGGCCGTTAGGCCTTTGTCACTCATGAACTGAAGCAGGGCCCTGGCGTGAAGCACGGCGCACGAATGCATCCAATCATGGAATATTGGTAGCCGCTCTTACAGAACTAAACAAAGAAGGCCTACAGTCACTGAGGCTAGTCTTCCCCTGGTCATAAATAGACCTTGCTCCCCGCAACAAATTTAAGGAGTAAGGAGTCTGATGATCGTCGGCGGTGAGATGAGATAAGACTGTTTGTGGTTAAGGTGCTTTGCAGAATTTGATTCATATTCACCACCATTAATTACCCAGAGAAGATTGGAGACGCGAAAAAAGCCATTAGATTGTCATAAACATAACCGTTTCATCAGGGAAGAAGAAACAAGAATTCCAAATCCCCGCCTGATTTTCCTCCAGGTCTAAATAACTCCGAGCCCGTTTGCACACAAAGCGTGCAAACCCGGGGCGCCCGTGAAAACCAGTGCCAACCTAGGACACGTCATAGCCAGCCGCGTAAGTAACTAGGCAGGCGGGGCAAGACGGCACACGGCCTCGATGTTGTTGCCGGCGGGGTCGATGACGAAGGCGCCGTAGTAGGTGAGGCCGTAGTGGGCACGCGGGCCGGGGGCGCCGTTGTCCTTGGCACCGGCAGCGACGGCGGCCTGGTAGAAGGCGTCGACGGAGACGCGGTCTGTTATCGGTGTCAGTGTGTAAACTCTCACATGACCGTCTGGAGCACTGCTTAATTACTTACCAGAGGCGCTGAAGGCGTGGTGGCTCGGGACGATGTCCTTGCCGTTGTCGCCTGCGGGCTTGACGGCGCGGCTCGTAACCCACCAGTTGATGCCGCCCAGCTTCGTGTCGGCGAAGCCCACGACGGCGCCGTCGTGGAACTCGAGCCCCTTGGCGTAGCCGAGCGGGGCCAGGGCGGCGAGGTAGAACTCGACGGCGGCCGCGTGCTTGTCCGCGGAGACGACGATGCCGGTGTGATCGATGCCCATCTTGATGGTTGGTTGGGTTGGGTTGGGTTGGGTTGGTCTGGTCTGGTCTGGTCTGGTCTGGTCTGGTCTGGTCTGGTCTGGTCTGGTCTGGTCTGGTTGATCTTGGATGGGACTCGGGAGAGATTCAGGGGTAAATATCAGGTGGGAGGGATCTGTGATGCTTGAGTCTGAGCCTGAGGGTGAGAGATAGTACTCGGGTCTGGCTGGCCGTGGGGGACGTGTTTAAGTATCTACGGCCGGAATCTCGGCCTCGCACATCTCGGACATCCGCCCCCCACGCCTTTTGGCTTTGTCTGCAGTGCAGTGCTCAAAGGGCGGAGGGCGGGGGCGCGAATGTCAGTGGTGGCAATCCCAACGCAGGGTAGCAGCGCGCGGCGCGGCGCGTCGCGTGATTGGGCGCCCTTCAGACCATCCCTGCCAAGATAAGCCAACGCGCGCATCTGTCGCGAGATCCCGTGCGTGAGTCACCCGGCGACAGCCAACCGGAGCGTTTGCCAAGTCGGGCAGCACCGAAGAGCCGACGCCGATAATCCACCAGTCCAGGCTATTACACTTTACGAATGTCTACGGAGCCCGTGCGGACGACGCTGACAGATATACCGTAATTAATGGCTTGCATCACCGGAATCCAGGCGTCAGGGAAGAAGACAACGTGAAAACCTGGCGAACGGCGGACAATTTATTATTTATTTATATTCCCCTCACCATTTATGTCACAAACCGAGCTACCCGGGTCCTACAGTCCCCCCTCCGTATAAATTCCAATTTGTAAGCAGCCCGAGTTACCCGGGTCTTGCAGTCAACCTCCGAACCAGCAGCCAGTTATCCGGGTCCTGCAATTAGTCAACCTATACGCAGCCGAGTTACCCGGGGCCGGTGGTCGACATGCACGCAAGCCCGGCAGTTGAGTCCGGGGCATGGTTGACGAGAAGATGTTGTTGAAACCCCCACGAATAAACCCGGCAGAGATTCTTGGCAACACATAGAGCAAAAAGTACACTTGATACTCCTCCCGATCCACGAATGCGCCGAGAAAGAAATAAAAAAAAAGAAACAAAAAATATGACAAGGGCGGGATTCGAACCCACGCCCCATTACTGAGACCAGGAAGATTGTCTTTTTGGAGGCATCGTCTTTTTGGAGGAATCGTCTTTTTGGAGGAATCGTAGAATTCAGGTGGTCCTGAACCTGGCGCCTTGGACCGCTTGGCTACCTTGCCGTTGTGGAACACGCTGTGGAACTTGATGCAATGGAGAGCCGGGAGAAGCGTATTTGAGCCGGATAGCAGCTGAATGCATTGTCAGCGAGCCCCGTAGAGATGGAGCTGCTTGCCGTGGCTGGAGGGGCACGTTTTGAGGCATGAAATGTGGTGAGCAAATTTGAACCGGGTTCACTCGCCATGACTGTTGGTTTGGGTACGACATAACCTGCTTTTTTTCCCTCGGTTCTTTTTTTCGTCTTTTGAAGTTGCATTTCAGAAGTGCTGCGGTGTCGCTTTGCTTTCGTGGCAGCTTTAATGTGGTCCACCCTGTGGCCACCCTGTGGGATCGTGCCAAGAGCGCGCAGATTCCCACATATTTCTTGCCAGCTAGTATGGAGAAAGAAATGCAGCCGCTGGACACCCGTTCGAGACAAGGAAGTGACGATTGAACGCCGGCTTCTTTGATCTCGCTTTGCCTTCCAAACCGACCGTGGCAGAAGGAACGAAGCGACGGGCTCTTGGAGCTGATCCTGTGTGGGAGCCAATCATCGCCCCCAATCTGATTTCGCCGGTGCCGGAATCGCCCCACCTCGATTTTCTGCGCCAGTTTCACCGCCATCGAATTTAGGGCAGCTGCGACCCAGGCTTGCAAACGAAAATACAATCTCCCCGAAACTTTGGCTTTCCAAATTTGTCCCACACAAATGCCATGGGCGAGCCAAGACCCAGCCAGCGGGCAACAAACTCTAGCCATGATCCCGTGCGCGCACAGGCAACTGCCTTTTTGCCGATGACAGATTCCCGCTCCGTCTCCAGGCCCAGCTCCGACGGCGACGACGACGGCGGCAGCGATGGCGATGGCGCACACGAAGGCGGCCAGCAGCTGCCGTCGGCCCTCACGATCCGGCTCTACACGTCGCACTTCCTGTCGACGTGGAACTCGCGCCTATTCGAGTTTGGCGCCGTGCTGTTCCTAGCCTCCATCTTCCCGCACACGCTGCTGCCCATGTCCGTGTATGCCCTCGCGCGCAGCGCCGCCGCCATCACCCTCGCCCAGCCCGTGGGTGCGTGCGTTGACCGCGGACACCGGCTCAAGATTGTCCGGGCCTCCATCGTCGGCCAGCGGCTCGCCGTCGCCCTAAGCTGCGCCGTGTTTGCCGCGCTGTTGCAGCGCAGAAGCGCTTCGGGGGCTGCCGGGCTAGCTGTCGCGTCCCTTGAGACGGCTTTGTTAGCTGGCGCTGTCGTGCTCGCCTGTGTCGAGAAGCTGTGTGCGACGGTGAATCTTGTCGCGGTGGAGAGGGACTGGGTACGTCTTAGTTGCTCGTAAATGATCCCGCGAACGGGGGACATGGCTGATTCTTCTGGTTTCTGCTGCCTACAGGTGGTTGTGATCACCGAGGGCAATGCTGCTGCCCGTACAGGTTCGTCCGTTCTTGTCACTCCCGCCGGCTCTGCCTCTGTGTCCTTTTGCAACGCGGCTCTGCCTCTGTGTCCTTTTGCACCGCAAGCGCAATTCTGACGCGCGCAGACCTCAACGCCCGAATGCGCAGGATTGACCTGCTGTGCAAGCTCCTCGGACCGCTCGCCATCTCCACGATAGCTGCCGCATTTTCGGTGCCTGTCGCTGTCTGGGCGACGTTTGGCATGAATCTGGCATCGATAGCCGTGGAATACGTCTTCATTGCCCAGGTCTACCATATGGTGCCCCGGCTGAGTCGCGAGCACCCCCGGGAACAGCGAGGAGAGCCAGAGCTGCAGGAGGATGGCCGGCTGCTCATAAGCAACGAGGCAGACGAGCAGGCTCCCGGCCTCGTGTCTTCCGGGCCCACGGCTCGAGTCGCAAAGACAGGAGAGGTGCTATTTTCATTTCTGGCCGCTTACTTCAGCCACCCCGCGTTCCTTCCCTCCTTCTCGCTAGCCCTACTCTACCTCACCGTTCTCTCCTTCTCGGGGCAGATGGTCACGTACCTCATGTCGGTTGGCTACAGCCCCCTCCATGTGGGTCTAGTGCGGACAGCCAGCACAATCTTCGAACTGAGCGCGACGTGGATCGGACCCCAGGTCGTCAAGCGCATTGGCGTGGTCCGCGGCGGCATCTGGAGCCTGTGCTGGCAGATGGTCTGGCTCGCCGCGGGTGCCAGCTGGTTTCTGAGAGGCGGTCTCGGCAGCCCCGACGATGCTGGCAGCAAAAACATGACAGCCGCGACCGGGCTCGTCGTGGGCGTCGCTTTGAGCAGGGTCGGCCTGTGGGGTTTTGACCTCTGCGCGCAGAACATTGTTCAGGACGTTAGTTGATCTTATTTTCCCATTGACCTGACTCAGCCCTTCATGCTGCTGACACGCGGTTGAATCTGCTATAGGAAGTTGAAGCCGACCACCGGGGGACATTCTCGGCGCTCGAATCATCGTTCCAGAACCTGTTTGAGCTGCTGTCCTACGCGATTACAGTCATCTTTTCGCGTCCGGACCAATTCAGGTTTCCTGTCTTGGTCAGCATAGTCGCAGTCTATGTCTCTGGGGGTCTATACGCCGTATTTGTGAGAAAACGGCGCGGCCATCTGTTCCACGCGCCCCGCTCCGCCTGCGTTTGTTCCGACAAGCCGTCTCCAGCTCGATAGCAGCTGCAACACGAGAGACTACCATCGCACACCGGCACGATTTGGAGCATGATCAAAATCAATCTTGCGGTATTTTGGACGTTCGTTTCGGACTACCGACGAAGACGTTCTGCCCGGCTGATCTGGTCGACTGCGAAACTGCATACCTGGTTACATACTCACCATCCGACGTTTCTGAGGAAACGCACAACCAGAGACACATTGACTGGGAAGCACAAACTCGAAAGCGATCATCAGAGTGAAAAATCATATTGAATATCAAAATATTACGCATAGTGGGAATATGGCGAAAGCAAGAACAAAACCAAATGGGACGTGCGTGTTATTATCCATCCAACAAAGCTTTTCGACCCCGCGGCTCCTCCATTACATTTGATTACTACCGGGGTGGTGCCCAGGCAGGCCCATCGCTGGAGGCAAGTGTGTGGGAGTAGGTTGTGTAGGCGACGGCGAGTTGGCAGGGGACGGTGCGAAGGTCGAGGCCTGTCCGGGCCCGGGATTCTGCGGGGCCGGGCTGGTTGGCGGTGCCGCTGGCGGTGCCGGAGCGAACTGCTGCTGAAATCCCTGCGGAGGCGGGTAGCCCTGTGTCGGATAGCCTTGGGGAGCGTGGCTCTGCGGCGGGTATCCCGGCCCCGGATATATCTGCTGGCCCGGGTACGGCTGCTGGTATATGTACTGCGGCTGCTGAGCGCCGGGCGGGGCTTGGGCGGCATCGGATGCAGGTGTCGAGGCCTGGTCACCTGTCGCGCCCTTCTCCGGGCCGGCATAGACGCCGTAGGGTGGCTGGCCGGGGTACGGCGGCTGCCCCCCGTACTGCGGCTGGCCTGATGGGAACGTGCTCGCCGCAGTTACCCCGCCACTGGGATCGGGGCCGAGCAGTTCGACAGGATATCGGTGCCGAAAGCCCCATTTGAACCACAGCTTGATGCGCTTCCCGCCCGAGATGGTGGCCCACTGCTGCTTGAGCACTGCTTGGTCCTCGACAGTCCGCGCCGGCGAGCGCCGCGTGAAGCAGATGACCCACAGCGAAAGGAAGCACCAGCAGATGGTGCCGAAGCGAAGCGCCGTCTTTCCTAGCATCAGCTGCCGGAACCACAGCCACGACTCGAGGAAGCCCAGCACAAAGATGCCCGGGATCACCGAAGCGACGACGATGATCCACGTCTTCAGGCCCGTGCACCCCGTCAACAGCGAGCAAACCCTCCAGTCCTCGTCGTCATCGTCATCGCCGCCGCTTCTGAGGCCGCTGTCGCCGCCGCCACCACTGTTGCTGCTGCTTCCGCTTCCGTCCGAGTAGCCAGGCCCATAGTACGCAGCGCCAGTCGCGGTGGGGTTGCGGCAGCTCTTGACGTAGTACGAGTAGTAGTAGTTCGAGGTCGGGTCGCCCACGGACTGGGGCACGGCACTGGGTGCGACGAACTCGGTGAGATACGTGTACAGGCCGCCGTTATACGACGTGTAGACGGACGTGGCGGTCGACGTGGGCTTGATGTCCTTGGTGACCATGTACGGGATGTACACTGCGGTGTTGGTGACGACGGTGAAAGCCGTCGGGCACGAGATTGGCGCCGTCATGGTGAACTCGACGGCATAATTGATGTAGACGTTGGACGGCGTCGGCGAGTAGGTCGACGTCGTGACGAGGTCCCTCTCGGGCACCGAGCCCGCCGGCAGGTACACGTACACTACCGTCACGTCCGATGACAAGTATGTGTAGGCGGACGTGGAGAGGGGCGACGCCGTCGGCTTTGCCGTGTCGGCGACCTCCATGGTCGTCGTGTACGTGTACGACCTACACGACGTGGTGCACGAGTCGACCAGCTTCTCGACCGTCAAGGTCTCGACGAAGAAGCTCGACACTGTCCAGAAGGTGGCGCGCGCGCTCTGTGCTTGCGCCAGCACCAGCAATAGGCCGGCCAGGAGCCGCCAGGCACCTCCTCGGGGACACATCCTTGGCGTTGTTGTTGTCATTGGTCGAAACAGCTCTGTCTGTTCGGCGGAAAGAACAGCTCTATTCGCGGTCTCCTAGAGCCTCACTCGAGACAGCCGTGGGGAGTTGTTGCAGGGGAGACCGGAGGTCTTTCGAGACGCGAGGATTGGGATGGCTAGATGCAAAAACGGATCAGGCAGGCTCGTGGGGGGGAGTGAGGGATAACAAGTCACTTTAATACAAGGCTCGCTGGGCGGGCGAAGGGGCGCACATGAGGCGTCGACCAACTCTCAACGGCCTGCACGGTTTATTCGCAGCGACGCAGACCACATCAGAGATCAGAGTCACCAGTCACCATGGCCACTCCAATCTAATTTTGTCCACCTTGGGGCTGAACCCGTCCCCAGCATGGGTCAGGGTCGCACACTCACACCCTTCAGTTGTGGACGGCAGCATGTCCACATTGGATGGAATACTCCGTTCTCTTTCGCAATACCACGTCCTGCCCAGACTCCGGAGCCCATGTCAAGGGCTCGTGGGAATCTGCTGCACGTTCCTGGCACAGCGGGGGCCCCCTTGTCCTTTCTCGTTGCTCGGTGTGGCGCCAAGCCGTTGCGCTGCGAGTGGGCACCAATCATGTCGCCCCGAGGCCCGCACTGCCACTCCTTGCCTGCCCGTAAGGGCGGCCCAGAATTGCGCCGAGATGATTTCTTCTCGTGCTTCCCGGCTATTCTCCTTCCCTGGTTGGCTGTGCAGGAAAAGCCGCGATCTGCAGTGGCTTGAGTCCTTTTCATCTGCTCTTGCAGGCGCCATTTCTTTTACCCTTTTCTTTTTTTCGAAGTCCACCGTACATGGTCACCGACGCACACAGCCTTGTCGCTTGGGTCGTTTTGTGCAACGCTTGTTGGGCCAGAAATGCAAGGTTGCGCCGGGTGATGACAATACAACGTCGACGACTTTACCCGGCCACTGGCGCTGCTGGGCGTTAGGTGACTCCCACGGCGAAGCACGATAACTACCTCCCTTCCCTGGTAATTCACTGCCAACCCCATGGTAGCGTGTTCCCTCTGGGGGCCGAAACAACCGTCATGAGTTGGTTCTCCTGGGTAGCCATTAGAACCAGACAAATATCCTGCGTGTCTAAGCATGGGCCTCTTGTCTTTTGTTTTGGTGATATCGAAAAGTTTGCAGACGGCGTGGGCCAGGCTAGAGTCGCCGTTTGCCATCTTCATATCACGGGGGTAATTATTCACCTCTCGAATAGAATGGCATCACAGTGCCCTAGCCAGCCCTTTGAGTCTCACTTTGGGTCTATTGCGAATGGAGGAGACGTCAGTGTGTTGAACTAGGACATGAACTGTTCTCATCACAACTGTGAAATGACCAAAGCCCGAACCGCCAAGAGCTGTAACGAGCTCCCCATGCTCAATTAAGAATTAACCTGCCGTATCGGCCACCATTGTTATCTTCGTGAATGGGCTAAGCTTGCCCTGGTTAGAAATGAAATGTGGAATTGTCATGGTAATTATTAGAAATAAGCCGGAAGAAGGCCATCGGCCGGAGACCAGGGACGGAAACCAGTCATGACATTGGGGGATGAGCCCCGAGGCTAACTCGTCGATAACTATTTACCATGTTCCAATTCAATAATTAATCGCAAAGTGGGTGACGTAGGAAGGGATTGGATGATATTTTAGAACAGTTCTTCTTTTTTGACTTTGTTGAAGGGCACAATTCTCTAGGGTATCCCGATGTGAGGTTTTCCTTGGACCATTCTGAGTTTAAACTCCTTTACAAAAAGGAACCCGGTCCAACGCCAGATACCCGGGCGATCAATTCTTGGTATTTCCTTTACCTCTTTGCTGTTCAGTCGGATATAGGTTCTCTTTTCGCGCCCTCTAATTAACTAGTAATTATCAACTACATATAAAGACACCACTTAAAATTTTCACCAATTAGTCCTTGAACTCGGAGTCCCTGATCGTATGGTGTCGGGCATACTTAGATATCTAAATATTGCAACATTGCTCATGAATCAAGAAAGGAATGGGCTAGAATGGTACGAGGAGAAACCAGGTACAATCCCCAACCATTACATCAAGATGCAATAATTAGGCAATTCCTCGTGACTAATACGTTGCTGCCTGCCGTACTTGGTCACTGAAATCCTGGCATAAGGGAACTGATATTAATCTAGACTTAGTCATGGGTGTAGCCCGTGATCGTACCGAAAACCGTATACGCAAAGAGGCTTCGCTGGGACAGTCGATTATACAGCCAGGGTGACTGTGTAGGGCTGAGCTAAGTGAATGGTGGGGGAGTTGTATAAAATAATATATAAATTAACCCTCATGTCGGCAGGCCCGTGGATAAATCGCTCGGCACTCACATCCGTGCTTCTACGCTCCACAAATTCACCCAGCGGCAGAATATAGACCTGGACAGCATTGAACATTGAACCTCGGAAAGATCATGATGCGAATAACTTCCGTGGAAAAGTACCTGTACGAACCCGATGGCTTGCGCTAGATAGTCCATTAACATGACACGGTCTTGAAGTTAGTGTCCCTCACTCTCTTCAGAGACTCAACTTCCATATACTGAGGGAGTTGAGGGGTCGAATGGAACAGTAGACAGAAAGGCAAATGCCCAATTCAATTTTGGTCTATACAAATACATAAAAAGAAGAGAAAGAAAATCAGATGGATTGAACTGAAATCGAGGAAGTCGGCATTAGCAGGCCGTAGCCATTAGCAGGCCGTAGCCATTAGCAGGCTGTAGCCATTAGCAGGCCGTAGTTGAGACTCTTTCTAGCACTAGTTAAGCTTACTTGCCTCTAAAATAACGAGATACTCGGGGCTCGAAAATACGAAGTAAGCAAATTGCGTGTGCACGAGAAGTTTGCGCAGCCACAAAATCCGGTGCCTCAGCGGCGTTTGCTCTTTGGCCGCCTGGCGTTCTAGATGTGCTCATCGGATCGTGCGAGCCAGCGAGTTTGCCGGTGGCTAAATTTGAGTCCTAGTCGTTACCTACGGTTATCAACGGACCGTATTCGGCAGTCGTCTATCTACGCTTTATCCATTCACACCATTCTAACTACTCCTGTTTGGAAATACGTTTACGCTGGGTAGTAAGGGATAATAATGACTATACCTTTATGTAGAAGACCTTTTGAAGAGTCGATCGATAATAGACCTAGTTCACATTGTAACATATTGACCTGACCGCAATGACTAGCATCAATCCCAACTCCTAAAATACCGGTATCGGTCAAGAAGTCAAAGACCCGTGTCGCCGTCTAGGTCCACAAAGCTATACGTCCAATGAGAGCAGATAACAAACACAGCTCCAGCGATAGCTGTGAATGCAAGGACAAGAATCGCTGCCTAATTATTTTTACAGTATCATTATCATAGCTGGGTCTTGCCGAGGAAGGATTGCGTTCATCAGGAGGCAGAGAAACCTGAAGTGTGTGGTGGACCACCTACTTACCTTGCTGTCGTCATCAAAATCGCGGCCGTCGTAGAGCGGCGTGCACACGTAGATAACAAATCCCATGATAAATCCTACAACCGAATATGCCATGAGCATCATGGGGGCTTGCCATGTGAACACCATTTTCCAGCGGAGACGGACACGCACGTCACGGTCCTGGGCATAGATTGGTGTCGGCGGGGCTGTCGCATTGTTCCCCTGGTCATCTTTCAGTTGCTGGTTTCCAAGATTGTCACCGCCGGCCGCAGCACTGCTGGTACCTGCAGCTGTAAAGCCTTGTCTGCTGTGGGCCGTCGCAACGGCAGAGCCTGCTGCACCTGCATCTGTAAAGCCTTGTCTGTTGTGAGCCGTCGCAACGGCAGAGCCTGCTGCACCTGCATTTGCTGAATGATGCGGATAGTAGTAGTCAAAGTTCCCCTGGCCGTCCTCTTCCTCGGTCCAGTAGAACGGGCGTGGCAGGTGGACGACCATAGCCAGCTGCTTGGACAGAGGCGGCTTAGTAGGGGAGTCTTTTATTGTGGAGAAGACAAAGGCGAGCGACGACGACAGGAAAAGCGCGCTCAGCGACAGCACCAGACTGGCGTACCACGCCGCCGGCCCGAGCCACAGCTCTGTCTCACGAGGCCCCCACGAGAAACAGCCGATGACGGCGGCGGCGAGGAGGGTGCTCTTCTTGGTTGGGAACAGTTGACAGGGAGTAAGTGGCCAATCCAATATGTTGACTTGAGGCTATGTTGTTGTCACTTTGAACTCACCGCTACTTGGATGAACTGGAATTCGCTCGACTTTTTGTCTCGCCAGTGCTGAAGCCGTCGGGATATAGCGTCGGGCTGCTCTTTTTCCCTGAGCCTTCGGCCGATGGACATCATAGGCAGCATGGTGTTCTGGCGGTAGAAGCGATAGTACGGCAGCGTGATGCCATTCGAAAGGACGAAGCCCATTACCCTGACAGTCGTGCTGGCATCTGACAGGGCTGACATGGCCTGGGGAGGGGGAATGAGTCGCGCATTGTCAGTCGGCAACGACTCGAGAGTTGCCAAGTTTTTGTGTAGGTGGACACTCACTTTGCTGCCCAAATCCGCAGTGTCGATACGGCGCGGCAATTGTGGTGTGGCTGCTGCCATGTTTAGTGGTTGTGGGATAGTTGACTGTTGTGTGGTGTTCAAAACGCGAGTGCGATTGACGAGAGCGCGCAGGCAGCGCAGTGAAACGCCCAATGGTTGGCCGCACTGCAGCCCATGGCTTCGCTGCCTAATATCTGCAGCCGCCGCCAATCAGAGGCACGGGGCAGCTTCAGGTGGTCACGCTCGCAGCTCAGCCACAGCTCGTAAGGTAGATTTTGACGTTGGTGAGGAGGTGTGGGGAGCTTTTGGGCAGCACCTGTGGAATAAGAGAATTTATATCTTGTTTCTAGTTCATTTCTTGTGTGGATCGGAACATGATGATACCAGTTAAATCTAGTGGCTCTTGATTATGCAAATGTCAACTCCACAGCGTCTAATCAATTTACAGCAACCCTGCTCACTCCCGATTCCTCGATTCCTTCAAGCCCGGGGATAATTATCAAGTCACAAACCGGCCCGGCCCAACATTACCGAAACACGCCGCGACGTTGATTAGACGTAATTACTTGTGAGGCTTAGGCGGCTTATACTCCCAGCAGTATTCACACTTGTCGAGTGTGTCGCGAATCGCGGCCGCGTTCTTCCTGTGGACGGAGCCGAGGTGCCGCTCAAAAGTGCTCCGGTAGTGCCACGTCTCGTCGGGGTCGTAGATGCAGTCGCTCTCGGGGCAAAAGTAGAACCTGCCCATGGCGTAGCGCTCCCAGAGCGACATGCTCTCGCGGGCACGCTCGCGGCGGTTGCGCACCAGCGCCCTGGCGCACTCCTGGAAGCGCTCCACGTTCTCTGCCTCGGACGCCCAGGTGGCAAAGGCATTTTTCATTTTCTCCATGGTGGCTTCTCCAGAGTGCCTCGGCTGCCACTCGTCCATGTCGACACCTGGCAGACCGTTGACCTCGTTGAGGCGGTAATAGGCAAACTTCTCTCTGCTTTCCATCTTCATCATCTCGTTCACCGGCTCCGGGTCGCCGAGTTTTGCGTAGCTCAGGAGAGTGGTGTTGTGGAGGGTCTGCCGCTTGGGGTCGCTTTTGGGTATTGGCCGCGCTGTGCCAATGCTCACCCATGTTCCAATCTTCTTGTAGCGCTTCTTTAGGATGCTTTTTAGCTCCCGCAACACCTCCTCGGACGGGTTGTTGGCGCGCCCAAAGCCGCCGTCGGTAAACCGCGCCGTCCTCTCTGGAATGGCGGCGGTGCTGCTACCGGCATTGCCGCTACCGGCTCTGACGCCTACTGCAAACGTCCGGGTCAGGCGAGCTATGGTCGTCTTCCGGCTGACGACTTCCCCGTCGTCAAGTGCAACCTCGAGGGGCTTGAAGTACAAGGGAGCCGCCGTCGCCGCGCGGGCTACTTTCCAGGCCGCAAATTTCGTACCCTGTCCGGCATTCCGTGGCCCCTCAGCATTCAGAAATGATTCTGTATCTACTCGTTGAAGAACGGCGTGGTCCTGGTCCGTCTTCGGCTTGGTGTCCTTGTGGAAGTTGTCGTACGAGCGGAATATCCACGGGGCATCAACACGGCCGCTTCCTCCATCTTTGGGCGCAGACATATCAACGACAATGATCCTAAAGGATCTCGGAGGCAAGAGTTAATGAGTTGAATCAAGCTGAAAGGCAGAGGAGGGAGCTATACGTACGCCCGGCATAGTCCCTTTTGGGTAGTGAGGAGCATTGCCTCGTCCTGAACGTTGGCAGCTTCTCCCCTTCGACGGATGACATCCTTGATTGTGCCCTCTAGGTTCGCCGTCGAGAACTTGTTCTTGTTTATGACTAGGCCGGGAAACCCTACCTTGTGGACCCATCTCGGGCTGCCAAAGATTGAACCTGCTAGGCGCTTGTATTCATCGAGGCAGTCCTCAACGGGCATGCGCAACCTGGCCAACATGGTGGTGATTAGGCTGACGGGGTCTGTTAGAAGATATTTCAAAAGCAATCTTGGAACAAGTACGGCTTGGGAGCGGGGGGGGGCGGAACGAACAGGTACGGCTTAAGGAGGGGGGGCTACTTACGCTCCTGTGGATGTGCCACCTATGTAATCGAAATAGTGACATGGGAGGTAGGGTCTGAACGTAGGGCAGTGAGACATGTGTCTTGGTTGTCCACACGGGGAGAAGCTGGAGAGATCCTCGGGCCGCATCCGTTCCATGGCATCTAGTCTCTCGTTTTGGGCCTTCTCCTCGATTTCGATGTACTCGAAGAGCTTCTGGAGCTGGAGGAGGCTGTAATAGCCACGCACGCCGCCTCCATCTGTACCCAAATCAGTCGTTAATTCTTGTGTATGGAGCCTAAGTTTATAATGCCGTCACGAACCAAAGGTCAGGACATTCTGTTGGGCCCAGGCACTCTCGGGGTGAACACCGGACAGCTGTCTCCTGTGAAAATGTTCTGGTTCATCGTCTGGGTCTTGTTCCTGCGAACTATAACCGGCAGGGCTCTCTGAAACCGGTGACGCTTCTGCCGGTTGCTCATGGGTGGACGCAGGCCCAATGCCGCTGCTCATTGTTGTGGCTGGCAGTGTCGGAAAGGGGGGTGTACCGTCGAAGATGTACAATCCGAGGCTCACCGACGTCGTCAGTGTCTGGGGGGCCTTCGAGAAAGGAAAAACTCAAAGCGGAAAGGCAATATTGAAATGGTGTGGAAGTCCCTCTTGAGCAGAGCCTGCTCGAGCAAACAAAATTGTACATGGAATGCTGGATTGGGGAGACAACTGAGCCTAGGTGCCAATTTAAGGCAACATCTTTCCCCCTACCATCTCTCGACGGACCCCAGAGCCTCGCCGAGAACACCCTCAACTGAGGGTCTCGTGGAAGACCTGGCTTGAGGAAGAACATGAGAGAAAGCCTCAGCCCATGAGGCGCCTAGTGGGAGAAGAAGCTGAAGGGCTGTGGACAGTGGGCATGTGGCGACCCTTCAGGAATTCAGATTCCGGCCATTGCCATTTGCTTCAGCAACGGAAATCCGTGCGCTGAAACTTCATCGCCGCAGCCACCTGCTCCAACAATGCATTTCTGTCAGGCTGAGACTCGACCGCCGCCGCCTCCAGGCTCCAGGCACCACCAGCGCCTAACATTCAGGGAGTGGCAGTGTACACCCGCCACCACCGCAAAAAATGGGATGGGCCCGCTGCAACGGCCGAAGCCGTGGTTTTGGAAAATTTGAAAGGGGCGTAGGACCTGCCTGCGCTTCCACCGGGCGTTAAACCTTCATTTGAAGCCCGCTCATTGTAAAAATGCGGCCCCACCACTCACCTGGCTCCTTGTCTCGGATTCGGCACCCCCAGAAGGCGTTGGTTGACCCCGCGCTCGGCGCATAATGACGGAAATTTGCTCAGCCATAGGGATTCGCTCCTCTCATTGTGCATGGTGGCGTCCTTCGACGGCCACCGTGCCAGCCCCTCGCGCTTCTCTAGGTAGGTAAGCGGCGGCCTTGGGGGCCTTACTGACTGTGCTTATCACCCTCGCATCCCTCCCCCCCTAAGAGAAGGCAAAGTGGCAAAGGTCCCCCAAAACATCCCTCCTCCTCCAAATCTCGTCTTCAAACGCCACATTGTACGAACACCAAAAAAACATGAAGATGACCCGTTCACTCGTCGAGGATCGCGCCTTCGTCTTCGACCCTTCACAGCAGTCGGTCTCGGTCCAGAAGGATGCAAAAGTGACCAATGGCTCCGGTATGCATCAGATTCAACCCTTCCAATCAGCCCCTTCTCCCCAACCCCTAATCACGCCTTGCTAGACACAGAGAACTTCTGGGTCTTTGACCTGCCGGCGAGAACACAGCCCGACTGCTGGGATTTGTTCATGAACGAAGAGGCAACCAAGATATGGCCCGTCACACCCACCGAGAGTCCGGTGGATGGATTCTTCATTGGGAGATTCAGCCTGCAAGGACTGGGGTTTCGGAACCAGCTTCTGAGGAGGAACGGGAAGCTGGATAAGGTGTACATAGTTAAGCCCCGGCGGGGTAGAAAGGTGGTGTCAGACTTGTCGGGGTGATCTAAATGTATCTGTGCTGTCATGCAGTCGATGGCGATTGGCCTTGAACAGGAATATTGAACCGAGATGAATACCTACGAGTTGGGTGCTGTGCTGGCTGGTATTGGAGGATGTGTGAGCTTGGGCCTGGGCTTCGTCGGCTTGTGGGTTCTTTGCATCTATCAATTCAGATAGACGTGAAATTGTATTTCAAAGCAGCGAGCGCATCACTTCCGTTGTGTCCCCCTTGGTCAGGAGACCACGCCAAAAATTGGCTTTTCGCCATATTATTTTTCTCGGGAGCGGCGACGTCGGCGAACCGGAGCGGGTCGCGGACCTTATCGGGCACAACGCCCGAGAAAATCTGGAGCTGATCACGGCAGGCACAACGCCCGAGAAATTCCGGAGCTGATCACGGCAGGCCCGACCGCGGCGGCGGAAGCATAGATGGTGGGCGTGGTCAAGAAAAGCAAGCGGTCAGATATTGCTGTCCAATGGTGGTGGTGCGAGCCAACAAGCGACAGCGCGCCGACAGCTGGCGACGCAGATGCCGAGAGAGACAAGGACATGCCGAGGTCGAGGTGACTAGGGCCAACTCTATCGCTAGCTCGCACGACGCGGCGCGGCAAGGAGCCCGCAGCGCAGCAGCAGAATGCGAAACCTTGTGGCACGCCACAGCCATGGTCCGACGCGGCCTGCTCTGTTTGTGCACGCACCGACGTCACCTCGATGCGCGGGCCAACCCAATTCAGCGCAGCGAGTGGACAACAACGCGTGCAGTGGGCACACAGCGGAGAGGAGTCGGAAGGGAACAGACGGATAGACAGACGGACAGACAGACAGACAGACGACGGACAGACGGACAGACGGACAGACAGACAGACAGACAGACAGACAGACAGACAGACACGGACAGACAGACAGGCGGACAGACGGACACAGGCATGTGCCGTGCGTGACTCCGTGGCAGGCCGCCAGCGGGGACCTATCAATTGCCATCGGCCTCCCCGCAAAAAAAAAAGAGACGAGGAAAAGTGGAGGAAAAATAATCATCGCGCTGCGGGCCGGCATATCTTGTTTGCGGGACTTAATTCACCTCGATCCCCAGAAAAATCAACATCTGCAGTCAGTCCACCACCCACCAACCACAGCACACTCAACCAAGCGGCCAGTCACTACCACACGACGAAAGCGGGGAGAAAAAAACAGACCCGAAAACGTACAGGCACCTGACTGCATTCGTCTTTCGCCCCCTAATACTGGTACCGACCGGCTTCGGAAGACAGGCTAGCTGCGCGACCCCGCAAAGAGCTCGCCCACCGAAACAAGGATGCCGCTCTCCCCCCTGCCCGGCCATCACCACGCCCCGGGGCCGTGGCTGCCGTCGCACAACCACGGGCCGTACAGCCACGGCCACAGCCACAGCCTAGCTCCGCATGCAACGACGCCATCGCTAACCGAGATCGAACCGGGGCTCTTCCTCGGCAACTGGGCGTCGTCGGTCGACGTGGGCACGCTGATGCGGCACGGGATCACGGCCATCGTATCCCTCGGACACGGGCCGGCGGCGGCATGGAGCGGGCCGGCGCACCGCAAGCTCGTCCCGGCATCGCGGCACCTGTTCGTGGCGTGCGACGACTCGGCGACGGCTGACCTGCTGGGCCGCCTGCCGGCCGTGTGCGACTTCATCGACGCGCAGCTGGGGACCGACGCGCTCAGCTACGCCGACGAGGTCCGCCGCATCCTTGCCGCCGAGGAGCTGCGCGAGGCCGCCGAGACGTCGCTGTCGGGCCAGGCCTACCTGGGGCGCGGCGGCGGCGCGTTTGCACCTGGCACAAGCAGCCACGGCCATTACGATCCCTACGGAAGCGGAGGAGGTGAGGGAGGGGACGACGACGTGTTCGCGTCCGCGCAGCCGGGCCGCGTGCTCGTGCACTGCAGCGAGGGCGTGTCACGGTCGCCGACGGTGGTGGTCGCGTACCTGATGCGCAAGCACCGGAGCACTGTGGCGGCGGTGCTGCGCGACGTCAGGCGGCGCCGCCGCGTCGTCGACCCCAACCGCAACTTCCTCGAGCAGCTGCACCTGTGGGAGGAGCTGCAGTACGACGTGTGGGAGGACGCCGCCTGCCAAGTGCCCAAGCCGCTGTACCGCCGCTTCCTCGAGAGCCGCGCCGAGATGCTCACGGCGGCGGGCGGTGCGGTGGTGTAGAGTCTCTAGGGGTTGCAAAGTTGCATGTGGGTGCGAGTGCAGATCGATCTGGGACAGGACGTCGGAGCGTCCTCGGAACTCGCTCCGGCGTGTGTGGCAGTTCTCGCTATCGGTGGTTTGGACGTATTGATTGGTTTCAACTGGGCTCGGTCTGTGGCTAGCCCCCTAATTACCTTTTCTTGTTTTGAGGAACGTCTTTGTATCTCAACAATCCAGTTATCCTCCCTATATTGCTATGTGGCAACAAGGATTCCAGCTCACAGCCTGCGCAAACACGGCTGAAGTCATCTCCAGCTTCCAGTTACTTTCCACCAGGCCGGCTGGCAGCTGATCGAGGACGCAGCTACTGACAGGGCGGGTATCGGAAGAGGACCCGGTGGGATTGGGGACGGGACAGAACGGCTCTCGGCAGTTGCGTTCCGCACTTTGAGCTTGTTCCGTTCAAACAACCGGGCGGCCCAGCAAAAGCCCCTCACACAACGCAATTTTTTAATTCTTGGCTGGTCTTGGAAGCCCCGTAGAATCCATACACGAGGTAGTCTTAAGATTCAGGGCTTGGATCTGAACACATTAGAGTAGTGCAATTGATGCGTCCAGCAAGCCCAATGACAAAGCACGAAGCAGACACGCCAGGCCACTCCCCTGGATGTGAAATCGCCATCATCGGTGGCGGCATCACGGGCGTGACGCTCGCGCTCGCGCTCGACCGACGGCGTATCCGGTGCACCATCTACGAGCAGGCGGCACAGTTCCGCGAGCTGGGCGCAGGGCTGGGCTTCGGGTCCAACGCGCTGCGCGCCATGCACGTGTGCGATGAGCGGGTGCTGGCTGCCTACCGCCGCGTCGGCAGACATGTCAGCGGGCCTCCGTTTAGTGCAGCCGGCACCGGCACCGAGAGTAAGGTTGGTGCACCCGCCGGCCCGGTCTGGATCGAGTTCCTCGACGGCACGTCGCCTGTGGCGGCACGCGAGCTCGCGCCCGCCTTCACCATCCACGCGCCGGCCGACGGCCACGGCGCGGTGCACCGCGCGCGCTACCTGGACGAGCTGGTGCGGCTGCTGCCGGCGGGCGCCGTGCGGTTCGGCAAGCGGCTGCACGAGATCACGCAGCCTGCTGGGGGCGGCAAGCTGACCATGTTGTTCTCGGACGGCACGACGGCGCGGGCGGACGCCGTGGTGGGCTGCGACGGGATCAAGTCGCGGACGCGCGAGATCGTTGCCGCCGGGCTGAAAAACGGGGAGGAGGTTGATGCGAGGTGCGGGTACAGCGGCAAGTTCGCGTACCGCTGCCTGATCCCCATGGACCGTGTCGTCGAGGAGCTGGGCGAGGCGCGCGCCAGGGAGCCGTCGCTGTGGGTGAGTCCGCTTCCCCTGCACCACACATACGAACACCACACATACGAACAAGTCATCCGCTAACGAACAGATGCGCCCTGGGCGGGCCGCGTCGAGTACCAGATGGGCCCCGACCGGCACGTGCTGACGTTCCCCATCGGCCCCAGCGGCCCGGGGCAGCTCCTTAACCTGGTCGCCTTTGTCGACTCTGGCTCGCGCAGCTGGCCGAGCGAGACGAGCCTGACGCTGCCGGCGACGCGTGAGGACGTGGTGCGCGACTTTCGCGGCTTTGGCCAGAATGTGCAGCGGCTGCTGGGCATGATGCAGGCGCCGCCGGACCGGGTACGTTGCGTTAATTTCTTTTTTTAGCGTTTGCTTGCCGCTGGTCCATTGTCCTTGACCTAAACCACAGCCCTGATTCCGCCCGTTGTATCACTCCCGACTTGTTGTTGCATCACTCCCGGCTTGTTGTTGCATCACCCCCGACTTGTTGTTGCATCACTCCCGACTTGTTGCGTGAGATGCCAGATTTCACAGTAAAGTTTGAGACAGCCGTCTCGCCCAGCCACAGACCATAGAACAGCAACTGCACGCAGATAGTCACACTCGCTCGCACATAACTCACATCCAAAACTTGCTAGTGGGGCCTCTTCGACCTTCTCGACCGACCGCTAGTATGCTTCAACCACGGACGCGTTCTCGTCATCGGCGACGCGGCGCATGCGAGCACGCCACACCACGGCTCGGGGGCGGGATTCTGCATGGAGGACGTGGCGGTTCTGGCGTCGCTGCTGGAAGACCTCGATACCCAGCCTCTAGCCGCGGGGGGAGCAGCCGGCCTAGAAGCGGCGTTCGCGGCCCTCGACGCCAGCCGCCGCGAGAGGTGCCAGTGGCTGGTGGCAAGCAGCCGTCGGTCGGCCGACGTGATGGAGTGGCGCGAGCCGAGTTTCACCCGCGGGCCGCCTGACTTTGACGCCATCCGGCGGGACATGGAGACGCGCCAGTCCATCTGCTGGGACGTGGACATGAAAGCAATGGTGCGTGCGGCGAAGGAGGATCTGCGGCGGAGGATCAACCAACCACAAGCGTCATCAGAGCTGGGGCCTCAGTGAACCAACAGGAGGTTGGCGGTGCTGGGGATTCACGAACGGGTGGTCCAGCAGCAAAGAAAGGGATGATATAGTCAATAAGCCTCTTCTATTCTCTGTGGTACATATCCTGCCTGACCTGTCTCTTCAAAGCGGCGGGTCAACCATTTCTCGCGTACCTCAGTAGTGGTGCTCCCGATTCATCACATTGATCATGGGCTGCCCTGTGCTCAGGCTCTCGAGGTTCCGCTCTATGATGCCCTGCACGCGCTGGAAATAGTGCGGCGACTGCCAGCTGACGTGGGGCGTGACAAACAGGTTGGGCGCAGAATACAGCGGATGGCCTTCGGGCAGCGGCTCCGGGTCCGTGACGTCGAGAGCGGCACCGCGGATCTTGCCCGTGGCGAGCGCGTCAATGATGGCGTCCGTGTCGATGTGGCCGCCGCGCGCAATGTTGGACACAAAGGGCTTCTTGTGGGCGGCGAGGATCTCGAACTGCTCGCGGCCGAGGATGTGGCGCGTCGCCGCCGTCAGGGGCAAGCTCACGACCAGCAGATCAAAGTCCTGCGCCAAAAACTCGTTGACGGCCTCGCGCGAGCTGCCGTGGAACCACCGCGCGGGGATCAAGCCGTCTGGGTCTCCCGTACCTGGCACGCAGTAGCTGTCGTCGCGCCGCGCCTCAGCCGTTGTCCGCTCCGTGCGCGTGTACGCAAACACCTCCATCCCGAGCGCCTGCCCGAGCCGCGCCACCTGCCGCCCTATGGCGCCGTACCCGAGAATCCCCATCCGCATGCCCGGCGCGTCGTATACCTGGCGCACATCACCCGGCCTCGGGCGTATCTGACTCCCCTGGCGCTGTTGGTTTGCGTAGTCGAGAAAGTGGTGACCCATCATCAGCCACGAGCCGATAACCCACTCGGCGATTTGAGGACTGCAGAGAAAAGCCCGCCCAGTTAGGTCGTCGCTTAGCTCGCGGCGCGGTACAGCAGCGGCATCTAGCCCCCTAGAGACTTACGGATGGGTCCCGTTGGACGTGCAGAAGGTGATGTTGGGGTCTTGGTACAAGGGATGCGATAGCCACTTGTCGGCGCCGGCGCTCGTGAGCTGGATGTAGCTGATGTTTGGCAACAGCTCGGCTGGCTGTGGGATGAAGGTGCACATCATGGTGATGCCCTCAAACTGCCCGGGACTGAACGGCCCAGCTGTAAACTCCCACGTTTTCGACACCCATCGCACCTTGAAGCCGGGGTACCGGGCCTCGAGCCGGTCGATCCACGCCTGGTCTGGCGGAACCGGGAGGTCCATGAGGAAGACATCCTTGCTGAGATCGCGTGGCGCTCGTTGGCCGTTCTGGGCGGTGGGGGCCGGAACGGTGGACGACATGTCTGGATGCGAAGCCAACAAGACAGGAACTTACGATTTGTCGACAAAGCTGACTGGCAAGGCGCGAGCTGGGGGTTCAAATGCACGCGATACAGACAAGCGAAGTCGGGGAGCGGTGTAATCACGGAGATAAATGGGTAATTGAAGCTCCATTAATAATTCGAATGCGACCCCCACGGCGTCTGGGACGACAGCGCGACCGAATTGGCGGGAGCTCCGGGCGACGCCATTGCGGCATCGCTAGGCAGAGCACGCGACAAATAGTCTCGTCGTGGATGGCTGAGGCCGCAATCGCCTAGACTAGGCTCGGAACGAGTGTGCTGCCGAACAGCTTGGCAGGGCTAGTAGCACCCAGGCCCGGGACTGCAGAGCAAATACACCAAAGCCCCCTGCTTCCCTCTCTTGCCGGTTAGGTATTGTATCCTGTCTGACGTCTGCTCACGGTGTGATCCCGTCGTTGCCGGTCCTCTTGGCGCCGTCAGCCGTGGGCCGGCCCTCCATGGGGGGCGGTGTTGTGTCGTAGCGTCGGGCGCCTTCAGGGATGGGGACGACGGCGCTGCGGGTGTAGATGTGGTGGGCGCCGTGCCAGTCGAGGCCGTCGATCAGGCCACCTTTGATGCTCACGGTGGAGCGCTCCGTGGCATCGGGCTCGCGAATGCGGTGCATGACCCGGGTGCCACACTTGTTGCAGAAGTAGCAGTCCATGGTGCGGCCGTCTTTGGCTGGGCGCGTCCAGCAGCTGAGCCGAGCAGCTAGGTAGGGCGCGAGGGGGAAGAGCCCGTCGGCGGGGAAAATGGCGCTAGTGCCAAAGGCCGACGAACTCTGCCTCTGGCATTCGGTGCAGTGGCAGTGGTAGACTGACATCGGGGCCGCCGTCGGCGTCTCAAACGACACGGAGCCGCATTGGCATCTGACATTCATGGTGCTCGGCTTGCTTGTCTGGGTCTTTTGCGGCTGCGGCTGAGAGTTTGCTCCTTGTCGAGATGCTTCTGGCACTTGCCACGAGACGAAGCGGTAGTTAGTTGCAGACCTTGGCGATGCGGGGTATTTTGCAGGGCACCTGGCTGAGGACTGGAAGCAACTGCCAAGATTGGGGTGTGATGGCGGCCAAAGGTCGAACGCACCCGAGGGCTCCTGAAGACACGCACTTCCAAGGATGTAGCGCAGTCTGCTAGGTCTGCTGCGGAGTAGCGTCTCCGGCTCACAGAAGATGGAGGTGCCTCCCGAGCCTCCTTCCGCAATGAGCGAGTGCAAGCTTTCTACTACTGACGCCGAGTGGTCGAGGAAAGAGCACTTGGGGAAGCTGAAGAGACAGTCAATTAACCCTAACCCTAACTGCGAGTGCGAGCATCGCAATGTCGTTGATCAGAATAGGAAGGAATAACCTTCTTAGACTTTGGGAGTATTGCATGCCTGGGCCGTATACAGAAAGAGCTTTCTGCCGCTTGGTTACACCGGAAAGACAATCGAAAACTGCAATACTCCACGACTTCCGGCGCTTAGTTCTTCATATCCTTGCAACACCTGTCTTCCATATGACAACACCGAGTCGCCAGCCACGCATCCAAGCCACCGGTCCTCTACGGAGCAGATCTTCCTACTTCTCAAAGTCCGTTTCCAGACCCACCTCCTGCTTTCGAGATGCGGCGAGTCGAGCCATCCGACCGAGCAACCAATGGCGTGAGCGAGCCGAAGATGGTCCCGCCCCGCGCGCCACAGATGACATTCCGGGGAAGGTCGTCCCCAGCTTCCGTGCAGTTCTGTAGCACTGTGGCGGCCGCGGCGGCGTTGAATAGTTGCGCGAATCGTCTGCTGCATCCGAGTCAACCGCTGGCCCGCCGCGCGTGCAGAGTCGTGGAAGAGTTACACAGTCAGCTGAGTGAGATTTGGTTGAACCGGGGCAGAGAACCTTTGACCCAATTTGTAATCACACGACATAATCTTGAAAGAAATGGCCAACCCCCCAGCTATGGCATCGGGAAAGGGGCAGTATTACCGTGTTGGGTCTGAACCGTTAGCAGCGGCAGCGGCAGCGGCAGCCGCCCCAGGACACGCCCACGTCTGGTTGATGCCGAGCCGGTACGTGGCCGGGTTGAAGGCGAAGTAGGTTTCGGCGGCGTCGCTGTCGGTGCCCGCGACCCAGAAGCACTGGCTCAGCGCGCCGCGTTGGAAGCACAGCGTCGTATAGTTGGCCGCGTTGTTGCGCAGCTCGAAGATGACGCTGCCGCCCGTGTTCTCCACGTCGCTGAAATCTGCCGTCCAGTCCGCTATGTTCCACGACGGCTGCGCGGCGGACTCCTCGGCGCAGCCGCTGGTGGAGTTGGGGACCTGCTGCGCGGAGGCTAGGTACACCGCGAGGAGGAACGGCAGTGTTAACATTGGAGCCGTCGGGGGTCTCATCATTGCCTTTACTGGCCTGGTTCGGGGATGTTTCGTCTTTTGGGTGCCCTTGCCAAGGTCGGAGGTGATGTGATGCTCAAGAAACCGCGCTGATGCTCGACCGGGACGCGATGTTGAGGCGCTTCACCCCACTACGGGAAGCCGAATTCCGGCTATATGTCCCTGCCGATTGCGCGAACCCGGGCGCAGCATTGCAGACCGGCGAAATGATTTGCAGGTCACAGCCTGGTAATCTGAGACGAATCGAGGTGCAAAGCACACACTCAGAATCATGAGCACTCAGAATCATGAGCGATCTCAGAGACGACTATCTTGCAATATACCCCTCCAAGACGCCAGGAGTCGCGCTGGCCGCCGGCAAATAAAGGGAGCACAGCGCCGTGTTTTACAACTCCGAGGTCGTCAACGCACACGCAAAGTTCCTGGCAGATCTGACTAGCTCGGATGCGAAAACCCACTGGGCAGCCGTGGCAGCCAAGAACGAGGTATACAAGTCGTTGCAACAGGACCGAAAGGCCGTGTTTTCGTCTTCTCCAGAGGGGGGCTTGCACAACTATGTGTTCATGCGACACTCCATGAAGCTCTCAGCAAGGGATCGCTCTCGGACAAGGACTACAGTGCGCTTCTCAGGGGCAACGAGGGCGTGCTGAGGCAGGAAAGCTCAGGCTTCTGAAATACGCCATGGCTGGGAACATGCCACCCAAGGGCGCTGTCATTCTCTTGTTCAAAGATGCCGTTCGAATCGAGAAAGTCATCATGGACGGTAAACGTCAAGGCGTCAAGCTTCGGATCATGTTAAAACACACCTTCTGTGACGGCCATTTGCTCGACATGTTTGAGAAGATTGACGGCGTCGACGGCCTGATGAGATTCATCAACCAGGGCGAGAGCACTACCTAGGTGCCGTTCTTTGGACCGCTCAACAACTTCATTGCAAGCTTCATGTGGGACGGCAGCGCCGTTGCTGGCGTCACCCAGTACGACCACTTCAAGGCGACCACTTCAAGGCGACCGATTCCAAGACGAACAACGAACTCGAGGACTTCCTCTAAGATACTAGCGGCGAGTTCCTCGAGAGGTGCATGGCGAGACCCGAGCACGGATTCGTGGTGGCAAGGGTTCTGTGTTCGATCATGGGCGAGACGTTCGGTCCACACAACATGCGCCTCGTCACGCTGTACAACTTCGAAAAAGACCTCGCAAAAGCCCAATCAGAGGGCCTGCTCAAGCTGGCAAAGGTCCGGAACCCGCTCGCAGACATGTCCGCCAGACTCTTGGTCAAGCTCGACGACGATTTCATCAAGCAGCAGAAGACAACTCGGACGACTTCAAAGACAGGTCCGCCTACGATCTGAGAATGTACGCCATCGGCGTATACTTTCACGGCGCAACCTTGATTTGTGACAAAGCAGGGAGTCTGTCATCCCCTGCGCCGCCACCTCTTAATACCAAGCAAGAGCGCTTCTCAGTTCACATCAAAAGCCACGGGACTTTTCTGTACCGGTACCCGGACGAGGACGACAGCTTCAAGTGGGTGAATCAGACATTTGAGTTTGCGTCGTCGAAGAATCCGTTTGAGTGTGTTCACGATACCGAGAAGGATACCTACAGTCCCAAGTCGGCGCTCTTCCAGAGCGAGCAGCTGGCCTTGCAGATCAGCGGCGGGGCTGGGGACCTGCACGAGCCCCTGCCTCTGCAGTGTCCCTTGGGTGTTTAGAGCATCATTCCGATACCGAATGTGGATACCACCAAGGTCAATAAGGTAGTTGTCGAGTTTGAGATGTCCCAGAGTTAAATAAGTCACAGGCGTACGAGTGCTGAGCCGGGGCAACAACACACGTTATCAGTCAGGAGTACATGTTAAGGGAGCCTGTTGGGAAGCCTGAACCAAAGTAGGGCCGAAATCGATTCAACTCAACAGTCTGATTGTGTGTAAGATTCGGTGGTGGTAAGTCCTGGGGACCTGCAAGCTGGGGACCCCATTTTACCCTGAAAAAGACCTGGAGGGCTTCCTGGGCTAATTAACCCCAAAAGGCTGCCCTGCATAATTATGCCCGCAGGTCAGACTGCCGGCGAATTCCGGTCTCGGTCAGAACCTCAAAAATCTAACAGCCCGCCTGAGCAAAAATCCCGAACAGGGAATGAGCCGAGCCCAAGCTGAGGTGAGCAGTGTGACGTGGGTGAGGCACGGAGAAAGAAAATTCGTGAGCCCAGATTCGTCTCACATTACACGCATACTTTCTGTTGATTGCTGCCTGGTTTACATCGTTTTTCCAACTACATATCTTCACCGCTGCATTGCATCTGTCCGATTTAGTCACTTGTGTCTCTCGTCAGTCGCCATGGAACACAGCAGGTTGTCGAAACTCTCTTAGCGGCGTTGACTGGCATTCTTTTCCATCACATCCTTAAAGGCCACCACGATAGGATCCAAGTACGGAGAGCCTGTGCAGGTGTTGAACGTCAATTGTAAAGAGTGTGATACCGACTGTTGGAGCCGGCTTGCGATTTTCTAGACTAGACTGAGTGCAAAGCCCATGCCGTCTCCACCACAGCAGCTGCCCGTCTATGCTCCTTGTATTCTAACTGCAAGTGTGCCCTGTGTTGAACATTTCGCACCGTCCTCGAGAAAGCTGGTGTGCCTTCGAATCCTGTGGCTCATGCCTCAGAAATCTAGGTCCAGCACTGGCCCGAGCCGGGTCCCGGCTGGCACTGCATGCGCCCGCCGTTGCACGACCAGCAGCCATTGTTTCCAATGCACTGGCACTTGCCCGGGTCGCAGTCCGAATGGGGAGGCAGAAAGCCGCTGCACCGGGCCTCGACGTCGAGGCCGCGCTTCTCGAGCGTGGACTAGGATGGAGAAGTTAGCACATGATCTGCAGTTTGCATGTCTAGAGGGTTTGATGGATAATCACTCACCCTGTCGGCTCCAACGAAGAGGAACTCGCCCTCGTGGACGCTGACGCTGGCCGCAACATCGCGCGCGTCAATGGCCGGGGAGGCGTAGACGGTGGCGGCAGCCGCGAGGAGGACAAAGATGTTGACGGAGAGCTTCATGGTTGCTGATCAAGCTGGTTTGGCTTGGGAGTTGAAGAGTTTGTGGAAGTGCTTGCTGTGTGATTGCTGGTGACTGTCTGGTTGATGGATAAGAAAGACAGCAACACTGATGAGGAAAATGGTTGATCTTTATACCCCTTTTCTCGTCTCATTGCTCCACTCGTCGAATGCATGTCGTCACTATTCCTAAGACAGAGTCCGAGGATAATAATAACTTCGGACTCGAGCCAGCGGGTTGATGGACGTGGCGTGAGGCCATATTCAGGTGGATCGAGGCTGTTTACCGCCGGCAGTGCTGAATCCCTAACCTTGCGGTGGAATCCCTAACCTTGCGGTGTTTCGAGCACCGCCTCTACGTCGTCCGAGTGGCCCGCAATAGCTATGCTGCGCCCTTAGCGTGGCGTGGTGGTGTTGCTTTAGCCGGGTTGCAAGGCGCCGTCCCAGCGATTGCAAAAGAACCGAGCCTCGTGTGACCCATACATATTGGAAAAACAATCAACTCACGCTACTCAAGCTGACAATGCTGCAACTCTATAGTGACACGCACCGCCGAAGCGGTGCGAGCACAAATGCGAGCAAAGAATGCGAGCAGTGACAATCCTAGCCGCGCGGCCGGGCCTAGGACCGGCCTGCAAATTGGCGGCGGCGGCTGATATACCCGCGGCGGCTGCCTGGAGCAGGTAGATTGGTTTTGCGATACCTATATTGCCATTTTTCCCGGAAATGTTGTCATCCGCCTGCTGTGTCTTGTTACCCGTACCACCAGCCCCGTTGCAGGATTCCCAGTAACACAGAGCAAGAGCCTGGGGGATAATCTACTCGAAATTGCTCGTTACTCGCGCTCGGGTTGTAGAAGGCGATCCTGGAAACACAATATGGAGTCTCGAATCCTGAATCCTGTCTAAAAACAGCAGCCGCAAGCGGTTGGCCTGTGGCCGCCGCGGTTTCAGGCGCTGTGGCACTTGTGCTGTTTTCTTGGCCGACTGGTGACTTTGTTGGCTTGTTTTGTCGTATGCTTTCTTCGCCCCTTTACAGTATTTGTGTACTGTGGGTCCGTAATTCTCTCTATGGCAGGATTGGGGTATTCCCGGCGATCTTTGGAGCGAGACTAATTAGCAACCCTAATTAGCAACCCGAGTCTGTGTCTTGAGTCTCCGCCCTGCCCCGGGGCACCGAGTTTGCAGACCATGCTCGGTCTATATAAACCCGGCCGGCTCCCAGACACTTGATGGTCAGACAGGCTGTGCATTCCCAGTCTTTCGATGCCCCGGCTTCTAACACTCTACCTTTTCTTAGTTTCCCACTCTCTACCTTTTCTTAGTTTCACACTCTCTACCTTTTCTTAGTGTCACACTCTTCACACTCAGAGACCGACCAACCCCCTCCAAGAAGAGGCATTGCCACAATGCGTGCTTTCAACAACAGCCGCCTTTTTGCACCTCTGCTCCTGTCGGCCTGGCTGTGATAAGCTAATAACCGTTCATGGTACTGGGTCAATAGAAACTCATATTAATGTGAGTCTCAATTTCCGATGCACTGCTGTCTGTCCATCATTTACGCACACCCGAGTGGACAATAATCCGCGGCAGTAGGCGGCTTTCTCTTCTATCCACCACATCCCCCGCCCATTATTTCACATCGTCTCAAACGAACCCACGAACCCACCTCATCTCATCATAGCGTCTCACTGTTTTCCAGTCGGCTCATCCTCGGCGCCCTGCTGATGTTGCCTGGACGGTGAGATCTGCACCGACCTAGGCATGCATCCCTAGCCCCTTGGCGTCTGGAGTTTATCGCTTTGATGACCGCCATCGACCCTAGACATCCGCTGCTATGTCCCAATCGAGAGAATTCGGGAACTTGGTATTTCCACATGGCTGCAAGCCTCAACCTCGTGTTCTGCGCGTGCACTTGCCGCTGGCTGGCAACAGCACGCTTGCCGCTGAGTAGCTCGACACAGTCAGCGGCCGCAGGGAAGTATCAGATCCTCCATTACCAAGACCAGACAGTTTCCAACACCGCCTTTTTGCCGGGCTTAGTACCTTGTTTACATATCGTGATTACGCTAGGTAAAGCCCCGTGCCACTCTTTCACAGTTTGCCTCTAGGCGGGCGGCCACATGACTAGGTGCTAACATGACTAGGTGCTAGGAGCGCATGCAACTTTTCGCGCGTTGGAAGTGGTTTAAAGGTGGGTGGGATTTAAAGTTGCAGATTTTTTCATGTCTCATCCCGGTCAAATGGCCGATCGAGGAAGGTGTCCGTCCTGGAATTTCACTGGTTCAGGTACAGTATGCGCATACCTGCCCATACGGCAGGTATGATTGGGGGCCAAGGATTCCCTCTAGTGCACGTGCATCTTTGAGGTACCTTGGTTGGGGAGTGGTACTGTTGTGCCTTTACCGTTTATATACCCCTCACCTAGGTGCCGACCCGGCATTTCTTGTTTCTTGTGTTGTTTTGGCATGGAAAAAGCCGCGAGTTGTTATTGTTAGACAATTTTCTGCGACTAGCCTTACGGCCACCGAAGCTGAACTGATTTGGTCCATAAACACCGGAACTGAGCTCCAACTGGCCCTTCCCCGCTATGAGCTACAGGTACCTTAAGGTAGGTACCTATTAGGTCATACTGGCGGCTTCCTGTAAAGTGGGATCACGGCACGGAATACTACGGATCACCATCTAATCCATGTGGGGATCTAATAGTCGGAACCCCGCCGTTGCCCAGCTCACCGCTACCGAATGAATTGGTTACACTGGGATCCACTAGGCGCTTTTGTTAGTTGTTAGTTAGCTCCAAAGTCTGACCAACGACTGTCGATGTTGTGACAGTAATACGTTATTACAACATTGCATAAATCCTCTTCATATCCACTGCGGCGCGGTTCGCACGGACTGCCGTATAGAGCACTCGAGTGTGGATTGGAGGGGGTTGTAGTTGAAGTCGTTTACTAACCCAACAACCAACTGCCTTGCCTAACGTAGGTGATGGTTTACGCAGAGTGCAACCACATTCCGAATTTACTGACTTCACTTCTAGCGCCGGGCACGGCTGCCTAGGCATCCGCCATCCGTGGAACTGGAACTAGCAGACCGTGATCATTCTTGAGGCTCCGAGCTCATTCACTCTTTGCCCTCTCGGGGGTGATCCCCCTGGTCCCACCTAGTTTAGTCCGACAAGTATAAAGGAGCAGATATTTCCAGCTTTTTCGCCTCATCTGTCTCACCAAACACAAAAACACACACACACACACACACACACACACACACACACACACACAAATTCACTTAGAAACTCCCATTTTCATCCCAAACCCATCCAAAATGCAGCTTCAGACCCTCATCGCCGCCATCGCCTTCGCCGCCTTCGGCGCAGCACAGACTACCTCGGTCACCTCCTGCACCCCAGGCACGTATCCCCCTACACCTATCCTGCCCCCCTCCAGTGCCTACTCCCGTGCTGACATTGCTGAACAGGAACCTATCAGTGTGGGTGGAACGGCAGCAAGAATATCATCAATGTCTGCAACGCCTCGCACCAGCTACAGCTCACCGCCATCTGCTCCGGGAACTGCCGGTATATCAACGGCATTCCTTACTGCGTTTGAGCTAGCCCGCTGGGCCGGCAACCTCGCCCCTCCGCTGCCCCGGCAGACGGTGCGGCCCTTTTTCGTGGCATGCCGAGCAAAGGGACACCGTAACTAAACAGGTGGCACGTTTGGGTTTTCATGTGCAGAGCCGGAAATGGGTTAGGTCATGTTGACATGCAATTTGGTATCTTGCCTAGCTAGCATAAAACGAAGGTCGAGCGCGGCCAAGGAGCAGACAAATGAATGAAATGAAACAAAACCAACATCTTCATCAACGGTGCATCACAGACACTGAATCTGCCTCCTCCACGCCTTGCTTGAGCGACAAAGGTGAATTTTCTCCACACGCGCACAAATGATCAATGATCCCGCGACTGTCTGACAACCATACCAACTCACGCACAGCCGGCCACCCAGGCTGACAAAGCGGCCGCTCAGCAAATTCCGTATTTCTCGAGAAAGTCGCCAAGCTTGCTGTAGCAGCCAGCGCATCCGCAGAGCTAGGATCGTAGCGGACTCGGCGTCAGCAAACCACAGAGAGTCAGAAGACAGAGGGTGAGGTGAGATGCCGTGAGAAAGGATGAGGGCGGGGGGTGAGATGCTTAGAAACCGTTTGTAAGAAACCCGCCGACTGGTGAATCGGTGGTGATAATTACGCCCAGAAAGGGATTTGGTGAGATGGTGCCCAGGAAAATCAGAAAGCAAGAGACTTGTGTGGGAGATACACCGAGGGAGCGCATCAGCTTACTTACCTCCTTCTTCTTGGCGCACTTGATGATGCCCGCCCAGTCGTCCTTCTCGATGGCCGCGGTGATGCACACAGCCTCAGCAATGACCTCGATGCAGCTGAGGATCTTGCACGACTCTGGGGCGGCGAAGGCGAAGACTGCCCGTAACGTTCTGTTAGAGCCGGCTCTTGCAATCTTTTTGGCAGGATAGCAGTGGAGAGGAAATGCAAGATTTGCCTTCGGTCTCGTTGAGGCTGATTGCAGTCGCGCGAGTGACCATGTCGGTCGAGACAACCTCGACGCTGGGGGCGGCCAGGGCTGAGGCCAGCATGGCGACGACGGGGATGATGGAGAGCTTCATGGTTAAGATGCAGGATGCGGTTCTTTGTCTGTTGGAGAAAGAGGGTGGAGAGGTTTGTGGGTCGTCTAAACTGTGCGATTGTGTTGGGGTGATGGGGAATGAACAGAAGATGCTTTCAAGATGGAGATCACGGACGGACTCTTTATACATCCTCGCGGTGGCCAGGACAACGGCCGGGCTGTCTCCCTTGAGCAGCACCTTGTCTGCAGCTCATCTCAGCTGCGTTCATCTTCGTTGATTGCCTGGGATTTGATTGCCTGGGATTTGATTGCCTGGGATTTGATTGCCTGGGATTCGATTGCCTGGGATTTGATTGCCTTGGATTCTCCGAATCCCTCACAGCCGCCGTTTTAGTTGCTAGCATATTGCCCAGAGAACCCAATTCCAAGACCGACGATGAGCTGAACGGATTTGATAGAGCCGAGATGTCTGATGATTGAAACTGAGACGCTACGATATTAGCATGCGGTGCTGTCGTCGCGACTGAAACTGCCGGCGTTGCATCAAGTAAATGGGTCGGTGAAGGATAGCAAGGCCAAGAGCTGAGAAGTTGCGGCAGTGAGCCTAGATGCTTCAAGTCTGAGATCAAGTCTCGAGCGTTTCCTGTCGAGTGCTGCGGCCTGAGGGTCTAGGAGAACTAGGATACTGGTCATCCACGATAGCATACAGATGAGCTGAGGTTTTGATAGAGGACGGATGGAACTCTGTTCGGTCAAACGTACGTCCGATCGTGGCGAAGAGGAAGATGTCTGCTGCCCACAGAATGGAATGCGACGAGATTCGCTGCAGGCTATAGCTACACCAACGGACAAGACAGACGCCCGTTGTCTAGCATTCTTGGCAACAGCAGCTATCTTGTCGCAACCACCATTACAGTAACGTTGCAGTCTTCCTACAGTTTTTGGCAAGAGTCTCTACTGAAAGACTCAGCTCAAGCTAAAACCTGACAGCCAGTGTGCCACATCCCAGTATGCCATATGGGATCAGAGCAGTATGCCATATGGGAGTATGCCATATGGGATCAGAGAAAATAGGAAGTACGCATCTGATGTTGTAATATTGAGCCCGGCGGAGGTGATGTTGTGCGACAAGCCAAATAGGCTTCAATAACCAGCTATGCGAAAACATTGAAGGAAGTTTGAAGCCAAGCCCACGGCACTTGCTGAATCTTTGGCCCCGCAGGAAAGTGCAGAGATTCAACCAATCCGGCCGCAAAACACGGAACGACAAATCTGTAACAGGGTTGCATTGGAAATATGTAGGAATTAAATTGGGGGCTGAAGAACCGAGGCTGTCGCACAAAAGTGCTCGACGTTGCGCTCTCGCTTGGAGGCAGCTCTGGCTGGCCGAAAGTCGCCGCAGGCAATCTATCGCACCTGCGGCGTCGGCAGATTAATACGAGCAGCTATAAAAAGGCTGTGCGCAGGGCCGCCGCTGCAAGATTGTGATTGTGGATTTAGGCAAAATCGGCGGTCAGTTTTCCGTCCTCGTGCTTGGCTGACAGACAGTCTGATAATATGCGTTTCATTTCGGGATCGCCGATATTTCCTCCCAAGAGGGGAAATACAGACCAGACATCTACAGAAGGCTAGGTAGACAACCCCCAAGCCTCATTCTGACACATCCTGATCCCTCAACACTCAACTCAAAGCCCTCCGCTCCCGCGCGTAGCCCAGACCAAAACAGAAACAAAACGCTCCAACGATGAACTTGGGGATGTAGATGAGGCCCCCGAAGGCGCCGAGCTCGTCGCCGGGGAACTTGACCTCTTTACACGCGACCTTGAGCATGGCCGCGACGCGCGGAGTCATGGGGTCCGAGCCGTTGCTGGTGGTGGTTGTTGATTGGAAAGTTAGCAAGTGTCCCCTTTTCGGTAGGGTTGATTCTATAGTGTTGTGTGAAGTAGAAAAGTGTGTGTTCAGACGAGGAGAGGGAGCACAGAGAGTGAAGCAGGGGCAGAGAAAGGCAGGGACAGATAATGGAAAGACAGGAAGAGACTCACTCGTCCTCGCCATCTTTCGCCTTGCGGTCCAAGTGGTGGATGCTGGCTGTTGCCAATAGGTTAGCGTGTGCGTGTGCAATGTGTGCAGGTTGCAAAGTGTTTCAAGACGGGGGGGAAGGCAAGAGTAGACCAAGGAGAAGCAATAGTAGACCAAGGAGAAGCAAGAGGAGACCAAGGAGAAGCAAAAGTAGACCAAGGAGAAGCAAGAGAGAAAAGCCAGGGCAACGAAACAAGACAGAAAAGAAACCCACCAGTCCTTGCCGCAGAGGCAGCATTTATCCCGGATGATGACGGCCGGGCGCGCAATGTCGGCGACGATCTGCTTGAGCGGGAAGTCAGGCGCGATGCCGACGGCGACGCTGGCGCTGTTGAGCTTGAGAAAGCCGCGCGGGTCGTCGAGGACCTAGACGCCGGCCTGGCCCAGGGACGCCTTGTCTATCTCGTTGTACGCAGGGTCCTGGACGTGGCACTGGAACGCGCTGCTGCTGCCGCCGTCGTCTTTGTTGGCGGCAGTGTTATTCGAGTTCTTCGCAGTAATGTTGGCGGCAGCGTTCGAGGCGTCCGCAGCAGTAGCAGCAGCAGTCGAGGTCTCCGCAGTAGTAGTAGTAGCAACAGCAGCAGCAGCAGGGCAAGGATTAAGGCGAGGAGCTGCGGTTGCGGCACGACGAGCAGCAGCCTGACGAGCAGCAGCCTGGCGAGCAGCCATGGTCGCGCCACGAGAGGCGTGCGGACGGAGTGGAGCGTCGGCCTTCTTCCTGTCGGCGAAAAAGTCGTGCAGCGTCAGCAGCGCCGCGTGCTGCGTGTTACGGCGGCGGCGCTCGCTCTCGTTGTCCCAGCCCGAGAGCGAGCCGAGCGCGAAGGCGACCATATTGCTGATGTCGGCCGACATGCTGCCCGACTACGCCTGCAGTGTCGACTCCAGCTCGCGGCGCATGCGGTTGGACGGCCACTTCTTGGCGACGCCGAACTTGACGACCACCTCGGCCTGCGTGCGCGCCTTGCCGCCGCTGAGGCTCATCGTCTCCTTGGTGCCCCGGTCGCACAGCCCAGCCACCTGATAAATGCCGGTCGTGAGGTAGGCAATGTCGGGCAGGTTTTTCGACTCGTAGGTCTGGGCGCGTTCCACGAGACCCTTGTAGCCGCAGTACTTGATGAACGGCCTGGTGCTGGGGTGAACAAGTCAGCAAAATACTCTGGATAGGGGAGGGGGAGGGGGGGAGGGGGGGAAGGGAGGGAGGGTTGTTGCTTACATGACAAGGTCCGCAGCGGAATCCTCCTTGTTGTCGCCCATGTTGCGGAGTCCGTGAGCCCAGGGATCGTGAACAGCTCCTAGCGAGAGCGTGAATTTGGTGGTCTTTCCGCGGATGTCTTTGACCTGAACCTGCATGTCGGGATTGCCATAGAGGGTGATCTTCTCGAGACCCTCGTCAATCATTCGCAAGTTCGCCATGGTGTAGTTCGCCATGGTGAAGAGGTGCTTTCCCTGGGCCACGTGGTTGTTGGCGTTGGCTACGATGGTGCAGCGAGTCTCGACGGGGCGGCCGCCTGAGGGCACGATGTTGGCCGGGGCCAGCTCGAAGGGGTGGTGGCAATCGGCGTAACCCTTGACTTGCTGGCCAACCCTTCCTTTCAACTCTTGGCAGGGGCAACTGTTACGATGACAATCCTTGCAGTCCTCGTCGCGGCAGCAGTCGGCCGGAAAGGCAATGGGTTTTCCGCAGCAGAGGCACAAATTGGCATGGCGATCGTGAAAAGCCTCCTGGCTGAGTGTGGTCAGAAAGTTTGACGGGTCGAATGAGCTTGGATAAGTCAGGGGCGACGACGGCATGGGGCGGTCAGGGCCGCGCGAAACATGAACAGGGTACACGCGAGACTTGCGGACACAGCCGTTCTGGCCAGAAGACATTGTGTCTTGGTGTGGAATTCTGGGTTGAATTTGTGAAAGGGTGCGGTGAATTCGCAGTGCGCAACGACTTGATGATCTTGACGGCGAGAAGCTCACAAAGTGAGGAGTTGAGGTGGAAAGAGTGCAGGTTACGAGGGAAATTTTCAGTCTGCGGTGCCGAGCGACAGGTGAAGTTGTAAGTAGGAAGTAGAAAGCGGGAAGCAGGAAGTAGGAAGCAGGAAGTAGAAAGCAGGAAGTAGGAAGTGGGTCGGTCGGGGCGGTAGCTAAGGTACGCAGGCAGAAAAACCTGGGGACGAAGGGCCTGACACTACAGACGAGTTGGCTTGGGGCACTGCACCCTATTTAAGCATTGCTCCAGAGCTTGGACCTGACTGTCAGAACAAATGCCCTCCAAAACTTCACTTTTCTAGCCTGATTAGGTCTGCCTTGTGAGTCATGGACATGTCCTGCCAGTTTCCTTTTTCCCTTTGCTGGCCCGTACATTTTCATGGGTAAACGCGAGCTATCGGGCATGCTAGTGTAGATCAGTGCAAATCGGAGATCCAGTCATCTTCCATTCATCATCCAGTTTCATTGCCTAGGTAGGTATTCAGTTTGCTGTCTCACAGGGTCACCTATTTGACGGCCGTCAAAGAGGCAGAGCAAAAAAGCTGCAATACACAAGGTGACTCGTTTGACGGTCGTCAAGGTGTTAACAGAGGCTCGTAAGCTGCTCAGTGCTAAACCATTCTCCACAATTTCAATGCCCTATTCTATACTCTATCAAAGAGATAAAGCGGGTCTTAAGCTATTCAGTGCTAAACCATTCTCCACAATTTCAATGCCCTATTCTATGCTCTAATATGAAAGCGATAAAGAGGGTCTTAGGCTGCTCAGTAGCTGAATCGGTCTACATAGTCTTCCGCGTTTCATCCTCAAACGAAAGAAAACTAGTCGCTTGGTGAGGCATGTTTGTTAGTTACACCAAATCGGGCCCTAGCGTTTTCCGGGTTCGGATACCGCCTTCCCCAGGGTGTCGGGCGTCGAAGAAAGATGATCGTTCCTGCGCTGGAAGGTTGCCACGTTGTTTCCTCCTCACACTAGTTCATATGCCCACATTCAAAGCCCCCATTTTCTTGCGTTCGCTTTTCCGCATATCTAGTCTCTGAGAATGACTCCATCATCCGTTGTGTTGCAAGTGGCGCTGCCGCGATCGTGCTGGCGTTTGGATCCCAAAGCGGGTCGTCGTGTGTAGAGCGCGGGCTCGATTCAGTCAATCGAGACACTGAGATGAGGTCTAGACTTCAGAATACCACTCGGCATTCTGTTCAACTCGGATAGTTCAAGTCTGGTACAAAACATAACCGCATTGGGTTGGTAATTATATGCGTGACCAAATGTAGGGGCTGATTAGTTACTATATTATCAGTTCCCCTTCGCCAAAGACGCCGTCCAAGTCCACGACCAGAAACCAAAGCTATCAAAACCACTGGTACAAGAAAAAGTTCATACAAGGTTGTGCTGGCCTCGCAATTGTTCGTCCAACGTTGCAGACCCCAGGTCTGCAGCATCCGTTTCGCAGCAACCAAAGACAATGCATTTGGACCACTGGCGCTGAACTCCTGATGTCATCCTGCCGATGATTTTTCTATCGCACATCGCAAATCCCACTCCACCTCGTGCAGTTTCGGCGAACTTGATATCTGGCAGCCGGTAGACTTTGGCAGCCGGTAGACTTTGGCAGCCCTAGTCTTGGGGGGTTCCCAGCAGGTGAGGTGGATTATCTCTCGGTGGCCCTCGGCGCACTGGATCTGCGCGATGCCATCCGTAACACGCCCATATCTCTCCAAGCGTGCCCTTATATCATCGCAAGTGTATCGGAGCCGCGCGAATTGTAGGGGGCTGTAGCATTGGAGCCGCGCGAATTGTTGGGGGCTGTAGCATTGGAGCTCCAGGGTCCGGATAATCAGCTTCGCTATTGCCAGTTGCTGGGGATTATTCGGCGCCGGGTCGGCGGAGTCGAACTGCGCGGCAGATTGTAACCAGCTTGTCAACAGAGGACGAACCGCGTTGTCGCAGCGGTGATGCCAGTCATCAGACCACTGAGCGATCTGTTGGTTGGGTATTTCGTCGTCCTCGTATTCGGGAAATGCACGGCCGATGGCTTGAAGAAATGCGGGCATATCACTGCCGGTAACTGACAGGATCTTTGCGACAGATCGGCAGAATATATCGGAGTACCTGAGGTTCTCGTTAAGGTTAAAGTAGTCCTAGTCTATGGCCATGCCCACAAACTGGACTGTTGGCTGAATTCTTCCGTCTTTGATGACAGAAGGAGCCGCGTGGATGCCGATGAACCGGCAAATACCGAGATCCCAGGTAAGTCGCGAATGGGGAGGCAGCCACAGAGCGCCTGGTTCCGGCTCCGTCACACCCAGTGGTATCATCGGGAGCGGAGATTAGTCCCCCTTGGCCATGGATTGAACCGCAACTCGATACATGTAGATGAAGGGGTCATTTTGGAATTCCGGAGTGACACCGATCAGCACAGACAATGCCTTGAGGTGTTGATCCCGGTCCCAGTCTAGTCCGGAACCGACGCAGTGCAGCGCGGCATGAAGCGTGTGAGACTTCTCCGGCAATCTCCACCACGACTCGAGGTTGAACAGGGTGCTCTTTGCCATCTGATACGTCTTGGCTGCCAGGTTTGCCATGGGGTCGCTGCCGACGGGGTCGTCGTCCACTTGACTGATCATGAACGGAGGGCCATACAGGTAGTTCCTGGTCTTCCTAGGCATAAGTTTGAGAAGGTGGGACGCCCTGAAAACCGCGAGGCCCTTGCTGATGATTATGACGTCACGGGCCCGACAGTAGGAAAGCCTCACGGGCAAGCTCTTGAACCAGCCGGAGCTCAGGGAGCTCAGCAGCCCGTTGTAGAACCTTGACGGCAATGCCTCCCAGGGTTCGGACAAGGCCACGAGGGAGGCCGAGGGCACGTCGTACCAGTGGAGAGCAATAGGGTGGAAATATCTCCCGGGTCTGAATGAGCTGTCGCAAAATCTCCCCACCTTGGGGTGCCAAAAGGCAATACTCAGATAGCCGTGCAATATCTCCAGGTCACAGAAGTCTCTGTATTCTGCGAGATGGGGATGGGAGGCTTGTGCTGGTCGACGCAACCAAGATAGTGGTTGATGAAGCGAAAGGTACAGACATCAAAGCTAGGGTGTGTGATATCATCCTCTTGCTGGACGGTCTGCGACGATGCGAGCTGAATGGTTCGGCAAATGCTGTTCTCGTAGCCTGGGGTAAACTCAAACTCCTTGCTACAAGTGTGGCAGGCAGAATCCATACCGTTGCCCCAGACGGAGTCCAGGAATTTGGACTGCCGAAACTTTCGCTCTTCTTTGCCAACAAATATCGTGTATAAACTCTCGGCCTCATTTGGAGTAGGAGCCTGAGTTGCAACTTGGCGGGCGGCGGCCTGATTGTCACCTCGTGCCTGTGGGACGACTTCGTCTTCACCCTCGTCCTCCGACTCGAGCACGATGTAAATTTCACTGTCAAGGCTGCTCGGGGCGACACCGCTTGACCGCGATCGCTTAACACCCCGCGGGGCTTCACTGGGAGCCATTTTCGATCGAGCCGAAAATAGCAGAGAGCTGGTTGCTTCCGTGTGAGGCGGACTGCAGCTGCCAATTCCAGTTGCGGGTTAAGATTTAGTTCCGATTTCGCAATGCTGAGTGCCAATGGAGTTTGGTGGCGGAGTTAAGGGTTGCGACGTGAAGATCTGCCGCTGCAATGACCGTGTCTGGAGTGCAGAAAATGTTGAACGTTTGGTTGGCATGGGGGCTACCCCTGAGGTGGGTGAGGGGAAAAGGTACCAGACCAGAGGTTGGTAGGGAAAAAAAGTCACCAAAACCAACCTACTGTGGGGGGTGATATGGTAATTCCACAGGCTCTAAGGCGTCGTGACTTGGCCGCCTAGCACGTTTGCGGCGAAAAGAGAAAGATCATTCCCGACACTGCAGAGCGGGAATAGGACCGTAGAGGATAGAAAGGTGTGATGCAAAAAAGGATGATGCAAAAGAGGATGATGCAAAAAAGGATGATGCTGTGACTTTGGAAAGAAGTCTGGTGCCAAACTCGAGCGGGAGAAAGACGGAAGGTCGCGCACGAAATTATTGCCAAGATTCGTGAATAGATAGAATTCGTAAAGCAAGGAGCTGGGTAACGTCGTCTCCGTCTATGGTCTTTGACATGAACCACCCCACCCGCCCCCATAATCAAGACCACCCTGGTCTATGCAAACCCAAGCGCTCGTACCTCAGTACGACATATACCACATATCTAACGTGAAGCCCGTGGCAGACGGCTTCATGATGCCAAACGCAAACACGTAGTTCATCCACCAAAAGCCCTTGGAGCCCGTCTGGAACGACGCGCGCACGAAGACGTTCCCGTTGGCCTCGCGCGTGATGCCCGACATTTGCACGTAGATGTTGGAGTTGTCCATGGCGCGGATGTGCGCGCGTGTGTCTGACAGCGCGTAGCCGTTGCTGGTTTGTATGTTCCAGTCTTCGCCGAGGGCCAGCATTTTGCCTTTTTTATGCGTGTTAGTGACTGTTCATCTCATTTTGCAAATGTCATTCGAGAAAGAAAAGTAGATCACGTACCAGCAATATTCGGCCCTAACACGGCGCCCCCGATCACGGGAATCACCGTGACGTTGCCCGCTGGAATGGCGCCCACGTCCACTGAAAGGCCGACCGTGACGTTGGCGCTGAACAGATACTGCACGCCGGGTGGCGCCGGGGTAGCCGAGCCGGCGCCAAGCACAGGCCTGACGAGTGCGCTCGCGAGCGTGAGAATGGATAACAGATGCATCGTGAGCTGGGGTGAGGAAATGTGACACGACCGAGCAATCACAGCTGGAAGGAGGCGAGGTGAGGGGCTTGTCTATTATGGCCTGGAAATTTGTTGACGTTTCCGGCCGGCACCATTCCCGGTAATGGGAGAGGACTCGGCTCCGCGGCCTGCTAATCGTGCCGAAGGATTCCAGGTTCGGCTGGCAGAGGGGGTCGATAGCTTGGTAATAATACGTTACACCGCATCGCGTCTACGGATTAGCCGGATTTGCTCTATCTAAAAAGGGGCACGAGGAGGGCACGAGGAGGGACTGCTCGTGGCAGAACCCGGACGGGGCCTGAGTCTCAAAAGGGGGATGGTGATAATCTATCAAGATCATACCTTAGATGTGTCAGACAGGCCAGCGGAGCGCTTCTCGCTCCGGTCCCATATTGGTTCGGATAGAAGACTCATTACCGAACCCGGGCCTTTTCCTGGGCCAGTTCCTCTGTCACTAGCTTGTCGACAATATTTTCGAGATCGAGAAGATTAACCTCGACGATACAAAGCTTACAAGAAATGAAGCCTTGTTGTTCTCACGGCATCAAGAGTCGCGGCGCTGCCGATGATTCGCCGTCCAAGTGTCATTGACCGAAGATATTATTGCGTACCCTATAGGATTAGGGCGTGCCTCCCAGGATTAGGGCGTACCTCCCAAGATTAGGGCGTGCCTCCCAGGGTTAGGTCCCAGGGTTAGGGCTGTTGGCTGGCCTACAAAATTATTTGGATGGCGTCGGAAGACTGCAATTGCCGGTGCGACCAGCTGACATCTGCTGTCAAGATTCCTCCAGTGGGCGGCGTTGCGGTGGATATCTGGGGCCCTGATAGGGAATTTTATAGGGTAGCACTGCCAAGACATTATCCAAATGGGATAAACTGCCAAAGATTCGCCCTCCTTTTATCCTACAGGGGGGGAAAGACATGCCATCCTGTCATAAACAGTCTAGGTTGGTAATTTACGGGTAGAAGGAGAAAGATGCTCGCTTGTCTCATCCTTGCTCGGCGAGCTATAATTAACTCACCGTCAAAGTATAAAAAATAGGTGGAAGAACCCCCGCCTCCGAAAACGTGGGACGCGTGCTGTGGTGCTTGGGTGGCAGATCGACAGGGGCGGAGCCGTTACCCGCGTGAATGGGGTAGATCGACACATATATTAATTAGCCTTGGCCTCTCCCCACGAACGCCATCAGTGCTGTGAATGTAGGTACCGAGGCTACGTCCCCTCGTGTCACCCTGCCTCGACCTTAGATAGTAGCCCCGCGTCGCAACGACAGCCGATAATGGTTTGTTAACTCCTTAAACATTGGGGGGTCGATGAATTTTGTACCCTTTTGCTCTCATTCGCCATCTGCCTTCGATGGTTTGGCATTGGAATATGCTACTTTCGGGCTGACGCGTCCCGCACACATACCAGGATGCGAGATAATAAACAAGTGCTGCTATAAATAGGCTGCATCTGAAGCGACCGAGATATCATCAGTGCACCGTAGTACGTGCACACCGTGCTGCGTGCCATTGTAAACCTGATAAGACTCCAGAGATCGATTCATTAATTAGGGCTCCAGAATTGCAGACAATGGGGAGCTACCCAATTAAGCCAGTGCCAAAAGTCACGTGGCTCAACTCGCGCGAGCGACTAATCACTAACTGTAACGTTGCTGGACGGTAGTAGCTAGCATCATGATCTCGGCCTCAGCCGAGATATTCCGACAGTGGGAAACCCTGCCAGGAAAGCGGCTCGCCAGAAGTGCCAAGTTTTCTAGAAAGACGGAGAAGATGTATAACAGCCAGTACAGTCAACAGGGAGCTACCAGAAACCAGGGCGTCCACCCAGCTCACCCAGCTCACCCAGCTCACCCAGCTCACCAAAGCCGCGAAATCCAAACATGGCTCGCGCTGCCTGGTGGCTCCTGCTCGGAGCCTACTGTCTCGCTGTCGGTGCAGAAACATTACACCCCAAGCTCAACAACACGGGCATCGACGAAGCCACATTCAACCCACCAATTCCCGTCTGGAAGCTGGACCCGTACAGCCCGCGCGCCGGCCGCATCGGCGCCGGCCTTGCCGCCGCTGACGTCGCCTACCTCTCCTACCCATCCCAAGATCCCTGGTACTCGGCGCCGGACGGGTGGGAAGCCGCAACACCGGGCTCCGTGCTGAAAGTGCGGCACCACGCGTACAACAACACGGCAGGGCTCGCGATCCCCCACGCGCGCGACACGTTCCAGGTGCTATTCCGCTCGACCAACAGCCAGAAGAACGCCACGTGGGCCGTCACCACCGTGTTCCTGCCGGCCAACCCCCGCTGCACCAACTCTACCCTCGCAAGTAACTGCACGCAACCGATCCTCTCGTACCAGCTGCCGTATGACACGTCATGCCTCGACGCCAGCCCGAGCTTCGGGCTGCAGTTCGGCGAGCCGTACGGCGAGATCGCCGCCGCGCTGGCGCGTGGCTGGTGGGTGTCCGTGCCCGACTACGAGGGCCCGCTGGCGTCGTATGGCGCAAACATCGTCGCCGGGTACATCACGCTCGACTCGGCACGCGCGGTGGTGAACGTCAGCGGCAGCACCGAGTACGGGATGCGTCACGCCCGTGTTGCGCTGTGGGGGTACTCCAACGGGGCGTCGGCGACCGAGACGGCGGCCGAGTTCGCGGCGGCGTACGCGCCGGGCCTGCAGCTCGCGGGCGCGGCGATCGGGGGGCTGGCGCCGGACGTGGCGGCGGCCGGGCCGCAGCTGTCGCAGACGCAAGTGGCGGGGCTGCTGGTGCAGGGGCTCATCGGGGTCACGTCGCAGTACCCAGAGCAGCGGGCGTACCTGGTCAGCCGGCTGAACCCGTCGGGGCCGTACAACGGGACCGAGTTCTTCTGGGCCAGCTACATGAGCGGGTGGCAGTCGCTGCTGTACTTTTGCTACGTCGACATCTTTGCCTACTTCATCGGCGGGCAGGCGGACCTGCAGGACGTGCGCATCGTCAATATGTTCCTCAAGGAGGGCACGCTGGGCCGGTTTGGGTTGCCGAATACCAAGATGTTCGTCTACCATGCTCTCGACGACGACATGGCGCCGATCAAGGACACGGATGCGCTGGTAGAGCGCTTCTGCGGCGACGGGGCGAATGTCTTGTATCACCGCAACCATTGGGGGGGACACAATGACGAACTGACTAATGGAAGACAACGGGCGTTGGACTTCCTCGGCGATGTTCTGGACGGGACGAATATTTTGTCGGCTCCTGCAACCGGGTGCCAGACGGTCGATGTGACGTTCATGCAGGATCCGAATACACCGATTGCGTGATATGGGCGGTAATTAATGAACGCGTTGGCCAAGAAGTGTCGGTATCTAAACACGCATCCGACGAATGGTTGCCAGCCACATTCTGAAACCTTCGTAAAATGACACAAAAGGTCTAGCAGTCTCCGTGTACTTGGCCTGACCCCCGTCTCTCACTCCATCGCATTCTCTTCTTACCTAGAAATCCACCACTTTCCCACCAAGTTCCCGCTTGAGCTTTTGAAATCGTGCTGCATATTGAATCATGGTCTCATCCCAACGCTTCTCGTCATCACCGAAAAGTTCATACGCCTTTGTCCCAACTCCACTCCAGAACTTGAAGTTCGGCGGCTCGTCACCAGATTCCGAGATATCAGCCTCACCTCTTTCCACCAGTTTAGGCTGCTCAGTGAACCGGCGCACAAGAAGCCAGTCGACTATCTTTGGAAACAGGCGCGCGGCCGTGATGGCGCTGTGGTTGCCCGTCTCCTTGGAGGAATACGCCAGTTTTGCGCCTTTCCGCACAAGAAATCTGACCGATTTGGCAGCCCCAGCTGAGCAGACAGCCATCAACGGCGTCCCCCGCCAGTCTTCTGACTCGATCTCGCAACCGATGCTGATCAATGCCTCGATCAGCTCCACTGAGTCCGTGAAAGCGGCGTCTGATAGAATATTGCCGAGACAGGCCGGAAATGTAGATATGACTCTATCCTCTCTTCAGGGTACCGTCTATGAAGCACGCGCGTAATATATGCGACGTGAGCAGTGCTTTAGGCCACTAAAGTGCTATGCGTGGCCATCTTAGCGATCAACCCGAGGCCACCGAGGTCTATGCCAGAGTGCATAATATAGGCTGTTGAGCCTTTGTTCTCACAAAATGCAATCTGAGCCGCTGTAAAATCATGTTGTAATGAAGCAAATGGGTCCGCCCCTTTGGTGCAGAGGTACGAAAACACTGCTAGGTGCCCAGATGCTGATATCAATAGGATATAGTGGGCCAGATGCGCAGTCAGCGCCGATCATCTGCAATCAGCTGCATGGTCTATACCAGGGCACTAGTGCCGTCGCTTTGTTCGCAATCGATATCGGCACCATACTCCTCGACCAGCTTTCTCACCACATTTATCTGCCCTGCCCACGCGGCAGCCATCAGGGGTGTGTCGCCGATCAAGGTTCGCTTGTTGACCAATGCGCCGGCACGAACTAGACGGTCGATAATGTCGCACTGACCCTTCGATGCAGCTAGATGAAGTGGTGTGCAAACTAGACTGTCTGTATCCTCGAGACTGGCGCCAAGTTCAATTAAGGCATCAACACCTCTCGAATCAGCCGCTTCGATTGCGCATAATAGCGGGGTTGGATTTTTGGAAGTGGAATCTCTTGAGTTTTATTATCCGGCTCTGGATTGCTGTCGCTTGGGAACGAGAGTTCGCATTGCCGATACTTGGAAATCAGGATGTTAGCGGCTACTGAGTAGAGGTGATCCAAGTTTTCTTTCACATACCCTTTGCTCTGGATCAAAGAAATCAACTCTTGAAGTGTTGAGAGACTGGTTTGTGATAGCCACGAGGAAAAGAAGGTGAACGCGCTGGGGCTGGCCATGGCAATTTAGAGAAATGTAACGCCGTGTTCTTCCCTTGTATCTATTATGTGATTGTGAACGGTTGTAGGCGAACGACTGGTCCCATTTTCAATGAGCTAGCTAACAATGTTGAAATGTTCAAGCTGGGTTGCGAGCAACAGCGGAGTACAACTGTGACAGCTGGGGAGCTTGCCGCTTAAAGAACATCCTTGGCTGTGTAGTGCTCGGCAAGCTTCAAGGTCACCCTTCTCAATAGCGTGCTCGAGCGCAGTGACTAGAGCAATGGAGCTTCGCCAATTAGTGGAGGAGCTCTTAGCCTGCGGGTCACTCTCCTTCCCAATAAACAACGAGATCATGCCCTCAAGTCCGGTTCGATAGGCGTACATCAGAGGAGTAAGTCCTTGCGAGTCCTCGCAGTTATGTTTAGCCCCGTGTTCCAAGAGCGCCTTAGCTGCCCTGACTTGTTCGAAGCGCGCGGCAAAATCCAAAGCCGTACTCCCGTCAACAGCTTGAACATTCAAGTCGGCCCCTCGTAACAGAAGAATGCGGACCATCCTTGAAGATCCATCAATGGCTGCTAAGTGCAGGGCAGTGAGCCCTTCGCTTGTCGGAATTTTAATATCTTGCACCAAATTATGGTCTAGTAAATATTTAATGACGTCGCGGTAACCGTAGGAGGCAGCCAAATGAACTGGGCGGAATTTATTGATACTTTTCAGTGTTGGATGCGTTCACCAATCTGTGGCAGTTTCCCACAAATTGTCTTTCTCGTCGATAAGAAGCCGGAGCTCTTCAAGGAATTGGATTTTTCCAGTGGTTGCTGCTAGTTGAACCACAGTGGCCCCGAATGAAGATAGCTGCTTGAAGTTGGCTCTCGACTCAAGCAGTATTACTGGAGAGGTGTGGCAGAGCCCATCCATGAGGTGGTAATACAGAAGAGAGCACCCAGCCCTATCAATGTAGTGGTTCGGATCGGCTCCAGCCTCAAGTAACATTGCCAGCTTTTCAAGGCGAAATGGAGTTTCGAATGTTGCGAGAGCCGCACTCAAGGAGTGATTTCCTGAGGAAGGGCATCGCTCGTCCAGTCGTGCCTTATCTGCATGTTTTAAAATGAAACGAAACATGACAAGAAGGAATATCTCAGCCGAGAGGCAGAGAAACTCTAGCGCAGACCTAGACTTTATCCGCCTGTGCAGATCATAACCTTTGGCAAGCAGAGCCTCAACGAATTTTGTTGAGGACTCTTTGCATGCCCATTCCAGACAAGAGAACACCACGGGGTCTTGTTCGATTTGTTCGATGTGCTCCGTCGTCTGAAGGGCCTGGAAGAGTATCTCCACGATCCACGATGTACGGTTCTGAAGATACGCACTTGAAATCTGGCTTATTTCGTGCGCAAGTAATATGAATCCGGATTTTCCAGAAAGGCCTTCGTACCTTCTGAACTCTCCAGAATTGATAAGACATTGGGCGACATCTTTCAACCATGACTTTGCTTCCCCATTCTTGCTTCTCTTGATGTGGTTTTGGACCACCATCAAACAGAAGTATTCCCACGTCGTCTTTCGTTCGTTGTCAAGAGTTGGTATGACCTGCAGTGCTAGTAGCCCCCGCAACACGTCAATATTAGGTTCGTCCCCCTCGTCGTAGGTCTCGGTATTTCCCGACTCCGTAATGTTGTCCCACAAAAAGAGCTCAGCAGGATTTCTACCATCGGCGCGACGGCCATAATGGTATATGGGTTTCAAAGCTTCCAGGGACCCAAAATCAGCAGTCCTAGGAAGACAATGTAATGGGGTATTGCCGTCTTCCAGTTTCAGGTTTGTCTCAGCGCCGGCTTTCAGGAGGGCAACAATGACATCCTCTGAACCCCACGTTGCAGCATGTATCAAGATGGGCTCATCACCACAGAAGTACTCTTGGTCGTGTGAGCAATGTTCTAACAATAAGAGTGACGCTTCCAAAGACGTGCAGAATATTGCTTCGGCTAGAGGGGTTCGAAATTGCTGTTGACCACTCGTAGAGCACGGTCTGGCTGGTCGACTGTCGCCAATAGATGTCGGAGAATGACGTGTGAATTTTCGGCTGCCGCAAGATGCCAAATCGAGTTGCCCATATTGTCCCTGGCAGTTATATCAGCCCCATGCTTAACTAGTAAGATGAGCATGTCCTTCAGCGAGTTTGCGGTGCAACAAAGCACTGGGGTTTTCCCGTGCGGATCCTGCCGGGACAAGTCGAAATTGAGGTTGAGAAGAATATCCACAACGTCTAGTGAGGAATATAAGCAGCCAGGCGGAGAAGGTCAGGGGGGTCTTTAGTGTTCTCCAGGAATGACTTGACTTTTTGGTCTGCGGCAAGTGTTGTCAGAGAGTCTCTGTCATTGTGACGAACGGCGGATTCGAGCGCTTCGATGAACTCTGGGTCTTCATTTGACAATAGACTCGACTGTGTAGCCTCAGCTAAGTCTGCATATTCCCAGCCATTAGAGACGGCAATTTTCCACGCCGCTTTGTAGAGACCAGGGGTGGGTTTGTATTGTTCGGTCGGAGGACGGATAATTCCCATCAACTGTTGGAGAGAACCACGCAGCCGAGATGAAAACTCGTCGTTTCCCGATTTCAGCTTCGTCGACCACTCTAAGGCTAGTAACTCGAAGTGGGGAAGACAGTCGTCACATTCCATTCCGGCCTACATCAAAGCCCTGAAAATAGAAAAGTCTCCAATCCCAAGACCGACAACAAATAATATTCCCGCAAGAGCTATCGTCATATCTGTGCCTATACTTCGTACTTCGGTAATTGGTTCAGCCCCGGCATCGAGGAGGAGTGAGACAATTTGGTTGATGGACTGGGAAGGGATGTCGCGGACCTGTATTTTGAGATCCATGATATAGTCTTCGCTGTAGCGTCTCCGTGTGACGAAAATCACAGGTCCTGTTATTGCGCAGACCAACGGGGTTTCGATGTCGGCCCGCGTGTTGACTTTGTCGCCTCTATTCAGAATGTGGTTGCAGAGGCGCAGAGAACCCAAGAGAGCGGCCATGTGGAGTGGGGTGAAATCTTTCCGAAGGACCGCTAAAATGAGCTCCAAAAGGGCATCTGGGGTTGCCTTATCAGGAAACATCCGGAATAAGTGATTATAATTTGGCGCACGTCGGACTCGGTAGTGGCGCCCAAACTCTAGGGACCACGCCACGAAGCATTTTGTTCTTGATCAAACAATACTATCGCGTTTGAGAAAACAAAATCGTCAGCCCAATGTTCTCGCGCGGCATGATGCCACCGCATTGCAGCATACTCGTAGAAAGGATGTTGCTTGGCCCGCTTGGACAAGAACCGAAGCTCCTGGCGACCGTCTTCAACTGGCGTCCGCGCAAATTCGGCCGCACATAGAAATCGAAGGCCGGCTATGGCAAGCATGCGAGTAGCTTTCAACGAGGACAGTTGGTATGGCGCGAGATGCGGCTGTGTCGTGTCGATATTCTCCAGGAACTCCTTGCCGGAGAAGTGGGCGAACTGAAAGTGCTGGCCGTCGTTGGATTTTCGAACCAAACTGCCGCAACTGAATGCAACCTCCCTTTCGTCGACCGAATCATCGGGATCCAACGATGCCGGCTTGCTAGCTAAGCCACCATCTCCGACCGAGATAGCCTCGCAAAGCTCCGCAATGGTCAGAGGGGGTTCGGCGAACGCAGTCCAAAGAAGCGTCTTTTGCACAACGGTGCGAACGTGTGCATTGCTCTCGCTCACCCGTTGGAGAATTCTGTTGTAGGTAGCACTCAGGCCTGGCGGTAATTGGGTCAAGGCCTTTCGGCGGGCTTTGTCCGTAGGAAGCCGACAGAGTTCGCCAATCTGGCAGCTAACCCACCGGAACCTGTGAAACAACTGTTGAGGACTGAGATCAAAAAGCAAGGGTAGGGGTAGTCATACATGCCGTCGGCGTGGGGGACCAAGTGGTCAATGATCTCATCTTTGTGACTTTGTTTTTCGATTCGCAGCAGCTAGTTTCGAATCCGTTTGTCGACTTCAGATGCAGTATATACTAGCAGATCTTCAGTATGCGCTGCGATTTGTACACTGGTGAAGTCGTGTTGTAGTTGGCCCCGGATTAGATCTTCGTCACGGTTGAATAAGGCGATATTGATGGCGCCACCCACCACCGGATCATGAGTCGATGTGTCCACCTGAGTGACAAGGGACTTGAAGAGATGAACAACGTTGGAGACCTGGTTATCGTTTCCGCACTCGTTAATAGCATCAATAATAATGAATGTCTCGTCGAACTCGCACGCCATTGCCTTGACGAGGTCGACAAGCTCGTCCGCGTCAGGGCTGAGGTCCAGTCTGTTTGTTGGGTGTAGTTTGGCATAGTACTGGTCCAGAAGTGAAAAAGCCTCATCGTTTTGTCGCGCAATCTAGGAAGCCAGTGCGCCTAGTATGTTGGCCGGATCACCGCTCCGCGGGTCTGCGTAATCGCAGAAGAAGAAAGCAATGGCCGTTGACGATGTCTCGCGCTTTAGGACACTCTCGATCATAGCACCAGCCAGGATCGTTTTGCCGCCGCCGGGGATACCACAAAGCCACAGCTTTGAGTTGGGCACATCCAGCCACTGTTTGAAAATGGGGCCTTCTGTGAGCCAAAGGCCTGTCAAGGGGTGCCAGAGCTTCAACCTTGTTCTCAGGTTGTCTTGAGGGTTGACTAGCAGAAAGCTGGATAGAACCTTCTTGCGGTGGAAGTCCAAGTCAATGCGCGTCGAGACCTCCATGTTTCGCTGCAGGAGACCCTGGATACTCGTCATGGGCCGGTTGATTTCGTCCTGTCGGGAAAGACATTTTGCAATGGCAGCCATCGAATCGGCACCCAGAGCAAGCGTCATAGTATCCTTGTGTCGAAACAACTCTGCGAGATAAACTTCCATCTGACCGGATGAAAATGGCCATTTGAGCTTCCGCTGGAACCCGTCAGGCTTACTTGCACTCTCGAGGAAACGTTGTGTCGGGCTCGTCCTCCAAGCTAGACGCCAATAGGGAAAGGCTGTGCAGTATGCCTGCCATGGTCTTCATCTCGTCCGCGAGGGCATGAATACCCAGTTTGGCCGCCTGGGCAGACTTGATGTATTTGAAAATGAGTCTGAAGACCGAGTCGGCAAGTGTGACAAGGCCGGCAATGCTAGCAGCGACTGATATCGGATCCATGGCGAGAACCGAGCAGAGATTGTCAGCAGTGTTTGGGGAGCGCGTATGCGGTAAATGAGGACACGATGAAGTGTTGTGACGGAATTTGTGACGGAAATCCGGCAGAGGGAGAGTGTTGGTCTTGTAGCCACTGGAGAATAAGGTAGACAGGGTGACCCACCTTTGCAATCGCCCCACTTTGTAATTTTTCCCCCACACCGCCAACTTCCTACTCTCTACCTTCCACCACCAACAACTTCCTCAATACTGGTCGGAATAGGCTCAAAATACGATGGTTCGACGCGTACGAGAGCGGCTAATAGCCGAGGCTATTGAGGCTATTGATCAGGGCGCTCAGCAGAAGGAAGTAGCGCGCCTATATAGGATCCCTGAATCCACCCTCAGCAGACGACGCCGTGGACAACAGGATCCACGACAAGCCCAAAAAAAACACCCAGAAGTTAACTGACGGCCAGGAAGCCTTCGTCGCCGAGTGGGCTCTTGAGGAGGAAGCTGCAGGGCGTGCCCCAAGTCGTGCACAGCTAAGACGATTCGCACAAGCGATCCTGAACGAAGCCGGGCTCCCTGGGCGAGTTGGTGAGCGCTGGGTAGATCGGTTTTTTACCCGCAACCCCAGGGTAAAGGCCAAGTTAGGTACCTTATTAGAACGGTCTCGAGTCAAAGGATCTACCCGTGAGAGATTCCAGCATTTTTTTGATCGTTTGGAAGCTGTAATTAAGGACAAGAAGCTGTAATTAAGGACAAGAAGCTGGTACCTGCGAATATCGCCAATATGGACGAACATGGCATGCAAGAGACGGAAACTACGGTTGGGAAGGTGATTGGGGATGCCCTCACATCTCGGGCAGTCCTGACTGGCCCTGATCCAACGACCTGGGTCAGTATTATCGAGTGTGGTACCGCTGAGGGCAAGCGATTGACGCCCGTAGTGATCTTTACGGGTGAAAATCTACAAGGCCAACACTTCCCGGATAACTTCAAGGAACTACCAGTCCTCAAGACCTGGAAGTACGACTGTACGCCCACAGGCTGGAGCAATAGCAAAATAGCTCTTATGTGGCTCAAGGAAGTATATCTTCCTCAAACAAAGCCCCAAAGGAAGGACGATTGGCGCCTATTAATCCTCGACGAACACGCTACTCATATCGACGAAGACTTTATGCTTCTAGCTAAAAGAAACCGCGTACACCTACTATACTTGCCTTCACACACTTCTCACAAGACCCAGCCACTCGACCGGTCTGTCTTTTCGGCTTTGAAGTCCTATTTTCGCCAAAGAACCCTCGAATTGGCTTCCTTCACAGCCTCAGCACCTATCAACAAGCAACGCTTCCTTTTTTGCTACCGGGACGCCTCAGCGCAGGGTATGTCAGCCCGGAATATCATATCCGGCTTCCGGAAGACTGGAATCTGGCTTTTCCAACCCGCTCGTATACTTGACGACCCCGAGGCGGTCCGGGACGAAGCTGCAAAACCAGTCCCCCCATCCACACCACCCCGGAAGACCCAGGCAACCCGGAACGACCTCTTCAATACACCTCAAGGTAGTCACGACGTCCGCAGGCAACAGGGCTTAGCCAAGACGGCCACTAGTCCCCGAGATAGGGTCGTCAGGACTATGTTGACGAAGGTAGGGAGGGCACTTGATCAGAAGAATACGGAAATCGCTGCTTTGAAGGCAAAAAACGACTTCTTAGCCAACGAGTTGGAATCCAAAAAACCCTATTCACGTAAAAGGGTCAAAATAGACGCCAACGACAGATTTGCTACTATTGACGAAATTGACGAGGCTCAAAAAGCTAGTCAAAAGCCTCCCAAGAAGAGATCCAAGAAGACCAAGTCCAGGCCTGCACACTTGGTCCAGGAAGCTGAAGAAATTATCGCCCGTGGGCTTGAGCAATATAGGGCGATTGACGAGGACTAGAATGTACTTTTTTCTATAGAATTTGGCCTACAATTGAGTATTTTGACGATTCTTGTGGTGGGCGGTGATGGTGGTGGGCGATTGCAAAGGGGGGCGATTGCATAAGTGGGTCGCCCTGTCTACTGGGACGGGAACCGAGCCTCAGCGGATGAGGTACCTAATACCTTGGTTATTGGGGTACCTAATCACATTGGTTATTGGCGCGGCTTGTGGCTCAAATAGTCTCCCGGTGCCTCCTCTTGCCAGGTGAGAAAGAAAGTGCAGTCTGCCCCGCGAGACATTCTACCGTGGCATCACGTGCCGACAGTACTGATTCGAAAAGAGCCAAAGAGCCAATGACGAACCACCAAAGGCGGCCAACATAGTAGGCGAAGCACTGCGAGGTGTTGTGCGACCAACCAATGAGGTTTCCACCCGACCCTCAAAGCCCCGCCCAGAGAATGAATGCCTTGCGTGTTCTAGCCCTCAAACTGCAGCGAGAAAGCCTGCTGGGCTGCTGTTGAAGGAGCCGGAATCTGCGCGTTTGTCATACCTAATTAGTTCCATTTTTTCCCCGGATGATTATCTTAGAATAAAGGGCGATGGTGATTATGCGTCGAAAGCCGTAAGCTATTGCGTGTGTAAAAGTTAGGTTGCTTGGAGCCTTATCTAAGGTGTGGAGAACGAAATATCTGCACGGAATGGTGCACCACCACCCTGAATTTCGAGTCTTGAATTCAAGCCCCACGAGATGTGCCTGCCAGACTCAGTGGATAGATCCTAGCTTCTCCAAATCCAACACCCTTCCCACCCACACCACTCTCCGAAGTAGGATTGGGGTTGTAACCTATTTTCAAACCCGTTTTTGAATTTCACATTTCAGGACATTGTTTTCGTCGTGGAAATTCCGAGACCCGGAACTATACTACCGAATATTCTACGCAGTTGTTAGAGCAAGCAGGTAAGTTTCGGAATCGCTCCAATGACAAAATGTAGGTTACCTTGCCTTTCTATTTTTGCAACTTACTATTCCACGGGTTAATTATCGCAGAGCCAGGGGTATCGCCGACCTCGCCTCGCACAAAGATTTAGGATTTGCTTTCCGCTTTAACTCAGAGGACGTTCCAGAAAACACCTGCCCAGAAATTTCAATGCCAATGCCGATGTCTGCTGTAATGTTTAGCTGCTTCTATCGAGGAGGCACCCAACTTGCGCCACACCGCAAAGAGAAAAAAAGAGATCAGAACCACGGCCCTGAAAATCACCCCTGCGCACCCTCCGGTTCGGTCTTGTACACGTGCAGGGCGAACTTGAGGAGCAGCGCCGAGATGACGACCCTGCCGAGCTCGACATTCCCAACAGCAAACGGGTGCACGCTTGCAAGGCTGCGGCGGTATTGCGACGAGTTAAAGGGGAGGCAGGGGTACAGGAGTTTCTTCGCCCGGTGCAGGACTACCGCGAGGTCAACCATTGGGCAGGCTGTGCCAAAACAGCTCCCGGGACAGGTGTGTATCCATATGTGAACATCCGATCATTCGAAAATGACGACCCGAGAAGGTAGAATGCGATTGAAACTTACCTGCTTGATGACAGAGAGGATGGTCGATACTGTTCTGGAGCTGCTTACGTTGGAAGACGGGAAATGGGTGAATTGCATCCGAACCAGTTACTAAGTCGGGAGAAATGAGACTACCACTGGGAAGAAAGCTGACGGGGAGAGGAAGTGAATTAGACGGGACTCGATGAAGTATTTATCCTTCAATTCTGTTCGCAGCATGATGGGGGCAGGCACAACCACAACGAATACTATTGTCCCTATTCTCTAGTGTTACTCTTTCCTACGAAACTAAACCGGCGTATTGTCCTCGAGCACAATAGGTAGTTTGCACGGATTATGTGGGTCTATCTATGTGTGCAAGTAAATCGTTATCCCAGAAAAACGACATGGTCATCACAAATATGGGCGGCTATAATTCTTTGGCAATATTTATATTTTGACAATAAATATCTTCATCATCAGTGCCTTTTGCGTTTTCCTCACCCGACTGCATCCATCGGTCTTCAGAATATCTACTTAGATTTGTACAATGATGTTGAGATGACAAGATCATTCGTACGGTAGTAACTGCAGTAACTAGAACGAAAGGTAGGGGGTTGTGGTGGTTGTATTCTTCTATATCTTCTAAAGGATCACGAACTACGGTAACAGGGTGCGCAGTGGATTTGGCGATGCCGGGAGGTCACATGATGTGTGCGCCTCGTGCACGTGCCGTATAGAGGCCTATGCGCTGGTCAGCCACTGAGGCTGTACATCCCGTTGACTGGTAGTTCCTACAGAGGAGGTCATTATTAATAATTCATTACAAGAAATTGAAATGAGCTACAAAATTCGGGGGAGAAGCTCGCGTCCAAAGATCATGTTATACTCGACAACGCACATCGATGCAAGATCGCCCAGCAGCCTGACAAGGACGACTCGAGCCCACCACACCCCCGAGTCCGACAAGATCTGAACTCGAAAGTAAAACCCCGTCTTGTCGAGGCTAAAGGCAAACTACCGAAATGGCAGGAGAAGGGGAAGAAAGAAGAACCAGAAAAACATCCACAAAAACATCCACAAGGGCCACCCCCACCTGCGTCGACATGCTCACCGTCTTCCTATACTGACGACCTACTGCGTGACCATCTCTTCGCAACCACCTCCGTAATTTACTTATGAATTCCTGTCGCCCGCTGCATTCTCCCCTCCATCCTCTTCCTTCTTCGTGCCGATCTCCTTCCTCTTCCTTTTTCGTCGCCGATCTCCTTCCTCCTCCTGCTCGATCACGGACATAGCAAACCCAGATAGGCTGCCAGTCTTACTTCCGCGACATCTCCCGTCTCTCCATCGCCCACCGGCTCGGCAGGCTCAAGGAACCCAAGAAATCAAGGCTGCAATCACCGCGATCGTGCAATCACCGCGATCGTGCAATCCTCTCACCTCGACGCCCAGGACCACCTCGTCGCTCCACCCTGTGACCCCAAGCTGACCCTTTCAATCTTCACCGCCGAGGACGCCTAATGGGAGTCTATGGGGAGCTCGCCGGGGAAGATGGAGAAAGGTGATTTAGCTAAGTAGCGCCCTAGTTTAGGTTTCTAGCTCTGGGTCGTTCTTCTGGAGCGCTGCCGCGGCGTCGGCGTTCTCCTTGTCGGTCCAGGTCCAGGTTCCTGGAATTAAATTCGGGAGCCTCGATCGGTCCATTTGTGCGAACCTCCTGTTAAAAATCCTCCCACGTACAAGAAAATCTTTGCCAATGAAACCGTAACGCAAACAAGTTACCCATTTAAATGAAACAATCCGGTCCTTCCAAGCGAACCCCCCCGTATATAGGAAATGAAATCAAGCCCTCCATTTTCATGTCTTCCATCAGTCATTACACCGCCTCTCGCCAGTCCTCTGCTCATGGAGGCGTGCCAGGGGAGCCGACGTCGAGATTCGGATCAAACGTCGCGATAGCCGCGGGCTTGGCACTGGTGATCTGGGCCGGGAACGACGAGTCCTTAAGCGCGATGTTGGCGGAGCCAAAGTCGTGGGCATACAGGAGGTCGCGGATGCCGGCGGGGAAGCCGTTGTACGAGACTAGGGGGCCGCGGAACCACACGCCGAGCGCGTTCTCGACGGGCTCGTCGGCGGCCGAGGCGAAGCGGAAGCAGTGGGTGCTGGCACCGTCCTTGTGGTAGACCATCTTCGGGTGCTCGCCGTCCCAGCGCACGTTGGCGGCCGCGCGCACCTCGTAGTTACCGTGCTGCGACGCGCCGACGTACTGCGCCCCCTGGCCGTCCTTGACCCACACGGCGACGTGCTCCCAGTCGTGCGTGTGGCCGACGTCGATGAAGTAGGGCACGGCCACGTCCTTCTCGAAGTAGTAGTCGTAGATGTAGATGCACCAGCCGTTGTTGCAGCGTTGCCGCGAGTACACGTTATTGTTTTGGAGGTCTGAGAGGTCGTGGCAGTCACTGGAGGTGCCGACGAACTGGTGAGGCAGCCCCTGGACGATGTTGCCGCTGGCGTCGATGGCGGGCACGTTGTAGCAGCCGTCTGTGTCAAAGTCCAGCGACGGCTGCCACCTCAGGTCGTTGGCTGTGGCCCTTTGGGGAAGGGCGGTGGGAGGGTTGACGGCGCGCGGCTCGAGCAACGGCAGGGCAAGAGCAGAGCCGGCGAGGGCTGTGACGAGGAGGGAGGTGATCATGTCTGCAACAGAAGAGTGTGAAGTGCGAGTCGGCCAAGGTCTGCAAGCGATGAAGGAGGGAGGTTTGGACCACGGCTGAATGTCGACCGCCGAGGGCTGCTGCTTCTTATGTCAAGTGAGGGCCGGACCGCGCCTCTGCCAAGATTCGACCCTCATGACGACAGCAAACACAGCATCGTGACCTTCCTCTCCTCGACATCGTCGCCGGTCACACGTGTCTTGGAGATTGGTGGTGGACTGTGCCCGGGCCTCTGCTACCACACCCGGCGCGTGGGCAGGTCCTAGGCCGTTCAGTGCAACCCATTTCTCGTTGCATTGAGGTCATATCCTTTCTTGAACGAGACGGCCAATCGTGAGGGGAAACTAGGGAACGGGGCCGCTGGTCGCTAGGTGCCAAGAAGGGCGGCTTACAGGGGTCGCCAAGGGCAGCCCGGGATTGCTGCCGAGGTCAGAGATTGGTCCGATGCGTGGAAAATTCCAAGTTCATGCGCAACTCCGTTCCATCAGCTCGGAGTTCACTGAGGGAAAAACTACATAGTTATTTTAGTAAAAATGGTCGTGACAAAATCCGGAACAAAGTGCGAAAGAGGAAGCCGAAAGAGATAGGGCAAGAGGGTGAAGGATAATTGGCGGGGTTGATGGAGGGGTGGCAGTGACATGAGATGCTGAAGATTCCGGGTCAGTGCCCTGGCAGTTAGTTGGGTTGCAAAATCAAGGAATCAGGATTTCGAAAGGATCGATAGACGTAATTAGCTGCCCTCCGGCCCGAACCGATACGTGGTGGATTCCATTTTCGATACCGACGCGGGGAAGTTGCCAGTGGCCGTGCATGTGTGCTCTACTATGTACACTTGGTTCAACGGAGGACTGATGGTGACTTCAGCTATCTTCAGCCCGTAATTAAGGTACAAACATTTCAGGCAACAGCGCTTCACTTTCAGCTGCCCCTTCTTGATCCCTGTCACCCGTCGCCGTTGCCCGTTATCGCCAAGCATGGAGCTTGTGGGGGGGGAGCGGTGGAACCCTCAGCTGTCACCAACCGGCACCAGCTGCGCTAGCTGTGCCCTGGTCGCGACCCAGCACCAGCCGCGCTAGCTGTGCCCTGGTCGCGACCCAGCACCAGCCGTGCTAGCTGCGCCCTGGTCGCAGCAGCACCAGCTAATTCCGGCTGTTGGCTCGCACTGCTGCAGAGCTCATGCCGGCTTGGCCCAAGATCGCAAAAGCCTCATTCAACCGCCGCGGTTGACGACAACTCAAAGACATGCGGCAACGACACAGCGTCTGCTAGCCTCCAAATCCACCGCGCAGACCCTCTCGGCACAAAGATGCACTCGCACCATGACGCGCAGCAGCACAGATGGCCATGAGAGTAAAACCACGCGCGACACGAGCAGCAGCGAAAGCAGCAAAGGCAGCCCCCACACATCCCAAAACCCCCACAAATCCCAAAACCCCCACAGCCAGAACCTCCAGAACCTCCAGCAATCCTCGCTCTATCCGTATGCACCCGTCGGCATCGGCATCCTACCCGCCGTCCCCGACGCCTCGCAACTGCCCGAAAAGGCACCAAGCAGCAATGCCGCCACGGGCGCATCGGCCGCCGGCGTGCGAGCTCTCACCTCGCAGGCCGTAGCCTTCTACTTCCGCGCCCCCGTCAAGGCCTTCTTCCGCACCCGCGTCGACTACCTCGCCTACGCGCGTGCCGTGCAAGAGATGGCCCTGAACCAGCGGGCCCTCAGCCAGTTGCACCCCTTGCCCGCTGCCGCCTCGGGCTCGTCCATCTCGGGCGCCTGGCTCTGGTTCAAGCTGCGCATGCACGCCACCACGCCCGGCGTACTCGCGTCGGCCGTGCGCCACGACGGCTGGCGCGTCGTCCCCGACCACGTCCTACCGCCGCTGCTGGCCAACGTCGGCGTCGGCGCCGTGCTGTACACGAGCTACCTGCAGATCCTCGGCCGCCTGCACCCCGAGAGCTCCTTCGCCAGCAGGCGCGTGTATCCGCCGCCGGCGCCGCTCGAGACCTTCGCCGCCGGGTTTCTGGCCGGCACCATCCAGAGCGTCGTGGCCGCGCCCCTCGACGCCGTGCAGGCGCGCTACGACCTTGGCGCCCACGCCGCCGGCATGACGGGCAGCGGCAATCCCGTCCCCAGCACGGGACCCGCTACTGCTGCCGCGCTCGAGCGGCCCAAGAACATGTGGTCGTTCGGCGCGGCCAAGCTGCGCGAGATCGGCTTGCGCGGCATCTTTGCCGGCTGGGGCCTGTCGTTCCTCAAGGACAGCATGGGCAGCGCCGTCTTCTTCGCCACCTTCGAGTATCTCAAGGCGCAGGGCTACTACAGCTTCGTGACGTGGTACTACGGCGCGCTGAACCCCGACGCCGTCGTGGTCCTCTCGCGCAAGAGGCCCGCGCCGGCGACGAGGGCGGACGGCCTTGGCAGCAGCCGTGACGATGTCGCTGCTGCCGCCGCGTCGCATATGCCCACCGTCATCAGGCCGCATTACGCTATTGAGCCCACGTTCCTGCTGCTAGCCGGCACGGGTGCCTCGGTGTCGCAGCAGGTCGTGCTGCACCCGCTGTCGCACATCCAGGTCGAGCACTGGGAGCGGCTGGAGGCGCTCGACGCGCAGGTGCGCAAGATGCGGCGCGACGATAGGATGGCGTCGTCGTCGTCGTCATCATCAAAACCTGCCGGTGCTACCAGTACGACGCCCAGCAAGCAGCCGAGGTGGCGCATGTTCCAGGCGTACTGCGACGCGTACCGCCAGTCCTGGGCCAAGTGCCACGCCGAGGCCTGCGATGCCGGCCTGACCATGCGCCGCTGGCTGTACCGCGGCTTCTGGTGGAACACGATCCGCCAGGTGCCGAGTACTAGTGCGGGCCTGATTATCTTCGAGCTCGTGCGCCGCAAGTACGGCCTCGGCGCCGACCAGGTCCGCATCAGCAAGGATGGGTATGATATTCTCCTCAACTAGTTAGGGCGGTATGAGAGTGTGTGGCATGTGTTATGGTGTTGGTGGTAATTAGTGTTGTAGTTATTGGGTGCACGCATATTAGGCGGCGTTCTTGGATACAGGTTAGAATGGCTAGAGTATTTTCTTTGATGCGGAGCTTTTGGGCTAGGTTTGGGCATGCCCTTTCTTTGTTTTATTCTACTCTTTTCTTGTTAAAGGTGGCGGGAAGTACTCCAAGAGTTCTTGACCTGTAACTAGGTTCTGGGAGTGGTGTTGTGAATTCGGAATTGAACATCAAACTTCTCTCAGAACCGCAAGAAATTTTGCATCTGGCTGCTTGGGTTACGACTATGACGCAAATTCTTCTCCAGTGAGAGCTGAAAGGGTGGAGACCAGCGACTGGCTGTTTACTTACATCATTGGGCACCATTGTCAGGTTGTTATCATGATGGGAAAGATTTACTAAACTAGGCAACTATCGACCGGATTTAGCAATGTGTCTCATGTTATGGCCCATGGCTAGAAATATTCAGGGATCTCACCGGATCCTACAGCAAACACCCCCTCCCCCCCCGCGCGCCCCCCGCCCCCTTTCCTTTGGCGCCTCGCCAATTATCCGAATAACTCATTATCCCCGTCTCGTTGCGCTCTTCGTTAGAAAGGCTATGAAGCGCCATCCAAGGAAGAGCTCGGTATTTCCCAAGATGGTCACAGGATGGTCCGAATGCCGTATTGACAGTAAGTACAAGATGGCCTCCCTGATAACCCTCTTGACGATACAACATGGCTCAAGACATGTACGAATGGCTTGATCACCAGTCCTTCTCCTCTCAACCCTCCTTCTCCAAGTCAGCCACGACAAAATCAATACCTAGCTGACGGAACTGTTCGCGTGCAGTCTGGCCAGATTTGTCTTTCGACGCCCAATGATCCTCAAAGCGATTTGGGTTCTTGGACCTCATCTTGATGTCCCTGAGGTTTGGGAGGCCGTCCACTTTACGGCGCTCCCGCACAATCTCCAGCAGCTGGGACAAAATGAGACGCAGGAAGTCGGGCGACGGTGAGAAAAAGATATCCCGCGACGGTATGAAACAAGCAAGATGGAAACCACCCTCATCCCTACCCAGCGGCGAACGCCAGAGATTGATCAGGCTCAGCGTGACGAGCGAATCGGGAAGGAAACCACCGAGCTCCCAGGCGGCCTCCTTGTCTCCAAAGGAGACCAGCGTCGCGAAGTCGATCTGCAGGTGTTGAAGACATCCCATGCGGCCCAGGTCATGGATAAGACTGCTACCGTGGTTGTTGAAGTACTCGAATACTCCTCTTATGCGTGTGACGGTGAGATCCAGCCTGTCGAGACTGCCGAGACGCATGAGGGCTTTGAGATGTTGGGTCCTGGTTCGGACGGTACCTCTTTCAGTCTCCAGAAAGTCGAGCTGAAGCTTGATCACCTTGGGAGACACGTGAGGCGGTCCTCCAGAGTACGTCGACGCTCTATCGCAACGAATGTGCGCCACTAACTTCGATATGCTCTCCCCGGTCGATTCAGATTTCAGATATTTTCCCCAAAGATAGCCGTCATCGATGTGGATGAATCGGAGCTGGGGGCATAGTTGCGCCAGAAATCCTACGATTCTCATAGGGTCTCGTGAGCAGGGTGGTTCGTTTCTCAGAGAATCGACAACAAGCGACTCGAGGTTTGGTAGAAACCTGAACCCCAGAGGGGCTTTGCCAGACTTGGATGTGGCTTTGAGGATCGTGTCAATCCACCAGTGGTCGACAGTGGTCTGACGGTTCCAGTACAGCTTTTCCCGCTCGCGTGGCGTGCCCACGCTGGGAACAGGGGTTTTAGGTAGCCACTTCATCCATTCTTTGTCTGACAACACTCTTGAGGTGGTAAGATGGAGACATGTGACGTCCGGAACCATACAGAGGACGGCACCCAGTAGCCCGCCCATGTTGGCAAGGGATTGGTAGGGAGAGTCCGTGCGTGTGAAGGAGTGGATGAATGCATCGTTCTCCGAGAATGGTCGTGGGAATTCGGAACGCGCTGCGACAATGGCGGCGTGCAATTCCTCTCTCATGCTGCGCTCGAGGGAAGATGTCGGCAGCTGGCCAAGCCAGGCGAAAGAGACAACCAGGCGACGGAGGTCGGGGGCTGTGCAAATGGTTCGGAAGAAGTACAAAAGGCCTCGGCAGTCGGTGATGATGACCTTACTATAGAGCAAGATCTGGGCAGGCACCGACAGCGCTCGCCATGCTTGACAAGCGGCTCTGAGCGCGGCGCGGCTCTCGATGACATGACGTCTTGGACCTGTTTCCCGCCGTGGCATGTACCAGCGTCCGCCGGTGTGGGGTTTAAGGGTGATCGTGAGGGCGCCGGCGGGAACAAAATAGCGTAGGATATCCATAACCGTCTCGGCAGGCAATCTCAGCATAGCCGGAACAGGGCCCGATGCGGGCGACGGTGTGTTGCTCGGTGCTGACATGATGCTACTTCCTCGCCGGTCTTGGGTCTTGATGAAGAGGCGAGGTAACGACTGTGTTGTCTAAACTAGCCGAAGTGATGTAGAAGTAGAAGAGTAAATAGGCAGTGCCCCAGAATAGGTGGTTTGAAGCTTAATATAAGGGCGCCTGGCTGGCCTGTGCTTGTCCCGTACAATGAAAACGTAAGACTTGTGATTTGACAATTAGGAAATCTTTTCAGGGCTTTGATCCCGGTACCCCAACCAAGATTTTACATACGCCCGAGGGAGTCATTCCTAGCTTGCTGGCATTTGAGATACTCAGGGCCTAATTTACGCCTAAAAGATCACCTAGCCTAGGTATAAAGACCTTAAAACACCAACCACGCACAGAAAGGTAGGCATATGAAAGTGTAAATAGTATTATCTCTACTTTGCCCAGCTTCCTTGGCGCCCGGGAGGCCGTTAGGTAGCTGCCATGAAATGCGGCATTTTGCAACACAAAAAGCGGCCCCTGCGTCAGCAGATGCTAATGACCCCTAGGGGGGGACGCAGATCAAAGCTCTTTTTTTAACCATGCACAGTGAATTCCTCTAATCTTGCAAAACGAAGGACCTAAGTTTGTCGCGGTGCCATTCTATACCCAAGGTACCTAAATCATCTAGCCAACCGAGATGAAGCAGTTTCTACTTTTTCGCCTATCCCTTGTGTACTCCATTCTACAACATAGGGTCTGAAGCGGGGACTCCCGCACCTGGAATTTACTCGACTAAGATTACAAGTGTACCTAGATTACTACCGCACTCTAAGCATTGTTATCATTGTATTATTGTTGTCCTTGTTGTGTATATGACTCTAGACTATTATGGTAAAGTAGCTTGTTGAAGTCGCTTTCTTGATAGAGTTAATGAACTTACAAAGAAAGGAAGTACATTGGTACTTTTCGATAGCCTGCCCAGCGTATATTTCAGCCATAAAACTAGAACAGCAATACGATTAGAAAAAGACCTCCCCTCTCGTTGCCAAGCTCCAGTCATGTAATTACGTCAACAACGAGCTTTTGATACGCGCTAGGTATGTTAACTAGCGACAGCTTAATTTGCATAGTTCAAGATGCTTAGGCTAGTTTGCCCGGCGTTTTCCCTTCGTATATTCCCAGCTACACGCACTACAGGGCGGGCGAATGGAGGTGGGGGTTGTGGGGGGGCTGTGACTACGTTGTAATTACCTAAGGCACTCAGAATACAGAAGAAGCCGCGTAATCGGCCCTAGACTCGACCAGGAATGGTAATTGTGGAGGATTTGGTATCGAGAAATACACCCGGGCACTGGATACTACGTCGATCTGCAAAATGAGAGCTATATTTTCCAAAACGGGCAGCAGGTTAGGGACCGCTTGCCGCATGAAGTGCCAGATGTTGCTACATAGGTTGCCGTTTCTCACGGATCTCGGCCCCAGCTGCAGCTCGAAACCTGGTTCTAGTCATCCAGAGAGCTGCATCCTAATAATGCCCACCCAAATACGTCGGCATATCTTGGCGGACCTTGGCATCTCACCTCCGGGCGCTTTATCAGTTGATACATGGAAGCTGGCAACGTCACCTACCTGCGCGTGCTCTCTCTACAAGTTGGCACTACTCCGGCCCAATGGGTCTTCTCGCCTCCCGGATGGAGCTCGTGTCTCCGGATGGCACGCACTGCAAATCGCGCCAGGAAACGTAATAGGCACATAACAGTTGCCTATAACCAACTCGTTGCCTGTGGCCTCTTCTGGTCTCCCTGGTCTAGAATGGTTTCATATAACGGCGTTTGTCACTGCTAGACAGGATCAAACATCTCAGCCAAGACCATTATAAAAAACAACAATGAAGTTAACGGCTCTGCTTCTGGCCGCGGCCAGTGCTCGCGCACATTGTAACTCCCTGACTTTCTACGCTCCCAAAGCGAGCAACGAGCCGCCCTGACCCAACCACTTACATCTATTAGACACCTTCCCCAAGAGCATCGTCGGCGCGTGGACATCAGCCGAGTGGGAGACGAACCGCATGACGGAGAACCACTTCTCGCACGGGCCCGTGACCGACGTCAGCTCGGCGGCGCCCAGCTGTATATTGCCTGCGCGCAGATCAACGTGACGGGCGGCAGCGGTACGCTGAACGCGGGAGCCTCGTGTCGTTCCCTAGCGCGTATGTTGCTACAGACCCCGGCATCTTGTTCCAGCTGTACTGGCCCACGCCGACGAGTTATGTCAACCCTGGGCCGGCGCCGGTCAAGTGTTGAGTGCTAGGCTGGTGGTGGACGTGGGGATTTGCAGCTTGCTGGTGTGGGGGGAAAGAATGTTAGATTCTGCCTGTATTATGGCACATTACTGCCTTGTTTTGACTTTATTTCGATGGCATAGTAAATTTAGTTTGTTCCAACTCGAAATGCTTTTTTCGGAATTTGATCCCGGTATTATGACCTACTAGTCTCATTTTGACCTATTAGTCTCATTTGGAGAGTAACTCCGTCGTCCTAGAGTTGTGCTATTTTGGCATATGAAGGAGATCCTGATATGACAGAGATAAGAAGACGGGACCGACGAATTCCACCGTGGCTGTGCTGGATCATGTGAAGTTTCAAATGCTCTGCATTTCAAGTCGGAACCCGCACAATGGCCCATGCACAGCGTACGATTCAGAGTGCAGACGGTCCTGGCAGCAACCAGCCGCTCATCCGAGGAACTTGGAAGGTATTACCTGAGGCAGGCAGCACCCGCGCCCATCAGAGGAACTTGGAAGGTACTACCTGAGGCAGGCAGCACCCGCGCCCATCAGAGGAACTTGGAAGATCCTACCTGAGGCAGGCAGCACCCGCGCCCATCAGAGGAACTTGGAAGGTCCCACCTGAGGCAGGCAACACCCGCGCCCATTAGCCAGCTGCCACCCCAAATCCAATCTTGCGGGATTTTCTCTTCGTCTCGTGTTTCTGCAAGTTCGCTGTTCTTGTTTAATTGGGCAATGGATGCTCCTCAACGCCCCCTGCCTGAAGGCGACAATGGGCCCGACGAGGACAGCCTCCGAATTCCCGACGGCCCAGGGTTCAATTTGCCCGATACGTCGACGGCAAGTTCGTGCTCTTCAAGGACCGCACGGGACTGCTCGAGTATCTAGCTATATCGCACTGCTGGGGCGAGGTCGAGTAGCTACGTATTCTCGGAATCGACAACGAAGTCAAGGCATCGAGGGCGAAAGCGAAATTTATTGAGCTCAAACTACCAGGGCTGGTTGGAGGCCTCTCTGGATGGATCCTGGACTGTCAACCAGAGGGACCAGGCCGAGGTTATTGCAACCGTCCAGTCAATACCTCGGATTTTCAGAGACGCCGTGAGACGCCGTGAGACGCCGTGAGACGTCGTGAGACGCTGTGAGAACGATGGCATCCACAAATGCTGCGAAGAAGCTGCGTCCGGTGTCGTTGATTTCCACTCTATTTTAGGTTGTCTCGCGTATCACTTTCGCGAACATGCCAACTATTTTATGGAGGAGGCATATCTACAGCGTGTTTGAGCCCTGCAGGAGTGTCTCCTGTCTCATGCAATGCAGTTCATAGCCATCAGCGACGGTAAGCATACCCCTATCGATTCATCGAAGGAAGGACTCCGGTTGCCGTACTGACAGCAAGCAGATGAGCCGCAAAACTTTGTTGAGACCCCAGAGAGGCTCTTTGATCCGTATCGGCATTTTGCCAGCGGAGATAGGGCCGTCTAATCCTTGCGTTATGTCGCTGAGGGAGCGATAGCTACTCATAGTAAAGCTGAGGAAAGCGATGCGGCCCTTGGGGCTGAACTGAGATTTCAAACAAGGGCAGCAAAGCTGACGAGATGCTAGGCTTCCGCAAGTCCATCATAGTGGATCGGGACGCCTTAGTCATGTTCAGGAAGACCTGCGAGACATGAGGTCGTGTAGAATAATAGCCAATGAGTGATACCCTCAAATGCCTTGCTGCTCTCCCCGTCTTACCCCCGGATGTGGCTGCGACCTAATTAGTGTAACGTGCTCGGCTGTTCGCTGACCACCCACAACGCGGGACGCAGCAACGTGAAGCACCCTCCCACATTCCTCTCTCCTGCGGGTGGCTGAAGTCTAGACCGGTCGTTGACACGGTGCATCCCCATAGGGCTGGCCGAAAAAGCCGGTGAGCAGAAAGTGTGTCTCGAAAGGGTAAAACGGCGGAGCTTGCGTTCAGCCTTTGGTCTTCACCGACCCAATCGCTGCCAAGTGCACCCAATGGTCTGGGCGCCTCTCGGCCGGAGGCGCTCTTAGCTCGCAGTCGCACCAACGCACTTTCCAACTGTGGCGAGCTGAACGGCAGCTTTGACCCGTCGCCCCCCTCCCTCTCTGTCCGAGACACAGCCTTCCTCGGACACAAATGCGGAGCATTTGCTGTCAAGCATCGTTACTCTAAACCCCATGCTCTCCTCTCCTCTGGACTCCCTCATCTCGAAGAATCCTAATTCTTCCCCTGATCGGCTTTCCTCGCAACGCAGATCCCGACCAACCTGGGAATTTCTCCAACAGAAATACGTCAATCATCTTGCGATTCCCGCCGGTACCTACCACCTACCCCGCCGCCCATCATGCCCATCCCGCGATATGGAGTCTGGAAAGGCACCGCGACAAAATGGGACGGTCGCCAGAAGCCCGGACACGGCCACATCACCTTCACCGATGGTAAGAGCTCAGGGTTGGATGCGGCGGTCAACATCCAGTCCGAGTCGCAGGATAAGCGCCTCGTGTACTGGCTGCTGCGCGACTTTGACCAGACACACCCGGTGGCGCAGAAGCTGGCGACGCTCGACCCCGGCTTCTACGCACAGCAGGGCCCCAACAGCCTTGGCCTCGACTTTTTGCGCGGCAACTTCCTCGACGTACACAAGGGCATCCTGGTGTCGAACCAGTCGCAGGCCGAGAAGCTGCAGGCCGAGCGGTCGCACGGCAGCGAAGCCTCGCGCGAGGAAGGGGCGGCGGCTGCCGCCACTACGGGCGGGCCGCACGACATCCTCGGGTACCTGAACCCGATCCTCAACCGGGCCGTGGCCGAGGGCGCCGACATGTACATCTACGGGCAAAAGTACCCGGCCAGCAGCAAGCTGCAGGGCATCCACGACATCCACATGAATCAGGGCAACGCGGGCCAGTGGAAGGGCGACAACGGCACGTACCAGGACGGCGGCATCATCGTCGCCTTCTCGGACCACTGGGAGGGCATCTTTCTAGCGTTTGCCGTGCAGACATACCAGACCGACGACGGCGGCCAGCCCATCGGTCAGACATTTGCGCAGCTGCTGTCGGGGCAGACAGACCCGGGGACTGAGACGCCCCCGGCACCTCCAGCCGGCGACGACGACGACGACGACGACGGCACCAGACCCCAGCCGCCGTCGCGCCCGCTCACCGTGTCGATCCAGGCGGCGCTCGTCAACCCCGTCGGGCCCGACGAGGCGGCCGCGGCGCACGGGCAGGGCGAGACCGTGTACCTGCTCAACCGCGGCGACCAGCCGGTGGCACTCGAGGGCTGGACCATCGCCAACGGCGCCGGGCAGGCGCAGACGCTGCGCGCCGTGCAGGTGCCCGCGCACAGCAAGCGGGCCATCGCCGTGCCGGCCGTGCCGCTCAGCAACAAGGGCGGCTCCATCACGCTGCGCGACGCCCACGGCAAGCTGGTGCATGCGGTCAGCTACTCTAAGGAGCAGGCTAGGAAGGAGGGCGTGCTCGTCTACTTTGAGCAGCAGGGCGTGAGGGGCTGAGGGTCTATTTGTTTTGTTGTTGTTGGCGAGCGATGAAAGGGGGCTTATGCGGCTGCCCGGGGGGGGGGGCAGCAAACGATGAGGGTTTCTTGAGATGCGTGTTTGATGTTCTGACTGCGCAGTTTGATGTTCTGACTGCGTAGGTTAGTTGGTATTGCGGCCAAGTGAATCACAATCGGTTTCGATAGCTCCAAGAGGCGAACTTTCTGTTGATACGAGATTCCGTGTTTCTGATTTCTGTTGTCAAGGAGTTGTATAATACTCGGTATCGGATGTCAAGTCCATTTCAAGATCCAGGGGCAGAGATGCTCGACGGAATGCTTGGCTCACATCCTCACTGGAGGCGAGCGGAAAGCCAATGAGCGGAACAAAAGAGGGTGCCAAACTGGCAGATCCTCCCCGCAATGCCAAATCCGTTTTTAGCTTTGCTCAGCCACCACCCCGGCCCGTCTCCCCCCACCCCCCAGCAGATCCACCTAAAAAGCTTGCAGGCCACAGGTGCCACCTTTGGGGCCCTCTATCCGCAGAAGCTTGGCGAACGGCAGGAACAACACAGCAGCTCCCTTCCCTGGAACAGTGGAAGAGGCCATTTGATTGGCGGTGTTTTCGAGCCTGCTGTGGGGATCTTTGGCCTCCATCCTCCCTCCTCCCTCCATTTACTTTCTCGCCCATCCTTCTGCAGAGTTTGATTTAAACACGCATTGCTACTGTCAACAGCGGGATCGCTCTCTCGACGACCTGAGGCTCGAATATCGACATTTGCCTCCACCGAACAAGCTCAGCGAGCTAAGTCCTCTGCGGCGACTGCAGGCATGGCGTCCAGGCTGCCGGTCTGCTACCAGCACCATCATTCACGATTGCAACAGACATGGGACTGTTGGTCCGCTAGCCGGGGCGCAGTCGGTGCGATCTCACTCAACGGCAGACCGGCTCGAGCGGGCGCCTAACACATTTGGTTAGCCGACCTTGGCGCTCCACGTGCAACGAAACACGCACCATCCTGTCGCCCGCGTCAAGAGGCACAGCACCCCCTGGAGCGGTCCCCCCAACGGGAACGGATGCCTTCGGCAGGCCCATTACCTTACCTACTGCCCCCTGTCCAGGCCGTTTCTCATTCCGAAGCCGAAATCCCAAAATCTCGAGATGGCACAACCGATGCTGAGCTTCCGCCCACCGCCTAGCGCCCGACATGGCTACACCGCCGTGTTGTTGTTGCCTTTGCCGCCTGGTTTGCGGTCATGCTATTAATCATCGAGATTCTCGTTGCAACATGCCACACCTTCACAGGCCTCAGTGCTCCCGAACACGGTCTCTACTATCTGTGGACATTTGGGCCAACTGCCGGCAAGTCAAGACAGCTGCTACTCTGCACCTGACCACGTGCGGCCCCATCTAACCATCATTTCTGCTGCTCCCAGTCTCCACCGTCACTGCGGCATTATAGAGCCGCGCCAACTTCCAGGTCATGCGTTCCATGCCGTAGGTTCAACTCAGACAGGGACCGTCTTTCCGAGACAAAACCGTTGCCCTCGACTACGACTCCCGCCTAGCACTCGCCGTCATTGTTGCTTCCATTCGCAACCGCCACTACCTCGTTACCGTAACCACAACCGTGAACCTGATCCTACGAGTCCTTGTTCTCCTGGCCTCTGGCCTCCTCTACTTGCAGACCGCTACATTTGTCGTGGACGACGTGCCTTTTGCGGTTCAAAATCGCTTCACCGGCGACGTTGCCCGCCCCCCTGACAACACCAGGGGAGCGTACCAGATATTTGATCGGATCTTAAGTTGTCAACTCGGCCATAAAAGCTGTTGCTGGCGGCATCTGATCAGACCGCGAGTGCACCCCTGCAACTGTCACCGGGACTGCCGATCAGCGAGCGTTCATCACCAACAGCAGTTTGATTGGTTTGGGGCCTGGTGCCAACTATGAGAAGCACACCTCGCCTTGGTCTAGCGTTTTCTAGCCCCATAAGTCAAGAGGAGGGTCCGCTTCGGACCTGAAACGGGTTCGATACAGCGAGCTTTCCGATGAGACATCTCGGTTTGCAGAGAACGGCTGTGGCATTGACAAAAGCCGCGCCTATCCCCGTGACGTTCAAAAAGGCGTGCTCGTACATGATGATGGGGCCAGTGGCCCCCGAGCAATTGTTTAAGGGATCAGCAAGACCAGAATACATGTCCAACTGGTAGAAGCCCGTCAGAGAACCCCGAGCGTCCACCTTTGTTCGCAAAGGCAGATCGATTGGGGCATTCCAGTATTCGGACTTGATTGTGAAGTGGCGAAACAAGGAAATGAAGATGATGAGCCTTGTTCAAGTGTTGTGTGAACCAATATCGAGACCAACGGAATTGCCCTGCCAAAATAGACCAGAGTGGCGGCTTAATGATCCAACACAAACATGGACAATTCTTCCAACTGCAGCTCTGATTTTTGCCGATACTAAAACTCTTGCATTAGGTGTTATGTGAAACATCTCTTTACAAATCCGAACTTGATTAAATCACAGACCCCGTCTAGTTCCCGTCTAGCAGTTACGCCTCGACATGCCCAATCCATAATGCCGTGTAAACCCGTGGTATAATCTTTGCAATCTATAATTACCCGTATATCCAGAACAAAGAAAAAAGTGCACCTCTGGTGCCTCACCCGGGACGCCCCAGCTCGACGCTCCTCGGGTTCCTCGGCAGCGGCGACGGCGTTAGCGGCGACGGCACAGGATCCATGGCTAGGTGCGTCGCGGCCTTCAAGTCAGCAGCTCCGCTACCGTCGCCGCCGCCACTGCTATGAACAAAGGACGACGAGCCGGCCTTTTCGGGGTCGGGCTTTGCCACCAGCTCGACGTCGCCGGCGGCGTCCTGGCGGAACAGCACGACGTAGTCCTTGGGCAGGCGGGTCTCGAAGACGGTTTCCATCGATGCTGTGGCCCGGGCCAGTGTCAGTCTCAATGTCGAGGGGTTGAACGGTATGTGGGGCAACGTACACTTCCCGATGAAGAGGTGGAAAAAGGTCAGCGCGGGCGGCAGCCACGTGAAGACGGCCAGGTACTGGCCGAAGCCCCAGTTGACGAGGCTGCGGGTGAAGGCGTCGCCGTACGTGTCCTTCATCAGGCGCCACGTGTGGAAGAAGTAGACGCCGTAGATGACGAGGCCGATAAACCCGAATACGGGCGTGACGGACTCGCCCAGGTGCCAGAAGGCGAGGCGCGCGCGGGTGCGCCGGCGCTCGCGGGCACTGGCGTCTGGGGAGGAGTCCTTGGGCTTGCAGCGGTCGCGCACGAACGGGTGGTGGATGGCGATGCCGAGCAGGGCCAGGCACCACGAGCCAAAGGCCACGGGGATGAAGTTGAAGCCCTTCATGTCGAAGGGGTCGCCGCTGAGGGCGCCGACGCGGCCGGTGCCGGTGCCGCAGGCCAGCTCGGCCGGGCTGGCGTGGCGGTTGGCGACGGTCGAGTGCGTGGCGAAGAGAACGATGGTCAGGATGGCGAGCAGCAGCACCGACAAGGTGGCATGCGGGCGAAGGCGATTGTGTGCCCAGTACGTGGCGGCCAGCATTATGGCGGCGGTGCTGCAGAACATGGACAGGGCGTCGGCCATGAGCGCGTCGAAGCGCGAGTCGGCCTGGCGGTAGCGGAACGCGTACGTCGACACGAGTACCGCGATGGCGAAGACAAAGACGGCGTTGAACAGCTCGTCGACGGTGCCGATGCAGGCTGCCCGGAAGCTGAACCGTTCCTTCTTGGACCGTCGCTTGACGGCCGAGACGAGCGGGCCGAGCGCCATGAGCGAAAAGGCCGAGGCGAGGAAGAGGAGCGTCGTGACCGCGACGAGCATCTGTCACGGCAAGAATCGTTAGTCACTCACTCTTCACGGAACAACCGAGAGCCGACACTCACCCCGATGCCGACAATATCGGGATTCCCGACGGCAATGTAGCCAGACCGGCAGAAGGTGCCGCCGCACATGTTGACGACGGCGGTGAGAAAGCCGCGGGCGTTGTCGCCGTCGCGCGACGTCGTGTTGGTCCACCACTCGGCGACGTCGCCGACGCTCGAGGCGTTGAGGGGGTAGGGGAAGACCTGGGCGGCGAAGCGCTCGAGGTCGAGCAGGCCGACGTCGAGGCGGGCCGGGTCGGCGCCGACGCCGAGGTTCATGCCGCGGTCGTGTTTCTCGGAGATCTGGAGCAAGGTCAGGTTCGACAGCGGCAGGATGCTCGATGCAGCTGCGCAGCCAGCGCCGTCTCGCGTGACATTGTTGCCTAGCCTCACCAGCACGTCGGTCAGGTAGCTGATGCGCAGCTCGGCCAGGCTCGTCACGTTGAAAGGGTTCTCCTGCGTCAGGTCCGCCGCCTGGTGAGCCATGCTTGCTCCTTGCTCCTCTCTTGTCCAAACGAAAGGAAAAGAAAGGAAAAAGGAGGCACAGAGGGTTCCGTCGCGTCACGGTTCGTGCGGTGACAGACAAAAGGACGGGTGCGCAGGGGGTGGGGGGGTTGCATACATTTTTATGCAGCTCTTGTTTGGACTTTTGCCTTTGCCTTTGGGGGGCTGCGGCTGGTGGCGGCCAGCAGTGTTGGGTTGGCAAGGTTGGATTTGGGGAAAGGATACAGGCGGCCAGCAGTGTTAGGTTGGCAAGGTTGGATTTGGGGAAAGGATGGCAGCGGCCATGCCCGGGGCCAGCTGCTCGCTTGGCAGGAAGCTGAGTCCCCAATTGTGGCCAACCACAGCCCCTGTCCTAGCGAGCAGGGCTGAGCTTCCCGCCCGTGCTCGGCAAGCTAGACCGCAAAGGGTGACCGGCATAGGTCAAAAGGACAATTTAAGACTCGCTAATGCAAGCCCCCATCCCCTGAAAGTCTAAGCCCCTCAGGCCTCGTCCGTGACCCTGCTGCGGCACCAGCGAGAGATCAGGCTCAAATGAAGATAGATCTAGCAGCGACTGATAAAAGACCAAGTCTTTGTTTCAAAACGAGAAAAGGAAATGGAAAGTCCATTGTTTTGTAGGCTCGGAATCGTGCCTTCTCCTTGTTTAAATGACGAATGTTTGACCTCGGATATCCCCTGAATACAACATTCCAAATCGAACACACACTGGCTCCTTCTTGAATTTTAATGAGGAAAAGATATTAGCAACCTCGAAACCCGCGTGTCATGTGCCCTCCCCCACGCTTCCCACGAGATGAATGACGAAATTTCATCTCTGCCTACCACCCAAAGTGTTTCCTCCTCCTCCTCCTCCACTCAGTTGGTCGTACTTTCTTCTGCAACGGCGCAAAGAATCTTCGAAGCAGGTGACGATTGAACTTTGTTGTTCCTAAGATCAGTGTAGCAAACGGTGACGTTTGGAGACGCGTGATCGTGCCGAAAACAGTTTCGTAACCGGCCTCGGTGCCAGTTCGGCCGGCTACCAAATCTGGGACAGACGTTGCAGAGCGGGTGGTGGTGAGGATCTGGATGGGTTTGTCGAGACGATGAGCCACGAATGGTTGTGCAAGATTGTCAGATTCAGTTCCAACCTTAGTATACCAACCGCCAAGCGCGCTGTTGCCTGATCCTGATACCCGGGATCCGTAACATAATCGAGAACACTGGAGCAGTAATCAGATTCTACGCACGCGAGGAGGGATAGGAATGTAACTCGAAGCCTAGCTGTGGTTTGTAGTTATCCGATTAGCAATAATACCACTCGGAGCTTTTATGACAATCGCTTGATATCTCCCTATATTATCCCGGTGAGAAGACAGAGTTAGCCAGCAGTCTTTGAGTCGTAGATGGACGAGAATCGAGATTTGTGGCCAAGGAAACGATAAGAGGGTATACTTGGGTGAAGAAAAGGAATTTCCGCTCCACAATTCTCGCCGTGACAGGCTCGTTCGCCACAAGTGTGAGAAATCAACTCTATTAATCGCAAGGCCCTCGAGGGAGTCCTCGTCGCCGTGTCGGAATAAGAGTGGCGATGGAGTTGGAGAGCCGAAGGGCGTGATGACGCTTGTGTTTCCAGAACCGCCTCCCCGACGCGCCATCGCTTTAGAAAGTAGGAGCGTTACGCCAGTGTTCTGTTCATAGCCCCGCCAGCTTTCCTGATGAGCGAAGGATCTCGTGGTTCCGAGATTGGCGGAAAAGATGCCCAGGAACTAGAATATACATTAGTTAATCGTGTGTAGCGCAGGTGGTGGGGACGTCAACAGGCTGGTGAGGAGCTTAGCGGAGTATTCGTGTAGATAATCCCTCAAGGAAAAAGACGTCTTGTTTGGTGCTCTCGCTAGCGACTGTTAGTCGGCGATGGCGTCAAAATTCCTTTCGGTAGCTGGTCAGCCGGTGTACTCTTAGCGATGGTGGATGGTGTCCTGCCCCTGAGAAGTCAGCCGACTGTCGTGTTATTTGAAACGAGGGATTTCTGCGGAACTTGTCCACCCCAAATGGTTGGTTTGGTCGTGAAGCAGCAGAAATTCAGTTGTGAACAGCTAAAGAGTCGGCTCGCAAATCCTAGGCGGGAGCCTTGGGGGCGGGGAGGGGAGGGGGGGGGGGGGGGTAGTTTGGATGGATAGGCAATCTCTCGCCCTGTGCCCCGTGGAAATCCTCTCCGGGCGTCTGCAAGGCTGGTGGTTTCACTGCAGGGATAGTAGTTATCTACTTGGTAGACACTGCAGGGACAGTAGTTGTCTACTTGGTAGACAAATTTGGGGTTTATAAATATCGAAAGGTTAGAGAATGTCGACCCATGTCGACCCTTGGGGATTCCGCCGCGGGTGGCAGTCGTTGGGGGGGCCAAAATGAGAGGAATTTCATATGTGCTTTTTCAACGAGGACCTGTGGGACCAACTGACGGACCCAGGATTCTCCTCGCGTGTGCCATCAACGTAAAGTGTTCGAGATCGAAACCATTTCCGGCGGAGGCGGGAGCATTGAGACTGCAAGGGCGTTTGGCAGTAAAGACAACAAACGACAGAAGATAATCGCCGTGGCGATCCAGGACCTTGTTGCCCGTTCCAGCATTCCGCATACGGAGTACGAGACCTTTACTACATATAATCATGTTTCTATCCTTTATCGCCTAATCTCTAAGGATATGTGAAATCAATGAGCACGTGTGAAGGCCGAACCAAAATGGGGCTGTTGTAGAAGACCAAGTTCTCCGCCCTTATCCAAGCCTCTGTCCAAGCCTCCAAGGAATGAGGAAGCACTTCAGTAGAGATATTCCCGCACAAATTGCTTTCTGCGTACCGAGTTGTTACGAGCTCCACTTCTATGGTTCCCGCTGTCTCTGATTGTCGTGGCATTTACTTACGCTGCCAGTCGCGAGTGTACGTTGCCGCGGCAGATTCTGCAAGAGAAAACCCGCGGTGACGCGAGCACGCGCACTCGGCCGCTTGTGCTGGGGGTGGGCTCACAAATGGAAGTAGGTGCACGGAACCAAAGCTTACAAGGTCCCGGTACGATGATCACGCGTTGTGACCCTCATTTTGAATAATTTGCTGGTCGATCTCGTCCGCGATCCTGAGAAGCGGACTGTCGCGGGCAGTCGCAACTCCAAGCGCCGTGACGCGTCCATGGCACCGAGTGACATTCTTTGATGCTTCCCCAGGCACATTGAGCCTGAATAGTAAACTGCCATTACTCGTTTAAACGCCCGTGAATTCCTACGGGTGAATCAAGTTTGGAGCGAAAACGCCCTCATCACCATGGCGCGGTGGCACCGGGCGCGACATTCGCGACGTTGGTTCCCAAGCTGCCCAGCAATAACAGCTCGGCAGCCTCAACAGCACGGCAACCTCAACCCCACGGCAGCCTGTCCGTGTCGCTACCCCCGCAGGCAGGGCAATTGAGGGCAGCCACAAGAACCTACGCGTTGGTGATGATACGAGAAGCTCAGATAGCACGAGCCGGGTACAGACACGCGAGAACCAGTGCGAGTGAGGCACACGGGAAACACTAGATCGTCGTGGACGCGGGCGACGGGCGCGAACAGACAGCAGACTAGACATGGCAAAGCAATCATGAGAATTTCTCCTCCATGTCACCACCCGCAGGCGATGATCACAGTGAAAAAAAAGGTGGTTTGGCTGTGCCGAAAAATTCGTCGTCCCGAAGAACAACAGTGTGTTCCGAAGAACAAGTGCTCAAAGAGCTAGACCGAAGTCTAGTTGGGGAATCAAAAAATATGCCGATCTTGCCCTCCGAACAGGAAAGAGATGCCTTCCACTACTCCGGAATGCAATGCAGAGTGACAGACACCGGACTAAGGGAATCTTGATCTCCCTAGTCCCCGACGACCCGAAGGTCCTAGCTAGGGAAAAAAAAGAAAAGAGAAGCAGAAGATGGGAGGGGAAGGCTGTTTAAATAGGTATTGTAGTTGGTCTGTGCACGGCTACAAAAATCACAGGCTCCACTCTCTCTGCTATTGTGGGTCTTCTGTCGAGGTCGCCAGGTGCCAGGCAGCTCCTGTCGACGCAGTACAGGCAGAGAAGGCCGTGGGATGTGGCTGGGGCGGCTGTCCCAGGCCTCGGGCGCCCCAGGACGCGACCCTGTGAGCCACACCGCCCTCGCCTGCCATTGTCTGTCCTCGCCTGCCCTCACCTGTCCTCGCCTGCCCTTGCCTGTCCTCGCCTACCTCGCCTGTCCTCGCCTGCCTCGCCTGCCCTCGCCTGCCTCGCCTGCCCTCGCCTGCCTCGCCTGCCCTCGCCTGCCTCGCCTGCCCTCGCCTGCCCTCGCCTGCCTCGCCTGCCCTCGCCTGCCTCGCCTGCCCTCGCCTGCCTCGCCTGCCCTCACCTGCCCACAGGCGCACACACTCTCTATCTCACCGCCACCTTCTTTCCTTCTTCTTGACGCCGAGAGACGTGGTAGGCATTGTCCTGGGTACAGAACAGCATTTCAGTCTCCTACCTCCCTCCCTCTCACTGTTGACAACAGAGCAGCGACCAAATCACGAACGGAGCGAGCTGTGAGTGATTGTGACGCGGCACCTTCCAGAAACGAAGCCATCACCACGGCGGCCATCCAGACCCCTGGCCCGACCACGACCTTGTTCACCAGCTAGGCTGGCACATTCGACAACTCATCCTCTTCACCTCGCCGCTCACCGCCTTCCTCGACCTAATCCTCCTCCACCTCGTCGCCCTGGCGAAATCACCCTGATCTTTTACCCCGCTGCCTACCCTCGAGTGCCCCAGGGCTGACACTCGACTCGATTACAGCCTGGTACTATGAGACGAATCTGGCGAGGCGAAATTTCTCTTTTCGTTCGTAGCCCTGAGCTACGGTGAGCTAGGATGAGCTGTGGCTGGTTTGCCCTGAGCTTCCCCTGATTCCTCCTCGAGCTAGCCCAAATTCTGGCAAGCTGGGAAGCACAGCCCAAATTCAGGACACATCTCTCCAGAATATTCCTATAAGTAGAGGTAGATTATACAATAGATTATACAAGTATCAGTAACGAGTCTAGGGACACAGGAGTTTAGTGTTATTATTGAGTGGATTTGGGCAAATAAGAACTCGGGTTGTTTGTGACACAAGTCTTTAGCCTCATTAGTTTGGTGTCCGGCCTGGACGACTTTATTGTGAGGAGCTCATAGGTGAGAACCTTCAGGCCGGTATCGGCACTTTTCCATGCGGGGAAGGATACATAAGGATACATAAATCTTTAACCCCTCCAAGCTCTCACAAGGTGCCTCCTTTATCTTTGTAGTGGGTGTATTTTGCCTCCTTGACGTCCTCGAGACTAATACCACAGGCACGCCTGCCATTATGGCGTCAACTCAATGCGAGTTTTGCGAGAGACTATCACTGGAGCGTGTACTGAGAGTTCGCGAAGACCTCAAGCACGAATCAAGGGTAATCAGATGCCAAGATTATCCCCATCAGCCTTCGCTTGACGCTCTGAGACAGCCCGCAAGAAGTAGTTGCGGCTCGAGGCCCAGATGCCCGCCATCATCTGTTCGACGGTGCTGCCGTGGCTCGTCGACGTGCTCCCGTCGCCGCTGTTCAAGCGCCTGCTGCCCTCGCACTGGGTTTTGGGAAGATCATGGGGTGAACCATCCAATGCCCGCCTTTCCTGGACGTAATATGTGACTTGCGGCTGACGGTGTTGTTTCTTGCTGCTAGCTGATTCGCAGGTTTGACTTTGTCGTCGTCGATCCCACGCGGCCGTGGTACTGGAGAAACGTGGGCATTTTTTCGCAGAGAGACTATTGGGTGCGGGCGGACGGGCGGATCCTGGCGCAGTGAGGAGCGTGTATGAGTTTTGGTATTGTATAGGGTCAAGGAGTAGTGACTCTTTTTCCTGTTACAAGCCGGTAGCAGCTATTACGGGTTCGGGGGCCATGGCAACAAGGAGTCTGCTTACAGCCTCGCCTCTTTAATCTAGTACGATCGTTTTTCCTTTCTCGGCCAAGGCATCTAATAATTACGGGCATGTTAGCATGCCTTTTCTTTACCTAGATGCTAATGGTTATTGCTTATTTTACAAGTTTCCTAGCTATTCGTGGAAATAACACTGAGGACCAGAACGGTGACCGGGCATCCGGAGCTCGTGGTCAGGACGGACGGAAAAGACCGGTCCACAGAGTAGCCCACGCTCCCCTTTCTTTTTTTTCTTTTTCTTTTTTTCTTTTTCTTTTTTTCTTTTTCTTTTTTCTTTTTCTTTTTTTCTTTTTCTTTTTTTCTTTTTCTTTTTTTCTTTTTCTTTTTTTCTTTTTCTTTTTTTCTTTTCCTTTTTTTCTTTTTAAATTTTTTTGTTTTTCCTTCCTTTTTCAACAGCCGGTCCCCCCACCCTCTGCCTGGGCCACCGCCATTGCACTGTACCCCCTACCCAGAACTGGGGTCATCGGGGGGCAGGCAGACCGGACCTCGCGGCGAGGACGGGAAGGACCGCCCTACTCATAGTTGAGAATTAATCCTGGGCCTCCGCCCCCCTTTTTATCATTCGCCGCCTTCTACCCTCTTGCCAGATCCTGAACTGATGGCTGGACCCGAGACTTATTGAAGAGTGGATGCTGGAGACGTGAGACTGCGGTTGAGCCTGAAGTGGTGACTGGGCTCGAGGTTTGATTGAATGGTGGACGCTGGAGACGTGAGACTGTGCTCGAGCCGTCGACAATTGAGGGATGCGACGAATAAGTTGAGAGTGTGCTTGCTCATTCTGGCGGGCAGTCTGGCTGGGCGACTGGGGCGTCTCACGTGCTGCGATGCGGTCTCCTTTGGCAGTGGGATTCAGCGTGTCTGTCATGGCCGTGTTGCTGAAGTTGTTCATAAGGATGTGGGTATCTTTTGTGGCATCTTTGGTCTGCTGCGTTGAGTCGGCTATCTGTCCGCTCTACTGCCGTCCTTGTGATTCTTTGATGTGTGTTTGGCGTTTTGGTAGCACTAGTTGAGGCTAGGTTGCATCCTTTGTCGCCTCTTGATGTTCAGTGCTGATGGCAAGTTCTTTTCTCGTGAAGCGACGGGTGATAACTTGATTTCCGGCAGTCGGTGAGAAGAGAGAGGCGCGCGCGGAGAGGATTTCAGAAAGAACGAAAAGGCGTCCAAGTCCTGATATGAGAAGCGAAATATCCCGTGGAAGTGTGTGCTACTGTCCTAACGAGGTTGCTGTGAGGTTGCTGTGAGGTTGTTGTGTGGTTGCTGTGAGGCTGCTCGGTCGGTGCCGGCTTGTCGATCCTGCCTAGCATGAGAAGGGGAGGGGATGGTCGCGAGCCGACAGACAACCACCGGTCGCCGACTAGCCGTTGATGTGCTTTCATTCTCTCGCGATACATAGGCCGCATCATGAAGAGAGGAAGGCGTGAGGCAGTGTGCAGAGGGGGGCGAGGCAGTGTGCAGAGGGGGGCGAGGCAGTGTGCAGAGGGGAGCGAGGCAGTACTCTAGCAGATGGCCCTGTTGTTGGAGAAGGCGTGTTTTGAGGGAAGGATTAGAATCCTGAGAGGTGGGGTGGTTGATTTTCATTCCCGGGGAAGAGGCATCTGCGCGGGCTACAGGGCTTCCTGCCCTAGGTATGCTGTCAGTTTCCGGTTTGTGGGAAGGAGAGAGGGGGAGGACATCCTCGCTACGCACCCGGATAGGCAGCCTGATTTGGGACTCCGCCCTGTTCGGTCACCTGATATGGCAACACCCGGGGAGGACGTGGTGCCTTGTGCTGGCTCCCAGAGGTTGCTGCAGTGCTATCGGACAGGCTCCACTCTGCTGCTGTCGGTTGGCAACGGCCAAGGGTCCTCGCCGTCCAAAATCGAAGTCACAAGCAAGTTCCATTTCATAGTCCCGTGAAACTGATTGTTTTACCTTGCCCGCAGCGTGACAGTTCCAACCTGAGCATCTTTTGGCGCGGAAACTGATGGCCCCTTTGCTCGGAGGAAGAGTGTCTAGTTACCTAAGCCACGACTGAGTATATACGAGAAGATGATGGTCTGGATTAGGGATCGCAAGGTAGAACTGCATCCCTCGTGTCAGGCCTTTGTGTTCTGTAGACTGGCCATACCTTTCTTGGTTCATCATGTCCACCGCTGACATCCTCGAATGCGCAATATACATGTCTCTATGGTCTCCAGGCCCCCATGTAACTCAGATTTAGCCACCAGAGGGATTGAAACTTGCGAATAACTCCGACCTAGATTTTACCCGACCTAGGTTTTACAGGGACCTCAGGCTTTCTATGGCCGAGGTGATTATTCACTGTGACCTCAGGGACAGCACAAAGAACGCAGCCAAACAGCTAGCATACACAATCCGAAACAGAATTGCGATGGACACGAATATTAAATTACCGGCCACAATGACCATCAAAGCGCCGCTATCTAAATATTCGTTTTTGACAGTCCGAACAGACGTCCTCTTTCTGACCCATGCGACAGGATCAAACAGCGTGCTTGCCCGGAGGAAGACACTGCGGACCTCCTCTTTTTGCGCTGCCATCCATCGAGCATATCGGAACCAGAATTCCTCGTAAAAGGCACACGTGACAAGGCATCTCTCGTATAGAAACACCGTTCTGGCCCACCAGGCTGCCAGCCCGACATCTAATGCACCCTCGTGCTCACATCCACCCCGAATCCCCACTCGCTGTGGCATGTGTTGGCCTCGAGGGCCAACGACCCGCAGCCCTCAAAGTCGCCGACGCCGACCATGTGCACCTTCTAAGTGCTCTTCTTGTTCTTGGCGGCGGCAGCCTTGCTGGTGGTGGTGGTGGTGGTGGTGGTGGTGTTGGTCGACACGGCGGCGGCCTGGACGGGCCCGAAAACGCCAAACACGGTCAGCCAGCGCAGGACGTTGAGGACGGCGCTGGCGCCGATGTTTCCAGCGACGTTGCCGTTCCAGGCGGCAGGGTTGAGGAAAAGGTCGAGGCCGACGGTGCGGTACACGGCATAGAGGTGGCCCCAGTCGGCGAAGGCGACGGCGACGAGGAAGCCGCGCGCCGTGGCCGGGTCGCGCGACCAGCAGCACACCCATGCCAGCAGCGCCAGCAGCAGCAGCACGTTGGCCATCTGCAGCGTCAGGCCCAGCGCCTGCGGCACGAACTGGCCCGCGTTCACAGCGTAGTTAGGCGCCTGGTCGGCGAAGTAGGTCGCCGGGTCGCGCATCGCTGTCACGTATGCGACGATGCTGTTAGTGAGCGTAGTTAGCAGGCTGCATTCCAAACCTCGGGTTCAGCAAGAATTCGAGGGTGAGATACTCACAGCAGGGCGGGCTCGATGATGCCAAACACGATGAGCGGGAACGTGGGGAGCGTGGAGCGGGCCATCGTGTCGCGCTGCTGCTGTCTTTGATTGTTTTGGCACGGGGATGGTGTATCGAGAGAGCGGCGAGTTCTCATGTGCTGGCGCAGAGATTCAGGTCGAGGCTGCCAAGGCTTATGCATCGGGAATTTTGCTGATGGCCGCGGAATTCGACGGAAACTTACAACCCCGGAACAAAATTGGGCCCAGATTGGCATAGCGCGGCACCCGAAAAGCCAACTGCGGGGGCACTTTGTAGTGGATACCCCTGTCCCTAATCTCGAGCACGCTGGCAGCGACATAAGCCAGCTGCACTCAACGACAATTTTGGAAGAACTCCTGATTTGGGTGAGCATATAGAGATATTTCTGGATAAACGATGGCTGGCTACCTCGCCATCATACATAATAATGTGAAATAGATGAAGCCCTGTGAAATCATCCCATCCTTCAAAGCATAACCTGTTGGTGTTGGGTTTGAAGTGGATTTGAGGCGCAGGGCGGCCAACCAGGACGCAGAGAGGCTCAAGAAGACTAAGCAGACGTCAAGTATTTACGGCAGAAGAACCAAAAAGGGAACAAGAAACTATAGAAGTAGATGACAAAGATGAAAGGAAGCACTATGAAAATAAGCAAGTGGTCAAAGATTTCGAACGCTAGAATAAATGAATATCAACAACAATCGAGAGTCGAGAAGAACCAAACAGTGTGCACATGCTATCGAACACGGAAGTTTTCACAAAAGCATCGGAGATCAACCAGTGGAAAAATACCAATAGACATAATTCTGTGGAGATCCAATGCGTCCTGAATTCTCAGGAGGGGTTTTAATCACCCGTTCAGACAGGTCGTGAATTAATGGAGACACAGCTACAATACGGGGTACTCGGCAGAAGGAAATGTAAATCAAGGGCATGGTGTGGATGTGGTCACGGTGATGCCTCCGAGTTATTGAACACAATAGAACCATGATCCATTTGACGGCGGCATGCAGATACAACATGGTGGCTAGGAATTCATCTAATCACCCAGCAACAATCTTGCAGTAACAAGCTTGTAGTAACAAGCTTGCAGCAACATGTCGAACGCTGCATAAAAAGACATCGATCGGGGTGATGATGGGATCGCGAACAAGGTCGAGGGCAGCGAGCCTGCAAACAAAGTCGGCCGGATCACCAATGACAGCAAGATGGAAGCATGAGTTGTAGGCATGCATGGAGGATGCCCCGCGGGCGTGTCATGGTTGCAAAAAGGGAGTGACCGCCACCTCGCCGTCGTCGTCACCGTCGAGGGGGGCACGACGATGGCGAGTGTGTGCCCAAAAGGCTGCTTAGTTAGACGTGGTGGCCAGGTACGGCGACAAGACATGGACCGAAAGGCGGCTGTGGGCTGGCAGAGAGAAGCATCGGGGAAAATAAAAATAAAAAGAAAGAAATGCCAAAAAAGAACGGGTGACCGTGAGGATCGAACTGGGCGCGTACAGACCAGGGGGGGGAACTGGTTAAGGGATATAGTTACCACCCTAGCCTTAACCACTACGTTAGCGAAAGCCCCAGCTCGTCCCCGATCGGCACCCGTTTCAAGTTGTAAGCTTGAGCGTTGGACGGGTAGATAAAGTCCCTCGTAGATGGGACGGTCGGGGGAGTGGCAGCTGGCTGTCGCCCGGCAACCGTAGGGGGAGTGGAGACGGACAGCCCAGGCAGGCCGACCTCCCCCCCAGCGCGGGCACGCCAGACGACCTACAGGCCCACAGCCCTGCCCAGGGCACCAAGGGCGAGCCCGATGACGCGATAGAGCACACTAGCTTTGGCCGGACTCGCCTTGCTCGAGCTGGTTGATAGCGGGCGGACCAAGGAGAGACACACCCGTCTCTGGCCTCTAGGGCAGGGCACACGCGGACCCCCCATAGCGCGAGTTTCTGCTGCTTATTATTACCGAGACCTGGTTTTTCGCCCTGCATTTTCGCCCTCCTCCTCTCCTCGTCTTGTTTTGAGCAGGTATCACACCACACCAAGCAGCACCACACCAAGCATACACCACACCATGCATACACCAAACCAAGCATACACCCCACCAAGCATACACCACACCAAGTATACACCACACCAAGTATACACCCCACCAAGTATACACCACACCAGCATATCGTGCACGATAGTCAGAGATATACGGGCACAGCCGTACACTTCCTTGTTTTCTTCAATCACCTTCGCGTGAATATCCTCGTCTTCCTTCCCGACTAGTCACCCTCACGCCGACCTATCTGCCTGCTCAGCAGCCTACCGACCTCTTCGCGGGTAGATATACGCACGAGTAAGTTTCTGGGTGACATGTTCTGATCCTCTCGAAATGGTGGGACCATGTCGTGATCTGCGATGAGCAGATATCGTCTTCTTTGCTACCTTTTGGTCTTGTATCCGCTGCAACATTCAAACCCCCATCATCCTTTCTTAATTTGACTCGATATCGCGACATTTGCCTTGGAGCGCATCACTTTACCAATGCCGTTTAGCTCCCAGCACACTCAGCACACTCAGCACACTCAGCACACTCAGCACACCCAGCACTCCCAGCACATCCAGCAGTCCCAGCAGTCCCAGCAGTCCCAGCACTCCCAGCACATCTTCCCCAGTCTTGATATCAAATGGCCTTTCAAGTCTTGCAAGATTACTCTGCAACACTATTCCTCGGCATCACGAACCCTCAGCACTGTTTTCCAGATCCAGCCTCGTTCGCATTCCTGCGGGAACCTCCTGGTAGCTTCTCCTTCACTACCCTCGTGGCTCCTGCAATGCCTTGCTTCTGGCGGCAACGCACTGGACATGCTTATCTTGACACCCCCGTTATCTTTTTTGGCGAAGGCTCTACCCACACCATCTGCTGAAATATCAGCCTCGCCGTCTCGAGCCTCGCTGAAATCCTTTGAATGCCTTGCACTGCCAATGCTCTACTCAGCCGCTAACCATTCTTTTGTACCCAGGAACCATTCTGGCATAGCCGCAGTCTCCATCACAGGCATTGGGATCCGAGCACGCGTCATTGTGCTTAAGCTTTTATACACCACGGGCCCGCCGACGCTTGACATGGGGCCTGAGAACTTCAAGACGCTGCTCGCTTCACCAGAGCCCGTAGTCACGCTTTTCTTGGCCATTGTCATGGTTAGACTGGCCCATCCTCAAGAGCACGGCGTCGGCATTGGTCATACTTGGTCTCGGCTAGTTGCCCCTCAAGCTCGACTTCATCGGCGTTGTGTCCGTTCTGCTGCGCGGCGACGGACCAGATGGCAGCTGGCAAGTTCTCACAACATCAGAAAAGAAGAGGAAAGCAACGCCAACGACGAGAGAAAGAAGAGGAAGAAGAAGTGCACGCGCCTGGAAAAGCAACATCCACAAAATCATGCTGGTCGGGTGATGGCGGGTGTTAAGAATACTGTACAGCGGCTGTCGGGCTGCAGCCACGGACCGTGCAGATTGGAACTGGCATTGCTGGCAATCGGATCCGAGCACGTGTTCTTCCTGCTCAAGCTTTTTTCTCCATTCTTTCACTTTCTCTTCATTTTCACGGAGAACTACTCCCCTCGCTCTGTTCCTTTTTCAGCCAAGAAAACGCCGGCGCTTGGTCAACTGTCGTCTGCCGGCGGAGACAAGTTTCCACGGCCTCGGCTTTCGACTCGGCTGCGTGAGAAGCTCGGACGACTCCAGCTCTCACCATCAGTGGCAAAATCTAGCGGCTTCAATCCCTGAGCCTGCTAGCTAGCTCAGTTTAAAAAAGGCCGACACAGAGCAGCAGACCAGTGGCTCGCCTCCGAGCTAGGCCACTTCAGACCAGGCCATTCCCGACAACTGCACCCACACGACAAGTCCATCGCCAGTTTCTGAAAACTCAACCAGTTCTGGGCTTGGCCTGTGAGGTGCTCGTGTTCAACCCGCACGCCAATCCTTTCCTCAGAACCTTGAACACGGACGTCTCGCAGACCCAGCTCAGCACGGTCGGTACTCGGGAGGATCTCTTCGGTGCTCCAACGCGAGAACAAAGCGGCGGGGACAAGACTCGCAAGCACAAGAAAATTAAAGCCAACAAGGAGCTTGAGGCGGGAAAGAATAAATGGCAGGAGCTCGTGAAGCTTGTCAAAAAGGACAGCATGTTCCGAGACGGCGGAGGCGGAGGCGGAGGGGTGGGCCACAGGCACGACCGGCGGGCATCTGTCGGTAGCGCAAGAGGCGACCCGCTGCGCTACCGGCAGATACTTTAGAACATTATCAGCAACGCTGCTAAACCTACCGAGAAGGGCAGCATCCGGGCCCGAGCAGCGGTTCAAGAAGAGGGTGAGATCAGCTACCTGATCCTTACCGAAGCCACTAATACCGGTATCGGGATTTCGAAACACGCCACGGCGTCGTTGTTTACGCCATTTACCCAATATGATATTACGACGACCAAGCGGTGCAAGGGTACCGGGCTCGGCCGTTCGATAGCTCGGCCGCTAGCCGAGTTCATGGAGGGTAGAATCAGCTCCCAGCCCAACTCCGAACGGCACGGTAGACGCTGCTCCTTGTTGAGGACAACGTGGGCGATCCCAAAGAAACGTCAACATCAAGACTCTAGTTGGCCTCTTCGTCCGTGATGAACCAGCCCACCTCATTCAAAGACGTCAGCAAGTCGGCAGCAGCAAGTCGGCAGCAGCAAGTCGGCAGCAATCCAAAAAAGAATTGGCCCGGTTCTTCACCCTCTTCGCAGCCAGTGCGACGGGGGGTACAAGTCGACGTACCGAATTCCAAGCCCGTCTCCCAATGATGGACCTGTCAAAGGCACTTGTGAGAATCTGGAGAGCAATGTATCAACCATTCATCAACAGTGTATCAGCAGTGTACCAATATTGTACCAACAGTGCACCAATATTGTACCAACAGTGCACCAACATTGTACCAACAGTGCACCAACATTGTATCATCATTGTAACAACATTGTGCCAACACTTTCCAACAATGTACCAACACAGAACATTTTGGTGGGAAACGGATGACTGCATTGCTTGGAGGAAGGCTCGCTATCTGGGCTACCGCGGAATATGTATTGGAAAGTGACGGTCTGGATAAGTAGAACCCATAGATCCACCGGTTGGCCCGACAACATGTGCCAAGCCATAAAACATCAGTTGGCAGGCCCGACGGCGCGCGCCTTCCTCACCCGATAGCAACCCCTAAACTTCAGACCACATCGACGTGCTCCGCGACGATCAAGAGAGCGGCATTGTGAAGGATGAGCCGGAGGAGGAGTAAGACGGGGGACGACAAACTGGGCTACTACAGTCGGGGTACGACAAACTAGGCTATTATAGTGTGTGCGTGGTGGTGGGCATGAGTCATTTCACTTTAGTCAGGTGGGGGACTTTTGGAACACCCCTGCCTATGGAACAGCCCCTGAATCGGACCCCGCACAACACCACAAACTTCAATTGCCAACAACTTTGTCAATTAATTAGCTACAATAATGAAGTCTTCAGTATCGGATTTTCCTGATTCTTCTCTTTCAGAATAACTAAGGTCCTCTCTGCCAGCCTCTCTCTGTGAGGCACGAACCTCCTCAATTCCAGCGAACTGCGTATTAGGGTCGACTTGGACCTTCCTTCTCTTTCGGCCTCTTGTGCGTTCTAGGCTTTTTTCTGCAGCCTCCAATTGATGCGCCGTATTGGCTAGTTGGAAAACCACGTAATCGAAGGCTTTTGCGGCCTTGCGTATGAAAAGTCGGTCGTTGGCAGTCCGTTTCTGGCCGGCTAGAAAAACCTGCCCCTGAATACGGAAATCCTTCGGCTTTTTAGGGGTAAACCATATAGGCCGGCCCTCCGAATTCTTATTTAGAATGGGGTTATGGACCTCTTGAAGGTCTATAGAAACCGTAGAGGTCAGTTGACCAACGTCGCCGTTAGAATTCTTAATAACAAGGCCGTTGCTTAGGGGCTTCCTGAGGCTGACCGGCCAGAGGCCTGTAGCTTTCCAGCTGGCTTTGATATTAGATTCAGTCATTCCATAGACCCTGGCTTGCCGGTAGCATTCTAGGAAGGCCCTCTTTTCAGCAACAGTGCCTTCGTCGAAGCCGGAAACAACCTCGTTATGCTTGGCTCTGTACCGGGCTTTTAGAGGGCCGAAAACCGATAAATCCAGGGGCTGGAGAACGTGGGAGGTGTGGGCTGGTAGAAATAACAATTGTACGTTATTAGAAAAGGCTAGCCACATGAATTCTTTGGTGGTATGACTACCGTGGCCATCTAAAATAAGGAGGCGCTTCTCCGAGGGGGTAGCTGGCCGAGTCTCTGGAAGAAAGATATTGCGGAGCCATGCGACGGCAGTATCATCGTCAGACCAGCCGTTTTCAGTGGGTTTCCACTTCCAGCCCTTAAATGGCTGTAAATCGCGTGGATACCATTGTTGTTGAAGGCTTCCACCTTTGAAAATGACGACTGGGTTCAAATACCGGCCGTCAGCGGAAATACATTCGATAATCGAGGTCCAAATTCGGTCTCCTTTCTTCTTTTTCTGGAATTTCTTTCTTTCCTTAGATCCAAAAACCAGGCCGTTATCTCCAATGCCAGAAGCAATGCCAGTTTCATCTATATTATACCTATGCTTGGCTGGAATAGCCTCCACGCCTGGAGGCTTCAAATAGTCAAACCAAGGCCGGATAACGGCCTCACAGGCTCGATCAGCACGGTTTGCATGGATTCTCCGAGGCCTAATTGTAGAAATAGATGGATTTCTAGCCAAAAACCGGCTAGTCCAGCGTTTTCCGAGGGTCTCGTTATCTTCGAGCATTCTTCTAGCTAGTTTCCGAATTTGGGCGTGGGTTGGAGGGTGACCGAGCGACCCTTGGAATAGAATCCATTCGGTTAAGCGTTCTTCCATAGCCGGAGAAAGCTTTTGATTAAGAATTTGGGCCTTGGAGGCTGGCTCGGAACCACGAACCCGATTAAAGAGAGTAGTAGGGGGGATGCCGTGATTTTCAGCAGAGCTACGGAGTAAGCCGGTTTCTGCATACTCTGCCAGCGCATTCTGCAAATCCAACTGAGTATATCGCTTTATCTTTCATTTCTCAATTAAATGGAGAAAAGAAGATAAGTATTGAAGCAGAATTGGTCGAGTTGCAAGCGATTGAAATAGGTGAGTTGGGTGGCGAGCGGCAAGTCCTTGATGACAAACCTTGTTCCAAATCCAGGGGTGTTCCATAAGCAGACCACCTGACTTTGGTGACAGATCTAACTGTGGAGGTCGCCCCTGGAGTAGAAGTAGGCGTGAGAAAACATTTGATACTTGGTGCCGTCTCTTCTACGTGGATGCAAAGGCAGTGCCCTGGCTGACCTGATGTCACCGACTATCGTCTGTCCTGTCTCACGTGATTCGGGTGTTGATCTACCAGTGACTAGAAATGAGTTGGATGCGTTCTCATTGGGCGCCTTGAGCAGTCTGTCCTTTTTTCTGCTCGGGCTTAAGTGCAATGGTCTGCCAATGTCGGATCCTGCCTTTTTCCAGACTCGTGAACACTGCAAAGCTAATAAGTAGGGTTGGAGAAGAACAACCCCCAACATGATTACGTGTGCTAGGCCCAGGCCTAGCCCGGGGCACTGGTTGGCCCTGCAGATCCAGCCTATCCCCCCCACATAGATTCTCCGCCCACGCGTAGATAGCTTAGCTTCCATAGAAAGCAATACACACACATGCATTCCCTACGTGCCCTCGCATATTACGTCTTTCACACCGGAGCTCAAAGTAAAGAATCAGGGTTGAGCAAGACATATTTCTTCTCTGCGCTGAATCTACGCTGAATCTCTGCACTCGTAGCAAACTAACAAACGCACAAGACCCGAAAAGCAATATCACACAACGAATCAGCCAAGAGACGCTACAAAGCGGCTACCAACAAGGAATGCATCGCGTGTTTGATCAGACCCGGGCTTGAACCGGAGGTCTCGCGTGTCTGATCAGACCCGGCTTGAACCGGAGGCCTTCAGTGTGTTAGACTGACGTGATAACCAACTACACCATCCGACACACCATCCGACCAGATGCTTGTTTGATGGAGTTCCGGCTCCATCGCGAGGCTTATCAGCAGCGGGGCGACGCCGTTCGTTGCTCAAGGTTCAGGGGTGCCGGCGCCGGTAGAGTCTGGGTTGTGGAGTGGGATGAGGTGAGTGGAAATATTAATTAAAGCGGCCGGTTCTGGCTAAATTTGTTCTGAAACAATGCTGTGCCGCTAATGTAGACAGACGGTGGTGACTACCCAGAGTAGTGCGGCTGCTGCCTGGCGATGTGGCACAAAATATGGGGAAGCACAACCTGCTTACTGCGTAACCGCCCCTGGTATACTTGGCGCCGACGCTGTTCATTGGCCACATCCATCCATCGGACGTTGCAATAAGCTCGTATGAGCTCCGCCGTCTGGCGATCCCAACTTCGCGACGTGGTCCCGCTGCCCTCCGACAGTCTCCCTGCCCGTCGTTCGGTCAGCGAAATCTCTCCAGCCGAGAACCGACCGAGTTGCATGACAGCATGACAGCGTGACAGCATGACGGTGGCAACATCCCGGCCGAATCAGTGTGTGATTAACGCTTGGCCGCTGCGTGCCTCTTGCGGGGTGCAAGGCGGGCAAATTGCGGTGCAAGGCGGGCAAATTGCGTGCAAGCGGTGGTGCGGCGCAGCGGACGGAACGGCCGCTGGTGCGGGATCGGAGCCGTTCCGTGTGGGTGGGCAAACGCAACCGTTACATTTACTCTAGCAGATCCCCCGCTATAAATATTCCACTTCGTCGTGAAAAACGGGGTTGGGCAAGCTTGGGATGATTAAGGCCCGGGCGGCGGTGGCTGCCAAGCCGTTTCACGATCGGTCGAGTGATGGGCCCAGGGGCGAAATCACCCCAACAATTGCACGCTTGCAGGCTGTGGACCCTGGTCGCGCCTATGGCCGGTTACGGCATGTTGAAAATGAGATGTTGGACGGCCGGTGCGCCTCTCGGCACGGCCAGGGCCAGTCGAGCGACCGCACCAACAGACATGGTCGAGTATAATTAAGACCATGCCTCGGGCCTGTCTGGTTTTTCTTGAAAGTCCGTCGCCACACTTGACATCTCAAGACCTGCAAGTCCAGACACAATAGCCCGCGAGGCCGACTCAGAATGGCTGCCACACGCAGCCTCGTCCTCCTGTCCATCGTCGGCGTGCTCGGCGCGGCCGCCCGCGATGTCCCGGCAAACGTGCTCAGCTTCTACAACTCGTTGAAGGCTGGCGGCGCGTGCTCCAACCCGCTAGAAACGGGCTTCCGGGACACGGACGGCGGCCCCGACAGTAAGATTCCCCCCCCCCGCCCCACCGCAGAGAGGATGCTTGCCTCCCCCGCCGAGCCGCCAGCCTTTGCTAACGCGCCGCCAGCCTTCTCGTACTGCGGCGACCACCTGGCGGACTTCGGCATCGTATACATCACGGGGACGGGGGGCGCGCTGGCCAACATGGACATTGACTGCGACGGGGCGCAGGCGGGCGACGGACGGTGCGGCAACAGCGACGACATCCAGTCGCAGACGGCCTTCAAGGACGTGGTGGCGAGCTACGGCGCCGGCATCGACGACCTCAACGCCAACGTCCACCCGTTCGTCGTCTTCGGCAACGACGGCTCCGCGCCCGGCTGGACCAACTTCGACCCGCAGGAGTACGGCATCGAGCCGCTGAGCCTCATGGCCGTCGTGTGCGGCGACCAGCTGGTGCGTGCACTTCCTTCATCACCAGCTCGCCCTTCCCAGTTCTGATCCCTGTGTGTGTAAGTAGATGTACGGCGTGTGGGGCGACACCAACGGCGATGACGACCCGGACCCGCTAGTCGGCGAAGCGAGCCTGTCCCTCGCCACAGCGTGCTTCGGCAACAGCATGACGGGCGACAACGGCCACGACACAGAGGACGTGCTGTACATTGGCTTCACGGGCGCGGGGGCAGTTCCAGGGGCCGACGGGGCGGACTGGGCGGCCGCCAGCTTTGCCGCGTTTGAGAGCAGCATCGCCGCGCTGGGCGACCAGCTCGTCGCCAAGATCGGCAGCACCAGTGGCGGCAGTACTACTACTACGGGGATGGGGTCCGGAAAGGAGGTCCCTACGACCACGACGGGGTCGACTGGCAGCTGCTCGTGGGACGGCCACTGCGCGGGAGCGCCGTGCGGGGACGAGAATGACTGCTCTGATGACCTGGTCTGCAAGCGCGGGTTGTGTGCTGCGTGAGTGTGATGCGTGAGTGTGCTGCCTTTATTCGACGTGATGTGTCTTGCTGGGGCGATGTGACAAGCAATTGGGCAACGAAGGTAGTTATAATCTGGCGTTTTAATAAGGTTAGGTGGCTAATCAGTGAAAGAAAGAAGAACGAAGCGAGCTGCGTTGAGCCAGCTTTGTGTCGCGTGAGGTGGCGGCTACCGTTGCCCTTGCCCCCCAAATGCTACTAATTACGTACCACAAAATCTGCACCGCTGGCAGAACTGTGTTCGGTCTTCAATGCCTGTTTTGTATGCTATGCTGATTAGCCCACGGCATCTAGACTAGGTCAATCCCGCCCTGGGCGACAGAATCCGAGCTGCTCGACTGCAACGCTCTAATTATTATTATGGCCCGACAAAAACGGCCTATGCCGACAGGTGCATCGGTGCCAATAGTTACAGACCCTGGCAACTTTGCCGATTGTCTGGTGTCCCTGTGCATGGTTTCTGTGCCGTTCCCTTCCTCTTTCTTCTTCTTTGTCTGTGTGTTGCGGCACATTGTGGTTGGGCCCACTCCTTTGTTTACCCCCCTTTTCCCTATTTATCCGTCCCCCCTTTGTGTCTCCCCCTTTTATTTACTATCCCCCTTTTTGCCCCCCCCTTTTGTTTACTATCCCCCTTTTTGCCTCCCCCTTTTGTTTACTATCCCCCTTTTTGCCTCCCCCTTTTGTTTACTATCCCCCTTTTTCTTGCTGCCCCGCAACCCGCTAACCTTGCTTCCCAGCTCGCCTTGTAAACAGGATAGGATGTGCTCGATGTTTGGGGCGTGCGGGCGTGCGGGCGGCGGGCGGCGGGCGGCACCGGTTCATGTGTGGACGCGTCCGTCTTCCCCTTGATCTCGCCCGTGTAACCGTTTGGCACCCAAATTCCGTCGTCCCACGAAATAGGTAAATCACAAATGCATCTTCAATAGGCAAACATTCCATTGTCGTCATCAAAAAGACGTCTAATTTAAAGCTTGGTGTGCTCCCAGAGCCACGCCCGAGAAATGCGCTTCCGGAGCACGACGAGTCGGCTCCCAGGCCAACCTCCCTCGGCATCTCAACCAGCGGCTGTCGGAAGGTATATCATACACTACAGTAATAGAGCCCGCTCAGCGGTAATCCTTTATGCCAGAGTCCAGTCCGGTGTTGCAATCTTGTATCCGCACGCCGGCCCCCGTTTTTTTCTGCCAGATAGCAGCTTGGTCCATGGAGCCTGTCCATGGTGCGGTTATCGACATCGCTGGGGCCACATTATTCCATAAAACTCATTTAGGCATTGTGACCGCCATGCGAGCATGTGGGGTCTTCTTCGTATCCATGACGAAGTAGCCCGCCTCATCATGTTCCACAGGCCCATACGGATGAACTTCGTACTTTTTATAATTCGCGCGGAGCTTAAATTTCTGTGTGTCGATGACGCAGTCCTTGCCATCGTGCTTGAGATCCGGAAACAGATTGTCTGTTACGCTGGTGCCGTCTTCGTTGGTGACGATCTTGACGTCGACGGTCTTGCCGGCCAAGGTGGCCGCCGCCTTCCGCTCGTCGTCCCACTTGGCGACATCAATCGTCCGCCTCGAGATGACGTTTTCGTAGTGCTTCTTGTCGTCAGTGAGCTTCCACTCGTTAAGCGCCGCCATAGAGTTGAGCTGCTTGTTTCCGGCCGCCTCCATATCGCGGTGCCTGTCGTTCATGCCCATGAGGCCAAGCACGGCGATTGCCAGGTTGATTGTCAGGCCGTGTTTGCTCTCCCAGGGAATGGCGACGTACTCGATTCCCGCCCGCTTCTTAGGTGCGTTATCGTGGTTGACGACGCGTCTGATGCGCAGCGCGACCATCTCATCCTGCGTCACCAGCCACGCGTAGCGCGACTCTCCGTACCTGCAGTAGGTCGCAATTTGGCGGAGCGGAAGAAGACGCTCGATTGCCACGTTAAGGCGCGGGGGGGCTTGCTTCCCGAAGATGCCCGATCCATAGTCTTCATGACTTTGCCGTCCTTGTCTTCTCCCTCGACAAGCCAGGCGGACTTCCACTTCTGCTTCAGCTTGCTGTCACCGATGGCGTAAATACGTTCCCTTACTGGGCGTGGCTTTTCAGGATCATCTTTTTCCTCCGTGTATTTTGTCGTTATGTCGTGGTCTAATATGGCCTAATTATCAGGTGAAAGACAAGAACCGTGTGTGGTTAGCGAGCTGGTCACATGCACACCTGAGATGATGTCCAAGGTGGGCAGAAGGGCTAATTAAGGGGGGGGTGTCGTTTCCAATCGGAAAACAATTTAGTTACTTACCCAATCCGGGCTAACGGCAGAATTTGTAGTTTTGGGAATTTTCCATTCAATCTTCTTAGACACAATAGTGGCGTCTGATTCGGGATGTTTTGCTTGGCGTTTCAGTTGCTTGTGGAGGTCATGGGCTGCTCCTTTGAGGGCGTGTCTGACGACGGGGATGAACCAGCCGATGCCGAATGTGTCAAGATCGTTCTCATTCCGAATGAACGTCGGCGTGCCTGCCGGGGTGTTTATTCTCTGGTACTTCTTGTCGAGCCCAATGTCGGAGTAGTCGTCAACCTTCTTCTGGAGGATGTTCCCATACGCCAGAACGATGGCTCCAAAGTTGAAATCTGTCCAGTGCTCAACTAATGAATGGCTCGGGCTAACCACCACTTCATCGAAGTTGCCGCCTTGGGACTTCGTGTTGCCGTAGCTTGAGCCATCCCACACATCAGTGAGGGTTGAGTTTGGCCTCTGGAGGATATCCAGCAACTTCCTCGACTCAGCCATGATCAATACAATGGATGTTCTCCTTCTGAGATCTTGGAGAAAGAGGAAGGGAAGGTAAATGTGAGTACAGTATGTCAAGGATAGTTGAGAGCGGGCTGGGTTGATGGTGCTGAGAATGAGGCTACAATGAACCATCTTCATGATCCGGAATTGGGGCTTTATAATCGCCGAATGACGCCCAAGAAACCCGTGCCAGACGGAGATACGAGACTGGGCGTCGCCAGACATGATTACACGGAACAGTAATCTCATTGCCAGAGCTATTTTGGGGCTGTCGTGAGGCAGAAGAGCACCCGCGGCGGGCCCTGCGGGAGGCACAGACAGACGTGTTTCGGGAGTTGCGAGGTATTCCGAGGGCTCGCTCAGAACTTGGTCCTAACTAGATAGGGCAAAAGTGTCTGGATTCCGCCAGGCAAGGACAAATCCGGTTTCCGCGTTCAGACTCAGTTGGTTCCACCTTTAGACTCAGTTGGGTTTGAGACCAACCGACGGCGAGAAAAGGGGTGTGTAACACGATGATGATCTGGCTAGCCTCGCTTGGCACGTCAGTGGCGGCCGCAGGGAGACTCGAAATAGGGGCCGGAGTCCCCTTTCTGGGGGCGGCGACTGAAGTGAACTTGGTCACTTGCAGCTCGATGCGACGGTCCAGACGAGCATAATAATTATGGAAGTACTAGGCGGAATTTCCGCACAAGGATGGCGCGGGCTGACGCCTGATGTTTGGGGGCTGTAAGCCAAAGTCAGAGATTAATTTTTTCCGGGTTTGCGAAGGCTTAATCTAAAAGGAAACAGCCCCCTCCCTTTGGCTTCCACTGTTGACTGGCAGGTCTTACCTAATAATCAGCCCCTGTCGTTGCAATTGTTAGAAAGTGGCTAATTATTAGGTGGCTCACAGGAGGGAGGGAGCCTACCTTGACCAATGGCGGCAGTTTCCGGCACACCTCCTCAGTGTCGCTCGGGTGTGACAAGGTGCCTAAGCCGGACATACCTTTTGTCCGCCGTGTCCAAGCGAATGAGGTTGGGAATTCGACTCGACAGATACATGTACTAGGCACCCACAAGAGGCTCGGGCCCCAAGGACGCACAGCACCTAGGCAGTTAAGGGCTTGAGGTACCTGTACCTCGGAACATCAGAGCAGTTGGTTTGCCATGCAACTTGTCGGACCTGAGTGACGTTTTGGGTGCCACTTGACGCCGTCAGACTCGAGTTTCAGGGCTAAATTTGGTACAGGCATAGGTACAGGCACAGGTACAGGCACAGGCACGGGCACAGGCACAGGCGACGACAACGACCTCCCTCGCAAGTTACTTCACTTCCATATCACATATCACATCCATATTCCACTGTCAGTCGCCAAAGGCAGGCCGCCGCGCACTGACCCGCCGTATCAGATTCGGGTATATCAAGTCCAAGGGCGACGCGCGCAGCCAGCGGTGTGAAGTCTCGAATTAACCAACTGCCTTACTCACTTGTTTTAATCAATTTCCCTTCCACTTCCTCCTTCAATTCTCCCTCCTTCCCTCCCGCATGGTGCCGCCATGTCTCAACCCCGCCTCCCGCTCCCCCAAGTCCCAGGTCCCAAGCTCGCGCCCTTCTACAACGGCCAAGCCGAGATTGAATTCCTCGAGCCGCTTGGGAATGCCGAAGAGGACTATGAAGGCGCCGTCTGGAAGGTCCAGATCAAAGGGGCCACGTATGCTCTCAAAATGGTAGGATACTATTGATGCAAAAAGACGTGAAGCCGAAACTGACTCCAAGAAACGGGAAGTTCAAGTTCCGCGAGGCCGAGTACCTGAGAGACTCGGGCGAGGGCGGCTATCAACAGGGCCAGTTTCAATCCCTACAGCACTACGTCGATTTCTATGATTCCTTCAACTGCGAGTGTCGTGCCTACGGCCGGCTGAAAGAGCGTGGCAGGGAAGACCTCGCCATCCCCGCCCAGGGCTACCTCCTTTTGACTTCTAGACAAGAAGATCTTCTTGGCTATGGCAACGACTTCTGGAACCGGACAGCCGAGTACAAGAATCGCGACAAGCATCCCATCCGCGCCATCGTCAAGGACTTGGCCACCGAGATGATCCCATTCAGAGAAGTACAGGTCGGATCCCTGTGGAGGGACGCCCACGAACTGCACCAGCTGGGCATCCTCGTACGCGACATCGAGATATCAAACTACCTCGGCGCCAAGCTCATCGACTTGGGCCATGCCTGGACCATGCCCCATCCGGGTCTCATACACATCACCCATCGCGCCCTTAAATTGCAGAAGCAGATGGACCCCCAAATGCTCTAGAACCTCATTGTCAAAATGGACGGGACACCGGGTTGGGACCAGAAAAAGGTGGCCATGCCCCAGGGCCTGAGAGACGCCGGAGCATACGCTGAGAGCAGCGGCGACAGCGACCCGACCGCATACAATTGGCGCGAGAAAATGAGCGACAAGGAACGCCACACAGCTGATGAATTTTACGGCAGAGATTATCTCATGGTGCCCGCGTAATTCGTTAGGAACTCGGAGGAAGCGTCTGGCGGGTTTGTTGACGGCGCCAGCCACCGTTGATGGGACGCACCACCCCTAGGGTGCCTTGGTTCTAAATCGGCTATGGGGGAGGTGCCCCAAGTACGGTACTTACCTGTGTACCTGGATTGGACGAGACGAATTACCCTACCATTGCTGGTCGAGGTATGGCGTGGTCCTGTCCACCTCAAGCCCCAAGGGCAGGCACCTGGAATAGCTTGAGATGTTAATCTTGAATCAAAACTAGATTCCCAATAGTCATTCCTTGATAAGCAAGCCGAAGCACTCGTCGTGACACTGAGTGGCCGCGCCAGGAGGCACACAGTTCGCTGGCCCTCCTTTGCTTACTCTAAATATCCGAAATGTCTAACTACCCGAGATGTCTAACTACCCGAGATGTCTAACTACCCGAGACGTCTAACTATCCGAGATGTCGTGTCTAAACAAAGAGGTCAGCGTTGGAAATGGCTCAAACGACTCAATCTTGAGGCTATATTTGGTTGAATTGAGCCACCAAAAATGGATATTTGGCTGGGTTGAGGCTAGAATTGATTGATATGGTAATAATTGATGATATTTGACGGCATCTGTTGGAATAGCGATACTGGTGACCGCACACTAGAGGGAGGAAGCAGAGATCGCGCGAGTACGCACGTGCAAGTAGGCACGTGCGGCGCGCGGACCTCTCACACACACACACAAAAACCCCGGTCGCACGCAGAACCTACCTTAGTTCCGGAGAGAGAGAGAGGGAGAATAGACACAACATTAACCCCGGTAGATCTACCAACCCTTCGACCTGTAGGATCCCTACGTAGTTTGAGTACCACGAACAGCATCTTCAGCTCCACCAAAAAAGATGTAAAAAGTTATCAAAGATGTCTAAAATAGTAAAAAAATGCCCTGAAGCCCGGAAAAGCTCGTCAACGTACCCAATCCTTCAAGTACATGATGCTATTGAAGGTATCGTCGCCCATTCTATCTATGCGCCGAATACCAGCTTACCGTTACTGAATGCCCTCTCCGGGTCCGCTGACACAAGTCAACTAGGCCAAAAGCGGAACACCCTAGCTGCGGAATTTGCCATGTAAGACACAAACGCCATCACATCCTTCGCGCAGGTCACACCGCTGAATAGCACAACTGCTTCATTGAACGGTGGTAATTTGTGTTGAATGCTCTAGCTTACACGGGCGGAAAAGCGCCACCGGCATGTTCCGCAGCTAGGGTGTTCTGCTTTTAGCCCAGTTGACTTAGACCTCAACGCCCTCTTCCTCGACGTGAAACTTTCGGCATGCCCTTTTGCAAATGGCCTGCCGCCGAGCTTGTGCTTACGGCCGTGAAGACCTTCTCGTAATAGTGATATGCCTAGAATCGCTGTAGGAATGGAAGGTTCGGTAGAAAGGTCGGATTCGGCTGTTTATTTACGTCGTGATGGTTGCATTGCAGCTTCAACGGTGCATTGCAGCGACCTGCGGCCTGCCTCGCAGATTTTCCCGGGCCCAGGAAAATACAGGGCTGGTCTTGGTCAAGGAGCGCCCTGGACCCAGGAAAATCCGAAAAATCCGCCCTAAAAATGGCCTGGCCAATGGGAAATAATTGCCAATTCGCCAATTATTTTGGCCTTACGAGTTGGTTGAATCTGACCTCAAAATGGTGTAATTAATTGCTCTAAATGGCTATATTTGATCGACTGAATTGGATAAATTCGAGTTGGTGCCGGCGCTGAAACAGGTTGCCAGCTGGTTAGGACCCCCAATTAACTAGTTCCCCTGCATGAAATGGCGAAAAGGTCAACAATGGTCTGCATTTTCTCATGCAGACTACATGTGCCGCGGTTTGGATTGCCTTTTTGGCGGGCGCGTGGTCTTAAGTTTCAGCAGTCTAGGCCGCCTCAATAAGCACATATCGGATGGGGCACATATCCTTTCGGTGTTGACAGTGCCCACAGTACTAAACCCCTACCACATACGCAAATTTCTCCAGAACCAAACATGCTATCAGAAAGGAAGGGTCTAGAAATGACTAGAATTGTAGGTTTATAGTAAACTACCACAAAACGCGCAATCATTGCCAGACGACTTGCCACCATTCACAACTATAAGAAAGGTTCTTTTGTTATGGCGGCCATGCAAGGGTTGGGGTTATAAGAGTGAGGTAGGCCATTGGTATAGGGCTCCGCGAGCGCCCGCAAGGATTGGCGCTTTCGCGCTCCGGATGCTAGATTCCTTTCTTTCCTCAACTTTACTATTCTATAATAACAGCCTACGATCTAGTGTGACGCCGTAGGCGTTGTAGGTGATGAGGATAGGTGTGAGACACTGTAAGAGGGAAGATTCGTGGTTAAAGGGAAATTGAATGATTAGTTGAAGCGTGTCTCTTGCTCTCCGGCAGAGCCAGAGAGCTATATTATATAGTTGAGGTTGGTGGCGACTGCGGTGGCGAGCCTGACAAATAGACTAGTTCTGGCTACGTGTAGAACCTTCTAGTCGCGTGTTACATCTAGCGCAGCCTGCCTCGCCAAAGAACCAATAAGATAGAAAAAGCAAGAACAGTCACATAATTTTCAACCTTATCAATTCCACTAAACCCAGAGTGTGGTGTTCCTGGCAGTATATAGTGTGTGGCAAAACGAGCGATGGGTTACGTCATTCCTTATAATTTTAGTAAATATGGCATAGTTATTCGCCACAGATAAGAAGTATATGATAAGGAACTAGGAACAGGTTATGGGTGGGGAGGAGGTTAAGCAACTATGACGGTCTGATAACTGATCATTTAAGCAGCTGTATAACTGCCTCGTGGCCGTTCGCCGCGGCCCACAACAGCGGTGTCCAGCCGCCGTAATCCGTCAAATCGATACTGGCGCCCTTTTCGAGCAGTAGCCGTACAACCGCCTCGTGGCCGCTCGCCGTGGCCTCCGACAGCGGCGTCCAGCCGCCGTTATCCGTCAAATCGATACTGGCGCCCCTCTCGAGCAGCAGCCGTATAACTGCCACGTGGCCGTTCGCAGCGGCCCACGATAGTGGCGCCTGTCTATGCTCCTTATACTTTGCCTCGATGTTGATACTCCTGTCGTCGAGAAGTAAATCATCCATTATCCTCAGCACCTCCTCATCCGCCTCTCTCCAAAAGCCGTGACCTAGGTCAGTTTCATCCACGCTTCCTAATCCTTCCCTAAGTTGACCATGCCTATTTTGGCCCAGCCCACTTTTGGTCCGTGCTGAGCCGCCGACTCATGAATGACACCCTACATTGAAGCATCTAAAATATCACCAAATCAACTAATTACTATACAACTTTCGACTTCTTCTTCTTCTTCCGAGCCCTCTGATTTTTCAGAGCTATCACTTTCGCGCCCTACTGCCCTCTGCGCGCGCCGAATGTCTTTTATCGAGGCAAACTTCGAATTTAGGCTCAATTCCACCTTCTTCCTCTTGGTTCCCTTTTTGTTCTCAAGCTCAGCTTTCAGAGGCTCATTTTCGTGCCTGAGCTTAGCCAGCTCAAAGTCCCTGAGGGTGAATGCCTTCCTGACCTTCCTGAATAGCTGATGACGTGCCCTGCGGGCCGGGGAGCTGATGTTTATTTTAGCCAAAGCAATCGTAAGGTCCGTAACCTTATTAGGAGTCTTCCAAGTGCCGTAATCGTTAAGCAACTGTTGTTGCTGATGAGCCGTATCCCTCTCTTCCTCGAGAGTAGCTATAGCCGTACTTTTACCGGCTTTGTTGCTATTATCTAGCACTTGAGGGCTCGTGAGTGGCTTGAGCTTATTTACCGGCCACAAGCCGGTAGCATACCACCCTGCCTTGCAGTTTTCTTCCTTGAATGCTTCTTCCCGGGCAGCCCGATAACAGATCAACATAGTGCGCCGGCCGGAGATTGTTGAATCGGAGCACCGGGGTAGGGAGTTAAACCCCTTCCGGTATGCCCGCTTCAGGACCGAGAAAACCGTCAAATCAAGCGGCTGAAGCACGTGTAATGAGCGTGCCGGTAAGTAAAGAAGCTGAATGTTGTTTTGGAAGCAGGTCCACGTATAATCATCAGTTGTATGACTGCCGTGGCCGTCAACAATGAGGAGCCGGCGTTCGTTGTTGGCCGTGCGGGTATGAGGAAGGAAGACTTCCTGAAGCCATTTTAACGCACCCTCGTCGTCAATCCAGCCTTTTTCTTGCGTGTGGAACTTCCAGCCTTTAAAGGGATTCATTTTGGTTGGGTAGTGTTGTTGTAAGGTTTTTCCCTTCATGATTACCAAAGGAGGTATTGACCTGCCCGTTACAGAGATGCATTCGACGAACGTGGTCCAATTCCGTGATCCTGACTTCTTTTTCTTTAGCTTCTTGTTGTTGGCTCTTTCCTCAGATCCGAGAACCATGCCGTTACCACCCTGGCCTTCAAGAAGGCCAGTCTCGTCTTTATTCCAACGGTTCTCCGGCTTGATCAGCTTGACTGCTGGGAGGGCCAGGTAGTTGAACCAAGCCGTGATTACCGGGACCGTGGCGCCGTTGAGGCGGGCCGTATCCATGCTTTGGGCCCACTGGGTCCGGATTGACGGGTTCCGGGCCATGAAGCCGCGCAACCACTTCGGTCCTACCCATTCCGGCTTCCCTCCATCCACGGCCAGCCGGCGGGCAAATTCCCGGACCGTTGCATGCGTCGGAGGCAGGCCGAGAGCGCCTAGGAGGATGATCCATTCCGCGAGCCGTGCTTCCGTCGCATGAGGAAGAACCTACATGTGTTCGAATGCAATATGGCGGGATTTGTGGCCAGCTATACGGTTGCGAAGAGAGGTCCTTGGAACGCCACATTCTAGGGCCGCGCGCCGCACCGGAATGTCTTCGCGGACTTATTGCATGCCCTGCAGCATTTCCAACTCGTTATATTGAGGCATCTTCGAAATAACAGTGAAAGAGCTATCAATTGTAGTAGAATTGAAGGAATTTGGTGCTGTTTTGAGGAAGTTGCGTTGTGTTGAAGAAAAAGGATTCATCACATGTGTTGTAAGTGCATGGAGGCTTGCGCATGGGCCAAAAGTGGGCCTGGCCAAAATAGGCATGGTCAACTTAGACCTATAAATTTCCACGGCTTTTTGGAGATTCTTTGCCGCAACGTCATATCTTGCTATTCTATTCAGCAACACTCCGAAATTCCATAATCTGGTCGTTTTTTCCAGGCTATGCAAGCACTGACACTTTGCCACTGGACATTTGGGCACTTTTCGACTGCTTATCAACTTTTCATAGTCTTCTCCATCTTGCAACTTTCTTCGAGATTCATCCCAGTCCCAGACCACGAGTAAATCAATTGGGAAGGCTATTACTGAGGCTGAACGCTGTCGTACATCGTCTGTCAATGGAACCGCAATCATAATAATAGTCGAAAACCCGTCGCATAACCTGACGATTGTAGGCGAAGATGCTCCTTGCAAAAGACACACGACATCCCCTTTCTTAACGGCCTTTGCTGAGGCCTGGAAGGTGAAACGAGAGCTCTGTTTTTCTTCCGGGCCGAAATGGCTTGGCGTATCCTCCCAGGTAATCTCCACGTGCTGTCTGTCATGCCGAGTAGCATCCCCGTTTGGTCTGTTATGCCGAGTAGCATCCTCTCCAACTGAGGATACTTCGCCGAGAATGCAGCATCTTGCTTCAATCACCGCCACCACCACACCGTCCCAAGTGCTGACGGACATCTGGTCGGAGAGGCGGAATTGAACAAGATTCTGGAAGACTTCTCCCCATGCGGCCTCGTAATTGACATCTAGTCCTCCTACGTGTGGATTATCATTGCTCATACCAAGCAAGGCATACACCTTGTCGAGAGGAACGGTAGCCTTGTGCGTATGGTACATATCCACCAGCTGGCCTAGAGGGCGTATACCTAGGGAAAACCTGTCTTGTAGATTGGTTTCGTCTCCTTCGTATCTAGGCCGGAATACTGCGCCTCTTATAAGGTAGACTATCGGAGGAATCAGACCCAGCAGATGTGGGCGCGTTTCGTAGGACAGGTTTAATGCGCTCAGGCCTGAGCAGAACGCATACCCGTCGATCTCCGTAGGACCACATTTAATTAAGATATGTCGAGCTGCAGCAACCTCCTGGAGGACCTGAACTCATTATCAATGGCGATTCCCTACTCTTTAATCGTCTACCACGTACCCAAATGCGTTCAGAGCATCTCCGTTCAAGCAAAGTGAGGATATTATTCCGGTTTGTTTTGTCGGCTGGGGAATTCGCGGGCTCTTTGACTGCAGCTGCGCGAATGTCTTCGAGTGCTTGGTCGCTGCCGTCGGCTTTTTCTCCGAGCCAAACAATTACACGGCTTGCTTTGGAATAGATCTTCGCCATCAACTGAACCTGACGCCCTTTTTCGGCTTTGTCGTCTTGGTTGATGCAAATAGCATCTACCCATAGGATTCTTTCCAGAAAGCAATATCGAAGATGTGATAGCGCCCCGTAAAGGTTGGCCATGATATATAGCTCATCGCCGTCCACATAGATGGGCTGTTTGTTGTCATCAGATCCCCACACGTACGATAAGGACTCGTACGGATGGGTGCTTACTGAGTCCAACATAGAAAAGTTAGTGAGCCGGCACTGTATGTGAGGATTCTTATCTGAAAGTGGTGAGAGTCGAAGCAGCCGCACACTACCCTTCGGCAAAGGAATGTACGGGGACGTGGTAGCGTCGGAAGCATAGGCTGGCTAGAGAGAGAGAGATATGCTCCAGAGAGACAATTAGAGAGGCAATCGCGTATGTTTTCAGAATCACTGATTCTTGAGTAATTGAAAAGCTAGATTAGTAGTGCTTGACATCCTTCCGTGTTTAGCCCGCACCGAAGAGGTTTTGCTAGAAAGCTAGCCCCAAAGTAACAGTCTAATTGTGTGTAAAGTCTCCCAGGTGGGGACCCAATTTTACCCTGAAAAAGAGGGGTTTTCCTGAGGCCCAGACTGCCGGCGATTTCCGGGCTTAGTCAGGACCTCGAAAATCCCACAGGTTTCTTCTGTTCTTTTTTTGGTGGTTCCTTGCCGCCTAAACTTCGGCAGGAGGCTTCTCCTGTCAAGCATGGTCCCCGCCTTATTTCCGCCAATACTGGCAGCCACACCTCCCCTTATTACTAAGCTCCAGGTGCACTGAATCGCAACAAAACTGTTGGTTCGCAAAAAAAGGGGTACTTAGCGCACGACCAATTTGACTAACCAAGCAAAGTACTCCTGCTTTTCCAAATAATCCGTGCATCAATCCCTGCAGTTGCACCAACAACTATAGCCCTGAGAATTAAACAACAGATTCAACAACTTAGAAAGCAACGGCACTTGAAGCCCTCGGCCTGAATCGCTCAAAAACGCAATAAAATCCGTCATGGCCCTCTACGCGCATCTTCTCCTTCGGATGTGGTTTTTCCGGCGTCGAATTGGCCCACTTATCGGAATCTGGGAGGCTTTCTCCGTGGGTTCGATGCGCCCGAGATTACACGCCCAGCCGCCTGCGCATTAAAGCTCCGGTAACCACCACAACACCAGAACTGCCCGTTGAGTCTATGAAGCCGATTTTTTAACCAAACAACTATGAAAAATGCTTTATCGCCAAGATCTTTCTGAAGCCCGGGTTTTGGCCGCCGTCCCGATCAAACAACGGATCAAATAACGCCATGGAAGACTTCGAAGGCCGCAATTACAAGTCCATGGCCACCGCCGCCTCAAAATATCAAGTCCCGTACTTCAAGTTACGAAGTAGGATTCAGGGTGCTCAGCCGAAGGAAAAGGACGGCGGAAAATGTTACCAAGCTCACGCCTACCGAGGACCTTACCTTCAAAGCTAAGTTGACCGTAAGGATCACGAACGGTTAGTTACTAAGGACTTGGGCGTAACAACCGGTAACAACCGGTAAACTAACTGCCTTTCTTTCTTCCAGGCTAAGACCATCTCGGCTAGAATTGGGGAGAAAGAAGGATAAAGAACGGGGGAAGTTAGAAATAAGCAAGCTAGGGAGGTGCGGTGTATTTATGAAGGCCTAGTAACTTTATCGGTCAAGCGGCTAGTACTTAAGCTTGCTAGTCAAGGTACAAGATTGTAATCCGAACGCGGCATCTGACTAGCTACCCGTAGTAGATCCTGCGAACAAAATAGAGCAATCAGAATTCGGCAGTCCCGACTACGGCACATATATTCCACGGCACATATATTCCACGGGCCGTGATGCGCAAACATTTCATCCCACCTTGATTATCACTTAAGCATTGGATTATCGACTCGGAGGCTGGAGCACCCTAGCTTTCTGCAGCTAACTACATCATGAGACTAATAGGTGTGATCCTGTCCGTACGGTCTCGTCCTCTCAACTAACCAACACGCTTCTCCGCCGCCGTCTCCAGCACAGCGATGCTCAGCCGTGGCAGGCTAAAAGCGAAGGCGCCGTCCTTGCCGGCCACCACAGTAGATGTCGTCTCGTTGACCACGTTGACGCGCGTGTAGGGGTCGTTAAAACCATACGCATCGTCTGGGCCGCTGAGCACCGTCAAGGTCGCCGTGCTCGCGGCCGCCACCCCCTCAAACCGCACCGCCACGGCCACGGGCTGTGTCGTGTTGTACACGCCGGCCTTGAAGATGCGCTGCCCGTGCTTGCTGGCGCCGGCAACGTGGTACAGCGGCCCGACGCCGCTGCCCGCCGCGTCGGTGACGGGCAGCGTGTGCGTGAGTTCATGGCTCGCCAGCAGCTGGGTTCGGCGTCAGCGTTTTTCGGACTAGGGACGGGGAAGCCCAAAACTTACTCTCCAGACATACCAGCTGGTGGAGCGGGTCGTCAGCGCCGGGTCCGCAGCGTGCTGCAGCAGCGTCATGCCCCATTGCCAGCGATTGAGGTTGCGGAGCCCGGGGGCCTTCATAGAAGGTGTCAGCCCGGCAGCCGTTCGAGTAGGTAGGTAGGTGGGTGATGACAACACGCGGAGCACAGGACAGACTTACATATGCGGCCCCAATGAGTTTGTCTCCGTTCCGCTCGGCGCCGATCATGAAGATGCCCTCGCTGACGCTGCCTCCCCACCACGGGTTCGCCATCAGCGTGTTGCCGTCGGCCCAGCCCAGGCCGCCGTTGGGGTGGACGGCCGCGACCTCGCCTAATCAGTGGCAAGCAAGCCACGTTGTCAGCCTGTTTCGCTCCCGGGCTGTGATTTTCTCACTGCAGAAGAAGGACACAAAACAGAAACAACATACCGATCAGGGTCTGGTTCTGCGTCGTCAGCGCATCAAACTTGCCGAACCTAGCCACAAACTCGTCAGGCGTGAGATACGGATGATAATCACCCGCAGCCGGCGCAGGAATAATCATGTCATCAAACACGGACGGCGACGCGATGAGCTGGATGGCAGGGTATTTCCGACCAAAAGCCGCCGCGAACGCCTCGAAGCGGTACGCCCGGTACGAGTCGTACGCCGTCGGGCGGCCCGCCAGCCAGTCCTCATTCCCGATCTCGACGAAGCGGATCGTCCACGGCGTGGCGTGGCCCAGCAGCGCCGCGCGCGCTGCGCCCCACTTGGTTGTTGCCGCGTCGCCCGTCAGGAACTCGATCTCGTCGAGCGCGAACTGGACTGCCTCGTGGATTTGGGATTGCGGCACGAAGGTCCCGTCGAGCGCGAGGCCGTCCCAGACGGCCAGTACTAAAAATTTGGGTTATGTTAGGTTTTGCGCTAGACACGGCCGTCTCGCGGATGTGGATGTGTGCCACGTGCCACTCACTTACTTGGTTCAAGCGCCATATCATCACACCACTGCATGTACTCGACGAGACCCAGGCCCGTGGTGAGCTGGTACTTCCACACGCCGGGCATGCCGGGGCGGTCCTTCAGCGGGCCGATGGTCTCGTTCCATTTCCAGAAGGTCGTGAGCGTGTCGCCCTCGAGCATGTTGCCGCCGGGGAAGCGGAGGAATCTCTGCGTGCGTTGCCACGTCTGTCAGCTCTCTTCCTACGGCCAACCAATCTATGAGGCGTGTATTGACTTACGGGCTTCAGCTCCGCAATAGCCTCAGCAATGTCGACGCGCAGCCCGTTAGCGCGGTTCTTGTACGTCGGCGGAAAGAGACTGATCAAGTTGAAGTCGAGGAACGGCGTCTCGCCATCCAGCCCCTGAATCCAATCCAGCCCGCAGGCAGACACGTCAGTCACAGCCACAAACGAACCCACCCTCTTCGCACAACTGCAAAGTGATCCTCAACATACCGCCGCGTCAAACGTGATAGCAAACGAGTTATTGCTATTCGCCGCCGCCTTGCCCGGCACCAGCTTGAACGCGTGCTCCGTCCACCCGTTGCCCTTGCCGTCAGCCAGCTTGCTCGGGACCTGCACGCTGGCGAGCAGCTCGCCGGTGAGAGCCGACTGCAGCGACGCGGTAAAGGCGCCCGCGTACGCGCCGCGCGCGAAGAAGGAGCCCGTGTAGTTCTGCACGCGCACGTCCATGCCCCAGAACCCGGCGTTGGCGAGGCCGACGATCGTTGTTTTCTTGGTGGCAGCCGCAGTCACGCGGACGCAGTTCGGCAGCGCGGCCGACAGCGGCGGGTTTTGGGGGGACTGCTGCTGCAGGGCCAGCGCGGCCGGCCCGACGCTCGACCAGCCGTCGAGGCTCGCGGGGAAGGCGGCGCTGCCCTGGAAGGCGCGGTTGCGAATCAGCTCGGCGTAGATGCCGCCGTCGCCCGAGTTGTTGATGTCCTGACACTGTTAGTTCGTGCTCGAGCTGTGGAGTTTGGATGAGCCGCCCGCGAGGAATGTGAGGCACAAGGACTGCGAGGGAAGCTTGTGCCGGGATCGGTTGACATCTTACCTCATGCATGATGCCGTACATGATGGGCGAGCTGGCGTTGCCGCCGGTCGAGCGCACAAACAGGTCCACTGCGGCGGCTTGCCACGGCAGCAGAGCCGCTACGGCCAGAAACAGTGAGATAGCCATATGGACGAGGAGCCGTAATGGACTGTGGCCATACAATGGCGTCTGCGTCTTAGGAGACAGTTCCAGTTCCAGGAAGAGCTTTATAACACAGCTACAGGACAGAGCTTGTTTATGATCACAACCAGGACCCCAAAAACACCCCCAAAGTCCCCTCATCAAGTTTAGGTAGGTATATTACCTGCATCGTCTGAGACGCCAGTAAACCCACCAGCAATAATCCCAGCGCCCTGGGATTGGCCCGCCGCCACACTTGGGCCGAGAGACCGCAGCGAATCTCCTCGCCAAAACCAAAATGCCCAGCTTATTTGATTAGCTGCCCCCGCAACCCCAAGCGAAGCTTATAAGCGCGCCAGTGTTGGACGTTTCCCCAACTCTGCCCCGGCTGGCAGGGGTCGCGTGCGGCTGTCGTCGCGGTTCTTCTGCAGGTACATATTAACCTTGTTCGGTGCGGCTAAATTGCAATTTTCTGGACCTGCCCCGTTCGCGCGCTGCTCCGCTGATACAGCACAGGTGGGACGCGATCTGCGCTTCGGGTACAGCGGCGGAGGGTGTTTGCGATCAGTAGATCGGCTTGCAGGATATGTTGTCCTTGTTGTGATCAGGAGAGAAGCCAAAAGCCAATCCTGTAAATCCATGAATAATACAGCATTTACATGAAGCAGACCACAACCCAGCCCCCTTTAAACAAGTACGCACATCTATGTACACACATCTATCTCTACACTTCCCTCCCCGAAAAAAATCACCATCTCATACCGCCAGCCCGAGACTGACGCCGCGCAGATCCAGCCGTCCCTGCATCGCCGGGCGCAGAGGAATCCTGGAGCGGTTCTTGACGGGGCTCTTCATGGGGCTGCGAGCGGCGGGCACGGGTAGGCTCAGCTTGGGCGGCCTCAGCTTGGACGGCAGCCTGAACTTTGGCGTTTGCGGCGTCCAGAGCGCCTTGTCTGACGACGCCGACTTGGGCGTCTTTGGTGAGGCCGGGCCGATCGGCGTGATGGGCGACATCAGCGACGCCGCTCCACCGCCAGAGTTCGCCGCGCGGGACGACGGCGACGCACGTCCGAGCTTTCTGAAGACGCGCTCGAGGCGGTAGCGGGCGCCAAACACGGGGCTCAGCAGCGCGGCGGCGGCGGCGGCGGCCCCGTGGTGCTTGGCAAGGATGGCGGCCGGGTCGGCCGTGCCCAGCAGCGAGCTCCAGCGGCGCCACAGGCGGAAACGGTTCGCCGACAGCGCGAGGAAGAGCTCGCGCTGCGGCAAGAAGTACCGGAAGAAGCGCGGGCTGAGCATGTGGAACAGCAGGTTGTCGACGGCGTACTGCAGGAACGGGTAGCTCGACATGACGAGGTTGCGCTGGTCAAAGACGTTTTTCTGCCGGAACGGCGACTCCGGGATGGAGACGGGCGAGAGATGCTGCTGTTGTTGCTGCTGTTGTTGCTGTTGTTGCTGTTGTTGCTGTTGTTGCTGCTGCTGTTGGTGGTTCGTGTTTCCCTGGCCGCCGAGATGCTCAAAGTCGCGCATGTTGAGGTACGTCAAGCAGGCGCGCAGGAGCGAGTAGTGCGATATGTCGATAAAATCCTCGGTCGAGAGCGTTGGCGGGAGCGAGGCGCAGCCTTCGGCCAAGCAGGCAAACCCCCGTCCCGACAGGAAGAAGGAGCGGACAGAACTGTGGATCGGCTGCACTCTCTGCAGCCCAAGCGGCTCGTTGACGACCACCTGGCGGTTGTCCGACTTGAGCTCCAGCAGGCCGATGGACCGCGCCCGAAGCCACCGGTGAAACTGACACGGTGTATCGGATGTGATTTCCGAGTTGCGCAGCTGACGCACCTCGCGCATGGAGATGGGCAGCCCCACGTGCAGAGCCATGAAGGGCCCAAGCTCGTCAAACGACTTGAACGGCGAAGTCTCGGTCAGCCTCACGGCGACAGACAGGTCGTTGAGCCGCATCGGCTCCGCCGCCAGAATCACCCACTGAAACAGGATTAGGGCCTCGGCCTTTTCCGTGTCATTCAGCGTCGCCAGCATCCACTCGTACAAGCCGTGCAGGTCGCCGGGGACCTCTTCGAGCGTGTCCTCGATAATCTCCTGCGAGGCGCCCTCCATGATGGCCGCGTTCAGGATGTTGACGACAATCTCGGCCCAGAGGAAGATGCCGCAGGCCTTCTGCCCGATCCGCACGACGGTGCGGTTGCGCTCCTCCCACTCCGCCACCAGGTTGAGGTTGACGTACCGCAGGATGTCGTCCGTGTTGCGCAGGTGCATAACTATACTGACCGAGCTTAGTTCCTCGAGCTCGGGGTGGTAGGCGCTGGCAACACAGATGCTAAAGTCCGAGTTACGAGCGAGCTGGGCCAAGCGGCAGATGAGCTCCTCGACGTAAGCCGAGTCGGCGTCGTCGGCGACGTCGACAAATATGAAGGTCCGCCGGGTGGGCGTCTCGACCCTGCGGTCGATATAGTCGTCGGCGAAGAAGGAAACCACGAGGGCGTCGTCGAGCGTTTGCGGATCATCGCGGGGCTGGTTGTACAGTGTGAGGAGCGCCTTGCGGAGGTGCGGGTCTTGGAGGAAGAGTTGGGCCAGCACGCTGCGGTAGACGTTGGCGGGATTGATCTCGTGCTGCGGCCGAGACGTGCCGGGGAAGAAGATGCTGTTGGTGTCGTACCCCTCGGCGCTGCTCCAGATAAACGAGCTCCCAGCTCCGGCCCATTGCCTTTCTAGCCTCATCCGCAGCGACCTCAGCAGTATGGTTTTCCCGCAGCCAGATTCGCCCCTCATCCACAGGATCTTGTTCTTGTTGCTGCCAATGCGGTGGTGCCAGGCCTGGAAGTCGTTCAAGTCGTACAGCCACAGGCATGTCCCCGGGTACGAGGTCGCTGGATGCGTTTCAGAGAAGGCGAAGTGAGGCCTGACAAGTGCCGCCAGGCACTCTGAGACCATGTCAGCTTGGTACTTCCAAGAACTTTGCACCGGCCTACCTGTTTCTTTGGCGTTGAGAGTATGCCGCTAGCAATGACGGTTAGCTTGCGCCACGGCTTGCGAAGAACAATCAAGTCCTTACCTGGTCCTCTTCGCTGGTTATGAACCTGACCAGAGAGCTGGCGAGAGCCCTGTATCCCGGATCGTCGGAGGAGCCAAACTTGCACATGTCCGCGTGCGAAGAGCCAACAGTCTCGGCACTTTCTCTCGGGTCGCCAATGAAACTTCCTAAGCGACGGACCGTCTAGGGGTGTGTTAGAGAGGTGAGATGGAAGACTCGCTGTAGCTCGCGCCCCCACTTACAGCCTCTGCCCTGAGATCCAAGAACCTATAGCTCGTGACGACAGATTCCTGGAACGTCTTGACCTTGAAGTTGTAGTCGTTCCATAGCCTCACAAAGGTCTGCCGCCCCAGCTCAGCCTCGGGGCTGTTCGCGCCGCTCAACTCCTGCAGAACAAAGTCGTTGGAGTCGACGCGCAGAGTGATGCTGGCCATGCTCTTGATGGCGTCCGCCATGGTCGAGTGCTCGGTCGCTCGGTGGGGTGCCCCCAGAAACATTACCGCAGAGGTTGACGACAGTATCTCTTTCAGGGGACCATCGCGCTCAAGCTCGGATAGCCGCAATGCCTGACACAGGTCAGATCTGTCTGCTGCGGTTAAGCTGTTCCGTGCGGGGGCGGTAGTTACCTCCTTCAACAAGATGCCCCCGGTCGAGTGTGTTATGAAGACTATCGGCCTGGCTGCGTCGCCCAGCGCTGCTCGAGTGCTCGCGAGCTCGACCAACAGCTCACCGGCGTGGGAGAAGATGCCATTCTGCAGACTGAGCGGTTTCTTGTCCACGACGAGCGTGTGGTAGCCCCAAGTGTACACCCTGACGTTTGGGCACGTCGCTGGGAGGAGATCGACGGGCCAAAAGACCTCGGTCTTGCCCTGGTGGGCCTTGTCCCCTGCTTCGGTAGCAAAGTCGGTGAGCTTTAGTCTCGAAGTCGACTTGAGCGAGTTCTTGCGGAGCACGTTCCTCGTCCGACCCGTAGAGCGGTTGTTCTCCAGGACCAGGAGAGGTTCAGAGTTTGACCGTCTCAGCTGCGCCGTGGGTGCCGTCTTCCTCAGCCGCTTTCGGAACGAGGAAAGGTTTATGGTGGAGCTAGGCGTCGTCGGTATCTGGCGCACTGGGCCCTGGCATTTCCACGTTCGGACGGGGTGACCGCCGATGCCGTGGATCAGGACGATGCTGTGTTTGTTTTGGTAAGACAAAACCCCTTTGCATGACTGGCTCGTGTGTTTACGAAAAGAACACTCACTCGAGTACGGGGTCCGTCGGCTCATCAGGCTCGTAGAGAAGCGAGAGGCCGACCGATTTGATCGCGTCCTCCTTCGCCTTCATTTTGATGCGACTGAAGCGACATGATCACAGCGCGATGGCGCGCGTCGGTTCTGCAAGTCGCGGACACGGGCGCACGCACGGATTTAGGGGTGCGCTCGGCCACGGGTGGCCAGCCCACGTTCATGCGGAAGCGGCACCAAGACGGAAGCAGCACCAATGCGGAAGAGAGCTATGACCTAGCTCTGCGGTGAGCCGTCTTCCCAGGGCTTGGTTCTCGGCCAGTTCACGATTAGCCTGTGCATCCGGGCCACGAGGTCAAGAGACACGCACACCGACAGGGCTGTTTTGGCATTGGTGAAACAGACAGGGTGCGCCTCGCTATGCCTTCCTTTTGCCTGTTGGCAGGGGGGATGGTCTCGCTGCGGGCCGGTGAGGTTCAGCCGTGCCGTCTTTGGCTCCTTTGGAGATGCTGGAAAAGCCGTCCACAATAACCGAAGCGGCTGTTTCGCCGAGACGGGATGGGGAACTTGGTCTGTCTGTCGGCGCTGCAGAATGCGCCCATTGTCTGTTTGTCTGCAGCGCATCAACTTGGGCGGGCTCAGATAGAGGAGTTTGCTCTTCACAAAGCAGGCCGAGGCTATGCGCCCGACAGACGAGCCATCCAATCATTGGAGGCACATCCTTTCGGGGATATAAGCACGAACGCGTGCCTCGGAGACGCGAGGTGCATGCCAGATTGCGGTTCTTCCTTCCCCCTGACGCGAGTCGACTGTCAAAAATAACGGCGGGGTCAAGTTGAAGAAGCAGAGTCTCCAATAAGGGGTTGATGAGCTGCACTATCGTGAGTTTCCAGAACCCAACCGGGTTTCTTCCTCGGCGCACAGACCGGCGGCGTATGCGGACGACTCACAGAAAGAGGTGTCGACATTTATCTTACCTTGACTGATAACGGACCCTTTCGGCATATCACGCCCGCTATCCTTCGATTGGCGAGGAGCAGGAATGGTGGTGAGGCAATTTGCGCGGCTGGAACTGCCCGGCTCGGTGCATGTGGGGAAGGTGTGGTGAGTGAGTCAAGGTGAGCTTGTGAACTATCAATCACTACTAGACCCCTCAAGAACAAGCCAGTCATGAGATTGTCATGTGCAATATTGAGAGAGACAAGTTCTGAGGACGCTTAAACATATAATTTTGAGATGAAAGTGGTGATTATTGAACTAAGATCGCTTGGTTGATAGGTATCAGATACCTGTGTAAGCAGGGCTTCGGTGTGGGCTTAATCTGGCCGTTTGTTGACACATGCGGTAGCCATGTCGGTCTGTCGCCCAGTACGGACACGTAGCGCCAAACCAACTCAACCGCCTTTTGATGGGCAAAGTCTATTGTAAAGAGCTGCCTAGGTTGTTAGGTAGTTTCCGCGGCAAAAATGGTTAAGCAGTTTCTGAGGCAAAAAGTTGTCTTGTGGAAACGAAGAAAAGGCTGCTGCTGCATCTCCAAAAACTCAGAGACAAAATGAGCAAGCACTTGTGGGTCCTTCTCCAATCGCCCGTGCTGTTGTGGATGATGACTAATTAGCGAGGTTCTCCAAGGCCCGGATCGTCGGCTTGCGAGGCGAGGTGGGGTTCTGGAATCTCAAAGCCATGACCATGATCAATCCAACAAAATCTAGATCGTGGCTGCTCATCACATCTTGCATCCTGCGTCGAATGTGAAGATCAACGTCTGTGAAGATGGCTCCGTGGGGTCGAATCTTCATGACCGTCTACTTGAGGGTTGAGGTACGAGCAGGCGGCCCCATTCCCAGCAGTTCGCCACAGCGCCCATCATAGCCCAAATGACGATGAATCATTGCGGCTCGGCCCAAATGACGATGCATCATTGCGACTCGGCCCGACCGACGTGCTGACGCGTTTCTGCTAGGACTTGATCATCGCCCAAGTGCGCCCTCCGCAGCCACCCCCGAACCCCAGTCTCCGACCGTAGCAGAGCTAGTTTGCTGACCTTGTTGCCCGCCGAACGCGACAGATCCTCAAGAGCCCGGGCTTCCACCGAGGCGTCCGCCGCATCCACCGCACCGTCGAAGACATCCGCTATGGCCGAGATCCCCACGAGCCGTTGCGCCCTGGCGAAGCTACTGGTACGATGCGAACGCACACTGGAGAGAGGGAACCTTGATGCTGACATTGGATCTGGTTTGCAGCCGACCCCCAAAAGACGCAGGCCGACGGCTTCTTGAAGCATTTCATCGACGAGGTCCGCAACCAGTTCCGCGGGACGCCGACCAACCCTCCCCGTCCGCCCCCTCCGAGCCCCCCGACTAGGCCTTGAACTGGTCGCATCCATTATCTGAGACCGTGTGTCTCGGCTGGGCCGACGCCCGCCAACATACACACCTCTTTCCCCGACTGTCGCGCTCCGGGGACCCGAGCCGAGCTAATGGAGCAACACATATCTGCATTTGATCTTTTGGGTACAGGGCAGCAACTGCCATCATTCAGTGGCCAGGCACGAACTCAGTCTGCGTACCGGAGGGCGCAGGGCCCTTCTCGACCCCTTCAACGCCGAACACGCTCCTTTGCGGCCAGGCACTGGCATGGCACAATATTGAGTTGTCGCTTTTGTATTGCGGAATAAACATGCTTGGGAGAAATGTCTCCTGGGCGCCTCTTGGGTACCGGAAGAATGTTTACACGAGCTGGGTAGCCATAGATAATCAGAAGCGTTGCGACAGGGAGATATACCTAGACAGGGCGACCCACTTATGCAATCGCCCCCCTTTGCAATCGCCCACCACCATCACCGCCCACCACAAGAATCGTCAAAATACTCAATTGTAGGCCAAATTCTATAGAAAAAAGTACATTCTAGTCCTCGTCAATCGCTCTATATTGCTCAAGCCCACGGGCGATAATTTCTTCAGCTTCCTGGACCAATTGTGCAGGCCTGGACTTGGTCTTCTTGGATCTCTTCTTGGGAGGCTTTTGACTAGCTTTTTGAGCCTCGTCAATTTCGTCAATAGTAGCAAATCTGTCGTTGGCGTCTATTTTGACCCTTTTACGTGAATAGGGTTTTTTGGATTCCAACTCGTTGGCTAAGAAGTCGTTTTTTGCCTTCAAAGCAGCGATTTCTGTATTCTTCTGATCAAGTGCCCTCCCTACCTTCGTCAACATAGTCCTGACGACCCTACCTCGGGGACTAGTGGCCGTCTTGGCTAAGCCCTGTTGCCTGCGGACGTCGTGACTACCTTGAGGTGTATTGAAGAGGTCGTTCCGGGTTGCCCGGGTCTTCCGGGGTGGTGTGGATGGGGGGACTGGTTTTGCAGCTTCGTCCCGGACCGCCTCGGGGTCGTCAAGTATACGAGCGGGTTGGAAAGGCCAGATTCCAGTCTTCCGGAAGCCGGATATGATATTCCGGGCTGACATACCCTGCGCTGAGGCGTCCCGGTAGCAAAAAAGGAAGCGTTGCTTGTTGATAGGTGCTGAGGCTGTGAAGGAAGCCAATTCGAGGGTTCTTTGGCGAAAATAGGACTTCAAAGCCGAAAAGACAGACCGGTCGAGTGGCTGGGTCTTGTGAGAAGTGTGTGAAGGCAAGTATAGTAGGTGTACGCGGTTTCTTTTAGCTAGAAGCATGAAGTCTTCGTCGATATGAGTAGCGTGTTCGTCGAGGATTAATAGGCGCCAATCGTCCTTCCTTTGGGGCTTTGTTTGAGGAAGATATACTTCCTTGAGCCACATAAGAGCTATTTTGCTATTGCTCCAGCCTATAGGCGTACAGTCGTATTTCCAGGTCTTGAGGACTGGTAGTTCCTTGAAGTTATCCGGGAAGTGTTGGCCTTGTAGATTTTCACCCGTAAAGATCACTACGGGCGTCAATCGCTTGCCCTCAGCGGTACCACACTCGATAACACTGACCCAGGTCGTTGGATCAGGGCCAGTCAGGACTGCCCGAGATGTGAGGGCATCGCCAATCACCTTCCCAACCGTAGTTTCCGTCTCTTGCATGCCATGTTCGTCTATATTGGCGATATTCGCAGGTACCAGCTTCTTGTCCTTAATTACAGCTTCCAAACGATCAAAAAAATGCTGGAATCTCTCACGGGTAGATCCTTTGACTCGAGACCGTTCTAATAAGGTACCTAACTTGGCCTTTACCCTGGGGTTGCGGGTAAAAAACCGATCTACCCAGCGCTCACCAACTCGCCCAGGGAGCCCGGCTTCGTTCAGGATCGCTTGTGCGAATCGTCTTAGCCGTGCACGACTTGGGGCACGCCCTGCAGCTTCCTCCTCAAGAGCCCACTCGGCGACGAAGGCTTCCTGGTCGTCAGTTAACTTCTGGGTGTTTTTTTGGGCTTGTCGTGGATCCTGTTGTCCACGGCGTCGTCTGCTGAGGGTGGATTCAGGGATCCTATATAGGCGCGCTACTTCCTTCTGCTGAGCGCCCTGATCAACAGCCTCAATAGCCTCGGCTATTAGCCGCTCTCGTACGCGTCGAACCATCGTATTTTGAGCCTATTCCGACCAGTATTGAGGAAGTTGTTGGTGGTGGAAGGTAGAGAGTAGGAAGTTGGCGGTGTGGGGGAAAAATTGCAAAGTGGGGCGATTGCAAAGGTGGGTCACCCTGTCTAATTAACCTGCCAAATACTTGGAAGGGTATAGTACCTTTCTGCGACTATGTCTACCTAGCCAACAAGCTCACTCATCAGATCTTCGGAAACGGCCGTTACTGGAAGGGCGGGCCTTTCAGTGATGATGGCCTTTCATTTTCAAATAGGTCTCGGCAAGTCCGCAGCATGACCACTCACCTTCAGGTCCTGTCCAATTTTGGATCCAGCGGCCAGTTTCCCTCGTGTAAAGCTACCCCAAAGAAACCGAAGAATCATCTAGTCGCCAAAGGCGTGTTAGACGTGAGGTGTGAGCCTTTTAGAACTACCTTCGTTGAGACAACCAAGGCGTGGGCTCAGTTGAGTTGCCAAGCAGTGTTCCGGTCAGCCCCGAGCCTTACGATTTAAACCTCGCGAGGTGGACGGGCAAAGGCTTCTGTGATTGAAAAAGAGGCAGTCTATTCGGACAGTAACAACCGTCTTTCCGGACAGTAGTGTACAAAATGGTACATGCACGCTGACTTTTCGCACTAAGTGGAGCATTAATTCCTGGGACGAAGCCAGCGCAACCAACTTCAGATTAATTAGCCACATGCCGTATACGCACCACATTTAAAATCATTCGTATCTATATAGGGTAGGCCGCGTAGGCTGTGTATCCTTAAGAACGCTGCTTTCTTGAGTTTCGAAGCTATAACCAAAGCCTTTGTAATCCCTCCTCGGGCCCTGCGGGTCGTGGGCGTTGAAGGCCGCGCCCAGGATGAAGCCCAAGAAGTAGATATATAGACGGTAATATAGTTAAAGTTGGAAGGTTTTAGTAGATCTGGCGATAGCTTCAATTACGGGCTCAGTGCAGGGCAGACTATCTGAAGAAGCGTGCCATCCATTAGAATTAAACTTTTTAGGTGTAAGAATCCGATTTTGGCTAGGTTTGTGGCTTGGCGCCTTAGCTGCAAACTCACTTTTTGTACATGTCCGAAAAGACGGTTGCTACTATTCGAATAGACTGCCCCTTTTTCAATCACAGAATCCTTTACCCGTCTACCCTGCGAGGTTCAAAATCCTTCGTCGTCTCATTTTCGTTTACTACTTCTTTTGTTTACCATCACCTCCTTGACTGTTTGTCGGTAATCCAGATTCATGCCCGAAACGCCCCTTCCCCGGTGTCTCGGCCGTGTCAGCCCTAGCCCGTAAAACGGCAGCGCCAAGGGGGGCGCGCTGCGGCTGATGCCCTGCCACCGCATCACGTCCAGCCCGAAAGACGGAACAGCCCACGGGCCGGAGTCCTATTGGCCACGGTGACAGCGGCTGACTTGTCAAGTCTTCCTGCTTTCCTCCGAACGCACACTGAAACCGCCCAATAGAGACGGAAGACACGGCGACCCCTATAGAACTTGGCCATGTTGGTCTAGACCCATCAGCTCCGCAACCCAGGCTTCCCCTGAGCAGCCGGTGCCTGACTGGCCGTCCGAAACTCTCGGACATATCAGGCACAGCCCGGTCCCCTTTCCACCGCTGGCCCAATCAAACCGTGAATACCCGGCTGGTGGCCGACTTTCGGACGAGAATCAACGGTGCACATGGCTGCCAGATGGCACCATGAAACCGCCTTCGCTGGCTGGTGGCGGCTTAGACCGAGTGCGCGACGAGCAGGAACAGTAGCGGCAGCGTCGGCACAGGCGGCGGGGATACGAGAGCGGCCGTGATGCTCAGGAACGTCGAGAGGGCAGGACGGAAATTATAAATAGAGCAGGCCAGCTCTCCGTATCGAGAATGTCTTGCTCTGGGCCCATCACCACCACCAAGCAGCCTTTCCTCTCCCCCCCAAACCCCCCTCGGCAACATCCACCATGAGACACTCGATCGCGCTGGCCCTCTACTCGGCCGTGGCGGGCGTCGGCGTCAGCGCCGCGCCGGCGGCCAAGGCGACGGACAAGCCCGTCAGCTTCGCGCAGTTCCTCGGCAGCACGAGCAAGACGTCGTTCGAGTCCTTCTCGGCGGCGGGCGTGCGCGACAGCGGCGCCTTCAAGCAGATGACAGACCACATCCAGAGCATGTACAGCGGCGTCAAGGACCCGAGCAAGGTCACGAGCTTCAAGATCGACGACACGTACGGCGACTGCATCCCCGTGCAGGAGCAGCCGTCGGTGCACCTGCTGGGTCTGGGCGCCGGCGCCGCCAAGCTGGCCACGCCGCCGTCGGGGGCCGCCATCGCCACCAGCACGTCGGCCCCCAAGGGCCTGTCAGCCGCCACCAAGGTCGACATCCCGTCCATCCTCAGCCTCGGCGTCAAGGACGTCTACGGCAACAGCATCTCGTGCCCGCCTGGCACGGTGCCGGTGCAGCGGCTGACGCCCGAGTCGCTGGCGCGTTACGGCAACCTGACCGACTTCTTCTACAAGCCGCGTGCCGAGGCCGACGGCGGCACCGGCGACAAGGAGATCAAGACCCTCGGCAAGCGCGCTGGCGCGCACTCGTACGCGCGGGCCATCGACACGGTGCTCAACTTTGGCGGCAACGCGTGGATGAACCTGTGGAGCCCGTCAGGCTACTTCTCCATCTCGCAGCACTGGTACGTGGTCAACGTGCCGCACCAGACGGTCGAGGGCGGCTGGGCGGTCAACCACCAGAAGTGGGATGGGCGCGCGCGGCTGTTCATCTACTGGACGGCCGACGACTATCAGCACACGGGGTGCTGGAACCTCGACTGCGCGGGCTTCGTGCAGACCAGCAACAAGTGGTACCTGGGCGGGCCGTTTGACCGGTACTCGGTGTACGCGGGCGGCCAGGTCGGCTTCGAGCTGCAGTGGAAGCTGTACAAGGGCAACTGGTGGCTGTTCCTCAAGGCCAACAACGGCTACGAGTCCGTCGGCTACTACCCGGCCAAGATCTATGGGAATGGTCCCATCACCAAGCACGCCGACTACGCCAAGTGGGGCGGCGAGACGGCGCCCGACTCGTCGTACGGCCAGATGGGCAGCGGCCATTTCCCCGCCGAGGGCTTCGGCAAGGCTGCCTACCAGAACAACATCTTCACCATCCCCCGCGACGAGAGCGGCGGCTACGGCGTGCAGGCCGCGCTGTCAAGCCTGCACATCACCAAGCCCAGCTGCTACACCATCGCCACGACCCCCCGCAGCGGCAGCAGCTGGGGCTCGTACTTTTACTTTGGCGGCCCCGGCGGCAAGACTTGCGCTTGATTTTCTGAGGTGTTGGCCGTCTCGGGTTCTGGGTGTTGGCCGTCTCGGATTCTGGGTGTCAGGCTGATCCCGATCTTTCTTTTGCCGTTTACTTGGTGGATTGGGTCTCGAGTGTGCGTATCGAGGGACGCGTGATCAAAGTGTGTCTTGATTTTTTGGTCATGTCTTGAGAAAGCTACCATGTATTTCTGTCTTGTCCAGGGATTCGCATTCGGGGTATCAAACGGTCTCTCTCTGGCCTATATGGTTCGTTTTTCTCTTTTGCTCTGTTTTTTAGTAGGCTCTCGAGTGTCAATGCTGTAGGGCACTGGAGATATACGACGAGGAAAGGGTGCTTTATTTGATTTTCATATCTTCATATAAAATACCGTGTCTTTTTGTCTGTATGCCGTTCTTCTCTCCTCTCGTCTCTTTTTCTTTTGCCCCATTGCTATCGAAGGTCTAGGAACTCATACTTTCCTCATCGCTTGTTACTTTTTAAGCTGCATTCTACAGTGACTAGTACTATGAACAGTGCTGCCGGTGCACTTCCCTTCCGGCCCAAGTTGTTGTGTGGTTCAGCTTTCAATGCCCCATGTTACCAGCACATCCGAACCTCGGGCTGATAAGGTTTGGGGGCATATTTTCCAGTAAAGAACATAGGTTAGGATCCTGCAGAATAAGGCACGCCCGTGGCAATGAGAGGCGGAAGTCGACAGCTGATTTCGACCCGTGACCGTCACCTAATTACCAAGCTGGCTAGAGGTGTAGATTGCCTTGTTCTCTGCTATGGTTATGACATCCTCGTCTAGACCTCCCCTCTTCATACGGTTCTCGACGTCATTGAGACGCTTTAGCATCCCACGCTTAGCTTCACGATCTTGGCCAGCAGCTAACTGTTAGCAAACGAACCATCTCCATGATCCATCCTTGCGTGGTCAATCTTGGCTTGAGCCTTGTGTGATTTGGACGTATTACTGATTATCTTTAAACTTCGACAATGGGTAATCATCTGTTTATAATCCCACTCGGATTGGATTGTGCCTCTGCCGTTTCCTCGCAGCGCGCTATGGCCGCGCCTCGTTGGAGGCGGGCGGAAACTTGGAAGTAGTTTGATTCAGAGCAGTGAAAAAAGATGGAAGAAAGGTTTTTCTCAAAGGGAGGCGGTAATCAGGTCTTGGGATCTATAATATCGATTATCAAATCCTAGAGACATTTTTCTCTGCTTTCCTTTGCCATAATCGCATTCATCACAGGTTCGAATCCCGCGTCGACAATCCTTCTGCATGTATACCTAGGGAACCGGAAGTGGGCAGTGGGCAGTGGGCAGTGGGCAGTGGCAGTGGCAGTGGCAGTGGCAGTGGGTAGTGGGTAGTGCGCAGTGGGCAGTGGGCAATGGGCAGTGGGCCAGCGAGTGGAGAGGTTGAGTTAGGTTGCTAGCCTAGGTAGGGATGCTTGGAGCCAAGCCCGCCCGGTAATTGGCGCCCCCACTAACGGTTACGGCACCTGCATGCCTGGCGTCTGACGCGGGCGGTGGACAGGGGCAAAACGGGCTGTCTGGCTGTCTGTCACGCCCAAAAAGTTTCGCGCGTCGGATCCTGCCGCAGGTCACTTCCACGGCTGCAGTCGCTTCCTTGATCAGATTCGCGCGCTTGTCATTTCTGTTCCGTCCCCTTTGGCTCCGTCCCCATGCTGCCGGTCCGCCGCCATGCACGAAGCCTGCTTTCTTTGCCGGTCACGGCGGCAAGGCGGTGCAACGCCCGGCAGATTAAAAATGCGACGGAAGGCCTGCTGAGGCTCCTCAAAAGGGACAACCCAACATCCGAGAGCCTGCACCGCACAGGCCTCTGGAACTACAAGACCGGCCCCAAGCCCAAGGGCGACAGGGCCAGAGTCAACGTCACCGACGGCGAGCTATGCGATGCCATCATCGACCAGAACCGCGAATCCCTCCTGCGCCACCAGGGCTGCGACCTGGTCGACATGTTCCCCGGCTGTGGCGTCTGGAGTCGCAAGCTCACCGACCTCCTGCAGCCGCGCTCCCACATCATGCTGGAGCCCGATGCCGACCTCTACAAGCCCTTCCTCGAACCCCTGCTCGCCAGACCGAACACCCAGCTACTTCCCAAGTCAGGCATTCTGTGGCACGAGCTCGATGGCATCCTCACCCCCGAGTTCCTGCCAAATCAGGTCAAAACAGACCAAAGGTCTCCCAACGGGGTGCCCCGCAACGACACCCTCCTCGTGACGGCCAACTTCTCCTGGCACCCCAAGAAACGGTTCGCGAGCTTCAGCAGCGTCGCCCAGCTGCTCTTCTACCAGTTCATATGCTCCATCCGCCCGGGGTCCTTGTTCCAGAAATACGGCCAGGTGCGCATGCTTATTTGGATCATGGACAGCGAGAAGAGGCCGTACGTCCCCCAGAATATGCAGTCGCGCCAGAAGGCGTCGATAGAATCCGAGATGTTGACCGAGTGGGTCCACGAGCTTGCCGGCCTAGACGTGCCCGACCCCAAGAAGGTTGACCTCTCCCAGGAGGGCGTTCCTGTAAAAAGATCGGCCAGCGATTCGACATGGTTCGTGCGGGATGAATCCATTGAGCTTGACAGCGCGCAGAAGGTCGTGGCAAGGATGCGCGAGCGCGGAATCGTGACGCCCCCCGGCCGGGAGACGAGGCTTGCGCAGAAGGTACGTGCCCGCGCCGACGAGCCGCCCGCCGTTGCCGGCGAGGGCCCCATAGAGATTACGCGTGCCTTCTATTACGAGTATGAGAAGATGCGGGCGCTGTTCGAGGAGGGAGAGATTCAGCGGGGCTCGCCCCAACACAAGCGGATGCTGGTACTGGGCAGTAACGTGCGCGTGCACCAGGGCCAGCTCGAGGTATTTACCGCCTTCATCAAAGAGTACGACGAGATTATTGCCCTATATGTCGCGGCAGCGGCAGAATCGCCGGATTCTGCTGCCAAGCTCGCAGAGGCGAAACGCAAAGACGCCGAGTGGAATGAGAAGCTATCGCGGATGCCCAGCGACATGAGGAACCAAGTCATTCTCTGTCGCGACAACTTGCACGTCTACCGCCAGAACCCGCCGCTCCTGGCGTGGGACCGAAGGGAGATTGAGCCGCTTGTTGTCAAGCCGACCGACTTCTTCCCTAACGTCCCCCTGAGTCTTTTAGACGTGCAGCCCAAGGCCATAAGCCCTCATCTGCGTGGTCGAGATGGCGATGTACTAGATCAGCTCATGAAGGGGCTCTACTACCACAGTACTTTGACCATCGACAAGGCTTTGAACACATTGGCCCCTGGAGCGGCCGACGGCGTGCTACCTAACTGCCCCAGCATTTACGACCCCAGTAAATCCGGTGTCCCGGTCGGCGGGATGGGCACACTTGCTGTCCGCTCGCTAAACGAGAGGCAGATTCTGGAAGTTCTGGATGGCTGGCTCAAGTGGGACTTTAGACCATCATACACGGAGCTCGTGGCTCGGACTTCAGAAGCCTTAGAGGGTGAAGACGACCAACTTATCACCGACGTTTGAATACGCTGCAATTCCCCGAAAGACGGGAGCAGTTGTGCTTCCGGACAACCAAGGCGGGATTTGGCTGCAACACCAAGGCGGGATCACTGGTGCGCCTAATTAACAAAGCCGTCCTGTACCATATATGTAAACAGAATATAATAACAGAAAAATAGAGGAATAATCAATTTAAACCAGGATTCCAATCACCAGAAACATTTCCATCATTAGTTTCACGCTCGACGCTGGCTAGAATGATATTTCGATTGCTGAAGTTGATCGCTATTTTCTCGTGCACCGATATTCCCCAGTCGCCGCCACCCGTAATTTCGTAGTGAAACTGAGGGAACCATTTCATAGATATAGGGTGTTCAAAGCAAGAATGAGCATTCGAAATCTCGAGAATTCTAGAACTAGGCTAAGAATAGACTCGAGAAGCATTAGACACTAAAATCTCACTAAACAAGTTTTCACTATTTAATACCTGATGCACTAAGGTAAAAGGTCAAGAGATGAGAATAGACGGAGTGGGCCTCCACCCCACAGGGCAACATCACTCGGCACCGAGCGAAGCGCATCTGCGGAGGGATCGGTTGGTGGCGGACGCCTGGCCGATTTGGAGCTGCACGAGGCGGTGGGCTGTAGGCTTGGTGCTGCAAGGGGTCCAACGAAGGTCTCAATCGGGAAATCCCGACGTACAAGTTCCCGACTCACGTCGCGTTGCACGTTGCACAAAAAAATCTCATCCCTATCCCATTTTCACGACATCTCTGATGTCGGTGAAAAAGGGGACGAGCGCCACTTGTTGGCTGCCGTTTTGCATGCACCACCCAAAGACAAAAACATGGGTCAAAAAACACGATCCACGTGTCGGTCGGGGGCCGTTTCAACGCGAACAGCCAATTTCGGTGAGCCCCCAACGGCCTTGGATGGAAAAAAAAGAAAGAAGATCTGAGCCGTGGGCCGAACGGAACACATCCAGCATGCGGCCGTCAGCAGCAGCAGCAGCCGAGCCAAGGCCGCCGCCACCGGACATTATTCTACGCCGCAACTGTAAATGCGCGTTCGAACCAACAGCACCCCTCAACGCTAACAACTTATTACCAACAGCCCCCTCAAACAGTCTAGCGTGGCTCCTGTGTGCTTCCGGGGACGCTTGGCGCCTTGTACTGTACAACATGTAACAGAACCATTCTGTAGAAGTGCCGGCAGGGACTGGTGGACAGCAATTAGACATGCCCCGTCGTGCATATTAAAAACGGTTGGGACGCAGGCAGTTTCGGGACGTCTGATGTTCTTCTGTCTGCGAGGGTTTCGTGGGATCTAGACAACTAAACTTAGTGCCAACTGCCAACAGGATCCATCTCTGTAGGGCTGGACTGCTCCCACTCTGCGCGGTTGGTAAGCGAGCACCTTTCATGTGTGTTAATTGCCAGCTTCCCAAGCCAAGCCAGGGCGAGGCATGTTCCACCACTCCTTTTGCCGGCCGGCTCTTGTTGTTAGGGGTTTTTTTTGAGTTTGTGCATGGTTGTCAGTGCCGACATCCGAATTCTCGACGCAGGCCGCAGGCACGACCAGTTAAACTTTGCTGCCCTTAATTAGGATTGCATGGGCAGAGGAGGAAGTCGCAGCCGTACGTCAACGAATGGGGAATTCCGCCATGCCCACACGCCAGGCCAACAGCAACAACCCACACGATCCACTCACCCACGAGCCATCGACGGAAGGCGCAAGCCGTCTCATCCCCCATGTCGGGGTAGGCACGGGTAGGCGCTTGCCCGCCGTCCCATCATCCATGGCATCTTTAAGCTGCAGAACTTTCAAATGCGGTCTAAGGTGGCCGCAGGGCCCGTCACTAAACTCCGGGGTCTGGACTTGGGCCTGGGCCTGGGCCTGGGCGAGGATTGTGGCCGAACCTTCACACCAACTGGCCAATCAGCGAGATTCTTCTGTTCTGGGTATCAAATCTCTGGCGGTGCTCTTGTTGCTCTCCATCTCCTCGTCCCTGGCCTGCCTTCCCCTGGAATCCTGTTACGTATCTTTGTTGTATCCCCTGGAATCCTGTTACGTACCTTTGTTGTATGTACATACATCCCGTGACGTCTCCTTTCCGGTTCGCGCCTGCTTTCATTTTCTCGGTTTTCGCTTTTCCTCTTGTCCTCCTGTCCTGACCTTTTGCATCTCGTCTCCTCGTTCGACTTGTGTACAGTTTCACAAATTCAATTTTCTCCCCTCCTTTGCGGCCGTTCTCGTGTCACTCCTTTTCGACAATCTCTCTTCCTCTCCTTTTTCCGAGCCTAGCGTGAAAGTTCGAGCTCGTCAACACAACGAGCTAGCGGCCCTCCTGGACAACGCCGCCTCCGCTTGACAAGAGACGCCATCGCGACCAGTTGTGCCCTGGAATAGTGGTTTCATCTGCAGGCAGCCAGCCAGCGAGAGACAGCTCACATCACAGGAATACTTTCTATTTTGTTCATGCTTTTGGCTAAGGTGCCACAAGAGGAGGGGGCAAACAGAGTTCAACCTCGGGTGGCGCCATAGACTTCTCTATCCTCTCGCCGAACTCTGCCGGGCTTTCCTTCTTTTGCGCCACTTTCCGTTCGTCCAAGCGGGCAGCTCTTGTTCCGCATACCAAACCGCCCAGCGTCTGCACACATGGCGCCCCTTAGTGACAGCCTGCCGACGAGCCGACGGCGGAGCGCGTCAACCAGAAAAGATACCAGGGCAGGGTGGAGAGGCCCGCTGCCGCCAATCACCATGATCCTGCGGCCCAGCTCGATCCCGCAACGGCGGCGCCTCCAATACCTTGCAGTGGCGGTCCTTGTGGCTCTGTTTTTCTGGTGCTGGACGGGGTCGGACACCGTAGTGGGCCCAGGCGGCGCCGCAAAGTGGTCGGCCCAGCGCAAGCAACAGCAGCATCAGCACCCCATAGGGAAGGGGCCGCAATACCAGCCTTTGAGCCAAACAAACGCCGCGGCGCTTACCACGGGCGACCACCCCATCGACGCGCTGATCCAGGCCGCCGAGAAGGAGTTCTCGGCCAAGCTGCAAGAGCAGTCGCTCTCGCTAGCGGAGGCGGCGGCGGCGTACCGGGAGCGGCGGGGCCGGCACCCGCCGCCGGGGTTCCGACAGTGGTATGAGTTCGCGGCGGCGCACAAGGCAGTGGTGGTGGAGGAGTTCTGGGACCAGATATACGCGGACCTGGAGCCGCTGTGGTCGGTGCGGCCGGGGCGGCTGCGGCGCGACGCAGCCGACTTCGAGATGCGCATCGCCGTGCGCGCCGGCAAGGCGTCGACGACGAGCGAATGGTTCTGGACCCAGATCTGGCTGTCCATGATCCAGTCCATCGAGCACCTGCTGCCCGACATGGACCTCGCGCTCAACGCCATGGACGAGCCCCGTATCGTTGTCCCGTGGGAGAAGATGCGCGACCACATGGCCCAGGCCGCCAAGACGAAGAAGCTGCCTGACGACGTCGAGAGTGCCGTGTCCGTGTTTCAGAGGCTGCCGCCGCCGGGACAAGAACAGCCAGACCCGAACGAGAAGTCGCGGGATCTGAAGTGGGAGGTAACAAGTATGTTGTTTCCTGCCAAACCTCTCCCCTGTCCCCAATACTTCCGTCCAGTGACGCAAAGTAGTCGAAGAAAATACTGATCTGACTCTGTTGCCTTCATACAGAACCGTACTGGCTCGTAGTACGACGCGGCTGCGCACCGGGGAGCGCAGCGCGCGACGCCAAGCCGATAACCGACTTTGACCGGACGCCGCAGATCGCGAGCCCCTTCTCGCTCGCTCACATGCGGCACGGCTTTGTGGCTAACTACACGCTGAGCACCGACTTCTGCCACCAGGCGGACCTGCAGGGCCTGAGCGGGATGCTGGTCGAGCCCATCTCGGTGTCGGCGACGGCCGAGCTGTTCCCGCTTTTTGGCGGCTCCAAGCTGGCCGTCAACAACGACATCCTGCTGCCGGCCCCCATCTACTGGAGCGGCGAGGAGAGATTTACGGGCCAGGACGCCGCCGATTTCCCCTGGGACAAGAAGCGAGACGCTGCTGTGTGGCGCGGCGTCGCCACGGGCGGCCGCAACACGGAGCAGAACTGGCGCGCGTTCCAGCGCCACCGCTTCGTGGCCATGAGCAACGGCACACTCGTGACGCTCGCCGAGGAAAAGAAGGAGACCAAGTCGTCTTCGCAGGCAAGCGGGGCGACGGCCGATTCGTCGGGCAACTTTGCCCTGCCACCGGCGGCGTACAACCTGCGCGCGCAGCGTCCCCGGCAAAACGCGAGGCGGCGGGAGAGCAGCGGGGCCAGCCAGCTCGGGCCGTGGGTGTCGTCGTGGGCGGACGTGGGGTTCACGGACCTGATGTGCGGGTACGGGGGGCAGGAGCTCGGGCAGTGCAATTATACGGGGCGGTACTTTGGGGTGATGCCCAGCGTCGACATGGCGCAGCAGTTCACGTACAAGTACCTGCCCGATGTGGACGGCAACAGCTTCAGCGGGCGGTACCGCGGGTTCCTGCGGTCGACGAGCCTGCCCGTCAAGGCGACGCTGTTCCGCGAGTGGCACGACAGCCGGCTCGTGGCCTGGAAGCACTTTGTGCCCATGGACAACCGGTTTGGCGACTGGTACGCCATCATGGAGTACTTCCTCGGGTACTGTCCCGAAAAGGCGTCCCAGTTGAGAGGAGGATCTAAGCGCGCCGCGGCCGACAGCGACGGTGAGCTTCTCGGCCACGACGCTGTGGCGCAGCGCATCGCCGCGGCTGGCAAGGAGTGGGCCGACCGCGTCCTCCGGAAGGAGGACATGCAGATCTACGTGCTGCGGCTGCTGCTCGAGTATGCGCGCGTCGTGGACGAGAGGCGCGAGAGTATGGGCTGGGTGGACGACCTGGTGTCTGGTGCTCGTGGCCGCGGCAAGGCATGATAGCTGTGCCGCGACGAATCTCACCAACCGGGTCTACTTTTCTCGGGCACGCTCCCTAACTATTGGCTCAACATTTTCTTTTCGTTTTGTGTTTCACGGAGTTTTGATGCGGGAGCAGGAACGTTACACATGGCGAGACGAGTGCCCTAGGGCCGGCATTGGTTATTGTTATCTTGTCGCATAAATGGCGTTCAACGGCGTTCAACGGCGTTTAAAAGAAAGTGCTTTGTTATGCGAGGTGCACAGTTACTAGAAAAAACGTGGTTAATTGCTTAAGGAATCTAAGCTAACGTATTTTATAAGCGAGCGGCGAATTTTCCCCACGACGCGACCCTTCATCTTTGATCCTCAATTCTACCACAACAAGCTATGGCTACCCCTTCAAAAGAAGCTAAGGTAATCCTAGCTCTCAAAGCAATCCAAAATAGTAAAAACCCCAATGTTCTTTCCACAGCCAATCTGTATAATGTTCCCGAAACAACACTTCGCTATCGACGCGCCGGTCGGCCTTCACGACGCGATATTCCAGCCAATTCGCGAAAACTCACAGATCTAGAGGAGCATACGATTTTTCAGTATATATCTGAGCTATGTGTACGCGCATTTCCTCCTCGGCTCTGTTTTGTAGAAGATATGGCCAACCGACTGCTACGCGAACGCGACGCGCCCCCTGTCGGCAAGCTCTGGGCTCACAACTTCGTCAAACGCCAGCCAGAACTCCGGACGCGTTTTACGCGTAGATACGACTATCAAAGGGCCAATTGCGAAGATCCGAAAGTTATTCGCGAGCGGTTTGCACTTGTGCATAATACTAAAGCCAAATACGGAATCCTTGACGAAGATATATACAACTTTGACGAGACCGGGTTTATGATGGGCATGATTACTACTGGTATGGTTGTTACTACCTCCGATGGCTATGCGAAAGCCAAAAAAGTCCAGCCTGGTAATCGTGAGTGGGCTACGGTTATCCAAGGGGTAAATGCTCAAGGCTGGGCTATCCCACCATTCATCCTTTTAAAAGGGAAATATCACCAAGAGAGCTGGTATCAAGAGTGCAATCTTCCGGCTACCTGGTATATTGGTGTAACCGATAACGGCTGGACTACCAATGAGAAAGGCCTAGATTGGATTCGCCATTTCGATCTTCATACAGCATCTCGTACGAAGGGTAGATACCGGCTTTTAGTCCTCGACGGCCACGAGAGCCACCACTCCGACAAATTCGAGGAGTACTGTCAGGATCACAACATTATCACCCTTTGTATGCCTCCGCACTCCTCGCACCTGGTCCAGCCACTTGATATTGGTTGTTTTGGGCCGTTGAAGGCGTACGGCTACCAAATCGAGGAACTTATGCGTATGCATATCACACATATTACCAAGTTGGAATTCATTTGTGCGTTCAAAGAGGCGTTTTTTACTTCTTTTATCGAAAAGAATATCCAAGGCGCCTTTGTCGGAGCCGGCCTTATACCACACGACTCAGAAAGAGTGATTTCCAAGATGAATATATGGCTCTGAACTCCAACTCCACCAGCCTCAAGCCTAGGTACGGCACTACCTTGGCTATCTCAGACACCACAGAACCCTCGAGAGGCCACCTCACAGACAGACCTTATTAAAGGCCGGATATCTAATCATCAAGGTAGTTCTCCAACACCTATGCTGGCTGCTGTGGACCAATTGGCCAAATGTACAATAGCCGTAATGCACGAGGTAGCTCTTCTGCGTACGGAAGTCTCTTTACTACGTAAGGCCAATGAGGGGCTTAGTAAGAGACGGAGGGCTAAAAAAACACGTGTGCGGCTTGGAGGGTCACTTACCGTACAAGAGGCACAGGACCTACTAGGTCAGAAAGCTGTGGGTGAGCAGATAATCTAGGAAACACGATAAAATTGTGGTGGTGCGGGGGGGGGGCTCGCACGAAGATTCGGTGCTGTGGCCTGTGCGGCAAGCCTGGCCATAATGCACGCACGTGTCAGGAAGCTGGAGAATTGCCTGATTCGTCCATTTCTGGTTCAGTTACTGTTATTTCCTAGTGTTGTGGTGGTTTAATTGAGGATCGTTGTGGTAAGTTGGTTAGAAATTCGCCGCTCGCTTATATTCGCCGCTCGCTTATAAAATACGTTATCTGCCCGCAGGCGAAAAGTCTATGGTGGGGGGATAGGCTGGTGGTGCATGGACCATTTAGTGGTCCAAGCTAGGCTAGGCTTGGCCTGTGCCTAGCACATTTGTTAGTATTGGGGATGCTTGAAGCTGCAGCGGCATTTGGCGGCATTCTTGGGAGTAGGCGAACACAGTCATAGTGCGTTATTGCGACGACTGGCTAATTGTCGTAGCAATCAGTTAAAAGAATGGAACGGATCACCAATACTAAACAAGCTGTCACAAAGTCTTGTCGTTTGTGTGTAAGTGACTCCCGCAAGTGACTTGTTTTTGTCCCCTTTTCAGGGGTTCAGGACTGGGCGGGGAAAAAAGGGGTGGACAAAAAAAGGGGGGGCCATCAATCACGACGGAATTTTCCGCGTCTAGCGGCTTCGCATTGAGGCACATGCGGCCTCACCTCGCCAAGTTCTCCTTGGACCCGACTGCTTCCGCCTCGGAGACGTAAGACCCGGCATTGCCCGGGCAATGATGACCGTGTGGGCACGTGGGGCGGGCGTTAGGACTCTGGGGGGACGAGGAGCGGCGCCTGCTGACCGCGGCGAGACAAAACCATTACGAAATCCGTGACAATCTCTTACCTAACGCGCAGAAAGCAGATTGCAATGTAGGTAGGTGCGATCCCGGCGGTGAGGTAATATGGATGGGTGCGATGGACGGCACGGCCGGACTTCAGACCCTTTAACGGCAGGTGATGGGGGGCGGGGAGCGGATTGTTGGATGGCTACGTGCGCTCGGTAGGACACCACTTCCTAGGAGGCCGGCTGATCGCGGCATTGCCGGCCAATCTGTCCAGAGTCCCATCACCGGTCCAGCCGATCGATGCTCACTCGCTCATCACCGTGCCGGTTTTGATCGCAACCGCCCCGTCCTTGATTTTGGTCTGCTTTCTCGGCCATCATCAACTTGCCAGCACGGTACCGGCAAGACGAATCAGGAAAATGCACGTCTTGGTCGGCCCGGATTCGGCATTGGGCATGCGATGGCCGGCGCAAAATAAAAAGTAGCAAGCCTGCGCCTGTGGTCTGGGAGTCTTTCAGGCTTCTAGCAGGATTGCTAACGCCGAAGGGAGGGAAGTACGTAATTGGTCCGTCCCCACGCCCATGAACTCGCCGTGTCAAATTTGCGGCTCGGCCCAACCGTTGGAACGTGTGCGGCTGTGCTGTGCTGGGTGTCGCTTTTCCACCCCACCTTTTCGGCCGATGGAGGATGTGAGACAATCGCAAACGCCGTCGTGTTGGCCAAGTCCACTCATGGCGGCCGCCAAGTTCCAACCTTGAATCCGCCGCGACGCGGGGCCGCCAAGGGCACATGCAAAATGCCCCACCACAGCTTGCTTGGCACACACAGCCGCTTGCTTCCACAGCTGCAGCGTCATTTTGCAGCGGCCGTTGTACAGCTGTCAAGTGCCGGCGATATCCCTTTGTTCAGCCGAAGCGAACTCTCGTGTCGAAGCCCTAATTTTTATACAATATTTTATAAAAAGCCCGAGCATCGCTCGAGCCCCCACGGCAGTGACTAAGTTAGAGTCTCCACGATAGCAGCAGTCCGAAAACGGAACTGCAAGCCTGCGAGCACGGAACTGCACTGCTTTCCCCCGCTAGGCCGTCTCAACCCGAGCTCAAAGTCCCCAATCATTATGACCACGTCCCGCATCAGCGACCACGCCGAAAGCGCTGCCCCTCCATCCAAGACGCCCGGTTTTGTATCTGTCCCAGACACGCCAACGTCGACATCTAGCAGCAACGGGTCCAAAAAGTTCGGCAGCATGCATACTTCAATGGTTGACTCCAAGTTCCTCTCCCACCCCGAGGAACTCGGCGTCGTTGCCGTGGGCTTCTCGGGCGGCCAGGTACGTACTGGGCAGCGCCATCCGCGAGTCTCATCTGTGCCTGCACTTTTGCGCCGACGAGTTCCGTAAAGCTGACTTGCCTTGTGGCTTCCCTGCAGTGCAAACCCGGCGTTGACGCAGCTCCCTCTGCCCTGATCGAGTCGGGTCTCCTCACGCAGCTCCGCGACGAGCTCGGCTACAAGCTGCACGGCGACGACACGGTGCACCTCTACACGGACCTGGTGCCAAAAGACGATGCACCGCACCGCAACATGAAGAAACCGCGGGCCGTGTCGGCCGTGACCCGGCGCATTGCCGACCAGGTGTACTCGCACGCCAAGGAGGGGCGGCTGGTGCTGACGCTGGGCGGCGACCACAGCATCGCCATCGGCACCATCGGGGGCACGGCCAAGGCGATCCGGGAGCGCTTCGGCGGGAGCCGCGAGATGGCCGTCATATGGGTGGACGCGCACGCCGACATCAACACGCCCGAGACGAGCGACAGCGGCAACATCCACGGCATGCCCGTCAGCTTCCTGACGGGGCTGGCGCGCGGCGACGACGAGGACCTGTTCGGTTGGCTGCGCGCCGACAACCTCGTCAACCTCAAGAAGCTCGTCTACATCGGGCTGCGCGACGTCGACGCGGCCGAGAAGCGCATCCTGCGCGAGAACGGCATCAAGGCCTTCAGCATGTTCGACATTGACCGCCACGGCATCGGGCGCGTCATGGAGATGGCGCTGGGCCACATCGGCTCCGACACGCCCATCCACCTGTCCTTCGACGTCGACGCGCTCGACCCCATGTGGGCACCGTCGACGGGCACGCCCGTCCGCGGCGGCCTCACGCTGCGCGAGGGCGACTACATCTGTGAGTGCGTGCACGAGACGGGCAGCCTCGTCGCCGTCGACCTCGTCGAGGTCAACCCCAGCCTGGCCCCCGCCAACGACATCGGCGCCCACGAGACCGTTAGAGCCGGTTGCTCGCTTGTCCGATGCGCGCTCGGCGAGAGCTTGCTATGAGGCATGCCTGCATGAGGGAGAAAAAAACGGCGACCCTAGATTTTTGATGACATGACGGGAGCCGTGCAGGTGGCGAGGTGGCAGATGCAGGTGCACACATGCGGGTGGATGCGGTCAGACTGCGGCGGTCGGGACAGATCGATTGCCAGGGATACCAAACGGCGGGCGGGCAGGCAAGGCGGCTTCAATTAACTTTTCTGGGCATCAACATTCTTTGTTGGATACTTGCGTTTGTCAGCTATTCCTTGGACGACGTTACCTCAACTCATCATTAGACGAATGCTCAGGCCAAGGCTAGGCTGACCTAGCTGCGAACGTATTTGGAGTCGGCCATTATTCCCGTCCGCAGTTGCTGTCCGTTTGACCATGCCTTGTAAGCACTGGCTATAGTCTGGCGTCTTAAGATGGAAAGACAGCGTGCGGCTGGATTATTCATCGTGGTTCTGATGTGGCAGACGTTGATGTTGGCAAGACCTAAGCAGATACGTAACGGCTCGGTTGATTATGTACTTTTGGGAGCGGGAGCTGTCATGCGCCGCACTCTGGAGGTGGCGTGTTCGCCAGCTGCGACCAGCCACCGGCGTTTTCAGTACCTACGCTTCGCTTCTCAGGCCCCTGCCAAGCGGTCCAGCCACCAACTCCCAACTCGGCCGAGCATCATCCAAAAAAGAATCCAGGGACCAGAGACAACTCAGTCGTGCATTGTACTGCCCAATCATCGTTGACTGACGTGACATTTGATGGTTCAACTCAAATTAATTCCACCAGTTGACGTTGACACCTGATCGTGCCCGACGAACTACATTATCTAGAGATAGTTCTTCTGTGCTGCATCGTTTCTTGCTGCTTACGGGCTGCCCTGTTTGTCCCTGAGTGTTCTTCGTTCGTCCCCCTGACGATAATTCCGGCGCAAACCCCTGGCTGTGCCCGTCATCATCCCTCTGCTAGGCATCGAGCAAACGGGCGCGCGCCAAGACCCAACCCACCTTTTGCTTGTCGCGCCTGTGAGAGTGGGAGACAGAACAGACAGAACCGCGCCGCGAAATCCTCAGAGAGGCGTCACCTACGCACCCCTCTCCCCATTCGCATTCTCAAACCCAACAAGCAAGTTGCGGCCCGCTAGCGAATCCCCCTCCCCTCCTCTATCGTCCCTCTCGCGACCGTTATATTCGGCCAACATCGCATTCGCTCTTCCCTGACCCGTTCTGTTCGCCCTCCCAGCCACCCCCGCGACCCCACAAGCGCCCGCCCTTCTGCCGACCGGACGATCCCGAGCAAGCGAACTTCCATCCCAAACCGACCACCGCGGCCCAATTGCTGGCGGTGCGCCGATCTCCCGGCGACGCGGTACACAGATTCTTGGCTGCTTCAATTATATCGCGGCAGCTTTTGGCGGGGCGCAAGAGACGACATCCGTGAGCGAGCCAGACAGCTCTGGTCGCATTGTTTGCGCGCAGTTGACTCCAGCGCCAGTCGGCGACGGAACACAAGAAGAATTGGACGGAAACGAACATCCCACTGTCGTGACGAAACACATTGAGACCCGAGGCGCGTCTCGTTAGAGGCTCCAAGAGACAAACTCTCGACCTGTCCTCGATACCCGGCCGCCGCATCGTCCAGTAGCTCGTTCACGAGAAACGAACAAAATCTCGTCGCAATGGCGTCCACCGTCACCAGCGGCTCGCTCGTCTACGAGCGCCGCGTCGTCGAGAAGGTCCACAAGTACCACTGGCCGGCCGTGCAGCTCAACGTGTGGATGCTCATCATGCTCATCGCGTCGTGCACCATCATCGGCGTGTTCGCGGCGTTCATCCAGATCCAGCAGGCGCTGCTCCTCCCGACGCCATGGTGAGCCGGCCGTTGCTTTCCCCTTGTCTCTCCCAGGGAGCCATCTGCTAACCGCCTTGCGTCTTCCAGGTACTTCGCCTACTTCATCACGGTGGCGGCGCTCGCCGTCAGCTTCATCATCCTGCTGCTGTGGCTCATCTTCCAGCGGCGGCTGCTGCCGTCTATCGTCATGATCGGCGGCTTTATCCTGTTCGTGCTGTGGCTGGTCGCGCTTATCGTCATCTCGGTGCAGCTGTGGGGCCCGTCGGGCTCCGTCAGCTCAAACTGCAACCTGTTCGTGTTCAACGCGAACCCCCTCGGCCAGAGCCTCAACACGCTCGCCTGGCTCGAGCAGCGCAGCATCTGCCAGAGCTGGCAGGCCGTGTTCGCCTTTGGCCTCGTCGGCTCCATCTTTTTGCTCTGGATCATGATCATGGCGTACCAGGTCTTTGCCAATGACAGATGAGCCCCTTCCATTCGTCTTGTTTAGCGGGGCTCGATCTACTTGCTTGCTTCTGCAATCCCCGTCTTAGATTTATGGATGTGTTTTGGCATGACGTTGCAGACTTGCATATATCCCTTCGGTTTGCCCATGCTCTGAGCCTCCCGCCCTGAATAAAAGGGGAGATCTTAGACGAAAGATACCCCTATCTTTCTTTGTCTCTCTTTGTCTATCTTTTGCATTTTTGGGCCTTTTACATATCACCTGCGGTTTTGCATTTCTTTCCGTCTCGAGCGGGGGGTCATTGCATTGGATGGAAGGAGTTTACGGAGACCAAAGCATCGCTGGTTGGTTGGTTGGTTGGCCGGCGAATCTGGCGTTTACATTGCGTGTCACTGCATATTTTCCTCTTCCCTTTTTCACATTATGAATCGAGCGGGCAGTTACCTAGTTGATGGGCTAGCATAGTTGGTTAGTCAGTTGGGTTTGAGCGTGCAAAGGCATCTCACGAGGGGCGCAACGAAGGACACGAGATCATGTTGGACGGCGGGCGAGAGGGTCATAGCAAAGTAGGGGAGATTTTGTGTTTTTATTGTCTGTTTTAATGCAGTCTACTGTCTCTAGAGATCCAGTAGGCTGGCAAACAACGGTGTTGTGGGCTGCATTGGTCAATTTTTTGGTGGTGTTGTTAGGCGCAGATAATAAAGCAAAGACTGGAAAGGAATGAACTTCATTCTAATAAGAAACCCCCCTACGGTACGACCCGCGAGCGGGTCCCCGAGTGCCTCCGCGACCGCGAGTGCCACGACCCAAATTCTGTTGCGAGGCACCATAAATTCTATGGCGCAGACGTGAATTGAAACACGCGATCAGCAACGAGAACGTTTAACGTACCGTGGCCAATGACGGGGAGACTTACGCTGTAGCCACTTTGACCCCTTCTATGATCCTCTCTTGATTTTGGGGGTCTCGCGCCTGGGTTAGAGCTACGTAATGAGCGGACTGTGTTAGTCCCCTTCTCGTTCATTTCTGGTGGTTAGGTAGGTATGGCCGGGTATCACAAACCAGAGTCGAAAATTTTCAGGCCTGCGGAATTATTTACTGCGTCGCCACCCTGGTCGACTTTAAACCAAAACTGTCAGTTACCCCAAATCGCTCAGTTGCGTACAATATAGGGTTTGGGGGAGAACGCACAGCCTTTCTCTAACAGGGGCTCCTGTAGGCCATCCTGGAGTTTTTTTTTTTGGCGGCGGCGCCACAAACTTCTCCCGATTTTCCAGCACATCTTAGAATAGTAGATTCTCGGCTCCGGAGTATTCGTGATCTGTTTCGGCGGTGGTAGGATCTCCCGTTATAGTTGCTGTGGGAGAGTAAGTGCACGAGCGAAACGAGACATGGTGTTTAATAAATACCCTAGGTTGTCCATTCCCGAGACCATCGGATTACTGGTGGCCTCCTACGCTGGCAGACAGGTTTTGGAACTAGGCGGGTGGTTTGGTCGTCAGTCGGCCGATACTGTAGGGCCGGCCAAGCCACGAAAGGTTCATTCCAACTGACGGGAATCACTTAGCTGCCTACCTTACCTACCTAACATAGTCGTATTGAACAGCAACCATTTGCGGCGCCCCAAGGCTAGTATCGGATGTTGGGCTGCCAATGTCAGCCGTCGGGGTTCTGTTAGCTCGGAGGCTTTGGGGGGCGGTATAAAAGGCCAATTTCGTTGTCAAGGGGGTTTGGGGAGATGGGCCAAAGACAAAATGTCTCCTGTGCGGTGCGGGTTGTCGTAAGGTCCCGTCCGCCTCTTCCAAGTTGGGATGGAGGAAACGGATCTGCTGCATGGGAGCAGCCGGGACCGTTGGACCGGGCTGGGCGATCATCTCCCCGCCCAGGTGCCTCTGGCCGAGCTTTTAGGTTCCAGGCGCTGCCAGCAGTGGGCCCCTCCAGCGCCCCTTGCCCAACCGAAACGTCACCAAGACATTTCTGACGCCAGACCGTTAGCTGCCATGAAACGTCCCGCCTTTCCAGCGCGCCAGCGCCCAGTCCATGGGGGTGATCTCGACTTTTAATCGCGTCAGCTGGCAGCTTTCGAGCCTGGCATCCGGCAAGATGTGCTTGGGCAAGCCCCTAACGGGAATTGTTATTACCTCTGGCAGAGAATCGTCGATGGCGTTCCACCTACAACTATCACGACGTTACTCTTCTCCCCACTCGTTAGTGGCTTACTTCGAGAAAGTCTACCTCCACAGGTTGGATGCAACGTGTATTCCGACTTGCATTTTGTTTCTCATATTTACTAGCAATCGCATTTTCGCGGGGGACTTCCGTGACAGGACTCTTCTCTGTAGATCATTTTCACAGACTGCTCTTGCCTAAGGCCAACCAGACTTCGTACAGTTCCGGGACTTTTTGCCACGGCTACCACGTACTGTGTCTTGTTTGGTTTTCTCCATTGCTTTTTTCGTTTGAAGCCGTGTTCCCGCAGATTGCAGCTCGGGTGCTCGATGCTGGCCCACCCGGCAATGATTCCCGGCCGCTACGGCGCCGAGACGCTCCGCCGCCAGGCCTCGCCGTGCCTGTGGTAACGCTAGTCGGGTCTGGTCATTTCGCTAAGGGTGTCTAGCACGTCTTCCGCCGGACGATCTGCGTGTACGCGCATGGGCAGCAGCTGGCCCTTGATGCAGAGTATGGGGTACTGAGACCCGGTGGCGGTGTAGCTGGCTGTTGCTGTTGCTGTTGCTGTTGCTGTTGCTGGTGGAACTGCTGCCCCCAGACGGCCCGGCGACATCGCTGTCTACGAGGTGAGTGTCGGAGAATGGCGGGATTATCACGCCGGTAACAGAACAGGAGTCGGCGATGTCGGCGTGCTAGATATGTAGGTCGTGGTTGACACCTGTGCATATCGAAGCCCAGGACCAAGATGGAATTTCGGTGATACGCTCGTGGACCCCAGGCCCGCTCTGTTTCCAGAGCAGGCTTTGGGGCATGCCGCCGAGCCATATGCCGCAGACGTAGGCTTCTATCTCGGACGGGTCCAACGACGGGTAACGAGAGGATGAACTGAAACGAGTGCTCTCGCCTCCCAGCGCCTCGCCAAACTCGTCCGCCACTCCGTTGAGGACAACCAGACGGTCCTGGGCGGGCCTGGCTAACTTCAGTCCCGAGTAGGCCACGACGACAGCGCTCCAGCTCCGGTATAGATCGCTGGTGGTTGAGCGATTAGATATGGTAAGGCTCGCCATGTTTACCGAATAGTCCTCAACTGGCGCCTCTTCGGGACTATCTTTAGGCCGGTATCTGGCCAGATCGCCAAAAACATATCCTAGCTCGTTAGCAGGGTCGCCTGATTTGCACTGCATTATAAACCATTGGGGGGTGGAGCAGATTATACACATCAGAAGCCTTAAAAATGGCATAGTACTACTAGCAGTCCTGTTTACTCTCGCAGCTACGAGGCCCGGCGTGCACAACAATGGCATCCTGTCGCTTTCGGGGTTCCGTGGCAAGTCGCAGACCGCATTAACCTCGACCTTGGTCCGCCTTCCGTACCGGGACAGCACAGGGGAACAGCGCGGATACATGTACCTCTACCGGCCATGGGAGGCCGACCTGAAGGACTACTGGTGGGAGCATATCACCAGAAGCGAGTTGCTGGGGCGAGGGTGGGTGTTTCAAGAGTGGGTATTGTCGTCGTCTTGGACAATGCACAGCGCGTCGATCCATATATAGCGAATCTTGAGATGGAAGCAGAGCAAGATGGCATCTGTAAAGATGCGCGGCAGATTCTCAAAGCCCCGGCCTTGCAGTCTGGCCTCTAGGTTCCTTCCTATCGTCGAACACTCTTCCGTGATGGGTTGCACCCAGCGGTGACTCAGAGTGACGTACCCGCCGTGAACTTGAAATGTTCTGGCGAGGTTGAATCCTGGGACCACGTTTCCGTCAGCATCGCCATTAGCCTCGCCGAGGTGCACTTCAGTGCAGCGAAACGGTAGCCGGGGTTGCTGTGAAGGGTCCCGGCGGCCCGAGAATGTCTTCCAGCGGTCGGAATGAGACGTGGGATTGCAAGCGTCCAGCCATTCTCGAATGGTGGAGGATGCTTCTTCAGGCCCTCTGTTACTGCGAAGATATCTTCGGGCAACATTGCCACTGGTGGCAGCCGGAGAATCTGTTGCACAAGATGCGGCTAAGATTTATTGTATTTATGCCTCCAAGACAAGGTACGGCAATATCAACCGGGGCTGTCTTGACATGACTGAGGTAGGTAGGTAGGTACTCACCAGGGTCCGCGACGGCATGGACGTCAACGACGTATGTAGCAGCGATATTGTCGGGGCCAAATCTATTAAGAATACCAAAACCGTAGCCTGCCCAAGAGGCCTTGATATATGTAATAGCTAGCGGCCGAGGTCGGTCGCCTTGCTCGTCAGGACGTAACGCGTCGAGACAAATGCGACGCCAAGTGACACCCCGGTCGGTCTTGGAGCCACGCTCGCGCATTTGACTCAACAGCACCTAGCAGAAATGGCATGAAAAGGACTCTACAGAGCGCATCAGGTCGCTTAGGAGAAAGCTCCGACACGCGACATTGTCGCCGTCCACGTCCGTCGCAAAGGCCTGGATGTCGAAGAGCTGGCACCTCGGACACAGCGACATTGAATGGTTATGGGGGGGGGGGGTTGGTTGAAGGGATTCGGTTCAAAAAAAATTGATATATATTTAGGTAGATGGGATCAGCAATGAGTTGTCATTTGAGAAATGCCAGAGGCCGTTAAAACTGTGAAAGGGGAAAAAGGGGGAACGGAAAACGTACCCGCTTTCCATCCAACCAAGATCGAATTTAAACGCCCAATGGATGTTGGTGCCTGGAGCTCACTGGATGGATGCACCTCAGCGCCAGGCACGCGTCTGACACACGCCTGCCAAAAGCCCAAACCCCGGGCTTCTTCTCAGCCCTCTTCCCTCCTCCTTCAAGCTCTTCCCCCCCGTCTCTCCATCGATGTCTTGTTTCTGTCGACATGTTCATTGAATGGCCATAATTGGCAATTATGGCCCGACCCAAACCTATGGCTGGCCTCCGGCTTCTGAGATTAATACTGGTGATTTGGACAGCGCTCGCATGCGACAGCTCGGGCGTTGTTCCCGATCTCGCGCCGCTGCGCTTTTCTCGCTTCTCTCACTTCCTGTTGGAATGTGGCCTCGAAGGAGCTAGGCAAAGGATTTGCAGCCTACTTCGCGACCTCCTTCGCCACCTAATAGTAACGTGCAGTCACGCCCTGTTGATTCTAGTACCGGTACTCTGGTGAATTCAACACTTTCAAAGGTGCGTAATTGCAATTACCTTAGTTCAGGGAACAACAGTATATGGCGTAGAACTATCACGCATCCATTATCTTTATTGCATGCAATCCATTATCCTTATTGCATGCATCTAATTAGGTCATTTGCATTAATTGCCTACCTGTGTATAGGAATCTTCTCTACGCTGTTGCCTGTTGCCGCGCCGCTGTCGCGGCGATTCTCGTGCCGTGATTCTACGTTTTCATTGCCTTTATAGCCAGAAATGAAGCCGGCAGGGTTGATCGCGTTCGCGAGGCTGGCAACTACGGAGCTCGCATTGCAGTTGCCAGCCTGTCGATGCTGCTTCTAGCGTACGGCGCTGCGACCGACCCCATCAACTAGAGCGCAAGCAAATCGTAGCCATGGCGCCTCCAAAGATCCGGTAGTAATTAGACCCATAGTCACGGCTTCACTGCAAGTTATTATCGGAATATGCGGCGTTATCCTCTGCCAACCGCGGATATGGTGTCGCATGTCCGACCGGAAGTCTTGACGCCCACTACTCGGACTTTGGCGCTCATGTCATTCCTCTCGTCGGGTTGACCGTCTCCTCATTATTGGTCTGGCCTGAGTCTCGGGGTTTGCTGCATACGGCACATTTCTTCTTTTACCTCGCCGCTCCTACAAGACACCGTATATGGAACCTGTGGCGCAGCAGAGTCCCAACAGCGACGACAACTACCCTATCAGACCCCTCGCCAGAGACTTCGCCGATCAGCAGCGAGGGCTCCACGACTAGATGGCGGCCGCAGACTCTCGCAGTGGCCTAACAGGGCTGGAAGGGACTGGGCAGCGTGAAACAACGAATAGCGCGGCAGCGTTAGCGTTAGAATCGGTTCAGGTTCTAACTCCTGCCACAGAGCCACGGCAGAAACTGCGGTTCGACGAATCTCTCTCGTACTAGGAACATGATGGTCTATTTCAAAGCCACCCGGACCACGTACATTTAATCATCATGCTCATAGTTTGTCTTAACTTTGTCTTAGCCGTCGTGAAGATTGTCCGGTATTCCATCTTCTTCCACCGGTCGGACCACACTTGTCGGTGGTGAGTCTTATTCTCCCTCGCCCTCAGCTGAACAAACTACATGGTCCGCTAACATGTTGCTCCTAGGCGCTGTCGAGTCCAACTTAGCGCCTCATTCCCACCTCTTACGTGGATACTACCTCTCATGTACTTTGCGAAACGCCGCCTGAGTTTGGAAAACAGGGCCGCCGGGCCTTTTGGGCGTGTGAAGCCTATAGTTGTGTTACACGTTGTCTTTGTTGTGACGTTCTGCTTCTCTGTTGCTGCTGTGGCGTCCATGCAGGACCATGACAGACAATCGGACTCGGAAGACGAACGAGAGGTCTGGCCCAGGCCTTTCTGGATCATTTTTGTGGCATTAAGCAGCCTAGAACTCCTTGTCCTCGCGATGTTGTATTCGATGGGGATGGTCCAATCCTGCGGTGTACAGATTTCAGCTATAAATTCCCATCTACCTTGGGTGACAAAGAGATTCCTAATTAGATTCATATAAACGAACCCGACTAACGAACTAGAACCTGGCCTAATTAGTTTGTATTGAGACGTGTTGAAACAATCAATCTTTGTATTCTTATCTGCTTTACCCCGTAAGACTTGACCATTGCATCCGATTTTCTAAGCGGGCCTGCACTGAAGTATCATTCTATGGTTTTATAACGTAACAAGCTAAATTTATAGGACATGTCTGCCTGGGCTGGGGGCTGGTGCGTATTCCACCTGGTTACCTCTGCAGCCTTTACAGTGCGACTCGGACTTCCAGGGGACTCTGAATCCGCTGATTGGAGGAAGTTGCTGGTGGAGAATAGTGCGAACTATATCCGCGGAAACGAGCCACCATGCGGGTGCCAAGATGGGCTGAACGAGATAAGGCCGCCAAAGCGCCTTCCTCAAGGATGTTAAGCCAATCACGACGGGAGCCAACAGCGTATCCCGCGGCAGGAAAGGAAAGGTGCAATCACGTTAGCGTTGGCCCCCCACTGGCCACTGCACGCTTTCCAAGGCGCCATGGCGGCAGGCAGAACCCAGGCAGTCGACCCTACTGTCATTTTTTCTCTCTTCCTTACGTTCTACCATCTCGCCCACCAGCTGACCATTTGTCAGTTGTCGGGGATGTTCCGCGTTCCCGCATACCCGCACCCCGCTGCACTTCGGCAGTCCCGCACTCCCGAGTTCCCACAATTCCACAATAGAAGGAAGACAGAATCATGGAGGCCGAGGATTCGGCTCCGGGTGCGGTACCCCGTTCTGTCCCGACAAGTCAAGTAGATGAAATCACACCAGTGGCCGTCCCAGAACGAGAGCCGCCTGCAGCCCAGTGCATCCCGGAGCCCAAGTCGCCCGCAGCTAACGCCAGACCCATCATCTCGATCAACACCGATCAAGCCAAATTCGCCCAAGGCAAGGATGCACAGGGACCAAAAAATTCACTATTGTCCGCTTTGATCCCCGGCATCGGCAAAAGGGGTCCCGGAGCCCTCCCTGCTTTGAACACAGCCTCTAAGAAACCCGGCGACCTAAAGAGCCTCGCTGAGCTGCTGAGTCCTCAGGATGGAGCCGGAAGGGGGTCCTTCGTTCCAAAGACCAAGGTGATTACTAGCTTTCTCCGAATATGTTGATCGATCAATCATTCCTCTCAGCCAAACAGACTCCTAATCAGACATTATACAGCCTCGGTACCGACTAGATCCAGTCGCCCCTGGTTCGAACCTGCGGCCTTCCGTGGATATCATTGCCGTCCATGACTTTGAAGAAACCGCCGAGGACGCGTGGACCTTTGAGGGAGGATTGTTGCTCAGAGCACCGAGGTCCAACCTGAGAGATCCCAGCGAGCGTGACAGAGAGTCCTCCCGAGGCAGCCACGATCGCCGCCGCCGACCCGATGCTCTGCCAAAGGCGTCAGCAACCCCAAATGACGGCCTCTTGGGGACGGAGCAGCCCGAGTTGGACAGCAAAGGCAAGGCCCTGGAAGCAAACGCTCTCCCAGGACAAAGGGACCCAAAGCTCAAGGTCGCTCGAAAAGAGGTCAAGGACAAATCTAAACTTGCCGACGGCTCCATTAGATCTGCTCGGTCGTCTTCCGAGTTTCCCGACCGCCGTGAAAAACGCCAGGAGACTGTCAATTGGCTTCGCGACTTCATACCCCGCGATATTCCACAAAGCCGGGTTCTCAGCTTCTCGTATCCTCGGTTCGACAAGAAGTCGCACATCAGCCTGGTGAGTTACGTCGAGAAGGCAGCAACCGAGCTTCTCCAGCGCGTCAAGCGATCCAGACAGGGAGAGCTTTATGAAAACGTCCCTATCATTTTCATCGGCTATGGGTTCGGGGGGATCGTCATTCAAAAGGCCATCCAGCTTGCAGTCCAAGAAGCCCAAGCTTGGGACGAGGCTGCTGCAAAGCCTGTACCCTTCGCCGAAAAAGAGGTATTTGACCCGAATTTAGACGGCAAGGAGAAGGCTCAGGTGACTAGTAATGGAGACCAACGAGACGTTGCGGACGAGAAGAGCCAGAAACCCAAGGCTTCTCTAGCAAACAAACCCCCAGACTTGATTAGCCCATTTCCCATCGGCGACATTTCTCAGCTCTTGCTTCTCGACACCCCATTCCCCGGAAAACCCGACACAAAAGCCAGCAAACAACTATTCCCCGCAAATGTCAATATTCGAGTGACTCAGATTCTCCAGTGGATCGAGAGTCAGGAGAAAGGGCCGAAGCTTGTAGAGAAGGTTTGGGCCGACTTTCAGCGTGTCCGGGGACAGCTTCCGCAGAGCTTTGCACTATCGTGGCTGTACTCTCAAACAAGAGGGCGGCAGACCGAGGGTGACCCCCAGAAGATGAAAGTACGAGATACCCAAGCACTTGTCAATTGCGAAGCAGCTAACGATATGACCCAGGACGAGGAGCACCCTGCCGCTGACGTCTATGGAATCAGCTTCAAGTCCATCTCAACCTACCAGCATAGGCGCCTGGGCAGGATTCCAGATGCACAGGATTACGTGTACCGTGGAATCATGTTCACGATTCGCTCCGAATTGCTTTTCCAGGCCCTGGCGGCTCAGAACGTCAGCCTCGTCTCCACCATTGTCGACGGAAAGACTAGGGGTGTAATCAAGGACAAGCAAGGGAGAACACCTCTCCACGCTGCAGCCTTGCTTTACCCCCCAAATGAAGACATTGTCACCATCCTCGTCACTGACTGTCCAAGTGATGCTGTGGAGGGCGACGACATGGGCTGCACTCCTCTCCACCTTGCTGTCGACTCAGCCTGGCAAAACGAACCCGACGAGGGGATGGACCGTGCTGGATACAGAGGCGTCATCCGCTGCCTCGTGCGGAACATGCCAGTGGATCTGGACATTGAGGACAATGACCAGATGTCGCCATGGGCCAAGCTCTGTGACAGAAACGAGTGCACTTGTCGGGTCAGCTGTGACTGGATATGGGACCTCAGAGACAACCCAGAGCCCATAAGCGGGCCCGCAATAGCCGAAGATCTCGAAGAGCCGACAAGGCCCGAGCCGCCAGTGGAAGGCTCGCTGGAAGAAGCGGTCATGTTTGCCTCCCAAGGCATCGTGTCCGAGTTCTACCATGCCGTCAGCGAGAAAACCAAGAGGCTGGAGGAGCACATCACTTGGAAGACTACGAGCATCCACGAGATGATCTATGACCACGATAGGGGGTGCGCCAAGATCTTAGAGGTCTCGAGGGCAAAGAGAGAAGGCCAAGACTTTCGGTGCAGATGGATTCATGTTCCAGCAAACAACGTGGGTGCAAGACTGGCCTGGATTAGAACAAGAGCTAACAATTTTTTTACAGGAACAATGGCTATATGTGAGTCTCTTCGGGAACGAAGACGGGGCGAATGGCAACAATTTCTGACCCTAACGGCAGGATCTTTTTCTTTCGATTGGCGTTCGAGACCTCTCCATGACAGATCAACGATACGACGGTATGGAGGTAGCCTTGGCTTCTTTTTGCACCCGGTTGCTAAACTGTGCACAGGCCGCAGCATCTTCAACCGATATATGAACCCGCAGGTTAAAAAGGTTGACCACAACAAAATTGTGAGATCCCTTCAAGCACACGCCAAGGCAGCCTTGCGATTTTCTTTCCCTTTCTCTTTTCCTGACACGCTCTATAGGATATTCGCGCGCCAGAAATCCCGACGTGGATACCCGGGATTTCGGAGACAAGCTTTCAACCGCCCGGCACTACCAATCCTCAAGCCCACAGCTTGCCCACTGTTCTCGAGGATCCGGGTGCGGGCGCGGGGAAAGTAGCGAGGCCGAAAATGCCTCCGACCATGTCTGACGGGAGAAAGGCAAGCGAGATTCTAGCCAGATATGTCTACTGGGAAGATTTGCCGCCTGTCAAGGACCCTGGCCGGAACAAGACGATCGCTCTATTTGTCAGTGGCCCACGACCTCTTCAGGGCTGCATGGAATTCTGACTGTTTGCAGATGCCGTTTCTTGCATACGAGAGCCACCAGGGGCGCAGAGCAATGGCCAGGGAGATCAAACAGGACCTGCGGTCCGAGATAGCTCCGCTGAATGACAGTGGTTCCCTCCTAGGAAAAGCACGGACAAGACCCATCCACTACCGCCGAACCCTGGACCAGTATTCTTATTACATGCTCGACTCAACGGAGCGACGCGATAAGGATCAGGTCATGTATCGGTGGGCGACAAAACAGCAGGACAGAGTGGAGAAGAAGCACGCGCCAATACTCATGGTTGACCAGCTCTGGCTTTGGGCTCTGCCGGACGGTAAGATGGCCTATGTGATGACTCTCTCTTCTGACTTCTTGAGTAGCATCTGTCGGCTGCTAACTTTCAACAGGCACCGTAATAACAAGCATTCCGAACACCAACAAAGTTTCGGAACCGTTCAACATCCAGAGGATTCTCGGCATAGAAATCCAAAAGAACAAGCGCCGGCATGCCATCAAGGGCCCCGAAAGCATCTTTGACATTGTGCTGAAGACATGTGTCAATGCCATGAAGCGACCAGGACCGGGCGGTGTCAAACTCCAAGAATGTTTCCAGTCCTCCATCAACAAGATTGTAGGCGCTCATCCATTTCTAATGAGACCAGATGACTGGACAGGTTGCTGACTACTTCTTTGTCCACCACAGGCGGAATCCGAGGCCGTCAAGATGAAGACACTCTTGGACACAGTCAAGAAACTGGCCAAGGCCAAAGATCCGTTCAAGCTGACAGCCGACATCGACAGCTTTTCAAAGATTTCAAAAGAGATGTACCAGCTTGTCGAAATAATCGACATACAGGACGAACTGGCCATTATTAATTCGGTCTTGGCCATTCAGAGATCCGTCCTGAAGGACCTGCGGGACCATTTTTGCTCCGAAGACAAGCCCAAAACCGACCCCGAATCGAACCGGCCCCCCTCCACAGTGGCCATCACGAAGGGTGTCGTGGACGAATCCATCCGCATCGTCGATGAGAACATTCGTGGTGCCAAAGAGATGACCGAGTCGGCGAGGAGGGTGCATCAAGACGTGAGCTATGCTACTGCTCCGCTAGAGCATTGATGGCTCCATGCTGACGTCGAACACGCAAACAGTTGAAACAGCTACTCGAATTCAAACAGCAGCAGGCAAACGGTTGGGAGTCACGATACGCGATGAAGCTTTCGGAGCAGGGGCAGAGACAGAACACGGTAATTTGGCTCCAGGGAGTAAATAACCGCCGAGAAAGGAGCCATCTGCTGATCGTGTCGCTAGATCATGCTCACTTTTACCATTGTGACGATTATCTTTGTACGTGCCGCTTCTGACATCTGAAGAGGGCGAATACTGACAACCACGTTAGCTTCCCCTGTCATTCATCTCGAGCTTCTTCGCCATTGGAATCAAGGAGTTTCCGAAGGACGAAGAGACCGGAAACCAGGCCTGGCCTATTGCCGAAGTGTCTGCGTACATGTGTAAGTGCTCCACACATCGCCGCCCGGGAATAGTGAGCGGGCATGTCTGACAGGCGTTGGTCTGCAAATTCTTAGTTGGAATATCTGTGGGGGTCTCGCTCGTGATCCTGCTCTTCGTCCTGTTGTTCTTTGCCCGCAGGTCAAAGTCGACCAAGAAATTCGTCACGACATCGAAACAGCAGCTGGGGCTTTCACGCGACAAAGGGAGGCAGGACGCCTTGAGCGAGCAGCTCGACGACCACGACGACGATCCTGATGACGACACCTCCTCAGAGCTATCAGACGACGACGAGAAGGACAATCTCGACGGCGACGGCGACGGCAACACGGGACGCGAGGCGAGAGGCGACGCGCACCCGTATGCGCCGCTGTTCAACCGGTGGAGATGGCACTCGCGGATTCCGGGGCTGCGGCGGCTGTGGCTATGGGGGCCCTACGAGGTGCCGCCCGAGCGACGGCACAATCTGCGCAGCCAAGAGCAGGTTGAGTTCGACTATCCGCTGCACCGGCTGCGACATCGGGTCCCGTACTTCTTGCGGAATTCACTTCGCCCCTCTCGCGAGCCCGAGGGCCCCCGGTACTCGTTCTACAACGACGGTGATGGACAACATGATGACGGCGGCGACAACTATGACTACGACTATAACTACGATGATGACGGAGATGGCAATGGCGAGGGCAACGATAGCAGTGGGAACGGCGACGGCGACGACTACACATGCCATTCCATTGACGAGCGCGCACGCCGCGAAGAGCTCGAGATGGAACACCACGAGCGCGTGCAGGAGCGCAAGGACTGGCTGGCCAGCCTCTTTGGAATCAGGTCCTCGACCAGCAAATCCCGCGGTCCTCGCGACGGCGAGGCGGGGGAAGACGCTGCCAGTACTACCGGCGGCGACAATGCGGCCTTGCCTGAGTCTGCGGGCCCGGGAGTGCCGTCCCTTGTGGCTGGCATGTTCAGGAAGAGGAACAGACAGGCGGGACACGACGAGGAGAGGGGGCCGAATTAAGTCATATTCCCGCCGGGCTTGGATTAATGGGTTGTCTCTTTTCTTTTTGGTTCTTTTTCGGTCGCCAAGCTGGATCGTCTATAGTCTTGGATTTGTGTATTATGCTGTTTTCGTTTACTCCGTGCGTGGCTGTATCCTATTAAGAGTCTTTCTTGCTATATCATGGGTTGCAGATCGATCTTTTTGTCCCTCTGGAATAACGTTAACTATCTTTCTAGTAATGCTCCGTATTGGAATGTTTGGGATGTTGGACCCCACAACCGGTAATTACCTTAGACCGGGCTCAACGGCTTGTTTTGTTGACAGGGGTGCTAGCGTGCCTGGATTGTGGCTGAGCTCAGGGGTAATTACCCGACAGCTCGTCTTACCCGGTACAGTACTACCTCGCCACTTCTCTGTCCAATACGGGCGTCAGACACCAGAATTATTTTGGGCAAGCTTTCTTCCAGTGGCCATTGATGGATGAGCCAAGCCCAGAAGTGCGGGCGCATAACCAACGGTTAAGAATTATCAGCGGCGCAATCGCGAGCCGCCCCACACAACCCCTTGCTCACACCCTGCTTACCCTAGGTAGGAACAAAGATGACTGACATTCAAACCCGGGATTTCCCCTTGAATATTTTTTCAGCTTTCAACGTCTGACCGTTGCGACTTTCACGCGAGAGTGTCTAACCGTTGCGACTTTCACGCGAGAACGTCGAACCAGCCACAACCACCACCACCACAATGGTCGCGTTTTTCTGGTCCGGTGCGCGCGCCGGCACGGTGATGCTCATCCTGGGCAGGACGGCTACGGCTGCGTCTGCGCAGAAATCGCCGTACCAAACCGACTCGCGCGACCACATCCTGGCATCGTCGCGCACGCTGGCCTACGACGTGATGGCCTTCTACAAGGGGAACCAGACGGGCCAGATCCCCGGCTTGCTTCCGGGGCCGCCGGTGGCAGACATGGGCCCGTACTGGTGGTGGCAGGGCTCGTCGCTGATGGGCACGCTCATCGAGTACTCCCAGCTCACGGGCGACGACACATACAACGCGCAGGTGACGGAGGGCCTGCTGTGGCAGAAGGGCCCCTACAACAACTTCATGCCGACCAACTGGACGGCCAGCATGGGCAATGACGACCAGTGCTTTTGGGGCGCCGCTGCCTTGCGCGCCGCTGAGACCGGCTTCCCCAGCCCGCCCCAGGACCAGCCCCAGTGGGTCGACATGGCCAAGAATGTCTGGGAGAACCTGGCGTCGCCGGCACGCAACGACCACATCTGCGGCGGCGGCCTGCGCTGGCAGATTTCCCTCGTCAACAATGGCTACGACTACAAGAACAGTGCGCCGCCTCTCACCCATTCGCTGCTGCTCGCCTTGTCCGAGACTCCGAGAGGAACAGCCAAGCTGACGTGAATCACAGCTGCATCTAACGCCTGCTTCTTCAGCCTCAGCGCGCGCCTGGCCCGCTTCACGGGCAACTCGACCTATGCCGACCATGCCTCGTCCACCTTTGAGTGGCTGCAGAAGGTCGGCTTCATCGACAACGCCACCTGGGCCGTCTATGACGGCGCCACGTCCGACCGCAACTGCACCGACGTCAACAAGCTGCAGCTGTCGTACAGTGCCACGCTCCTGGTCCAGGGCGCCGCCTTCATGTACAACTACGTACGTCTTCATGTGCAACTACGCACGTCCCCTACCCGTGCACTCATTTATCCTTAGCTAAAGCGGGACGAGAGAGTGAGAGAGAAAGAAAGCTGACGACGGAACCGTCTAATTAGACCAACGGCAAGTCCACCACCTGGTTCGACCGCCTGACCAACCTCACAGCACCCCTCCTGTCGACCTTCTTCCCCAACGGCACGGCCTACGAAGTCGCGTGCGAGCTGCGGCACGGTCTCTGCACCAGCGACATGCGCTCGTTCAAGGGCCTCGCGCACCGCTGGCTGGCGTCGGCCGCGCAGGTCGCACCAGCGGTGCTGACCGGCTCCGTGCTGCCCGTGCTCGAGTCGTCCGCCGCCGCCGCCGCCGCACAATGCACTGGGGGCGCGTCCGGCCGTGCCTGCGGCTTTTACTGGGCTAGCGGCGAGTTTGTTGCCGTTGACGATGCGGAGATGGTTGGCGCCGGCGCGGGCGAGCAGATCGATGTGCTCGCGGCGGTGCAGAGTTTGCTGGTCAGCGCGTCGGCTGCGCCGTTTACTGCGGGTGGAAGCGGGAGTGGAGGTAGTGGGAGTGGCAGTGGAGGTGGGACTGGGACTGGGACTGGGACTGGGACGGAGAGTGGGAGCGGGACTGGGGGCAGTTCGTCCGCCACGAGCGCGGCGGCTACGACGGCGCCGACGAGCGCGGCGGGTCGTCAGGAGGTGGCGGTTGGTGTCTTGGCCGGCGCGGCGCTTGGGCTCGGGTGGATGAGCTTATAGCCGCTGGTTGTCTGATGGGAAAATCCGGGGAGAGATCGTGCATGGTTCGATGGCGGAGTGGCTGTCGCTTGTCCGTCTCTGTACGATGTATTCATCGTGTGAAACTATCTTGTATACTACTTTAGAAATAATAGCGTTGCTGGTTTAACATGTTCAGTATCCTCATGGTTTGTGGCGTTCTTATTTTCGTTTTCGTGTTCTTTTTGTCGTAAGCTACCGCTGCACTAGGAAACAAAATAGACGCCGGTTGCCTGGAAGTCTGGGCAACAGTACGAAGGCTCAGGCGAGAAGCAAGGACCACCTTTCACAGTGCAAGGAGATAGAGATCTTCAGGGCTATTACAGTGAGTTTAACGATTTTCAAGACATTAGCCGGCACCCTGCGTTCGAGCTGTTTGTACTATAGGAGTATAAGACTTGACTACTATGAAGGGTGACACTTTCTTCTTGCCCTAGCCTTCGTACTTGTAATGGCCATAGCCTGTGGCTGCAGGCTATCCCAGTTCAAATTTCCTTCTCAAGTCTGTCCCAGAGTAAAAATTTTCTTCTATTATCGATAATGGTCTGCGTCCTGTGAGTTGTGGATTTATTGATGATTCATTAGTTAGTAGCCAACCCTCACACCTTTAGACAACAGTATTGCAGAGATGTGAATACACAGTGTTTGCAGAGATGTAAATACACAATGTCAGATGGAAAGGGGTAGAAAGAACTAGGCTGGATTTTGTCAGCATGCTTACCAACTACCGCCACCTATTATCACCACCCACTGTACTATATTAAAGGCTCCCTGGATCAGCCAGAGAGGAGACGGGATTGAAACAAGATCTTAAAACCCCTTTTATTTTTACCATTACAGTATATCTGACACACAATATTTGCAGAGATGTGGATAAGTGCATGGCTAGTGGCGTTCTGATTTCCCTTTCGAGTTAGCTACATGTATTCATGCAGGTGATGAGTTGATGGTTACCAGCTCACATGAGTCGAGATTCCAGCTGAAAAGCCGCTCATGCGGATCTTACCTGGGGACGCACGCGATAAGCGCTTCCCAGAGCCTCGCCCAGACGTGTCCCCATCAACATTCCGTTGCCAACTCAGTGACACGAGATCCATGCACTCATCAAAAACGCACCTCTAGGCGTCTTCTACTGCCATCGCAGCCAAAGACAGAAACATGTGGCTCATCGACACCGACACGGTTGAGCTCAAGGAGGTCAGGGTTCCAGAGTCTCACCCCTACGCCGTCCTCTCCCACACCTGGAAAGACGATCAGGAAGTCACTTTCCGGAGTTTTATGGGCAGCGCCGGGGACTATGGTCATGGCATGTCAAAGCCGGGCTTCCGCAAGATCGCCAAGACATGCCAGCTGGCCAAGGACCGAGGCATCCGGTATGCCTGGGTCGACACGTGCTGCATCGACAAGTCGAGCAGCGCCGAGCTCTCCGAGGCCATCAACTCCATGTTCCAGTGGTATGCGCAGGCTGAGGTCTGCTTTGTGTACCTGGCCGACTTGACGACGACGGACGACGACGACTTCCGCTCGTGCCGTTGGTTCCGTCGGGGCTGGACACTGCAGGAGCTGATTGCCCCGTGCGCTATTGAGTTCTACGACGCGTCCTGGGCCCCCCGGGGCACCAAAGCGTCTCTGACCTCGCTTCTGTCGTCCATCACCCGCATAGACGCTGATGTCTTGCTCAACCATAGACTGCTGCCGTCGATACCGGTGGCGAAACGTATGTCGTGGGCCGCCGACCGCGGGACCACTCGTATCGAGGACCGTGCCTACTGCCTCTTCGGAATCTTTGATGTTCATCTTCCTCTTATTTATGGCGAGGGAGCAAAGTCATTCATCAGACTACAGGAGGCCATCATCCAAGAAAGCACCGACCTCTCACTCTTCTCCTGGACTTCCCAGTCGGACGAAAAATATCGGGGACTGTTTGCCTTGTCTCCCGACGAGTTCAAATACTGTGATAAAATAAAGCGAGAAATATCGCCGCTTTTGGCTCCAGCCAGCTTCTCCCTGACCAACAAGGGAGTTCAGATCTCTGCTGCTCGCTATCCTGGGACGTTCGGCAACGGGGAGATTGACATCCTGATGGACCTGCAATGCTACGACATGGCTAGGCAGCGGCTTGACGGGACTGATGGCTCTGTATTTATCAGACTGGTGAAAACCCCACACAACTACGTGCGCCACAGCTTCCGGCAGCCTGTCGCGATTCCGCGCTCTGGATTCGCCGCGGCACACGGATCAAGTAGCACGATCCACATACCAAAGGTGATCCGACAGGCAGATTCAGAGGCTCTTGTCAAGCGCCTTGCCGCTCGATTCGAAGTCAAGCTCGCGAATAGGACCCACCACGAAGTAGCCATCGGGCAGGAGTCCCCGGGTCATCTCTGGGAATCAAGGGGTCAATCATTCATCACAGATAACCACGAGAGCTTCAAAGGTTCTTTCAACCTCGCCATTCAGGGTGGAACTTACGAGCCAAATTTCGGTACCGTGCTAGCCGCTGTGCCAAAGCTTTCATCGACAAAATACGACACGCAGAACTTTGAATGGCCTTTGTGCAGAATAAGTCTCGGCCTCCGCCAACAAAACATCAGTGGCAGCTCGCTGACAGACACTTCCGACGACCGCATAGTTGAAGTACAGCCGTGGGCAAAGATTGACGGTCACGGGAACGAAGATACAGTAACCTGCACTCCTACTGTGAACGATCACTCTAGTGAAGAGTTGTTTATCAGCTCGTACAAGGATTACCCCAAGCTTCTTCTCAAACAACACGCAATTTCTGTGTCGATATCGACCACCAAGACGGTTGTTGCAGGCCTTGAGTCGTACACTCTCAAGATACATGTCCGGAACAGCCCCTGGGCCTGAGCTGAGAATTGGAGATTTCAATCTTGGCGACCGAGAAAACACAGCAAATGCCTCCCGGCTTGCAATACTATGCTTTCTCACGCTATGCTTTCTCACGCTCATTTTGTTGCGTTCCGGGATAAGCAGGCGGATCTCTCCACCTTTCTTTTGGGCTTTTTATCGTGCGTCTATCTTATCCCTAGGTATCTACTCATTTTTTCTTGCTAGTCTTTACTAGTCACGTATCTCCTAGCTCCAATAACTAGGTCCGCAATGACAAAGGAATCGTTATACATGATTCAACCCTGGTTTACGGCTTGCGTTTGCAAGTAAACCGCTCGATGATGAAACGAAGAGCCAAAACAAGGCAGGAGACGCTCAACAACACTCAATCCCGTTCGGCAAACACAATGCCGTCCCGTCGAGAGAAAGGACAAACCAGACCACAAGTACAATGAAAAAGAAACCCGAACTACTATCCCGCTTGTAGCCTTTTCTTTCAGCGTATCTAAAGCTAGCAGTCCACCGTACGCCACCGTTCGCCACCGTTCGCACCCTTGGATGATCTCAGACAATAAGAGCAAGAGAAACAAGGAAACGAAGGCAGGCAGTAAAGGAGCCGGCGAAGACAAGAAAGAAACAAAATCCAGCCAAAGAAAACCAAGACCAGACACAGCGCAGGGGTATCGTATCGTCCCGACCAAACGCCTGCAAGAAACCTCCCGATCCAGGCGATAAAAGCACAGCCCCTGAAAAATAAAGCCGCCCCTTTCTCCGTGACCATGTACCATGCCTCCTAATTACTCAAGAAGCAAAAGACAAAAGTACAGACGAAGGAGGATGGGGTGATTAGGAGAGCCGCCACAACACAAAATACACACACAGGAACCTGTTTTGACCAACGGTTAATAAACATGTTCCCACGCAAACTCAGACTTGCTTTGCAAAGCACACACCTCGAGGCTTGACGCCACGCTCTGATCGCCGTCTATTCCTCTTCCAGCGTGGCTAGTTTAGGTTAAAAAGTAAACGAACCACCCGCGATCGGAACGAACGAGCACCCGGGGACACGGCGATTGAGCAGCGTGCGGTGGACGCCGTGGCGCAGAGGATTCTGGCCGTGGTTGGGGAGCTTGCCGAGCCAGATGCGAAGCACGGATGCGGGGACGACGCCCCTGAGGTCGAGGCCGGCGCTAGCGAAGGCTCCGACGATGCGGAGCAGGCAGCGGCTCTCGGGGTGGACGGGGCAGGGGCCGCGGGTGGCGTAGGCGCTAAACAGGAGCCTGAGCGGGTGCTCGGCCAGTCTGGAGACGGCGGCGGCGGGGGCCGGCATGCGCCTGCGCCTGCGGACGAAGGAATTGGGGTTGGCACCGCCGTGGAGCAGCATGGCGGTGATGGCGCTCTCCGGGCAGAGGAGCACCGGTGTCAGGGCGAAGTGCAGGGTGGTGCCCAGCACGCTGCGGCGCGAGGACGGCGACCTGGCGTTGGGGTCAGCGCCGTTCTGCAGCAGGAACAAGAGGAAGTCGTCGTCGTTCGTCCTGATGGCGCAGATGAGGGGAATCAGCTCGACTCGGTCGCTGGTCCGGACCAGATCCAGCGACATGTTGCTGGGGTGAGGCGGCAGGACCGCCAGCACGCGCGTGATGGTGCTGGGCACGCGTTGGATGACGGCAAAGGTGAGGGCCCGCGGGTTGGCCGACCAGACGTCGCGCCGATACACGATGTGGAGGTATTCGTCGCGCAGCTGCCGGCAACTCCTGGCCATGTGCATGGCGTCGCTGAGGTCGAGGCAGTCGCCAATCTCCAGCCTGAGCTCGACCGGGAGATGAAGCAGCTGGAAGAAGGTTCCCGCAGCGCGACGGATAGGCACCACGCTTCCTCCTCCTCCTCTGGCACTTGTGGCGCCAGAGGAGGAGGAGGAGGACGGGTTGGAAGAAGCCATTGGAGACCTGGACCTGGATCTGGGCCTGGGGTAGGGTAAGAGCAGAGGGCGGCGGGTGGTGTCGAGTAGAAAGATTGCGGGCAAGATGTCTGATAGCACCCAGAGCAGAATGGTCAGTACACAGGGAGCAGCAATCTCTCGGGTCAGGAGCCCTCGGCGGGCCGTCTGTGGCTGCGGTGTGGTCTATTAACGTTACCTCTGCTATTTGATTTTCTGATGCTTGCTCGACGTGCTGCTAGAGAAACTGTGCTGATTGAAAAAAATGGTCTGCTCGAAAAAAAAATGTGCGGCGTGACGGGATAGAAAAGTGCCAGGCAACAGGCCTGAGAAACTTTTACCCGCAGGCTACGGGCTTCGGTCTGCCATCGTCTGATATCGATATCAAACCCGGGTTTACCACCAAGCGGGGCACACCATTTAGCAGCTGCGAGTCCCAATCTTTCCTCGGCGTACCGGTATGTCCAATGTCTTTCGTAGCGGGGCCAATGTTCCAGCCTCGTGATTTCTTTGATTTTTTTTGTCAGAGGCTTAACACTGGGGGAGGGTACGCCAACTTACCTCTTTCCAGCCCATGATACCCCAAATCGTCCCCCGCCCCACTGATATCAACCTGGGACGGACATCAGAAGCACAAGTATCGAGTGCTGGAGCGTTCGTCATGATTCCCAGTCTAGCCAGCTTTTCGCTTGAGTGATGCCGGTACATTGTAATGGCGTGGATAGCCACTCTTGCCACCCATTCTGGGCTTCACAATGACCTCAGCCTACGTTACATCCAGTGCTCCCAAGCAGTTGCTGTCACCGCCACAAAGACAATGATATTTCAGGTGCCACACCCAGTATATCTACACGTAGCCAGGGGCGAGCACAATCAGAGGTCTCTTCGAAGGAGGCGCTAAAACCGGGGACCATGGCGCGTATGACGCCATTGTCCTGGGTACCACTCACCAGTAGCACTAGGATATTCCGGGCTTACCTCTATCCTAGAGCCTTTCATCTATTGTGATAATGCCGTTGTTCTGTGCGCGTGGCCAGGAGGCCAATATCAAGCAAGCCCGTGCCCCACTTCCACAAAATCGGGGGGTCTCAGCCGGAGCCCAAGCCGAGTGAACGCCTACAAATATCCCTGTTAGATAACTGCTGGTTTCGTTCGCCACTATCCTCTATATCTCCTCTTCCGGCACCGAATCTCAATCTGACAAGAAACATCCAGACAAGCTCGGCCACTAGGTACTATACTAGACACGAAACCTCTACGCCACCACCCTAAGCGGCAAAACAAACAAAACCATGAGCGGAACCAACAACACCGGCGGGGCAACCCCCCCTCACTACAAGATCGCCGTGGGCTCCTTGAACCCCGTCAAGATCGACGCGGCCCTGGAGGGCTTCCGCTCCGTGTTCCCTAGCGCCACCTTCAGCGCCACTGGCGTACTTGCCAACCCGGGCGTGGACAGCCAGCCCTTATCGGACGGCGTGGCCTTCCTCGGCGCCTGGAACCGCGCCCGGCACGTCTTCGACCTGTGCCCCGACGCCAACTACTGGGTCGGCATCCAAGGCGGCGTGCAGTGGGATACGTACAGCCTGAACACCGGCGAGGGCAAAGGCGACGGCGGCCAGCTGCAGGCCTTCTCATGGATCGTCGTCCTGGGCGGCGACCGCGGCGAGTTAATGGGCAAGGCCCGTACTGCTACCCACTACCTCCCCTCGGACATGAGCCACCTCATGCACTTCGGATACGACCTCGGCCTCGCCCACCACCAGGCCCACCGCGGCATCGACTACAACCCGACTGACGGATCTGTCGGCTTGCTCACGCACGGCATTTATGGCCGAGACGAGTCCTACCTTCACGCCATCATCTTGGCCTTGATCCCTCACCGCAACCCCACCGTCGCCTTCTAGACGGCTCGGAGACCAGCGATGAGACTGCCGGAAAGAGTTATTGTTTTTAGAGGGGAGAGACTGTCCGCCAGACAATGCTCCAGGTCCGTCTGGGCCTGGAGCAATCTCAACGATGGTGTTGCCGGGCTGGGCCACCTCAGACAAGGCGAATCTACTCAACGAATCACTCAAGGCAGCGTCATTCTCGCATCTCACCACATCGAGGACCGACGTTCGGGCACGCACGGGATATATACTTCTAGTTGGTAGCTAATTACTGGAGTAGACAGCATTATGAAGCAGTGGCGTCTGTGAAATACCGTGCTCGTAAAATGTGGTTTTCTGTGTCGTAGAATAGAGCTTGAACTTGCGGATCAATAAGCTCAGACATATACGAAACTCTCCACCTATCGTTGTGAATTTCCAGCTCCATCAACTAACCAGGTACAACAGGCACCAGGCACACGGTATGCAGACTCTTCCCATAGCTAAGTGTCTTATTTCGTCTGCTCACGGAGGCTTTTCTCGAGGAGGGACTTCCACAGTACATTTACCACGAACAAACTATTTAAGATGTACACAGCCAAGCATTTACTGCGATATAGCAAAAAATCAAATAATCAGACGGCACTGCTCCGACAGAGTCATAATACCAGCCGACTCAACAACCTTGCCCTGCTCTGCCCTGCCCTGCCCTGCTCTGCTCTGCCCTGCCCTGCCCTGCCCTGCCCTGCCCTGCCCTGCCCTGCCCTGCCCTGCCCTGCCCTGCCCTGCCCTGCCCTGCCCTGCCCTGCCCTGCCCTGCCCTACAAGATCAAAGTTTTCGCTCAGGGCACGCCGCAGCTTACTCAGGGGCGCGGGTATTGAATTTTCTGATAGAGCTCCATCGATGATGCTCGACGCTCCCATGGCGGAAGGCCCCGTGACGGCTTGGTCCACCGGATTGTCGTTGGTGAGGGAAGGTAGGTAAGGCCAGGAGACGTCTCTATTAACAAAGATCTATAAATGGAGAAAGTACATCAGCATTTATTTCTGAATGATTAATTTACCTACTGCCACCACGGCATCTGGTCAAGACTCTGGACAGGAGACTCGTCTAGGAAGCCAGAAGATGGAGTGGTGCTCTCACTCTCAGCTTCTCACTCGTAAAACGGTTGCTGCAACTGCAGGCGGCCGTAAAGGAGGTGGATTGTATTTTCCGCCTGCAATGTGGTCGGATATGGGAGATTTCGAGAGGGAAGGAGACGACGAATGGCAAAGTCAGTGACTGTGCAAAGCTCGGTGCTGTCTGCAGCGGCGCTCTCTCGTCTTGGCAGTCTGCTATGGCCGGCTTGGCAAGCAAAGCCGATTACGCTTTAGGTACCTCCCTTTATTGCTGGAAGACACCGACTTCGGACCTTTAGTATATTTCTACAGGGGCCCAAATTCCGCTTCCATTGAAACATTACAGTGTACCTACGGTAAGCAGCCCATAATTTGCCAAACCGTTGTCCTAAACGCAATGTCTTTCTCAGGGCCATTGCCGCATCAAATCAAACCTAGAGCGCCTCCTCAGGAACCGATTCTCTTTCAAATTCGTTGCTTCAAAGATGATTCAAAGTTCTGCTAGGGATATCTCGGCCGATACAAGCACCATCACTCTTCATATTTTCTCGGTTTCTCGAATTTTTGTCTACAGAACTACCCCATAGCACCACACTCACCCGCGTCACCCCTAACGAAGCATAGCTCTGCTGACACCACCCGTCTTCCAGAATAACTACCACTGTCCAGACAGAGGCGCCCCCCTGCAATATCCTCCAGAGAACACGAGAGAGAGAGTCCCGACAGCTTGGAGGCAACATCTTTGACCAGATCGGCCGACCTACGCCTCGCAATCAAGCTTGCGAACAAATGGAGGCAGTGAACCACAATACAGAGATACCTACCCGACGACCGTTTCGAACTCCCTAAAGAGGTTATTCGCAGCTCTCTCCATGGCTCTGCCCAGTCGCTCTAAAATCGAGGGGTACAAGAATTAGCCACTCGCTGCTGAGCGATCCAACTTGGAGGTTCATCAAATGCCCTCGACGAATCGACAAGTTCAAGCAGCAAAAATACGAATATCTCGCCTAGCCTCCCCAATTTCTCAACGTCCTACCTTCCTACCTACCTAATTACCTACCTACTCCGCCTGACATGTTGTTGAAACATGACTCCGCCCCCGCCGAGATCATGAAAGGCACACGACGATCTAAGGGGAAGACACCACGTGATTTTTCCACGAAGGAGACGGGTTATATGATCAGTCTGCGGTTGCCCCTCGCAGCAGCTCACTCACTCCCATTATCGCCGAATCAATAAACCTGCCATGCCACGTTCCAGAGATGGACGAAGTACAAGCGGGATAAGAACCGGCCCGCTCTGGCGTCTTGCTGCGCTCACTGGAGGAGAGAGTACAGAAGAACTTTACGGCGTAACCAGCCCGCTAGCCCCTATACTCCTAACTAGTTCACAGAGAGACCCCGGCCAAGCAGTCTCTTCAGTACCGTAAAAAGGGGCAGGAGATTAGCCTCGCAAAACACCCCCACAGGGACGGGGAGGGAGAAACCGCGAGGACAGTGGCGTCACTGGGCGAGCACACGCCCTCCCTGAGTGCAGAGACATCCCACCACATCCCACCCCGTCCCCTAGTATACAGCAACAACATGAACAACAAGCACATATGGCCATAGGTAGTGGAAAATTCGGAATCCCGTCCGCTCTCCCATCGACAAGCCCCTGACCGCCCCAGACCGCCCCACTGCCTCTGACCGCCCCACTGCCCCTGACCGCCAGGCCAGTAGCTGGGTGGGTGACCACCAGCGAATCCCTGGTGCTGTGTTCTTTTTTGCGTTTAGTCTCTTTCCCTTTTTGCTCTGTTGCTTCTCTTGTTTTGTTGTGCTACTATTCCCATCCAACGTCGTTGATACGACGGCAGGAACAAGCAAACGGGGTTCGGGACTATCCTTGACAAGTACTAGGTACACATTGTAATCACAGCACAGTTACATATCCCAGCTATTACTTGGTGAAAGCATTGCCGTCTTAAATCTTCCATTCTTCAGTTGGGTATCAACAAAACACTCTGTACATGGATATTAGTTACAAGGCATCGCCATCCAGCTAGACATTTGCCAGACAATGCCACGGCCAGTCCGCACACGGGCTAGAAGGCAAATATAGAGACACATGAAGAAGGAGAAAAAGAAGAAGAAGAAGAAGCAATAATTACAATACTTAAAAGAGACAGGCTCTGAAAGACAAAGCAGCCTGAACTACCTCAGAAACGGCCATAGAACCCGGAAGAAAGAAAAACCCTTCACGCGGGAAAAGACAACGAGGGTATAGCAAAAGCCCAAGTCATTCGTCGTCCTAGCCCCCAAAAGCCATCTTTTGTCATATCCGCTCCCGTCCTCGCCAACGCCAAGTACAGAAACCAACAACGACACCAGTAACAAGGAATAAAACAAGATATATATGACATCGCCATGCCCCGACGCTGTGCATGCTGTGTCAAAAGCTAAACAGAGCCCAGTCGCCCCTCTCAACAAACGCACGGCATATGCCAACTTGAGACGTGAAAGAATTAAAGTAGAAAGCAAGTAAAGTAGAGATTCGTGTCGTACATGAGTCAATCATCCTCTCATTGGTCGGCAGTTAGGCGGCGGCAGCTTCGAGTGTGACAGTGTCGTCGTTTTCCTCGTCGGTGTTGCCTCTTCCATTCTCCTCCTGTCTGACATCAACTGCCTTTTTGGGAGTCGGAACCTCGCTCCCCATATCGTCTTCGCCTGAAGCAGCACCGCGCGGCGTCTCGCGCTCCCGCTCCAGGTATATCTCAGCCTTGCGAACTTCGGCGGCCTGTAGGTTGTCGATATACGTCGTATACTTGACGATCTCGCGCAGGAGATACTCGCTCCTGCGCTCCCAGTTCGCCATAGCCTTGGCAGCATTACTCCCCCGTGGCGTGAAGGCGAGTAGCATGGGACTGCGTAGGCTATTGTGCGCCTGAAGTTCGGCTTCGAGACTGCGGGCGTAGCTTTGCAGCGAGCCTAGCTGGTCGTGCTCCGAAACGTTGCTAGCCCGCGTGCTCAGTGTGGGTGGCGTCCACTCGGCAATGTGAACCCTGTCTCCGGGTAGCTTGCCATGGCGTGGCAGAGACCCCGAGCCGATGCCGCCCAAGACGCCGCTACTGCCGCTACCAGGGCGGCCAAAGTCGAAGCTCGAGCTCCGCATGCTGCTGCGGCTCTGCATCGACGAACGGCTCACGACGGCCGCAAGCGCAGTGGAATTAGCGCCGCTGCCGGGGCGCGAATGCCCCTTGATACTGCCGACCGCAGTACTGGGTCTGCCAACAGCGTTCACGCCCCCGTTCTCGTTTATCGCCGTTACCAGCGCATTGTTTATTATGGCATCGCTCCATCCGTACTCGACGTTAGAGATGCCGCCAACCAATGGATGCGTGCTGAGCCGCGCGCTCCAGTAGTTGGCAGTAGCCACAAATTCTTTAGCGATCTCCGGGGTGCCAACCTGGAACAGATGGACTGCACCAGAAGGCAGCGAGAGCGCCCACACATTCGGCCTCGCCCGGGAATAGCCAGGCGGGGGGAGGAAAGATGCGAGCGTCTGCTGAAGCGAGAAGGTGCCTAGATTAGTGGCATTCTCCTGCCAGTTACCACCACCGACAACGGCGCCTTTTGGAAGGCCCCTCATGCGGCCCTTGCTGCGCATCGACTTGTTGGGGGAGAAAGAGAACATGCTCAATTGTCCCTTTTGGACGACGGCAAACACTTCGGTCCACGTTCGGTCTTTGGCCTTCCTGTCAGCGCCATGGAGGTGGTGCTTGTGCGTAGCAATGCCCTCCTTGACCCACGGGGGGCCAGCCAATTCAAGTGACTCGTCATCCAGTAATTGCTCGGGCTTCAGATCTTCTCCCTTTGTAGACGGGGCACTGGCGTCAAAGGTGTTATCCTCGCGAATGATTGCCTGGCTGAGGGCGTTGGCGAAGCCGATAGACTGCTGGAATTCTCCTCGGGGATACGAAGAACCGAACGAGTCCATGGACATGGAAGTGTGGGTGCGCCCGAGCGATGCCTTGCTCCAGGTAGCCGATGACTCGGTTGGGCTCCATATAGAGTTGTTATCATCGAAGCTGGTCCGGCTTGATGAGAACCCGTTGGGAGGACCCCGAGGCCTCGAGCGGCTCTTCGAACCCCACCTCGGGGCGTTTGTTTTTGCCGTCTCAGGAATCCTGCCCCGGATAGATGCAACACTCTCGGATGGCGCCTTGCTAAGGACGCTGGGGCTCCGCTTGAGCATGCCCATGACTGTAAGTCCACCCGGAGTAGGCGGAAAGTGGGGGGCCGCCTCGGCGCCAAACAGTGGGAGGCGGTCATCGCGAATAGACGCGTAGATATCCTTCAAGACGATCTCAACCTGCGACTCCCAGCCTCGGAGCGACCCTTCGAAAGGTGCCTTGACAAGAGGGCCACAACCATCACCACTAATCTGGTCCAAGGCAGTGCCGAGCGCCGATCCGGGACGCGGTGGAGGCTTAAACGACGACCTAAAACTATTATGTCGATCGTGGTCTCCAGATGTGCGTGGGTCCCCGTCAACCCCGAGGCTCGAGCCCCTCCCAGGAAGAATGCTTGGCCGGTCAAAAGCTCCAGGCGATACCTCTTGAAGAGAGTGTCTGATGGTGGTCATTGTGTTCTTGATGAATTGGCTCCGTGTCATTTTGTGTTCGATGTCAGCCATGTGGAGATCCGTGTTCAGGAGAATGATCGAATAGCAAATGGTGTGAATGATGTCTGCGGGCATTTTAGCCAGTGTCTGCATTATGATGGGCTCGCGCCTCGTCTTACCTTCGGCCCTGAAGCCGTGGTTGGGATTGCATTCACACCACCTCCTCGTGAAGGCAACAAGGATTCGATCGACTTGCTGCGTCTCTGCTCGCAACAGCAAGCGGTGGCAGACTTGCCGAAGGCTGGCAACAATGCTCTGTCCTTCAAAGTCAAAGAGATCCATATAAGCCCGCAAAGTTCGCTGCCGGACAATGCCTTCTTCGCCCATCCAGGCCGCTGCCTTCTCCTTCTGGATGAATTCCTCGCTCCCCTCAAACATCTTTTGCGCCTTTTGACGTTCGTCTTCCGTGGGGTCACCAACCACAAAGTCCGGTTCATCAAAGGACTTGGAGGACTGGTTGATGGACTCGTTGGTGCCAAAACCCGAGGGACTCGGTTCGGCGCTGTCGATCCTCAAACTGGGCAGGCTGGGGGCGTGCTTGAACATGGTCTCGGCAGAGTCGGCATGGCTCCCATCGGACATGATGCCCTCAATAGGCAGGCCAAGATTGGTCGCATTCCGGTCGCTAGCATAGTGAGGGGCTGGGTAAGACTTGGGATCCGCTCGCGGGGGAAGTCTCTGCTCTTCCCGCGATCGACCAAGATTCGGGACGCTCTTTGCTTTGAAGACAGTAGGCGAAGGTGACCTTGTTCTCTTGTCAAGATCCGTCCCAGGCTTGAGACTCCTGTCGTTTCTCGCTAGAGGGGCGGGCTTCTGCGGCCGCGGTGGACTATCCTCGCTATCGCTATTGTCCTGCAGGAAAGACTTGGGCGGAGAGTTTGCAGGATGTCCTGGGAACTGGCCGGTTGGCGTCCGTATTTGGGGCGGACCAGTAGCATCTGGATCATCGACCCAGTTGGTGTCGACTGAGCGAATCACAGCCCGTGGGCTCGGCTCATAGTCTGGCGAGAAGCCTCTGACGTTCCTCCGGCGTTCAACTTCTGCACTGTCATCTTCGGGAGAGCGTGTCGCTTCGGGGGGGGCGGCCGAAGGAAAGGCCTCCAACGAAGGCAGTGGGCCGTCGGTTGGGGTCAGAGCATCGGCAGTGGCTGAGCCTTCTTGTAAGAAGGGATCCATTGCCCGCCGGAGACTCGTTATGGGACTCGGCTCGGATTTGGCCGAGAGCGCCGCTACCCTATCGAGAGGGAGCTTAGCCGTCGGCAACGCTGGTACGGCGGGTATGGGCGGTTGCTCCGAGTCTGTAATTGACACTTTCCGCCGCCGAAAGAACGACGAGGTCTTCTTCTGTAAGGTGTGTGTGGCGGACGTGTGTGACTCGCGCGACGGCGGGGCCGACGACTTGGCTTGGGACGCAAATTGGTGCGACCTTGGCCCAGACATGTCAACGGACGAAGACGACGCCTGCGCAGACGATGACACGCTTGATTGGTTTGTCTTGGATGAGCCAAACATGCGCCTGAAAAAGCCAGGTTTCTCCTTTTGTTGTGTTGTCCCGGATGTCGGGGTTGCCGCTTCCTTGGACTTTTCATAGCCGACGTGTGGCGCAGGCGCTGACTCGAGATCAAGCTGGGGGACAGGTGGGACATCGCCCCCGCTGCTAAACTTTGACTCGGCCTTCCGTCCAACTGTTGCACTCCTCGACGACCTGGTACTGCGACGGCGATCTAACACTGACGACTTGGTGTCGATCTTGGGCTCGGGCGGAGGCAAGACCGGAAGGGACGGGACCGTTGCCAGCCTCCGGGGGCCTGCCGGGATGTTGGGCGTAGGCGCAGCATCGTAGCCGTCGTTGCTAAAAAAGGAATTGGAGAATTCGATGTGCCATGGCGAGCGCGACTGGCCCTGCGCCTGTGCCTGCGAGGGTGGTGCGGGCACCAGCCGTGGCTCTGTGCGCGGCTCTTCTGCGTCGAAACTCGACGATCTTCCGCCAAACCCGCGAGCCCAACGCTGGCTGCTGAGGACCTGGACGTAGCCCGCATCGATGCTATTCGTACTGCTGCTCTTGCTTCCCTTCCCGCCCCTAGAATGGAGCTGCTTCGGGGTCTCGGGTATGCCCCGTTGGTGGCTTGTCGTCTCGCGCACACTATTAATGCGGCCTAGACTCGACTGGAAGGCAGAGCTACTATTACTGCGGCGTCCTCGCGAGGATATTCGGCTCGCATCATCTGCGCCCTCGAGGTCTGAACTGTATGAGTAGGTGTGGCCATTGTTGGGTCGGCCCGACCTCGAGTTGAATGACATTGTTCGCCCGTCGTCATTGCCGAACGCGGCCGGATAGATGGGCGGGTCGTCGAAGTCGGGCCTCGGGGCGCCGAAGGGGCCGCCGCTTGTCTGGCCCATGGAGAACTGGTCGAGAGAGAGAAGCATGTTGGCGACCAACGAGTCCCTCGTAACTTGACGGGGCGGCAGGGAGAGATCGTGCGAATCGCGGTGGTTATTTGGGCGGGGCTGTTCTGGTCGGGCCGCGTCTTTACCTGAGACGTCGAGAACGGGTGTGCGAACGGGGGTGAGGCTTTCGAGAAATGTTTCCATGTCGGCGTCCCTCGTTGATGTCGGGGCCCTAAGCGCCCGGCCCCCAGGTGCAGATGCCGATGCAGCAGCCTTTGCTTTTGACGACGTGGGCGGCAATCGACCGGGAGGCGTCTGCGGAATGGCGTCCCGGTCCCTGCTTGTCTTTGGCGGCGCCGCCGATGTGTTGATGTTGAGTTCAGGCTTGCGCCGCGACCCAGGTCTGCGAGTCGTGTCCGACGATTGCATCGTCGCGGGCGGTGGCTCTTGCCGGACGGGAAGGAACAGGCTGGATGAGGCAGAGGGCAGGACGCAGACGACTAACTAACTGGCTGGCCACTGCTCTCGGCCAAGCTAATCGCTGTGTGACACAAGCCAGCAGGGGCCCGTTGGCTCCATCCACAGAAAGTCAAGCAGATGGCCCAGTGACGGCGTGCACAACTTGTCCCAAACGATTTCTTGTGCAAAGGCAAGTGTATCGATGGGGCAAAGCCACAAAAGTCGGCGAGCATCAATGGCGGCGTTCCAGCGGCAGCTCGGCGCGTAATAATTATTAACGTGTGGCTCGGCACACGTGTAAAGAGGGTGCGTCTGGGGCCTAGGTTCGAGTTATTGGGCAGGTGGCAGCTGCTGGTGGCCGTTTGGGGTGAGGGGGTGCCGTCCGTGCCCAGGCTTCCTTCGGGAGGCTCGTCTAGTCAAGTCTGTGATTCGGCTCAAGGATGCAAATTGTCCTTTGGGATTGATATGGCAGTGTCGTAATCGGCCGATTCCTCTATCGTGTCTGCACTCACGCGGGATTCGGCGATTGTTGACCCTGACGAGGAAAAAAAGGTCGGCGGTTAGAAAGTTGAAAGATGAGTTTGCTCCTTGCTCCTAAACCTCAAGTGGGTCAGCCCCCCTGAACGAACTGCTGGTTGAATTGCGCCAGCGCTGAGGTGCGTTAGCTCGTGGTCCGTCCGCCTGGGCGGGAACAAATGGAAAAAGTCGCGTCTTCCCCTGCTTCTTTGCAGTCGAATAATCAGTCATGCGAAACCACAAAGGAATGAAAATATTTACTATAGTCGGTCACCTAGGCATTCAATCCGAAAAGTTCCTTTTTCATTTCCCCTATACATCAAGTCAGGCAATAATGTGATTGACTCCGACCAACAATTGTTGCAATCTCGTCGAGTGACCACTGGAAAAATTGATCTGTACGCTGAATGGAGAGGGCCGTTTTGCACGCGTGGGGTTGGCAGTTCGTTGCTGCATGTCTTGGATATTTTTGTATATTTTGCGATCAACACGCCACATTTGCTGCCAGGGCGGAGGCCCGTGCCAGTCATGAAGCGCAATATCGACACCCACGAGCCCCCTTTCTCCATGGAAGTTGCGCCGAGCTACGGCCCAGGTAAGAGAAGAGAAGCTCCCGGCCTTGAGGTATTGAAACCACTAGCCGCTATAGCGGGGGTGGCAGATAAATGGCAGCCTCCAATCCGCCAGATACATGCGGCGATTGCCCTGTTAATTGCTGTCTTCAGGGTCAGGGGTCTCTTCCCTGTCCTGGATACCTCGAGCTCCAGCGGACTTTCGTCCCATGTAACGCGTCGGCAGATCCCGATGCTTAAAGATAATATTGACTATTCACATTTTGGAAAGCGAAATGGAATAGTGTTCACATCCACAAACAGCTAAAGCAAGAACATTATCGCGAGCAAGTATTCCTGTAGATATCCTGTACTACCACATCAAAGTGTCGGGTTGCAACTCTTTTCTGGGCTAGCCAATTAGAGCCAGCTCCTGTCTTCAAGATAGGATTAATTAGTGTCTTTCCTGTTCTGCCCCTTTTCGACGCATCTTCGTCTCCCCCCCCTCCTTCCCCACATTGTCGGTATGCGTGCACACCGCCTTCCCAGATCTCCTCCAAGGATCCTTGGCAACTGCCCGCACGAGATCTCCAAGAAATGCTGTGTCAACACCACGATCGCAGCATGCTGGCATCGTGGCCGAGAATCTTGAAGACAGCCATCTCTGAATATTCTCCATGGGCAGCAGCAAGGCATCGTTGCACAACAACGCTTCCGCCCCGCTTGCTGGGCCAACTCTCTACCAAGCTTAGTGCCAGTCTTAAGCCCGATTTGAACTGCCAGCCACGCTGCCAACCTCCTGGCCCACCTCTTCGTTCCCGGGTTTGGGTAAGGAAGCGGCACCGGTGAAAAGCGACAAGCATTGGCCCTCTCTCGAGAAGTGAACAAACATGGACGGCGGCGCTGGACGAGTTGGTTTCATGCTGGAGGACACGACACGTGTAATCCGCACAACGTGCGTTGATCCTTCTACCAATCCTTCAACCTAGCAGGCACGAAGAGGAAGCCACTCCCCGTCTGGCCGACCGGCCTGAGTCGCGCTCCCTGCGGCCCGCTGGTGGTCTTGTATTTAAGGTACGGAGTCCTCCGGCTTATTGGGTTTCTCTCGATTGACGGACACTTGTGATGGGTTCGGGCTCGCTCCCCACCAGATCTTCTGAAACCTCGGGCCGCACCAACCCCATAGTTCTCCTCGTGCCACGTTCGTTTGGCAGGCGGGGGCGAAGCTGTTGAACGTTGAGCCTGTCTGCACCACCACACCGCATGTGCTGACACCCGCCAATCGGCAATCTGCTCACTCCCAAGCAGCGGCGGATGGGTGGGTGTCACGGTTCCATATTGGCCAACGAGAATAGTGGCTCCGGTCATGAAACGTTCATGCAGTCATCAAGTGGCCAGCGCGATAAATAAACTTAAATCGCTCGCGTCGGTCCAGTCGCCAGCTCCGATTTGTCTCCGCACAGGCAGAGGCCATGCGTGCAACAATCGCGCAACAATCGTGCAACACAACAGCTCGTCGTTTTAGAGTCAACCAAAGGCTCCACGTCCCCCGCACCAAATGCTCCGCAGGCCCGAGAGTCGACTGGCTGTGCCCCCTACCAGTGCAGCAGCCTTTTTGGCCACAAAACCAGGAAACCACCTGTCCACACTTGGCGACACCGCCTCTGGGCTGCTCGGTGTAACCATCTCCTGTGTGCTTGTGCCCAGCGAATATGCGGTCCTTTTGGGAAGTGGAGAGACTTTTTCTTAGTTGCACGACAACTACTTATTATACAAGCCTGCATCCAGATACACACGGCTATAGCATCGGTGTCATCTTGTAGCAGCCCAAGAGCATGACTGTTATTTGCTTTTACTGGCTATGTACGTCAATCTTTCGAGTTGGGGCAAAGTCCCTAGTTAACAAGGGATATTGATATAACTTACAGGTTGTACTCCCAGGTGTTGCTAGACTCCGGGTTGGTTCCCCGGCATATAAAGCCTTGAGATACAAAGTAATTGTATGAGGGTATGTGCTCTATCGATGGCAACCGGACATATGTATGTGTGGAAACACCTGAGCTATGAGAAGCTGTCACCCATATATGGGTCCCACGTGTTGCAACAAGGACAACCCGGCTTCCACACTGCATATCCAATCTCGCAGTATCAACATCTAACCCATCCGTCTCCATCGAGCTATATCAGGCCTCGCTCGCGAGGTCCACCCCATCAAAAGGCACAACCAGCTACGGGGCGATAGTCTAGTAGTATGATTTCTATTTCGCATCTTTTACGAAGTTGCTTCCTACAGAAGGCCCCGCGTTCAATCCGCGGTCGCTCCGGCAGCCTGGCTTCCTTCGAGAATCTACGGCAGGTGCCACACATCTGCTCGAGTATTTACATTCTTCCGTAGTATAGTGGTCAGTATATGAGCTTGTCACTTTGAAAGAGATGATTTCGCTCGGGACCCGGGTTCAATTCCCGGCGGGAGAGAGAACCCTTTCTTTTTGCCTCTCACCCTCTCTTACAGAAGGACTAAGCTCCTATTGCTTTTTGCTTCCCTTTTTCTTTCGTCGCAGTTCTTCAATTCTTTCATCCAAAGTGAATTATCTTCTCGATTTACATTTGCCTTACGTCGCTATTCATCGCAGAACTACTAACCTTGGACTATTACCTTGAGTTATTAACGAGTAAATTGAACAAGAATATATTGTTACTTGCAGTAGACTTGAACTTCTCGTCATGAGCCTTTGGCTGCGGGCAGAAACGTCTGTGTAAAGAAAACTGTAGGAAACCAGGTATAGGATCACCTGAGGATAGACTGTCTGCAACGGTGCAAAGGAAGGTATCTTGGAGCAACAACTTAGAAATACAAATTCCAACAGCAATGCTTTGATGATCTTAAGTACAGTACACGTTACACCGAAGAGCAAGGAAAGGGACAGGCAAACAAACAATCACGCACGCCAGCAGTAAAACGGCCGAGACAACCACGGCCAAGACAACCACGACCAAGACAACCAACCGTAAGTGTAGAGCCCAGATAGGCAGGCAGACAAGACAAGGGAACAAGACACAAACAAACAGACAAGGAGAGAAGGCACGTGTCACATCATGGCTATAGCAAGAAGACGCAAGAAAGGGGCCAGAAAGATAGAAGAACGCATAATCGATGCCGAACCCAAAAAAAAGTGGAAGAAACCAAAAACCAAGACGAGATCCCTAAATCTCCCTATTCTATCAATGATAGCCCAACCAACCAACCAACCGCCGCCATCCCACCGCGCCTTGACCGATCAACCAGCTTCGCCAACTAAAAACCAAAACTAAGGAAAACAAGCGACATCAAGGCCGAAAACAAAAATACAAAAACTTACAACTACTGATACGAGTTGTTGGTTCACGGTATTGCATGCAGCAAGACAGGTATGTGTCCCTTCCCACCGCCGTGCAGTTGCCGTTCGAAGAAGCGAAGAGAAAGAGAGAAGAAGATAAAAAACGAAAACATGTTGGAGAAAAAAGACAAATGTGGCGAAGAAAAAGGTAAAATGCACCGCTCCGATCAACGAGGCTCAACAGCTCGGGCAGTAGCAATATTGGCATTGGCCTCTCCAGCACCCTCGGGAGAGGGCGGACGAGCACTCTTCTTGGACGACCAAGGCCCGTCGCCAAGGCCCAACCACCTGAAGACACGCGTCTTGATGCCGCTCCCGCCCCCTTCAGCCCCGGCGCGGTGTCTCTCGGCACCGGCAGCAGTTGCGACCATCTATGATCGGCCCTGCCGCCTCTTCTCGCGCTCGAGGTTGTCGCGGAGCAGATTGTTCTCACTTTCGCTGGCGTTAATGCGCTTCATAGCTTCGCCGCGGTCGAGGAGACGCGCCTCGCGCTCCGCCTTGAGCTTGTATTCGAGGTCGCGCAGGCGGAGCATCCACTTATTGTCCATGTTAGCTCCGCTACTACTAGCACTACCGTTGGCACTCTGTTGTTGCTGTTGCTGCTGCTGCTGCTGCTGCTGCTGCTGCTGCTGCTGCTGCTGCTGCTGCAATTGCTCCTTCTCATCATCTTCCGCTTCTTGGCCTATGAGCCCCATGAGCTCGTCGGCTGCGAGATTGACGCGGTGGCTGCTTGTCGCACGGCCGGTAGTCATGGTGCTGGAGCGGCCTAGCGAGTAGTTGCTGCTTCCGCGGCTGGAGGCGCCCGTCTTTGGTATCCGGCTTGTGCGGTCTTTAGCCTTGGGGCCTGTGGGAACTGAGGGACTGGGGCTGCCGCCGCCGGCCGACGAGTTGTCAGGGATGAGGCCGTTCGGATCGCCGGTGGCGGCGTAGGCGGCTCTCGCGCGGACTTCGGCGGCGGTGCGGAGTGTGTGGTTCTCGACTTTGAGCTGGCGGTAGGCGTCTTCCAGCCGCACAAGTCGCTGCTGCGCCTCGCTGGGTCCGTTACTGAGAGTCCCGGTCGCGATGCTGTTGCGCATGATGGCCTCGAGCCGATCTAGCTTCTTGGTGCGCATGTCCAGATGACTCTCGAGCGTCTGGTACTCTCGCCACAGGTCCTTCTCCACGCTCTTGATCTTGCCTTGGAACCCGCCTACCATGGTCTCTATGGTCTTCACCGCGGCCAACAAGTTCTTGCTGAACCCTGGCAGCATGGTCGCCACAGCCTCAAGGCTAGGTAGCGCACGGCCGTTGATGAGGCTGTTGTCGTGGGCCCAGTCGGAGCCGCAAAGCGACGAAAGACGGGTCCAAAGCACAAGCAGAAGATTGTTGCGCTCAGTGAGCTGATCCTTGAAGCTGGCCTCGAGCTGGGCGAGACGCTTCTTGTCTTGGGCCTTGGCCGCCTCGAGCTCGAGGATGCGTGCATCCTGGGAGCTGACGGTCCTGGTGACGTGCTGGTGCGTCTTCTGGAAGGTCTCAAACTGGTGTTTGGAGTTGCGGTGCGCCTGCCGCTCTTTGTCGAGCATCTCGGCCATTTTGCGAGACTCGAGAGCATGCGATTCGAGAAGGGCGTCGCGCTGTTTGATGATGCGATCCTTCTCCATAAGAGAGTTTTTGGTGGCGTCGAGATCGCGCACCGTGTTCTCCAGGTCGCGCTGGAGTTTGGCGATTGACTGTAGGGAAAAGGGGGGGTCAGTAAGCTTTTCGCAGGCACACAAAAGCCTCGGCAGACTTGCCTTCAAAAGACTTGACCTCGTTCCGTTCAAGTCTCCCAGAGCCTCGCGCAAGTTGTTCTCCAGTTCAATGAGCCTCTCTTTCCACTCCGTCGCCTCGACCTCTCTACTTGTGAGGTTTTTGCGCAGCCGCCTAGCCTCATCCTTGGCCGCCGACGCCTCCCTATTGAGTTCGTTGACGAACTGCTGGACGTCTTCCTTCTCCCGGTTCGCGACGATTTCGCGCTGCCGCCTCTCGGTGGCGAGACGTTGCTCAAGCTCCCGGGCGCGATCCTTCTCCTCGCGAATGGTCTGCTCGGCATTAGCGAGCGCGGCCTCGAGGTCCCCGATGCGGATCTTGTCGCCTTCTTGCTCCTCGCGCAGGAACGCAATTTCGCCCTGGCTGGATTCCTGTTGCACCGACAGTCGATTAGCTTTGTCGTTGGCCTCCAAGAGCTTGGTCTCGAGATCCTCCAGCTCCCTGTTGGCGTCTCCAAGCTCTTGCTCGAGCTGTTGGATCCTTCGGAGCTTGGTTTCCTGCTCATCCTCGAGCCGCACAAGCGCGTCGCTCATCTTGCGCATCTCTTCTTGTAGTGCGCTAAAGTTCTCGGTCCTGTCACTCAAGTCGAGTTGAAGACGCTCTATTTCGGCGTTGCGCTGATCTCCTTCGCCCTCGAGTGCGTCAATCTCCTCCTGTGCTTCCTTGCGCAGAGCCTCAAACTCGGTCTCCAAGTTGGCATGCTCCTGCAAGGCCTCGTCTCTCTCCGCTTGGAGTGCCATTAGGTCGTTCATGGCGGTGTCGAGATCCTCCTGAAGCGCGGCAACCAGCTCCTCGGCTTCCTTTTTGGCTCCGACCGCAACCTCAAAGTCCTCCATGCAGGCGTCTAGCTCTCGCTGCAGGTCCTGGTTCTGCAGCTTGAGCTCGTTGTTCTTGTCGCGCAGATCGGCTAGCTTGTTTTCCAACTCCTCGCGCTCCGGCTCTTCCAGTGCGGTCCCGGTGGCTCGTGTCCCGCCACTTGCTCGAGACTGCGACCGCTCATGAGCCCCTGCGCGGGATGCTGACCGTTCCAAGATGCTATCTATCGTGGAAGGTGCTGGCCCGCCCCGGCGTTGCGCCATCTTCAGATCTTCGATTTCTTGGTACAGCCGCTCCTTCTCGCGGTTCCGCGAGGTAAGCATCGACGTTTGGGCACCCACTTCGCGTCGCAGCTCGGCATTCTCGTGGCGCAGCTGATCGCTCTCCCGGCGAAGATCCTCGACCAATGTGCTGCCTGCGCTCAGCGCTCCACTGGCATCTAATTCGTTGGAGAAAGCCGTCATCGGTCGACTTGGAGACATGGCACGGTCTCGCTTCTTGGTGATGTTATAGATGTTTGTGGTGTGGTTTAGTGCACTCCCGGCCGACTGCGCCGCGAGTTCCTGCTTCAGGCGAAAGACTTCGTCGCGGAGGCGGCGGTTGTCTTCGTCGCCCTGCTCTCTCCTGGCAGTCTCTTGCTCGAGAAGATCCTTCCAAACGTCCGCTTCTTCTTGTCGGCCGAGACTCTCGCCTATTCTCTCGCCAGTCTTTTCCCCAAGCGTCCGGACGACCTCGGCCATGCGGCGCTTCTCGGCTTCTTTGGCCATGTTGTCGGCTCTCAACCTCTCAATCTCAGTAACGTACTCTTCCATCTGCTCCCTCAGATATATCAGCTCCTCTTCGCGCTCCTGACTCTCTTGGTAGTACGCAGCGCTCTGATCATCGTCGGACAAGACACTACGTGCAGTCCCGGGGCGCTGGTCGTCATCCTTCATTTGCTTTTCGAGCTCCTTGACACGCCGACGCAGCATCTTATTGTCCCTCTGCAACACTGCCAGGCCCGTTTTGAGCTCGACGTTCTCTGAGATCATTTCCTTAATACCTTCTTCAGAGAGCTTGTCCAGGCGGTCGCTCAGGAACATAACCTTGAGCTTGAGGTCAAAATTCTCCTTGCTCAGGCGTTCGATGGTGCTGCTCTGCTCCTTCAGGGTCAAGCTCTTGCCTCCATGGCGGCTCGTTCCAGTCGAGGTGCCAAGACCCGCGACGCTATTAAAGTCGTGGGGTTTCCGTGGAGTTACGAGGCCTCCCTTGCTCTTATATTCTCTAGCTAGAGACTCAGGAACTTGCACTTCTCGCACATGGCGGGCGATGACGGTGTCGGTGGGCGCGGCGAGAGCAGTTGAGTTGCGCTTGGCTTTGGGGGTTTGCAGCATATCGTCGTTTTGGACCCGCTGGCTCGGACGCTGAGGAGACGAGTTCTGATCCACTTCGTCCAGGGTCTCGAGCTGACCTATGGCCGGCCCGGAGTAGTCATGGAGGTCATCGATTCCACTAGCCATGCTCCCCATGCTGATAGACCGCGACAAGATGTTGCTCAAGCTCCGCGGCATTCCCAATGATGGGACGGCGCCGCCAGATTGGAGCGCATAGTCCGTTCCCAGCCCGACCGTGACATCGCTTTCGGGGTCGGTGATTAGAGACGAGACCGAGGAGCGCTGACTGGCATTTCGGCTGCGCAGGTATTTTGGACGTTGCCTGGCAATCTTGAGAGCCTGACCAGGAGTATTTCCTGCATCCACAGAGAACCGATGCAGACTTTGGTCGGAGCTCATGTGTCGTAACCGTCCCGGATGGCCACCTTGGGGGTACTCGGGCTGCGGAAGGTAATTCTCAGAGTGGTCTCCTGCCTGGTCCTGATCGTCATGGCTGTCTGTCTGGTCCAGGTCGGATTGATCATGATCTGACTGGTCGTGCTGAGGATAAAGGTCGTGCGCCGAATCGTCGGGGTCTTGCCTCCCTTCGGCCCCATCCACGCCTCGACTTGCCTGGGACACGGCGCGCGAGATAGTCCTTGCAGCAGCGGCAGCTGTTGGCGAAGACGAAAACGCCTCTAATGACGATGTTCCATTGCCGGGCTCCACCCTGATCTGTTCGTTTTCTCGGTCGGAGAAATGGTAGTCGTTGTTGATATGTGCGGGAGTGGGCGGCGTATGCCTCAGAATTGGAAACATCTGTGACTCGTCCTGTGACTCGTCCTGTGACTCGTTGGCGTCGCTAGGGGGGAGGGGCGGCAGGGGCAAAGCTCGGGCTGTCTGCTTCTTTGTGGGAGAGTCGAAGAGGAAGGTGTCGTCGACTCCATTTCTGGAAGCCGGGATAGGCGAGAGGGGGGCTGAGAAGCTCGACTCGATGTCTTGGAGGTGTTGTCGAACAGCGATCTCGGCCTGGGAGTCTGAATGCCTAAGTTCGAGACTCGGGCCCTCGAGGTAGCTGCTCTCGGGCATGGCAGGGGCGGGCGGATGCAGCGGCGGTATGTTCTCGGGTTTGAGGGCTGGCGCATTCGAGACAGGGGGTGGGGGTGGGCGGACATCGCCAAAGTTCTCCTTGAGCGGAGAAATGACATCGTCATCAAAGCTCCCTGGCACTTTTCGGATGACCTGATGGGCTATCGATGGCCGCGACTGCGGGCTTTGGAGGCTTTCGTCTTCGTCCATTGTGAGTAGAGCGGTCGCAGGTTTAGTGTCGCGCGGCTTGCTGTCGCGGGGTCAAGCAGCGAGGTGCATGTGCATTCGGATCGAGTCGCGCGCGCTGTCAGTCACGACCCCGTCGCATGGCAGCACCAGCCGGGGACAGGCGCGCGCATGTAGAAAACAGAAAACCCGGCTCGGTAGTAGGTATTCGGGCTGCTGACGAAACAAGCAAAGGTAAAAAAAAACAAAAAAACAATACGTAGCACTCGGGACGTTGACCGAGACCAGCTGCGAGGGAAATCTGGGTCGGGTCGCATACACTAGAAGAAAGCCAATGATGCGCTCGGTCCTCAGGTTTGTTCGTTTGGACTTTTTTGGGCGAGGCATGGGCCGCAAAGAGGCCCAAGATTTCCAGAGTTGCGGTCGCGTCTTGTCCCGTGCCCCGCCCCAAGCCCAGCGGGAAACGTGCTGATCCCTGCGCGTTGCTACGACACCCACCGTAAGCCAATGGCATGCAGGCGGCCGGGGTCCCGGCAGCGGATCCTTTTGGGCCAAAAATGGCAAAGGCTTCGAAGTAGGGCCAACGTTCGACGCAGGGGGGACCGGGATTGGAATGCAAGTAATCGATACTCCGTCTGAAGACTCCTAATAAGATTATGAAAAGGGGTTTAACAAGGAAGGCTTTGCAATTGTCTCTTGTCTCTTTCCTGCAGCGGAAGTGGATTCCCAGGCTGCCAATCGGCTAGTTAATTAAACCTTAAATATTGCCCGAAACAGGGTTTGGGAGCGTGCCGGAAATGATGCATGGAACGAGGCAGTGGCACGAGAAAAAGTATCGCCCGTCCAAACCTTCGGCGCCACAGTTGCGAGGTTATGATGAAACCCTCCATGCTGTGCCTAAACCCAACTTAACTACGTGCTCAAGAATCTAAAAGCCAAATCAACCTTAGCTTGGTTTGGGAGGGCTTCAGGACCCTCCTTTTCTTAGTAGATGACGATAATTGGATCAAATTGTGGGGCTAGCAAAAAAAAGGCCATGGCGACCATGATTCTGTAGAGAAGATGGAGAAGGAAAGAGCCGAAAGAAAGCACAGGCCTGAAAGTTTATTTGACAGGCGATTTCTGCGCTTTGACTCAAGGAAGTCGACGACACAGTACTTAATAGCCGTAATTTGCACACAAAAACAGAAACCTGGAAGGTGTTGACATTTAGGTAACTACCTAAGGCAATTAGGTAATTATAGCTGAGGTAAGGTGCCAATTCTAATTGAGAGAACGACGAAGTAGAAAATTTGTAATTAGATCTAAGCCAACTTTTCAGACCGAAAAGCCGCACGGTTCAAAGTCACTTCCTCCAACCTCGTCTCTGGCCCGGTGCTGTCCGGCTCCGACTTGTTTGATAATATTGCCAGTACCGCGGTCCGCAACCACAAGCCGGGCGAATCAACCATCCGCATCAAAAACTGTCAGACACGAGGAAACATGGGGGCACCTTCTCTGCAAAATGCCTAGGGCGATTAACCGCGACAAGGTTGAGACTGTACGCAATTACGCCCGAGGGACACGGAAGGCGTTTAAGGCGGCTTAGGTATCCTAAGTCCTAACCGACCCTTATTTTCCGTCGCATTCAGAAAGTCACTTGAGAGAATTTCAAAGCGGCCAAGACAGAGAGAAACAGGAAGGTGCCAATGGGGATAGGGCTATAATTGCCCCAATCGTCCCGTCTTTTGACCTCGTCGACGGGTTACGATTGACATTGTCGAGGGCCGTCGCCATACCTACAGGATCCCGTGGGTGCCAAGACGGCGGAAGCAGAATGAATACCTAAGGTAGTTCAATAGCCAATCCAATGCACTGCCGTTGGCTCCACGCCGCCTCGGGCGACGAGCAGGCGAATGGGTTTTGGCCTACTCCAACGGACTGCCGATTCCAGCATCATGCATTTGTGCTATGCCGCCGTGCCGCAGCCACATCACTACTATATCCCTACCCGTTCACTATGCATGCCGCCCATGCCGCTCAAAGGGAAGGCAGCAGCGCTAGATGCCCAGACGGTATCAACATTTACGTGGAATCCTCACGACACGTAATGCTCCATGCCTTGGAGGCAAGGCAGCGGCAGCGGCAGTGGCAGTGAGCCAAGGCAACCAACCAGCAGTCCGCGCACTATCAGAATGGGTCACATGGGCCAACTGTGGACCGCCTTGGCCCCCAACCAAGGAAAGGTTGATTCAAACTAGCACAGCAAAGGGTCGTCGAGCTAGGCGCGAGCTGATGGTCTGAGCCAGAGGAACGGGGTGCATAGTCTTCGTGTTGAATGTGTGTACATGCACAATGCACACCACACACCGCACAGCACACACCACACACCACACACCACACACCACACACCACACACTACATAGTACACAGCATACCTTGCCAGATGTGTCTCGTGTGCGGCGTGTATATCAAATACAACCACACACGCCCTTGCAGGTCACAAATCGGCCCAAGTCTGCCTTGAACCTTTCGAGCTTTGATCTCCATATAAAGCCATTCCAACCGCCAAGGCAACTCCCTTGACTCGAGTCTCTCTAGTCTCTATCTATACATTTTCGCACTCTATACAGACCCGTCAAACCAACCCAACGAGGCATGCCGTCAACCATGTACGACTACGGACTCCACGGAGATGCCCTTGAGCGCTGGCGCCAGTACAATGACCAGAAGCTGGCGAATCCCGAACTTATCACTCTCGGCATTCTCCGTGAAACATACCCCGGCCACCACGTCACCTTCACCAAGCCTTCGAGGTGCGACCTCCTGGGCTTCGCCGAGGCCGGCCATGCCACAGCCACCCAGCAAGACAGCCCCTTCGACCACGCGCTTCGCATCTATGAGGCCCCCGGATACCGGTTGGACAAAGGAGGCTGCAAGGTGCAAGATCGCGTCTTCTTTGGATGCTGGTCTTACACGTGGAACGGCACTGACTACTTCGTCTACCAAGCCGAGTACAAGGACCGCATGACCCGGGACGTTAAGCTGTTGTACGTGCTGCACCCCGACGGCCAGCAGCAGCGCACCAACGCCGCCACCGACGCCCTGCTCCTCGAGTCGGGCAAGTGGACCAAGGAACTCCACGGCGAGATCTACGTCTTTGACAATGCCGAGTGGAAGAAGTCTAAGGAGCTGTGGAAGAGCGTCGCCGGCGCGTCGTGGGACGACGTCATCCTCGACGCCGACATGAAAGCCAGCCTGATCGACGACGTCACCAACTTCTTCGACACGCAGGCCCTGTACCACTCCATGAAGGTACCTTGGAAGCGAGGCGTCATCCTCCACGGCGTGCCCGGCAACGGCAAGACCATCTCGGTCAAGGCGCTGATCAACTCGCTGGCCGCGCGGAAGGACCCCGTCCCGTCGCTGTACGTCAAGTCGCTCGACGCCTGCGCCGGGCCCAAGTGGGCCATCCAAACCATCTTCGTCAAGGCGCGCACCATGGCCCCGTGCCTGCTCATCTTCGAGGACCTCGACAGCATGGTGACCAACAAGACGCGTAGCTACTTCCTCAACGAGGTCGACGGGCTCGAGTCCAACGAGGGCATCCTGATGATCGGGTCGACCAACTACCTCGACCGCCTCGACGCCGCCATCACCAAGCGCCCGAGCCGCTTCGACCGCAAATACCACTTCAAGCTGCCCAACGAGGCCGCGCGCGCCGCCTACGTCGCGTATTGGTCTCACAAGTTCACCGGATCAGGCGATGTCGACTTCCCAGAGAGCCTGTGCCCCATCGTGGCCAAGATGACCGACGGCTTCAGCTTCTCGTACCTCAAGGAGCTATTCGTGGCCTCGCTGCTCACGCTTGCCCGCGGCACGTCCAACGGCGACATCATCGCCGAAGAAGACGAGCCCTCTGCTGGCCAAGACGGCGACAGCGACAGCAGCCCCCCAGCTTCTGACCTGGGGGTTGTCGTGGTCGGGGAAGAGGATAAGGGCAAGCCCGCTACTACTCCTGCGGCGGCGGCGGCGGCTGGCAACAAGAAGGTCCTGCCTCGCATCGACATCCCCGCGGAGCTGCAGCGCAACGTGCTGCTGCGCATCCTCAAGAAGCACGCGGCCGGGCTGCTGGCCGAGATGGACAATGGCGACGAGGGCACGGCTCCCAAGGAGGTGCCCGCCGACGACGGCGAGCCGCCCCTGTTCTCGGCCGCCTGGTTCGCCTGCCGCGCGGACCCAAACGCTTGAGTGGTGGGCAAGGGAGCTGCTCGTGATTGTCAAGTGTTAATTATCGTTACTCCCTTTAACTTGATACATACAGCTGATAGGGCCTTTAATGTGCATGTGGTGATGGGTATGAGCCATTTCACTTTTGTGATAAATCTAACTGTGGAAGTCCCTCGTTGAAGCAGACGAAATATAACACAGTTTATAAGCTGAGGTGCCCGCTCCATTCGGCAAAGCATCCGACTTTGCTTGCGCTCAATTTAAATACAATAATCACAAGCCAGCACCCAGAGTGCCGATTACATGTCTCTCGTCACTTTCCAGGAAGACATCTGCTTTGTGATCTGGCGATGGTCTTGAATCTTGATCCACGTGCCCAATTCTTTAGTTATAGCCGTCCAACTAGACATCTGGTACTATTCCAAGGTATATTACACAGAGAATGATAACGGACCTCCATTTTAGTTATTTTCATTCTGACATATAAAATCCCGGCATTGCAGTCCCGTTCTTAAAAGGAGACTGATACGGTGCAAGTCACACTGTAGAACGCACTGTCACGTGCACCCCACTGCAGAACTTACACCTCGGCAGATGCGGATGCTAGCTCCTTCCTTCTTCTTCCTTAATTTTATACCTAGATCATTTATTCACATTGTCATTCACATCACATTCGCATTTTTTGTGGGTCTTCTATATCAATGACATTAGCGGTTTCTTTGCGAGCGATCTGTCCCTATATACCCTAGCTTGTTCAATTCCGCTGTATTCGTACGCTAATTAATTACAAGAAACGCTTTTCGGCCACTTTCCCATCAAAAGCGACGCTCTTCCATCAGCTTTCCATAAATCATCTACGTCTTTCATCAGCTTTCTGTCGACTACGACGTAATTTACCATCTCTTGGCCTCGTCTTTCTCACCTTGTCGTTTCATTCTTCCCTTTGCCGTGTTTGTCTCGATTTATGCTTCCGTCTTTACTTTTACATGTAAAGTCAATGTGCTTCCATTTGAAATTACGCATAATCAGTTGGCTGCTAGCTAGAGAAGAGTTGAGTCATTGGCAGCTACCTTAGTTGCCGTACGTTACCTAATCTATCAAATAAAGCCAAACTCCGGTCTACCCGTTCTATAGGTCTTTAATAACCAAGCAGTTCGAGCCAATCTTTTACCTGCCCTTCCCCCGACACGACACTCGTGAATATCAGAAACCAACGCTATGTCGACGACCTCCGATCATGGCCGTCACCGGACCAGACCTGTCCCTGTTCGTCATACGCCGGCGACACCGGAAGCTGAAGCCCACCACCTCGGTGCACATCTGGCAACGTAGCAGCCCTCCCCAGGCCCATGGCGCGGCGCTTCCGGGCGGCAGCAGCGCCCTGCCAGCCACCGCCGGCTTCGCGGACGTTGCGCAGCGACACCCTCTGGCCAGGGAGGATAAAATTTCCCAGCCAGCGGCTGGCCGTGGGGCTGGTGAGAAGCAAGCGGAAGTTGGTGGCGGCGCGGTAGTGGTAGTCGTCGTCTTCGTCTTCATCGCCGCCGGGGGCGCCCGGATCTGCGGCGTCGCGGAACGCGTCCAGCGTCGCCGCGTAGTCGCCCGCGCGCCACAGCCTGTCACCCTTGTCGGACCCGTCATCATCATCGCCACTACCATCCATGCCGCCCTCGCCAGAAGGACGAAGCGGCGGCGGCGGGTCGCGTTCAAACGCCGACCAGCCGTCGACGAGGCAGTAGATGGGCACGGTGCGGGGCACGAGGCGGATCAGCGCGGCGAACAGGCGGCCGATGGCGGTGACGTCGCGCCGCACCAGCTGCAGTTCCTGTTCTTGCTCGTCGCCCTCGTCACTGCCGCACAGGTGCGGCAGGTCGACGGCGTCCTGCGCGCCGATCCACCCGTTGTCGACGAGCGCTAGCAGCAGCTGCGTCGTCAGGCACCGCAGCAGACCCTGTGGTCCGCGCAGTTCGTCATCGTCGCCGCCATCCGTCGCGTGCAGCGCGCAGTAGTACTCGAGGACGACGGCGGGGGAGGGGGGCGCGGGCTTGTCGGGCGACCGCGGCATACTGGGCGACGGCGATGATGATGTGGCGGCGGCGGTGGCATTTGGCTGTTGTTGCTGTTGTTGTTGCTGCTTCTGCCGTAGGGCCTGGGCGAGCATGGCGCACACGTAGGATAGCGGGCTGACCTTGCCCATCTGCGAGCGGTCAAAGTGGCCGTCGACAGCGACGATGCTCGGGGCGCAGCCGTTGCTGGTGCTGAGCAGCTCGCGCACCTGAGCCGCGACGGCCATGTGCGCCGCGCGCTCGATGTCGGCCTGGTTCAGCGATGCGCCGCGCCGCATCACCTTAATGGCGTCATTGCTCGTCCGCATGTGGTTGACGTCCATCAGCTTCAGCAGTTCCTCGGCTGTGTACCCTGGCAGCGCCGTGCCCAGGTCGGACATGCGATCGTCCGACGCCAGGTTGCGGTTGTTGTCGGGAAGGAAGCCTAGCGTATTGAAGTCTAGTCTTGTTAATCAGCCTGTACACGCATACGAGAAGCAAGCGAAAACTCACTCAGCTGCTCCATCAGAAAGTGCAGCAGCTGCGTCTTGCCGTGCGCGGCGTCGATGGACATCTGCATGGTTCGCTGCTGGCGCAGTACCTCGTCCAACTGCAACTGGATAGTCTTTGAGGCCGAGTAGTTGCCGACGATTAGCTCCTCGATGAGGCCCTCGGCGCAGGTGCGCACCGCCGCCGCGCACCCCGACACGGTGTCGAGCAACTTGTCGATCTTCCAGGTCCCAAATGGGCTCTTCCACGCATTGACTGCACGGGCCTAGGTCAGTGTTGTCACAATCCACACAGTGGACAGACTCACGGAAAGTTCCCGGAACTAGTCTGTTGATCAAAGCCGGCAGCGTCCGGATCAACATTAGCTGCAGCTCCTGGACGCACTTGTGCAGCTGGATGCTCTTCGGGTTGCTGCTGTCAAGCTTGAAGGTCTCGGCCTTGTTGCGCGCCATCTCGATGATGTTAGGCACCGACTCAAAGGCCGCCAGGATCTTGAGCCTATTCATCTCGCTGTGCCGCGCTAGCTGTCGCAACCACAATTGATGAGGCAGTGGTTAGCCATCGACTCTCTGATGCTTGAAGGGATGAAGGACGCCCTCTTACGCTGAATATCAAGGCCAGCGCGCCGTGCAACACACACAGCTCATCCGGCAGCGCGTCGAGGCCCGGGGCGAGGATGCTCGACGTGGATCCGAGGGCGCGCCAGGCCTTCCTCAGGGGGTTCCTCTTCTTCTCATTCTCGAGGGCCCTGGATTGGGCCTTGCGTAGCTCCTCGTGCACGTCGTCCCATGTGCACTGGTTCAGGTCCGGGGTGAAGTCGATATACTTGGCCGCTACGCGGTGATGCTGCTCGAGCGTGGCCCTCAGGTCGCTGATCTCTGGCGGTTCGTACCGCATCGTCGCCGTGTTCAGAGCAGACGGGTTGGCAAAGGCGGCGTGAAAGGCGGGAGCCTTGGTGTCGATGAAACCGGCAAGCATGGCTACTTTCTCCTCGCGCTGCCGGTATGGGTACTGGTGCTGGTATTGGTGCTGGTACTGGTCCTGATCAGGGTCCTGGTCAAGGTCCTGGTTCTGTTGCGTGGTCATTTTCCTCGGAGGATCATGGCCTAGTTCGCGCAAGCTGATGCGTCACGTCACGTTACGAGACTAAGACAGGTAGGCAGTCGACTCATACGGCTTTGGCTTGCTCTCGGTGCCGAAGCGCGACGGGAAAGCTAGGCAGAATCAGGGCCTTTGGCTGTATCCTTGCGGATGGGCAGACTGGAGACGGTACAGCTGTGATCGCCATCCCTTTTTTTCAAATGCCAGAAGAGGGGAAAAAGGGGGTTGGCGGGCAGTTTAGCAACTGAGGGAAGCGAGGCTCCGACAAGGCTCTGGCTTCCGACTTTCTGCTCGACGGGGTGGGTAGGTAAGACGAGACATGAGGGTGTTGTGGCGGAGCAACTGCAGGTCGCATGACCCCTGCGTTGGTCGCCGAGCCTTATGCTGAACAGTTCATGCAGAGGGAGACATCGATTATTACCAATCACCGGCTGGGGTGCACGGCAAACTCTTCGAGTTGGTGGTGGCAATCACGGGTAAACAAGTTGGTCCGGTCGACTTACCATCAAGACTAGGCTTGAGGCGTTCTGTTAAGTCTTGGGCTGAGGTCCTGTGTAAAACTGGCTTCGCCTTGTTTCTGAGCATCAGCCACTAGGCACCAGCCGTCCTGCAGCCGACCCAGAGTCAAGAAAAAGCAAGCTACTCCCAAAATGTCGCCGCATTTCCCGGAAAATCACCGCGGGAGCCTTCGCCGATGACTCGTCGCATTGCGAGTGGGTTAAAAGATAAGGGCTGTGTGGCCCGAGCAAGAAATCCGGATCTCATTTTCAGACATGCCGCATTTGGGCCTCGGTGTGCGATATTGCTTGCATACGTCCTCCCGCCAGGGCAAGGCTCGGACGAGCGCCGGGCTGACCTTGGAAAACATGATTTGACCGACCCCCACTTCTGATTGATTTCACCAGATCTACCTTGGAACAGATCCCAGAGCCTTACTTCTCCACGACCGGCGGCTTTGTGTGCTTTAGTATTTCTGATCGACTCCCCTCAAACTCTTGGTCCAAGTGTTGTCACGGCCGGCTTTTCTGCCCCCCGCCAACATCCTGATTCTCGTCCACCGTCTGAATTGAAAAGTACCAGTCCTTGGGGTCGAGACCAAAACAAGAGGAGACATAAACGAGATTAAATCAAGATCCAAGTCGAATTTCCGTCTTGACTCTTGACCACCCGGTGCAACTCCAGCCAGACAAGATGAATGCCCAAAGATACGGCGGCGGCAGAAGCGACGTGCTCCCGGCCGAGATGGCTGGTAGGCTTATGGTTCTCGAGAACCAGCTCCAGCTGAGCCGCGGTCGTATCGCGGATATCGAGAACAAGCTGTCAAACTATGAAGGGCCGCGGCGAGCATACTCGGCCGGGACAGAGGGACAGAGAGCGCCAACCGACATCAGCGACGACACGGACGTGGCCGAGTACATGTTCCTTGACGTCAAGAGGACCATCCCCGAGGTGCGCGAGTGCAACTTTGCGCAGTTCAAGAACCGCTTCGAGCCCGACGGCAGGGACGGCTGCTATGCCGTCGACGTGCTGGTCTCTGGAGACCTGCTGCACCAGGAGATCCAGGAGGAGCACCGCCTGCGTGACAAGCTGTTCCCCGGCCCGTCGTCGCTCCTAGTCAAAGACAAGGCCATGGCCAAGGCCGTCAACACGGCGAACCTCACCACCGACCTCATTGACCGGGCCCAGTCGGAGAAGAAGTGGCCCCGCCGTTTGCGAATCCAGTCGCCCGCCCTGCTGCAGATCCTCGCTAGGGCCAACCGCGAGAAGTGGACCGACAGGCCTCGCACCTACTACCGCCCCTTCAACTCTCTCATCTACCAGCACGGCGAAGTTCGCGAGCTCCTCCAGCACCTCGAGGAGAAATGGGGTGCCGAGCTGGATTCCAGAACCACCGCGGCCCCGGAGACCAGCAACGAGACCAGCAACGAGACTAGCGAGACCAACAACGAGACCATCGCAGTGGTGGACGACGTTGAGCAGGAGGAGAACCGACAGAACCCGGAGTCCGACGGCGACGACGACGACCAGTCCTCAGTCGACGACTCGCCCGAGGCGCTGGCCTGCCTGCGGGCCTACGTCACCTACATTGACAACTACATCATGCCCGACTACCACAGATTCGAGAACATGGATGTTACGTCCAACGCGCTGGTGCGCTTCTCGGATCTGTGGTACCTGTTCAGGACGGGCGAGCTGGTGTACCAGCCGGCCGACGGGGAGCGGCCGGACCGGCGCGACTTCCGCACGGGTAAGCGCATCTGGAAGACGTACGCCATCGACTCGGTGCCCGAGAGGCTGCTGGCGGCGGCGACGGACGACACGGAGATCCGAGACGCGGCGGTCAAGAACGACTATACGGCCTTTAGCGTGTGCTGTTTCTACGTCGACTACACGGGCGAGGAGTTCTGTGTGGTCAAGAAGATGGTCAAGATCGAGAAGTTCCCGGGCGAGATGAATGTTGGCTCGTTGCCCGTGTACCCCATGCGCTTCTGCCTCGACCACAAGGCGCGGCTCGAGCACGCCATCAAGACGGGCGACCAGCTGCTCGAGTTCATCAAGGCCAAGCACTGCTCGTACAGCGGGTGGACGCTGACGCAGTCGCCCAGCGGCGAGCCAACGTTGGATATGGACGGCGAGAAGCTGCTGCAGCCCGAGCACATCAACAGTGAGGTCATGGTCGACTTTGGCGAGGCTTTCCAGGCATGCCCTGCCTGGCGGCCCCAGCGGGCGAGCATGCGGCGGAAGATTGTCGACGGGCGTACCGTGCCCGAAGACTTCCGCATCCGCTGGTGGACGGGGCCGAAGCGGTCCCGGCTGCTGGGCGAGACGACCGAGATGATCCCCGTGAAGAGCGGAGTATCGTTAAAGCAGCGTAACAAACTCTTCGCCACGGACCCCTTCCTCGTCGCCGTCAACCGCAACGCGCGGCAGCTTCAGCCGACGACGGAAAAAGACCTGACGCACGAGACGCGGGCGCTGCTCACGGGCCGCGTGTTTGCCTACGTGTTCCAGGAGCGCAAGTTCGCCCAGCTAGCCGTGGCGCAGCTGCGACCGTCGCCAAAGACGGGCCTTGCGCTTGACCTGCTGCGCATTCCCAACGCCGTCAAGCACGCCATCCAGGGCTCGGTGCAGGGCCACTTCCTGCAGAAGGCGGCCGAGCGCAAGATCGGCCACGACTGGGCCTCGCTCGATCTGATCCAGGGCAAGGGCACCGGCCTCTTCATCCTGCTGCACGGCGTGCCCGGCGTCGGCAAGACAGCCACGGCCGAGGCCATTGCCCAGGCCAACGGCAAGCCGCTGTTCAAGATCACCGTCGGCGACCTCGGCATGACACCCGAGAGGCTCGAGATGTCACTGCGCGACATCTTCCGCCTGGCGAGCATCTGGGACTGCATCCTGCTGCTCGACGAGGTCGACACCTTTTTCTCCCAGCGTTCGCGGGCCGATACGGCGACCAACAAGAACGCCTTGGTGTCCGGTGAGTCTACTTCACAGCCTAAACGTTCCATGAAATAGAACTGATCTGTGTCACAGTATTCCTGCGCGTGCTCGACTACTACGACGGTATTCTGTTCCTGACCACCAACCGCGCCGGCGTGCTCGACGAGGCCTTCAAGTCGCGTATTCACTACAAGATCTACTATCCGGACCTCACCGAGGAGCAGACGCTGGACATCTGGAAGCTTAACATGCAGCGCGCGCGCAAGGTCGAGGAGGAGCTGGCGCGCGTCGAGGACCGCAGCCCGATGAAGATCAATGAGAAGGCGCTGCTCGAGTTTGCCACGTTTCTCTTCCGCGATGGCGGTGCCGGGCAGAGACGCGGAGACGACGGTAGTAGCGGCGGTCATGGCCGATGGAATGGCCGTCAGATCCGTAACGCATTCCAAGTCGCCCGCAGCCTGGCCTACTACGAGCACGGCCAGCGGCAGAAGCAGTACATTGCATCTGCGACGGACACCGGAGACGGAGACGCCGCTGCTAACCAGCCGCCGCCGCCGACGCTGGACGTGCGCCACTTTGAGACGATGCACGAGATCACAGCGGCGTTTGAGCGATACCGCACTGCGGTCCACAGCGGCGCCACTGACGCCGATCTCGCTCACGAGCTGGAGTACCGCTACGATCCTTACCGCGACCACCTGACTGAAGCGTGGCAGGCTGAGTACCGCAACAACTACCTCCGGGCCGCCACCGCAGCAGCAGCCGCCGCCGCCGCCGCCGCCGCCGCAGGTGGCGGCGACGTCGGGATTGTGCAGGTTGTGGCGGCCGAGGACGGCCAGCATGTGAGCACGAGCGACGGCAATATCGAGTTCAGTTCGACTAGGGTCGTCATGTCGGGCGACTATCGGGAGCGACCGCCGCGGCAGCAGCAGCAACAGCAGTACGAAGCAGGCGACGGCCCGTTTCCGCCTGCTAACGGCGCCGACACCTTTGTTCTCAATAACAACAACAACAACAACAATAGCCGGGGAATGAACACGCGCGGGCCGCAGATCATCGCCACCCGCAACCGCAGCAACACCAACCTGTCCACCACGGCCAGCGTCGGCGGAGGGAGCGGCTCGACGCCGCCCAACATGAACGGCTTCCCCTCGGGCGCCGCTGGGAGCGGTCCCATGATGATGCAGCAACCGCAGCATCATCAGCAGCAGCGGCTGGTCACAGCGTACGGCCCGATGCTGGACACTGGCAACAAGTCGCTGGACCAATATAATAATGGCAACAACGCAAATCACAATTACACCCAAGGTCAGGCACCGGGGTCGTGGGGACAACACCAACATCAACAGCAGCAACAGCAACAACAGCAGCAGCAAGGCTACGGCAGCAACTACCCGCAGCCCCAGCAGCAGCAGCAGCAGCAACAACAACAACAACAACAACAACAACAACAAGGCTACGGCGGCAACTTCCTGCAGCTTCAGCCCCAGCAGCAGCAGAGACCATACAACCCGGCGACGCCGCGCAACATTGGCGGCGGCGGCGGCGGCGGCGAGGACTACGCAAAGCAAAAGCAGCAACAACACCAGACTTTCCATAACAACGACAACACCTACGCGGCCCCCTACGCGGCTCGCGACGGCGGGTTACTAGGCGCCGCCATGTTCGGCGCATCGTCTTCCAGCAACGCCATCACACCCCAGCACCATCGCCGATCGTCATCCGGCGAAGGCGGCGGTGCAGGTGTAGGTACAGGGCAGGGCTATGCGCTGGGAGGTTTGAAGCAGATGTACAATAACAACAACAACTCCAGTGGAAACATGGGTGTTGGTGCTGCTGTTGGTGGCCGAGGGCGCGCGGAGAGCTTGTCGATGGCGGCTAGAGGCGGAGGCGCCGGTGCAGTTGCTGGCGGACTCGGTCTAGGGCTGGGGCCCGGGCCGGGACTGAACTTCAGCTTGAACGGGCTAGAGGACGAGACGGATCTTTGAACCTTCCTACCTTGGTCAGGGGCCGTCCTTTACCTTTTTTTCGTCTTCGTACGTGTTGTTTCGTTTGTGACGGATTCCTTTTCTTGATCTTGTTTTTACCCTTTATTTTTGGGCTTTCCTTGACGGGGTTTTCTGTTCTCCTTTTTCTTTCCCCCTCTGTTTTGCAAAGTTGGGCCTGGAGTTTGGGGTGGAACAGCAAGGTGCATAACGTGGAATTTTAGTGTGCCCTGTATTGCGGGAACGAGGGTCTAATTAGGCGTTGCTTTGACGCAGGGATGTATTTCATAGTATATTCTATTGTATTGGAATTACCGTTGGCTGGTTCTTTCGCGCTGGCATTTTACGGATATAGCACAGAAGAATGCGAGTGGCGTGACCTAGCTAGCGAAACAAAGCAACTTCCCGCCGAGTTCAAGGGCTGTCGAGTCGCTGTTAGCGAGGGTCCCGACAAGTTGGTGCTCCCGCTCATTGGCAACTACGGGCTCGAGCGCCTGCAAGCTGCTGCCCTGCGCACACCCACTCCGCGGGTCCGGCCCGGCGGGGGAGCTAGCGACGCGAGCTTGCCATTGGTAGGCGCCAGGAGGGCCGGTGATGTGGCCACTGAGAGACAGTAGCGCAGCAGAAATATTGGACCACGGCCGGCCCAGATGCTCAAATACGGACAAGGGAGCATGACCTGCTGCTGCAGCGCTGCAGACGAGCAAATCGCAGCTGCCCGGCTGATCTCCACGTGCTGTCAGCGAATCCAAGACCCCTGACGCCGCGATAAAGGCCGTAATCCACCTCACGCGCACACTGCATTTAACTCGCGTAACCCCTCCAGAGCCTGGCGATCGCACCTGCACTCCTCAACTCTGTTGTTTGCTCCACTGCCATTGAGTGGCGACTAAACCTGAAACTTGACTCGAGGTTGAAACCTGAACTTGAAGCCATGACCGGAACCTCGTCTTCCCCGCCTCCGGCCGCTACCGCTACCGCTACCGCTGTCGCTGCTGCCCCCGAGGCCACGCCTGCCCCTGCTGCCCCTGCTGCCCCCGAGGCCACGCCTGCCCCTGCTGCTGCTGCACCCCCCCCTGCTACGGTTGTGCCTTCTTCGTCAACAGCTGTCCCCCCGCCCGTTGTGCCTTCCTCGTCAACAGCTGTCCCCCCGCCCGAGAATTCTTCAAACGAGGCAGCCGCTCAAATCGATGTTGTAAGTCGCGCAAATTGACGTCTAGCTTCTTAGTAGAACAAGCCAGATCAAGCAACCAGCGCTCATCAATTGCCCTGCGTATAATTATATAGGACCCCGACTTTGGCCTCGACGCCGACTCGGCTCTAGGTGACGGGTATGTGCTCCCTCTAGGTCTGTGCTGCCGTGAGTGTCATGCCACTCTAGGGACTGCAATAATGACAAGCACACACACAACAGCTCCGCCATAAACTCGTCGACTGCTTCGCTGAGCTCGTCCATCCTGAACTACCGCGAGGTGCACGGCCGAACATACCAGAACTTCAAAGATGCCGAATACTGGTGAGCGCCGCATCAGCCAAAGTCTGTTTGGCAATCGTTAACATGGCAAAAAGGGCTCCGAATGACGAGGCTCAAAACGATGGCCTGGACTTGCAGTCAGTTATCCCGAATAATCTGCCTACCTAGGTACTTACTGTTGACTCTTCACTGCGTCAGCCACCACATGATGTACCTCCTGCACGACAACAAACTCAACCTTGCCCCGGTTGAGAACCCCCAGGCGGTGCTCGATGTGGGCACGGGCACGGGCATCTGGGCCATGTAAGAAACAAGCCGTCTCACCCCTATCAGATTGCCAAGCGTAGGGCCGTTGCTTATCCAATGACCAAAACATCAGGGACTTTGCAGACCAATATCCGTCCGCCCAGGTCATCGGGACGGACCTGTCCCCGATCCAGGTTGGTTCTCCCCACGAGGCAAGTTGCGGTCAACTAACAACACACAGCCGGCGTGGACGCCGCCCAACTGCAAATTCGAGCTCGACGACGCGTCGCAGACGTGGACGTACCCGGACAACAACTTCGATTTCATCCACCTGCGGTTCATGCTGGGCAGCATCGAGGACTACGTGAAGCTGTACCGCGAGGCGCTGCGGTGTCTGAAGCCGGGCGGGTGGCTGGAGCACACCGACTTCACCATCAAGCTGGGGTCCGAGGACGGGTCGGTGCCGGCCGACTGCGTGTACACGCTGTGGAACGAGCTGTTCCGCAAGGCGGGCGAGAAGACGGGCCGCACGTTTTTGGTCACGGACAAAAACCAGAACGCCGGGTGGATGAGGGAGGCCGGCTTCTCGGCCGCCGTCTACACACGCAACTTCAACCTGCCCTTCGGCACCTGGCCCAAGGACCCCCGCTGGAAGGAGATCGGCGCCTTCAACCTCGCCGGCTGCGAGCAGGGCCTCGAGGGCTACATCCTCTACCTCGGCACCCAGGTCCTCGGCTGGAGCTTCGAGGAGCTGCAGGTCCTGCTGGTCGACATGCGCAAGGCCATGAGGAACACGTCGTACCACGCCTCGTATCCGTGGTGAGTCAGTCACTTGTGGGGCCGTCGAGACAATGCTGACTGACATATAATTAGTTCCACCGTCTGGGCACAAAAGCCGTTCTGATTGCCTTGTCTTTGTCTTGCCCGGTCTCCGTTGTTCACATTGCTCTTCTTTGCGCACGAGGTTTCATGTCACGCGCTACGTTCAAACTCTTGGTAATAACTAGCCATCACTTGAATAATGAGCTTGTTTGCATTGACCTGCCCTACCTTTGTGCTATTGTCGCATGCAATCGTTCCGGGGCGGAGACCCGATGTGATCTGTCCTTAGCCCAGGGCACCGGCACCTAATTACACGCACGAATTCAAGTACTCGTCGAGGCTACAAAAACGCCCTGACCAAGGGGTGAACCCCTGAATGAGCTTGCTCCGCACTGAGGGTGTTTTTGTAACCCTGACGAGTAGACCCGATAGACACATCCTAACCCTGAGCGAATGGCTTAATAATAGTCTTCATCACGGTGCATCATTCATCATTCATCATTCACAGTTCCAACAATATCAACATAGTCTCTGGTCACTTTTGTTTTTGATAATCTTTTCTTATTTTTATTTTATTTTCAATTCTCCTGTATATCATTCCCAATCAAATCGAATGAAAGCGTGGGGGAAAGCGTAGGGGAAAGGGGAGTAAGGGAGTGAGTGATAAGTATCACTCATGGAAAAGTGTTACCTAAGCACGAAGAGGGCGGCGGGGAGCTCCAGAGCCGGGGCACTCCGGGCCGGAAGCAGGAGGAGGCGGGCGACGGACAGTTCCAGATCCCGGTGGCCGAGTGGTTGGCGTCGTTGGCTGGCAGGTGGTTGCGGCAGATGCTGGCCTGGCGGGTGCGCCCCATGCTGGCCTGGTGGGTGCTCCCGAGGCTGGTGGCCTGCGGGTGGTTGCAGATCCAGGCGGCTTAGGAGCAGGTCCAGGCTTAGGAGCAGGTCTAGGAGGCTTAGGAGCAGGCTTAGTAGCAGGTCTAGGCGGCTTAGTAGCAGGTCCAGGCTTAGTAGCAGATCCAGGAAGCTTAGGAGCAGGCTTAGTAGCAGGTCCAGGCGGCCTAGTAGCAGGTGATGCTGGCTGCTCCGGGCTAGACACATGGGGACAGACAGTCTCTGGCTCAGGCTGCTGGTTCTTCTCCGGTGCTGGCTCCTCCGGGTCGGACTGCTCGTCCTCCGTGGCCATCGTGGTAGGCATAGTCGACGAGCTGTCGCCGCTATTAGAAGGCTCCCTCAGGGTGACGTGGAGTGCCCCGTCCCCCTCGTTCGACGAGTACACCGAATCCGAGTCCGAGTCAGGGGCCTCCGAGGCCGAGTCCGAGGAACCGCCGTGGATGCCCGGCGGGCGGTAGAGGCTGACGGTAACTTTGCCCTTGCCCCTGTCCCCAGTAGGGTAGAAGGGCTTGGCAGCCGGGGCCTTTGACACAGAGGAGAACCCATTGTTGAATATTCTCACAGTGCCCCTGCTAGGGTTCCTTGCAGTATTGCAGTCATCGCCGTCGTCACTGCCGTCAGACGGCTTCTTGAGCGGTGCAGAGCCCGGCTTGCCGCTGATCCGAGCATCTTGAGCTACAGTATAGCGGAGCCTCAGCAGCTGCCATGGCCCGTGGATGACCTGCGGCATGTTCTGGATCTTGGTCTCGCCCCAGGGGGCGATGCGCTGGGGATGAGCAACTACAGGGCGCATTGCAGCCTCCTGAGAAGGCGCACGGAAGACGAACGGGCGGGGGTCGGCAGGGCCGGGGCCCTTGAGGCCGGCGAGCTCGCGACCGGCCTCGCAGAGAGCCAGGTAGGTTTCAGTGCGGCGCTCGTCGAGAGGTCCGGCGGAAAGGCAGGCCCTCTCCAGATCAGATGCAGCCTGGATGACCGTCGTGAGGTCGACAGGGCGGGACTCGGGCCTTGTGCAGGCCAGCTCCGACTCCCGGGTGCGCAGCGTTTTGAGCATCTCGACGATGTCCTCGAGGAGGGCCATGTGCGTCACAGGCTCTGCTGGGACCTCTGGCGGGGGCTGAAGGGCGGCGATGGTTGGGTTGTTGCCATCCTTGCGGGCCTGCATGATAGCCTGAACTTGCTGGGCGCGGTACTGGCGCTGGTGTTTATTCGCACACCGGGTCTTGAGGTAGTCGGGTCGAGAAACATCGCCGCCTGCAGCAGCTGCCGTGGCGCCGCGCTCAACTTCGTTGATGAAGACGTAGAGGTTAGCCTCAGGACGCCGGCCGGGGAGCGTGATGTTCAGAGGGGCCCGACCCTTGACTCCCTGGTTGCCCGGCGGAAAAAACTCCTTAGTCTCGGCCTGAGCCTGCGAGGCCGTCTTTGAAAGACCAAAATCGCCGAGATAAAAGTCGGGCAGGTCGTTGCAAGGTTCGTAGTGGACAAAGATGTTGCCGCCGTGAGCGTCGCGGTGGTAGACAGCCTCGGGGCCGGCTCGGTACATGAACTGGAAAGTCGCGCACACCTGGCGGATGGACCGAGCCATGACGGCATAAGGGATCCGAAGAGGCTTGATTGCGCCTCGAGGCTTCAGAGTCCACAGGTCCCGCAGCGTTCCGCAGTTGTAGAACTTCCAGTACGAGATGTGGTAGTAAGTGTCAAGTCGAGGGGCAACCTTTTGGGTGCCGCTCTCCTGTGTCTCCTGTCGAACACGCTCGTCCTCGTCAGAGGCCTTTGTGCGGCGGTCCTCTTTGTAGAGAAGCTCAGCCAGGTAGGGCTGGCCAGCAGCAGACTCGGGGCGCGGGAACGACTTGAGCAGGTCGAGAATTTCAGACTCTACATGGAGCTTCGGCTCCTCGTTGCTCTTGCAGCGCTGGACGGAAACCTTGCGCAATAAAAGCTCATCAGTGTCCATGTTCTGGACCAGCTGTGCATGGCTCTGCAGCCCAGACGCTATGTTGCGGACAAAGAGGTACTTGTCCCCGGTGGGTCTGTGGGTGAACAGGTAGCTGTATCTGCCCATCTTCTGGTCCTTAGTAGTTGTCTTCGTCGTCTCTGACATCTTTCTCTCCAGAAAGTTATCTATCTAGATGGTTTTCTATGTCCTCACCTATTTTCTCGCACAAACTTTATCCCCTAATGAGGAGTCTGTGAGAAGCTGAGTTCAGGATTCACTTGAAGAGGAAGTGAATGCCCGAGAAATGAATGCCTGAGAAGTGAATTGATGAGTGGTTTGATGATTCGTGTTAATTTATCGGAACCAACCCGATATTTTATACAAAATTTGGAATCTCCCATTTGCTACCGAGTCATTACAATCTTGGGTCTTGAAAGAATAAGGTTTGGATGTTAGAATCTTCCGTTTGCTACTGAGATATTACAGTCTTGAGTCTTGAAAGACTAAGGTTTTGGAGATATTTGCGTCGCTGGACTCCGTTGAGTTTGAAGCTGTTTTTGTCATTTACAAAAATCTAAAGACGACTCGGGTATTCTTTCCAACTCTGCAAAGAAACTAGTTTCCAACTCCAAAGACACTAGTAACCCAATAATTTGGCTCATTTCAGTCACTTATTGTCACTCATTGTTGTAGACGAATCTGTCCCACTACAACACCGAGTCAAATAAAGCCAGTGTATGATAGTCGTAGCAGAAATAATAACCGAAGATTAGATTGAAAGAAGATGTTGCACCGGTGTTCCAACTATGCCTGTGTGAGTAGCTAGTATGTCTAGATATAGCCAAAGGATCCACAATAACACGTATTATTTGCTCAATTTGTTTGTTCAAGTACGCCAGCCAAGCCTTCAGCAAACCTCTTGGGTCTAATCGAGAAGCCCCAGGATGCTACTCTTCGAGTTTCAAGGTCAGCTGATCTCAAGCTTCATAGCATAGTCAGCTGTCGGAAAAAGAACCGATCCAGATAACGTCGCCAACTAATAAGTGACGAGATGCAAGTTCAGATGAGGTAGCCGTGCCCCTCTTCTAGAAAGCGACTGTGCGTGGTGTGCAACAAGGACCAGTGCGCCTTCGTTCCCCCACTGTCCTTGCTGCAAACAGCATAGCGCGCGCTTTGGTGACCTGTTGTCGACCCAATCTGCAAATCATTCCATGCCAACAAACCAGAAAGGCCACAGTGGCGGCCATGTTGTGTTTCACGAGTGGAAACTCGTCTGATTACCTCCCCTGGAAATTGATATCGTTGACTCATCAGCAGAACCATTAATGTCTTTCTCCCTAATCCATTCTTTATTTACTCGCCCTCTTCCAAATCCAATACTGCTTACCCAAACGAGCAATCGGCGTCAAGACAAAAACACTACACTGCACATTCACCCACACCGAAAAGACGTCCCAACGGTCAACTCAAACACACCCAAAACCCAACCCCAGCAAAAGGAAAGAAAACATGGACAGCGTCAAACAGTCCGACGCCCCCCGCAGCGCGGACGATCCCTCCACCGTCTTTGGAGACGGTGGAGGGCTCGAGCCTAAAGATAACAGCAACAACCCTCCAAAACCCGACAACACCAGCAGCAACTCAGCCAAGTCGGGCAACGCTGACAAGTCAGGCGACGCCGACAATTCAGGCGACGCCGACAAGTCAGGCGACACCGACAAGACCGACACCACCAGCAAGCCTCGCCGCCGCAGCAAAACACTCCCGGACGAGTGGGATGATGAAGACTTGATCGTGCATGGCTAGGCGATTAACTGGCTGGGACGGGCTGTGTTGTGGGTTTGTTTGCGTTGCGGTAATTAGCACATTGTGAGACATTGGGTAGCTAATTGTTATGGGACCACTAGGATAGGCTTGGAAACTGAACTGTACTTTGGGACGAATAATGAGCGGCACGCGAAGATTGGGATGGGCGGTTTGATGGATGTGTTGCATCGCCTGAGCGCTGGTGTCTTGCCAGGTAATTGGTCGCTCGATTTACAATTTCTTTTTCTATTCAATTCATTAACCAAGTATTCTTTTTTCTCAATAAGAATCTTCGGAATCCCTTTATCCTTGATGTTTTTGTTCTGCCCTTCTTGGTGACAAGAGCCCGAATGCCGCCATTTCTTTGTTTAGTTATGTTCCGCTATTGGGGTCGACTTGTTTTCTAAAGCTTTTCTATTGTGCTCGTCAGTGTTTGGACATTGTTGACAGCCCCTCGGTCAATAACACGGCCGCTGCACAATGTATTGCGAGAAGTGATGTTGGTCTTCATTGCGCGTCGGCCGCGGAAAGGATCAGAGCCAGAAGCCAGCTGCATCACCCGACCAATAAAACATCCAACCTTACATTCCATCAACCAACGCAGCCTTTGCCCTGTCGTGATTATTTGTACCTGGCAAGGTATATTCATTAATCATTCTTAAAGTAATACAAAGTAGTTCTAGCAGCAATTACTCCTAAACTTACGATAATTATTCCGTGTAACGCCTTCCAATTTCCCTTTCCCCGGCCGAGTAGCCCCATGTCATGATCCTTACCTAACCACGCTCCTACCGTAAAAATGCTCTTGTTCCTGTTTCCTCATTTTTCTTCGCCGTTGGCCAGCCTTCGTTAATGTTCCCTGTGTTTATGATGTGGCTTACCTCGTATAGGTGCCTGCTCGTGGCTCATGGCTTCGTATCCCGGCCTGATCTTACATCTTGGCTAAGGAAACCGCCTTTCCTTTTACCTGACTTTCTTTGTGCTGCATTTAAATAGTTGCTTACCTTTTTGGAGTAGCGAGCAAGCCTTTGTTCTTTGTTGCCTGCGGTGTCAGTGTAACGTCCAAGCTAGTTCGGCCGTCGAGGACAAAGACGGCCTTCCTTTCACGCAGCACTGCCGTACTCACCGTGGATTGGGTGGCTTAGCAATTCTGCGTCGGTAGACACCTAGCTTTGGCCTACATGTGCAGCAGAGTGGGGTCCGTGGTTGCGTGCTTGCGCCAGGTTTCCTGGGGGTCTTTGTGATACCAGTTGTTGTGCTGGGCCTGGCGGATGACGAGGTCGTTCAGCGCGTACGCGCCGCCGTCGTAGCCGCGGTTGGCCGGCTGATCGTACATGGGGTAGAAGGGGTTTCCGTTGTCCCACAGCGCGCGCGGCGGCCGCGCCCACGTCGCCCTAGCTAAGGGCGCCGCGTCGAGCTTGTACAGATCGATGCTGTGCTCCTCCCGCACGTAGTCCCACATGTCGTCGCCGCCGTCGCTTTCGAAGCCGTCGAAGCTGCTGGAGCTGTTCAGGCTGCTGTAGGTCTCGTCGCTGCCACCGCTGCTGTCACTGTCGTCGCCGCCGCCGCTGCTGTCGCTGCTGTCGCTGGAGTTGCTGTTGTCTATGCCAAAGGGCCTCGGACGAGCCTCTCGCCTTCTTTCACTCGGGCTAGCCTCTCGCATTCTTTCGCTCGGGCTAGCCTCTCGCATTCTTTCACTCAGACGAGCCTCTCGCATTAACCTCGTGGTTAGTTTTCTGCTGCCCTCAATCGTCCTTCTCTCGCGCGCCATGTCGAGCGTCTTCTTGATGCGCTTGTTCATCTTTTCGGCTTGGATCCGATTTTCTTTGCCGTCGAGCGCGCAAGCCTTGGCCTCCTCGAGTTGCTGCGGCGTGATATAGGTTTTGGCCTGCTCCTGGTGCTTGAAGCACGGGAAGGGCAGGACCCGGATCTCGGGTGAGTGGGGAGGCTTGTCGTGGTTGTGCTTAAAGCCTAGAGCGTTGAACACGGCCTGAACTATCCAAGGGAGCCAGTGCACTTCGCATTTATGCACTGAGGGGATAGGATATCCGTTCTTATCCCAGCCCTGGTCCGGGCAGCCGCAGAGATATAACTGTATCAGTGTGAAGCACCGGCAACTTGGCGGCTGCTGTTGCTCGAGAGGCTGCTGAAGAACCGGCTGGAAGACGGGCTGGGAAAGCGGCTCAAGAAGCTTTTTGAGGGGCGGTTGGAGAGGTGGCTGCACAGGCGCCTCGCGGTCGTAGAAGGGTCGACGAAACATGGCCGAGCCAGCCGAAAACTTCCGTATCGCGACTAGAAATAGCTTGCTGTTATGGGAACCGAGGTTATAGATGGCTACGCTTACCTGACTTGATTATGCGTGCTTCGTATTCGATACTTCTTCTATTCGATACTTCTTCTATTCAATACGAGCTTGAAGAAGGTTGTAGTGTTCTCTGTCGAACTTATTGTTTATTTTTTGGTTGTGGCTTGTTGTATTAGTATGCGTCGATTAAAGAATGGGTGGGAGAACAGGGCATAATAAGTTGGGGGATCCGTATGTTTAAGCATGTCGAGTTTGGCTCGTGGCAAATATCTAATATTAGAAGCCCTGCAGTGAAAGAATCCCGGCTTGGGTCCGAGCCCGAAGACAATAAGATTGTTGGCAGAATCCAAACTTTGAGACAAAGAAACCAAAACTCACCCGGAAGGCAAGCATGGGACCCTTGTACACCCGACTGCCACATCAAACTAGAGATACCAAAAGGAGGTCTTGACACCGTTTTCTATTCTAATGTTTCAGCCAATTTAGCTAACCAGAGAGTCAATAGGCTCCCTGCCCTGAACTATGAGATCACCAGCTCTACTAATTTCGAATACAATATGCCTGTAAAGATCCATTCCAGAAGATTGCAGTCCATTAGGAAGGGGATTCTGGTCCAGTGCCAATACTATTGCTTCCTGCTTGAACCATTTAGTTATGGGGGTCGTTCTGTTCTTATCGGAATAAATTTGAACCTCGAGTCGCACGACTTGCTGGTGGATCCCCTTGCCCGGTTCAAGTAACCTATAGCTGCCGGCAGGACTGGGCCATTTGGTCATCTTAGTAAGTATGCCCCATTGTCCTTGAGATATGCTCATTTCGTTACTCAAATCCGGAGAGGAATTATGCAGCAACTCGACGTGAAACAATTCAAAGAGTCGTAACAGCTTCGATAATTGCCTCCATATATTTGGTTATCTCTGTCTTTTTGGGTATAGGAATACGGACGGCGGCGAACAGCTGGAAACCACTGACGTTAGATGAGATATGACGTTACGATAACGACGCCCTCAGATAATTAGGCTCTCGTTTTTGCAGACCACTTGCCTTGAAGCTAGGCTCTTGAGAACCGGACTGGAAAACATGCACGGGGCTAAACCTGCCTACGGGCTACGTATATCAGGCGTGTTAGCCTAAGATGTCCCCTCTATCATGGGGAGAATGACGTGCTTACCATTCCTTCGCTCGCTGTTATTTTGGAGCTCATTGGTTTTTCTTTTGGCTGATAATGATATGTCGTCGGTTCCTACTTTCCAAGGCTGGTCAGATACCTAGTGGTAATCATTTGATAAAGGAAAGGCGTTGAGGAGGGTGGTAACTGACGATTGCAACCACATCTCTCGCGTTGAGAAATTATTTTTCGCCAAAAACACTTTTCTTCATTACAGTGGGCAGTATTTGGGTGTTTTCTGCGACGAGTATGTCATTTGCCCTGCTTGAGGTATCTTCCCACTCTTCGGGTACTTTGAGATATTCTTGTTGAAATTCTTGTTATAGTCGGTATTTGGTTTCTCCAAGTATTCGAGCAATTCTACAAGGTGTATCGAGGAAATCAGCCCATGGGACGGTATACGGGACGGTTCATATGATGGTTCATGTGAAGGTTCGTAGGATAATTCGTGAGACGGTTCGCGGGGCATGGCTAATCGCAACAGGCAAGAAATCTTTTCGAGGTGATAATATCTGTGCGATGGAATGAATCTAGGTCGCGTGTGCGTTCTTTGTCTTGGTGCTGCTATTTAGTCAAACTGGTGAAAAGCCAGATAGATAGAATCACTATAGGTATTTATCCTGAAGAGTCACCGTTGTGGTTCGAGTGCCAGCGCTCAGAACTGTTGGCAGTTCCGAGCACAGACCTGTGGGCCTGTTGGCTGTCACTCCTCTTCTCAAACTGTTTCAAGAGTCGTGACTGCTGTGAGGCTAAGCGAATACGAATATAGACAGGGCATGACAGGGGAGAGCGAATTGAGGGGCAGGCTCTGGCGCGTATATAAGCGGTAGAGTCACTACGTCCTTGGGCCAACGAGCAGTGCCACCCGCAGACGCAGTTTTGGAATCACGGCCTGCGGCTTCAAAGACTTGGGGCAGGGACAGAAAAAGAGTCTTTCTTCACAGTGGCCAAGTTCTAAAGTCCCACGGTGCCAGCCGACTGTCAGCTCCTGCCGTCTTAGTTATCACTGGTTCCCATCCGCCCGTTCCCGGGGCTGTACGGTAATTATTACAGTCCACAAGCCCACCCGATGTTTTCACCATTCCATTTCTTCCTTTCTCTTTCTCTTTCTCTTTCTCTTTCCTTTTCCATTGCGGGCCCCCCCTTACCAGTCCCGGTTGCAGAGCAGCCAACGGCCCAAACACAAGCCCATTACGCGTAGCCCAGGGTCCAAAATGTCTCAATGTTCTGCTCGCTCTCGGCGTCGACGTACTCGTGCGGAGGGCGTATAGTGACACTGTCGCCGTGTATCTCGGCCACAGCACCCGTCAGGCCCGGGTCGGCCAGAAACCTATCGACGCCGCGGATGAGCGTCGCCATGGGCGTGACAACCATGTGTTTGAAGAGATCCTTGTTGGGGGCGATGTTGGTGTCTGACACCTCGATCAAAGTCATTAACTGGGGTTTCGATGCACACGTTTCAACTAAAAGACGTACCCAGCACTGCCGGCGCCAGGGCATTGATCTGAATGTTCAGTCTGGCAATGACCCTCGCCGTCGAGCGGACGAGCCCCACCACACCAAACTTGGACGTTGCGTACAGCGGCGCGACAGGGAGGGCGTAGAGCCCTGCGTTGGACGCCGAGCATATGATTGACCCCCTCGACGCGCTCTCGTTGCCGCCCGCCTTGGCGCCCTTTCTCATGTAATGAACCGCCAATTTGACGGCTAATCACGTCCCTCAGCACACAGATACGGTAAGCCGAGACTCAAAAAAGAAAAGGGGACGCTTTGCTCAGAGTCAGACAACCGTACAGTAAATAGTTCCCACGAGATTGATGTTGATGGTAGCCAGGTTCGGCGGCGAGGGCGTGTCCTCTTCCTCATCGAGGCGGTGGACCAGCGTGGTGGCGCCCTGCTCGGACACGCCGGCGTTGGCCATGACGATGTCGATGTGGCCGCCGTGCTCGCGGTAGACGTGCTCAAAGGCGGCGGCCTGGTCGGCCCACGACGACACGTCGCACTTGCGGAACAACACGCGCGCCTGCGGGAACTCGGCCGCCACCGCCGCGGCCGTGGCCGGCCCCGAGCCGCCGTTGACGTCGAGTATGGCGACGCGGTGGCCGCTCGACGCAAAGTGCCGGCTCATGGCCAGCCCGATGCCGCTGGCGCCGCCCGTGACAATGACCGACTTGGGCGAGGGAGAAGCCATTTCGACGGCACAGCAGGTGCGAGAATTTTCCTTGATGATAATTAATTAGTCCGATATTTTGTTGTCGTCGGTGGTGCCAGGATTCGATGGATTCGATGCAGGAGAAACAAGGGAGGAGTTTTGTGTTGGCGGAAGATGCCACCACCAAAAAAAAACTCGGTGAAGATGTACGCATTTGAGTTAGTGGAACCGACAGACAACTCAAGCTCGGGACACGTTCTCCGGGCTGTGAGAGAAAGCGGGATAGACCCGAAGATCAAAGACGGCAAAGACGGCTCTCCCTTCGGCCCGTAACCCCGCATCGGGGTAAGGAGTGGACCGCTCAACATCGCGGCAGTTGACCAGCCCCCCAGCCAGTCTATTTGCGATCTCAAGTCTCTTGTTCGTTAAAAACAAGGTCACGTCAAATTCTCCCTTTCAAATAGGTACTCAAGTCTAGTCTAGGCTATTCATGCACGTCAAGTTTCTGTATACAAGTTTCTGCACAGAACAACAACATGGCCGAGATTACCTACTCCGCCACGGCCGCGGAACAGCTTCGGGACAAGGTCGTCGTCATCACAGGTAGGAAAGCCATTCGCCTCAGTTCCTGTGCGACTTTCTTAATGTCAACCTGAGACTGACATCGATGTCCACCCCCCCCCCCCCCCCCCCCCTTTCCATCCAGGAGGAGCACAAGGAATCGGGGCCGCAACCGTGACTCTCCTTCACGCTCTAGGAGCACACGTATTCTTCGGGGACTGGGACGCGCGGCACGGGACGCAGCTCGAAGCGGACCTTCACTCCGAAAAGGGCAAGGGCATCGACAGCCATGGCGCCGGGACAGCCCACTTCACCCAGGTCGATGTGCGCAATTACCAGTCACAGCTGGCTCTGTTTGATGCAGCACACCAAAAGCACGGCCGGGTAGACGTGGCCATCTCCTGCGCGGCCGTCAAGGAGCCCTCGGGCTGGTTCGAGCCCGAGTCTCTGGACCTCGCAACCATTAGGACGGTAAACAACCCCCTTGTCTCTGCACCCTTCGCCAAGAGCACTGACCATGGCCATAGGAACCCGTCCCCATCACGTCGGCGCTCGACATCAACCTGACGAGCGTGGTGCACTTTGCTCGGCTGGCGCTGGCCTACATGAAAGAAACCGAGACTACACCCCCCTTGTCACTAGGCTCAGCCCCCTCCAAATCCATCGTGCTGGTCTCGTCCATCGCCGGCATCACGCCGGCGCCGGGCTTGTTCGCATACGCGGCGGCCAAGCACGGCGTAGTGGGGCTGATGCGGGCGCTGGCGCCGTGGACGCCGCATCAGTTCGCCGGGCTGCGCGTCAACGCCATCTGCCCGTGGGCGACGGCCACGCAGCTGCTGCCCGGCGCCCTGCGCGACCGCTGGACCGCCGAGAAGATGCCGCTCAATACCCCCGCCGACGTCGCGCGGTTCATCGTGCAGTGCGCTGCTGACGGTGGAATCAATGGCAATGCTGTCTTCGTCTCGGGCGGCAGGGGGTTCGATACTGAGGCTGGCGTCGAGCGCACGCAGCCTCTGTGGATGGGGGAGGAGAATTCGGAGCAGTTCCAGAAGGGTCAGAGGATACTGGGCTTGGTGAGTGCATGTCCTTCCTTCGTATACGTTGTTTTGGAGGAGTCTGAAGTAAGTACTGACCACTCGTATTGTCTGTCCAGGGGGGTGATTGGTGAGGTTAGGCACAAAGGAACAGCTGTACATCAGCTCACAGAGCCAATCTCAACTAATTCCAATTCGGACTGATCAATGCGGTTTACTAGCAAGTTGAAAGTAAAGCTGCACCAGCAAGAACGCCAAGTCCGTGTAACCCGGCCCAGCTTCCCTATGTCGGTTTCAATTCAACCCGCGCGGCTTCAAGCTTGGAACTCGCGTCGGTCAGTCCCATAAGTACCGTCCAGGACTGTCTGCTGACCTCCATGGATAGTAAGCTCGAGGCCGCGAGGGGAAGGTAACACCAATTGCAATGGAATAATGCCACTGATTGCTCTTGTAACCGCCCTGGACCGAGCAGCAGGATTGCTGATCAGAGCCGTTGTGATACCGTCCGATCCTACTACCGATTAACTCCTGGAGTGAGCGTGTTATGGTATCATCGAATATCAAAAGGTCGGATTGTCCGAGTTGCTCGGATTTGCATCGACTCAGGCGCACCCTTGCAGGTTGGTTAATGGAGAGTGTTTCGCTGTCTTGTTGTGTATAAAAGGCCCGACACGTCTCGACGAGATGCCATGTCGTTCCGTCACATCACTTCACTCCCCAAGCTCAGTTGCCAACTTGACATTATTCCAAAGTCAACCACGATCAGTCAACAGTCAGACACATCTCAACAACCCTAACGGCCTTCCAAACATCCATCTCCACGCAGCTCCAGCACCTCGCCTCAGTCGTCGTCCTAGCCACGGCCGCTCTAGCCGCCACAGCGAGTCCTGCCGCGAGAACCGCCAACGCCGAGGCACAGTCGTCAAAGCCGCTACTCCAAGACAGGGCCAAGTGCCGGTTCGGCCAGTGGGCGTGTCTCGACGACTTCGTTCTCAACTACGACGCCACGGGCACGTGGAGGACCATCGGGGACTGCCGGGCCGGGTCAGGATGCTGCGCCGAGTTCAACGCCGGCGCTCAGTGCATTTGCTGGTTGGGTGGATGTCTGGCTTGGAGATAGCTAGCTGGACGGACGGACAGATCAATGTCGTTTTTGGACTTGGACTCTGTTTGTTTGATAGTTCAGGGGCGTGTTTGGTGGTAAAAGACAGGTCTCAAGGATCGTCTCTGCGTCTCAAATTCCCTCTCGAGTCTTAACCAGTCCTGAACCCCCCGGTGAATAAGTGTGGCGCATGTACCGGACTGAACTCCGATTTGCTCACTCCCGGCTGCCCTCTCATTGGATGGTTCTCACTCTGCGGGGCACCGGGCCGTGGTGAACGCACCGTTGTGCTCTTCACGAATCTGGCCAGCCTCGCCTCAGCAGGACTTGTCCCGAAAGAAAAGACCTGCCAGTGATCAGTTCTCTGGCCCTCCAATTGCCATAGCCAAATTCTGCACTTACTGTAGCACCGAACTACAGGCCTTATAGTCCGTGGTTATTGTTTGTCCAGCCCCTTTGCAGTTCTGCCTTTTATGTTGTTTTGGTAGCTCTTGATACCTCAAAGTACAAAGTACCAACTTACCTCTCTTTGGACCGCTGTTTGCTTTCAGCATGCCGATACACGAGCATAGATTTTTCAGTTCAAGACGAAGCAAAATTGGGCCAAAACACGACTATACTTGGTTCTGTGTCCGTATTGAATCCCCATGGTGACTATTCCCGCACTCGTTCAAGGACTGACAAACACGTGACAGTGCGAGTGTGGCGGTTTCGCGGGGACATGGGAAATCAATGAGGCCTGCCCGCAATGGCTGTGCCACCACGCGCGATGCTCTTTGTGCGTAATTGAGAGGGTGCTCGTGCCTCGCGACCCTTTCCTTCCAAGCCGGACTTGGACTACACCGACGTGGCGCGGCCTGTCAAAACCTGCTTCGGACTCACTTCTCTCTCCGCAAGGCGACAGCCACAAATTTGCGACACCAAGCACGGTAAGTGCCAAGAATCCAAATGTTCAGCCAGGTGTGATTTGACTCGTCTTCCTCAGGGCGTGGTGATCGACAGCTACCCTTCGTTACTGGATTTCCCTCCCCCAAGCCCGTCTTCTAGTGGATCATCACATGACTTGGAACGGGACGAAGACTTCGACGACGGCCACACGCATGAAATTGGAGACAGCATCGTGTCTCGATCTCTGTCAAACGAATTCTCTGCGACGGCCCGTGACATGCTGCCTCTGCTGTTCGCCCGGTACGAGGAGTGGCTACGACAGGCAACCTCTGCGCCATCGGGCTCGGGATCCGGTGGCGCGAGCAGCAGCCGGAACACAAGACACGAGGACCAGCAGAGCTCAACTGAAGGCCCGCCGCGGAAGAGGCGCCGCACAGACGACAATGGGGATTCGGCCGAGGAAAAAGAGCCGAGCATCGAAGTCGCGCTCCCAGACGGTTTAGAAACCATCAGACTGGACCGTCGTTTGTTCGCCTGCCCCTTCTGGAAGGAGAACTCGAGTCAGTGGCGATACTGCTTCAGATACCGGCTCAGGCGGATCCAGGACGTGAAGCAGCACCTGCGCAGAGTTCATGCCCAGTCCTGCCACTGTGTGCGGTGCGGCCACGAGTTCCCATGCCGGCAGGACCGGGACTCACACTACGCCAGCGCCATTCCATGCGAGACGAGGCCCTTTCGCCGGAAGTGGCTGACGGACGACCAGACGGAGAGCCTGAAAAAGAAGTCGAACCCGAAGCACACGGCCGACCAGCAGTGGTACGCGATCTGGGACGTCGTGTTTCCCGACCACCCGCGGCGGCCCGACTCGCCATACCTCGACGGCTCGCTGTCTGAAGACCTGAGCTCCTTTCGCGACTTCTTCCTGGCCGAGGGCCCGAGCATCCTGAGGGAGAGCATCGGGCCGCGCAGCGCCATGTACGAGCGCCAGGCCCTTCAGCTGTCGCTGACGCAGATATACAACCAATGGGCTTCTGCACGAGGCCAGTCTATGCTGGACCCGGACGGCGACACGTCGGCCGGCAGCTCTTCAGCAGCCGAAACTCCTCCATCGGCCATAATCGCCGCTCCGACCCCTGGCATGTTTGCAGAGTCTAGTGGTGCCGAGACTCTATGGCCTTGGGATTGCATTGCAGAGAGTGTTCGAGAAGCCGAGGGTGGCGACCTGCACAGCACCCCTAACTTCTTTGGTGACGACTTGGGATTTTTGGACTTTGGTTTTGACAGCTACCCGCCCGGCGACTCTGGAACTGGCGGGCTAAATGAAACGTCTCTTTTCCTCTATCCCACCAACTACGCCGACGGGTTCGGCGAGTTGGATGCGGCCACTTCAGATTCAAGCAATCCCACTGACTCGCATGGAGGCCTGCAAATCGGCGAGGAACCAGGGCTGCCGACGCCGACAAGCATGGAACCAAAGAGTCCAAAAGCGTGAGGCGAGGGGTTCGTAGCGTCCTTCGCTGTCAGTAACTCTCATACGACTAAAATGACAAATAGATAGACGTAGAACGGAAGCAAAAAGAGGGGAGGGATGCTTCCATTCTTCGGACGGTAGAAATGATGGCATTCTCTCCCGCCGGGAATTGAACCCGGGTCCCGAGCGGAATCATCTGTGAAATTGTACTGACCACTATACTACGGAACATTTGAAGGTGTGGTGGATGTTTGAGCATCTACTGTAGCTTGGTGCGATGGGGACTGTGGGCCAGGCAAGGGTATATGAGGGGCAGTTCTATAACCACGGCTCTGGTGCATGACTCGACGACGGGAAGTGCAACTCGCCGTCGCATTCACCACCAATGTTTGAGCCAGACGCTGGGATCATCGCAGTTAGCCCAGACCCCTAACGCGTGAGCTGTGCTTCTCCTGTACAATGACTGCCCAAAGACGACTCGAGCTGCTTCGCGTAAAGGCGTGTACGGCCTCTGTGTTGGGCTTTTCTGGCGGCGCGAAATGAAACCCTGCCATACGAGTTGCAATGCCGGCGAGTTGAAGGTTGGGCGGAGTTGTGTCATGTCCGTGTGACCGTGTCGGTTGTATCATCGATCTCGTCCTTGAACCTTGAATCCCCTAGCTCCAACATACAGTCTTGGAGGATCATCTTTAAATCGGCGATTAATCAGAAACTGGATGAGTCTGCACCGAAGGCAGCGCGTATCCGAGTCATAGTTTCGGTTGCAGGAACATTGCCGGAGAAGGTCTTGGGCTTGGTTGAAAAGATCGTCGTCCCAGGCTTCGCGCTCGGAGTTGAGGGAATGTTTTGCAATTTGGCTACAAGAGAAGTGAAAGGCAAGCAAATACGTGTCTTGTACGCGCGGGTCGAACCTACTTAATTTGGTACCTGGTTAAACGCAAGCCTTAAATTCTACAAGCCACCCAATCCAGAAGGTTTGCAACCGGCCGGGATCTGCCAACCAGCAGCGCGGGATCATGTCAAAGTCTCGACCACAAAACCAACCAGACTTTGCGAGCCTGCCAATAGGAAGTTCAACTTTAAGATGCATGCTAAGCGAACGCTCTACCAACTGAGCCGCAAGCCTTGTTAAACTATATGATTTGGTATTCATTCTGTGGACTCTTCTCGATTTTAACAGGCAGTCGTTTTGCCGCCGTCACACTGGGTTCGATTCCCAGCCAGTCCAACCTGCCTTATCGTCCAGATCCTCGGTGATCTGGGTGACCTTTTTGGGCCGAGGTCGCTTTCAATCCGATATTTTACCCTACACTATTTGAAAGGTCAGTCAAAAGTCTCTCTAATTAACGTTCATTTATTTCTTTTTTTTATGAGATTTTAATGCAGTGCACCTACTACCGCTATGAAAAAGCCTGTGAAATAAGTCACAGGAGAATAATTTTGGCTGAGATGACTCTGGACAGCATCATTGGTGACTAGGTCGCAAAACGAGAAGCGGAGGAAAACGATCCGAGGGAGGGGTTTATACGATTCGGGATGCTCAAATTCTTTCCTAGAAATCAACATGGAAAGTGCGAGTCACCCATCTCCGGCTGCGCAACTCACACAAATCTGACTCGACAGAAGGCGCGATTCATCTCGTGAGTGGCGAAACGTCAAGTTGGAAGCCTCGAGTCTCCTCGCGGTGTCCGTCCTTCATAGTTGACTCCAATTTTCGTGTCACAGCTTTGCCACCTGATGCCGTTGTGCAAACGGCGCACACACTTGCCCGCTCTTGCTGTTGCTCTTGCATTTCACCTAGCCCCAAACAAACTGGATTGCCAGGCTCGCGCAAGACGACAAAAGCTTCCAACCCACCCCCTCCAGTGCCTTGACTTGATCACACCGAAACGAGTCGTATACAGCAAGCCGCTTCCCCGTTCCACTAACATGAATCCCCAATCGAGTTAGTGCGGATATGAGCTATGGACTTGGCTTCTGTCAGCCCGCCACTTGCCGAAGCTGCCGTCCAGAGTTTCCGCATTGAGACAATGCCTCAGCCGCAAGTCTTGACCTATTGGTCTCGAGAGAATGTTGCGGCTCGCGTGCGCCGGGATTACTGCAGCTCGAGGCCGAGCACTAACCACACTTCTCCCATGCATGATGCATCAAACCAATAGATTGGTGGCCCGGTTCAAGTCAGGTAGCCACATGTCGCTGTCGCCCAAGAGAAGGCTGAAGAGCCAGAGCAAAATCTATAAACAGGCGGTCAGGTTCGGGGCTGTCGTGTACTCTCCAGAAACTTGTTCCTTTTCTTTTTCACCAAAGGAAACAGAAGTCAACCCAAATCTTTACTCCCTTGTCGAGCCCTTGTTTTCGCCAGCACCATGCTGTCCAGTGCCGTGGCCAGACATTGGGGATTCGGGATCATCAGCGCCCTGCTTTGCTCAATAGCCTGGAGAGCAGTGATCCCCAGGCTATCGAGCACGGCGCCGCCGCCCATCACCCTTCCGATTGCAGCGGCATGGGTTTACCTCTCGGATAACCAGAACTACACCGAGATCCCTTCCCAGTGGCTGCAGATCAACTTCACGGTCGCTGATGTTCTTCTCGTGGGGCCTGTGGGCCTCCAGGAGGACGGCACGTTCGGTCTCTACTCTTCGCAGCAGACCGGCCCCCTCGCGAATCGGTTCAATTGGGTCATCCACCAAGCCAGGTCCATGAATCCCGATATAAAGATCATTGCTTCTCAATGGTGGGGCTCGTCACCCAGCATCTGGGGCTACGATATCTCTGCACTCCAGAATGAGACGGCAATTCAAAAATACGCCGCGTCCGTGGCGACCTTCATCCAGGCCTGGTCAAACGTCTCGGGTGGGATCGACGGCTACGACATTGACTACGAGTCTTCAAACGTTCAAGACTACGCTCCCGCTCTGCTGACGCTCGTCCGACAGGGCCTCGACGCCCTCGGAAAAGCAGAAGGGGCCCGCAAGTTCTACTTGACCGTCTCCCCCGCCAACACCGGCTACCTCGACGAGACGACGCAGGTCGTCGACTTTGTCAATATGCAGACGTATGCGGGCGGGTCTGGCATCACTCCGCAGACACTCGTCAGTCTCGGGTTCAAGTCCGACCAGCTGCTGTATGGCATCTGTCCTGAGACGAACTGCGGCGGCCAGACCATTGAACAGGTCGAGCAGCAGTACACGGCCAACAATATGGCGGGCATCCATGTCTGGCGCCTGAACTCGGGCAATCTGGTTGACGAGGGCAAGACGGCGGCCCAGGTTTACGAGTTTTTGCACCCGCAAAAGTATTTCGATTGAAGTGAGAGACGAAGTAAACGAGCAGACGCGGGCAACATCGGATTTTATCTGTCTTTTTTTTGTTTCTCTTTCCTTCTTTTACTGTTTCTCCCTTTTAGATAGCGGGAACTCTGGACTCGTTGTGGAAATTGCACAGCATGTTTTCAACTACACTTCAGAGTAAACTGTTTTAATCACCCGATCTTGGCACAAGAGTTTTAACTGTCCTCAACTACTACTCGAACCCAGCCCGACGAAGACCACAGACGTCTTCTGAAACCTCCTTGCCATTCGATATCCACGGCTTGGCAAGTCTAGGCTTCTGGCATATCAGCCCTTGGTGGTCGATCCGATATCTCCCCATCGGATATTTGAAAAGATGACGTGCGTGTCGGGATGCTGTGACTGGATGTTTGAGGGGCTGCCCTGTCCGCTTGCACAGGGTCCGTTGGTGCCGCTGTCGAGCCAGGCCATGTTCTGAGCGGCGTCGTTCCAGATGCTCATCGCCAGCACCACTTGCGAGAGACACGAGTTAACCATGTCGTACTTTTCGGTCGTGCGTCTAAAAAGGGGGGTTCAATGGGAATGCTACTCACTGCCTCGTCCCAGTGCCTGACCCATACCCGTCATGCCTCCCGTCGACCCTTCGGAGCCGCAGCTGTTCAGGGACCCACTGGTGATGGTCCGGCCGTTCTGGATGTACTTTCGCGTGATCTGGCTCAGCCGGCCGCCGCTGGCGGGAAACTGGGTGATGGCGGTGAAGGGCTTGGAGGTGTCCAGCGTCTTGCCAGGGCCCCAGAAGTTACGCTGGTTGCTGGCGTACGGGTTGTAGCCGCAGCCGTTCTTGTCACAGTTGTTGCCCTTGCAGGGGTGTCCTGTGAAGGCGTTGGCCATGGAATTGGCCTCGAGTATGTCCATCTCGTTGCAGCAGTAGCCCTGGCACTGGGCATCACAGTAACCGTTGCCCATGCCCGCACCGCCGGCGTTGAACTGCGCCGGGTTCTTGCTGCCGTCTGCCACCATCTCGGACAGATAGAAGGCCCCGTTCTCGCCGCACGGCAGCGTCGACAGGTCCACGTCGACGCTGAGCTCCTGGTTGAGCAGGTTCATCATGACGTACTTGCCGTCGCTGTTAAGTAGATATATGCGAGGCGACGCGCTCGTGAGCTTGCCTCCCACCTTGACATAGTGGTACATAGTCACCGCATTGCCGGACGTCGAGACACCGGAGGCGGCATAGTCGGCTGGCTCTGCCACGCAGTTCTTGGCACAGGTTCCCGCGTCGGGGCATTGGCTCTGGCTGAGTTTGGTTCCAGACTTGCACGACGCGGCGCCGCCAGTCGCGTGAACGTTGCGGAAATCCCAGTCAAGCACGACCGAGGTGTTCTGCTGCACGCAGCCTCCCGAGTTTGTGCACTTCCATGTCGGCAGCGGAGGGTGGTCCTCTGGTGTCGCCGCAGGGGTCTGAGCGACGACCACGCCGGCGAGCAGCGACGCCGCTAGCTTGATATATGACGACTTGGAAACCATGATGGCGAGCTTACTAGGGCACCGCGGTTCGACATGCTTCCCAATAGTCGGCGAGCCCTATTATAACTGCGGCTGCCCCTTCGATCAAGGCCAGGCGCGCTCGCTCCCCCGCATTTTGATCCTCTTGGTCTATTTAGGCGTGATATTATATGGCTGTGTCCTGGCCCGCCAGCCCGGAACTATTCATTCCGCGAAATCCGGTATATGTTCGAGGCCCCTCAGCGTGCTCCCCGTTCCCGGTTGAGAGCACGACCCAGCCAATCGCCTGTTGATCAGCACTGAGAGTCGCTTATCATCTCGCGGCAATTCCCACGAAAGAGGTTGGAGGCTGAGAAGCACTCAACCTGCGGTGCGGAGAACTTGCTCTAATTACTCTACCTTCGTTTCGGTTCATAGCAAGGTTATATTAGCCCGGATCAGTACACCAAGTCCACTCTACTACACATAGTGCTGGGGTTTCTAGCTAGCGATCATTTGTTCTCGTACCGGCATAGCAACTATTCTCCTTTTCAGCTACCGATCCACTCACACCGTGTCTTAGCTCTTCGATTTTGAATGTGGACGAGATTTCGTCGTGGAACCGTAACCGACAAACAGCTGACGGTTAATCTCTTACATGCAGGTTGCTCCAAACGTGAGGTAGTCCAAGGAGCCGCCGGAAATGCACATGACGAATAATGAGGTGCACGTGAATGACAAACGCCGTTCAGCTGGGAGGCGTTGGCAATGTCACGCCAGCGAGAACTCGCACATATCACAACAAAAACAAGCCAGCAGGGATATCAAAGCAGTGAGGCCTGGATGGCTGCCCCGGCGTGGTCATCGGATATGGGTTCTCTAAATCATGCGGCTTTCTGCCGGGGGTGTCAAAGCAAACAGCTCAAGCCGTATTCTGCGTCGAATGGGAGCTGCGTAAATATGTGCAATGCACATAGCCGTCTCGAGGCAATCTGCCATATGACAACGGAGTCGAGGGCCGTTTGCTCTCGCAGATGGGCCCGGCCATCACACTCCCGGCCTCACAAGAATGCAGGGTCCCAATCTGGCACTCACACTCGCCCTCGGCTTCATTATTTTACATGTCCCTCTAGTCTACCTGCCCTCGACAGCAACCACCTGAACCCCATCTACTCATCCGCACATCTGAAGACCCAACCTCTAAACATTCTCCCTCGCTCCATCACCAAGCTCTCTCTCACCAATGGCGGGCAAGAGGAACAATCAACGGAGACCCCAAGACCAAAACCCGCCCAAAGGCCACGCAGCCCAAGACGCCACCGTCACGTTGCCATCCCTGCATGAGGCCGTGCTGGCAGCCACGGCAGGCCTCATCCGCCCGCTGCCGTGGTTCAATCACTCCGCCGGACTCGACGGAGAAGCCACCGTCATCGACGAATACCCGACCAACATCATGGCCCTCTTCCAGTGCCTCAACAGCCATTGCGGCCGCGCGGGCTGGGGCAGTATGAAAGTGGGGATCCTGACCCGGCGGTACTATTCCGCGCGCCACGACAGCGCCAGCATCGACAGCGCGGGCGTCTGGCCGCTGTTCAGCGGCGGGGCCGGGGCCGGGGCCATGGGCTACGACGCGCTCGTGTTCAACCAACGCTGCAAGGGGCGCAACAGGCTCGGCGCCATGGTGGTGAACGAGGACGTTTATGTCGAGCGTGTCGCGTACTGGATGAAGAAGTAGGCTGGCGTGCCCATAGCGCCGCAAGTGTACGCTCCGAGGCTGCTTGGGCCGAAGCACGAGTCGGAGCTCTGCGAAGCTTGCAAGGCGGGATATTGCATGCGGCCTGCAAAGGTGGGGATGTTCTAGATGGCTGATGGGACTGTGGGAAGATTGTTCTGGAGGGGCGAGATGCAGGAGTTGTGTACCGGAATTTAATTCACTTTCTGTCTTCGTCTCTTTCTCTTCCGTCTTCTTTCATCACCAAAGTGAAAGGTGATTTACAGAATGTGAAGAGTAATACAATTCAATCCCTGGATGTTTATTAGCGGGGGACGTTATAGGATTTGAAAGGCCTTGATGCCCTACAACTTGCCGTAAAGGTTTTGCGCTGAGGGATGTAAAAGCTGTTGGAATCCCTATTTCTTCTCTAAAACAGCTAGGCTTTTCTTGGCCTGTATATTTGCTAGACTATCTATAACATTTATTCTGATAAAACTTGTGGGTCGGTCTGATGAGAACAACTGCTTGGTCTTGTCACAAAAGTGGCTGAGTGAACGATTGATCTCGCAACAAACTACGATATGCGATTTGGGTGTAGGGGCGTCCCCTGTCTTCTGCCGTTTGGACTCGGCAGGTTGGGGAGCGTCGGCTTCGCCTTCCAAATCCCTCTTGCGCTCGCCCTTGTCCTTCTTGCCAGTGGGTTTTCGGGCGGGACCTGGGGATTCAGTGACTACTGGTGTGGAGGGGTGGTCCACGTTGGCCGTGTTGGGTGTACTGGCAGGGGTCTTTTTCTTTGGGGGACTCTTTTTGGGCGTTTCTATCGACTTTGTGGGTGTTGAATGCTCGGCGTCCGGTGCGGAATCATCTGGGAGGCTACGCTTCTTGGCCAATGCCTCCATGCGTCTTACCCTGTCGACGGTAGGCGACCTAGAGGGTGCGGCCGGGGAGTTATGAGCTTGTGTTGTCGTCATTTATCGAACTCACTCCGAAGGTCACCATGGTTTGGAGTGATGTGTTGGTCGATCTCAGTATTGGTGATCCCAGGTCGGTAGTGCCCTGTCGAATGGACATCTGGAAAGGAGTGTTCAAGGCATTAAATACCAAGTTGTTGATGTCAACGGCCTACCACCCTCAGACAGACGGACTGTCGTACGATATTACGTCGCCGTCAACGAAGTGTCATGGGTTGATATAACTTCCGGCGTATAACCTACTATAACTCGTGGGGGTACAGCCGGATATGCATCGCCAAATCTCGGCTCAAACAGCCCTGCGGTTCCCCAGCCAGGAATTAAAAACAGTAACGGGGGTATTGCTTTCTCCTGCGAGTACCTTTAGTCCCACTTTATACTTTGCCTTTCACTTTCCTTTCTAGCTCCGTGTATAAGATTACCAACTCGTATAGGGGTTACTTTCGCCTTGCCTATTAGAGGCTTTGTCGTGAGCACGATTTACTGCTGGCTCAAATGGGTGATTAAATTGAATCTCCGGTGTGATAATCTTAGAAACGGTAGGGCCGTACAGTTTTATAACTATAATAGTAGGTTCCGTTTGGCCTTGAATGGTTAAAGCAGTTCAAGGGCAAGACAAAGAATCTCACCATACCTAATTAACGCCCTGTTATGAAGCCTAGATAAACAAGCCATCCACGGTCTAGTTGTTTACAATGACTTTTTCATTACATCTAATTCTCAAGGCAACCACCATATCCGGGTACCCTTCCCTTGATGTTTTCAAGATCATTATCATGATGTCTTGACGTGATCAAGAAAAGCAATAGCCGGAAGAAATAATGGCCCGTGAAAGTTGGAAGAATATTGATGGTATCTAAACCATCACCGCCCCAGTAAAGCTCCAAAGCAATAGCCTCTATTCCTCCGTCTGATGAGAGAGAGGAACAAAACTCGCTGGGTAATATGCGAGCGTAATTTCAACCAATAACAGAATGCCGGATAAAATCCCAGCCACCATCCTCCTGTCCCAACGTGACCCATCCACTTGATTCACATCACAACCTGAATACGCATGTCAGCAAAGAAACCGGAAAAGGCTCCGGAATGGGGCCATAACAATACTCACACAGTCGCCCTCGTTCTTTCCCTGGGGGATTCCCATCTCCTCAAAAGTCGCGGGCCCCTGACCCATCGTCTTTCCATCCGGATGGTCCGTCGGGACTCGGGCTGGCTTGCCACCGGGGCGCCCCAGCTGACCAGGCAGGTTGGGCGTGCTCGCCGCGCTTGATGCCTGGCTCGCAGGATTGGGGCTGGGGCCGGGGCTAGGACCGGGACTGGGTCCTGTTGGCGAGGGGTTCGGCCTCATATTCTGTGATGGAGGCGCGGTGGCCCGCCCATCAGGTTGAACCGGCCGTTGTTTCAGTGGGCTCGGCCCGCCCGACGGTAGCCTCGCGTGACCTGGCGCGGGGAGGTTGTCGAGCCTCTGTGGCTGCAGGTTTCCTGCGCTTACCGAGGAAGACAATCGGCTGCCCGCAGGTGGGGGCCCAGCACCGTAGCGATCGTAGCGATCGTAAGTATCACTAACCGGCCTGCTGGCAGTCCGTGGGCCGTAGCCGGGCTGACCGCCGGGGCTGGTCATACTGGGTGGCGAAGCGTAGCCAGGAGCTGCAGGGTTGGGGGGCGACGCGTAGCCAGGCCTTGACTGCTGACCGTAAGGTGGGCTTTGCGGTCCCGGTTGAGGAGGACTAGTAATGCTGGGATTAAACTTTTGCAGGCGGTTCCGAGTTGGGTCGCCCACAGGAGCAGCTCCAGCTGGGACGGTAACTCTAGGTCCAACATTCGTCGATCCCAGACGCTGAGATGGCAGGTCTGGCTGCGGCTTCCATTGTTGACCCTCGTTTCTATACTCTTGTCTTGAGGGGCTAGCGCTGGGCTGCCGATAACTGGACGGCACCTGTGGCTCCCACCCAGCACCTACAGCTTGGTTTGGCGGGTAAGAGCCACGGCCAGCACCTGGCTGAGGGTAAGGGGGGTTGGTGTTCGGGTTCGGGTTGTTGTTGGGTAAAAGCGGGCGAATACCAAATGCACTGCCTGGCCGGTCTGCCTGCGGCCCAGCACCTATGGAGAGGCGGGCGGACGGGTTTTGATACTGTGACTGTGGCCTTTGGACGAGCATATCGTCTTCTGGATATGGGGCAGTGGATTTAGGCCGGACGTTGAGGGCTGCCGGTCTGTCGTCGAGGGGATAAGGGGCGGCAGACTTTGGCCGCATAGCAAGGCTCGAGTCAATATTAACGGTAAATGCAGGCGTCCGCGAGTTCATGCTGCTAGGTCGCTCAGGATCCGGAAACTCAATCGAGTCTTCAACAAAAGTTAGTATATTCAGCGGAGAGATTTCACAAGGGATAAGAGACGCACCGTCGGCCCCGGGCGCCGGCTCCGACTCCTTCAGGGTTGGTAGGACTGCGGGCTGTCTTGCGAACCTGTCGGGTCGCTTGCCACGCTGTGATCCATGTTGAGACTTTATACGCGTCAAAGTTGTAGTTTCGTGGTCTTGCTTTGTCAGCGTCTTCGACTGGCTCAGAGACTCGATTCTCTCAAGTGCATCCTTGTTCCCGTGCTCAGCCGCCAGCTCGTACCACCTGCGTGCTTCCCGGATATTCTTCTGCACGTGGATCCCGATCTCATGATAGTAGCCCATTGCAAATTCGCCAGTTGCGAGCCCTGACTCGGCGGCTTCTTGGGCATACTTAAACGCCAGCTGCTCGTTTTTCGGGAAGACATTCTCAAACCCGAACAAGAACCACCTGCTCACACCTAACGCTGCTTCGGGCTGCCCTTGACGCGCCGCGAGGCCGTAGTAGTGAAGAGAGTATGCAGGGTTGAAATCACAACCAAGCTGGCTTAGTTCGTAGGCCTGGCCCATCTTGAGCTGCGCCTTGGAAAAGCTGAGATATGCCGCCTTCTCAATATATTGCCGGGCGACGGTGAGGTCGCACGGCAGGATTGTTTCTGGGACGGTGATGTCAGGTAGCTCCCGAGCAATGAGCATGCCGTAGACGTATGCCCCTTGGGGTGCGTCCTCGTCTGACGTGTCGGCCGCCTTTTGAATCATCTCCAGGCCCAGCAGATAATCGCGTGGGAAGCCGTGTTGTCCCATGAGATGCATCATCCCCAACCTGTAATTTGATGCAGAGTCGTCCATATCCACGCCATACTCGTAGTGCTTGATGGCATTTAGGATGTCGTTGGAGTTCTCGTACAACATGCCCATCCGGTATTCTGCGCGCCCGTTCTTGCCCCTGGCCGCTTTCTTGTAGAGGGTGTATGCTTCTCTCCTGTCCTCGCGGAAGCCAAACTTGCCGAATTCGAGCCATTTGCCCTTCATAAAGGTCGCCTCCGGGTGGTCTTGGTCGGCCAGGTATCCGATGATGTTAACGGCGTCGACGCGCAGGTCGTGCTCGGCCTTGGGCGTCGGCGGCCGTTCTCTGCCTTTCCCCGTCCGCTTCCATTCCCGGGCATGCGCATCGGCAGACACCTCGATCCATAACAGTGTATCCCTAGCCCACGTTACCTGCATCGAGACATTATTGGAGTGGAGGACGAGGGCGCGCGCCTGCCAAAGGATGCCTTCCTTCTCCTCGTCGCTCGGGGGGATGTTCTCTCCCTTTATCTTGGGAAATGGTGAAAAAGACGGCGCGTCCATCGCTGTCGCACCGATGGCGGGACTTTGGAAAGGCTTGAAGCTGTCCGCACTGCGTATTGTTTTTGCCAGTCAGTGGATTTAATCGGTTTGTCAACAAGGGTGCTGGGTCCTGGTGGGGTTCGCTGGGTTGGTTGTCTGCAGTCTGCAGTCTGCACTCACATTTTTGACTCTCTTCTTGGAGCGGCTTCGCGGGCTTCGAGCTCCATGCGCTGAAGGTCCTCTTGCATATTCTGGGGCACTTCGGGCATTACCCTATAGAAATGACGAGCAGGTCGTTAGCTTTCAGCTTCCAGCCTCCATTGAGCGTGCTGCGTATCCGCCCAAGCCTCACTAGGCGATGCGATCCTCTTCCTCTCCCTCTCTCGATAACTCCTATCGACTGCTGCGCAAGGCGCAAATATTGCGAGATAGGATCTGGAAGTGCGCCGGCATCCAGGGGTTTATCCAGGGGTTTATAAACTCACCGTTGAGGGGCAGGGGCGATAACTTCCGGCATGTAATAGTCATCGAAGCCTCCAGGAACAAATGTCGCGCCGAGCTGCGGCATGGTGTCGACTGTGCTGCCGACGGTCTGGGTGCTGGGGGGTTGGCCCGGGCCTGGGCCTGCATAAATAGACCAGAATAACCTGTCAGCAAAGCATTCGCCTACTCCAGCCACGTCCTTCCTGTGAAACCACTCGACGTCTCTGTCCCGCGCGCACCCCGTCTTCAGGGGTGCTCGGCGATGCGAAAGGTCGGCGACACTGCAGTTGAGGAGGGGTTGGAAGGGTCGCTGTGATTGATCGAAGAGGGGCACGATAGGGGGGTTTTCGCGATTGCGTACGCTTTGCGGAGGGGCCTGTCGCAATGCCGCGCGGTTGCAGGATGATGCGAATGTTTAAAATTATTATACTGAAGGCGATCAACTTTTTGGGGGTCCTGGCTTCAGGAACGGACGATGGTCGGGTCCACTCCTCACGGGGTGTTCTAAGTTTCGCAGGCGATTGAGGTACCACCCGGTCACTGTTGGTTTCCACGCAGTCCGAGATTTTGAAGAACGTGATAGAGGCCGTCCGGATACGAACTGAAATGCCAAAGCACGCTGAGCCAAGCGTAAGGCATGTACATGTACAGTACCACAGTGTTGGATCTGCGTTGCTGCCCGCTAGGCTCGTGCAGCGGGTTGGTTGATGGTCGCCTGTGCCCCTCGTCGTGGTTTCGATGTTGCTGGGACCCCTCCTCACCCTGAACCCGACAACCCTTGCAGACCAGTAAGGTAGGTGGTAGCCCCTGGCCCAACAAGAGCGCAAAGCCTTGAAAACGCGCAATCCAAAAATCCTTGCAAAATGCGACAATACATACCTGGCTTGAGTGCTGGTGGGACAGCGTCCTTAGCTCCTCGGGTGGCCTTCGCACCTGACGGCTGCCCCGCATATGCCATGTACGGCCGAGTATTCCAAGACGTCATGGTTGGTGGTCAACCGCTGACAGGCACTAACCACCTATCGAATTAGCGTACGTAGGTAACACCAGACAAGCCCGTTCGTTGGTGGTCGAAATGGCGTGTAGTGCCGTTGCAGCAAAAGTCATGCTTGTTATCGAGAAGCGGCCATATGTTTATATGTTCAATCCTTATTCCATAGCAGGCTGAGAGGATGGCGGCCGCACCACGACAACAAGATTCGTGGGATTCAATGTGGTTGGCCCCAGCCTCGACGAGTTGGAAAGGGTGTGGAGGTATATTCGAATTGTTTTTCTGGAACTCAAGGCCGATGATATAAAGAACAGGTCGGAAGTTGATGGGACGGGACAGGGACAGGAGCTACGGCCACCGAGACACTGGAAATTGAAAGGAATGAATGCTTGTGGGTGAGACTGAAGGCAGCCATGAAAACAACCCAGAACATCTATACGCATACGCAGACGGATGTTACGCGATGGGACTGTTTAACAAGTAGCAACCGAGCATCAGTCTGCCGGGGGCGATCTTCTCTTTCTTGTCCAAAACTATGCGGCGAAGTCAAGTTAAACTAAGGTAAGGAAGGTTTTGTAAGTAGGTAACTAAAGTACCTAAGTTATTCCTCTCTGATGATCAACTTGGAATGGAGCTGTAATAAACAAGCCAACGTTATTTGCGTGGCCTCGCAGCCGCAGAACTAAGAACGCCACATCCGCTAACCAACATGGCTATCCAAGTGCTTTGTCTTCAGGTATGGCTGTTTTTGGCTGTTTTTGGTATGGCAAGACGCGCCATTGATCAACAGCGCCTTGCTCTAACCTTCAATCGGCGGGACGATCTGAGCCCGTTCAAGACTTGGCATCTGACCCCACACTTTCTTCCAACACTTTTTTTTGGTGTCCAGGGTCCAAGAGAGCTCCGCCACAACTCTCAGACTGTTTCTATTTGGAGAGGGGCGATTCACACAACAACCACCGGTCTTCTGGACCCTAGCCACGCCGGCTCGGGTTAGGTTTGATGAGAATTGAACGACCGGCCATCCTACCCCTACGCACTTGTATAGGGGCTGTGGAGGCCTAGTTGGGCATCAACCGCGGGGCGCATTTCTCAGCCACTGGTACAGAAGCCGGGACAATGGCAAAGTCGCCGTTGGGTACTCCGAAAGGATACTTACTGGAGGAACCCAGAAGCACATCGCACGTCGTGAATAGGAAATGCTTTGCGCCGCATTTGCAGGTCTTCAACTCTGTGAACTACCAAAAAAGAGACTACAGCCCGCATCTTAAAAGACCTGATTATCTTCAAACCTGAGTGGCTTGCAAAGTGCCCGAAATCTGACCTAGCCATTTGAGGTAGAAAACTATAACCTCGAATGTTTTGACAGCACAGCACAGCACAGCACTGCCTGGCTGCTTCCCTTTCATCCTTCTGTCACCTCGCTCCGGGCTAAAACATGGGGAGGGGTTAGAACGTTACAATTCTAGGTAGGTAAGGTAGGTACCTCATACCCGACGGAAATGTTGGAACTCCCGTCGGCGACTACTAAGGTAAGGTAAGGTAGGGTAGCTGTACGTAAAGGTCTGACCACACTTTGGTTACCACACTTTGGAAGTACGATACTAAGCATACCCGATCCTTTCATAGCTGAGCTTCTCCGCTTTATCTTCGATTTCGCAATAACACCGGGGTAATTTAGCTGCCTGCTTGTCTACCACCCTTCCGGGTTCCTAATCTCTCCAGCGTTGTGACGCAGCCTCCTGTCATTGATCTCCGACGACTCGCACTCCGTCGGACTTCAGGAGCCGGATTGTTCATAATAGATGTTCCTCTAACTAGAAATGCCCTGCCTCGCGTGCTTTGGCTTGAATATCGGATTTTCCCACTGAATTAGGGCATTACCGTCAACCCGTTCGGCGACAGCGCTATCCACGTTAATCGAGTCTGAGCTCTCGTGACAACCTTCAGAGTCTCACTACATGGTCGTCATGGAGCCATCATCGCTCTAGAGATTTGTCTTTCTCTCATGAACCAAGATGGTGGGTCGGAAAGATAAGGCGCGACATTTCGGGGTTTGTCGAGCAGACGGGCACAATGAAGGAACCCAGGATTGTTTGCATCTCATGGCTTTTGACAGGGGAAACCAGCGCTAACTACCCGGAAGCTTGTTCTGACAATCACTCGAGGACGCGGCTAGTGTGTCTTCGGAGTCCGGAGCGAGCAAATGATAAAATCCCCAATGCAAGGTTTAAGAAGAAAATTACATGAGTGTATATGAACATCTGCAATAGACGTTCTGAAGGACTTGTTCGGTGGCAGGCAGCTGAAGTAGGAAAGTAACAAACTCCGAGTTAGCAGATTTCTGCCAAGTGGCAGCCGGCCCGCCAACTTATTCTAAGCCCCACCCCTGCCCTGCCTGCAGCGGGCTGACTGAAGCAAGCGGCTGGAACGTCACCCTTTCAGCCTGCGGTCGAATTCCAACAGCCTACCGTGATCATCTTACCTAACCTAGGTACCTCACCAAGGCCACTACAAACCATCGAGGTTCAGGTGCTTCTAATCACATCCTCAGACATCACCACAGAATCGACTACACAGCCCCGACCCTCTACTACAACACACGATATTTGGCTGCATTGGAATCAACGTCTACTTCGTCGACCGATTTGGGAAAGCGGACGGACAGCGCTCGCTCAATTACCGCCAGGCGCCTCCCAACAAACGCCCCCCCTCCAAACCGCAAACCACAAACCACATCCACAGCCACCTGAAACATGGCGGAACGACAGCTCACGCAGATCCTGACGCAGCTCAAGTTGCAGTCCTCGACGCTGAGCTACGCCGAGTCGTCGTCGCTGCTATCGAAAGCGAAGCTGCTGCTGGTGCAGCTCAACGCGCTGACGCCGCCCTTGGCATCCTCAGCTGCCAACAACACAAGCTCGCCGACGGTCCTGGCGCTAGCGCGCGAGACATACGAGCAGGGGGCGCTGGCGGCGATCCGCGCGCGCAACCCCGAGGCGTTCACGCGCTACGTGTCGCAGCTGGCGGGCTTCTACGAGCTGCCCGCGTCGGTGCTGGCGCCCAACCCGACGGAGCGGAGCAAGGTGACGGGGCTGTACCTGCTGCTGCTGCTGACGCAGGGCAAGTACGCTGAATTCCACAGCGAGCTGGAGGCGCTGTCGGCGACGGGGCGGTGGGGCGGCGGCGACGGCAGCAGCGGCGTTGTCGATATCGAGGGCGATCGCTTCCTCGGCTATCCGATCCGCTTGGAGAGGTGGCTGATGGAGGGTAGCTACGACCGCGTGTGGCGAGCTATGAAGCAGGGCGAGGTGCCGTGCGAGGAATACGGCGTTTTTTCTGAAGTGGGTGTTCTAATCGCTTTCTTGCTGCTCCAACCACTCTTCATTTCGGCGGCATGCACGCATCAACTATGCCCGTCGAAGCCCAGCTAGCCCCAAGCTACTTTTCTGTGTCATCAATGTTGCTAACCTCACCGTCCCACAAAAAAAGATTCTACGAACACAGATCCGCAACGAGATTGCCAGCAGCAGCGAGCGCGCCTACCCGTCCCTGCCGCTGTCGTCGACAAAGTCCCTCCTGTTTCTGGATTCCGAAGGATCCGTCATCGATTTTGCTTATAGCCGGGGCTGGAACATCAAAGACGGCCAAATCATTTTCCCGTCACCTAGCGCCGCTGCGGCCGCTACGGCAGCCGCCGAGGGGGGCGAAGACGGCGACCAAGAGAAGGAAATGAGCCAAATGGTGATTGAGAATACGCTAGGATATGCGCGACAGCTTGAAACGATTGTCTGAGTCCTAGACAAGTCTAAGTGGACAAGCAGTAGGTGCATTGAAGTGGTGGGAGTCTTTGGTGGACAAAAATCGTACTCACTGGAACTCCTTTTGCTTGTACAGATATGCGTAGATCATAGAGGATAGCCAAGGGAATAGCAGTGCGGCAGATTTGCAGCATTAAGACGATCCAGCACCAATGCACACAGGGAAAAATGTTTTTTCTTCATAAAAGATTTTCGGCTCTCTCCAGCGTTTTTAAAGCCATACCCACTCCACATGATTCAGACACGCCTCCCCATTCATCATCGGCTATTCTAGAACTCTGTGCCTTTTCCCGTCCATGAACTTCGCGACAGTGCTAAACAAGTGGTCAAGTACGGTGGCTTCATTTAATATATCTCATTACAACTCCACTGTCAAATCAAGACTTAAGCAAATAACTTCAGTCCGCTCCCGTGTTTGCCTACCTCGCAGACACCACAGACCGCACATACTGTGCCCTTGAACTTGGTGTGATACTTGGACCCGTCAAATGCGCATTCTTCGAATGCGGTGCCGCTATATATGGGCGTGTGACTAGCAGCGCAGATCTCAAATTCCGCAAACTGATCAAATTCGATCTCTACTGAATCATGGGGATTGCGTTCGCACTGAGCCTTTGTCTTCTTGGCCTATAAATGTTGTGGTTAGCCTGGAGCGCGTATTGAAACTTCGTGTTGGAGGTGCTTACCGTTTCCAGGGTCTTACTAGCTCCTCCGTTTGCCAATATCCTGTTGGCAAAGCTGAGCGCCGTGTTGTAGTTCTTGCTCCGCATCGCCAGGTTCATGGCATTTAACAACGCAATCTGACGGTGCGGCACCTGAATTTTCGGGATCGTGAAGTATGCCGACAGTTCCAAGCTCCGTTTCAGAAGTTGAGGGTTCTTGTTAATCACATCCGTCGTGCCGAGTTTCCTGCGTCCCAGCTCAATAGCCATCGCGACAGCATACTCACTCGCTGAGGTGATTAACTTCTTCGCCTCGGTCACCTCGCTCTCGCTGCCAACAGCGTTGATCAAGACAGCATACAGGATGCCCTTGAAAACCTCTAAGCCATCTTCCAGCTTATTTGTCTTCATGGAGTCGTAGCCGCGTTGCAAGTCATTGGTGGCAAGATACTCCAGATCTCTAGGAATAATGGGAAGAACCTTCCTCGGATCTGACTCTTCTACCGTCCGTCGGACATAGTTGACAAGAGCTAGTAAGCCGGCTGAGGCAGGGAGGTAGGTCTTGGATGCCTGGTAAACCTCCAGGAACCGGGCTTTCAAGGGAGTAAAGTTGACAGCGCCAACTTGTCGGTTGAGAAGCTGCATTGCTGTTTCGAACGACCCGCCAGCGACGTGATCGACGGCTAGTGGTGAGTTGCGGGCCCATAGGTCTGCTTCGCTACTACCCGCACCACCAGCGTCAGCGCTCTCGACATTGACGAACCCTTCCTCGACCTCGGGCACAACATCGTCACCGAGATCCCATCCGGCGGCATCTTCGTCTTCTTCAGGCTCCGCAAGGGCACCATTACGCTTCCCAGCGGCATCATCTTCGGCAACATCATCGAGGCCGAGGCCACTAGTCGCTGCGTTGGGTTCGTCGTCTAGTGATAGACCTTCAACTTGTCCGAGGAGTGCCTTCTCGAAGAACGATTGTGATGTCGCTTTTGTAGGCCAGTTTGCTTTATATGTCGGTACCACCAGCTTCGGCGGGGTCAGGGGTGCACCAAGTTTGGGCAATGAGAGTTGATCTTCGGTGAGGCCAGTAGCTTCAAGAATCGATTGGCACTCGTCTTCTAAGCCGTTAAACTTAGCCGTCATATAGGCAAGAGGGTCTACTTAAGTTAGTTTTGTGATGGCAAGTTGAAGAATGAACGGGGAAGTGACTCACATAGGTCTATCTCCTTGAACATCTGGATCCTGTCTTCAACCTCTCCAAGATAGAGGGCGTTCTGAAACCTCGATGTGAAATCTCCTCGGTGCTCAGCAATCTTTGCCATTCTAGAAAGCTTAGACTCGTCGCCTGTTGTGAGATACAGAAACGAGAGCTTGTCAAACTGCTTCTGTTTCTGGTAGCACATCTCCACAATGGAATGGTTTCCATGAGAAAGGGCCTCGGTGCTTAACCTTGACCAGAGCTTTGGTCGGTCAAGCTGCTTGGCCATCTCGACGGCAACCTCGAGGTTTCCGCATTCTATGGCAAGCTCAAATCGTGTGGTAGGATCTTGCACGAACTGGAGTGCAATCTCGGGATAGCCCTTCTTTTGGAGATACGAGATGATAGATTGCCCGACCAAGCTCGAATTCTGGATTATGTGAAGCATCTCTTCGTAATTGCGCTTAACGAGGGCAAGTTTGAAGCGGTATTCGGTAGGATCGACTTGCAAGATCTTGGGTTTTGACGCACGATCGAGGCAATAGACACTTCGGCCCTTGACACGGACGAGATAGACGGTTTGGTCAAGTGTCCGAACAATGCCGTTGTCACCGTTGAGCAGCGTGTACTTCACGTGGTTGAGAGTCGAATAAAGGAGGACGCCAGCATCATCCCACGTAGCGCTCTTGATTCTGATCGTCTCATGCAGCGTACTGACTTGCTCCAGAGCTTTTGTCACGATCGTCACGTTGTGCTTGCTCAAGAGGGCCGCATAGAGGCCGTCATTAGACCACACGACATACTTGACACCATTCACCGAGAGCTCGGCAGTAGTCTTCTTCTGCTGGATGTCGTACAAATGTACGGCTGTCGGGGCGATGATGAGCAAGTTTCCAGTTCCGCCAAAGTAGATATCGCTCGTTCCAATAGGAGGCTTGAATGACCGTGTGGTGTTATTTGTCAGGTCCTTGATGTCAACGGTCTGCGATGTAGTGTTGAGAACAGCAAAGCGGTTACGAGCAACAAAAATAGCCGAGTTGCCCTGGCCTCGCTTGGATTCTGTGGGCTCAATGGCTCCAGAGCCGTCGCGAGGAAGGTTTATCAGTTCATAAGAACCACCATCCGCAGTAGTTGTGACCAGAATGGAGCGTTCGGCAGGATTATAAGACAGGGTCCGCGGGGGCACCCAAGAGCTGCCGAGCTTTTTGAGAGACAATAATGTCGGCGACTCCACGTTCTTCTGGAAATCGTAAGACCGAACATGCTTCTCCTTAGTAATGTAAAAGAGTGTGTTCTGGAACACTGTTGAAGCAGGTCTTTCGCGCTCAAGCTTAAAGACCATGACGCCACTATTAAGGTTAATGTTAGCAAATACCAAACACAAGACTTAGCTCGTGATTACGTACTTGTCATGCCCAGCAGCGAACAAGTTGATCTCGGGGTGAGCGGCGATGACCCAAAACCTGTCGTTCTCTCGCTTGAAACTATTAACCGCGGTCCGCTTGTTCAGGTCCCATACACGAATCGTCTTGTCCTCGCCTGCCGAAAGGATCAAGTCTTGGTGCGGGTGAAACAGAGCTCCGTTGGCGTTCTGGAAATGGCCACGGCATGTATCAACCTCCCACTAGATTGAATGTCAGTTTATCTATTTTGTAAGTCGCGGACGTAAGGGAAATGCCATCTTTTTAGAATTCTAGTGTAATATGGGGAGATTATTGGGAGACGTACAGCCTTCGTTTCGCTCATGCGCCACAGCTTAATGAGGCGATCATCGCCTGCGGACACAATCAAGGGCATCGTAGGATGGAACGCCACCCAGTTCACGCCCCGATCGTGACCCTCGAGAACAAATTTGACCACAGCGTCGGTGTTGCCAAACATGTCGGTCTGGTTGGCATTGGCCCGAGAAACCTGATCTTCGAAGGACATGGAGGTCGGAGCGGAATGCTTTTTGCGCAAGCCCGAAACTGTGACACATGTCAGCCATAAAGTCCCCCCGAGATAAAGGGGCATGTAAGTAGGTTATTAGAACAGGAAGGTGGCCTAGGCCATCTTGGACCTGTCGCCTATGGGGCGGGGGCGGTACGTACTATCCCAGACGCGAACCGACTGATCGAGAGAGGCCGAAACAACGAGATCTTCTTTGGGGTGGAACTGCGCGCACATCGCATAGTGGTTGTGGCCTGTCATAGTACAGACTACCCATATGTCAGTAGGAGAAACCAAGAGGTAGCATAGAGCATAAGCATACGTAGCGATCGGTTCTGCCAGTTCCATATCCGAATCGTTTGGTCGTCGCTTGCGCTGACAATCCAGGGTAGCTCATGGTGGAAGAAAACGGTCCGGATGTAGTCCAGATGCCCATTCAAGGTAAAGAGGCACCTGCGGGTCTGATACGACCAGACTTTAATCTTGTAGTCGTCGCCTCCCGAGACGAAGAGTGGCTGCCAGCGTGTAAGTAGTGGTTCCTAAGCGCATCTAGTGCACATAGCGCCTCACCTGTGTCTTGTGGAAGTCGACACCGCGAACAGGGCCATCGTGCTCCTCGAACCGATCAATCAGGGTGCCCATGCGATAATCCCATAGCTGGATGGTGGAGGAGTGTAGGGAAACGAGAATCCATGGTCTGGAGTGTCATTCAATGTCAGCGTCTAGGCAAGAAATGGCGGGGAAGCTCGGGCGACGGACCGTTTAGGGTGGAACGCAATGCCCTTTGCGCGCGACGATTTGGACTCGAACTGGATGCAACAGAGCGGTCAGCAACAAGAACAACCTGCAAGCTGCACAGCAACAGCAGCGACAGCAACAAAGGAGCCGGCGGACCTTGGTGAGCATTCCCGAGGAGGCCTGCATCTTGGCGGGTGGCAGCGAAGCCTAAGCTCGCGGCATCAACGACGGGGAATCGATACACCTGGGTCACGCAGAAATCGACGAGCGCAGCCAAAACAGGTTGTGATTGCAAGAGGGCTCGGTTATGAAGCAGCTGCCGGGTGGGTAGCGGCGTGCGTGGTTGGAGTTCGAGGAATCGGAGCCGGCTGCTAATGTTCGCTCGCCATCGACCAATTCACATCCACAGGGAACCGTGGCATCTCAATGTGTGGGTTCGCCTGGCGCCATGACGAGCGCCTCAGGCCAAAACGCACATTCAATTTTCCGGGCCCACTCCACACCCCGGGTGCTTGTTGCTCCCAGGGGGTGTCATTCCCCACAACCCCCCGTCAGCCTTCCAGGAGAGATACTTATGCGCCTGAGGCATCAGACACACAGCTCACCCTTGACGCTAGCCCGGATAAGGTTAGTTACAGGCCTTCTCAAGCTGGAGCTGCGATGTGTTCAAAAGGAGGGACAAGCTGCCTAGCGTAAATATATCAAGAAGCCGTCAAGGACCCCGAAATGTGTCCCATTGGGCCATTTGCATTTTCATTTTTGTGACATTGCGTAGGTAATCCAATTCTCATAATTTTGGGATATTTCCCCTTTCTATGGGCAAGCTCCAGCTGTCCAAATCGTGTTGCTGCTCCTCTTTCCCACGGCCAACGTGGCATTTACGCCTTCGCACCCACTGGCGCAAGCCACTTTCACGAGCCCCTGACCTTCCTGTACGCGCCCCGCCTTCGGCTGGCGGGCCCCTTGACCAGAATTCGCGATACCAAATCATAGCCACCTTGACCAAGACAGATTGATTGCCCGAGGCAACGGCCAGCCGTGAGCCATGATCCGACTTTCGCAGCTCCCTTGGGGGCTTGCGGCAGCCATCCTTGGTGCGACATGGCTACCCGCACTGCAAGTTGCAGCAACGCCATCCGTCAATGTTGGCTTGAAGGCCGCTTTCCCGTCGCCTCCATATCTGGTTGAGCTGCTGTAAGAACCCGCCGTCTTCACAATTGGCATTCTTGCCTCGTTGCGCGCAAGACTAACAAGATTTGCAGAGAAACAGCAGCTCCCGACAATGCGACTGTCTACTTCGCCCTCCTCAACCGCATCGCCCAAGGCCACTTCGCCAGTGCAACGACGGAGAAGGAGCTCTACGAGAAATTCTTGGACGTCCTGCAAAGTGACGGACACATGAGCCCCGAGTCGCTGTCAACCTACAAGCTTGCACTGTCCTTGAGATCTGCTGCACCTAGGATCGAGGCCCACTACCAATTCTATGCAACTGCCGTAGAGCCGTCGCTGGATGGAGAGCAAGACGGCTGCGACCATTGGTTCCTGGCTAATGGGAAGCAATACTGCACGCCCGTCCTCGACGGCGCGGCGCGTGGAGCTGTCAAGGGCAGCTCCCAGGGACGCACACTACCGTTCGATCGCAAGTTCGGCTCGGGGTTGCAAGACATTGTTCTCTATGCAGACATCACATCTCCGGGCTTCTCAAAGTTCCACGAAATTGCCATGGACATTGCGCGGAAAGGAGAGGCTTCCTACCGGATCAGGTACAGGAGGAGCCCTGCCCACCCCGCCGACACGCTCTCGGTCAATGGATACGGCGTCGAACTTGCCTTGAAGAGAACCGACTACATTGTCATCGACGACAGAGAGGCAGACGCGGCCAAGGCAACGACGGATCAGGCGCAGAAAGTTATCAGCTCCGATATCATCCTCGACGAAGAAGAGGAGGTTAAGGACATCAAACCTCTGGAAAAGTCGGAGCTCTCGTCTATTGGGATGAAAGCGGCTTCCTACATAATTCAGAGCGACTTGCCGTTTGACACTCTCCTCAAACTCACTCAGGATTTCCCCAAATACTCCACCTCGCTTGGAGGCCAGAATATCTCGAGTGAGTTCGAGGCCGAACACCAGGCGAACCGACAGGTCCTGGTTCCACAAGGCATGAACGTACTTTGGATGAACGGTGTGCAGCTGGTTGACCGGCAAATGCAACCTTTTGGACTCGTAGATCTGTTGAGGCGGGAACGAAAACTCATGAACGGTGTTCTGGATCTCGGACTTACTGGACAAGAAGCCATCTCCCTTCTCGGCCATGACGAGGTAGCCCAAGCAAAGGCGTCGGGCGAGGAGGAAGCCCGGAGATTTGACTGGCGCGATCAAATCGAGGACGGCCGGGTCATTATCTGGCTCAACAACATCGAGAAAGATAAGCGGTATAGTGCCTTTTCGCCATCCCTCTGGACTCTGCTCCAGCACTTTGGCGGCGGGCTACCCCAAGTGCGGAAAGACATCTTCAACTTGGTCGTCCCCGTAGACTTTACCAAGCCTGTAGACGTCAAGATCATTGTGGAGCAATTGCAAGGCTTCGTAAAGCGGCTAGTACCTATTCGATTTGGCCTCGTTCCCCTTACTTCGACTGGGGAGGCGATCGAGCAAGCTAAAGTTGTCTACCACCTTCTTGAGAGCTACGGACTGGGGGCGGTAATCGCATATCTGGAGCAATCGGCTGAGGCAGCGAAGACCGCCAAAGCAGATGAAGGAATTTTCAATGCGGCAATCAAGGACCGCTCATTGCGTCCGGACGCTACTCTTCTTCCCTTCAAACAAATTTTCACATCCGAAGAGCATGAGAAGCAGATCCATCAAGCAAAGCATTGGACGGAACGGCTGCGCGCTAGCGGCGAAGTCCCTCCTGTTTTCTTTAACGGTCTTGCTCTTCCGCGAGATGAGACATGGCTTAGGGCGATGAACCAGAAGCTTATGGCCGACTTGCAAGCAGTCCAGCAAGCCGCGTACTATGGTATTCTCAATGAGACCTCGTGGATTCCGGATCACTTTCTCCAAAACGCCATTACGCGGCGTAACACGTTCATCTTCCCCGAGGACCCTCAGGCCATTTCCGTGCTCAATGTGAACAAGGTGTACACAGATCACCAAGATCTCTTCATCAAGGTTCCTGTGATCGAGGCAGACGAGCGTTCAACCAAGGAAGATTGGGCCGCCCTGACTGTTGTTGCAGACCTTGACAATGTTGAAGGCCAAAAGCTTCTATATTTCGCTCTCCAGTTCCGCCGTGAGCACCTTGGCGTCCGCCTTGATATTGTGCACAATCCCGCTGATCTGTCTCAGTCTCCCTCCCTAGTCAACGGGCGTGTCAAGGTTAGGGAAGACAGCCTAACCAACGTCGGACGCCTCGTGGATTTGGAAAACATACTCGATGGCTCCAGAACTGACCCCGATTCGGCATTGGATACTGCCCTGGCCAATTTCATCTCTGGTACCAATCTAAGAGCAGGCGACAACGTCTTGATGCTCAATGGGCGGGTTGTCGGCCCCATTGTCTCAGCCGAAGACTTCAAAAAGGAGGATTTTGAGCAGTTCTTGGAAGCCGAACGCGCCGAGAGGATTTTGCCCGTCTATAAAGCGATTGAAAACCTCGGCCTGGACGACAAACTATCCGGCCCCCTGGCAGCAGCCAAATTGTCCTCGGTCACTGCTCTGTCGAGCTTATCGGATGTTCCGCAGGGGATTTTCGATTCTGCAAGTCCGGTTAGGACCACGGCATATAAGGCATGGAACTCGACCCATACCTCATTCCAAGTCGGTGACCCAACGACCGCCACAATTTTCTTGGTAGCTGTCATAAATCCCGCAAGCGAAACCGGCCAGAAATGGGCTGCTATTCTCAAAGTGCTTTCCGAGCTCGAGGGCGTGCATCTCCAGGTATTCCTGAATCCTTTAGAGGATCTCGGTGAACTTCCCGTCAAGAGATTCTACCGCTACGTCCTCGATTCAGCCCCTAGCTTCGATGAGAATGGGAAACTCAAATCACTTTCGGCTACCTTCGTTGGTGTACCATCGGAAACCCTCCTTATTGCTGGGATGGATGTGCCCCCGGCCTGGCTCGTCACCTCAAAGGTCTCTGTCGATGATTTGGACAACATCCGGATAAAAGACATCAAAGCCAGGAGAAACACTGAGCATATCGAGGCAGTATATGAGCTCGAAAATATTCTTATCGAAGGTCATTCCAGAGAATTGCCAGCCGGCGGACCTCCACGAGGTGTGCAGCTTGTTCTTGCAACTGAGAAGGATCCGCACTTCGCCGACACCATTATCATGGCGAACCTTGGCTTCTTTCAGTTCAAAGCCAACCCCGGTGTCTTCAGCATTCAGCTCAAAGAGGGCCGGAGCTCGGACATCTTCAGCATCGAAAGCGTAGGAGCCAAAGGCTGGGCGCCTACCCCCGGCGACGAGACGACGGAGATTGCCTTGATGGACTTCCAGGGCACTACCCTCTATCCGCGCCTCGCCCGCAAATCCGGCATGGAGCTTGAAGACGTGCTCGAAGAGGCCAAGCATTCCTCCGGTGGCGCCATGGACTATGTTTCTAAGGGTTTCAAGTTCGCGGAAGGTCTTCTCGGCAGTGCAACAGGCAGGCATGCCAAGTCGGTCTCTGACATAGAGCACGGCGAGATCAACATCTTCTCGGTTGCCAGCGGTCATCTCTATGAGCGCATGCTTAACATCATGATGGTCAGCGTGACGAGGCATACCAAACACACAGTCAAGTTCTGGTTCATCGAGCAGTTCCTCTCGCCGTCTTTCAAGGACTTTATCCCGACCATGGCGGCCGAGTACGGGTTCAAGTACGAGATGGTCACATACAAGTGGCCCCATTGGTTGCGGCAGCAAAAGGAGAAGCAGCGTGAGATCTGGGGCTACAAGATCCTCTTCCTCGACGTCCTCTTCCCGCTCTCGCTAGACAAGGTCATCTTCGTGGATGCGGACCAGATTGTGCGCACCGACATGTACGACCTGGTGCAGCTCGATCTCGAGGGCGCGCCCTATGGCTTCACGCCCATGTGTGACTCGCGCGTCGAGATGGAGGGCTTCCGCTTCTGGAAGACAGGGTACTGGGCCAACTACCTCAAGGGCCAGCCTTATCACATCAGCGCGCTCTACGTGGTCGACCTGCGCCGCTTCCGCGAGCTCGCCGCCGGCGACCGCCTGCGCCAGCAATACCACACGCTCTCGGCCGACCCGGGCTCCCTGTCTAACCTCGACCAGGACCTGCCCAACCACATGCAGTTCCAGATCCCCATCCACAGCCTGCCGCAGGACTGGCTCTGGTGCGAGACGTGGTGCAGCGACGACACTCTCCGCACCGCCCGCACCATCGACCTCTGCAACAACCCCCAGACCAAGGAGCCCAAGCTGGACCGCGCCCGTCGCCAGGTGCCCGAGTGGACAGAGTACGACGATGAGATTGCCGCGCTGGCCCGCCGGCGGAGGCAGCAGGACCAGGACCAGCAGGGCGATGCCGAAGAGCATGTTGAGAAGAATACCAAGAGCAGGCGGCTGGACGTGGGCGGTGAGGGGGCGGCAACGGAGACGGCTCATACCAAGGATGAGTTGTAAACATGTCTGCATGAGTTATGGTCTTATTTACTTTACTTTTTTATTTTCTTTCTGTTGTTTGAGAAAATCATGTAGAAAGGACGGTCTGTTGCTCATCTTCATCTTGTCGAATCTCAGCGCCGCTCAGAAAAAAGCAAAAAAAACCACATCAGCTCAATGAAAGATGTAACACATAGATCATGGCATTTTACGTCTACAAATGTCTACCGAATATATGCAAATAATTTTCTGTCATATTGTGTCTAGGGCGGCAGAAGCTATGATGTCTCCGTCTCTAACCAGCAAGCAAGAGCAAAGCGATAAAAAAGACAAGCCAAAGAAAACACCAGCCAAGAAATAAGTCGACTCGTGCTGCTTCTATGTTTTCGTAAAATAAAAGGCGATTTCAGCAAACAAGCTCGCTGAATTCTAGACAATGCGGTAAAACACCAAATGAGCCGCATAAACCCACCGCCAACAATCCACCATAGCCCATATTTATATTACGTCTCGATTCCACGGCACTGCATATTCTCTGATGCTAATATTAATGAGAAATGTACTGGAACACGGCACTAATCTCCGGCTCGCCGCACTCCTGGCGGAGGAGCAGGTCCTGGATAGGCTTGAGGCTACCGTTGGCAAAGTGATTCCAAGTACTAGTGTCACCGTAGAGCATTGCTGGGGCCTTGATGTACTGCTTGCCGTTCGGCTTGCAGCGCTTGCACTTGAAGGTGTCGTGGGTGTCACTGCGCGTATCGCCGCGGTACTGAAAGAGTTCTCGCAAGCTGTCGAGGCTGAAATGCCGCTCGACATCCTCGGCGGAATCGACGACGCACGATGACAGCGACTGCTTGTGGCTCTGGCGCTGAAAGATCTTTTCCTCGATCGTTCCCGTAGCAATAAAGCGGTACACAAAGCAGTCCTTCTTTTGACCATCTCGCCACACTCTCGCAAGTGCCTGCTGGTCGGCTGCGGGGTTCCAGTCGGGGTCGAAGAGGATCAGGCGGTTCGCGCCAATCAGGTTCAAACCACACCCGCCCGCCTTGCTAGACAGCAAAAAGACAAACTCATCACCGTTCGGGTCGTTGAACTTGTCAACGAGTTTCTGGCGCTTGCTAACGTTCATGGTACCGTCAAGGCGAAGGCACCCGTACGCGCGAGACCGGCAAAGCTTCTCGAATAAGTCCAGTGTTGACGTGTAATTGCTGATGAGCACAATCTTGTCGTTCGACTCGGACCGGATCTTAGCTAGCATCCGATCCAAGACTTGCATCTTGCCACTGTACCACGGCTTGACCTCGCGGTCGCGTCCCCGGGATTCCTTCGGCACATAGTCTTCCGGCCATGAATCTTCACAGCCCGGCAGGTCGTTTGAGAGATCCAAGAGGTCTGGATGATTGCACAGTTTCTTGAGAATTCCAATGGCTTTCAGAGGCTGTGACCCCTTCCCTCGGAGGAGGGCCTGGATACCAGGGGAAGTAATGAAGTAGTTGTAAAGGTCGAGCTGGAAGGGAGCCAAGTTGCAGAATACCACATGCTCGTATTTGACAGGCAGGTACTTGGACAGAATGTCGTTGGTGCGTCGGATGATGAATTTGTTGACAATAGCAAGCAGTTCGGCAAGGCATTCGTCGCCACGCTTTCGATCGGCCTCGGACGCACTGGCATCCCGGCCTCGAAGGATGGGAATCTCGAAGCGCTTGCGGAATTCATTGTTGGTTCCGAGCAGGTCGGGGTTGGCAAAACTGATCAGAGCGAAGTACTCGGAGAGGTCGTTCTGGATAGGCGTGCCCGACAGGATGACACGCCTGGAGACGTTCAGGTTGTTCAGAGCAAAGAAGGTCTGATTTTTGTCATTTTTGAGACGATGGCCCTCGTCGCAGAGCATCAGTCCGATCGGCGTGTTCTTGAGTTCGTCGACATTGAGGCGGAGCGTCTCGTACGATACAATGATGACAGGCCGCGTAACTGCGCGGCCGCTGGAAATTGCCCATTGGCGAAGTTGACGAGTCAACTCCTCTTTGGAGGCCTTGCCGTCAATGGCAAAAGGCGTGACGGCATCGGCACCTAGCCACTTCACCAGCTCGTTTGCCCAGTTACGCACTAGACTCGAGGGACACGCCACGATAGCTTTCTGAATAGTCGACTTTCCAGCCTCGGGAGACTGCTTGAGCAAGGTCCAGAGCAGAGTAATGCACTGTAACGTCTTGCCGAGACCCATCTCGTCAGCCATGATGCATCCGTTCGCTTTCTCGTCAACCATGCCCGTCACACAACGGTACATGAACTTTACACCTTCTATTTGATGGGGCCGAAGTACTTTGGCAAGCCTTGGGTCAATGACGACGGGAACTCGTGGGTGTTCTCCCGCGACCTGTTTCCTTATACCCAGGATCTCGGCAAGACTCTTATGAACGAGCGGCGCGTCAAGCTGGGACCCGGGCTTGGGTTCCGCTTCTTTCGTCTCGGCCAGATTAGATGCCTCTTTTGGCTTATCATCAATGGTCGGGTCGTATAGCACAATAGAGAACTCGCCACTCGGGTCATGCAACGGCTTGGCGATGAAGACCGCGCCTTGCCGCAGCCCTAAGGTTGGGGGTGGACGGTTCGGGTTGTAGGCAGATGCGTTCTTATTTATGAAGGGTACAGAAAAAGCTTTTCTAAAGACCTTGTCTTTGTCCTTGGCCTGGAAGATGGGGAATTTGTTTGCATCCCGGTTCGCCAGGGCGAGGCGGTCCGCATTAGTCCATGGCTTGTCGGCATCCTCGCTGCCATCCGCGCCTTTGTAGTCAATCTTTCTCCGCTTACGGCTCGGCCGATCGGTCGCTACCGAGCGCGTCGCCGATCCAGGGCATTTGAAGGGCTTATGGAGGCTGTCGAGAGACTTTGGCGTCGAGAACCGACTACGCGGCGCGATGTTCTCCTTGTCGGCCTTTGGTGTTGAAAGCACGACCCTGCTTCGCGTCAGCCATCCGCATATTGATTCCCTGTAGTTGTTGGGGAATTGCCTACATTGTGTCCGCGGTGGATCTTCGCAGGCGATTGTTTCTCCAGTTTAGGCCAGATGCAATGGCAGTCCAAACTTGACGCGCGGCGAGTGCGGCATGGGACCTCCCTTGGGCCTTTCCAATGTTGACTTGAAACCGCGTCGCAATGGTGGGGCAGGCCGGACGCGCCTTCCTCCGCTCGCGCCGCGAGGTCAGATGACCTCTCAAACGCCACTAGGCCGCAACGGCCAACTGGTGGAGTGGGGGCAGCAACTGAAGGAAACGGTTCCTTAGGTAAGCAAGCCTTAATGCCAAGGACCTGGATCCAACCACTAACCTCGGACAGTTCGAGGTTTCGATATATCTAGCATTAATCCACGTCTCTCCAAATCTATTAATTTCTGTGATTCTTCTAGTGACAATTGCCGAGTCTCCGGGTAAATCATTTGTCTGTACTTATTCATGAACAACCGTCCCCGGCCTGAGCTGAAGCCTGGAAGATGCAAGTTCGCCAGGGCACGCTCGCACTCAATCTTCTATTTTCAATCATGACGTTGGTTACTAACGAGAATGCTTCTTGAATGGTAGCATACTTCATTTTCTCTCTGATCTGGGTATGTTTTGTTTCGTTGGCTCAAGGAGGGAACTCCACCGTTAGATCTATCACCACGTGAAATGGCTCAATTATAGAGGATTGCTGCGCGCACCCACCCTTTTTTGCTCGGTGCACCCACCATCCCAAAAATCCTAGGCCTGGCACCTGTCATCCTAGATCCACCTTTTTTGTACGTAAAAATGTCCACTTTCAAGGCAACTAGACATGCAACTAGCCCACCGTATGGCAGGGTCAACATTGTTGAGTTATGGGCTATTCGGAAGAGACTCGGCCAAAGTCTTTACGCTCGGTAAAATATGACAATTTTCCTGCGACGGCCACCAACGCGAATGAAGCTATTTTCAACTCTCGTCAATCCAGGTAAGTAATGACTGCTTCCGCTTCCTGTTGCCATCCCGTGTTAACGAACCCGGTTACATTTAGATGGCATCACGAACTCCCTCTCCACCTCCCTCACCGGCACTGGGCGCGGCCGACTCTCCCGATCACCCGCCCGCAGCCCGAAGTCCCTCGCCCCCCCCCCCGGCAGTGCAGGCAAACGGAAGTCTCAGTCTCGAAAGCCTCCCTATACTTATGCCTTTCGCATATAAATACAGTCAGTAGCTAAGTTCGGCATTCTAGAGGAAACCTCGTAGATCGCCCGGACCAACGTACTTACGCACATCGGCCACAACAAATCCCTCTCCCTACAAGAGCACCTTTTCTTTCGAACTAATACCCTACAAGACGACGTACTCGACGAGTTCATCGAGAGCAGCGTAGACGACCGTTACGTACCCTCTCGATCCATTAAGCGCCTCGTAAAGAAGAAGTATAAGGAAACCAGCTTAAAGACGAAGGACATCTACAATATACAGATCACTGCAAATTTGCGTGTGGGTTATATCCTGGTTAAGCCAGGGTGGCATGCAAGGCAAGGATCAGATGCATGGGCGGCTCCATCTAAAAGGACGAATTTACTGCGGCAAAGGCCCGGGCAGTTGATTTCAAGTGCCAGGCCTATGATTTTATCATGGGGTGGGTGGCCCGAGTAAAAGGGGTGGGTGCGCGCAGCAATCCTCTAATTATACGAAAATGAACACAGTTAAGCACTTGCCGCTGTACAGCAAAAGTTAAATCATGGAACGGCGCTGCTCCGATAGAGTCATACTTGATGCTGGGTATGAGTCGAATGGCAACTGGCTGGGCCGAAGTCTTTCGGCAACAATTCTTGGGTAGCTCCCGCTGCCTGGGCAGCCTCGCATTAAGCACATGGCAGGTCGGGAAGCGAAGCTACCTTGGTAGCGTTTTAGTGCTGTAGATAGCACATATGGTATATCATGAAGTTTGAATTTATTCTTCTTGTCTACTCAAAACGTGGCTCGATCTCTAACTGTAGCTAGAAGACCTAGATAATTAGGTAATTGGATGGGAACTATCACGGAAGCTCGTAATTAAGGTATTTGGCTTCTAAGGTTATCCTTATTCGAAACACTAAAGGTCAACGGCTCAACGGCTCAACGGTTCTACAGCACACCATGCCGGGAATCGCTTATTTCGGCCTCTACCCCTGCGGCGAGACGTCCCATGCTTACACCTCTTGGATTGGATTCATTACCTCAGGCCGCAGTCCTCTATTAGCCGTTCATAATCTGTCAGAAGCAACTTTCAAGAACAAGGTGCCGTAATCAACTGATTGTACGGGGTTTCCTGCTCCTGGTCTAGCCGGGTCAGCCAATCATAAAATTCGCACCCTCAAACTTCGGACGAAATACCTAAAAATGTAGCACGGTATAGATTTATTCTGCCCTCTTCTCCCGGCTTCGACCTGCTCAAATCAGTCACGCGTCTAATCAGTAACCTGAGTCCCGTGCGAGCCCCGTGCATAAGAACCTCATTCCTCTCCCCTCGCCCTCCAAAATTTTCTTCCTTCTTCAACTTCCAACTTTTCGCTTCCACCTTCCCAACCTTTCGCCTTCACCATTCCGACCTTCGACAGCAGCCACGCCGACACCGGTAAGGAGTCATAGCCGTACCTCACACTTGACAGAGTGCTACTCATACCGTGTTCTTTCACCCTACTTTAATCCAGCTTCGCCCCCTCTTCCTGCAGGATTTGGGGGATTTCACCATTTCGAGGGTCGTTGAGAGCCTCGAGGCACTCTTCGGCCTTCAACTCATTGTCGGGCCCTCACTAGCACCCCTCTCGCGCCCCCTCATCATCTTCACCTCTATCCTTCTCCTTGTCATCTCAGTTCCCCCTATCGGTCCCTGGCCTTCTCTTGTGGTCGGCTTTGCCTTCTGCGACTGAATGAAAATGATCAAGCTCTCGTCATTCAAGCAGCCGCCCTTCTGCATACACCTCCGGATCGCTAGCTCGGTGTATGTCCGTCATCAGGTCGGAAGGGGGTAGACGGTCTGCATTGCAAATCGCGGCCGTCCGTCTAATTATTGCGGGGTACTTGCGCATTGGGCTGGGCCCCTAGGAAGCGATCCCTGAGTGTGTGCCGGCTATGACTTCAACCCTGCTGTTTTGCGTGGCCGACTCCGATTCCGACGACCGACTCTTGCGACTTGTTCATCAGGTAAGTATCTCTCCCAGCTTGTCTTTGCGCTAACGAGTCACAGGGACATGAATGATCTGGCTCTAGAACATAGACCTGGAATACGTGGGACTGAGGGATCTTTTTTTTTCATTGCAATCTCGGGTTTTCTCGAGATGCGAGGGAGAAATGTCTTGAAGTCGTGGGTGGTGTAATTAGAGATATCTCGCGGAGGCCCAATCCTTGTGTCTCCCGACAAGAACGCGGCAAGAAAGGCGTGTGGCAGCGGCAACCGTTACCATCGATCGGCCCGAGTCTCCCCACATTCCAGTCTAATTGCCATCCCCGCAACCGAATCTTGGCTGCAACGGTCCTCGGCAATGATGACGACCCCTCACCTACCTCCTCGACCCGCAAACACATTGGGAATGATTCCTGGGTTTTGAAGGGCACTGGGAGAACTTTGTTTGGGCGCACGTGGAACAATTCCACGGCACCCATCCCACCCAAGTCCGGATAGAGAAATACTTTGCTTGGTTTCAGCCAATGACTCGCGGGGAGGATCGGCCCCCGTTTGTGAGAAGTAACATTCATCTGCCAGTACGAATGATAATCTGGTCCTCTCTCTTCAGTTTCTCGTGATCCTATGGCCTTGGGCCATCTCTGGCGGCGCGACACTCCTCTGTGGGCGGGCCCGACCATGTCAGCCGATTTCTGGGCTGGGTATATCTCAGGAGCCATTGGCATCATCATCGGCAACCCGCTCGATGTCCTCAAAGTGCGCTTGCAAGCAGCAGCCTCGACGCAGGGCTTACTTCGGAACAGAAATAGCAGCATAGCCGCTGCTACCACGACGACGTCACAAACCTCGCTCCTAAGCGCCTCTAGTCTCTCGCAATCCCCATCCCCGCCATATCCAACACAACCCACACCTACCCCGCCATCTGCAGCAGCAGCAACAACAGCAGCGACAAGAGCAAGGCTCTACCTTAGGCCATGGATCACCGGCACAGCCGCGCCAGTGCTAGGGTACGGGGCCCTCAACGCGCTGCTGTTCGTCAGCTACAACCGCACCGAGGCGGCGCTGAACCGGTGGCTCACACAGGCTGACGCTCTCCCCACCGCTGCGAATACCACGACCGGCACAAACCTATGGACGACCTGGGTCGCCGGTGCCGTCGGCGGGCTGGCCACGTGGGTCGTCAGCACGCCGACCGAGCTGATCAAGTGCCGCGCGCAGCTCGCAGCCCCGTCGTCGTCCACCGCCTCCTCGTCGTCGTCGTCCTCCTCTTCGCTAGCCATCACCAAGCGCATCCTGCGCACCGAGGGCGTTCGCGGCCTGTACTTTGGCGGCGTCGTGACGGCCCTGCGTGACGGCGTCGGCTACGGCTTCTACTTCTGGAGCTACGAGCTCACCTCGCGTTGGCTGCTCAGCAGTACTGCTGCTGCTGGCACAGGCAATACCAATACGGGTGGTGGCAGTGGTGGCAGCGACGCCGCGCGCGTGCTGATGTGCGGCGGGCTAGCGGGCATCGTGACGTGGGCGAGCATCTTCCCGCTGGACGTGATCAAGACGCGCATGCAGACGCAGGGCGTGCTGGCGTCCTTGTCCCCTCTTGAGCCATTGCCATCCCCATGGCCGTCGCATCCCCGCGGCAGCAGCGAGCAGCAGAGAAGTCCGTTGCCTCCGAGCGGCCCTAGCGACACGTCGCCGTCCTCGAAAGGCCGGCTCGGAGCATGGGAGGTGGCCAGAGAGACGTACCGCGCTGGCGGGCTGCGGCCCTTCTTCCGGGGGCTTGGCGTGTGCAGCGTGCGGGCCTTTATCGTGAACGCCGTGCAGTGGACGGTGTATGAGTGGATCATGCTGGAGATGGGCCACGGCAGGCGTCGCGGGGGGGCCGTTGTGCTTGAGCCAGAGCGCCTGCTGACGAGTTAATCGCGGAAGAAAGATTTGTGTAGATATATAGAATAGATAGAAAGACAAACGCACATGTTAGATTTAGCATCGAGACACAGCAGTTTACCCTTCAAGTTATACAAGAAATTCTAAGAAACAACGGTCTAGCGATGTACGATACCTACCAAGGTGTCTTAGAAATGAGACAGACTTCCTCGAAAGATGCTCAACAGCCGGTGGCCAACGAGGACCGACCGGCCTCGCCTATCCAGACCGAAATCCCATTCACGTATCAACCACTAACCACTGAGCCTGTAGATCTGTCAGATCAAGAGCACCACAACGGGAGTGCATGCCGGGAGTGACATGCCGTAGCAGGAGAGGAAATCTCAAAACACACCACATCATATATATCCCCCACGCCCCGGCAAGTTCAAACACAAGATCACACAGTAAAGCCAAATATTGATGGTAAAGGCCCATTTATTTTTGGTTCTTGTATATCTACAACAAGCTTCATCCCTACAAAAGACCCGAAATACCTAGACTGTAGAAAAAAGGTGCAGACACAAACACAAGATATGCAGGAGAGGGGTATCCGTTCGCCCAAATGCCATCCATCCTGTTTTTTTTTTGCGCCAATACCAAATGCCATCTTGGTACGCCAAGTCCTCCATCCTACGCGGGACAAAGACGAAATCGGGTAAAGGAAAAAGAAGGGGAACGAAAAAAGTAAATAAAATACACAGGAAGCTGTATTGGTATGACAGAAGAAGAGAAGAAAGAAAGAGCTGTCGTTCCTCCTGTTGAGGACCGAGTATCTTTATGGATCGTTCCATAAATGTTTAGGCGCCAAAGCCATATGCATATGCCCATCCGAAGACACCAGAAAAGACTACACGCTAAATTGCCATGCAATTTGCCGTGTGTTGCAATTCGCCATGCTCGTTCGCCGCGTCAATGTTGTTTTGCTGTTGCCTTGTCATTAGACCGGAGTGATATCCGGCAAGGAAAAGAACCCAAATCATGGTATTCATGATTCATCGTCATCGTGTCTTCGTTATATAGAGACCAGTTTAAAGAGAAAACATTCCGTGAATGGCTGACAAAAAAGGGGAAATTTTCGCCGAGAAAGCCAGAACTGCCAGTCGCCATACGCAGTAAATGAGTGATTGCGTGAAATGATAGAGTTGTCGCAAGTAACATGAGTGTCGTTGGGGTGAGCCTAATCTTAGCAAGATCGCTGCCCCGGTAAATGAGTGTGATTTGGTTTGGTTGCCATTGTGCTGGCCTAGTGAGATACGAAAGAAATGAAGCCGCATAGAGAATTGGCTGGCGACTGGCGAGATGTTGAAAATAAGAACAAGGTGAAACTCGATCAGTAGATGAGTGGACAAGATACATAGCCGTTGCTGAATTGGAAGAGCAGTGCAGGCTCGGTTGCAAAATTCGTGGAGCCATCCACGATATCCGAGCACTGTACTTAATCTTCAAGGAAATCGATAGTAAGGTCATAGAGCTCCTCTGAAAAGGAATCAAGTTCGACGATTCTGAATTGGTCGTTCCACAGCTTGGAAAAGGCAGGATCTCTCCAAGCAGACGAAATGTTACGGCTCCAGCCGTAGAGCTCAATGTTCCAGCCATGGCTGAGAGCACGCTCAATGTTTCGCTTGAACCCGTCCGAGTACTCGGCGTGTGCAGCATCGCCAGTGGCAAGGACGATTGTGCCTCGGAACTTGCCCGGGAAGTCCGTGATGCTCTGCAAGATTTTCAAATGTAGAATCTCATCGACTCCCTGCTCACCCTGCTTCATTGGGCCTGCAAAGAGGTCATCCCCGGAAGTGTCCGAGACACCGGGAGAACCACCCAGCGACTTCTTCTTTAGCAGTGGCGAGATGGGCTTGGGTACCCGCTGCATGATGTTCATCTCGTAGCCCAGCTCCTGGGCTTTGACCATGTACTCGGGCTTTTTCTTCATGTTATTTCCCAAAGAACCAGCGACAACTCTCTTCGCGACCTCTCGGTTACGAGTCAGAAGCGTGTCGAAGTGGTCAAATGCAAAAGCAGGAGGCGGAACTCGGCGCTGCACGGGGATTCTGCGATGTATCTTCATTGAGTCGTAGAAGCCAATGATGATGTTCGAAAGATCGACAAAAACGTGGATCGGATTGCGCGAAATAAGGCCGGTCGCCGGGGTAGTTCGCAGCTTTGCATCCAGCAGAACGAAATCGTGGATCTTGTGCCACAAATACATGAGCTTAGTGTCCTTGTAGGCCCAATACTCGGGAACGAGTTCCTCGGGTCGGCCCTTCCAAGGCACATCGAAAAAATCCATTCCAGGAAACGGCGCCTTTTTGGCCCGAGGATACTTTTCGCCAGGACGAATTTCTGGCTCTTCCACGGTCTGGTGGGCAGGCTTGCAAGGGATAGGCTTTGACTCAACGACTGTGGAGGTCGTCTGGGTCACAGTTTGCGTTCCCACTATGCTATTGTAGAAAGGTTGAGGTGGAATGTTGGTGCTATATGCATTTGCATATGGGTTGTAGCAGGTTGCAGAGCCTGTCTGGTTGACGGCGAATGAGGTATTGAGTTGGCCGGCCATGTTTGGAGGGGCAATGAAGTTGCTGGAATCGAAAATGCCGTTGCTTGCATTGAACGCGTAGGCTAGGTAGGGAGGCACTCCCAGATAAGTGAATTGCGGCTGACCGATACTATATCCGAGCTGGCCATTGACTTTGGCAGTTCCATCAGCTCCGGGAAATTGGGGTGAGCTTCTTTCAGTTGAAGGGCTGCCCGACGAGCCCGGGTTCGTAGTGTCGCTGCCGTGATCAGGGCTGAGCGCCGGCAAGGTGTTGATATTGGCGCCCTTGACATCGGGAGCGGTGGGGAAGTTCACGACGTGGTCGGCGTTTTCTTGGCCAGAGCCCTCAGCTGATTCCTCATTAGAGTCTTCGTCGGAATCGTCGTCAAAGTATTCGCTCTCCTCATCATCAGAATCCTGCTCCGAGCCCTCAGATTGGTCGTTCGTGCCAAGCTCGGCGTTGTGATTGACATCAGTCGGAAGATTGAGGAATGCCTCGCTGCTCTTGGAGTCAATGGTATTGTCGCCGATCTTGATATCTGGCTTGGCGTAGTGCTTGGCGTTGTGTATGGCATTGGTTGGAATCTTGCCGACTGTCTCGCTGAGTTTGGATTTAATCGCCTCGCCGTTGACCTTGATGTCGGGTTTCACATTGAGGGCGCCCTGCGCAGAAAGAGCTTGCTCAAGTCGCAACTTCCAGGTGTCCTTGAACTCCTGCTTCCAGCGGGTTTTGACATCGTTGAGGATGGCGTTGAGGATGTCGGCGCGCCCTTCTTTTCCCTTCTTGAAGGCTGCCTTAGCATCCTTACCTTCGTGCAGGGCAGTTTCTTCGCAAAAGCGCTCGTACAAAACAAGCGCAGGCTCTGCGTTGATAGCCCCTTGCTCCAACTCGGCCTGACGCGACTGTGCTCGCTCATAGGTGCTAGTGTGCAACGTGGCAGCAACGTCGGGATCAATGGACTTGCTAAATTTCTCCCATGAAACTGGCTCATCCTTGACGGTCTGGAGCTTGAAGGTGTTGTCTGGGCCTTTCTGAAGACAAAACTGGCGGGGCAACTTGGAAAAGAGAGTGGCCTGGTCGGAAGGGGAGAGTTTCGACAATGGGACCAAGGGGGGCTTGTTCATGGCAAAAGCAGTGGTCCATTTCGCCAAATGTTGAAAATCAGAGCCAAGGTGGCGTCGACCGTCTGGCTCGACGCGGCCGAAATACGATTGAGACATCTTTTTTACATCAACAGGTGACGAAAAATTGGATGTGGTTCAAGTCGAAAAGAGGGTGCCGAGAAATGAATTTGGGGGTGTGCAGAGTGTGCGACGGAGATTTTGGTGACTGAATGCAGCGAAGAAGACTTTTTTCTGTTCTCCGTGAAGGAGAGATTCGCAGTAGCGAGAGGGTAAAGAATTGAAGTCGGCGGCTGCCAAAATGAAGAGAGAGGGTGTGGTGGTTTTGTTCGCGAAGAGAGTGAGAGAGAGATCGATCAAGTATTCGGGTTTGGTTTTTTTTGGTGTTGTGCGGAAAGTGCGGAAGAAGAAACCATTTTGTGCTCGCCTTCAATAGGGCCGGCGGCGTGGGGGCGGGGGAGGGGGGGTACAGGAGAAGTGCGCAAGCCAGCGCGGTTGCAGGCAATCTGGAGAGTTGACGATGGGTTTTGAAGTCGAAGTGAACTTGAAGTGAGGTTGATGACTCCCGCCGGCGAGGGGTGGGCGGTGGGCGGTGGGGCAAAAAGGAGGGCTTATTGGACGTGCCGGGGTCTTTGGCGGGCCTGCCGCTAACGCCCTCCAGAAGCCGCAGAGCCCCAAGATGGACCCTTGCTGGGCAAGGCTCAGGATGCCCGCCTTACTCGCCTTAGCAGCCTAGCTGAAGGCCATCCGGCTTGGCGAAGCTCCCCTCCAGCCCTTCAGGGAACATCAAGTTCGCATGTTTCCGGACCATGCTGGTTACAATATCATTTGGCTTTCCCTCGTGCTCACTTTCGTATCGCGTTCGCTGGGCTTTTCCAGGTTTATTTCCTACGTGTGCCATGCCGCGTTTGGATACTATCAGACATCAACCTCCATCAAAGTGCGACCCGAGCCCCTCCATTTCGGTGTGGCGCATTTGGCCATTGCCACCGGCCAGCGCATTGGGCCTGCGGTGTTTTAGGCATTGGAGTCGCCAGCTCTCCAATGCGATCAGCTCCAGCTCCGCAAGCCCCGCGGGCCGGCAGTTGCTTGAAGACAGGAGAGCCCGTGCGGGCTGGGTTAGGTGCCCGGCTTCTTTGCGCCAAAGCCGAGCCGATGCCAATGGGAATTCCCCAAAGCGACGTTTTGGGTTGCTCAAGCGATTCCAAGCGGCCTCATTGGTCTTCTCCCGCCTGCCATTTTGCACTCGAGTCAGAAGCTTCCCGCTGTGCAGAGATTGCACATCGCCTTTGGGCTATGACCAACCGTAAGCTGTGATCTTCGATAGATAGTCCCAAGGCTCTTAGTCGTGTCTTGCAGCATTTTGCGAACCAGTTGTTTCGTTTCCCAGGCCGAGAAAGCCAGTGGGGGAAGGGGATGTGAACGTCAAGACTTGGGACAGGAATCTAAGACCCTACTTATAGGCTGGCCATTACCAAGCATCGTCAAGTGCGTCAAATTTGCTTCCTCCATCTCATCTTTAAGCATGCCACGTAGCGGTATTGTTCCGATAAAGGCCGCCCAGGTGACCACATAGCTGGAAACTCTCTTCACCGGTATGGGGTGGACGAGATGAAGCCGTAGAGTTTTCTTATCCGGCCATCGTCTGGGCCTCTGCGGCCATGCCATACTACGCTGCCATGTATCTCGTTATTTGTACTTCCCAGGGGCTTCCGGTTGGCCACATTCCCCAGGCTGGCTTTGGAACGTGACTCTGCCGAGAGGGTTGTCAGTCCCAGCCAATATCTATCCTTGACCTCCAGTCACTGTCTTGAGTCGACCAGCCTCACTTGCCTCCGCCAAAAGTCGGTGTAGTAGATGGGATGGGGAGGCCTTGGCAGCCGCGAGCAAGGCAAAAGTGAGTTGGAAATTGTACAAATTACGTAGTGGTCTTTACACAACAGCAATACAGAGAGATTGCAGACATGAGCAAACCGATTGCTTCATACCCGGATAAGATAGTTCGGTTTTGTTGTGGCGAGTCCACCGAGCTCTGCAACGCTCAGACCTGGCAGCAGATTATTTGATGGTTTGCACGTCTTTGTGAACATGGTAATTAGGCCTTGGCTGGTCTTATTCTAGTGCTTTTCACAGGGTTTATATCACCGTCTTACATAGAAAGACTCACTTCTAGCAGATGTTCTCAAGACCGCGCCTATCTGGGAGACGGGGAGAAAACGAAATATAATGCAGATAGTCTAATCGGCTCCTGGATGCAAAATACGCAAGTGCAGATTTCCAAGGCAACGAGGGGTGCGATCTCGGGGCGGAAGATTACAGTCAAAAGGGTGTTGGATGTGAGCTTTGCATGTCCTTGGGATAAATGTTAGGTGAACAGGGGCCAACAGATTGTTTCAGTTTCACATGTTACGTGCAGCCAAGCTACGTAGCAATGAAGCACCATCGAACCAAAGGTCGGCTAGGGATCAGGCAATAAGCAGGAGACATGCAATCCTTTCTTTGTCGTTTAAGTTTTAGTCTAGATATGTATCTCTCTGCCATATTCAAGGTACCTGATTTAGCTTAGGCCACGGTGATAGAATGCCAGTGGCAGAGTTTGGAGTAATAGAACAGTGAAATCCAGCAAATTTACTCATTAGACACAATATCAACGACCTGGGATGGGAGAACATATTTGGGAAGGTACCTGCCTAGCGATAAGATCTGTAGCCAAATGGAAGGGCCGGCAATAACCACCGAAAGGTTCAACCCAGGGAGTGCGTTCTCTCAGTCATCAGAGCGGGGATCGCAAAGTTTTCTCTCCGTCAGGAATCCTCTCACTTGTTCGGAGAAGGCGGCTTCTGTCGAGCACAAAGTTTGCTGGTCACCACAAGCTTGTCACTGCCAAATTTGCCCGTTATTGTTCGATCTGTAAATGGCACGATATATCCGATGGCTCGCAGATGGCACATGAAGCATGAGACCACGACTCTCGCTCCGGTGGATTGGAACACCCGAACACATCTCAACGCACCATTTCAAGCCGAATTTGGCAACTTGTTCGAGATTGCGACTACGGAGTGACCCCAAGGCAGAGCCAGGTCAAGGGGGCCAAAGCAAATACCTCCATATACTGAATTTGCCACAATACAAATAAGCCGCCCGAACAAAGAAAACATTTCCACTACGTTGATAAACCCAAAAAGAAAGAAAAGAGATAACGAAGACCTATTTCGGAACCTCCCCAATACCCCCGGCCTGACCCTAAGCCGATCCCAGGAGAAAGGAGGCTACCCCAGACCTGGCCAGAACCCAACTCCAAGGTGCAAACATCGTGCTTTACCAGTCGCTGAGCACAGCGTCTTTTGTCTCCCCCAATTTTAGTTTCCAGCCACATATTCTCCGAATTAAATGCCAACACCAGACTTCAGGCAGAGTGACGGATACGCCGAAGAGTCGCGGCGGGACGATAAAATAGTTTTGCCAAACCGCGTGGCCTCTTGCTGTTGATCAATTTTCCAGGTACTTGTGGCGGATGAAGCAATCCTCTAGTTCCTTTTTCTGTTCGGCTGTGATAGCGCCGCGCTTGAGACTATCGTTGTAGAACCACTCGAGAACTTTGGAGCGGAGCTCGGTAGACGTTTTGCCAGAGTTCTCGGCTCGGCTTTCGCGCATCAATGTCTTCCAGTCCCCGAGGCTGTCGTTGATCATTACAGTACCGCGGTCGATTTCGGCGCACCACTCGAGAATCACCTTCTCCATCAGCTGGGCCTTGGTTTGCTGCTCGGCCTCAGCCTGCTCCTGTGCTGTCGCCTCGCTCATGGCCGCCTGCTTCTTTCTGGCGGCCTGCTCGGCAGCCGTAGCATCGTCGCGCTCCTTGCGCTTCTTGGCGCGTTCCTCACGTAGCTTCTTGATGTTGGCCAGGTGGCTGACGCTGTGGCCTAATCCTGCGTATTGTTCCGCGACACCGCTCGTCGACCGGTTGAGAGGCGGCGCGGTGAAAAAAAGAACACAGCCCTGCTCGTCGCGCTGGAACTGGTCGCGCACTTCCGTTGGGATGGCGGTATCAAGGCCGTCGGCGAGAGTATAAACCTCGGGGGCGCGAGGCACGTTGTAGACGTTGCCTGTGCTGGGGTTTGCGTGCGGCATCGCTGCAGAGCTTGGTGTCGGCGGCATGGTCTGGCGAGTGGGCGTCATGCCTGGAGCTGGGTGCACCGGGCGATGATGCGGGTCGTAAGCTGGGGCGAGGTGGGCTGGTGTCTGGTAGTGAAGTGGCGGCGGAGCCTGGGGTTGTGCTCCGTACTGCTGTGGGTAAGAATGAGGTGGGTAGTGTGGGCTTGGCTGCATCTGTGGCATCCCAGCATGCGGCACGTGCATTTGCATTGGCACGGGTTGTGGTTGCGGTTGGAGATGAAGCTGTGCTGGGGCAGCAGGAGGCGGTGCCTGCCGTGGCGCAAATTGCTGCATGTAGTGCGATGGCGACGGCGCGGGCGCAGGCGCGGCTACGGCAGGATGATGATACCCTGGCGTTCCCGAAACCCCGACGTCACCTTTCAGGTGGTTGCCGCGGTGGGGAGGTCCTATGGAAAGCGGCACCGGCGCGATGGCCGTGGGCAAAGGCAGAGCATGGGGCTCAGGAGGGGGCGACTCCTGCAATGTTGTCAGCTTTTTGTCCCCTTCGGGGCTAGCCATTCCAGAGACGGGGCGAGGGAGTACACGAGGGTGCGGTGCAGATTCGGGGACGATAAAAAACCAAACTGAAACAGTAAGGCGGGCGGGCGGGTGTTAGGCGAGAACCCAAATTCCAAATCGACTGCGATGGCCAGGGAGGATGGGATAGGATGGAGGGATGGGTACTGTAGATGAACGGGGATGGGTGGATGGATGGGGGTGGGGTGCAAAATTGGGCAAACTCTCGCAAAGCCGCTCTACGGGCCCAGGCAGGCAAACGGAATGCACACAGGATGCGACAGAAAGGAAGCTCGGCTCACTCACATTTGGCTCTCGAGGTCGGCGATGGACCGCCCCAATCAACGGAGGCGCGTTCGGGCTCCTCCAGGTCGGTTTAGGAGGCTCATCAGTCTCTTTGGCGTCAGCCTGCAGAAGGTGCTTGATCGGGCTGGGGTTCTTCTTCAGGTTGCGGGCGTTATCGAATAGATCCATCTCGTAGTCCCTCTCGCGGACCTCGTCCGGGAGACAGCTCGTCCAAGTCTTGATCTTGTTAAATCTATATTTTTCCTCGTTGTACCGCGCCTCGCAGAGATAGACAGCCTTGTCCCGCGGGAAGCCTCGCGGTCGCCCCTTGGGATAGCGAGTGATGAACATGACGAAGCACCGGTCTTCGACATCCTCAATCCGGTGGTCGCGATACTGACCCGTCTTGACCACCTCGTTTTCGTAGAAAAACTTGTCGAACCGGTGGACCGTCTGTTCCGGGCGGTAATACCAGCAAGCGTTCACCCACTTTTGGCCCGATGCGTCTGACCATGTCCGGAAGATCTGCGCGACAATTGGCTTCGACAAGTCGTTCGCGTTACGTATATGTACCCAGTCGCCTGAGGTAAAGTCAGACGCCGGGATCTGGGGGAATAAGGCACGACCAAAATACGCAACTCACCGACTTTCCAACTCTCACCCCGATACTCTATACTGGCGAGGGGAAGCTTCCCGTCTTCGTCGCGGAATGCATCGTCTGGCTTCGCCTTCTCAAGCTCGGTCAGGATGCGCGCCTGCTTCTGCAGCTCGACTGCATCTTCGTAGACCTCGCTGCCCTCTTCGTTATACTCTTTCGCATTCTCGAACATCAGCTCCAGGTCTTGGAGAACCTGATCGACGTTCTGGTACTTCTTGCGCTTATGCTTCTTCTTGATCAGGTCCAGCGCAACGGGATTACGGATTGCGGTATAGTAATCCGGAAGCTCTGCCTTGTCGGGGAGCTTCTCGAAGTGGACGACGCGCAATTGCCCGGTGTCATTCTTGTACTTGCGCAACCCCTTGAGCAACGCCTGAATGCGCCCCTCTAACGGCGTGAAGACTTTGGGCGGTCTACCGCGCTTCTTATGAGGATCATCGCCATCGTCTCCGCGATCTCTTCTGCCCGCTCCAGACTGACGTCCACGTCTCCGCGCCCGGCGGCGCCCGCCTTCGTCGTCAGAGTCGTCTTCGTCTTCGTCCTCTTCCTCGTCCTCTTCTTCGTCGTCCTCATCCACCTCCTCCTCGTCTTCCGGGGGTGGCGAGTCTTCGAACTCTGGCAATGGCCCAAGATCGGGCAACGCGGCTTCTTCGGCAGTAATATCGCCTTTACTGACCAGTTCATTGAGATTCTCCTTGAAGACCTCCTGCAAGCGCGCAGCGTCGGAGAAAATGGGAGCTGATGGTCTGTTGTAAACTTGCGCATTGTGACATATGCGCATAACGTCGTTGACGAACTCGTTAAACCCCGTGTAGGTCTTCTTGCCGAGCTTGGCCTATTGAACTCGGTGCGGCGCGTTAGCTAGATTTGCCAGAATTGGAAATGACAATTGGCCGCGCAATTAACCCACCCGAATGGTGCTGAAGGCCATGGGCTCTTTGATGACCTCGAAATAGTCGGGGAGGCTGCGTTTGTTTACCAGGCGCTGGAAGCCCGAGGCGATCTCGTGGTCCCTATTCGTTTCCAATCAGCATGGCGGCGCGACATCAAAACACCTCGACACAGCCCTGAAGACCTACTCTCCATCCACCTTGACCGTATAATGGCACAGGTACTCAGATGTCTCCTTGATGAGCTGCAGTATGTCGGGAGAAGAGTCATCGTGTTGCGCATCGTCCATGTCTTCGTCCGATTCCCCATCTGCGTCGGCATCTGCATCTGCATCCGCATCTACATCAGCGTCGGCATCCGCATCAGCGTCCGCGTCTACATCTTCGCGGACCTTGCGCGGGGCGTTGTCGGCATCCTTCATCTCGACATCCCCGTTGTTGCTGGTGACCTTTGCCTCGATCGATTCGCGCACCTCGATTGCGTCGCCAGCCATGCTGCTCCTGTGGGATCTCGGCGTAGATTTGCTTGCAGTAGGGGAGGATTTCTTAGCGGGCGAGATCTCGCCTCTGCTGGGTCGCTCGCGCAAAGTGGGCATCGCGGTTCCACGGGGGCATCCAAGACACAGAACCAAAGCGGTCTCGACAACCCGAGTCAGTCGCGAAATCTCCACACGCCAAAGGAGGCTCGACGTTAGCGCGGCTGGGAGCCGGGATCAATCGCATGCCGAGCCCTGGCTGCAACGCGCTGGGGCCTCGTTAGATGACTAACGTTTAGAGGTGGGTCTCGCTACCTGCTAAAGAGGAATAGTCGACAGTCGCAGTCTGGCCGGTCCGGCGTAAGGGCTCCCCCACAAGTTCCGGTAGCTGCGGTCTTCAAAGAGACCCGACGACAGGTGGTGCACCAACCCGCCTCAGCTCAGCATGCGGTGGAGAATTGGCCGAAGCTTGGCTTCTCTTCCTCAGGGATCCGGGCCCTGGGGAGGGAGACTTAGTTATCAGCGTTCAAGACTGGAGGAATACGTGGAGAATATCTGTCGTAGCAGCCAATCAATTTCGACATAGCCGACCAGTCAAAAACGGCAGCCCGACAGCGACACAGGTATTCCATATTCGCTTCTTCGCTCCAACCATCACCACCAAAAAAGATCCCGCCAATACTGGCGACGTTGTCATTCAAAAATGAAGATCCAGATACGCCTTCGGGCACCCAACGGACAGGCGCGTCTTGAGATTGACGATGAGTCCGCCGTGCAGGATCTCATCCCCCTAATCAAGGCCGAGACCGGCCTAGATACCTTCTCACTAAAATATGGCTATCCGCTGAAAAACCTTGACACGACACAGTGCGCGACTGTGAAGGAAATGCAGCTTCGAGGCGAAACCATCGTTATTGCTCCGGTCGAGCGTACACCCGCATCAGCAGACGCTAAAGCTTCTACAGTATCTGCCTCCGAACTGAAACCTTTCATCCCCAAAAGGATAGAACCAGATGAGACATCTCTAGAATGGCCTGAGAAGGGTGGTTATATTAGTAAGTTTCTCTCCTTGTGTCAAACACATTAACGATACACACTAACAAGTCACGTCAGTCCTTCGAGTGATGCCTGACGATAATAGCTGCATGTGTGAGTACCTCTCCTTGCTCTCTTTTTTATAGGCCACCTGAACCTGGAGAGTGACGACACCACTAAAAATACTAACGGCTGCACAGTCACTGCGTTTGGAGGTGCTATCGGGCTTGAAAATCCGTCCTACAAACTGCGCCAGCAAGTGGCAGAGTATATTCTCAACCATCCAGAACAATACTCCAAAGCCATCCTGGGAGACGATCCTATACGCTATACCGAGCGGATGAAACAGATGGACACATGGGGCGGCGCCATTGAGCTCTCCATTTTGTCCGACATCTACTCGATTGAGATCAGCTCCATAGATGTCAAGGCAAGTTGTCACTCCCCTCTGATCCACGACAGCTCCCAATACCCAGCGAACTTTTATTTTTTTGTCCTTGAAACTAATAGGATACTACAGTCACTGCGAGTTGACCGGTTTGGAGAAGGCAAGGAGAACCGTGTCATCATCCTCTATTCGGGGATCCACTACGACCGAATCGCTTTTACCATGGACCTAAGCTATCCCGTCGAGGTTGACGTCACCAAGTGGCCCACCGGCGACGACGACGTTCTAGCCAAGGCGCGGGATCTCGCGCAGAGGCTGCAGAACCTACACTACTACACAGACACGACAGATTTCGTGATAAAGTGCGAAATCTGCAACTGGATCGGCCAGGGGACACGCGATGCAGCGAAGCATGAGCGAGAGACCAAGCACAGTCAGTTTGGAGAAATGATCATTCAGTAGTCAGTTTGCACAAGGCGGCTGGGTTTGCAAATATTACCGCCGCCGCTGAGGGGGGTCTGCACATGGCGTTCTTGGAGGCCATATTCGGCGTTGCTCTAGCCACATTCTTGGATCATACATTGGTAGAGACATTTAGACCTGAATACCTAGGTGCACACAGCGTCACTTAATTTTGGGATTTGCACAGGGAAATTGTAACTCTTTTTCCGAAGCCCGAATTAATTACCTAGAAACATAATCGAACAAGAGGAGTTCCATTTGTATCGAGCTTTCACAAACCAGCAAACTCGACGGATAAATGATGCCTCAAACCCCCAAACGAAATCCCCAGCCCACGTTGATCAGCTTGGTCCCTTTTCGGTTGCGTCTACAGCAGCTTCACTCCTTATACGTTAGCCCACCGCCAAAGCTAGTCTCGCTGTTCTCCCCCCCGTTCGTGACCTTGCCCTCCGTGACGCCGGTCTCGAATGCGCAGCTGCCCATGTCTAATGTCTTGCCGTCGGTCAGGGCGAGCGCCGCCGTCGGCGAGATGTCAAAGTCGAAAATGTCCATAGGCAAACCCATAGTCGTGCAGGCATTTGGAATGTCGACGATGCCCGCGACATGTCCTTGGATCGGCGCGCATGACAGGAGGAGATAGATCTGGTAGTCGCTGTACCCGAAGCGCCGTAGGTACTCGATGCACCGCAGGCTGGTCTGGCGGTACGCTACAGTCACGTCCATGTAGTCTGTTGCGGCGGCGAAAGTCAGCAACTGTGTATATTGATCTTAAGCCGGGTCGTGTGTTCCTTTAAGGCGGTCCCAAGCGGAATATCTCGGCAAGATGGGTAGCAGATGGAAGGGAAAGAAAGACAGTTGAACAGAGACAGTGACATACGCTGCTTCCCATGCTGATCTACCGAGAAACCCTCAAAGTAGATGTATCGCCCGGGCCCAAATTGCGGCTCGACGAGCCCGGGAATATAAATGGGACTCTTGAGGCCTAGAGCGGCCATGCCATTTTTGATGACCTTGAAGTTGATGGTTATGATGCCGGCCATCTCGATAGCGCCGCAGAACGAGATCTCGCCATCCCCCTGTGAGAAATGTAGATCGCCAACACTGAACTTGGCACCCGCAACGTATACGGGCAGGTAGACCTTGGATCCCTTTGTATGGCCAAGTCAGCTGTTTGTTTTGTGTTCCCCATACACACCGGCGTCAAACCATGTGTATATGGCCAATATCTAATAGCTGCCTTAGCTACATTGTTTGACAGCCGAAACTTACCCTGGAGAGGTTCTTGATGTCGCAATTCCCTGCAACGTCTCTGGCGTTAGCAAGAAATATTTACTGTGCGTATAACAAACATGGGCAACACCCACCTCCGTGCTCAGGGCGGCCGGGAATGGTCCTCGCACCCTCCTTGCCGATCTTTTCCTTTAGCGTCGCATCTGCGCTGCCGGCGTGGACGTTGATGGGCTGAGGCCTGAGGGATACACATCAGTTCAGGACTCGGAGCAGTTCTAAGGGCATACTGCCTCCGGAAGGCCGGGCAAGGACTCACGGAAGTGCTACGTCTCGATCCTCGAGTTTGTTGGCGGTAATTAGCTTAGCTTCACGTGTATTCCACGTCTCCAGGACCTCGGCAGAGGGTGCACAACCCAAGATACCCGGATGAATGAGGCCGGCGAACTTGACGTGAGGGATGTGTCGACTCGAGCAGAAAATGCCTTCAAAGTCCCAGATGGCCTTGGCTCTGCAGTTATGAGTTAGCAACGTGAGGCATTTTTATTACTTCTGGGTGTGGTTATTACGCTGAAGGGTAGATTTCGTCGAGGAAGCCTCCCTGTCGTCACCGATCTGTCAGCTTACTCCCAAATCATCACCTTCAGTGAAGAAAAACGACATGTCTGTTTCGAGTCATATCGAAGCGGCGAACAAAGATATACCCCATTACCACGGTCAAAAATACCCGTGAATCCCCATGGTTGGCCTTGGAACGGCTGAACATCCATGATCTCCACCAAGAGTAGATCCCCTGGAGCAGCGGTCTCGACCTCGAACGGTCCAGACAAATAATGGACCTTGGTGAGGTCGACATTCTTGACATCGTCGGCATCGTCCGTGTTCAAGATCTGACCTCCAGTCCTGCTCGTATCGTATGGTAGTTAGTTGGTCTTTTCTATCTCACAACGTGATATAATTCTGCAAATATCCAAGAGATATCCAAGAAAAGGGGGTGGGGGGATATACTTGCCAGTCAAGGCACTCAATCTTTACAGTCTCGCCATCCTTGATCGTACCTGCGAATGGAACTATAGGAAACAGTAAGCATTGTCCTTTCTTATCTGTAGGTCCGAAGAGAGCTCGTCCTGGAATGGAAGGGAAATTACTCACTGTCCGGATGCCATCTGTTCTAAGTGTTTGTAATAAAAGAACCAACATTAGCAAAAATGTATCCTGGGCCGGCGGTAACGCTCTCAAATATCACAGGCTCCCACGTTTGGGACGGACTACGACCTACATGAAGACCGGGCTGCTCAGACGCGGGCGTGCCAAAGCTGACTTTGCCAACGGTTCGAATCCCCAACGTGCCCATACTGAGTTATAATGTCAAACAGGGTATTTCCACAGAGCTATAAAAAGGTGCAGCAAAGAGCAAAAAAGGACAGAACAAGGGAGCAAAATCAAGGCATCCAGCCCACCGAGGGGGAAGCAAACCAAGCTCAGATATAATAAGACCTCCCTCAAGCTACCCCGCACGTCCGTCCCGACCCTCGCATGAGCAGTGAGTGTCAACGGCGTAATGTACACGATCCCAAAACTGCATTTATCGAGGAGAATGGGCGGGTCGTGCAGCTGCAGGGCGGGCGGGGGAAGGGAGCGCCTGTTGAACCCTTATCACATCCTCTTTTGACTACATAGATACCTATGAATACCTCGACAGTGTCCGTCTCGAAGATTGGGGTGGCCCATACGCATCTCCTGGACCCCCGCGCTGCCACCTGTGGCTATCTCCGCTGCACACGGTGCGTCGCCGAGGGGCTTGGGGAGAGGGAAACTTGATAAGGAGCCGGCAAGCAGATCTGGGTTGGTCAAATTTGAAAGGACAGTTGCAAAGACGTAATCAATTCTGAAGTGCCAGGTATCGGCGACCGAACCCGATGGTAACGTTGAGAAGCACCCATTGCGCGCAAAACAGATAAAAATGCAGCGCCATATCCGACACCAAGCCTCCGCTTCAAATCGTAGGCTACGGGGAGATGTTGCGATAGGGTGCATGTGTTGGCAACCACCCATGTCCACTGTGGCAGGCCAAAAGTGTTGGTCATCTCGAGATCGTTCAATATTGTCCCATAAAGTGCAATACTGATATAAGCAAACCAGGCCAATGGGGCCTATTCCTTATGTTACATCAGAGCGATGGAATAAACCGGAGTCAAATCTACTACTTCAGATTCAGTAGCCAGTTGTTTGTGCGGGAGGTTCTGTTACCAGAGCAACTCCCTGGCCAACCGAGGAACGGGGATACGGATCGGTAGGTTGGTAGGGAAGCGGATCGTCGTGAAGAGTGTCCATATTCGCCAATGATAAGCTGAGGAACTTGTGTTTATTGTTCCATTCAACTTGTCTTGCCGTAAACTCCTTGCTCTGGGACACTGGCGGGGGTGGATCAGTTATCTTCGTGATCAGATAGGCCGTACTCTGTTATATCAGAAATTAGTACTTGCATCCGCAAAAAGGTCGAGTGACCGCTTGGTAATATGTTGTTGCTGCCAGAACTTACTGCCTCGGCGATTCCATAAATCAGAACACCAAGAAGGGGGATGCGTAGCAGAATATAAAAGCCGACACCAAATCCGAAGAGAATTCCTTGACGGTTGCGAAACCACTTCCTCTTTTCCTCCTTGGTGAAACGGATTCTGGCAAAGTAGGGGTCTAGTAACTCCCTCATCAAGCTCCTAGAAGCAAAATAGCTCTGCAGGAAGATAACGAGATACTTCTTTGGGACGAAGACACCAGCTCCGAAGACAATAGACGCCGGCCCCAAACCAACAGATTGGTTGAAGGTCCAGAAACTGGCGGCCGGAAGCACTAGCCGGCCAACAACTGGCAGGTATGATGTGGCGAAAATGGCGAGCGAGATCAAGCCCTTGCGGACATAGCGGTAGAGAAAAACTAATGCTGATCTTGGGATATATCTAGATACGGAGTCGGGGAGCCGAAAGAAGGACGTCGATGTGGCCGAGGAGCCGGCTTTGCCACCTGTGAGGGGATACTGCTTGAGAGCAGGATAGTACATGGCTCGTAGATTTCCTGGGTCCTGGTCATGCTTGTGCTTTTGAACGTAAGTCATATCTACCCATTTCAGAGAGTCCATGAAGCTGAGGCATGTTCAGTAGCTGTTCACCACGGCCGTTGACGTGTCACGCAGAGCTTACAGATCATCAAGGGTTGGTGTGATATAACGCATCAGACTCATGAAAAAGAGCGGCGCCTGGAGCACATGCTCCTCAATGAAGCCGAGACCATTGACCAGCTTATTATCCCAGCTGACATGATCAAGATCAAAGACAAACGAAGAAGCCCACAGGGAGCTCTTGATAAATAAGATCTAAAAGGGGAAACTAGTGAGCAAACAGCGAGATTCGATAAATTTAGACCGGGACACAATGAATCAGGGGCGCACCGGAATCGCTATCAAGGCGCGAATGGCGATGCCCGCAGCAATGGCGTTCATGGCCTGTCTATAGTGCTGAGAGTCGAAGAGATCTGGGTTTCGCAGCGCTCTGAAGGCTACAGTCGACAGTCAGTTGGCAAGGCCAATTCTACGGGATGAGTGCTGCAAGCACAAAGTGGGAAGAGCGTACCGCCAACCAGTGTCAGCTGCGCGCCTCGGAAAACGGCATTGAGATCGAAATGCGAAGTGTCGAGCTTCTGCTTCAGCTTCTCCCTGTCGATGTGCAGTTGCTCAGCCGAAGCCATGTCTGCATTGAAGTGCGTGGCCGACAACCTGCGATAGCCCAATGTAATTAATTATGGAAGGGTTGTGATTGACTATTCGGATACTCTGTAGACAGTTTCTAGTCGTTGGGGGGTGAGTCGTTGTATGTCAAAGATCTAAGCGGTGGTTCGTCAAAGTCCAGATGATGTCAGTGTTGCGGCTGCCCTGGCACTTGCATGCAGCGACGGGTACTGTAGAAACGGAGCACTTGAGCTGTTACTCTATACGGAATATGGCAGTCTGGTTATTGATGGAGTTCAGCTTTGTTGAGAATTGGACGGGGGCTCGCACCTTCAAGCCCGACCAAGCCCAATACTAGTAGCCGGTATCTGCTGCAACGGGAATTACCATAAATACCGCGCCGCATGGTACCCGTACGGAATACGAGAGCTTCCGCCCTTGGTGAGGTAAACTAAGTATTTTACGCAGACTATCGGAGTATCTTGTCTCAATCAAGTGCATCATTGAGGATTGAGGGTTGTAAAATGAAAATGGAAAGATCGGCGCTAGCCTAGTAAGCTACTAGTGTCGCAGTTCCTGGTCGGCCTGGCGATCCGCGTCCCTGGGATGGGCAGCCGTGTTCCATTGTTTTGGTGGTAATAGCCCCACGAGCTGCAGGACATCAAGCAGCTGACTTTAGAAGCTTTTGCTCTCAAACGAGTAGCCGGGTAATTATCTATTCTACGACTAAATGTAGTAGAGCGTGGGTCTGATAATTCTTCTGCCTCCCTTGGGACTAGGGAGTTTCGTAAAATCTATCTCTTAACCGAGCTTGTACCTGGACGTGCCTAGTTAGCAGTGCAAGTTAGTGAGGTGTGGGGCTGCTTCGTTCGGGATCCTCGTCGTCGCGCTATCGAAGTCGGCCATCAACGGAACCGTGCCTTCAAATTCGGGAACTGCGCTCCGGTGAATCGAGCTTCCCAACCACCAAATTGTTTGACTGATTGCCTTTTCTCATCGCTGGCGCCATTTGCATCGCTATCCTAATTCATACCGACCATAGGGCAGAGACCTGGCGCACATACATCTGCTCGCGTGGCCGCCACATCGGCGATCTGCCCCATACCCAGACCCGGCCATCGTTCCACCTCGAGACGGCCGATCTTGGGTGAGAGTCAGAAGCGCCCAAAACTGGCACCAGCGCCAACTTCGACGCTGTCAATCGAGAGCCGCCTTCGCCGGTAGCCCATAACATCAACACTCTGCGCCATGGTCGTCGTCTTTATACTTACTTCCACGATGCTTCGCAAACTAGACTGAAGGGACGATGGAGTTCTCAAAGACCCCAGGCGCTACCTTCGCCGCGCCGCGCCGCGTATTCACTGCCCCCGTTCACCCGACCGCCCCGCAGCAAGCCTCGTCGTCCCAATCCGCCCCCAGTCTCGTCGATACCATCTACGACCACCCTGCTGTCAAGATTCTTGCTTTTACCGCTGGACCGCCTTGGGTCCCTCCGAGCTCGAGATCAGCGAATGCGCCGCCTGAAGTTGAGCCTGGCTCGCTGCCTTGGTCTTCCCAGACCGAAAGAACTATTGCGAATGGTGGGTTGTTCTGGAATCCCTAATCTGGCCTGGCATATCTAACTTGTGTGTTTGAAGGCCCCTTTCGCATCTACCGCGCCCCCGGGTCTGTAGCCTTCCTCAGCTGTGGCTCTGCGCTGCAGCCCATTCTCCCCAAGAGCCAGGCTTGGTGTGTCGACGAGACATCGAGTAAATATGTTCTGCAAATCCGAAGACCCCAGTACTGGAGGATAGAACTCCCACTCAAGAGTGACGAAGATGTGCGCCGTGCCCAGCTTTTGCGAGAGGTCTTCGACAAAGTGCTCCAGTTCGAGAAAACGGAGTGTCCGTTTAATCGCACCTTTACCGTCGAGCTTCCAGAGCAGCCGCAGACTCCGGTCAAGAAACGGCCATGGACTCCTGTGCGAAGGGTTCAAACATCTTTGCCTCCAACCCCGGTGACGCCGATTGAGATGGTCCATTTGCAGAAAAGAGAGGAGAAGTATGAGCCGGCATCAAGCTTGGACGGCCCCGAGAGCACCTACGACTCGGAGGGGAGCTCGTTTGGCATAACGCCCCGCCCAGGGTCATCGGAAGCCGAGGAACTGGTCTCAAGGGATACCGGAAACCTTGAGGACAATGAAGATTTTGCTGGGCTTCGACATGGTGGGGGCGAGGCGTCTCCAAAAACCGGCGCGGAGCTTCTCTCACTGCCAAAACCGCCTAAGCTGGACGGTTTCCGGGCTACTCGTTCTGTTACAGCTCCTCCGCAATTAACGCTGGTCGCCTCCCCTCCCTCAAAGCAAAAACAATGGGAGCCCGCCGGAATTCCCATGGAAGCCCCGAGACCTCGGTCGCCAACTGAGCCGCAGGATTCCTTCCCCAGTCCGCAATCGTTCCCTCCGTCCCCTCCTATGTCGGATTTTGGATCCCTCGTAGACCAGGACCGTCGAGCCGGGGATTCCATACTCCCAGAAGAATCGTTCAGCAAGCAAGAGACGCCGAGTTCGACAGAAGTTCCAGCCCCCACGCGGACATGGGGTATCAGCACGGCTGAATCACAACAATCGGAGGGCAACGGCTCTGTTAAAGCCTCTCCGTCTACCCCTGACGTCGATTGTTCGCCATCACATAGCGCAACAATACCTGAAGATACAGTTCCACCGATTTCACCGGTCTTCGAGGAGCAAATCCCAGTTACCTCTGTGTCCTCGCCGAACCTTTCTAGGTCATCCTCAGTAGTCGCACGCCGTCCACAAATCCGCCACAGAGCAACAACAAGCAGCAGTATCTCACCTAGCAGGAGAATGCTGTCGCCATTACCTCCCGCAGCAAACCTCTTCTCGCCACACCAAATTCACGTATCAACGGCTACGGCGAACACTAGCAAGCTGGCCGTGGTACGCCGGCTGCCTATGGCCGTAATCCAGAAGACATGCGAGATTCTGATGTCGCCCCCGTCACATTTAATCAACTTGATGTTGAAGGTGGCTGCACGCATCGCCGCCGGCGAGTGGCGTGGCTTTTTATCTGGTACAGATGACCATGGTGAATGGATTCCGGTCCAATGGGACTGGTCCGACGACGAAGACAATACAACCGACAGCCATAACAGCCATGGCCAGCGTGCGGCAGACGACGAAGACGACTGGCCCTTGACTAGGGGACGAAAAATGCGGCTTCCGGGCAGCTTTCCCGAGTCAGACGACGAAGAGTTTCAAACCCTCCCTAGTGCAGAGCAGCCCGTTAGCGAAAACACTCCTAGCGATATCTACATCGATGAACATACCGGCGTATCAACTCAACCTGCCCCTCCCCCATCTCCGGGACCGTCGGTAGACGACGTAGATCCTGCTCAGCAACAGCAGTCGGATTGGAGTCAGAGTTGGGGTGTCGACTAATTAAAATCACTGCTCTTGACAGCCATGAACATGGTTATACAACAGTATAGCATCGATTCTCATTATTTTACGAACTCCACACCTCGCTCTCAATATTGCTCTTATGGCCATTGGTTACAGACAGAAAGTCGGGGATATCCGACCTCTCCCATTCTCGGGGCTGTCATTAGCAGCCAGTATCTCGATTTTTTTGATTTTTTTTTTGCTTCTGTATAACGTTGACACTTGTATTTCCGTAATGCTTTGTATAAGTAGGGGCTTCATGTTGCACAGGGAGTTGCGCAAGGTCAGGTCCGGAGTGCCCTGGCGTCTTTCTATCTCTTTTCCCCCATATCAGGCAGCGTGGAGATTGGTAACAAGCGGGATTGGAACGCTTCCGGAGTTTCTGCTTTCTTTGTTCTTGCTGGCTCAGCCGGCTAGAACTGCTGTGGTAGGTATGCATTTTTTTTCCATGCATGCGTGTATCAGACGTCTCGGGTAAACGCGTCACAAACCGAAGTCTCGACGCGAGAGAATGAGCAAAGCACGAGGAAGAGTGGATGGATGATGGGGTTGGTTGGATAGGAAGTGGGAAAGGAGCGCAACAGTCGTACGCAGCATATTTATTCCATTCCGTATTAGCCGGGAAGCCACATACTTACCTCTCCTTGAAGGTCCAAGGTTTGAGTAACACGTTATAATACCCCTCTATTGTCTAGGGATTAGAACTTGTTTGTGGGCTTGTTTGGTCGGTCGCCCTTCTATTGTGTCCTCGTTTCCGGTTTCCATAGTGCCGTGTCGTTGATGGATAGAAACTTCCCTATAGGGGTTATGGTGATAGCATGTTTTATTTTATCAGCCATTGATGGTTTCTCCCCATTCGCACATCCACCTAAACGCACAAAGATATCTACATCTCTCTTTTTTCCGCAAACCCCATCAACCCATCAGGGTCACGAAACACTGGGGCAGCTGGAGCCACGAGTTATGAACCCCAAAAACCCCTTACCTAGTTAGCAGAGTAACGAGGTATGGCAACGAGCTGTAAACTTGTCTAGAAATGCAAGAGTCTTAGTATTTATCTGTCCGCAACAATAGAATGAAGACAGCGTATAGTGAAGCTGATGAAAATTTACGGCTTTATGATTTTGCATGTCTAGCTATTCAGCCTCGTGGGCTGAGCTATATTAATTATGCGACGTTTCTCCCGTACGCTTTGGCTCATCTCCTAACATCCAGGCTTACCCGTCCGCCCTCAAGATTTGGTCGCACCGAGCTGCTCGAGCTTCGTCTCCGGCGGGCGCGCTGCTCGGCAGGATCCGATGGATGGAGACCTCCTGATCTGGCAAACAAGTTCAGGATGTCGGTCAAGGACACCACACCTGTCAGCCTACCAGACAAGCCAGCCCCTGGTAACGCGGCGGATGGCACGGACACAAAGCTCTGACCTGGGAGAGGAGATTGCGGTGCTGAGAGCACAGGAGTAGCCGGAGGGACGATAATTGACGGACCAGGGGGTGGGCTGCTTCCGGCGCCTGTGACCGCTCCGGGGGCAGCCGCTGGGGCGCTCGCGAGGGTCCCACTCGGGTAGCTCGGCTGAAGGAGAGGCGTGGCAGGGGCACTTGGGGAGGGTGAGGCAGACTCGACAACCCACATGCGGTGAGAGTGGGTTGCGACAAGCTTGGCGACCGTGTGGGCGAGCGTCGAATACGGGTTCACGTAGAAGACGGGGAAGGAATCGCGACCACGTTCGACACCGCGCTCGGACAAGATCACGCTGATGAAGTGCATGGAAGAGCTTTTGAGCAGTGGGAGACTTGCCGCACTGGTCAGGAGCCTGACATCTGCTGTGGAGATATTCCCGACAACATTCAACCCATGGTCGACAACCGCCACTGAACTAAGTCCCTCGGTATTCATCAGCAGCAAGGCATCAGCAAGAGGCGCGTCGGCACTATCATCAAGGGTCAGGTGTTAGCATAGGTGTCTCCGTGTGTGTCTTGCGAACGATGCGGCAATTTCCGACACTTACTTGATGGCAATGATCTGCTGGGTTCCGATCTGGAGATCTCGGAGTACACTTCCATACAATCGGTCAATCACCGGGAAGTTAACAGCCTCGTTCCAAAAGAACTCGAGCAAGCGTAGCTGGCTGAGGATGCCAACAACTTCGGATGCCTGGTTTGTAAGTAGAAGACGATGAATTCCGCTCCCAAAGGCCTCCATCGCCTTGTCGAGAGTCAGTTCGGCTGGCAGTGCCACTAGCTGTTCCTTGCGGCAAATTGATTGGATCTCACGCAAGGCTATGGCAGTTTGCGATTGTGCTTTCTTCGAAATTCCATCATATAGCTCAACATGCTCTTCGTCAGGTTTCGCAAGGCCTAAAACCACGAGCAGGTATGCGTTCAGGTCATTGTGATCAAATGTGGAGACGGCAGTGGTCGAGGCGGGCGTCTCGCGGACAAGCACAACATTGCTTGGGTTGTTCTTAACAAGAAGCTACACTCGGAAGAGACTTTATTAGCTTCCCATTGCAAGGTCGTCGTGTTTTTATTTTTCCTTTGGGGAATGGGAATTGTGGAAAAGGAGGCGCACCATGGTCGCATCCTCAATGCTTGTGTCCAAGTCAACCCACCTAACCTCATCCGACGCCAGCTCCCCAAGAGCAATGTCCCGCCACTCTCTACCAGCATAGCGGGTGTTAGGATGGCGGTTAGATGGTGGGTGGTTCAGTAACTCCTGGATCGCCTGCTGGGTAAAGGAGGGGTGTCTGTGGGCGCGAGGTGATGGCGGGGGGTGCCTCTGGTTCTCGGCGAAACTCTGTCGATGTGAAGCGATATGGCCTGGCTTGTGGTGACTTGACTGCGAATTGCTGCGCTCTGGGGGTGAGACAGTTGGAGCACCAAGGGAGCTGCTCGAGCCATTGGCATTACTCGTCGGCAACACTGTTGGTGAGGAATCGAGAGGGCGGTCTGAGTCCATGATGTCTTATGGTGGTGGCGGTGCGGCAACAGCGGCGACGTTTGCGGAAGGCGGGTCGCCTTTCCAAGAGTCTCCTCAGATGAGAGCCAGGGCACTTGGGGAATTGCTTGTAGAAGTCGAATTGAATTTGGCTGTTCGAGGAATCGTTCAAATGCACCTAGGCATGGACTATGACGAGCTAAGCTCATGATGCGGGGTCGTGTCTCGGCGGAGGCTGCTAGGCGCGTAAATTGCCCTGAAATTGGGGTGGCTCAACGCCAACAACGCGTGACATTCCAGTGGCGGTACAGTACAGCAGGTCGTACGGAGTATTACCGTACGACAACTCGTCATTATGGTCACAAGCTCAGAAAGCCACTAGCAACCTGGAACATGCGACTCCCACATCTCTTCGCCCGAGTTAGATATACCGGCCAGGTCCGCCGCCAAATATCCCAATCTGGACGGCATATCTTGAGGGAAAATACAGGGCATCGAGAAGATTGGCACGCGTAAGGTTACTGTGAGGAGCCTGGATTAGCACGGGACTCCACAGTGCCTCAGGTTTCAGGCTCTTGTTCGGAATGGAGATTAAGTGCATGGCAGGTGGTACATACCTGATATACTCGGGGCACTATCCCAAGTCAAAAAGGTTGATAACACCACCTCAAAGAGACTCGATCAGAAACTTTCTTGGAGCCGTCTCAAAAATTGCACTAGGTCATCACCTACACCCGTCGGGTTGCAGGAGAATACTAAGTATATGCAGGCATACTTGTCAAGTCCATTAATCCATGATTAAAGAGCGTTAGGTGTTCAAGCCGTTTGTTAAACCGTCCGAGCAGGAAGAGGAGCCTAGCATGGCCAAACAGCTTCCATTAGGCCTCAGGTCAGATTAATGGGTATTCTCGTAGTATGTATGTACAGTACAAGTCTCCACCTTCACAGCTTCCATTGCTCCTAGCCCAACTTGCCAGCGAAGCCAAATATTTGGACACTGCACGAATGGAGCTGCGGCATCGAAGTTGGAGGGGTGATGGAGCTTTAATGATTTGACCCAGAAAAATATCTCCAGCAAACGTTTTTCTAGCTTTCTTTCTAAACATTCACTCACATCTTTCAAGGTTATATAAAGAAGTCCATTTAAACCCATCCACCTGCCCAAGGTTGTGCTCTGCGCTGACCGGAAGTGCCAAAATCCATGCCAAGACTTGGTGGTTGGTCTGTATGAATGGGGGACGGGGTGGCAGAAAACCCCCCTCCGTGCCCCTCCTTCTCCAGCACCCGTCCAGACCCAATCAAAAAAAATATTGAGCACTCAAAGTTGTTCCCCTCCTCCCTAACGTTGAACCTCTCCTATTCACTTCCTTCCTCAATACGCCTTGCGCCGGGGCACTTTCGCGCGTCCTTACCCATAACGCGTTCTTTATCTTGTTCCTGGCTCACGCCCTCTACGGCCATTTAACGCTGGTATTATTTGACTTGGCGACCTTCATACCAACGCGTTCTGTGCCGTGGTTTCGCTCTGCCTAACGGTTCGCAACCCCCCACCCTTGCCTTAGTTCTGCCTTTCCATGCCTGCCTCGTCGCGTTCAGCACAGCTGACCGTCTTTGTTCGTAGATAGGAGCAGCAACCGTCACTAGTGATTTCACTCCCACGCCATCGCGTGCTCTAAAGCCTGCAGCGTCTCGTTATCGGCCCCGATCCTCACATTGCCGTTCTCAAGATGTCGGTTCTCCCGCCCGAGGTCCATGCCGAGCTGGCTCAGCTTCTCCAAGCCCTCCAAGCTTCCGACAACAATGTCCGAACTCAAGCGGAAGAACATCTGCAAAATAACTGGACCACCACACGGCCAGAGATCCTGTTGATGGGCTTGGCTGAACAGATTTCGTCGTCGAGAGATGCATCGGTACGTCTACAATTCTAGATTTCGGGCTGTTAGACCTCCCAGCCCGGCCAACGCTAACGTTAATCCGGCCTGCCTTTCCAAAAAGATTCGCGCTTTTTCTGCCGTTATTTTTAGGCGAATAGCCTCCAAAACGCGGAAGACGGCAAGCTCGGAAAATACCGATATGTTTTTTTCTCTGGGCAAGGAACAGGCCGAGGCTATCCGCATAAAGCTCCTGGAGACGTTGGGAACAGAGTCTGACCGGGCCGTCCGCAACAAGATCAGCGACGCCGTGGCTGAAATCGCCAGACAGTACTCTGACAACAGTTCGTCACCACAGCGACTCTTGATACCGTAGATTGAAGCTGACAGTCTTTAGGCGAATCGTGGCCGGAACTCCTATCGGTTCTTTTCAATCTTAGTCAACAACCTGACGCTGGTAAGCGTGAGACTGCTTTCCGTGTCTTTACCACGACTCCTGGCATTATCGAGAAACCGCACGAGGAAACTGTGGCCCAAACATTTGCCCAGGCCTTCAAGGATGAGTCCGTCTCGGTATGGCGAGCCTTCCTCCCGTACTGCCTTGGCTACCAGCTAATGAAAATTTTTTAAAGGTCCGACTAGCAGCGATGGAGGCATTCGCCGCATTCTTCCGATGCTTGACTAAGAAAAACCAGACAAAGTACCACGGCCTCCTGCCCGAAGTCTTAAATATCCTACCCCCTATCAAGGATTCGCAGGATTCCGAAGATCTCAGCAAAGCCCTCGTTGCTCTCATCGACCTCGCCGAAAGCGCGCCCAGGATGTTCAAGCCCGTCTTCAACAAATTGGTTCAGTTTGCCATCTCCGTCATTCAAGACAAGGAACTGAACGACCTATGTCGGCAAAACGCTCTTGAGCTTATGGCAACGTTTGCCGACTATGCTCCGTCGATGTGCAAGAAGGATCCTAATTACACTAGTGACATGATCACTCAATGCCTCAGCCTAATGACGGACTTGGGCGAGGATGACGATAATGCTGAAGAATGGCTTGCGTCTGATGATGTAAGTCAGCTGTGATTCGAGCATGAAACCCCCAAAATGCTGACGGTGTCCTGCAGTTGGATCAGGAAGAAAGCGACCATAACCATGTTGCTGGCGAGCACTGTATGGACCGGCTAGCCAACAAGCTTGGAGGCTTGGTCATTCTCATGCCGACCTTCCGTTGGCTACCGCAAATGATGCAGTCTCCCGCCTGGAGAGACCGCCACGCTGCTCTGATGGCAATTTCTGCCATCTCGGAGGGATGCCGGGAGCAGATGATTGGTGAACTGAAACCTGTCTTGGAACTCGTCGTTCCGGCTCTGAGAGACCCGCATCCCCGCGTACGCTGGGCTGGGTGTAATGCGCTGGGGCAAATGAGCACCGATTTTGCCCCCACCATGCAAAAGGATTACTACGATGTTGTGCTCAAGGCCATCGTCCCCGTTCTGGAGTCCCCTGAGGCGAGAGTCAAGTCTCATGCCGCCGCAGCTTTGGTCAACTTTTGCGAGGAAGCCGAGAAGAGTGTTCTCGAGCCTTACCTTGACGAGTTGCTTTCTCAGCTCTTTCAGCTCCTCCAAAACGAAAAGCGATATGTTCAGGAACAGGCGCTATCGACAATTGCGACAATCGCCGACGCGGCTGAGAAAGCCTTTGCTAAGTATTACAGCACCCTCATGCCCCTGCTCTTCCAGGTTCTCAAGCGCGAAGATGACAAGGAATTCCGCCTGCTCCGTGCCAAGGCTATGGAGTGCGCGACCCTCATTGCGCTCGCAGTAGGGTACGAACGAATGGAGCAAGATGCTTATGAGCTGGTTCAACTCTTAGATAAGATTCAGGACAACATTACGGACGCAGACGATCCCCAAGCTCAGTATCTGATGCACTGCTGGGGAAGAATGTGTCGAGTCATGGGCAAGCATTTCCTTCCATGCCTGCCCAAGGTCATGCCGCCTCTGCTCCAGCTTGCCAGCGCCAAAGCCGATATTCAGCTACTGGAAGACGATGAGCAGATCGAACAGTTCCAACAAGAAGACGGATGGGAGTTGCTTCCTCTTCGCGGTAAAACCATTGGAATCCGGACGAGCTCCATGGATGACAAAAACATGGCCATTGAGCTTCTTGTCGTCTACGCACAAGTCCTTGAAGGAGACTTTTCTCCCTGGGTAGCCGATATTATGGAGAAGATTGCTCTTCCTGGCCTCGCCTTCTTCTTCCACGACCCTGTGCGGTTTGTATCGGCCAAGCTTGTTCCACAGCTTCTCGGTTCATACAAAAAGGCTTTCGGCCCCGAATCTACCGAATTAAACACGCTCTGGCTGAACACCGTCGTCAAGTTGCTCGAAGTACTCACTGCAGAGCCCGCTATTGACACGCTGGCAGAGATGTATCAATGCTTCTACGAGGCTGTATCAGTAATTGGGAGGCCATGCCTTACTGCCGAACACATGGATCGATTTATCGACGCGGCCACCACCACACTCGAAGACTATAAGGAGCGTGTCCAGCGACGGGCCGATGATGCTGAGAATGCCGCTGCAGAAGACGCAGAAGACGAAGAGGAAGAGCTGCTCATAGCTATCGAGGACGATCAGACACTCCTCTCCGATATGAACAAAGCCTTCCACTGCATCTTCAAGTTCCATGGTTCTACCTTCCTTCGCCCCTGGGAGCGCCTGGTTCTCACGTACGATGGATTTCTGAAATCGAGCGACCCCACCCAGCGACAATGGGGCTTGTGCATAATGGATGATGTTCTCGAATACTGTGGCTCGGACAGCAGCATTTATGAGCGTTACATTACGGGCCCACTGCTGAGCGGCTGCGATGATGCATCGCCCGCAATCCGGCAGGCGGCGGCCTATGGTATTGGCGTAGCTGCCCATCGTGGTGGGCAAGCCTGGGCAACATTCGTCGGAAACGCAATCGAGCCCCTTTTCCGGATCATGGGGACACCAAATGCGCGCAGCGAAGAGAATGTCTACGCGACAGAAAATGCCTGTGCTGCAGTTGCAAAGATCCTCCACTACAACGCATTTGAGGTCCCGAACGCCGACGCGGTTATCGCCCAGTGGGTCAACTGTCTACCCATCACCAACGACGAGGAGGCAGCTCCATATGCGTACGCTTACTTGGCTGAGCTCATTGATAAGTAAGTCTTTGCAAGGTACATTAATGTTGAAAGATAAAAAGCCGGGCTAATTGGATACTTTTATTTAGGCAACATCCCGCCGTCTTTGCACAAGCCGAAAAGGTCTTCTTGTTCGTGGCGCAGGCTCTCGAGGCCGACACCCTGACTGGGCAGACAGCTGCCCGAGTCTGTGGGGCAACCAAACTGCTCGTTGCGAATACCAACACGAACGCGGAGTTGATCCTCCTACAATTCTCTCCCGATGCTCAAGCGGTTATTCGTGCACATTTCAGCTAGATAGCCGCCGCGCACCTGCGGGGCTTGCTCCTGTGCAAGTAATGAACTAGGACTCGTGTATCCCAGAATTGGCCTAAACACAAAAGGACACAGGATACCTAATACGAGTCTAGCTACGCCTGGGATGTTGGGGCGGTATGTGGAGCCCATATGTTTCTACCGGTGCGCTTGGATCATTCCTGCTAGTGAGGAGAGAAGGGGGATTTGAATCGGCCTATGATACCATACTACTTGCTTGTTCCCGAATTCGCAAATATCCACGTTACACATGCCTCATTTTCATCGCCTAGCTGGAATATTTATTTTGTCTTCGAGTAATAGCCATTAAAAACATGGAAAAATAGGAAAGTCCTACAACGAAGATAGCGCTTGCTTTTCCGCAATAGGGTACGCGTCCTAGTACTTGATTATGTAGCCGCAAACTTCAATGGGCTTATGTGCGACACTGGGGAGAGACTTTAACTTTGTTAATTACAGATGCTTGGCCGGCTTTGGCTAAGCTGGCCATCTCCTCTGACGCCAGCTTTTCGGCATCGGTTAAACTTCCTTGTAAACCCTAATATTTCACAATATCTAGCCAGTTAGAGATAACATAGCTGACTATTATTGCTTTTCTTCGAATCTTGGGCAACTATTAGTTCAAGACAAGGTAGGTTTACCAATGCCGAAAAGCTAGCGCCAGAGGGTCAACGGTTGTGAGTGAAGGCAACTGTTGAGGCCCGAGCGCGGGTGTGTGTGCCGTAGCTCTGGGTCAGCGAAAAGGCGGGGAAGGGGAGGCGAACTTAGACAATGGGGATCAGGAAATTCGGGTCGATGGGCTTTCCTCGCTTTTCCATGGCCGTGGCGGCTTGGCGGGGCAAAAGCGGGTGGCCCCCGGCATGTCTTCACCCACACTGAAATAACCCGTACTAAATTCGAACTCACCATTTTCAACAAGGACGCTGACCGACCTATGACCTTAGCGAGAAAATGCGGTCAGCCGTCAATTACATCACGTACTATCAGTGACGAATAGCCAGCCTAGCCTCGAGTCTTATTGTGCTATCCAACCCGGTACATGCCTAGGTTAGCATAGGTATCTTCGTGTGAGGTGGGCAGCAAGCGGCCCTGGAACAGGTCTCTTTTTTGTTCTGCAATCTACCGAATGTGCACTCTCGCCGTATCCGGACAGCCTATCGACGGATACCTGTCTGTACACAGTGGGGTAGCTATGCTTTTTTGGCATGTCCATGAAGTCGGGTACAGTACTGTCCTTTGTGCTTCGTTCCTCAGGTCAAGGCAGGACTCGGCTATCCTTGGTACGGAGTACATACATCACACTATCCGGACACTAACAACACTATCTAACATCCGCTAGTGCAGCAGGTGGTGTCATCTATGATCTTGCCTATCGCTTTTAAGCCCCTGCTCCCTGAACAGCTTGCGGCGATTGCCCGGCTCGCATCCAACACCTTCATCAATCGTTAGCGGCTACGTGTAACCACCGATCGCCGGCCTCCGTCTCATCTGCCGCCATCACCACGGCCGCCGTCTGCCTCTGCCCGCTCTGATATCCTTCTATTCCAAGGGAGTCCGTGACGGTTGACAAATATACGTAGGCACACACGAACTAAACCGCCGTTTAGATGCCATCGTCATAGCCTCGCTCTCGCTCCTGCCCCGCTCTAGTCTCCCGCGCTTCCCCTGACCTGAGCCCTACTGATCCCAGCGCCCCACCTCGGCCCTCGCTCAGCGCCAACCCCTCCCTCACATACGTTGCCAACGTTCCTATCGAGCCGCTCAAGTTCCAACCTCCCCAGCGACAAAAGGCCACCGACAGACGCGCGAGCTGAGATACAACCGGAGAGGATACCCTATCGATGATGTGCCAACGCACGCAATGGTGATTCGAGACATCGCCTCGACTCCTTGGCGGTACAATGAGAATTGAAGAAGAATCCCGCTTTCTGACGAAACCAAGTACATGTGTATGCGGCCACCATGAATAACTACTACACGTCTCCGCTGTCCCCAGAGGACCTTGAGAGGCAAATAGCTGCCGCACAGGCTGCACAGGCTGCACAGTCCATGCAGCAGCCTCCGCAGCGCCGCGGCCAGCAAGAGCTTCAACATCAGCGCCAGCATCAGCACCAGCGCCAGCACTCGCGCCAGCACCAGGGCCGCAACACGCCCATGATTAACACTGCAGGCCAGCCGGCCTCACACAGTACCCAGCTCAATGCGATGGCCGACACCCCCATGTCCGGCGGCGACGACATTGTCGATCAAAATACAAATGAGCTTCAACGGAGAGGAAGCGTGCCCCACCCTTTCTCGGGGTCCTTGGCCCATGACGAACAAGACAGCCGCCTGTCCATGATGCAGTTTGGAAATGGCGAGGACGCATATGAGGGCTTTCAGTTTGGTTCTCCATCCGGAGGGGCCATGTCGCAGGCCTTTGGCAACTTGGGTAACAACGGGGCCATGCCAGGCCACTCTGGATCGTTTTCACAGCAAGGTCCCATGGCCATGGCCGATCAGAACAACTTTGCCAACCTTTCCCCTGATATTATGGGCAATATGATGGCTTTCTCGAGCCTGAATATGGGACAGATGACTGCAGACCCCAGTTCCCTCAGCCTCTTCGACGCGTCTGCCATGGGTAGTCAGTATCCTTCCACCAACATAGACGCCGTGACTACTGATTTTACTATGGACATGAATATTGGGAGCGAACCCATGAGCGCAACAAGCGCCAACACGGCTAGCGGGGCGAGAACCAAGGGTGAAGATCAGGATATGATGGGGATTGAAGCGACTTTTAGTCCCCCCGCAGAATCTCGCAACCCACAAATGCACTCCCGCAATGCCATAGATCCGGGGCTTTCTTCGTCGTTCCAGTCCAATATGCGGCCTCCTGACGTGTCGAGCGGTCTATCTTTCCAGTCGCCCGCGTCAGCCACATCTCGGACCATCTCCCAAGCCAGTGCCAGGCAGCCAAGTATTTCCGTCTCGAACTCGACTCCGATGACACCTGCTGCCACTAGTACAGCCACCCCGCAGGAAGCGCCTCAAAAGAGTATATATTCCAAAAGTGGATTTGACATGCTTAGAGCGCTGTGGTATGTGGCTACACGCAAGTCACAGAAGATCCAGCTCGGCGCTGTGGACATGTCGTGTGCCTTCGTTGTCTGCGACGTCACAATCAACGACTGCCCCATCATCTACGTGTCAGATAACTTCCAGAACTTGACAGGCTACAGCCGCCATGAGATTCTCGGCCAAAACTGCCGCTTCTTACAGGCCCCAGACGGAAAGGTAGATGCCGGATCTAAGCGAGAATTTGTCGAGAATCACGCCGTATACAATCTCAAGGAGGCAATAGCCAACGGAGAGGAAATACAGCAGAGTTTGATCAACTACCGCAAGGGTGGCAAGCCTTTCCTCAACCTCTTGACCATGATACCCATTCCGTGGGATACGGATGAAATCAAATATTTTATCGGATTCCAGATCGACTTGGTTGAGTGTCCGGACGCCATTTCGGGACACGATGCTGGGGGGCAGGTGGTCAATTACAACCAGAAGTACGAAGTTCCGGCCAATTGGACGCAACAGAACTCGAGTCAGTGGGAACCTGAAAACGGCCAGACGTTAGGCATTGATGATGTGTCGACTCTCCTGCAGCAGTCCAATCAGTTCAATCCGAAAGGTGTGGCATCCGACTGGCACAAGCAGTCATGGGATAAGATGTTGCTGGAAAACGCCGACGATATGGTCCACGTCCTCTCTCTCAAGGGACTGTTCCTATACCTATCACCGTCTTGCAAAAGAATCCTCGAATATGACACGATCGACCTGGTGGGGAACTCACTATCCTCCATCTGCCACCCTTCAGACATTGTGCCGGTAACGAGAGAACTCAAGGACGCACAATCCAATGCTCCTGTCAACATTGTATTTCGCATTCGGAGGAAACACAGCGGCTACATGTGGTTCGAGAGCCACGGGACCTTGTTCTCCGAGCAGGGCAAGGGGCGCAAGCACATCATCCTTGTTGGGAGAAAACGCCCGGTATTTGAGGTGCAGCGACACGAACTGGACGAAAATGGCGGCATCGGCGACACTGAGATCTGGACCAAGGTCTCGACTTCGGGCATGTTCCTCTTCGTCTCTTCGAACGTCCGGTCGCTACTGGACCTTCAGCCAGCGGATCTCGAGGGCTCGAGTATGCAGAACCTGATGCGAAAGGATTCGCGGCCCGAGTTTGGACGAACGATAGAGAAAGCGAGGAAAGGCAAGATTGCCAGTTGCAAGCACGAAGTTCACAACCGTAGAGGTCAAGTCCTGCAGGCGTATACGACGTTTTATCCCGGCGATGCTGCCGAGGGCCAGAAGCCTACGTTTCTGCTTGCGCAGACGAAGCTCTTGAAAGCGTCATCACGCGCAATTGCCCAAGGAATTGCTGGCACGAAATCAGCGAGTACCTCCGCGGGGCCTCAGCATTCTGAGGACTACCTAGTGACCTCAACGGGCGCAACTTTGAACATGCTAAACGCCGATGTAGCTGGTGGAGCCAGCACCGAGGGCGGAGGAGGGGCGAGCATTCCGGCTCTAACTCACCATGCCTCAACGGATAGCACGGATACCACAGACAGCTTTGATCCGGATTCTTTTTCGGCGGTCCCTCAGGAAGTCTTGCTGACGACAGATAATAACATATTTGACGAACTCAAGACAACGAGGTGCACAAGCTGGCAGTACGAGTTGCGTCAGATGGAAAAGGTTAACCGATTACTGGCGGAGGAGCTTGCTCAACTACTTTCCAACAAAAAGAAGCGAAAGAGGAGAAAGGGAAGTGGCAACATGGTTCGGGATTGTGCAAATTGTCATACGCGAAATACCCCAGAGTGGCGGCGGGGACCAAGTGGTAACCGGGACCTCTGCAACAGTTGCGGCCTTCGTTGGGCAAAGCAGGTATAGATCTCACTTCCCTCGTGTATTCTCTCCACTACCAAATACCCAATTCATGTACAGGCTTACTGACGCGCCCTTTACAGACCGGGAGGGTGTCGCCGCGCAATTCGTCACGCGGTGGAAATGGTGGAAACGGCGCGGACTCGCACAGCAAGAAGAGCAACTCTCCATCGCACACATCGTCGCTACACTGGGAGGTCATCACAGATGACAACTTGCCGCCCGTTGAGCCTCCCAGCCTCCACAGCAGCAGAGCGTCTTCGGGCGGAGGCGTTATCAATACTAACACGTCCTCGCCAACAACGACGCCGACGCCGACGCCGACGCAAGGCTTAGCGGTCACCACCACGGCAGCGGCGGCAGCGGCAACGGCAGCAGCAGCAGCAGCAAGCGATAAGCTCCAACTCAAAAATTTACCGCCTCAGAGTAGACCCCTGCTCGAAGGCGGCAGCGGCAGTGGTGGGAGTGGCATGGAAATGACGTCGATCAGAGAGGAGTGGGAATCGAACGTCTAGGAGGCGTGCGATCCATCTCCTTTTTACCTCGACTGGGGTTCCTAACCAGCTTCGCTGTTTGAGTTGTCCTGACAAAGTCTATTTGTCTGTCCGGGGCCAGCTCATGCATGATCAGTTTTAAACTATTACATCTCCAAGATTTCCAAGATTTTCCCCTCTTTCTTGCTCTCGATTTCCCAATGGCTATGGAAAAGGCTGGCTGCCGTGTGGCTCTTCGGTATCGTGGTCTGGGCATGTCCCGATCGTTTTGATTCTATTGGTTTCCTCTGGGCTTTCTTTGGTTAGCCCGTGTTTTGGGCTTTCACCAATGGTTAAGCCGCAAAATATCCCGAACAAAAAAAAAAGGCCCGAGAATGACTTGATACCCGGATGGTTTCTTTCCCCTCTTTTTGTCTTGTCTCTGCTCTCTCCTCTCCCTCTTTGACTCCCCTCGCCCGCCTTGAGGTTTTGAATCTGGTGACTTTGGCGGGTCAGCTTTTAATTGTAAGGCATGCGGACTTGACATCACAATGCGTCTAACGGGCTATTTCGGGTGTATTTTCTCAATACCCTCTACCAAAGTGTGCTTGTTTGTGTCTGTCGAGACTTTGAAGCCTTGATTACGTCTCAACGACCATGCTGTGTGTTATTATGTGGCCAAAAGAGTGACCAAGTATTCCGTAGGTTCAAACAAATAGCCACCTTGCCTGGGCTTGCGCCGTTCCGTAATTTCAGGGGCTGTCTTGCACTTTTTGCGCAAACTCTACTAGTTGCCATGGTGGTACTAAGCTTACTGAGCCGACATTCCCTCGGTTGTGTGGCTCACCAATGCTCTCGTGGCGTTCTTGACGCGTGTATGGAAGCGACGTTAAAAGAAACGGTCGACTGTCTCTGCTGTCCCATAACGATGTGATATTGCCCCGTCGGGTCAGTGACGTAAACAAGCCGCCTGGCGGCTCTGTTCCTCAGCCTGCATACGGAGTTAAATGCCCCTAGACCCACACAAGAGTGAGTGAGCCTGCTTCGGCATGCGCGCGCGAAGAAAAGGTGACCGAGGTAAGGTACGGTACGCAGTTGCCTAGATATCCATCCCGTGCCATCCAGGCCAACGGTTTATCCCGGAGTGAATACCGCTGTGTCTGGATCTCCGGCCAGCCCATGAGTGATGAGCCGCTCGGCTTTTTTTTTTGGTCCCAAGTGCCTGCCTTACCAGGTTGTTGTTGTTGTAGCTACCCCGCGAACGGAACGCATGAACGAGGGCGGAGATGAGATGAGAATGAACCAAAAAGATGAGAAGAGGGGGCTCGCTCCTCCCGAAGCTAAACTTACTCTAACTATTCTTCCCAGGGTGTCCCATTGGGCAGCTCGGTGTCGATTGCACGTCAGCTCCTGGGTGATTATTCGGTGCCTGAGACGATGTAGGGTCGAAGGTTTCCCGGATTGGATGAAACTCTTTCGCTGGGTGGCTTGGTGTTTGTGTGCACAGACGGACATGCTGCGGCGGAGATAATTTCCCGAAGCACAAGCACGGGCGGCAGGCACAGTCCACCCCCTCTACGCTCTGTGGGTGCATCCCCACGAAGAGGAACCTTGTCCTCCATATAATCCCGCGCATCTGTGGTCATGGTGGTGATGTTGGTTTGCAGTGCGGCTCAGCCTCATCAAGCTTTCTCAACTTCAATACCATCGTGCGGCAAAGGACGCACGCACGCACGCGCCTGGCCCACGGTTTGGGGTTGGGGGTGGGGGAGAGAGGAGGGGAGGGGGCCGTTTCCAAACACGCATCCCGTCATCCATGCTACGTACGAGCGAGAAGAGAAGGGCCGACATCACATCTGCGACTTGTATTCGCTCGTTCGTTTGTGTCGTGCAAGCTTGCGTACACAGCACGGCGTTCCGAGACTGACCTACCTACTTGGCTTGCATCATTACCTACCGACAGCAGCATCTGTCGCGCGGCATTCTGTCGGTGGTGACAAGGAAGGCATATACGGCAATCGAGCGTCAGGTGAGTTCCCATCGCGAGAGTGGCAACGCCGAACAAGTAACAAGTAACCGATTTCAGTTTCTTGTCATATAAATGCCCGGCATTCTCTCTGCTACCGAGCTGACAGTTTAAGCAGATGAGCGCATCGTGAGCACTCGTCTGTGTATGCCAGGACATGTAAACAGTTATAAGAATGCAAGTCATCCGTCATGGAAGTTATCCAATTCCTCTCCCAAGGCCGTATGGGGGAGGGGGGTCTTGCCACACGGCAACAGGGAGCACCCTCTGTGTCTGTTTCTTCTCTGTTCGCCCTCGAGTTTTTCAGTAGTATTCCACAAAAACCTAGCCCGGCTGCTAGTTTCGTGTACTGTACATATCATACATCATCGTACGTTTGGTGTTCCAGACCCGCAGTCAGACGTACATACTGGACCGTCCCATGGCCGCCACTATCGCCGTGCCGAGTTTAGGCAGCCACCGCCGTACCCATACTCACTCCTCGCTATCTCTCCGCCAGTGCTCGGACCGGCCACATGCTATGTGGTTGAAGGGTGGTAGCGGCGGTACTGCTGCTATTGCTGCTGCTGCTGCTGCATCGCACAACCAGGCACCTACCTATAGCAACTATCGAAGAAAGAAAGGGGAACACTCCCCACCTGGCCCCCATTCCCATGTCTGCAGCACGCAGCCGTCTTAACTCTCTGCCGGTCATGCATCTAGCTAGCTGCCGGCATCAGGGTGTGGCGAGCTGTGGAGGCCAAAGGTAATGGAGGGGGAAAGGCATGCACGCGGCGCCCTTGCCGTCTCACTCAGAAGGTAAAATTGGCTGTAGCCTGTTGTCCGTCGTGACCTTGTTAGCCACCTCGACTGCACCCGCAACTGCAGTGGAACGGTATTCTCCCTAGAGCCAGCCAAAATAGCCATATCAAAAGCCTGGCAAGGCATCAAAGGGGCTACCCTCCCTCGGCCCGCGAGGTTCTAGGCCGCCTCACGTTCTGAGAGGATGAGGCAGAGGGATTGGCTATCTTGAGCTCCACTAGATAGAGCTGAATAACAGGACGAGCCATGTCGGACGAGCCATGTCGGACGAGCCATGTCAGGACGAGCCATGTATTTGCCTCCACTTGGTATACAAGGTTGCCAACGCAGAGCCACGAACCAGACGTCAGACTCAAGTAATCCTTCGACAATGACATCTTGATGTCACTAGCTGCAGAGACACCCTGACCGCTTCTTGTTCGCTCGACATGACAGGCTAGCCGATGCCAGATACTCAACGGACGACCCATCTACTTGCATCGACCCCAAGGTACAGACCAAGGTTGGGAGTTCCCGTGACGCACCAGTGAACGGGAGGTTGCACAAGAAGCGGCTGTTTGCTTGCTTCTGTGGGCCAGTGAGGGCTGATAGATACCGAATTAAAGCAGTTAAGGTACCGGGCTGTCACTTCAAGTTGCTTTACCCTTTTCCATTTCTACTTGCAAAGATATTGATGTGTTATGTAATAACCACTTGACGCTCTCTTCATTTATTCGAGGTTGTTGATCCGTAAAGTTCTGGACCCAGAGACAAGGCACAGCATAGTACGTACCTTGAGGAGGTGGTCTTTGGTAGTTCACCTACACGCCGAAAGTCAATTCTTCTCATTCGGTGAGCACCCTGACAGTGGACTCGATGACAGTCCGAGACAACCAAACCACACTTCAAGCCTACTTAGGCACGGAGGTAGGTAAGGAAGTAGTTCTCGCGAAGACAAATTTGTAAATAAAAACCACCAACAAGATAAGACCAACAACGGGAAGAACAAGCCTCTCCACCGCCTTCACATTGTAAATGTAATTAATCCACCCTTCTCGAAGGATCGAATCCATCGAGCCCCAGCCCAGGCCCAGCCCGGTCCACTCAAAATCCCCGGCTAGCCATCTCAGAAGCCACTTCCGCTCCGCGATCGTCTCACGCCAGCCAGTTCCAGCTAAGTCCCGAATCGAGAAACTCCGAAATGAAATACAACTGCCAAGTGAAAAAGAGTCGATAAAATAAAATAAAATAATTAAAAGCAAAAACGGCAACTTGTTTGCTCGCAAAAGTTCCTTGTCGTGCATATGTCCAAAGACCCAGAAAAAAAGAGGCTCAAGTTTTAGGCTGCCATATTCCGGAAATTGGACCAGTACCAAGACAAGGCAAGGTAAGGCCTCTTGCATGTCTTGCATCATCCCATCCATCGAAACTCCCTCACGCGCGCACGCAGGTAATAGGTAGGTATTCTTTTACCAATACCCAATTCCAGACTCAATTCGGATAGAATACGCACTCAAACTCCCACACACGTTGTAGTGTACGGAGTTGAGGCCCAACAACCCCCCCCCCTAGCCCTTGCGCGCTCCCCCTTTTCCCGAAGGCAGTGCACATGCACACTCACATCACTGGCAACGAACCTACCTAGATTCTAAACCAAAAGAAAGAGAAGCGGAAAGCCATTGAAACCCCACTTACATACTGTAATAATAGTATTGCTGTGTTGTCAATTGTGGAGCCCTGATCCTCGCCCTGTTTCATTCCACCCCGGATTGCTGTCCGCTGTCACTCATCTTGTGGTCCTGTGCGGTCGTCCTTGGCTGTCTCATCCCCTGAACAAACCGCTGCAACCCTCCCATGCGAGTTGGACCAAGGGCAAAAATCACGAGTCCTAAGAAACAAAACACAAGAGGGTAAACAAGACAAAGTCGCCATGTATTTCGTCGTCATGTCTAGTTAAAGTAGTAGTACAGAAGAAAAAGAAAAAAACCAAAGGCTAATAGGGGAATATCCTCCGTCGTACCATAAGAAATCACAGATCCGCCCAATAAGTGACTAAATACCCAAACGCCAAATATGAAATACACCTTCCCAATGCCCATGTTGACCCAAGCGATGCTTTTTTAGTTTCTTCCAGGTTGTAGCAAGTCCACTGCCGACTCAAAGTTGCCTGCCGCTCCATCCTTTGACCGGCTCCAAAAAAAAAAAAAAAAAAAAGAACTCCTACCATGATGATTTGCGTGTCGTCTCCTCCGAAGGAGTAAGTATTAGGGTAGTGGAGTAATAGGGGGTCTCCCTAGAACGTCGACTGACGGTTGCCCCTTTCCGAGAGCCAAAGCTCCTCCGACCTGGTCGACATTGATCGATGAAGCGACAGGAAGCCTGACGGGGGGCTCATGGAGCCATCCAGGGGAGAGACGTGTGAAGTCGCCGCAGCGAATGAACCCATGTCCTCCATACGGCCTTGCATTGGAGATTCGGGCATAGATCCGGTCGAGAAGCGGTTTAGAAGGCTTGGAGTCTGCGGCGCCAGTTCATCTTTCTCCACCGTCTCTCGCCCCCCCTGATACCACCATTGGTTCTCAAAGCCGTTGTCGACAGTCATCATGGCCGCTGACAGCGCCCCCAAGTCTCGCCCCTTTCCATGGTCTTCGCGAGGTCGAGACATGGTCTGTTCAGGCGAGAACACCGAGACCGTGACTGGGCTTACGATGTCATTATGATCTGCTTGGTGTACTTGTCGAGAGCTTGTCGCGATGGCGGACGGCTCCTCTTCCTCCTCGTCTTGCGGATACGAGTCGGGGTCGTATCCCATTGGGTACGACCATGCTGACCACGGCAGACCATCTTCTCCCAGACGGTAGAGCGACGGCGCGGCCGGCAGAGCTTTGTCCTGGTCTAACTGTGCGTGGGCTTGGCCCGACGGATCCCCCGAGCGGCCGCCCCGGAAGTTGACATCCCAGGGATTCTCTCCAATCGGTGGAGGCGCTGAGTGGCCCCGCTCATAAGAAGGCCTGGAATCTGCTCGTGTTTGCCTGGATTGGTGTGTCTGTTCCTGGTCAACCGGTCGCTGGTCTCGTCCTCGCACCATCGCACCCGCTTGATAGAACTCCTGCATCTGATGATGGGTATCTCTGCGGCCGCCGGCGTGGTGGCTGTTTGTTATGCCGGGCTGGAGAAGGCGACTCTGGCGTGAACGTGTCTGCCGTTCCTCAAAGGCGCGGATGGCGGCCAGATAATTCGTGTTTGGCGCCGGCACTTGGCGTGGGAAGTTCATCTCACGCATGTTGCGTGACCTGTATGTCACCTCATGGTTCTTGGGAGGGGTTTTCCGCGACCAAGACACTCCAAACTCGACGTGGACGTAAAACTGAGGCCCCCGCCGCTCCTGTTGCTGTCGGTGGTCCATGGCAGGTTCCGTCCTCCAGAAAGTATCGGTGCCCGAATAGGGTGGCAACGAGACAGAGTATACCCAGACCAAACCGGGTTTGGCCAATGCAGCTGGGGTCGGATATAATATATATAAGAAAGATGATTACAGTCAAGGGGCAGACCAACAAGCGTGGTTGTTGGAAAATAAAACAAAAAGTCGACAAGCGGCGAAGACCTAAGGTCAGCTGAGCCGTAAGAGCTTCCAAGAATAATATAGGGCAGTTGGCAAGTGTGGTTCCTGGGAGGCTGCAATGTTTAAGGGCCCAGTGGCAACGAGCGGCAGACGGAAATGGGGCGTGGTCCAAAGGAGGAGAACAGGGGAGAGGACACAAGTGCTCCGCCGCGGCAGGGATTGTCGTAGGCTGTCGAAATGTAGCAGCCTGGCGAAGCCCAGGACCCCGGGGTCTCCAGGCCGCTGGGTTTGGCGCACCAGCAGTAGAAGCACCAGCAGATGCAGCTGCCTCGACTAGCCAACCACAACTAGACGTGGCGCGAAGTGGTGCTCGTGCCCCTGAGCTCGAGGTGTGTCCCCGCGTCGGGTGTCTTGTCTTCGCGCCTGGCGGCTTCCTTCGCCAACCTGAGGGAGCCGTTTATTAAACTACCTAATAAGGTGTCGCCCGCTCTGTCTCGGCAGCGAGGATGTCCTCGGAAAGAAGACCTCGGGCGTTGGAACCGAGCCTCTTCAAATTTCCGTTTTTACGGCGGACCCTTGGCCGTTTTGTTGCTCGCTTTGTTGGTTGACAGCTATGAACGATCCTTGGGGCTGTGTTTAGACGTTGTGGCAGGCAATTGGCGCCTCAACGTCCGTCAGTTTAGCGGTCCCGGGTGCAATTTCAAGCACGAGAAACATTCCATGATCAGAACAGAAAATGAGCCTCCGTCTCCTCAACTGGGCCGCTTGAAGCACATCCTCTTTGATGCAGCGGTCATATGCGTCCGGGTGCACGCCCACCAGCACCCACCGAACAATCGTGGAAACGGAAACAAGCCTGACGTGAGAGGGCCTGGTGAGGGGCCGGACATCGTTTGAGGAGCCCGCAAAACGAAACAGGAAACACGCAGTCGAGTACTCGTACACACAAACAGACCGTAGAAACAGCACTGGGCGTACATACGAGATACTTCTTCTGCTTTCACGGGGAGAGCGTCGCGATAACCCTCTGACCCTCGGCACCGGCGCGTTGGCGATAGATACGAGGGGGGCAAGACCGGTGTTACTGTTCACTGACGACGGGCGATGGATCAATCACCTTGTTGCTGTTGCCGTACTCAGCTCATCAGTAGTAAAAGTAAAAAAAAGACAGGTTTGTTGTAAAGACGGCTGGCAATTGCCGTCGGTCTGCGCTTTCCGACCGAGGGATGAATTAAGCCCCTGTGGAGGATGACCGCAATCGCCCCGCGCCTTCCCCCTTCCTCCTTCTGGATGCTAATGTTGCCCTGCGAGAAGCCGCCTGTCCATTGATCAAAATTCGTAGCTTCGGCTTCTGGCACGCTCCTCCCAACGTATCCGTAACACGCCCAATCAGGCCCACATGTACGCAGAGAGAGTGTGTGGTCCGTCTCTGCAAGTTCACTAGTACTACTACCACCAGTGGTGCATCTGTCGTTGACTAACCCCGCCTGCGACCAAGAAGAGTTCACAGATGACGGAAGTTGTCTCGTGCATCGTGCTGATAAGCGGGACCCGAGGCGGGCCAATCGTCTGGCCCGTCGCGATAACAAAAAACCGGGGATTTAAAATCGGGATGTGGAGCAGGACCACAGCCGAGAACTAGCAAGAGCAAGCAAGCGGCGGCGGCGGCGGCGGCGGGCAGTGAGTGGATGTGTGTGATGAGCCACGATGGTTTTGGCCTTCCTCTTCACTCGGCCCTCGACCTTCCTTCCCACCCCCAGCTGCCGAGTTGGTTGAAGCCACACTTGGCTCAGGCATTGAACATCGCTAAGCGAGTCCTCCAAGTTGGCCCTGCTTCCGATCGCCGTCATTGTACTTGGGGGAGGTGGGTGGGTGGCTTTTTTTTTTTTTTTTTGGCGGGTTCGTCCGATCATCCCATGCTAAGTAATTGCCAATGTAATCAAAAAAAAAAAAGCTCCGTGGTGTTTCTTCCCTCGAAAACTAACATACCTTAGCTTGCAGTCGCAATTGTCAAAGGAGGCACGAAATTTCAGCTTGAACTCCTTTTTGCCCCAAATGTTACAGCATTGCCGCTGCCTCGGAGGCGTGTCTCATCCATCACGGGGATTTGAATGGCAATCGGAAAAAGAAGCTCGGTCTTTGTCGGTCTCGCCTGCTCTCGCTGGAATCCCGATCGTGACCACCTGATCTGACGGGAGTGAGGCTTATGCGGCTCACTCCTTCGGCCTGTTGGCAGCACGGAACTTCAAGAAATCGGGGCGTTTGTTCTTTTTTCTTCTTTCTTTTTTTTCTTTCCCGCCCTTCTCGTCCTTTCTCTCTTAGATGATTACGTGTGATTTGGTTTCTTTTCTAGAAGTATTTTGTCTTGCACATGGGATATATGTGGGCTTCTGCCGTCACAAACCAACCTCGCCGCAGCCACCCGACGACAAATAGACAGCCAACAGACAACAACCAACGAGCCTCAGATGTTCACCTATCCTGCCGAAGGCGCCGTCTCCCAACTGCTTGTTTGCTTGATTACTCGTTCACGCCGCTTCGGGATCATCCTTGTCTCTAGAAGCAGGTACCCCATTTCCAACCGACCCGCTGCCAAGGCCGCCGGTGTCTTGCTCCCAAAAGGGCGTCTCCTTGCCCCGCCCCTTTATCAGGCCGATCAGATCAAACGGGTCAACCACGGTGGCCAGGAAGTGACGAGGATCTTTGTACCCGGGACCCGTGACTTCCTGCCCGTCCTTGGCCAGATACGTCTTGGTGCTCTTCGGAAGATACTTCCTGGGGTGCCTGAGATTCATCATCCAATGGTTGATAAGCATCAGCGAGGCCTCGAAGACGTAGAAGTATCTCTCGTAGCGGATGATGGGGCTTATGCTCATTGGATCAAAACCCGGCCCGAAGTGGAGGTTTGCAACGCTCCAGTATTCCACTATGCGGTAGATGGTCCGAGCCGTCAACAGGGCAGTCGACGCATAGAGAGTATACAGCGAGTTTCGGAGCTTGTCGCTTTCGATGCCCGCCCGGACGCATCGCCGGTGGAAGACGGCCGCCAGAAGCAGGAAGAGGGCGATGACCACAATTTGGATCAGCAAGGCTGCTTTCAAGAGCGCGCGCCCGATGTCCTGCTTCGATTGCGGTAGTGACTGGTTGGCACTGTAGGCTGCGCCGTTGCCGTTCAGCGCCTCGACAATGCTGGAAATAAAGGCGAACGTGGTGATGACCCGGCCCGGGTGAATTGGCGAGTGATAGGGGACATAGTAGAGGATGCGGCCCAGGATGTTGTAATTGGCGAGCTCGAGGATCGGACTGCGATTGCCAATGCATGTGTGAGCGGAATGGTCCACGAGTGGTCTAGGACGACACCCCCTTTTCATGATGTCTCGACACTTACGGCGCCGCGTAGATCAAGCAGACACTGACGATGTACTTGACCAAGTTTCCATAGTCATATGCCCCAATTTCCCGGACGATGAAGCCGCCGGAGAACAGGACGGCACAGGACACGTAAAACCCCGTCAGTCTCCAGCTCTTGTAGGAGCTGAGGTGGCAAGGGGCGGTCAGTCTAACAGGTACACGGCTGCTGCGTATAGCGACGGGATCGCGAAGGCTCCACGTACATGCATTGGTAAACGTGATAGATGCCTGAAATCGCAAAGGCAACTGCAAAAAATATCGGTGCTCCTTTGTTGGGGGAGTAGAAGTAAATACTCCCGTCGACTATGGCGGGTGGGTAGGTAGTTAGCTATTGTTAGCCCCGGATCTGCTCTACCACGGGTCATGACTAGGGGAACAGGCCGCCAGCGTACCATATTGCCCGTTGTCCATTGTACACAGTATCCCAACTCTGCTGTTGTGTGTTTAGACGAGGCTCTAACCAGCACTTTCAGCTGTGAGCAACCTGTTTGGGAGATGAATACGGGTATCCAGAGGCAGGCCGTGATACGTTGCTGCTGAGAGACAGTCATCATCGTTTACCGCTTGCTTATTAAATATATATTTATACATCTCGATGGCTGGCTTTCTCAAGCAAAGCATTTTGTCCCCGTATTTCGTATCAGTGGGAGAGAGAGCCTAGCCTTGAACAACAGCCTCTCGATGGCGATCCAATCGCATTGTCGGAAATACCAATACGGTGCACAGACCAGCAACACCAGGGGGGGCGGCTTTCAACCCATTTCCCATCTGGTTGACCGCCGCCGGAATATCGGCACAGTTCGAGTTCAAACAGCCCCCATCAAAAACAGCTCCTTCCAGCAATTCGGACAAATATGTACCACATGCCAACAAGTTGCAAAAACAACTCGGTGGTGGATATGGCAAGGCTCCAGGCCCGAGGAGAGGATAACCCCGCTTCAACAAACGATCCCGCTCGGGAGATAGAGGCACTTGGAACTCTTCTTGCCTCCTGCCACAGCTATGCCAATCCAGAGCCACGAGGCGCAGCTGGTCTCGCCACAATTGACGAAGATTCTCGTGGCCTTCGAGTCCACCGTTCCAGTAACATTCGCGAGACTGAAGTTAGTGATCTTCACGCCGCTTGTTGGTGCTCGGCCCGTGGCGCCGTACGACTGGTCAACGTCGATGCCGTATTTGGTGATGTTGGAGAGCTGGATATGCCTGTAGGTGACTGCATCTACAGTGCCGTTTTCTCCATACTTGGTTTTGATTCGAACGCCTGGACCACACGCGTCAGTGAAATGGTCAGCGGGATTGACAGCGACGGTTCCGACCATTCTGCGAATTCTTTATCGTGGAATTCTCGAACACGACGTTTTTGACAGCATTATTGCTTCTTCCACCTATGGAGCCAACTGAGAGGCCGTGGCCCCCGACGCAAAGCCCGCCCCTAAACACGATGTCCTATTGCTCAGTCAATAGAGCTCTCGGGCTTTCTGCGACCTACTCACGGTGCCGGAATTAATGGCAACGCAGTCGTCTTGGTTGTAAACCATTGCCCATAGGATTGTGATGTTGCTGCTTGCCGAGATATCGAATCCATCTGTGTTTTTGCCTAGACGGTCTCCAAGAGTGCTGTTGATGGTGACATTGGCGAGAGTCAGGTTTGTGCAGCCGTTGATGCTGAAGACGTGGGCTGGCGCGTTTACTATGCGTATGCCCTCGATGGCTGAGTTGCTGAGAGAATGGGCCTGGAAGAACTTTGGCTTTTGCTTCCCATCTTGGCCTTTCTCATCCCACCACAGCTCTCCGCTTCCATCCAGAGCAGAGCCGGGAGCTCCCTTGATGGAGATGTTGGTTCCCGAGACAGACACCAGAGGTCCTGTCCACTCCCGATATCCCCATGTCGTGTTCCCTTCAAACGTAACCTGGACCCCGCCAGTCAGCTCTGATGTCTACGAACAATAGGAACCCGACGGGTAGGTAACGGACGCACCGTAGTTCCATTTTTCAGCTTCGTCAGGTCAAGCGTCTGTCCAGCTGGGACTTGCAGCCCCGAAATGACAATGTTTGAGCAGTTTCTAACACTGCCTAGGAGAGAATAGCCCGCTGGCCCGCTTAAGACACATCGTGTATCATTCGAAGCATCCTGCCAAGTAGCAGATATCGCGATATGGCAAAGGGATAATGACAAGAACAAGAAAGGCCGCATCATAGCATGTGCTGCGTGACACGATCACGTTACTTCTGGGGACTTGAGTGAGGTAGGAAGACAGGCAGGGAAGTTTTGTTTCCCCTTCAGCTGCTACTCAGCGAAGCTCTCTAGTTCCGAACGGCAGCTCTAAAGAGGTGTACATCTTTGTTCAGGGTCTATTAATGGTTGCTCCTGGTGGGTTAACTTGAGTCCAGAGAGATCAGGCAATATATGGGATATATTGCGCTAAACATGTAAGCGGCACCCAAACTCCCGGACTCGACATCGAGCCGCGGAAACGATATCAGCGTAGTAAAGATGAGATGCGGCAGCGATGGCGAAAGGGAAGCTAAAAACGGCTGCAGCACTACTTGGTGACATAGTAGGTTGGAATGAGCACTTGGGAGGTCCTTGAAATATCTTCAAAGTTCAACCTCCCCGATGATTGTTCATGGTCTGGACATTGACACAGTCGTAAGGGGCTTTTTTTTTAACGGTTGTTAGATTAGGTGTTACCTAGGCGACCCAAGTGTCAAATACCCCAGGTAAGATATGTATGTACAAGTACATGGAGGGCATCCATACCATGATAGCTGAGGTGGTAAAGGTAGTCAGGAGTGAAGATGAGCTTGGCTTCAGGGTTTGATAGGAAAGGGCGAAATTGTTACCAGTAAATTATAGACCCTGAAAGTGGTTCCCCACCAAAAACATCACTAAATTTTCTAGGCGTCCGCCACTCATCAACCCAGCGCCAGTCTGACCATCTCATCTATTAAAAGTCACCCCAGAAGCTATCACTTAAGAAAAACCATCGGCTCGCTCTGTATTAAAACACGGCAATACGGCGGTCCTCAATCAGGCCTATACATACATCCAACGCAAAATGGACAAGTCTCAAGAGACGCAAAAGACGGAGCAGGAAGTTGCGTCCGAGTTCAAGTCGTACTATCTGCAGCGGGCCACCAAGGAGTTTGCCGAAGACCTGGACAAGGTGCGCGGGGCCGACGACTTCAGGAACGATGCCCTCCAGATCCTGGTGAGCGCGCTACAGCAAGGCACCGAGCTATTCTCTCCCGAGGACCAGCGGAGGATCGTCATGGCGGAATCGTCTTCGTCTTCGTCTTCGTCTTCGGCAGCGCGTGCCTAAATCTGCCTGCCTGCCTGCCACCACCACACACACGTCCCGACACCGAGCCAAAATGATCTCGGACCTCTTTGGTGGCTTGGTCTACGCCTTTTGGAAGGATCAAAACATGTCCGATCGTCTGCAACTGAGAGAAACGAAGGAGCCAAACTCTTCGGATTGAGTTTTCAGCTCGGAGATTCCTAGCCGCTGGAGGAACATGGAAGAGTGCCATCACATCCAGGCAGGAAGGTCTCATTGATAGCCACTAGCTTATACAAGCCGTTGAACCAAATCCAAGCCTACTTTCCCACCCGAGCACGGGGACCAGTGCATGATGATATAAGCGGATTCCTGACTCCGGTGCTCATGCCCAACAGCTCGAGCAAACATGTTAATATGGGTATTATGTCTTTTTGTTGCCAAATTATCCATACTTGCAAGGGATTTCTAGAATTTGGCTCTTCTTTGTTCAGTGGTCGGATCCGCTTCCCTAAGCAGCCCCAGTTTGGGTCTTGCTAACACCTGACGGGAAAGCCTATTGCGTTATGGTCCACATTTGCGACAAATAAAGCACAAACCATTGGTTAGACACTATGTCCGAGTGGTTAAGGAGACAGACTTGAATATTCATTCGGGTATCTGTTGGGTTCGCCCGCACAAGTTCGATCCTTGTTGGTGTCGATTTTCTTTTTCGTTCTTTTTGCTTCAGGATTGCTTCTCCTTGAACTGGCAACATTTCTCACGAACTTTTTTTCTTTTACACAGCAATCATGCCCAAAACTCTTGGAGGAGATCCTTTCCGGAATTTTTTGTTCTTGGCATTCGTCAATCTCGGGATTTGGATTCTTTGACCACCAACAACTAAGATTTTGCGAGCCAACTAATTCTAGGGTTTCCAACAAGCTGTTTAGGTAACTCCATTGGGAGTAACCCTTCACTCGAGCCGAGACATGGGCTAGTAAACATGGATATTTTCAAGATTTAGACGGAAAGTAATGCGTCCGAGCAGACAAACTCAGGTTCTCAATATGGCCCGGTATTTGGTTACAACTCTCAAGATTTAGGGCCTTGGTTTGGGGAAAGGGCTCGACTTTACCTTCTCAGCATATGGGCATGAGATTATTTGTTTTAAATATGTTATCAATTCCAAAGAAACCTGCCCCATGTACAGAGCGTTGGCCAGGCTTGCCCACATCTAGGGAGCGAAAAGAGATTTAAAAAAAAAAAAATCCCAGCATCCTACTGAGATGGCTTGACAAAAATCCATTCAAATGCAACGGCCATGACTGTATACATACAAACAAGGAAAAAGTGCGTAATACGCCAGTTCGTTGTCCCTAAACCACCAACAACACCTCACTCCCCTTACGTTCCCTATGTTATCTCATTCTACTTGTGGGCCTTGGCCATCGTGTTCAGTGCGCTACCATTCTTGAACCACTCGATTTGAGCCGAGTTGAAGGTGTGTGACAGCTTAATCTCGAAAGCCTTGCTGTCCTTAGGGTGCACAACCATCGTGAAGGGCTTGCCAACCTCAAGTTCTGTGCAGAGAAGATCAACCTTATCATCGGGCTGGATCTTGTCGTAGTCGGCAGGGTCGGAGAAGGTCAGGGGGAGCATGCCCTGTTTCTTCAGGTTGGTCTCGTGAATACGGGCAAACGACCGGGTGATAATGGCAAGTCCACCAAGATGACGCGGCTCCAGGGCGGCATGCTCTCGGGAAGAGCCCTCACCATAGTTCCAGTCACCGACAACAACCCAGCGGATCCCCTTCTTCTTGTAATCCCGGGCAACAGCCGGCACAGCGTCAAACTCTCCAGTAGTGAAGTTCTTGATCTTGTTGGCCTCGCCGTTGGCAGAGTTGATGGCGCCAATCAACATGTTGTTCGAGATGTTGTCCAAGTGGCCGCGGTACTTGAGCCACGGGCCAGCCATAGAAATGTGATCAGTGGTGGTCTTGCCCTGAGCCTTTATCAGGATTGGCAGGTCCTTGGCGTCCTTGCCATCCCAGGCATTGAAGGGAGACAGGACCTGGAGACGGTCCGAAGTAGGAGACACTTGGACGCTGACGGTGTTGCGGTCGGCGGGAGGAGCCTGGTAAGTGTCCTGGCCAGGGTCGTATCCTCTCTCAGGCAGTGCTTCGCCAGTGGGGGGGGCAAGCAAGAACTCGTTACCATCCTTGTCCTTAAGCTTGTCCGTCAGAGGGTTGAAGTGCAGACTGCCTGCAATGGTCATGGCAACAACGAGATCTGGCGAGGTGACGAAAGAGTGTGTGGCTGGGTTACCGTCGTTGCGGCCGGTAAAGTTGCGGTTGTACGACGAAATAATGGAGTTAGCCTCGCCCTTCTTGACGTCCTTGCGGTCCCATTGACCGATGCAAGGGCCGCAAGCGTTGGCAAGAACCATGCCGCCAAACTCCTCGAAGGTTTCGAGCTGACCGTCCCGCGCAATGGTGGCACGAACCTGCTCAGAACCCGGGGTAACGGTGAAGAGCGACTTCGCCTTGATGCCGTGGTTGAGGGCATCGCGAGCGATTGAAGCACCACGAGACATGTCCTCGTATGACGAGTTGGTGCAGGACCCAATCAAACCAACCTTGAGTTCCGCAGGCCAGTTGTTGGCCTTGACGGCCTCAGAGAACTTGGAGATCGGGGTCGCAAGATCGGGTGTGAAGGGCCCGTTAATGTGGGGCTCAAGCTCGGAGAGGTTGATCTCAACCAACTGGTCGTACTCGGCACCCTCATCCTCGCGCAGCTCCTTCGCATAAGAACGAGCGAAATCGCCAATCTCTGAGCGCTTGGTGGCCTTGAGGTAGCTGTACTGGCCCTCGTTGAAGGGAAACAGCGAGGTTGTGGCACCAATCTCGGCACTAGAAAGCATCGTCAGAAACTTCCCTCGAGTAGGAAAAGGGGGGGGGAAGGGATTATTTACCCCATGTTGCAAATCGTAGCCTGTCCAGTCGCGCTCAGAGTCTGCACACCTGGGCCTTCAAGGGTTGTTAGTGTGTTTGGTTCGTATGATAGGCAAGGTGGTACGACAAGAGATGGCTGTGGCCAACCCGGTTTCCGCAGCAAAGCCGTCTAGGTTGTGCTCTACTCCAGCAGGGGCAGGGTGCGACTGCCATAACAGCAATCTCAAGCTCGGCAAGCGGCGTGGCAAACAATCATGCCCAGGCCTGCGGTTGGGACCAAGCCGGGTGGCTGGTGAGAGACGGAAAAAAAGTAACTCACCATGGTACTCCACAATTGCGCCAGTACCTCCCTTCACAGTCAGAATACCAGCAACCTTGAGGATGATGTCCTTAGGAGCCGTCCACCCAGACATCTGTCCAGTAAGCTTCACACCAATCACCTTGGGGGCCTTGAGCTCCCAGGGGAGGTTGGCCATGACATCGACGGCATCGGCACCACCAACACCAATGGCGCACATGCCGAGACCACCGGCATTGGGGGTGTGCGAATCAGTGCCGATGAGAAGACCGCCGGGGAAAGCGTAGTTCTCGAGTAGAATTTGATGGATGATACCGGAACCGGGCTTCCAGAATCCGATGTTATACTTTGCGCAAGCAGTCGCAAGGAAGTCGTAGACCTCCTTGTTAATGTTAACAGCGCGCTCTAGATCCTTAGCACCACCAACCTGGGCCTCGATCAAATGGTCGCAGTGCACAGTGCTTGGGTTCGCGACGGAGGGCATGCCGGCGGACATGAACTGGAGGATGGCCATCTGGGCCGTGGCGTCCTGGCAAGCAACGCGATCCGGTCGCAACCTGAGATAAGAGACACCCCGCTCGATCTCTTGGCCCTCTGGGTCATCCAAGTGAGAGTAGAGGATCTTCTCAGCAAAGGTAAGGGGGCGGTTGAGCCTCGAGCGAACAATGGCAAGGTTCTCCGACATCTTCTTGTAGTTGATGAAGTTGCCCTCCTCCCAGTTGTTTTGCCGCACCTGAACATGTCAGCCAACGTCGCGCGGTTAGCCACAACGCAAGCAGAGCCATGGGATGGGCAGTAGCGCCTCATCACGGGCTCCAGCAAACTTACCTTCTTGTCTAAAGGAGAATCGGAGACCGTGGCCATGCGCCGCAGACCAACGCTGGTACTGCCGAGCACACGGCTCCGGGCGACGCCCAGGAGCTGTCGAGAAGCCAACATGGCGGCGACGATCGGTAGCCTCAGCGAGCGCAGCACGCAACAGGCAAATCAATTGGAGTGGAGAGGTGCAGAGCCAAAACAACCGATGGGCTCTAGCAGTGAGTAATAACAAGAAGACGTCTTTCCCCAGGTACGACGGATTGCAGGCTGGACGGCTTTGGGGAAGAAGAAAAAAAAGGTGGAGAGAGGGTTTTGTCGAGATAGCAAAGGAGACCAAAGGAGGGATTTTAGATACCCGTGGCACCAGAGCCCTCTGGAGCTCCTGCCACCGTCATAGCCGAGAAGTACCCTGCCCAGGTGGGGACCTGGAAGGGCCAATCAGATTGCGGGCGATTATGTCTGCATGCAGGTGTGGGGGAGCATTTGGCGTGAACATGACATGGTCGTAGCTTGAATCAAGGCTAGCCTCAGTTGTTTCACACGACTTAATCGTTGATTCCTACGCATCGAGCACGGCAGTAGCGTAGCAAGGCGCGACTGAGAGAAATTGGAATTTGAACCGAACGCTTGAAGCCAGGCAACCCTCACGAGAGCTAAGCTAGGTAAGTAATGTTGTGTTTTATCTCATAGATAATGTAGCGTGTCTTCAAGCGCTAGGAAAGAGAAGCAATGTCCCACTAAAAGCATGGAGATGTCACGGAACGCCGGGTGAAGGGGTTGACAGATAACCGAGGCAGGAGCAATGGGTGCTCCTTGTCGAGACTGAATCGCGAGAGGCAGATTCTATGCCAATTGCAACGTACCAGGTAGGTACATGACATCCTAAATGTGTCGAGAATGGCCATTGTTCTTTCGAGATACTGTTGCCAGAAGTACGAAGAGAGCATATCCCAAAAGATCCTTGACGGCATGTGAGCATGTGCCATGCCACTCCTATCGAGCCGCCAACAAGCCTAGTGAAGTACAACTACTATGTATCATTGGCCGGAAACGACGTAAATTACGTTATCGAGAAGAGACTCGGTTTTTGACCTGCGTCCGAGAATCAAGAAAGAAATTTGGGCTGCAAATGCCTCAATTTGATTTATTTAACAACAACCTGCAATTAATTCATGGTGGGGGAGGCAGGAAACGCGAGGCTAGCTCGAAAGCAGAAGTGCGCAAATCATAAATGGTCAAGACGACAGCCGTGAACTGACTAACAGGGCGTTCTCATTGGCTACTAGGCAGGCGTTAGCGAAGGTCGATCTGTTGGCGAGGGGCTGCAGACCGTTCCCAAATTCAAGATTGAACGTGATACTTTCTGGGTCTCTCGGCATCCAAACTAGGAGCTACCCGACCCTTGCACTAAAATGTTGAACTCGTCGGCAACCGTCGTAGAAACGGCTTGGCGCCGGGAGACGAAAATTTCTGCTAGGCCTGGAGACCTCGTCTCGGCGGGGCCGTCCGGGTCTCGGCGGGGTCGTTGGCGCCTGAGCTCGGCTCAAGCAAGGAGATTCGAAGGCGATAGGCCGGCACGTGGCTATTACCTCCGCAGGGCGGCCAGAAACTCAATCGGCGCAAATAGAAGCGACAGAATACCCGTCAAAGAACCACAGCGTTCAAACTAAAACTAGGCGTTGCCGGGTTGATCCATAGACGGTAATAATGAGGGTTTAGTTCACCAGGCTTTGGATACTGTTGTACTTGGAAGGCAGGATGTGATCCAATCCCTAAATGTTTGTTGGTAGGGGCCTTCGCAAGGTATGAAAGGCCTCACTACCCTAGATTTTGCTCCGAGGCGCAATAGTTATTGGAATCTCTAATAATAAGAATACAGACCAAGTAATAACTTCCCCTTGCCAATTACCTGGCAGAGGTTATCGAATCCCTGCCTTGTCATCCACCTCAAGTACCGCGCAAACAACCATTTAGGGATTGTACTCATATTAGCATGATATTTTCACTGGCTGGAAACCCCCAATAGCATTCCGACCCCCGAAGTCGTTGTCTGAAGACGACAACAGAGAGCCCCATGGATGTCGGCTTCAGGTTGAATTAATTTTTTTTTGGCTATAGAAGACTTTCAGAGTAGCGTTTCATCTAGCTGTTGCGAACTTGTAGGGAACGTGGTAAGTAAGGTACTTCAGGTGCGCAGGCGCTTTCCCGGTTAGACAGGCAAATAAGAATTGTTAATTTCTGCCTGCTTCGGAATTTCCCACCACAACCGAAATCCAACCTCTCATCGACCACACAACCCTTTTTTTAAGCAAAAAATTCACATCGTAGTCTACATCTTCTACAGAGTTGCATCAGTTACAGCCTTCAATTCCTGAGAATTACGACGAAGCGAAACATTCACAATGGGTTTTCTATCGAAGCGCACAAAGACCAAGACGCGGCGGTATCTCCGGTGAGCAAAGCCTGCAAGCCTCTGATCTCATCCGCCGTTTTTTATCCACCCAACAAAACGATCTGACCATATTCCCAGCGACATGGACCAGATCCAAGCCGATCTGAAGTCTCCGCGGCATCTGGCGCAGCACAAGGAGTCCAAGCCAGCCGAGGACCTGCCGGGGCTCGGGCTGTACTACTGCGTCGAGTGCGCCAAGTGGTTCGAGACGGATATCAGCTTGCTGACGCACCGCAAGGGCAAGCCCCATAAGCGCAAGTGAGTTCTATTCCTGCCTACCCCTTCCCTCAGCTCCTTATGGAGCAAAGAGAAACCCGGATCCCGAGATTTTGACCCCCATTTCCCCGAGTCAGCCTCAAGGCACTGCGCGAGGGTCCTTTCACGCACGAAGAGGCCGCGGTAGTCCTCCGGACAGACAACGGGCCAGTCAGAATGTCAGAAAAATCGCAGGAGATTGAGATGGAGACGTAAACATCAAGGCGGTGTTTGTTGCTCGGTTCTAGGCCGTCGGACCAAGCCCCATATTATGGAAGGAATGGAGTAGGATGGTTGATAGCATCTTGGGTTCCCTCGGTCAATGACGCAATGCGCATTATCATGGTTATAGGGCATGTGGTACCGGCGTTTGTGCGTGTAAAAAAGGCGGTGGCGGCGTCAGGTTTTGATAGAGAAATTTCTCGGTTCCTTCACACTACAAATAACGGATATCAAAGGGTACCTTCTGATCATTCTTAACCAATATAGCTCGTGAATTTCCAATAGGAATAACTGGTCGAGCCGAGATATTGGCCAAGAACATGATAGACACATCGTACATGACAAGCGACTTTCTGGACAAACAAAGTTATAGCATTGTTTTTCTATTACATCTCATCACCCAAACAACCACCAGCCACGGCAGTCTGTACCATTTCCTAATATGCCTAGTCATGATCCCAAACTCTAATTTCCGAAAATCATTCCTGATCTGCCCACGATTGCCATTGGGTATTCTATAGTTTCACATTTGTACCTTTTCCGATTTCACGTCCCGGTTTTAGTAGTAGTTGTTCATCTCCTGACCACTGGGACCAGTCGGAGCACCCATAGGCCGTCCTTGTTGGGAATTGCCATGTTGTTGCTGCTGCCAGCCACCATACTGCTGCTGGGGCTGCTGGGGCTGCTGATATTGCTGCTGCTGCGGCTGCTGCCCCTGATGTTGGTAAGGCGGTTGGTAGTGCGGCTGTTTTTGGTAACCTTGGCTCCCTTGGTTTTGCGTCTGCTGCAATGTCGTAAAATTTCGCTGAGAGTCATCTTCGTAAGACACCTGCTGCACAAACCCGCCTTGGTTTTCTCGCGTGGCAAGATCGTCGAGCGACTTGTAGTGATGGCCACCACCGCCACGGACGCCACGACCTCTGGAACCACCTCCTCGTCCCCGGAAACCTCGGTGCGGGCCCGCATTGGCTCCTCCGCGGAAGCCTCCTCGGCCTGAACCCCCGCGGCCCGGAGGTCCAGATTGGTGGAAGTGGCCCCGATCATTACGGTGTCCACCAGCATGCGTATTGCCTTGACGCAGACGAGAATCTTCTTCCCCGCTGCCAAACTTCCTCTTGGAGGGTTTGTTAGGGAACAAGCTCTCGTATGCACCTTCACTGGGATCCTCCGCTTCAACACGAAGAAGCACCTTTTCTCCTACTGTCGTCTCAAAGACAAAGGCTTTGTCTAGCGGTACTTGCTGCCAATTCTTGATCTTACCTGCGTCCACCGGACGCGCGCCTTTTCGTAGCGCAAGAACAACAAGAGGGCTCGGGTTGTCAGTGTGGAACTTTGCAGTAGCCGGCACAGGCTTTAGGCAGGCCGCCCAGATATTGTTCTCGAAACATGCTGTGCCAGTGACTTCCCACGACATCTTTGTCCCCATGCCACCGACCTTCTCCAAGATACTAGCCGGACACGGTCTCGGGCATATCATGATATTGTTTGCATGCAATTTCAACTCTGTCTCTGATAGGTTTTGCGGAAAATTTGCGAGTGTTAGCAGACGCTGAGTATCAGCGCTGTTGATCAGATATCCTGTATAAAATACAGTCTTCTTGATCATGAGGCGCTCGCCTCTAGTCCCGCGCCGGCGCTTGAATAGGGCGGCGTTATGCTCGTTGATCAGGTGCTGGACTTCAGCTACTTCGGCAACGGGGTCGAGATTTGTGGCAATGTCAGCCACTGGCACGACCTCAGCATCAATCGGCCCTCGTGTGGGGGAGCCACCAATGCCCCTTTGCTTCTTGTTATAATCGTTCAGGAATTCACGGAAGCCCTTGACGTGCTTCGGACGATCCTCATAGATACGGATCTCTTCAGCCTGTTTGTAGGTCTCCATCAGAGCTTCCAAGAAAGCCTGCTTGAAAATCATGGTGGTGGCAAAGGGCTGGTTGTTGGGGCCAACGGCCGGCTTCAAAGAGGCTAGATCAAACTCAAGGCCTTTGCTTGAGACCATGCGCTTGACCAGATCGGCGAATCCAGACTCTGAGCGGCCAGTAAGCAGGACACAAAGCGCATCCTTTTGCCGCATGCTCAGCCGAACAAGTTCGACAATCTTTTCATTCCACCACCCGTTCCATGCCTTCGGTTCTTCCTTGGCAAGACCCTCGCCTGTGGAAGCGAGAATCCGGCAGTCGTGCCACCATCCACCGTTGATAAAGCACTCGGGGTTCGCAAGAGCACCGATCGTAGGACCGCTCCATATCTTGGGGTTTGGAAGAGGGGTCTTGAAAACTGCGATGTAAAAGAGGAGCAGGTCAGTCACGAAGACCAAAAACATTCTCGGCAGAGGGAAGACATACGCGTATTGTCAAAGTCGTAGACGTGGATCACCTTGATCTTGTCAACGGCTGGTGGCAGAGAAACGAGTTAGCAACAAAGCACAACGGGGTGAACACAGGAAAGTAAGGGCAAATAAGGACTATGACTCGCAATCGCAAGCTCGCCGGCGGAGATTCTTGGGTCCGGATTGAGCGTTTCGCCATACCTGGAAGTTGATTGTTTAAAATGGACCACCGCCCGAGGGCAGTGACGGTGTGTGCGCCGCCTGCAAGCCCATTCTGGGCCGCGTATGCTGCATATGCTGAAGAACCCATGGCTCGATGTGACAATTTCGCAATGCGCGTGAAGCGGACTACAAACATGGAGATGTCATCTCGCGCGTTTAGTGTGCGATCGCGGATTCTGAGCTTGCGCTAACAATTTCGATAGCTTGGGCATGAGGCTTGCCTTCGGCAAGAGCGGGTCACGTGGGGCTAGCAAGGTCCAGCCCAAAATGCAGTTACGCTACGGTGCGGATTACACGTATATAGCGATATCAAGTACACGTATTCCGCAAAGCAGCTACATATTCCAGTAAAGAGATGGCGGTTTAATGTGTTTCAATATCGAAAAATAACGTTACATGTAACAATTTTCTATTTATTATATTAGCAGACGTGTGTAACACATCTTTCTGTATTCTCTCTTGCAAATCTAAAGCGATTGGCAAGTAACTATTATTACCTTGCGCTCCATCAAACATTATGCATAAAACCGGTGCGAAATACTCCATACTGAACCGTACCTTGGTGCCTGTAGATATGTGTCCCAACCTAGTAGTGTACATACGGAGTATCCGTAGAATAGAATGAATGGCCCCACACCAGACACGATTGCAGCCAACGAACGCCAGGGTCCTCCATGGCGGACTGCCGCGGTGTTAACAATTTCCCTTCATCTTGGGCGAACATGGGCTTTATTTTATTTTCTGATATACAAATCTTTAGCGCAAATTCCTCCAACATGACGACGGAGCTATAACGCGATTTTGAGCGAGCCTAACTGATTGACGACACACCCACCCCTACTACGAGAGCTCGTCCTGGTTCAATCAGCAATTGTACCTCGTCGCTGGGAGCTCGAGACAGTTTTGCCTGGCCGACCCATCCGAAAGGGACTCCCCGCCTTCCTACCGTACCCTCTCCCGGCCCCGGCGCTGCTGCTGTGACCGCGGACGCGACCGCAACGATCCGTCATGCCGTCCACCAACGCGGTCTCCTTCAACACGTCCCGCGTCCGTTCCTATGTCTTTCGCCTACCACTTTTCACGCGCGCCGTCATCATCGCGATTGTCGCTTTTTGGGTCATCGGCGTCCAGTCGTTGTGGGATGTTCGAACATGGGGCGCCTTAATACCTGACGAGATAGGGATCACGACGTGTTAGTCTTTTTTTCTCTGTCATCGTCTCGTCTCTGCCGTCGGGTGATAAGGCCGGATGACCCATCTGAAGCCAAGCTGGTGCGCCAGTATAGGCAAGCAGAACAAGGCATCCTCCTTGTCTTCCGACTAGGTCTGCGCAAGGTTGAGTGTTGATGGATAGAAGCCTTGACAGCCTGCCTTTTATGTTAAGGCATATGCAAGCGCATTCATGGCGACGAACAATACAGAATCAGACAGCAGGCTAATAGTGCAACAACTAGTATACCGCCTTAATACGTTCCCTTTCATCCACCTCAATGCTTTTCACGCGATCATGAACATCCTCGCCCTTACGCCCCTAATGGAGCGTTTCGAGGCCGAGCACGGCACTCTTACATCCCTAGCCCTGTTCTTTGGCCGTGAGTATTTCTCTCGTGCCAAGCACAATGTTAGGAGGCTGCAGACTGGACAGAAACCCTTTCGTTAAGCCACGTGAAAATGAGGATCTAGACTGACACCACTGATTTTAGCATTGACGACGATACCTTCGTTCATATACTTGTTTGTGGAAAAGTTCGTTCTCAGGTCGAATACGAGCGTGATGGGCGCCAGGTAGGCCAACCTCTCCCCAGAAAAGGGGCCTTGTGCTCCCACGCTGGAAATATGTATTCTAACTCTTGTCTTTGACACACAGTATGTGGGTCTTCCTTCTCCTCGGTATGGAGGCAATCCGCACGTACAAGGTAAATCCGTACCTAGTAGTAGCAACGCACAACATTCCCACCTGGACTACGCCCATTGCCCTGCTACTGTGTGTTGCGGCGCTGGTTCCCAGCTCGAGTTTCTTGGGTCACTTGTCGGGCCTGGTCGTGGGATACATCTGTACGTTTCTCCGTTTCTTTCTGTTCTTCGATTCTCCACCCAAGTTGTGTTACTAATGTTTGGTTGCTCTTCAACAGGCGGCTTGGGATACCTCAAATTCCTAGCACCTCCTGAGAAGATCCTGCGATGGGTGGAGAGCAAGGTGAATATATTCGGCCGTCTACCTTACTATGTGAACATGGACCAAAAGACATATGGGCGCTTTGGAGTTCTCCCGTCGTCTGGTGGGAGTCCGATTGGGGGCCCAACTACGGCCAAGGGCGTTGTTGGAAGTTCGCAAAGGCTTGGGCCATAGTCATCGCCGCCCCTTTAATGGGTCTTGGGCGAAAGGCTGTTGTATCTGGTACATATATATTTATATAAACTTGTTTGAATCTTGCGTGCGGCACGGTTTCCTAGCCTGTCTCAATGGCGTCACAAGTTTATTGCCAGGGGTGTGGACTTTGGCATCAAGGATACCCATATTGTGAGAGGACTTTGTATATGCATACGAAAAGCACACAAAGACCTGAGATTAATAGTACATCATGAGAAGAGACAAATGTAAGACTTTAGACGCTCTCCTTTGTACTAGAAATCCGCGGGTTCCTAGGTTGTGGGGGGTAAACGCATAAACCGTTGGATGCCATGGAGCATTATTCAGTAAACGGGTGCTAAAATGCACACGGGTCAAGGAAGCTGCGCTTAGCGTCTTTAGCCCCTCAAGATGCCAGTGGTGGAGCTTGTAAGCTGCATGCATTGGCCCGACTCTTCAGAATGCATCAGCCGCTGTCGAAGAGGCTTCGACCAGAGAACACCACAAGCCTAGAGCTGCGGTGAACTATGCCGCGTCTTTTGTGTTAGCGCAGTCTTCCCTTGGTTCCCATTGGACTTTTGCAGACTAACGAACAACGTTATAGCTGGCGCGTTGCGTCTGAGGCGCGATCCGCGCATCCTGAAGCTCCCGCCTTACTTGTCCCTGCTCTGCATCCTTGTCGGTGTTGTCTGGCTCTTCCTTCTCCCGCTCGACGACTACTCGCGGAGGACATACATATCAGAGAACGCCCTCCTACCAGGCCAGGTCCATACGTACTTTGGTGGCAGCGACCAGAATGTCTTTCGCGCTTACAAGCACGAGGTCAACGCCTTGGTAGGCAAGAGCAATATCGAGTACGTGCGCCTTGCCCATCCACTCACCTTTGAGCTCTTTGGTTCTAAAACTTCCCCGGGGATATGCGGAGATGCTGGCTGACGGGGCTATGCTGGTCTAGAATAAACGACAAGCTCGAATCCATTGTCAAAGGCCTCGGCCTCAAGGCAGGACGCCAGAACTTCACGTACAGCGCGGCCGGGCTCGTCTACTCGGGCGAGAACGTATACGCAATCCTGCAGGCACCACGCGGAGATGCCACCGAGGCCATTGTGTTGGTGGCAGCATGGGAGAACGTCAAGCAGGAGCTGAACCGGAACGGCGTGGCTCTTGCGCTGACGCTGGCTCGCTACTTCAAGCGCTGGTCTCTATGGTCCAAGGACATTGTGTTCCTCGTGACGCCCGACAGCATCGCCGGCCCGCAGGCGTGGGTTGATGCTTACCATGATGCCCACGACTCATCGCGCGTCGACAGCCTCCCGCTAAAGTCGGGTGCCTTGCAGGGTGCCATCGCCATCGACTATTCCCAGGAGAGCCGCTTCGAAAGCGTGCACATCGTTTATGACGGAGTGAATGGCCAGCTGCCCAACTTGGACCTCATAAACTCGGTTGTCAGCATCGCTGGCGGTCAGATGGGCATGGGCGTGGCATTGCAGGAGATGTGGCACCACAATGACCAGTATCCAGACCGATTGCGCACTATGCTCCGCGGCATGCTGAAGCAGGGGCTCGGTTTAGCCAGCGGTCCTCACAGTAGTTTCATCCCGTACCATGTCGACGCCGTGACGCTGCAGCCCTTTGGGGATGGCTGGCAGGACGAGATGGCCATGGGTCGTGTTATCGAGGGCACGTTCCGCAGCCTCAACAACCTCCTCGAGCATCTACATCAGAGCTTCTTTTTCTACCTGCTCATGCAGCGTGAACGATTCGTCAGCATCGGTACCTACTTACCGAGCGCAATGCTTGTGGCTATCAACTTCACCATCATGGCCATTGCGCTGTGGGTCAAGAGTGGCCAGCCCGAGAGCACGCCAGCTAAGGCGGCAGATGGCGCTGAAGCCGCTGGCGAGACTGTCACGAAGTTGAATACCAGTACACCGGCGGTGGAAAGAGAACTCTTCTTGCCTCTTGGCGTTGTGACTATCTGCCAGTTCTTGGCTGTGATTCCTTTATATCTCTTTAACCACGCCCCTGAAAATGTAAGAGCTCTACTTTATCCGACGCCAAACCGTCGCTTCCGCCCTCTTTTGCTAACTCCCCTACCCATTGATGCAGATGCTCACGCCGGCCTTCGTAATCTTCGCGGTTTTCAACGCGGTGCTGCCCCATGCCCTTTCATCCGTGCTCACCAACTACTACGCGCCATCGGCTCAGCAGTACCAGCTTATCAAATCATTCTCGCTTTTGCTGCTGGGCATGTTTCTGGCGTCGCTGGCAACCCTCAACTTCAGCCTTGCGCTACTCGTCGGCCTGCTCGCCAGCCCCCTGACATTTATGCGCCCTTGGCCGCAGTCGCCGGTCCTGCGTGCCGCCTGCACTGTCCTCCTCAACACCGTCAGTCCTACGGCCATCCTTGTCGCCAGCGCCGCTTACTGGCGCCTCGACGTCGGCGCCATCCTGCGCGAGGTCGCCTTTGCCTGGCACGTCTGTGGGATGAACTCCCCGGTCGTCGTGTGGTGTGTGTGGTGGCCCGCCTGGCTAGCCGGCAGCATCAGTGTCCTGGGAAAATCAGAGGAAACAAAAAAGAAGACCTCGACGGTCGCTACGGTCAAAACAAAGGCATTGTGAGTGTTTAAATGAGTTATCATGCATATATCGTGTTGGGTTTTACAGCAAGCACTGTCGGGTGTTCAGTTTAGCGTCGTAAAGGGTTAAGGGCTCGATATCAAACGTTCATAGACTGATAGTTCAGCGCTGTACTTGTGCCTACAGTAGAGGTCAACCCCAGGGCATTGTACCTGGCTATCACAGTTAAACAGCGAAGCATTATTGACGCCTCTCCCCGAATCTCAGCGTCCCAGTAAGTTAACGTCGGAGAAAGCGGTAGTTAGACAGTACCACGATGGGACGAGGACGAGGCTGTAGGCCCTCTAATTGTGTTGCTGAACGTCTTTATTCTTTTTGTCCATCGTTTCCCGCCACAGACGAATTGGTTTTCTGCTGTAGACAGCGCAGTCGTCCATGGCATGTAGTATACAAGGCATGCATTTTTCATACCTACAGACCCTCTAGGTATCTCTCCCGGCTCTTGGCCAGTCAGACAGTACATTCATCCTTCCCAAGCAAACCCCATGCTCTGCTCATGCCGCCCAGACATCCTGCCCTGCATTCTCAATCCAGTTGCCGAGCTGGTAAACGCTCGAGTCCCAGTCTTTCAACCGCTGGCGCATGTTCTCGATCTGCTTCATATCCAACACCTTAGGCTGAACCCAGTTGATGTGTGCCACCTCGTCTACTTGGTCGATGGTACCGCGTAATAGACCGAGACTTAGCGCCTTCATGATTAAGTGCTCGATCTCATCGGGGCGGACCTTGGTCTCGGCAGCGATGGTGTCAAATGTCATGGCGCGATCGTGGGGTGGACGCCGGAACACGGCCTCGGTCAGGGACGCCAGGTAGATCTTCTCGCGCAACTGGCGGCTGTGCTTGGCTAGCAGCGGCGTCGACTCGATGTGGCCAACCAACACGTCGTAGGCGGCCAGGTCGCCGCGGTTGAAGGCAAACAACAGGTCCCGAAGCCATTGGTCCTCTTCGCGGTCTGCCAGCGCATCCAGTATCGGATGCAGCAGCAGCTCGCCAAAGTTGTAGATGCTGGTGCTGACGAGAGCCGCAACGCTCAGGTCGTAGGCGCGGTAACGCCTCTCCGCTGCGCTCAGCGACTTGATGTCGATACAAGCTAGATACAGCAGCGCGTTGCGGTAGTACGACCCAAAGTCCATCTTGGCTTGGTAATAGTCGGCGTTGGCGCCGTAAAAGGCCGCGTGCACGATCGTCTCGACCGAGTCGAAGCCGTCCAGAACCCGCTCCGCCCGATCAAGATCTTTCCGCGCGCCATCTAGATCTACCAGGTCCAGCTTCACGCGCGCCACGGCGATGGTGGCAAACACGAGGGCGTCTTGCGAATCTTCGTGGTCCACCTTTTTGACCACCGCCTCCATAAAGGTGAGGCGCTCTTGATTGTCTTACCGCCGAGATCTTTTGTTAGCTACCTGCACATATCTTATCCCATGCATGCTTCTCAGTTGGCATAGCGGGGCAGCGTGCTCTTACCTCTACATTGTGTCGCTGCCTTCAAGGCCAGGTCAACAAGCTTCAGTTGATTTATCTTGTCGGCAAACTTGAGGATGAAGACCTTGTAGAACTGTAGGCGCTGCGGGGCACTGCCGGGGTTGTTGAAGAACTCGATGAGCTGGTTTGTGAGTTGGTGCCACAGCTTCCGCTCCCATAGCGTCTCGAACTCGAGAACTAGAGGCTGCAGGTCCTCGGGGGACTGGTCCCGCTGATCGGCCAGGAAGTCGGAGATGGTATCGACATTCATCTTCGCGGCCCAACTGTGTGCAGAAACGGGAGAACACGGAAATTGTATGGCGATCGTCTACAGTAAATGTAGAAAAGCGTTTGAAGCTTTTTGCAGTATGCGGTCGGTTGGTCGAAGGTAGAAAGCTGATATGGTGCGATGTTTGAAGTTGGGATGAGGAGGAAGACAAGGAAGGCATTGGACCTGAAGCTAGCCTTCCTGCCTGACTTGACGCGGCAGCGCAGCCTGGTGCTAGCTGGCCGCTGACTGACAGGGGATCAATGGATCGGTACGTACTCCCGAACCCGCTAGCGCCCACTGTTTGGAGCCTTGAAGTAGCTGCACGTGATTGGCTTGACCCTAGGCGGGATGAAGTGGGCCACAGCTCTGAAGCCATCAACTTGCCGGCTTTGGCTGGGAAGGAGCTCGCAGTGTCCATCTGCAACAATCAATTGAGCGGGACACAGCGCCTCTTGCGACCCACGACGTGCAAGAATGGCTTCCCTGCCGACCGCAGCGCGGTTGACACCGAAAATCGCGAGGGGCGCTCTTCAGCGCCGAGGCGTCTCGGATATCACCATTACGCGCACTGGCAAGCCCATTATCCGCACAACTGGTGGCCGGTCCGTCTTGCTGCTCCCCGATCTCTCCCGCTCCCCGACGCAATTCTAACTCGGGTTTACCGCTATAGTTCCTCCCTCGGCGGACACACTGCCACCGTCTTCGGCGCAACCGGTGCGCTCGGCCGTTACATCGTCAACCGACTAGGTACGCTCCCGTAGCCGCCCCCTCTTGCCATCGAGACATTCCACCCCCAGATTTACTGACGTCTTGTCCAGCGAGGCAAGGATGTACCGTAATTGTCCCCTTCCGGGAGGAGATGGCCAAGCGCCATCTGAAGGTTACTGGTGATTTGGGCCGCGTCGTGTTCATAGTGAGGCTCCCGGCTTTTACCCTTGTCCGCTCCAATTGCTGAAACCCGGCAATAGGAATACGACCTACACAACACCCAGTCGATCGAGGAAAGTGTCAGACACTCGGACGTTGTGTACAACCTGGTTGGCCGAAACTACCCTACAAAGTGAGCTGAGCATGTCCGAATTTGCCTGCGTTGATGGCAGCAACTGACGGACAGTAAGGAATTTCTCCCTCGAGGACGTTCACGTTGAGGGCTCCGAGCGCATCGCCGAAGCTGTGGCTAAATATGACGTGGATCGGTTCATTCACGTCTCATCCTACAATGCGGATCCGTTGTCGCCTTCCGAGTTTTACGCCACCAAGGTAGCTACCCCTCTGAGACGAGATATATAGAGATAATTTCCTAACTTTGCATCTAGGGTCGGGGAGAGCAAGTAGTCCGGAGCATCTTTCCTGAAACTACTATCGTCAGGCCCGCCCCAATGTTCGGCTTTGAAGACAACCTTCTGCTGAAACTTGCGGGAGTGACCAACCTGTTCACGTCCAATAACATGGAGGAAAGATATTGGCCAGTCCACGTTAGTGTAGCATTACTGTCCCCCTTTCCGGCCATGGCGTACTGACGGGTAGTAGGTCATTGATGTTGGTGAGGCGCTAGAGGTCATGCTCTACAACGATAACACCGCAGCTCAAACATATGAGCTTTATGGACCCAAGAATTACTCAACGGCCGAGATCGCCGAAATGGTAGACAAGGAGATTTATAAGAAGCGGAGACACATCAATGTCCCCAAGGCGGTTTTGAAGCCCGTTGCCGGCGTATTAAACCGTCTTCTCTGGTGGCCCGTCATGTCCACCGACGAGGTGGAGCGAGAGTTCCACGATCAGGTCATTGATGAGTCGGCCAAGACGTTCAAGGACCTCGGACTCGAGCCGGGTGACATTACCAAGTTCCTCTACCACTATCTGGTAAGCTCATCCATCTCATCTACTGTGGCAACCGAAACTGACACCCCCGAAGCAAGGTTTCCGGAGCTCTCAATACTACGACCTGCCGCCATCGACAGAGAAGGAGAAGAGAGAAGAAAAGCAATACATTCATGTGTTGGACGATCAGTAAATGGGGAAATAGCTGGCTGCCTTTGGGGGGGCTAAGACGCCCTGTAGAGTGTACATACGTAGTATTAAAAACGCCTTTTTATTTCAATGTGAGGGTGTCCTAGAAATAATTAGATACAAAAAAGAGTAGGAATAGCTCAACTTGCTTTGCTACCTTGGCATTGGTAAATTTTGTAAAAGGATCGGTGTGCTTTAGTCTAACAAAATTTAGATGCAAACCCGACCGAGAATTATGAGCCCAAAAACGCCCGACAAAAATTTTTTGCCTCTTTCTCTACCATTCGCCCACCTCGCCTGAAACCGGCCACCTTCAACGCCCAGCAGGAAAGACTTTCGGCGCCTGATTCACAATGGCTTCTAGCTCAGAGAGCGATGATGAGGAGATGTAAGTACATCGAGATTTCTATTCTCCACAAACCATTTTTTGACTCTGCCTTAGCGTTTTGTCCTCGGACGCTCTCGATGCACTGAATGCCTTCTACGCCGAACGTGATGCCCGCGCAAAACAGCTCGCTGAGCTCGAGCAAGAGGCGGAGCAGCGCCGCTTGGAGAGTGTCGCTTTGTCTATGGATACTTTCACTGAAGATTGGAACGAATCCCAGTTTTGGGTGAGTGATGGGTTTTTTGGTGATTTTTTTACCCCTTGTACAAAATGCGTCGATGGAAGCCTTTTTCTTGAAAAAAAAAAAAAAAAAAAAGAAGAAAAATAATTGGCGGGCTGAAGGACGGCCTCGTTGACAGCCAGACCCCATGGATAAGGACATACAAACACAGAGAGATTGGGATTCTGACTATGTGATCAAAAGTACTCGGAAGAAACAGCGAACCAGTTCGCCCATTACTTGCTCGATGGCTGTACCGCTGAGACTACGCTCGCTATTGTGTCGGCACCAAGTGTCTTTGTGGCGCTAAGAAACATTCTGGTAAGAGAGATACTTCTGCTAGCACGTCTTCCTGTTTTCTCGTTATCTATGTGCTTGGTTCCGTGTTTCCAGGTTATTCGTTTGTGTGTGATGTAAACAACATGGGCAGTGGAAAGGATGGCCTTTATTGTTGTCATCCCCGCCCGTCTCTACTATACTATCACCTACTTTGGCCATGTACTCTTGCTAACCCGTTATTTTTTATGTATGAAGAGCACTACTCCCTCAGATGAGCCAAAACCAAAGCTAGTGTTGCTTGAGCATGATAATCGCTTCGCCATCTTCCCGGAATTCGTGTTCTACGACTTTGCGCAGCCGTTCAAGTTACCACGTGCGTCCCTCCACCATTCTCACACCCCCCAGGAGCTCTTCTTGACTTCACTCGAGCAAATCAAGACTCTGGCTTCCAGGCAACTATAGTCAAGCATAAACAAGTACTAACTTCCAGTTAGCGCACTTGAAGGGCACCGTTGATTGCGTCATTACAGACCCGCCATTCTTGAGTGAGGATTGCCAGACAAAGAGTATGTCCCCAGAGTCGTCACCCGAACATAGCTCTATATGACCTCCTTGTATGCTATAGCTAACCTTAGATGCTCTGCTACTTTTGCAAACTCAACAGCCGCCCTCACTGTACGTTGGCTCCTAAAGACAGAGCCTACCACGCCAGCAAAGGCCACAGCGGTCAGTGGCAGCCAGGCTGGTAATAGCCCAGCCAAGTTAATTCCCCACCCTCGAATAATCGTTTGCACGGGAGAGAGGATGGAAGGGCTTATCACGAAGTTATACCGAGCCTACGGAGTTCGGACCACCGACTTCGAGCCAAAGCACGCTCGCGGACTGAGCAACGAATTCTACTGCTACGCAAATTTTGAGTCTGAGCTCTGGAAATGGAGGGGAGAGAAGGCCGTGGCCGTAGCAGGAGACCCAGATGTGAAGGAGAGAGTCAAGCCTGCCACTGACTCATGAAAACCCCCCGAGTCGGGTCTAGAATATCACGTAGACAGATGAAGATAACGACTTTCTCATTAACAAGATATTTGCCGTGGGCACAAGCGGGAATGGGTCACACCTAGCGCAAAGGACAAGGACTCTCACGATTATGCGGATCCAACATGTACTTGTACAAATCGAAACTCCCGTCGTCTATTCCTTGTTGATATTGTATATTTTCCCGCCGACAGGGACATGCTTTGTCTATGGAATGATGTATCTGAACCGATACCTCAACCCGCTTCAGCCCTGTTATGCGCGTTCATGATGATCTGGGTTGCAATATTCCCAATACCTCATATGCCGTGGCTTTACTCTGTGACCAAACCTTGGCTATAGATGACATGCTTTCAAGGAGAACATGCGCATGCTTATCATCCCACCACAGGGCCCTTTGATAATCCGCCGCCGGAACCAGGTCATGCATTCTATGCAAGTGATCTGATTATGTAGAAGAGTAAGTATGCCCGCGCCCCGAGAACATCTGATTTGGCCGCAAGCTCAACTTTGTGGTCATTGAAAGCGAACCACTTAGACACGATGGTTAGTATCGAAACACGTAATTCTAAGAGACAAGGAGTTGTGGACTTACCTGGTCGCCCACTCGACAATACGACACATAATGGCCCGTGTCAATCTCCCCTACGTGGACGACCACGCTCAAGAGATCGTATGTGCATGACCGTGCAAGTTCATGATTATCCTTGGCATCCTGGGTCCTAGCACGATTCGTGTATGGCAGCATATTTAGCTGCAGCGGGAAATGGACAGGTGTATCAATCTTCGCCGCCCGTTCGTTTCTTCCTTGCTTATACTCGAATCTCTGCGGCAGAGTCAGAATCTATTCTTATGTAGTCGAAGATAGGAGAGCGTTGAGCACCTTCATCTGAATTGCTAGAACGTTTGGTAGGCGCTTTATCATAGTCTGCCTACGCGCTTGCTGCATTGAATTGCAATTGTGGCAACGGTATTCGCATTTGTCGGACTTGATGTATTCCTCATCCAGGCACTCCTGTAATGTCATGGTGTGCGCTTTGGCCCCCCCTTTCTTGCCCTTCTTCTGGGCAAGATTCTCAAGGGGGAGGCTGAGGTCGAGGAAACTTTGGACCTGATTGGTTACGCCGCCGCAGTGCTGGCATGTCGTGGTGCTTTGAAGCTTTCCATAGAAAGTCTGATGGATTATGCAGTCGCAGCTGTGCTCGCTGCCAATCTCGGGCTTTTTACCGTCGCCGTTGCGCTCATGTAGCTCCTCTGCCAAGAACTGGAAGAATTCATGTGCATCCTGCTCCTTGGTCGTGACAAGGTTTTCGAAAGCCTTCTTCTCGCTAATCCAGAAGCCCGAGAGGATGTTAGCAGCCGTGTATCCGTTAGTATTCTCCACGGCGTAGAAGTCTTGAAACATATCATCCATCGCGCAGCTCAGGCAGTGCTGTGTGTCGCAGTTGATACTTTGGTGCCCATCGCTCAGATAGAAGTTTCTGAGTACAGGGTTATGTAGGAAGCTCTGCAACACCACATTCTGGTAACATGTGGCACCCGCATTATATATACCACGGAGTCCATTGGCCTTGCAAGACGCAACAGTCGTGTTTGTCGAGATGTACTGTGGGCTCTCCTTGAGGGGGTCTGATGCGAAAAGTTCATCATGTTTCCGTTTCCGACCTACCCAAAGCAGTCAGCGGGATATTCAGGGAAACCGGGGGTTGTTGGGCTGTGAAGCGCGACTCGAAGCTCGGGGACTTACCTGTGGAGAAAGTGCCTGTGCCAACCTTCTTCAGTCTGAGATCCTCAAACGTTGGGTCCCAGACAATGTCGTCACACATCTGACAAAACAGCGCACCGCTTCTCGAGTCAACATCTGTACGAGCATACAGTCAGCTGTGGACACAACCACACAAGCCGGCACGCCCCACGTACAGAATCTGTGCGATTTCTTATTGCCATGTTTGTTTCGGTCGTCCTCAGTAAGTGTCATGGGGCACTGCAGACAGAGACAGGTTGGGGTCAGCGACGTAACGATCTGGCCCTCGCTGAGCTTAGCAGTTTGGGGCAGGATCGGGGTTGTGTCGAGGATGCTCCGCAAGATCGATTTGTAATGCTGAATTGACGTGTTGGTCGTTGCCTGGTCTTGATTAAGCAAGCGCTGTAGGTGTTCTGGTAGAAATTAGTGATGGCGGCTGGGAGAGGCTTGGGTAGAGCGACTCACCACAACCGTAGACCGGCTGCCCGGGCTTGGGGGGTTGGACTTTGAAGTTCTTCGGCGAAGCTGGCGTAGCAGGCCTCGCAGCCATCTCGTCAGGAACCACCCCGGAGTTGACAGGGCGAGGCGTGAAAGCTGTGTCCTGGGCCCAAAGACAACAGTCGGCTGCACACAAGAGAGAGGGATGCACCGGCTCTGAACAGTCCTCTGGTAGAGCGCGGCCACCTATCAGACGCAAGAGCTCAATACACTGCCTCCAGCCTCTCCTCTAAATAAATGGGATAGAAGGCGCACGTCGCGAATGTTGTCAGTGGTATCGTCAACAGTACGTGTCGTGAAGTGGGGCTGCGTGGAGGAAGAAAGCTGTCGGTTGAGAAAGCTCGGAGCAAACGATAATGGCGAGGCGGCGGCGAATCGAGAGTAAGACTTGGTATGGGGCCTGACCAAGTCTAATGAGCATTCTGGCCGGAAGCGCCTCGAGGTCCAAAAACTATGTCAGGAAACGCTGAGAGATACAGACCAGTAGGTCAATGTGTACACTTGCTCTCGTCGTCAATTTGGCGTCGCCTCATCACTCAAAAATGGCGTCTAACGTGCAGCGAGCTGGAAATTGCTTATCGAGATCCTTCCCGCAAGGCTTATCGCAGGGGCGGAACGCTTCAGCTGTGGTCCGAGGCGCTAATGAATGCCACCTGCCTAGGAATGGATGGCACTGACCTAGAACTTAGGCATGCAAATACGGTATGGTATTGTACTAAAGTGTACAGTTGTACATGTACTATCGTTACCTCGGCACTTAGGTCAGGTATTACCGTTACGTTACCTTTGTAAGAGGTGTATGTAAGGTACTGTAAGGTAAGCCAGGTAGGCATTAGCACCTAGAAGAAAGACATGCCTTAATTAGTAGGGCTACGGATAATCCATCAAGTCCCAAGCCCATCACCGTGCCTAGCATTGAAGCTTCCTCGGCCTCAATACTGGAGTTGGGCGGGCGTCTTATAAATCTAAGCGTGCACGAGTCCAAAGTCCGGAGAGATCCCAATACTCGCATTGATTATTTTATATTCTTCCCAATCTGATGTCCTTCATCTTTAATTCGGATTAGACCCAACGAAAGACAGTTGAAGTGTATTTGCTGTTTATTCTCTAATTCATATCCATTCCCCGCAAGTTGTTTGGCCTCGTACGCCGCATTCATAGCACCCACACGAGACATAAGCGAGGGGCCATAATTCGGTTTGGCAAAACGCTGGTGATTCCTATGGTCAAGATGGCTTCGAAACTAGTTCAACTCCCCGAGGTCGAGCGGCTAAGTCCCGCGTGCATCCGCATTCTCGGAGGCAATCCTGGCAAATTCACGCTCCAGGGGACCAACACATATTTGGTCGGCACAGGTCCGAAACGACTCCTCGTTGACACGGGCGAGGGCAAGCCGTCGTGGATCGCTGCCATCAAACGGACAGTGGAGGAGGAGAAGGCCTCGATATCAAGTGTGCTCATTACTCATTGGCATGGCGACCACACAGGGGGCGTTGTGCAACTTACCGACAATTGGCCAGATATCAAGGTCTACAAGAACGATCCTGAACCTGGCCAACTAGAAATCGTCGACGGCCAGACTTTCACTGTCAAGGGCGCTTCACTGACCGCAATTCACACGCCCGGGCATACTGTTGACCACATGGTATTGGTTTTGGCGGAGGAAGACGCCTTATTCACGGGAGACAATGTTCTTGGGCAAGGCACTGCCGTGTTTGAAGATCTAGGGGTTTATATGGATAGCCTCGAGAAGATGATGGGTCTCTTCAAGGGTCGAGCGTATCCAGGCCATGGGCCGGTGATCTCGGATGGCCCAGGAAAGATCGCCGAGTACATCCAGCACAGAAAGCAACGGGAGGAACAGGTTGTCCAGACGCTGCGCACCGAAAACCCGGCCGGTGGATACGCCTGGACCCCAATGGAGCTGGTCAAGGTCATCTACAGCGATGTGCCTGTTGATCTCCATCCCGCTGCTGCGGCGGGTGTCTTGCAGATTCTGCAAAAGCTTCAAAGGGAGGGCAAGGTGTCGGTAGATGGCGAGAAATGGACGCTGACTGGTCGGTCTGTCCTGTGACCGGGAGGACCTGTGGCTTATGCGATCGGTAATCGCACCCAGCCAGATGGAATCCATGGAAATGGCGTCTTTTCCTATGTCGCTACGCTACACGATGCGACCGTCATTCACCCGTCATTCAGCCCTAAACTGTGTTGTGACGTCAGCCGCAATGGCGTCTCAGAGCCTCAAGCCCGCTTTTCACGACAGCTCTCAGCGCTACGGAGGAATGGGCACTGTAGACAAGATATGGAGCTTTGGCCTTATATGTAAGTACGAAGTAACCACGCATACAGTGTACAATAATCCGCTGCAGATAGCTCATATCAAAACCGCTACATACGATCATGCTCAGTTTGTACTTTGTCAGGCCTGCCAACTTCGTCCACGCCCGAGGGCTGAAACAACAACCACAAATGGTTAACATGTCCGTTGGTTAATACAGCGACTCGACGATTACTTTATGAGTCGTTTCATGATCCTCACAAGTACTCATATGAGCACTAATAGTGGCCATATCGTGACTACCTATACTGCGCCGTACTCCCCAAGCTACTTGCCGTTCCTTGTCTGCCGCAGAACGGCCAGTTTACGCCGTTCGTGGGCTTCGCCGCCAACGGACTTTTCTCACCCAGTAACAATGGAGAATGTCTGGACTTCACTCTTTCCGATCCTGGGCATTTGCCAGTCTTCCGTGTCCCAACTGTCAATACGCTTAATACGCTGGCTGGATTTCCAGATACGCTGTGGAGGTTCACTTGCCCCGAGCTTGCGTCACCGTCGTACGACAACTTAAGACAACTCAGTACACATGATGCCATCAGCAAGCCCTGCAGATTCAGTGCCTTTGGGACGGGATACTCGGTATCCATGGATGTTCAAACACTGAATAGCTTGGAATGCAGGAGACTAGGAGGGGTAGACCAGAATACCTACCTTACTCAGTAGGCTCAGGTTGTCAGCAAAGCGCTGGTCGCCAATGGCAAGACATCAACGGGAGCTCCCCACACATGAAACTAACTCCGTCTTCTCACGACGGAACCAGGACAGTGCTTTTAACTAACTTCCCACACGTTGCTAAGGATGCAAGTGGTCGCTTTGGATTACACAAATTCTCACTCAGCATCGCAATCACTGGCAGCTGACTTTGGCCAAGAGTACGCCGAGTACCAATGGTAACACATACATATAGTAGTCCCCAAATGTGGGAGTCCCTTATAAAAATGCAAAAAAGTGTTATCTCTTCTTACTAATCATGCTCTGGCAAGGGCTCTCTCCTAGTGTACGGATCCCGCGCCAACAGTCACTTCGGAGTTGGACGGATTATCCACAGTTACATCCGCGCCAAGAGTATCTCCATCAACGCCAAGAACTCCCAAGGCACTGGCACTTTCTCGTGGCGCACGGCGATGGTGCTTGCAGGAAACTGGCCTGTCCCTCCCGAATACGCCCTTCGTTGTCCTAGTATGCGTTAGTTATCTCACTCCACCGCGTTGGCAATTTACACACATGACAGTATCTACACAGTTGCAAAATTATTTGCTATTGGTTGCCTGGTTTTGTATAAGCCACTTAACCAGCCAGAATTCGGGCATTGCGCCTCTGACAGCGGTCGTGGGATCGGTAAGATTCCGTGGAGCTGTAGAATCTATCAGTTACTGGGATTTTCCTAGGAGGTTTACATTTTGCTTTTGTCTACGGGGCTTTCAAGGAACGGACGTGTAAAACAATACAGTAGACTGCCAACCTCACCTAGAAAGATCGGACAATTTTTGAAGCAAGGTTAAAAAGTCAAAAGAAACACAGCGGCTAACAACACAAGATAAGTTTTTTCATATACTGTGCACATACACGTATCTACCTACCGTACACATGGTAGCCTAGCAACATATCGGTCGTCAAGACGGCTCGCGGCTCTCGGTGGCTGGCTCCGTGGCTCGGCTTCGACTCGAAGCGCCGAGACCGAGGCGGCCACCTGATCGACAAAAATGAGGGGCATCGAGGGAAAATAAATGTTAGTGGACCTGAGTAACAACTGGCGAATTATTTTGCCAGACAGGGCCACTGGGGGAAAACGGGAGGACATCGATGGATGGACTTCACTCAGATACGCAGGGTTCCCTAGCCTTGCAGGAGCTAATTACTCCTGAGGGTCCCTAGGTACCTAGATACCTATATGCGGGGCTGCGGGAGTATTCAGTGAACAACCTTAGTGTGGCATTACGGGGGTTTGGTGCGGTACTATGTACAGGTATGGTTAGAATATTGGTGCAGTCCCAGTATTCGGTGACACAGAGTGGCACAATCTGAGGTACCAATACTGGTGCGCACCATACGCACCGGAGACACACCATTATAGATTATAGGGATCGCACCAGGAACGCGCACCAGCCCACACCAGTATATCCCCGCCCACACCAACATACCAGAGGCCCGCCCGACTAAGTAATCGCCTGCCTTCCGGGTAAAAAAAGGAAAAAAAGAAGCTCGCCCGAGTCTTCTTTTCCCTATCCCGTCGTAAGACGACGACGTAAAGGACGCCGACGACGCGATGAAAAATCACGCGAATGAATTTGGTTCGAACCAATTACCAATCGCTTGATTGATGACGACTTCGCCGCTTGGCCACTTGGTCAATTAATTGATATTTAATGTATCGCTCTTTCCATCTTTCTATATAGCCGATTGAAGGTTGTGGTTACGTTTGAAGCTCTTGATCTGGTGCGTTGGTGTGTTGGTGCGGTCCTGATGCGATCCCTATAATAGTGCGTTTTTAGTGTGCCTACGGTAGGTTGACCTTTTTTGGTACCTCCACGGTGCGGTCCAGGCTCTCTGACCCACCCAGTGGCCTCCTCTCGTATGTGCATACTAAGGAACCGCTTCTACCTAGTATTAATCATGATGGTTCACATGGATTATCCGACTTTTTGTTGCCATTTCTGCGTATCAATCGACCACATCTGGAAGTCAGTAAAAACTCCAACCACCTCCTCTCGGCGTGAAACGGCCCAGGCGCTTGGTGTGGCATGGCAGCCCTTGCCACTAAACTCCGGGCACCGCCAGAACTGCTGGGCCGCGAGGAGGAATGGCGTTGGATGGAGATGGGCGGCGCGGTTGGGGTTTCGGTCTCGACAAGGGCGCGTTGGTGTTTTTGTGTTCTTCCGACGCTGACTCGATCGAAGAAGATATCAGGATGGGATCGATCTCTGACTGGCTTAAATTGCGGTCGGTGTGTGAGCTGCAGACGGTTGGATGCGGGAGCAGGGGGTGGTGTTCAGACCCACCCCACCATCCAAAGCCCCCGCCCTCCAAACTGGAAGCGCATGCAACTTCAATGGGCTGCCGGCCCCACACAGTTAGCATCACACTGTTGACTCCGATCGACCACGTTATAACCGTTTTTTTATTTTATCTGAAAGGAAGCCTCGGATGTGCCGGAGGTACCAGCGACGACAGCTTCATCGGGCGAGAATGCGGAATGCGGGCGGGTGGCCTGACCACCTTTCCACATTTCCATTCAACGTACATACATGCGGATACAGTCTGGGATGCCCTTGGCGGTCTGGGTTATAACTCTTGGCCCGATACCTACCGTAATTACCAATCACCCCAGTCCTTACTATGTAGCTCGGCGATGTCCACAATCCACAGGCGATGGATGAAGCTTAAAAATGAACAGCTCCCCGGTCGGCGCCTGTCTACGGCGAGAGCTCCCCTTCCTCTGGAACGAGCTCCCTTATATATCACTACCTACCTAGTAGCTTCCAACTCGCTAACTCCACTGGCAACTTCCTCAAAAGACTGATTCTTTGTTTCCTTCGCGTGGCTTCCATTTTCTGTGTCCGAACGCGGCAAAGAAGTGGCTTGTATTAAATATAACCCATCCAACAAGCCAAGCTACACAACAGACAGCCTCGGCGGTGTTTCTCCGGCAGCCTCACTAACCAGCCGCCTTGCTCGGACCGTCTCACGATTTCCCACAGCCCGTGTGTGACTAGATCAAGCAAAGAACGGGGCGGCCGGCCATGAGGGCACTCGCCACATCTATTCTCCAAGCTGTTGCGATCGCGGCCATCCTGGGGCTTCTCCCGGGCGCCCTTGCGCATGGCGACGACGACATGGAAATGGGCGAGGGCAGCGACAAGCCTCTAGCCGATGATCAGTATCCGCCCAACTACTTCGGCCTGGCGGACCATAGAGGCCTTATATATGCCCACATAGCTCTGATGGTCCTGGCCTGGGTTTTCATACTTCCCGTCGGTATGGCTCCCCGCCGTCACTTACTACCGTGCTCCGTGCCAGAAGAGCCTTGCCACGTCTGACACGGTTTCTTTAGGTGTCATGTTCTCGCTTGCGCGCTCGCGGCTGGCGCTGCTTGTCCAATGTGTCTTCCTCGCAACCCATGTGGGAGGCCTTCTCCTGGGGACTATCTATAACGCAAGCACGCCTGATCTGTATCCGAACAATGCGCACCACAAGATAGGTTGGATTACCACCTGGACAGTGGGCGCCCAGGTTGTCATCGGCCTCTTGGCACGTGTTGCGGGCGTCTTGAGACGCCGGTCTGCCAATTCTAGCCGTGCCGACGAGCGCCAGTCCTTCATTCCCGTCTCAACGGAAGCCATAGCGGAGCACGAGTCTCACTTCCCCGAGAATTACCGGTTTTCCAACGACAGCGGCCAAGGCACCGAGCTCGGCTCCGAAGCCATCCGCGGTCATTCGGTATCGTCAGGCACCGATTCCCCGGCCATCCCTCTCCGAGACGTTGCCCTCCGAGACGCCAATAAAGATTTCAACGTTTTGGACGGCGATGAAGACTCGGAGGAAGGCCTCACTATGCTTCCCCGGCATGGCGTCGTTCGTTCGATGGTGCAGAAGGCTGCCGGCATGGTTTCGTCCAGATTTTGGAAATTCCTCATTTTTGCTTACAACTTCATCGACCGTACCATTCTAGTTTTTGGTTCCATTGCCTTGGCTACTGGCTGGGTTACTTTCGGCAGATTTTTCGTATGTCTTGCAGACAACCCTATAACGATTAAGCCAGGTGTATAGCACTAACACATTGACAACTGCAGGAGGGCGAGCAAATATTCACCGGTCTGGCCCATTGGATTAAAGGCGGCGTCTTCTTTTGGCTAGGCATTCTTACGCTTGCGCGCTGGGCGGGTAGCTTTGGCGATCTTGGATGGGTTTGTTCTCTTTCGTCTCATACTCTGTTGGAAGCCGCTGACGGTATTCTAGGCCTGGAATGTTCGGCCGAAGCGTAAGGACGATAAATGGCGTCCATCGGCAGAGTTCGTCGAGAGCGCGCTCATCTTCTTTTACGGTTCTACCAACATATTCCTCGAGCATTTGGGTGGCTGGGGAGGCGAATGGGGCCCGCAGGACTTGGAGCACATCTCGATTACCGTCCTTTTCATCGGCGGGGGGCTATGCGGCATGCTCATCGAGTCCACTCGTATTCGAGAAGTTCTGAACACCTCTGTTACAGATGCTTCCCAGGCCGTCCCCGCGCACGCCTACCGGGACGAGGAGCGTGATGAGCTGCGCCAACCGGAGACCTACCTCTTTTCAATGAACCCTATACCCGCCCTAGTCATCATATTGCTAGGTATCATGATGAGCTCCCATACCCAGGACAACATGGTTTCAAGCATGCTTCACAAGCAATGGGGAAACCTTCTTACAGGCGGATCGCTCGCACGAGCCTTCACTTATGTTCTCACGTATATGAAGCCGCCAAAGTCGATTTATCCCTCTCGTCCCCCCACCGAGCTCCTGGCCTCTTTTGGCCTCATGGCAGGTGGTATAATTTTCATGGCTAGTGTAAGTTGAAGACCTTTGCTCGGTCGGACAATCAGAACGCTTTGACTAATGGGAGACTACAGAGCGGCGACACTGTGGATGGCATGGTTCATTACCATCTTGACGCCATGTTTATTTATACCGTCACCATGGGCTTCATTGGTCTTTTGATGGCTTGGGTCATCATCGTGGTTGCCCTCAAGGGTTGGGCGACCCGCCGAGAGGGCGCTCGCGGACCAAGTACATATACGCCACTATAAGCACGCCCTTGCTTGGGATTGATACAAGATCAGCCCATGCTTGATTGGCCGGGCGCAAACGTCAAACTTCTCCCACAGGAACCTCGGGAGCATGGAGGGAAGAGAGCATGAGACGGTTGCATTTTGGAGCGCTTTCACTCGTTATCATCATTTCGGACTGGCGAAAACTCAATTGTTGGGAGGGTGCGTATTATACCCGCATTTCCATCCTCCCCGGCTTTGGATGACTGGTTTGGTCCCTTTTTTCGATTCTCGTCGTCTTTCAGAGATACCCCGTTTCTCGATCAAATATTAAGAAGCATTGTTTTGAAGTTGAAGCACACAAGAGAAGGCATGGAACAGGAAGGAAGGTGAATGGACAAGGAGCTGGGTTGGATACCCAGCTACCTATGTGATGGCGCTTCAGCAGCACCTTGGCTTTCGAGTCACAAATAATGAGCCGAAACGGCAGATAGACATTAATGATTATTTTTTATGGTATTCCGTTCCTCGAGATGGTACATTCGCCTCCGTGTAGGGCAGGTGCTCCCCTTCTATAAAGGAATGGCGGAGGATAGTGAACTTTCCCAGGACTCCTCTGCTCATCACAACTAAAAAAAACAATGCAGTCTACAAAACAATACACGTGGGATTTCTTAGAAAATTAATATTTGGTACTGGGTGGGTTTACTATTGACTGCTGGTCGTGGTAGTGCATGATCGCGTTTGTTGACCACCAATTAAATGGGAGGTAAGCTTCCCGCCCGCCCGACCAGCTCCCGGTGCAGAAACATCGACAGTAACACAGAACCAGGAGGCGATACATAAGATTTGATACGAGTATCACACACCAACATGAAAGCACAGCGCAATGCTGCAAAAACAAAATTGCATCTATCTTTCTAGAGCCCTCCACCACGCCAACCCTTCAGATTAATCATCGGGGTAGTACTCCTTGATATTGGAGATGAAAGTGCAGGTTGAGCTGTTGAATTTCTTGAAGAATTTGCCTGCAAGATAAAAGAGAGCATTTGGGATGAGGCTGGGGTCCGTGATAATTTCAATGTTATCTTGGTCTACTCGTAAGCGGTCAATGGTTGGTCGGCTAGAGAGATTAGTGAGTTAGTAAGGCAACCTCAAGCGCGTCCTACAACAGTGAAAGGGAATGAGCGGAATAACTTAACATACAGACAGGTATAGTATGTCTTGCTCCGTATCCGCGCCCTCTGTGTAGGGTCATCCACGCCAGAAGCCTCGCCCTCTTCCTCGGGGTCCTCGTCCACCAAGTGATGGGGGGTGGGAAGTGATGCAGTCCCGTTGGCGGCCCAGCCGTTGATGACTCCAACGTATTGGTAGCGCTTGTGGCGGAAAACCTGCCCAATTTTGTACAGCACGCGGGAATGGATTTCTTCTGTGTACCGACGGCTGACTGTTGGTAGCCGATTGTCCAGGTTCTTCAACATGCCCAAGATCTCGCGGACATTTTCCCAGCCGACCCGGGGCCGTGGGTTTGGTTGTGAGCGGACAAACCTATCGTACAGAGGGGCGAGGTATTTCTCGACAATCCATGCGTCTTCGCTCCATGATAGTGCGAACCGATTCAGGAAGGATTCGAGATTGTTGTCCCAATGCAAGGCCGTCGTTTGTTTCATCATGAGCTCGGCCCACACGGCGGCGTAGGCCGCAGTCTCGAGATTCAAGTCTGGGTGACCTGTGCGAAGACGCTTCATTTCAACATCTCGCACAATGTCGTCCTCGCGGTCTGCGAGTGTCTGTACCTCGGTGTAGGTTGCCTTGATATTCTGTGCGGTTCTCTGCACAATGATCGATACTGGGGAGGGTTTTAGGAAGGCGTCTGCTCCTAGGGTCCACCCGAATTCGACTAATCTCGAACGCAGGTCGCTGGGAGTAACCTCATAGTCAGATGAGTAAGGATCGAGGTACATGGTTTCCAGTTCCTTGTTTGGGTTCTCCTCTTCGGCCCCATCCAAGTTCATTCCGGGTGGTGCAAATACTGCTGCATGGACGTGGCTTGGAAATGCGCAACACGAGCTCGTCATACCCAGGCGTTCTGCGACGCAGCAGAAAATGGCACTCGAGATGATGGGAAGAGATGGGTGCGCTTCGTCGGAAAGGGCCTGGCCAATAAAGCAGTTCCTCAAATTACGGTAGTTTCTCTCAGGAGAATCCATGGAGGTGAGGTTATTTGCCCTCAGCCACTGGACTAGAGACAATGCTCTTTGCCTGGTGGGCATTTCTTCACACCTCGGGTTTTCTTGCCGGAACTCCCTTGCGAGTCGATCGAATGATTCTGAGATCTGACCAGGGGTTAGATAGGTGAGCGGACAAAAGCTGGGGTCAGAACATACATATTCCAGATCCTGTGGCTGGTCATGCAGCACAAACATATCAAAGGCGCCCAGTGCGCGGTCCAGTCCTCGAGCACTCAAGGGAGCCCCTTGGTATTCGGCCCACACCTCTACTGCAATGCCTCTATGGATGCTGTCCAGGACTGAGTCGGCATAATACCTGATAAAACACATATTAGTAACTAGATGCTCGCCAGGAAGAGGGAAGGTTACGGGGTGGCATAATGTTTCAAGGTTCCTCTCGTGTTTTGAGCCCCGAACTTCAAGATTCGCAAGGCTATACCAGAGACTGCCGTAAATGAGGTCAAGAAAACCCCTAGCTGGGGTACTAACGTGATTGTGTGGAAATATGGAGAGAAGAATAAGACATCAATTTCAGATAATTTTATTCTGAGAAATAAATAACTTGCTTACCTTCTGGCTAGGACATCGTCTGCGGAATCATCAGTATGGCACTGCTCCAACAGATAGTCCTTCGCGTCGTATCCCAGAAGACATATTTGCTTTAATTTGCTCAGCTGACCAACTTTGGTGGCGAGGATACCATCCAGCAATAGAGCAACTTTCGTGTTTTTTCGCTTTCTCGTGATCCAAAGCTCCTTCCACTTGACCGAGGATGCCCGAGCAGCAAGCTTTGTGCTGAGTCTATGATCCGGATGCCAGTAGTTGAACGAGTTCTGGCAGTGGCTCTTCCAGAGAAGTGCCTCATTGCCGATGTGGTAAAATCGACGCGACAGTAGCTGAATTGACTGAAGTGTGTCTTCGGGGGACACAAAAAGTAGGACGTGCCGGATGATCTCGTCAGGGAAGATATCAAGGGAAGGCATTGTGAGCTCGCTAGACCAAGCACGTCACTGCCAATGGTTTGTAGGACCCGTCCAATTGTGCTCTGCAATGGTTCCCTTTTACGAGAGTAGACGGCGCACCACAACTCAGAAAGAAATTGAAGAGTGGTAATGCCAAATCTCGAACGTTTTTCGTGAATCTGATGTTGTCGTCGGTTGGGTAATGCTCCTAGGTAAGATAGTAAGGGGAGAGCTGTAAGGGACCCTTGAACGTGATCGAGGGCCGCAAAGTGGCTCGAGCTTTTGGACTAGGGGTATCCCCCTGCGGTCCTTTCCACTGGTGTAGAGTACCTGCCTGCTGTGAAGGCAGTTCTAGGCTAGGTACCCCAAATTTAGCGCGGGGTATTCGAAGCCCCACAACAAAATTCATCCAGCCCCTCCATGACTCAAACGAGGGACAGAGTTTCAGGAACGAGGAATTAGGTACCTAGTCTACATTCTATCACTCCGAACATCAACAACATCTACTCAAATTCCCTGTATCGCGGACCAGCCGCCATGGAGAAAGTCACCGAGGCGTTGAAGAAGGCTACCGTTGGGGGCGAGAAGAAGGCCAAGAAGGACAAGAAAACCCCGGACGCTGCCGCTGCTAACGTTGGCCCGCTCGAGCTGGAACCGCCTCCTTCTTTCCTCCAGGATCGCATCGACCTATTCGACCGATTGTTCAAGGAGCAGCAAGCCGAGCTTGCGACAAAGCCACACGATGATATTCTGATTACCATGCCTGATGGCACCATCAAGCCTGGCAAAGCCTACGAGACCACCCCTGCCGACATCGCGAAGGGCATCTCCAACAGCTTATACAAGCGCACTGTTGTCGCGAGGATCGACGGGGACCGGGAACAATTGTGGGACATCGAGCGCCCACTCGAGAGGAGCTGCAAGCTGGAGCTTCTCGACTTCAATGACGACCAGGGCAAATTTGTCTTCTGTAAGTGGATGATGTGAACATCTCGGCATCCCGTGTGTCAGGCCGCTAACCGCCATCTACCCAAAGGGCACTCAAGTGCACACATTCTCGGCGAAGCCTGCGAACGAAGATTCGGTTGCTCGGTATGCATCGCCTTAATTTGCATTGTCAACTCGATATGCTAACACACGTCGACAGCTGTGTATCGGTCCCCGTAGGTCACGCTTAGGCCAATGCGGTAATGTGGCGATGATCTAACAAAAGAGAATTATAGCTGTCGACAATGGTTTCTATTACGAAATGGCTCTTCCCGACGGAGCTGCTGTCCAGGCCAGCGATTGGGCCCCGCTTGAGAACATCGTCGGCAAAATTGTCAAGGAACGACAACCGTTCCAGAGATTGGTATGTCATTTATTTACTAGCCCCTATGTTATGATGCGAAATCCACCATACACGCATGCTAACCGTTTGAAATAGGAAATAAGCAAAGAAGACCTCCTAAAGATGTTCTCGTACAATCCATATAAGCAGCACATTATCAAGGACAAGATTGTGGACGGAACAAGGACTACAGTCTACAGGAACGGGCCGTTGATGTAAGTCGGGGCAGGATCGAAATTGGATATTTCAAAGGACAAACCGCTAACAAGAGATGTCACAGCGATCTTTGCCGAGGGCCGCGTAAGTTTTTCTGACTATTGAAGCATGTTGTTTCCTTGGATTCTGTTATGCCGCCGACACGCGAGCATAGGCTTTTTGGTACTGACTATAAACAGATGTACCTGACACCAGCAGAATCGAGGCTTTTGCCATCATGAAGAACTCTTCTTCCTAGTAAGTAGACACGACACATTTTTGCTCTCGGATATCTATCGGGTCTTTCTTACCCCGTCTAAAGCCGAAACTTACACTATCCAGTTTTCTTGGAGATGCCAACAACGACTCTCTGCAGCGAATCTATGGCGTGTCATTCCCGGACAAGAAACAAATGGCTGCCCACAAAAAGTTCCTAGAGGAGGCGGCCAAGCGTGACCACCGACTGATCGGGAAACAGCAAGAGCTTTTCTTTTTTGAGGAGTGTTCACCAGGTTCAGCTATGTGGCTGCCTCATGGTATGCGAATCCACAATGCCCTCATGGGCTATATTCGCGAGCAGTACTGGCAACGTGGGTATGACGAGGTTATGACCCCAAACATGTTCAACGTCTCGCTCTGGGAGCAATCAGGCCATTTGGCCCACTACAAAGACGACATGTTCATCCTCGATGTAGATAAGGAGCAATTTGGCCTCAAGCCGATGAACTGCCCAGGTACTTCCAGCCTCTCTTGAATTCCCAGCTCGAGATTCCCTTACTGACAAGAAAATCCAGCACATGCAATGATGTTCCGCCATCGAGTAAGTTGACCAACTTCCCCTTCCTGGTCGCTCCAAGGTCATAACTACATATCCGCTATAAACCCTAAATTGTCCCTGGAATTTCTAACCCGAGAGTCAACAGGAACGAAGCCACAAGGAGTTGCCTCTCCGACTTGCCGACTTTGGCGTGCTCCACAGAAACGAAGCCAGTGGAGCTTTGAGCGGTTTGACAAGAGTCAGGAGATTCCAACAAGACGATGCCCATATCTGTAAGCAACCCGTCTTTGTTCCATCAAGCTCAGTGCCTTTTGGGTGGACATCTTTCTTCCCAATATAGTGGCTGTTACTAACCCGTACATAGTCTGCCGAGAGGATCAAATCGGAACTGAAGTGGCTGATCTCTTCGACTTTATGCGCTCCTTTTATGGTTTGCTTGGACTTACCTTCAAACTCAAATTATCCACCCGCCCTGAGAAGTATATGGGTGAGATTGAGACTTGGAATCAGGCCGAGGCTCGGCTCAAGGAAGCACTCGATGACTTTGCCACCTCTACCGCCGGTGTCTCGTGGGAACTCAATGCTGGAGACGGTGCTTTCTATGGCCCTAAGGTTGACATTGCCGTGCTGGTATGTTAGCATTTCTTCCCCCATCAGCAACAAACCAACAGATATAGTCATGGGATATGATATCCATCTCTGCCATCTTCCTTGCCGACAAATGCTGACTCAAAGCTGTTATAGGACTGCCTTCAGGTAAGAAGATACACAATCAACAATTCGAGCATCTAAGCTTTGGGTATTGTTGTCTCACCGCTAATATTTTGACAGAGACCTTGGCAATGCGCTACCATCCAGCTAGACTTCCAGCAGCCGATCAATTTCTCTCTCGAGTATCAAACTGCTGAAGGTGTTCGGCAAGATCAGATAAAACCTGATTCTTCTAAGCCTGATCCTTCCAAGCCCGCGCCCGCATGGAAGGCGGATTCTCAGAAGGTAGATGCGCCCAAGAATGAAGAAGAGACTGGCGCAGGAGACCACGAAAAGGGGAAGAAAAAGCCACTGCTTGTTAAGAAGCCCCTTTCTCCCGGTTGCGCCCGGCCTGTCATGATCCACCGAGCGATGGCTGGCAGTATCGAACGCTTCACCGCTATACTCTGCGAACATTTCGCTGGCAAGTGGCCCTTCTGGCTGTCGCCGCGTCAAGTCATTGTAATTCCCGTCGGAATGGGTTTCCTCGACTACGCAAAGGAGGTTGCTCTACTTCTCAAGAAGGAACACTTTCACGTTGGTATGTGATTTCTCGTCACAGGCGTGACTATTATAGTTGCTCCCCTTCCAAACAACCACTAACTGAAGTTGTGCGTGTTTAGATGTCGACAGCACTGGCAACACTCTCCAGAAGAAGATCCGCAATGGCCAGTTGGCTCAGTGTAAGCTTGGATTTTACTCAAGACTGTAACCAGCCCTCCAGTGATGAAAGTTCATCTCTTTCATTCCTACTGTACCGGGTGTACATCGTCCAAGCGGTCTCGCACAAGGCTTTTTTTGCAACTGAAAAGTCGCGCATAGACAAAAGCGCGAATCTGAGTGATACACTTCCCTCAAAACTACCCCTCGCCCCTTTTCCTTTATGGATATTTTTGAGACATGATCCACCAATGTAATCGGAGATGATGCTAACCATTTACAGACAACTTTTGCTTTGTTGTCGGTGATGATGAGATGAAGAACAGGAAGGTCAACATCCGCTACCGGGATGACACCTCGACCCAGGCAAGAGACGTTCCAGTGCCTTTGGACGAGGCTGTAGAGAAGCTCCGGAAGTTGAATGCCGAGAGGGGGATGTACAACCCGTTCCCTCCTGTGAAGGAGGAGAAAGCTTAGAGGAGCCTTCCTTCCAGTCGGTTCAGAATGGTTGTTCTACACCCGTATCTGTATCGTCATAGAGACCTACATGCCATATTGATCCCAAGACACGATGTATGAGAACAAGGCCCATAACACACGAATCCTACTGCTTCCTTCGTTTTGGTGATTGTCGGGTTTTAGTATATAAATCCGAGAACTGGAGGCTTTTGTTGATGTACACTGCATATTTTCCTGAGCCGACAATCTTCACAACGGGAGTATGTGCAATACTGTGCACTCTGAATATTAGACAATAGGGAGGGAGCTATGTTGGGCTGTATCACTTGCATGCCTTCCCAGGTCCGAAAAGGACTGGAAGAAGAATGTAAGCTTTTAGGCTTCCCATATTTCTAATACTCTCGGTATTATGTTAAACCCACCTCACCATATATCCTAATCCACATAACATCTCATCGGCCATCAGGGCTTCCATTCTCTATTTCCAGTCCCTGAGGAACTTCCACTTGTTAATTCTATAGGGTATATAATAACAATGCAAGGTCGCACACAAAGAGCGCGCTAGGCTTTGCTCCATCTGTCTGATTGGAAAATTGCGGTAGTTGGCTTCCTCAAGCACAAAAGTAAACCCATGAAGCTCGCCGGCAAAAATAAGTGTTTTTTTCAGCACGATAAAATTATATGTATGGCTATGGGTGGCGTGTTATATCGTGCTGTGCTGGGCGGGCGTGGACTCTGGACCGTGGTGTGTCGTACGGGGCACACGAACAAGAGAGGATGGAGTTGAGAGAAAGATGCCGCGACCTGATCGTAGGAGGTCCGGAAACCATCACCATCGACTCTCACGGAACTTCGGCGTATCCCGGCAGCACCGGTGATACAAGCTTCCCCCCTCTCTCGCCTGAGATTTTCGCCTGTCCCAATCAAGGCTTCGGGACATGGATGGTCTTGCTCGTCATCAAGCATCCGTGTATCATGAACAGCACAACAATCGGGTGAAACTCGAAGGCAGTACCAGAAAACCAAAGTCCGCCGGGAATCGCATCATGAATCCAGCCCTGCGACACCCACCATGCCATTAAAGCGTCGAGGCCTAAAGTCGTGGGGATTGGAGTGCCCTCAAAGTATTGAGCCTTACCGGTGGCGTCTTTTGGTATCGAAGTTGCCGTCACGTTGAACCGCGCCAACCGTGTAAGCCCACAGAGCACGAAGAACGCAAGGCACAGATGATCAAGAGGCGTGCGGATGCCAATAGCGAAGGCCACAATAGCCGGAGAGATGCCGAAAGAAATCTGTCGTATAACAAAACACGGTCAGCAAGGATACTTTTTTTTTGCAGGCCACCCAGCTCAGTGCGCAGAGTAGAGCCTACCAAGTCGGCCAGGGAGTCCAGCTCCTGGCCCATCATGCTGCTCTTTTTTCTCCAGCGCGCCACCTTGCCGTCTAGGAAGTCAAAAAACAGCCCGAATGGTAAGAACCCAAGTGCCGCCCATAGATTCCCAGTTGCCGTCGGGTCGCCGAGGCAGTAGCGCATCGAGGAGAAGAGGGAAAGAACACCGCAGAGACCTAGATAAAAACATAGAGCATTAGTATCGGTGTGTCTCTCGAGGGTATCGAGTTACGTCGGAGGACATAAGGCAGAGCAACAGCTATCGCAAGCCGGTGCGAAAGCCCCTGTCTCAACGTTCAAGCGCGCATAGAGATGGCGTCCCCGCTAGATCATGTACACACCATTCATCTCAGTAATGAGGTCCGCCAGGTGCATTGCGCGGACCAGCGAAAAGTGCCCCGAGTCCGAAGAGAGGAGATTTTTCTGCTTGTCGAAGGCTATTGAGGAGGGGGCATGTTAGCGGTGTTCCCCACGGTTCTCTTCCTCTCCAAACGAACTTGAATGTAGTTTAGAGTTGCTAAGGGCAGACGCACAGGGCTGGGTGAGCTCAGCGGGCTCATCCTTTGACGAGGTATTGCCATTTGCAGCGACGTTGTTAGTTCGCTTGGACATGATTGTCTTGTATTGGGGCGTGCTTGGGCGCACTTTTTTGCGCGGGTTGCGATGCTCTTCGGGGCCAAACGCTCAGGGGGGTAATGTTTTTCGTTCCAATAGTGGAGAGATTTAGGAACAAGTCAAAATTAGGAAAAAAGAATAAACAGAAAAACGGCCGCTTGCTTGCTTGCTACCTTGGGTGAAAACAAGTCACGAAGATGTTGTTGGGCGTCGGCTGAGGGTTTTCTGATGGAGGCACGGAGGCGAGGCGACAGACAGTGCATGGCATGGCAACGTGCTAAAGAAGCAAGGCGGGCCGCTTCGCAGAGATCATGCCGTCATTTTCTCCCACAGGAGCTTGGCAAAACCTTAAGCGGGGCTAGACCGTGACCCGTTCACCGCCTTCCCAACAGCTGACCCATATTTTCTCCTTCCTCCCAAGTACGTCATGTGAAACAAGCTGACCCTTCAAGAGTGCCGGCCGGCCCAATGTATTCCGTACACCACTCGTAATATCATCACCTGGTATCGGACTACGTCTTAGGCGATATTAACTACAACAGGAGAAGAAACAAGCAGTACCTACAAGATATGACCTAGACGAGCCTGGCGGTAATGTTCTAAAACGCCAATGCTTGCAGAATTAGAGGATTTACACGGCGGATGGTACGAGAGGTGATAGATACCAAAGCAGGCAGTCCTTTCTTTCTGTATTCTCCTTTCTCTGATTTTCTTGATATATGTCTCTTTATGGTATGGGATAAAGTCAATGCTTCCAGGTCCTACCTACCTGTGTTATTGCCAGCTGTATTCCGGACTCTACTTGCTTGGGCAGATGTTCCAAATGCCCAAATCTCCGGCGGTATCTCAAGCTGCTTCCTATTCATGCCTCTCGGTAAGTTTAAGGCATATCCCTGGGCTTGAGACATGCCAGTCGAACCCTCCATCGTAAACTTGCACCGCCCACCGTTCGCTGGCTGGCCTTGTCTATGTAGGCTGGGCCTGTTCAAGAGGGTCATCTAACACGTCGAAGAGAGACACTTATGCGCCTCGCAAATGAAGCTAGAGATGATGTAAGAGGTATGGCTGTGATTTGCAGCATTCACATTGGATTTTGAAGCTGTGCCTCTTGGTGCAGCTTTGCAAGGGCACCGTGATCAGCCAACTTTTGGACCCATTCGTGAATGGCTGGAGTGTGGTCCATCTTCCGGCGGAGGATCTTTTCCGTCTCCTCGTCATTTGATCGCATCCTCGCAACATAGTCTGAGCGTATGCCCATCTGGTCGTTGTAGAATTTCTGTCGCATTTCCAGAGCCCGTGTAGCATCCACTGATGGGTCACCCACTGTCCGCTGAAATTCCTTGAACTCGTCTGCCTGGTGCGATATTGCCAGAACATCTTCCGCGTCGAGCCGGTACTCCTCAAGTTTGTCCGAGCTTGAGCTGCTGATAAGACTGAATCTTCCACTTTTCGAATCATTCCACTCAAGCTTGCTAGCCCATATGTCTTCAAGCTCTTGCAAGCAGCAAATATTGATTGCCAAGTCTCGCCGAATCGATGCGAGCTGGTCTCCACAAAGAGCGAGAAGACTGAATGACAACCGATCTGTCTCGTATTGCATCATTCTGGCCTTAATCACAGGTTGCACAATTGATGTCCAGTGTTGTCCTTGTCCAACCTTACCTAGTGTATTGTCAGCGCCTGTGATCCATGAACCCCGGGCTCGAGCTTAGACTTATTAAGGTACTTACCAATGTGGTAGGGATTCCACTCAAGACCGTCGAGTTGCCAGACGTCTCCGCCTGCTGGAACAAAGGCAATGAAATGGTATGCGGTGTCAGTCGTGGGCTTCGTCTTCTTCCGCCTGGAGGAAGTCTTGGTTCGCTTCTTATTTTTGTCGTCTACTTCGTTCTGCAGGCTCAAGGCTGCGTTTAGAAGATCTAGCCGACTACAGGCTGTCAGCATTGTAAAAGCACATATCCAACGACGTGTGACAACCCTCTGTAACTTACCGAGTGAACGAGTTATGGGCGACCCGGATCCAATGGCTGTTAGTGAGTAAGTTCCCACGCAATGGAGGGGCAAGTTCCATTGACTCTTGCTTGAACTGGTCGAGCTTCTCACCGAGCGCGAGACCTTCAGCGTTCATGATGATGTTGAACAAGGCGACAGTGGCACACGCGTTATTTGTTGTCTGGGATTTGCTTAGCACACAGCGGTGAAACGGAGGCTTCAATGACTCACTTGGTTCGCAAACCACACCGTCTGGCCCGATTTAGTAGCCTCTGAGCTACCTTCCTCGACATATTCGTAGAGGAACACCAGCCCGTATGTCGGGTCACTAGCGTCAGTCAGCAAAAAATAAGTGAACCAAGGGTGCTTAGATGAGAAGGGAGGCCTACGGAAGCTGGGCAAGCGAGTCTTCGTCGACGGACAGCACCTCTTCTATTTTCGCGTCTTTGACTCCCAGCTGATCAAGAATGCCGTTGAAGAAGGCCTGTTCCAGTAGTCAGAATGGAATGCCCGGCACCGTAGCCCAGGATAGACGCAGCCCCCTTACCGGCTCAGATTCGATCTCAGTCCAGCTCGGCCACTCATCCTGCTCGTTCTCCTGCCATGGCCCGAGAGAAGCCTCCAGCAAGTTGTTGGGTACATCAAAAACCTCCGGGGCCGCCTTACGTTTTGGGTTACGACGGCTTGACGCAGCAGGCTGAGGTGAGGCTTTGCTCGTAGACGCGGCATTATGATAGGCCAAATCGTCAGTTCCAAATTCGGCTAGAGGTCTGCGCGCGCGATGGGAACGACGAAGAGCAGCGGAGGGTTTGCTGTCAGCGATACTAGGACCGGTGTCCTGGTTTGGGCTGCTGGGAGCCTGTGCGTGTGCCATTTGAAATATCCGATGCGATGATTTTTGACCGCTGAGCTATTGTTTAGTCGGCGGGGGTAGGGTGTGAAGAGTGCACGGGTGAGGCACCTGGCACGTCGGAACATAGAATCCGACAGGGCCGAATGAGAACCGCAACGTTTTCGTACTTAAGGTAGAGGAGTTGGCCTAGGAAGATATGTATTTATGTACGAGGCCCATGTACGCAAACGACGGAGAATGAAGAATTGTTCAATGCTGCAATGGGGGGGGGGGGGGGGGGGGGGGGGGTGGTTGCGCGCCTGCGTTGTAAGTATTGAGTGCATACGATGTTAAGGCTGTGGGAGAGGTCGTGGCACTCTGACGTAAAACGCAGGATGCTTCGTCTCCAGAAAGTCCGCCAATTCGACCTGGTCAACCGCCCAGTCAAGTGAGTGATGAAGAGGGGAAGAAAGGCTGCGGAGGAGTTAGCCTCAACGCAATGACACGAATGCTGCCGCCCTGTGCGATACGGTAGGCCGCACTAGTTTAAAGCAGTAAAAGAACTTGTAAGTTTCCATGAGATATATCAAAGTTGCTAGAGCCTAGAAGTGTGAAAGAAACACGACAAGCTCTTTGTAAGTGTTATAAAAACGTAGGTTCGGTATAAACTTACGGTTATTCTCTATATATAGTTTAATAACAAATTCAAAATCACTACCTAAATATTTAATTATAAATAAATTACATTAAGCATATAGGGATGCCTCGCTATATAATGTTGTAATAAAATAGAAGTTAGTATTTATCTATTGTGTATATAGGTATCTGCTAAATAACGATAAATACCCCTGAAAAGGAACATAAGCACCTGAGGTACAAATACTATTACTACGTACTTTAGGTAATATTTACTGGGTTTCGGAACGTCATTGTCCTCTAGGTTGATCTTTGAGCTCCGAAGTTGCGACAAACAACAAACCTTCACATAGATATAATTAGGTTTACACTACGTGCTTTCACCAGAGAGGCCAACGTCCAAAAGCTCGTCTACTCAAGGCCATTGCTTCTACCTACGGAATAAGTAGTTTGGTAAAAAAAAAAAAAGCTAAAAAAAAAAACTGTTGGTCTGTGCTGGTAAGACTCTTGTGGTATCTGTATCCGTACGGATAATACAGGTGTGTCGGAGGAAGCTAGGGAGGAAATAGTGGAGCCCTTGAAATGTGGAAAACATCTGGCCAATCAAAGTGTTTTAATCTCCCCATGGGTCGCCTTGCAAGGACGCGCCCACTGGGTTGTTCGCGTCGTGGTAGGACGCTAACGTGCCAGAAAAGGGAAATTTCGGCCTGTCCGACAACTGCATGTGGTTTGGTTGATGCGACATCCAAACACCAGGCCCATGAATGAGCACTGAAGAAGGCTTCCAGCAGCTACCGTACGGAAAATTACCCGCCCCCGACGACGCTTGACGTTTTCTCGGCCCCATCCCTCCTGTCGCCGGCGAACTCTGCTTGCGACAACCCGCGCGTCACAGCTCGACAGCAGCTTGACGGCTCAACAGTTCAACAGTTCGAGATAGCGACTCTAGAAATTCCCGAACACGGCATGCCATGAGCGACGGAGCGCCCCCCATCGGCGCCTTTCCGCAGACCCCTGTGGCAGGCCCGAGAAGAGGGCCTGCGCCCGCTGGCTCTTCTGGTCCGCCCAAGACGGCTAACGCCACACCTCCTCTACCTGTTGCTCCTCGACAGGGCACGGCACCCTCGGGCAACCCGGCACCGCTGATACCACTGAATGTGCTCGATGCGCCCACGCAGCGTCTCTACGCATTTGCTATCTATGCGGGCCTGTTGGCGTGGAAGCTTTACGACTGGACCCGGATTGTCGAGGAGGACGCCGAGTCCTTTTGGCTGTTATTGAAATGGGTCGCTATTGATTTCGTCGTCCTCTTTGGGCTCCCCGAGCTGAGGATACCATGGCTTGAATTATCGCAACCTTTTGTGGTCGTGGTCTTCTTCTGCCATGTCGTCTTTGACTGGGTTCTCATGTTCAACTTCGGCGTATGGGCCCTTCGTTTCAGAGGCACGAGGAAACTCTGCTGACTTCTTAATAGCTCCCCTGGCAAACGTGGCTCCTCGGTCTCCTCAAGGTCTTTTACGACCGAGAGATTGCGATATCAGAACGCAATGTCAAGCTGTCCAACATAATACACAACTCGTCTTTGATAATGGGCCGGCAAATCATCAATATCCTACCCGAAGGGTAAGTGCCCCAGGTTGGCTGTCTGGCTCCGTCTGATCGAATGCTGACTTGTCAAGATCTGCCGCACTCAATCCCGATCAAATCCCATTCTGTCTGGGAGGCGACCGTAAGATTGCGCCGATACCCATTTTCTTTAACGCCACTATTCCGGTTGAGGTTCAGCTCATTCGCACCGATCTTGAGTCTAACGTCCAAGAGATCATAAAACTGACGAGGGTCCAACTCCGGGATATCGAACGACGATCGAAGGTTCAAACCCAAGATGGGTCACAAGTAGTGGTCCGGTATGACTACCCTGCAAAGAAAGCCGGTGCCTATCAACTTGGAAAGGTTCTTGATGAGTACAAACTTGAGGTGCAACGGAAGACTCCTTTCACATTTGTTGTTCCATGTCCTCGGGCCTGGGTCGGTCCTGCGCCATCGTCTGGGCGATGCGTCGGAGATCTTTCCGACTTGTCTATCCACGTCGAAGGGACGCCTCCTCTAAAGATTATGTACAGCCGCAAAATCAATTCCGAGGATAGCAGCTTCCATTTCCAAAGCCTTCAACCAGAGGGGTTTTCTTCTCCTCTTACCGGGTCATCGCCTTCGACAAGTATTACAGATCCGACTCATGAAGACATATCGTGGGCTCGGCCTCGAGTGGTTCCTATCGGGCTTAATGAATCTATGGGCGTTAGCGGATCCTGGCAATACTCCGTGGACGAGGTTCGCGATGGGTTTCAGAACATTGTCAAGTATACCGCTCCTGCTGATGATCCCGACGGGAAGCCCAAACCGAAGGATCTGGTCCAGAACTTCGTTGTCAAGGAGCGCCCACGTATACAAATCGAAGGATGCGATTTAAGGAAGCCCATCAAGGCCCAGAAAGGTCAATCGACAGAGCTTCCAGTTCGATTTCACATGGCTCAGCTGCCAGATGACACTTCGCACAGTTTGACTTGGGAGTTCTCCCCCATCGATACACTCACTGAGAGTGGAGACCACGGTAGGGTGGTGATTCCTGGGAGCTACCGCGCGAAGAACAGTCGCGACAGACCCAAGATATCGGCCCCTGGGTTATACACCCTGAAATCAGTAGTCGCTGGAGCTTGCGAGGGCGAGGTACAGGAGCCATCGTCTTGCCTACTTTTGAACCCTCTCGAGCCTAAACTGGAAATACGGTCCGAAGAAATATCCGACACCTGTGCCGGAAACTCCATCGGGCTTCGAGTCGATATGGACCTCATTGGGACCCCGCCATTCACCGTCAAATACGACATTGTGTCAAACAATGTGAATAGGGAGAGCAAAACAGTACGCATATCTGGCTTGCGACATCAGATGGAACTGATTCCGAGGTTTGCCGGACATCACAAGTATACCTTCACCCATATTGGCGACGGCATATACGATGGAAAGAAGCTCGTGGGTCAAGAGTATGTTCTCGAACAAGATGTCAAACCAGCAGCCTCTGCCATGATCCAACACAGTACATCAGGGAATGCAGGCACTTGTCTTGGGGATGAGGTGGCTGTGGACATTGTGCTTCTTGGAGAACCGCCGTTTACTCTGGAATGGGAGCTTATCCACGAGGGCAAGAGAAAACAACAAAAGGCCACGAGCATCGGGGACAATCATTTTCAGATCAAGACTGCGGCCTTAACTCAGGGCGGAGAATACACCCTCGCGTTAACGAGCATTCAGGATAAGAGAGCTTGCCGGAGCTTCTTGCAGGACGAGCTAAAGATATCGGTAAGGCGTCAAAGCCCACGGGCCGCTTTCGGTCAGATCGATGGCAAACGGAAAACGCTTGATGTGGAGGGCTCAACGGTCAAACTCCCGCTCCGCCTTACTGGGGAGGGGCCTTGGACTGTTCGGTATACCAATCTCCTCGAGGGCGCTCTGTCCGACGCGAAGTTTTTGGAGAAGACGGTCGATAACAGCAATGGTTTCCTCGATGTTCAAACACGCGGCGTGTTTACGATTACCGATGTTCGGGACAACCAGTGTCCCGGCATTGTTGACCCGAATGCAGGTGCTTTTGAAGTCGACTGGTTTCCTCGGCCCGAGCTATCTGTAATCTCTTCTCCTGCCGTTCACCAAGAAGGCAGTGATTATGTGGTTGCTAGTGTCTGCGAAGGCGATATATCTGGATTCGAGGTTTCTCTCAAAGGTAGGCTGAGTCGTCCTCTTTTGTGGGTGCGTGTCATTACTTGCTCACATTGTTATAGGGACGGCCCCGTATCACGTCGAATATCAAGTTCGGCACCAGCCCATCAAGGGCCCAAGTTCAGTGGCCCGGAAAGCCTTTGACGCCACTTCTGGAAAATCATCAATTCTTGGGGACACGGCCAAGGCCGGCCAGTACACGTACACGTTTTCTTCACTCGCGGATAATCTCTACAACAGCGGGCGGGACTTGCAGTCACTTGTAGTGAAGCAAGTCGTTAATAGGAAACCCACGGCGTCCTTTGTGAAGCCGGGCCAGACGTTCAAGTACTGCAAGTCAGAAGAGCAAGACGAGGATAAAATACCTATCGAGCTAACGGGCGTTCCTCCGTTCTCTCTGGATATTGAGATCAAGCACCAAGGCGCCCCTATTCCCGAAATTTACAGGACACCGTCATTCAACTCTCATTCGTATGAGATTCAGATACCAAGACACTTACTGAAACTTGGAACCCAGCACATTCGCCTCCGAGACGTGAGAGACGGGAGCGGCTGTCATTCAATGACAGACATTGGGGCGCCATCTGTCCAAGTGCAGCTTTTCGAAGCACCAACAATATACCCGATGGAAACCCGTACCGACTATTGCGTCGGCGAGCGGCTCTCCTATACGCTATCCGGAACACCGCCATTCGAAGTGTGGTATACATTTGACGGTGCGGAACGCAAAGCCAAATCGCCAACTACGAGCTTTCGGCGACTTGCGGAGACACCTGGCGAGTTCGCCATCGCCACTGTATCCGACAGGGCCAGCGAGTGTCGTTCGCCTGTAAATATTGTCAAGAACATACACCCAATGCCGGCCGTCAAGATCAGCAAGGGTAGAAACGTTCAAGTTGATATCCACGAGGGCGGCGAGGTTGAGATCTTGTTCGAATTCTGGGGGACACCGCCTTTCGAATTCACGTACACACGCAGCTCAAACGCGCGTAAAGGCATGAGGAGTCACGTGCTGGAGACCAGACATGACGTGAGCCACGAACATAGTAAAGTCGTAAGAGCGAGCCAGGAGGGCACTTACGAGGTCGTGGCGATCAAGGACAAGTTCTGCGCATTCTCGACGCAGCAAGAGGAGAGGAACGATCGGCCCCAGAAAACCTTGAAATATCACTGAGAGACGCGGCGTGAGGCCAGTCAAAGTCAAGGTACGGCGAATAGCGCGGATTGGCTAGGCACGTTTGGGTGCAATGCATTCGACGCAGCTTCGGATAGATATGGGAATATTGTTGGTCTTGTGTAATTATCTTATTAAAGGAGGCAACCATAGCATGGCGTTTTTGTGGGCAGCAGGTAAAAATACCTAGGTTGATAGCTAGGACGAGGGCAGGGCCTGAGGTAGGCAGCGTGGCAAGATTTATGTTTATGGATAAGAATACCAAGTGATATCTGGCTGACACGAAACCCCTCGATGACACTATATCAGCTGTTGTCAGCCTGTCAGCGTCAACCGGAGGATGCGAAGAGGCCGTTATGCAGCAATTGTGACACAAAACTTTATTAACTTAATACGTCCGGTATTTTCGTTGACGATCTGGGCTTGACACGGTAGAAATAAGCTGAATCTAACCGGGACGCCGTGTGAGCGAAGGATACTCGTCCCCAATCTCTTTTGGCGAGAGCCTCAACCTTTGGTGCCGACGGATTCGGCGTCCCTTGCCTCTTGGCACCAATAATTCGATTCCAGCAGCGGCAGGGTACTCCGTAGTGTACATACCTGGTACTCAGCATGTCGAACTCCGGTATGTGGGAATGCCCGAAACCCAACCTCCCTCGACAGGTCAAATGATCACCCCGCGAAAAGAAACCTGCCTGTCGATCGTTGCCGAACTCGGCACGAGCGAGCTTGAGTGCGTCCTGGGCACCGGATTCTCGGCAAAACGGCCAGCGGCACTACTGCGCACATTCTGTTTATGCGATTTGCTGCGAAAGAAGTTGGAAGAAATAAAGGGGCGGAAAGGACTCTAGATCCGAGGCTTGACTAACTTAGCTACTGAAGCTGCGGTGGTTTATAAGCCAAGGGTTTGCTCAAGAACCGGGAATCGGTGATGGGCTCGACCACCTCAAGCTTGGGAACCCAGACCGGTCTGGCTAGAACTCTTGCGAGGTCTTTTTTAGCAGAGGCTAGAAGAAGAAGCCCCGTCACGCCTAGACAGGCTTCACAACATCGGTCCAGCCTTGAACCTATTACTCCATATTCCGTATGGGTCACCTAATTGGATAAGGCCTCGGGCGAGGTTCGTGAGCAGCGCCCTTTCCTCGCGTCGCCCCTTTTCAGCAGAGCAACCCGACGAGGGCAATTTCCATGGGAAAATGCTTGCACAAAATCACTGCAACGACTTGTAAGGACGGGCGGTTTACGCTCCTTCCCTAATAAGCAGCAGAGTCTAACTCTACCGTGGCGGCTCTAAGGTCGCAAACTAGAATCTGGAAGGCTAAGTCGTCGTCGCTCCTGCCACATGTGGCTCCGTGAGGTTTCCGAACTCTGGTTGTCCGCGGACGCTTGTCCAGCCCCCGGCCGCAGTCAGCCACCAAAGAACCCGAGCCGCAAAATCTCCTATTGCGTGCCAGCCGCCTCGAAGACCCAAAGAGAACGGTGACGGTGATGGCGGCGGCGGATGCGTCAACTTTATCAGTCGCACAAAGGCAGAGCCGGGGACGCAGGCTGGTTCAAGGAACCCTTGTCGCAGCAAACACCACTACGACGCCACCAGCACCAAGATCGACAGTCACCCAAAATGACCCCCGCAATAACCCTGGAAGCGTCAACTCACTATTGAGCACGCCTGCGCAATGCGTCACAGACCTTCTGTGGGAAGCCCGCGATCAAACACTGTCGCCTCAGCTGCTCCTACCTTGGGTACCTGATCTGTGTCAATTATGGCATATGCAAACTACTTATCATAATAAATAGGGTAAAGGTGCCTATACTATATACCCATCTAGGAGCCGTCCGTTTGTTCACCTTGGGGTCATCTGGGCTGGAATGCTGGAATGAAGGGTTTGGAGCAGATTGAAGCCACAAAAGCACGGCACACGGAATCCATTGATGATCGTCGTCACCCGCCTGATATTGCCCGCCATCCTGTTCCTGCACACCCCCTTCTTTTCTCCAAGTACCAATCCCCTTTCTTCCAGCCCGCTGCCCGCTAACTAGAGTAGGGAATGGTTTTCCAAGGGGAAGTGGAGGTAGGAAGCCCGCTGCTGTTACCGCCGGTTCTGTTTCCAGAAGGTACGAAGTACCTTTATGCCCGACACCTCACGTATTTCGGAATTAGTTGAGGTGGCCCCCTCTCTAATAGACAGACAGATGTATCTTTCTGGCTGCAGAAAATCCCGAATGCGTCTTTACTCTATATGCAGTATAAACCTATCTGGGTGATTTGAGGGTGGCTGAACGGTGATGGTGTTCGTGCAGTGCTCTGCAAGCATTCGACCCATATGTACCCATTTGCCTGTCGCATTGCGCCGAGAGCCTTTCCTCCCACCCTGGAGACAAATCCCACCTTGGGGTTCCCGCCAATCCCAGGGCCTCGCGTCACCGTCGCTCCAAGCTTCTGCAGTCTCCCGACTTTCCATCCCAGTTGCCCACGGCCGCCGCGCCCACGAGATCTTTCTCGGAGAGTCGTCCCTAAGGACCCCATCTATCGCTTGTCTCCCCTAACGATAGTTGTTGGCCTGCAAAAGTGCCATGGACATGAATTCGACCTCTAGCTCGCCCTAACTGACTTGTCGCTATCCCAACCCGAATCGACTGCGGCGCATTTTAAAAGGAAAAGACGGAGAACCGGCCGTGCCCACCCCGCCGAACTTGATTTCATACTGCCGCTCGGGTGCATTACACGTCGGCGAGGCCTTGTGTCGCCGATTCAACGGCGCTCAACCTTGAGAAAAAGTGGGAACGACGGTCGAGTCGGACTAGGAAGACCACGGTACGGAGTACTTACCTGCCCTGCTCCTGTGGGGATGAGGACTGCGTAATCTCCAAACTCGTGCATGTTAGGGGATTTCTCCCTTTACGAATTGGGTTATTTCTTGCTGCCAAGCTTATCGGCCGTTCTTGTCGGGATATATCAACTTGCCGACCGCGACGTCGGCGACCGCAACGATCGCGACGACCGTGTCCGGTGTCCTGGCTGTTGCCACCCCCCCGTCGCAACCATGCCGCCGCTCGAAAGCGACCTCGCCGCGGCGCAAGCAGCTGGCAATAATTCCAGCGATTTTGTGAGTACCATGCTGCCCGACCCTCTGTCCGCTGTGCTGGCGTGGGACTCCCTTCCATTCCCCCACGACTAACTTCCCGCCCAGGTGCGCAAGCTCTACAAGTAGGAACCCCCGCAGCGCACAACTACCTGCCAGTTACCCCGTACGAGAGGAGGCCGCTCACCAATTTTCCTTGCAGAATGCTCGAAGACCCTTCCTATAACTCGGTGGTGCGGTGGAGCGCCGACGGCGATAGCTTTGTGGTCTTAGAGGTAGGTTATCTACGACATGACGGGCACATACCGGAATGGCCACATTGCCGAACGAATATTCAGGTTCTGACGTCCTGTGACAGAACGAAAAATTCACCAAGACTATCCTACCTAAACACTTCAAGCACAGCAACTTCGCGAGCTTTGTGCGGCAATTAAACAAGTACGACTTCCACAAAGTACGGCACAATGAAGAAAGTGGCGAGACGCCGTACGGACGGGACGTAAGTGATCCCACCCAGCATGACACGCCAGCATTTGCGAAAGAGCTGACAACGGTCGCGTTGGTAGGCGTGGGAGTTCAGGCATCCCGAGTTCCGAGCGGATAGGAAGGATAACCTAGACAGTATCCGGAGGAAAGCGCCAGCTCCGCGAAAGGCACCAGCGGCCGAGGATGCCTTCCCAGCGACGCAACAAATTGTCGTTCTCAGCGAGTCGCTAGCGGCGACGCAGCACCAGATCCAGGCCTTACAGGAACAGTACTTTGAGCTCGCGCAGACAAACAAGGTGCTTGTCAACGAGGTCGTCAGTCTGCAAAAGATGGTCAGAGCGCAGAGTCAAGTTTCCAACGAACTGATCACACATCTGAATAACATCGAAGATAGGAGACGTAGCAGCCGCCACTCGGCCCACTCCAGCCACTCAAGTCACTCGGGTCCATCGTTCCACCCTGGAGCACTTGGACTTCTTCCAGACGGTGCCGATGAGCCCGCGCCGGAATTGCGACGGGCCCGTGAAATCCTCAACGGCGTTTCCGCGGATTCTCAGGCCGACCGGGAGCTCGAACGGTTATCCGTGGCGTACCATCAGAACGGGTCCCCGGCCGAGTCAGGCACCTCATCTGTCATGTTCACGCAGCCTGGTCCAGGCCCGATAGCTTTGGTCCATGATCCTCTCAATGACCCGAGGCATATGGTATATCCTGTAGGGCAAACAACGGGCATTGATCCTTTCCACTCAGACCATATCCACAACATTCCGTATAGTCGTCCGTTGAGCAATCCAAACGTGATGGCCGAGGGGCCTCAACAGATGACGACGCCACCAAAGGAACAAGGCGAGTCGGTATGGGGCCTGAAAAGGCCTCGCATACTGCTTGTGGAGGACGATAAAACGTGTGCGAGGATCGGTTCCAAGTTTCTGTTGAACATGGACTGCAGTGTCGAGACTGCTGTAAGTGCTGTCACCTCCCCTCCCCCCAAGAACCCGCTTCAACCAAGAACCGTCAGTCGGCGTCGAGTATCGTATATCGTTGACAATCATCCAGAATGACGGGCTTGAAGCTGTCGACAAGATTAATCATGAAAGTAACCGGTTTGACCTTATATTTATGGACATCATCATGCCCCACCTAGATGGTGTGTCGGCAACTGCCATGATTCGAATGGTGGCGCCGCGCATTCCCATTATCGCCATGACGTCAAACATACGGCAGGAGGATATCCAGACTTACTTTAACTTTGGTAAGTCAAGCTGTCCTTGGCCACACCGTGTCTCCCGCCGCCACGGGTGCTAACGTTCTTTTTAAGGAATGAACGATGTATTGGCCAAGCCATTTACCAAGGATGGCATGATCCGTATCCTGAAAAAGCACTTGTCGTATATGCTCAAGGATCCTCAGCCAGCGGGACTGGTTTCGGACGATACAGGCCAGCACGTTGGGGGGCCGGGGCCGGGGCCGGGACCTGCGGCTTCGTCCCAAACATATGGCGGCGGCGGCATGGCGGGAATGACCATAGCAACCATAGGGACAGGAGGGCAGGTGAAGTTCGAGCAGACGCCGGTCCAATCGCCGGCGACAACATCGTCGTGGCATTCTCCAAGCCAGATGACGCATACGTCACCCAACGTTGACAATGGCGGGTATATGAGCGCTGTTGGTAGTGGTTCTGGTGGCATGGTGTTGACGCCAGGAGGCACACAGCGACCTCAATTTGCGAACCAAGTTGTACCCCAGGTGGGGACACCGAATATCGGGCGCATACCGGAAGGAATGGCACTTGGTGATGATCGGCCTGAGAAGCGCCAACGGCTATACGGTCCATCACAGGGATCATTCGTGCAATAACGAGCATGGTCGTGCGAGTCGCCGCGTCGCGCTGCGGCGCTTCATTGGTGGCGTATGCGGGAAACCGAGGTGTACGGCGAGTTTCAAGGGCGGGTTTCTTTTGGCGTTTGGTATATTCGCGGATACATGGAATGTCGTGCTCGATTATTTTCGCCCGTGTATCTAGGTGTCTGGAAGTAGTAGGGTGTGGACCGAGGCAGGTCATGATGGATGACGATATTGATTCTTAGCTTTCAAGAGCCATAATAACGAAAACTTGGATAACAAACAAGCCTTCACAGCTTCCATGATGTGGGGGGGGGGGGGGATAATGCAGGTGCCAACTCGGGCACCTGAAGGCGTCGAGATGAGGAGCGGACAAGGGGGACAATGAGATAGCGACCAAGTACTGAGGCGGCGCCGAGACGGAGACGGAGGCGGCGCACCTAGATGAGAGGGTGACATATATACCACATATATGCTCTGTACCACAGAGACAACGTGTACGACAAGAGTGAAGTTGGGGGGGAGTATAAGTATGACGGTCCCAGGTCCAGGTGAAAAGGGAAAGTAGAAAAGGATACACGGATGGCGCCGGGTCTTCGATAGATGAAAAAAGTAAAAAAGAAGGTTGTGAAACACGACTTGGCCGAAATAAACCCCGTAGGGCTCCAACCTTTAAATGGTCCGTCCCCCCATCCTACGATGTATGTACGTATCCTTGCACTGCCCTCGATCACCAAGGCGGCCACTCCCCATCCCATGTCAGTCATCTCATGCCAACCTGCCCCACATCCGCCGTTTGTCTGTCGGGTACGGAAGACGACAGAGGTACCCTTTCGTACATTACGTCTGTGACAGGCTTTTATTCATGCTCCTTGTCTCGTTCCCGCCCACCAGTTCTAGTTTGGTGTCTAGCAGGCCCATGATGGTGGACGAGCGGACAACTACGTACGTGTAGAAAGAAGGCAATGTGGAAGGCCCAGGCTCGCTGATGGCCTGTTGAGAGTCTTTCTCCTGCCGAAGTATACCGTGTTATACGTACATGTACTGTGTGTAATATACCTAAGGTGCTATGTACACACGCAGGTACCTGACTCCGTACATCTCACAGACGACGACAAGGGGATGTCACTTGGGACATGCGCCTGGACAATAAAGGACCGTTTTTGCCATGTGCTGGCGGCGGCCTAGGCCCCGAGACAGACATCCCCCTTGACTGAGATCAAAAGAGCTGCGGCCTGAAGAAACTATGCCACGGCCCATCACACAGGGCCTACAAGAAATCGGGAAGCTCAGTGCGAGTGGATGGATGGCTGGATGCAGCCTGGGAAGGTCTGGCCCCACACGGCGCATGTGGGGCCGGGGGCTATCGAGTTCTAGGCTCTTTCCATCCGTCCCATTGCAACTTCGTTTGGGGCACACTTGCGCACTCGTCATCCGCGCGCCGCGCTGTCCTTCGTGCATGTGGTCAAGGTGCTGGTGCGTGAGTGGCATGATCCGTCCCATGTCAGCCATTCGTTCTCCTTCCTTTGTTCTCCACGAAAAGCCCCTTTTCTCGCACCACCACTCATCCGCCTTCAGCAACGATCCTCTAAACTCACATTGTGATTACATACGATATTCCCTAAACTCTTATCCTTTTTGCCCGGCAGCTTGCCCTTTCGCTCGTTCAATACGCAGGACCGATGGGAGTAGACCAGCTTTGCCTGTCGGTACCAGCAGAGCGACAGCTCTGAGAAATGGCATTAATTGTGCACACGGCCCGTTTCTGTATTAGAACTAAAATTAAACGTCAACCGAACGTAAAGAGGGACCCAGCAACCGGGCGTGAGAAATCGGTCATTTTTGACTCACCAAACCAGATCCTCCCCTTCCCCCACAGACACTCCGCTGACAGCTTCCCGTGGGCTGTGTGTTTCATGTCACTACTCTCGGGACCTAGTGTAGCGTACGTAGACTGCTGCTTCGAGTGAGCAAAAGCTAGGCGACGCTTCCTCATCCCTGTTCGCGCCAGAGGAGAGGGCACCCGGGTTCCACGTCATCAAAAGTTAATCTGTCTCAGCGCATTGCCTGCCTTGGGTTGTTGAACGGCCCGAGTGAAACGGGGTAATTTTGGGAAAGGGGAAGCGTAGCAAACCAGACGGACGAACGACGCCAAACAGAGGTTCGTCAACGGCACACTCCCGGGATCGTATTCTGGCCGGGCCTATTTGTGGGCTTTAATGCATGGCATGGTGTGTGTGGCTGGGAAACGTTGGCAGCACCACTCCACCAAAAGAACTGGACTGGAATCTATCTGCATGGCCAGGGGTAAGTTCCGATTCCCACCCACTTTCACGGTGACTATTTTGAGTTCTAGACAAGGGCACAATAACCTCGTTCCTCCTCACCCTTCAATATGTAAACCCATTCTGTTCCACACGTCTCAACATTGAGACGCGTCCAAAGAATGGTAATCATCTAGTAGGTATCTTAAGTTAGGTTAGAGGATACAAACCAAATATGACCCGGCTGCTCATAACATCTAGCTGCAAGAAGTCTACGTGCCTAGTTCGACTTCGCGTCAGCACGGCGATTCCACTATTAGCTTTGAAGATGTAATGCTTGGTTATATGCAGACCGACGATGGGTAGTTTCGGCTTGTCATGACTCTGAGCACCGTTGATATTCCCTTTGCGAAAGAGGCCGCTTACAAAATGGGTAAGGTGCTCTACTAACCTAAGTTAACCCTCTAAACTTTACACCAGTCCCCAGATCGACAGGTAGTCAGCCCTGTCATTGAGCCACAATTGACCCCGCACCCCAACTTCAAGTTCAAGCTTTGTTCGGATAGATTTTGACATTGGCGGATAGATTGGAGCTTTGACTCATCCAGCAGCAAACTACCTATCTTTTCTTCTACAAACTTACATCCTTTGCTTCCCAACCCACACCATCACTCTCCTCCTCAGTCGAGTACCCCCGTGACAACCTTCGAAGGAGGACACATTCAATGTCTGTGAAGCAGGGCCCGAAAGGCGGCGCCGCGGCCGGCAAATCGAAGAAAATGGCCACGCCTGGCGCTCAGGAGAAGAGGGAAGACGTTCTCCAAGCCGTCGTAAGTGTCGCAATCGGAAGCTCGGTTACCGTAATATATTGAGTCTTTGAGACTCACGCAGACTTAAATCGCAGATCCTCGCAGATTCCTTCCAGGATAGGTTCAGGCCCTTCAGCTTAGCGAAGCCACGAGTACGTCCCCCCTCCCTAATGCGCCGGAGGGAGCATCAGTCTCGTACCATGATCTAACAAGCCTGAAGTGTCTCCTCCCCATCGCCAATGTACCGGCAATTGAATACACGCTGGAGTTTCTAGCTGCCAATGGAGTACAAGAGGTATTCATCTACTGTGGCGCTCATTCCGAAGCCATCGAGACCTACGTCCACGATTCGCAACGATACAGCTCTCGGAGCATCATCAATCCCTTCTCCTCTATCGAATTCATTCGCGTGTCAGATGCGACCTCGGTTGGCGACTTCCTACGCGACCTAGACAAGCGCGGTCTTATCGGAGGCGACTTCATTCTCGTGCACGGCGACCTAGTTGCGAACATCGAATTGGATGGCGCCCTAGCAAAACACAGGGCTAGGAGAGAAGCGAACCGGGATGCCTGCATGACAATGGTTCTGCTCCAGGTCCCACAAGAGCACCGCGCCCTCAAATCCAGGGTGATAACACCGGAATTCATCATCGAGCCGTCAACTGGCCGGTGTCTACAGTACGAGGAGAGGCATCCTCTCCAAAGCGACCACTACACAGTCCTCGACCCCGCGCTCTTCAAATACCCCGAGTTTGAGATCCATGAAGATCTGATTGATTGTGGAATCGACATATGCACCCCCGAGGTGCTAGCGCTATGGTCAGAGAGCTTTGACTACGAACTGCCTCGAAAGAACTTTCTGCACGGCGTGCTGAAGGACTGGGAGCTAAATGGAAAACTAATTTACACCGAGATTATGGAAACTGGTTACGCGGTGCGCGCCAACTCTCTCGCGATGTACGAATGTGTCAGCAGGGATGTTCTCGGGCGCTGGACATTCCCCTACGTACCGGAAACCAATTTCGTACACGGGATGTCGTATAAGAGGGTCAGAGACGGATCCCGCTTAGAGGACGGTGTCTCCATCTCAAGGGAAGCAAAAGTGACAGGATCCGTTATTGGGAGAAGTACAGAGGTGGGTGTCGGGGCTACAATCTCGAGAAGTGTCATTGGGAGCAGGTGCAAGATTGGCAAAAACGTACGGATCGAAAACAGCTACATTTGGGACGACACGGTAATCGGGGATGACTCATGGGTGATTCGATCCATCCTAGCGGAATCTGTTGAGATTGGAAAGGACTGCCGCATCCCAGAAGGCTCTCTCATTTCTTACAAGGTACGAATTGGGGATGGACAGTTGCTACCTCCAAATCCAGCACCACGTCTTTCTCTCTTGCAGCACGACGGAAGCCTTGCCGAGACGGATTCATCAATCGTTGGTCAGGGTGGCGCAGGTGCCCTTTACGAGGGACCGATAGAAGAGGACGATGATGAATCTGAGGATGGTGACGGGACAGATCCTGCCGCTCTACAGAACTCGCTCATATTCTCTCTCGCACATCTCAACCTATCCGCTTCGTCAATATCAACGCTTGCCTCACACGACGAGTTCGACTCCGATCACGAGGAGTCGGAATCAAGGCTTCTTCGCCCTGATAGCTCTGGCGCATCGCGTAGTCGCCTCTCTTCCTTTGCCTCTGATGACTCCGCCGCCGCCTCGTCCTTGGACGCATTTCACAGCGACGCAGTCCACGGGCTTGTGGACGCGCTTCGTGCTGACGACAGCGTAGACTTTGACTCGGCTAAGCTCGAGTTCATGGGCCTTAGGTTGGCAAACAATGCGTCAGATAGTTCCATGCGCCGTGCCATTGCTGTGGCCTTTGTTCGGCGCTCCTCCGAGCTCCTTGGTGCGGAGAACGGCGGACTGGAGCCAACCAAGGCTGCGGAAGAAGCCTTCACCTCCAAAAGAGGCGCCGTGAGATTTATCAAGGAAGTAGGTGTGGGAGGCGATGACACCAGCCGACAATCGGAATTTGCTCTTGCCCTGCAGAAAGCTCTTCTCGCCGTAAAGGGGCTTGAGGCTACGCGCGCCGGCGCCTTGCTTGCTGCTATGCTGCAGCAGCTCTACAGCCTAGATGTTCTTGAGGAAGAAGGGATTCTCGCTTGGTGGGGTGATAAACGGGCTGCCGAGAACGACAGTCTGGCCAAGATCAAAGAGAAGTGCCGCGTGTTGGTGGAATGGCTGGAAAACGCAGACGAGGAAGAAAGCGACGAAGAGGATAGCGATTGATTCGACATGACAGCGGCCTTTGTGTTCGGCGTGTGTAGGTCGAATTGAATACGTTTGGCTTCGGTTTGCTTTATAGGTATTCTTGACATAACATGCACCATCAAAAGTTCAAGTGGGTAGATGATCGGTACCTAACCCCACGAACTTGATGGGCATGTTTCGCTGTAGGCTTCGATGAAAGCTGCAACGTAGCGGTCCATTTCGACCAGCCCTGTCCTGCTTTTGTTTATTGTTTCATGGGAACGCGGAATGATGTTGGTGCCGTTACATAACAGGGTCCATCAGGCTTAGGTAGCCGCAAGACAAATATATAGCGAATGGAGAGAGAAATAATAATAAAGTAAAGGGGTGAGGAGCTGAAAATGTGCACAAAATGCAACTCCCTTTGAGTATCGTCAACGGCGCGAGAGTCCAGGCTTCTATCCCCAGAACGGTTAAACGCGTGCCCAAGAATACCACCATAACATAACGCGCATATCTTTCTTTACACGTAGCCATGGGTCAGTGTACGGGATGTTGTTCGTCCGCTTCGAGGTAGAGATCCCAGATACATGTGATACGGACCTAGGCATATATTTGAGACTCTTCCAAATATGTTCACTGCTTTAACTAACCTAGCAGCAACACGCTGAGTGCTAGAGAGCCATGTGGAATAGACAGATGTTAAAATATATCAGCGGAGTAGAAGCATGCTGCGCATATCAACAGGGTGTGTGTAAATAGATATGTACTAATTATGCACAAAAATTAGGTAGTTTATCCCGACAAAGCTCACTCCCAAGCATTTCCGATCCGATCGTATAGTCCCCAAGACACCTGATGGCTCGACCATTTGCGAGAATACACAAACCCCCCTTTGCCGCCCCAACATAATCCGCCAAAGATGCCCAAACGATACCAATAGGGAAGCCGACCCCCCTCCCCGAAAAGGAGAGGAAAAGGAAAAAGTCGCCTGAACCCAGAACCGACTGTCGCTAATAAATGGTGCGCCAAATCCTAGCTCTGGTATTGCGATGCGTGAAATAAATGTGGCAAGGACGCCCCCAAAAGCTGCCGATTAAAGCCCTGTAGTGCCCATTCTCATGAAATATGTCGTGCTATCCCGCCCTGCCGTCGTCGCCACTGACGGCTCTATCCTTGGTATTCCCATGCCTTACTCGAATAAAACAAGAAATTAGATTATGCGGTATAGTGCCGAGCAATGTGTGAAAAATGGGTTATCGACTAATAATAACCGAGAAGCCATCAACCCAAGAACCGCAGGACCCCGTCACGCCGCAGATATTGTAGCCTCTTGGCGGTATTAGGGTATGGCTGCAGACAAGGTTAGTGCGATGCCGATGAGAATGTGACGTAGAAAAATTCGGAACAGTAACGTACGCAGAGCCGCCATATGCATTGCCAAAGATAGGTGATCTCCTGCCCATGCTTGTCAAGACCTGGATGGCGTCAATCCAGAAACCGGCCCGGACAAAAAACCCAGTGATGTATTCGCCGCGACGTATATCTAAACAAATAGTGAATATTAGTCAGAAGAGATCAGCAGAGAGAGGGGTAGATAGAATGGTTCCTCGTACCCATATCAAATGTGTCGCCACCCTCCTTCCCGCTGCGCTTGCCAAACAGCTGCCGCGATTCGTCATCGTAAACAAACTCAATGCCGTCCAGAGCCAGTCCATGATAGAACACAACCCGGGATAAAACGCGGCCTTGCCGCAAGGCGCTCGTGAAAACAAGCTCCTGGGGCTTGCTATCACCTGTTTGCGACAGTCCAAGTTTCTTACCCCGATACGCCATTTTCCCAAGGCCGGGGACGGCCCCGGGAAGTCTAAAGTAGGAATCTTTGGAGCACAATTTTCCAAAGTCGACAATATCCAACCCGCCACCGGCATTCGATTTGATGCAGATCTTCAGCTTCCCCTTCCGCTTGTCTTCCGGCAGTCGGTTTCGAAGGTCTTGTTCACTCAGCGTGACAAGGCGTTGGGTTGACCCATTCTCGACAGGATACTCAATCCAGTTGTGACAGACATCGTCGCCTTCGCCGAATATTTCTAGAAACAAGATGCCTGTAGCGGATGTTACCATCACATTGCCATTTTCTACTGGCCATGCTTGGACACTATCGTCGACGCTCATTGGCGGATCATTCGGGAGTCGAAAGCAGGGGTGGCTTCGGAACCGTAGGCAGTCTAGACGGTGCCAGCTGCACTCGTCCTCTTGGAAGACCGGGCCGCCTTTAGACCGTGTCCGGGTTGAGTAGGCTTCCCGTGCGAGAAAGCTTCGGTTTAGCGTGACGTAGTCTCTCAACATCACCCCGCTCTCCTGATGTGGCAGCCCAAAGAGGTGCCCTGTCTCATGTAGGTGAGCACCGATACCGATGTTGGCTGCTTCCCAAGAACTTCCAGCGTCGTTGCAATCGTTGCTGACAAAGTTTGTATCGGTCGGTGTACAGTCACTGAAGGCGGGTACTACGTCCTCAAAGCACGATGGGTAACTTTGAAGACAGTGCGATCCGAAAATGCCAAGCTGGAGGTCACCAACTCCACCACCTAATGCCGCATGTGATGTGATCACCTTTGACACTTTGTCCCAGTGCGAATCTAGCAGCAGTACCGACACGTACTGTTTCTGTCCAGGAAGCGGCCTGAAGTGTGCCTTTACCGCGTCTGCGGCGATATCAAATAAAGCTCCCTTATCCGTCGCGCTAGGGTTCTGCTGTGCTCGGTTAAGGTCCCGGAGCTCGGCCAGAGTCTTCTCTGTGCGGATGATGTGTATACGGGCCTCGGATCGCAAAGTGCCACTTTCTCTATCTCTCAAGTTCGCCGTACCAGCGGTCCACTCTTCGTCAAACCTGAAGACACGGCGTCCAAGCTTGTTGCGCCACATCTGCTCGGCGGTGAAGGCTTGCCACAGATATGCAGCCATTCGAAACTTGCGAATCGCCGTGTCTAATCCGTTGCCTTCTCGCTCAATGCGTGCCGGGACTGCGTTGAACGTGCCGGGCGAGTCCTTGGCCAGTAGAATCGCCAACTGTAGCGGGGGCGCATTTATAGGCGGAAGCATGTGAACTGTTAGGTAGGAGGCGTGGATAGGGTTGGACGAGCCGCTGTTGGCAAGTTTGGGGCTCGCAAAGTCAAATCGTAGGCGGTTGGCGCCGGGCATCATATACACCAAAGCTTTGAAGTGAGAGTCGCACACTGGCCATGATGTAGGGGGGAAGCTATCGTCGAGCCGACTGACGGTGAGGGTTCCGTCAAGTGACTGCTGAGACGGGTCGCCAACTGTTCCAGACACGAGCAGCACCTTTTGGTATACCTATACGGAGTATCTAGTTAGCCTTTTAGTGCGAAGAACAAGGGGGCACCGGGGGCCGCGAGGTGGGGATGGAGACCATAAAAGCTCGTGATATATTCCCCGGCGGCGCGCTTTGCTAAAGCACTCACCCATGAATTCTCCGACAAATTGGTCACTCGAGGAGAGTACTGAGATATAGGTAGACTCGGCACCCTCCCCCCTTGCGCTGCTGGTACTGGCGACCCGAGGCCCGCCATGCCTGACACGCTGTACCGATTGGTGGCGGCGTTTGGATAAGGCTGAGGGGGCGGTCGCGAGAGCGGTATGGAATTTGGGGACAGCAATTGGTCTTTTAACAGCAAGTTGAGGGCTGGATCTGACTGCTGGCCGATCGAAGGAGGAGTTAGAGAACCGCTAGTAGGTGTGTTGCCTTGACTTGCATCGCTCGCTGTATCGGTCGATCGCTCTGTCCTGAAGCTTGCTCTCGACCGCCTTCGCAGTTCCTTAAAATTCAGGAAGGACGGGGTCATGGCGCCGGATTATGAATCTTCACTTCTTGCCAGTGCCAGCGACCATGTGAAGGGAACAAACGAGCGGGGTGGAATGCTGGCGAACCGGAAGCTGGACAAAGCTTTTGCAAAGCAATTGAAGGGCCGCGCAGAGCTGCAACAAGCTTGGGTGGTTAGGTCCAACGGTCAGAGGCCCAATGCCAATGGGGAGGGGCAAAGGTGGCGGAGGTGGCGGAGGTGAGTAGGTAGGAACCGAAAGGTTTGCGGTCCGAGAAGGAGATAACAAGATGGGGGTATTGCTGGTGTAACAGAAGTTCTTGCAGGCTAGGTAAATATTTCCTGTTTGAATCAATCTGTGTTGCGATTGCATCCACAGTTGCGTTCCTGAGCCCCAGCTGTGCGACAGATGGGTCGATGACGTATTTGCGGGTTGGAGAGAAAATGCACACTGCTGTTGTTGCATTGACCTAATTTGCTGGCGATAGCTGCCTTGCTCTCAGAGACGAAATCGCGCGACCCCCGGTCCCTGGTCAGGCTTGAAGGGGGGGTTTTTGGATTGTTTCGCGGCTGGCGATAAAATACCACGGCGCGTTAGCTGCAACGACGATAACAGGGAGTAACTCCTCAGCGTCCGCCACAAAGAAGATCCCAGGCGTGTCTTGGAGCGATACAAGATCTTGAACCGGCAGCAGACGGCAAGAAGATGCAGAACAGATGGATGGGGGTGTGCGAGGCTTGAGATCCACCTGCCACGGGAGTTGCTCTTTCGTGTTCCTTGGCGACCGAGATCGACAACGAATCGGGTTATCGTGTAAGGAGCAGTCTTGTGCCGTCGGTGGGTAACGAACGGAATCTTGGAAGGCAAAGGGATAAACAAGGAAGGAACCCAAGATAAGATGGAGCCGCCAGCTTTCCTTCGGCCTTTCTGTTTCCAAATCACCTCACAGCCGCAACAAGCGGGACGGGATTAGGACAGGGGCTGTTTGTATTGACAGGAAGCGGCCGCGAGACTCGACACGAACCCGGATTGATTTAGTAAAAGGATGCAATAAGACAAAGATGGTGAGTAGCGGCCAAAAAGGGAAAGGAAGGGGTGCCACAGTAATCTGCAGAGGACACGAGGGTATTCGACGAGGTGTACCGACGCGAGACAGTGACCACAGCTTATCATGGCGACGGGAGGAAATCGCCTGCCCATTCGGTAGTAAAGCTATCCCCAGCAAGCCAACGAGACAAGCAGCCCATCTTCGCAATCGCCTGGCTGGCATCATTCCACCCCGGTCTCGCTAGGCGCTTTGGCCACTGCCTCACCGTGGGCTTCCCACGGCGGTGGGTGGGCAATCTCACTGTTCCCAACCCACGATCGACCTTGAAGCACGATCGAGGGAATACGTAGAGGTAGCTCGACTGATGAAGGGAAGAGAGCGTGAAATACGAGCTGCTATGCATACCTGAGGTGCCCCATCCCCCACCCTTTGCAGGAGGCTGACTCCAGCACTGGATTGTTTTCCCCAGAACGACCATCCCGTGAGTTTGCCCTAGCTATTCGAGCTAATATCAGTCCTCGGGAAGCTATAGGGCGTAAAACGTGGGCTCTATTGCATGTACTAGGTGGTTTTTCCAAAGGCAGATGAGCTGTCATTCATCTTGCCAGGACCCAGTCCCGGCATCCACTCGTAGAGGTAACGGGAGCACTTCAGCCTGTCCACCTCAAACCAGGCTTGCTCGGCTGTGGAGAAATTGGGCGCCCGCCCGCGTGCTGTCGTGGAAGACATCGAGCCACACCGAAAACCTATGGCGAGGAAGGTACATGCGTACCCGGTAGTTATGATGGATGTGATGCCCTTGGAGCCCTGTCATTGCCATGTATGGTAGCTGTGAAGACGATGGGAAATGAACGTGCCTTCAAGTTTGAACGTGGAATATACATCCCAAAGCCCTGTGCCATGGGTGCCTTAGGTATTTCCTCGACCGACATTCGTGGGGCAGAGTGGCTAGCTTTGTAGTTGGCCACCTTACGTCCCGTGTTCGCAAAGGTATGAGTAGTATCATATCGTAGATACGTTGAATTAGTCTATTGCAGTAGTTGGCCACAAAGCACCGACCTACTCTACTACCTAAGGTAGGTGTACCCCTTATGCTTACCTTGATTATCCGGGCTGTTTATTGATTTAGTTTATAGCGAGTTTTGTCCCGGTAGGCTGACGTCCCAAGGTTCCAATTTTTTGTTAGTTTCAGTAAGGTACGTTCTTCCTCACCTGCGTATTTTACATTGAGGTACGAATACACGAGAGGCCAAGCCAATGCACCTGTCCTGGTCCGTGTGGAAACCCGTATTTTCAAGGCAACAGGGAGCGTTGGTTCGAAAAGCGGAGAAGTTGGTGCTCGAACCCCTGTAAGTCTCTCTGCGATTCGCTGGACACCTCAGGCTTTCCATCCATGTCCCGTTCCCTCTACAGCCCAGTAATTCCGTCCCGGGGCCAGTGCTCACACTGGGGCTAGTACCCAGGTAATCAATCTGCCGGTTTCCAGAGGAATGCGAATTTAGGTGCTCCAATCTCTCAAGCCTCCCTTTGGTCCCCTCAACTTCGGTCTCAACTCCCGTTCAACTTCTCCATACATCATCCCGGTGCGCCCCTGCAAAGCCTACCTAATAGAGCCACATGAAATACGGTGCCTGAAAATCTGGTGTTGAATCTTGCAACCCATCAGAGGCTCGGCGGCAGCCTCTCCCGTCACTATCGTCAGTCGGTGTTACAACCCCTCGGCCAGAAACAGCAGCAGCAGGAGCGCAACAGCACGCACCTAGGCGCCGGACCTTTGGACCGCCAATTTCACCAGACCTACCATCGATCTTTCTACAATCCCCACCTATAACTATCATGTCTCAACGAAGGGTCATGTCGTCGCCAATGAAGCAAAAGCCGGAGGCGGTGGCAGATAGGGTTCTGAAGCGTCTTGAAATCAGCAAGGTATGGTGACAGGGCCTGGACCACACCCCTCCCACAGAACGATGCGCTAAATGGATGATTTTGCTATTAGATGGCCCGGAAACTTCAGGACCGCCTCGCACTGGCGCAGTTCAAGACGAAATATGGTTGGGAGGATCTGACGCTAGACAGTCTCGAGCCTAAGCTCGAGGAGGAGAAACGCAAACGAATGCCTGACGGTGACATACTGTCCGACTCGTCTTCGAGCGCATCCGACCTACCGTACCCCACGAGGGCCTTGATGAGCTCACCACTTAAAGCCCCGTTCTTTTCAGACGCCGTTGGGTCTAGCAGCGGGAGTACTGGCCACCGGAAGCGTACCTACATGGCCTCATTCGACCACATTGCGTCAAGTCCCAGCAAACGCTTCCGCCACTCACCAACAGCGCACAGGTCTTTCACAACCGGTCATACATCTTGGAAAGACCACCACCAGCTTGCACAGTCATCGCCTATAAAACCTCGGCGGCAACAGCACTTCACCACGTCAACAGGGCCTGATGTATCGTTTTTTGCAGGCTCAGGAAGGATGGCTAATGCCCTTATCGCGCCAACTTATGTCATCAACTCCGATGACGAGGACGAGGACGACCTTCCAATTTCCCACTCATTTCGACCGAGCCATACCCGAGGGTCGCCACCCCAAACACCACCCATGCGGAGCCGCTCCGGTCCCAGCAAGAACCGAGACAAGATGTCGGCCGCGGCGCCAGCGGACGATATCAAGGCCGGCGAGGAAGGTGCTGATCTCCTCCTTTACCTGGCAGCGTCACCCTCGCCGGCGAACCCCAAAACTAGCAGGATGGAGCCTCCATCTACTCCGCCACCAAAGAATAAGCTTGCGCTGCCATCATCTATGATGACCACTCCAGGGGGCGGTCTTCCGTTCCCCAACACGCCAGGCATCGCCTTTGACTTTTCAGACTTTGTCCATATGACACCCAGCCCAGCCCAAAAGCCGTGGAAGACGCCGGGGACGCTGGGAGGGGCCAAGACACCCCTCAGTGTTGCGAGACGACGAATTAACTTTGACGAGCTGCTACCTTGACAAAAAAGGGATGAGCGTATGAACGCGAATCCCCCTCTTAGCACATATACATATTGAGGTTTACCTTTCCATCACCTGACCCTTGTCATTACGTTTTAGCCCATTCTTTGTTTCTTTGGGTGCCTATTTGGACGTCTGTTTTACTCGTCATGATACCTCGACACAGGCCGGTCTCGATCTCGGCAGCCGTACAACGATTATTTTCTTGCTTCCTTCTTTTACGTTTTATGTCTGTTCTGGCGTCGCCATATGTTACTTGGTTGTTGGCTTTTTCTATTTAATTGGACGGCGTATGGGGGTTTTCACTACGGTGTCATAGTCATGAGCCAAGCGTTGGAAACGGTTTGGATGCTCCTGGCTATTGCCGTCAGTTTGGTGATGTAACTATCTAAGAGGCGGCCAGCATGAAGAAGCGCAGGCTAGACACAAATGGGTGTGGGCATATTCCTTTAGGAGGGCTGATGTATTTAGAGGCGGCGAAGTGTAATCACTCGTTTCGCAAATGCCCAGCTTGTATTGCGTAGACGAAATGGTCTTGTTAAATTCCCTGTGTGCGCGTTGAGCGCTCTATAAAATTTACAGCTGGCGGTTCGATCAATTGGCCTTGAAAGATCAATCATTCATCTGCTGGGCTGTTGGCTTGTTGGTGCCTCTCTCTCAACTGGCAGGGCGGGAAATCACGCCACGGGTGGACGCGTTCTTCGCGACTTTCCGAACGCGTTTCGCGTTAAGGCGCTAGCTGATGTAACCAATCACATTGCAATTGACCTAAAGGGCTTTGCCCCCCCAACACGCGTCCAGGGTGTTGGCGGCGCGAAGCAATTAATGCCCCTGTACCCCTCTCAGCCCCACAACCATTCGGCTCGTGGCTCACTGCCTGCCAAGCGCCTGCCACGGTCTCCTTTCCTGACCCCCCTTTATTTAGACCGACGGCGGCATTTACAAGTCCGGGAAAATCATTTGAGGTTTGATAGATCTTAGTCTCAGCGCCTAGTAAAACCCATCTACAACGCAATCTTCAGATATAGCCAATCAAGATATTTTCCTCAGGAAAACATTCTTCAGAGCTTGGAGTTCTACTCTTGAAGTTGAATCACATTCCCCCGGTTGCTAGAGCTTGCAATGCCGAATTGCCCTGCCAACGCAGCAGGGGCAGATCAAATTAGATACCTAGGTATCTGGCAGGTATCGCATTGTCCTTGCAACGGGGCAAACACGTCTGCTAGTTTGAGTTATCTGAAGCCTATCTTGCTTAGCGTGTACGTGGTGATGGGTAAAGGCCATTCCACAATGGTGAAGAATCTAACTGTGGAAGTCCTTAAACAGACGAAACAAAATACATAAAAATATGAATAGAGGCTATCTGATCTTGCACCTTGCGCAGAGGCTCTGCATATCGGTACTGACCTACGTTCAACTTTTGGTTCAAGGCCTGTATTATTCCAACGCAGTCTCACGTTATTTTCCACCTGGGAATCCAGCAGCCGCTCGTTAATATCTTGTTGGGGTGGACTGTACTGTACTGGTTCAAGCAAGACGACGTCAATACTGATGCGTCAAATAGTCCTTTGCAAATCCCATTAGCGAGCGTAGCTACCCAGGCAGGCACTTTATCGTATCCACTACATAACAGGCAGTCCAAACTCAGCCCAGCGGTTCTCCGGCGAAACGGGTATATATAAACATAACACTGACCCCCCTTGTGCTTCCCCAAGCGTCATGTCATAATACAGGCAGGCATTTACCAACCAAATCGACATTGCCTTATCCCCTTTCAAGCTCACCTTCCTCACTCCAAACGAAGACAAAACAGCCTAAAGACATAGGCAAGAGCCTGTATCGCGCCCTAGTCCGTTGTAATAAAGCTTCATACCGCTATCCTTCATTCCTTCGAGTCATCTTGACATTCACCCTCGCGTCTAGGCTGGGACGCAGAGCAGTTACTAGACAATACAGTAATAGACAGGCAGAGCACGCACGCCCAGATACAGACATCTGTTCTCGGCTCCCTTGATCCCGGCCGCCCCATTGATTCCGACCCCAATCCTGGGGCCTGACCCAAGGCGCACGTACAGGTTGGGGGCAGGTAGGTATTTGGGAGAACAACACTGAATAAAATCCCGTTGCGCCACCTCCTAGGTCTCGATCGCAGCCAATCCAGTCATGAAAACGACAGTGAGTTGATGAAAAGTAAAATAAAAACGCTTAGCTGAGCAACAAATCCCAAAAGGCAAAAAGCAACGCCTGGCGCAATGGCAGCCGTGTCTCATCTTTTTGTACACCGGCACAATGACGAACCATAGGAAGAAAGATGGGGGGAAGGAAAGCTACATCGCCCTTCCTACGCTCTTTTGGCTCCCGGCACTTTGCCGTCTCTCCCTCCCACCGGGAGCCTTGGCCACCGCAGCTTCGCGCTCCAGCCGGTCGCGCCACCCTTGTGTGGGTGACCCCCGCGGCTCCGGGCCGTCCCAGCGCGTCGCGGCCGGGCCCACGTCGGGCCCCGGATCACTCCAGTCGCCCATACTTACTCCGCTCGAGTACTTTGAGCTGAAGCTGTCGGTCCGGGTTCGTGCGCCCGCCGGGCGGCGTGGTTCAGCCCCCCCTGGCCCAGTGGCTCCGCCAACCCGGCTGTCGCGTGGCTCACTCCCAGCCGTTCCTGCGGTACTGCTAGTGATGCTGTTCTTCGCGGCACGGGCCCCCGCCAGAAGCTCTGGTCGCTCCAGATCAAAGGGGTCTGAACGGAATTTATTGCGATGGGTCGTGAATGATCCGACTGACCCCACGCTTTCGCGGCTGTTGTAGAGCGCACTTGGTTGCCGGGTTGTGTTGCTACTGACCGATTGCCCCCGTGACCTCCTCATGTCAATGACATAGGTGGAGGGTTTAGCCACAGCCGCTGTCGAGGGATCCCGGATGGCATTGAAATCGCTAAAGGGATTGCTCGGCTGGCTGACAACTAACGGTGCCGGTTGCGCAGATGTGTGTGCCAGAGCGTTGGCGTCACTGAAGGGGTTGTCGCTAGAGCTGCCAAAGTTAAGGCTGAGCCCGCCGAGGAAGTGATCGGCGGATCCGGCACTGCCGTTCTTGCGCGAGACGCTGGCGCGACGCCGCTGTGCTTCCCGATCTAATTCGTGGTCATCCATGCTAAGGAGGGTGAGGAAATCGGGCTGCGAGCCCAGCTTTGACCTCTTTTCGTTAGACACGCCCGTAGCTGGTAGGCCGCTCTCCCGGTCAGGGTTCTTGTCGTTGCGTAGGCGCCAGTTGAAGTTCATATCAGCTGTCAAACGTGTCCACCAGTCCATAAAGCGGTCCCTTGTTGTCACCTCGGCTCCTTTTGTCGTGGAAGACGAGTTTCCTCGGCTGTGGCTGCCGATGGGGTCCATAAACTGCGAGTTACCGCGGTCCATGTTGACAGAAGGCGAGCCGGACTTGGCAATGCGAGTGCGGATTTTCTTCATGTTGTAGCCTAGGGCGGCCCTGAACTTCTCGCCCATGGGAGTTGGCCCTATACTGCCGCGATTGATGATGTAGGCTCCCTTCTCATCCCGGTCAAAAGACCCCGCCACATCTAGCGGCGTCAGAAGAGTGCTTCTCCTTTTTCTCGTCATCTTCCGCCTCCACCACCAGATGATGAATGCCAGAAGGCTGATGGCTACAACGCCGCCAATGACGCCACCAGCCACAGCCACCGTTGATTGCACCGCATTGCTATTTGGATTGGGAGCCGCGCTCACGGCCTGATTACTAGAAGAGCGGGTGTCCGTGGCTTCGGGCGCCGCGTTGTCAGTAGAGGCTTGCGGAGCTCCAATGACGGTAAAAGGGGGCGTTCCCGCAGCACTGTCGGTCAATACGGGTAGGTCTGATGCCTCGGGGAGAGCTGTTACTGGTGAATTCGTCTGGGTGTCTGCCGTCGTGGCTGTTATGCTGCTATCAGTTTGACTGGTCGGTATTACTACAGACGTAGAGACTGTCTGCTTTGGAGATGTTATGACTGAGAGGGCTGAGAGGGCTGGGAGGGTAGAGCTAGCTGCAGGGTCAAGCGCAACAGGACGAGAAGGCGCCGCCGCCAGAACCGGAGACACCGGGACTTGGGCGGGCTCCTCGTCCTGCGTTGCTTGCGCTGCGTCTGGGACAAAACTGGATGTTGTGCTAATTGTGGTGACAGCCAGGGCCAGGGAGGAGCTCGTCGTACTCGCTGCGCTTGTAGAAGAAACAGCCCCTGGAGGCGCGGTATTCGCATCTGCGCTACCAACTGCTATTGCCACCGCCGCACTCGTCTGAGCTGCGTTGGCCGCGTTGTTGGCCGCGGCCGCGGTGTCGGCGGCATTGGCCGCGGGAGTCGCAGTCGCAGCCGCTGGGGGGGCGGCGGCGGCGATGCTCGTGAACGCCTCGACGGTTTCCTGGGCGGTGCTGCTCGTTTTTGCTCTAGGCACTGCCGTGCACCTCTTCCCGTCGACAGTGGTGATGAAAGCTCCCGCTGGGAGACTGTTTGCCGCCATCTTTGAAAACCCCACGCCTTCGAACTCTCTCGGCGATGCCAGTCGCTCTGGAACGAAGGGGGAGGAGATGAAGGACAGAACAGAAACACACAAGATAGATTGGGGAACGGAACAAAAAGCGAATATGCTCGGCCTCTAGGGCCAATGGCTAAGTCATGGCAAAATCATGAAGCAAGAGTCTAGAAAGGAGAGGAAGGAGAGGAAGGCTCGCTCGCTTTGGAGAGGAAGCACGGAAACAACGGACAGCGGCTAAACTCGAAGCCAGAAACTCCTGGTGATGCAGGTGAATTGGCGAGAAGCAATCGAGGAGCGGGAAGAATGGAAGATCTGGGGGACATGGTAGATGGAAGAGATGCGGCCGGGCTATGGAACTCGGGGCGGGGGATAACCATTACCACGCCCTGCGATGCTCGATCAATGGAAGTCACGATGCGGGCCAGGCGCCCAGAGGAGTGACCTGCATGTCGTCCCAGGCGGCGAAGTCTGAGACCCTGCACGGGCAGCATGAAGGTTGGCAGCTGTTTGATGGACGAGAGCCGAGAGACATGGCCAGACGGGATTGGCCAGGGGCAGAGACGACGACGCCGCCGACGGACCTCCATGAGGCTCTCCTGCCGAGAGGGGGCTCGAGAGCCGCTTAGATGGACGGCCCCTGTCCTGTGACACTTTCGAGGCACACAGTTTGTGGGGAACTGGGAACTCCCTGACGGCAAGGGGCAGCAGAGGCATTCCATGTATACCTCACCTACCACCTGCCTGAACTTACCTTCTCAATATCTACCTTGGTAGGTAAGGTAAGTAAGTTGCTAAGGTGCCTAGGTAAGTAGGCATTCATCGCGCAGAGGAGAATGGAATGGCAAGCAGCGCTTCTGTAAACTTGGCACTCTCTCGTCCATCCAGGTTATGCCATTTCCCTCTTCGACAAAGGTTTTTGGTTAGTTACGTAGCTCGAGAAGCGAGCGGCGCATTCATTGCCTTTGCGCGCCATCTATCGTCTGACGAGGCAAAAAAATGGACGGAAATTTGGACGCAAAGTAGCATTTGAAGAAAAAGCCTATGGCATTGAAGTAATCGTCAGAATATCTAGTAGTTCGTCTGAGAAGAGAGGTGAGGGGAAACGCACATCCGAGTGGCATGGATGTTCATTCTGAAACCATGTGTAATCGGCTATGCAACACGCCAGAGGTTCAACCTTGGGAGTTTGTTTTCAGGGAGGTTGGCCCCTGCAGGCCTTGCATTGGCTAAAATAGGTAAAGTACGGGGATACTTTCTAGGAGGCCCATGCCTCATTCCTCTCAAAGGCCCGGGCTGATGATAAAAAGAGACGGGCATTTTCATACACCACCTAGGTACGCAATATATTGCAGTGCGGGCGTAGCACACCAAGGTATTTGTAGCTGACATGACGAGCAGGTCGGAGGCCCGGGGCCGCCGTCGTATCTGCCCCATCCCCAGATTCTTCCCCCGCGTGGCGTTTTCGGGCCGCCTTAGTTGCGCCGTTCTGGGCCACGAGGTGCCGCTCACCGGCTGGCGGGAACCAGCAGGGTCAGAAAATACCGATACCTAACAGGAGTACCAGTGTACATGCACAAGTGAACAATAAAATGCTAGTTTCTAAGGTACTTAGATATTTATGATGTCAAAGGTTCTCCCTCAATGTTGCTCTTTTGGCTACAATACGGAATGCCTCCCTGTGTATTCATTCGTATCTTGAGTTTGCTACTTCCGCTGCCCACTGAAGCACTTGACTAAACAGAGGAGACATCGGTGGTCAATGTTATGCAAGTCCTCCCTCCCACACCCGTTAGCTCAACTCTGTTTTGCTGGAAGCTTATGTCCCAGATCTCCAACACTGGACGTCAAGCTGGCAATGGAAGCTGGCTCAACGAGCGGCAAGATTTGGTCCGATATGTAGGGAGGTAACAGTACAATCCAATCCCCGAATTTTTGTCAGCGGGGGACTTTCAAAATATTTAAAAGGCCTCTATTCCTTATGGCTCGCCCCGTAGTTTTTCGCCGAAGGAGGTAATAACCATTATAAACCCTATTCTAGAATAACTTTAGAGGCCTATATCTGCCTATTAAATGCCTTTTCTGCAGGTTTATTTGTGATAATCTTCTCCTCGTTGCCAGATACCGGGCCAACAAACATTCAGGGATTGGATTGTAGGTATGCTTTGTATAGATACCTTGAGAAGGTAGGTAGGTTCATTTCGTGCGGATACGGCACATACAAAGCCCACGGGCATCCATTCATCTATCCCTCCTGCATCCATGGAGCAGTTCAGTTTGCTCCAAGATGTAACCCATTGCGGCGGACAAAGAATCCGTACTTATCATGATAGGGACATGAGGTGATACTGATAGGAAGAGTGTTGGACTATGTGGGCTGCAGGCGAACGAGGCTAGCCGGGATCTAAATCGGACACTAGGTTCCCCTCCCCCTGGGAATTTCTGCGGCCCGTGCTTGGCTGGCTGCCTTCTCAGGCACCGCCCGCCGATGTTGTGTTGGCAAATCCGCCTGTCCTGGCGGTGACAAGGCGGGGTTTACAACGACGACTGGTGCAGGTGCGTGCAGTGCTAGCGAACGACGAACGGATAGGATCTATCGTAAGGCTTCACCGTCACTGTCATTGTCATTGCATCTAGAGAAGCTTGCCTGGTCATTGTGAACTGGGGTGGCAAGCACAGCGAAACGGCTCTTTTTTACCAATTCAATTTTGTTCTTCTTTCTCTGCTCCCTTCCCGTCCTTCTCCCGGCTTTTGCCGTCAAAGGCGATGCAAAGAGAGCCTCAATCGGTGTCCGTCTAGATTACCATCGTTTTGTTTCGGCGCCAACCTCGAGCCTATATTTCTCGAGTTTTGGGTTTCTATCCCTTGACTCCTTCCTACTGTTCTTGCTGGGGCCAAATAATAAAGGAAACATGTTTGGCAACATTGCACACCTGAGTAAGTGAGCTACTATTACTACTATCTTGTTTCAACCCGCCTGCGAAAGCGCACAAATCTATATATCCGCTGGCGGTGGTGCTTGTACTCGTGCTCCTGCCCATACCCCTCCTCCCATGACACTGTTCTAGCTGCCGCCGCCGCTACCCAATGCGACGGCGGCGGCAGCAGCACCGGCGTCGCGGTCTGGGCAAACGATCGTTGGCGTCGTCACTTTCGGCCGATCATTCTGGCCCAAGGTCTCAAACGGCCTCTGCGGCCGGAGCCTTGGATTGCTTGCCAGCCTCTCTTCATGCTTCGTTATGCAGAAGCAGTAACGGAAGCGTCAGGGCCCGCCCTTCCCGGCCTTCGTTGCTGTGTGATCGTCATCGGATCGAGCTCGAACGGGGCTGTACTTCTCTCAGTTTGGGTCCATTGCTGCTCGCATATCATCTGATGGAAGTGGTCTAGTTCCCGCTGCGCGCATGGCGCAGGATCCTCCCAAGGATGTGCCGCCGCCCACGCCTGTCAACTTCCCTCGGTGCTATCCGCAGGCCCATGACAATGACCAGGGCCGGGATCAGGCCGCCGAGAGCACAGCATCGGTCCGGCCGCCAAAGCCCCTCACTTCGGTCTTGCAGGGTATCCTCCGCCCGGCCGAGATCAACGTCTCGCATCTCGAGGCCCTCGGTGTCCATGTAATTCCCGACTCGGCCCTCCGTGACCTCATACCGGATCCCGCCGTCATACCCGACTTTGAGTCCTGGCTAGCCCTGTCCCCCGACGCTGCCCACGCAGCCAACGACAGCACCCGCGCGAAGCTGAACACGGGCAATCTGTCTCCCGGCTGTCAGGTCTATCTGGAGCGCAGGCGGGAGCTTTCTATCCCCAATGAGGCTGCCTATCGTGCCGTTCGCAGGGTGCCTCCCCCCAAGGGCCAGTCTCAGGCCCGGCTTGGGAACTCCTACGAGTTCTTCCGCCACCTCGAACTGTTCTCTACCTTTTGGGACGATACTTCGAAGCCCACTCCTTCGCCTCAAGCGAAGAATGATGGCCCGGAATATGGCGAGAAAGACAATGCCGGCCCTGCTGACCCCAACTCTAAAGATGGCCAAGGCAGCGAGAATGGGGATGCGGCGGCACAAGTGGCTCTCATTTCCCGTACTGGCAGCGGCCACCAGATGCCGGCAGAGTACCGTCAAAACATGATCGCCGCCTTTATAAAATTGGTTGCTTATGACTATGGATGTAACGTCTCACAGCCTCGCGTTGAGCCACGGCTATACCTAACCTCCACTGCCTCTTCGGGCACGCCAAAGCAGCCACGTAGCTCTTACTTCTCCTCGGGTTGCACTTTCGTTTTTCGGACTCCCACTACTCGAGAGGCCGCTCGCGCTGGGCTTGTCGAGGGTCCGCTTGTCGCCGTGAGTGCCAGGCATTCTACCGTTTCCCCCCAGCTCGTCGGGCACCCTCGGCTCCCCAACCCCCGTCCTCGTCCCCGTCATCGTCGCCTCCGTCTACAGCGACCGCGCCGGCTATTCTGGGGACAGACAAAGAGTCCACTTTGGACCTGGCTCGGGAGCTAGTAGCCGCACTCATCACGGCACAGCACCGCGCTCGTGAGGGCCACACCGAGAAGCGCGTTGGCGAGGGTGCGTGGTGGGCGACCAAGCGGCGATGGGGCGGAGGTACCGGCGGACCCATCGGCCGCGAAGTGGAGATGCAGGCAGGCACCGACGAGACCATCGGCGACAAGGATGAGCCCCCACCGTCCTCGCCATCCCATTCACAGGTTACCGATGTGAGTGCCCCGCCCCAGCCCTCCGCCTCTCGGCCTATATCAGCATCGCCATGGGGTGCGGCGTCATACGCCGCCGCCGCCAGCGCCGCGTCGAAATCCACGAAGAGGATCAAGAAGTCAGGAAACCTGCCCATGTATGACAACTACCGCATGGTGCGACCGCCATCGACGACGTGGGATAAGAAGACAAAGTATCTTGCCATTGGGAAGGTGCCCGGTGCCGACTACGACGACATATTCGTCATCAGCGCCTTGTTCCACCACATCAGCGTCGTGCGGATACGGGTTCCTGACCGCCTGCTCGCGGTGCTCCAAGGCGAGGCTGCTGATACTATCCAGGGTGAGAAAGATGGGAAGTTGAAGCGAAGTTGGGGCCGCCTCGAGGTGCGTCGCAGTCCCTGGTACGACTTTTTCAAAGTCGATGACCGGATCGCCGCCATGCACGTAATCTGGAGCATGATGGCATACTTGATGCGAGAGCATACTTCGGCACCGGAACTGAGTGTACACGGTGAACAAGGTGACGTCGAGATGGCCAACGCCTAGCGTCTGCGCCGTTTGACAGACACGTAACATTGAATAGCAAGTTGGAGCTAGTGTGGCAAATTTCCAAGGACAGTCAAAGCCGGCTGTAACATAAAGCGATGACCCGTTGATAAGCAGTTAGCTCAGAGGCAAACAAAAAAACCACTGCGGGTGGCCAGCCGGAGGATTACGCAAGTTGGATGGACACGTGGTTGGAGGGTTGCCAATACTTTGAGGCGTGGGTGAAGGTAGATACAAGCAACAAACATATTAGACAACAAGAAGTAAAACATAATGATCAAGAGATGAGTAAACTCGTTCTAACCCTCAGTTTGGCACCGGTGAGGGTAAAGGGAGAACACAAGAGGGGAGACATTCAATACCCGAGTCAAGTCAGTTGGGATGTCCACGACTGGGCTCGCCCATTGGTCGGGCTAAGGGAGTGTACGAGAATAAACGACACAAGGTAAGAATAATACCATGTATATTCATGAGCGGCTAACATCACAACGTTTCAGGCGTCCAGACCGCAAAGCGACAAGCCATCACATGCACCCGCAAAACTAAATGTATACATACACAATCGAGAGTGATGCTGGTACGGGCGGTATCTGTCGGCCCGTTTTGCAGCGGCCGGGGGGGGCAACCGCCCGCATAGGCACAATACATTCCTACGTCTTTGTCTGCCTCACTCAATCTAGCCTTGTGGTTCGTTGATAAGGCCGACATGTTGTGGTGCAAATCGGATAATGTAGGACCCCGTAGGATTGACTGCTTGCTTGCTTGCCTGTCTGTCTGACTTGCTCAACAGAGCAAAAGCTTCGCCAGAGGGGTGGGTGAGGTAGCACCGCGGCAACATTTTAGGAAGCCAGGCGTGGGGTATGTTGAAGAAGAATAAAGAGCTTTGCGTACCCCGGTTTAAATATCATCCCAGGTCTCGCTAGCCATATTGGAGCTGGTTCTCATCGAGCAGGGATACAAAAGATGCCTCTGTACATTACTAACCAAGGTTAATCTGGGGTAACTACCTAACGGCTGTCTTCTTCCATGGCTCGAATACTCTTGCAAGTAACAAGACAAGGTAGGTTGGCGATCTGCTCGAGGCAAGTTAAATATTTCATCAGAGTATCGCGGTTCTTTTGCCGTAATTCTGGAACGAGGTCAGTGGTAGAAGAGATCTTCCACAGACTGTCCTGCCTCAGGCCTCAAAGAACAGGTGATCCAAGCAGGTAGTGAATGTCCGGAACGGAACCAAACGAGGAGGATGGGGGGTCCCGAGGATCTGGTAGGTTTCCCCGGTGGCGGCCGTGCCGCCAACTTCCGCCAACTTAGTACCGTATGTTGGAATGGTCTGTGCAGGGGAATGTGAGGCCAGTTGGATTGACAGCAACCACAGCCACAGCCACCCCAAGAGGCAGCGGTGTGAAGCTATGTCTGGGTTTTTGATTTGCCATGACTTTTTCCCAGGCCGGAGACCTCACAACTGCAGCCGAATCAGGAAAAGTTGTCCACGAATTAACAGGATGATGTCTTCGGAAGGTATCTCGACCGAGTCTGGGGAGAGGAGGCGTGACGGCCCGCTCGTTCGAGCAAGGTGGGAACTTGCGGAGCAAGCACAGCCCTATGTGATGCATGCATGTATGCGCTGGACACTGGGCGCTGGACACTGGGCGCTGGATGCTGGACGCTGGATGCTGGACGCTGGATGCTGGACGCTGGATGCTGGACGCTGGATGCTGGACGCTGGATGCATCGATGCAAGACGCGGGCATGTTGCCTTTGCAAGCAAGAGGCTTTCTCCACGCCATCTCACTCGCCCAGACATGGTCTCGGGAGAAAACAAAGTTAGGGTGGTGGTCATGCTTGCTGCCGGCAGTAGGGCTGAGCTGTCTCATCCAAGGTGCCGGATAACGTTTAGACGTGCGGCGAAGCTGATCGGCGTTGCCTCGATTGGTCTCCAATTGGCCCTCTTTATTGGCCAAAGCTCGGAGGACACACAGCAGACCGGTTTGGTGATTCCGGGACCTGGCCGGAAGAACACTCGGTTCCAGAACTCAAAGCTCTCGTTATAATCAGCTGCTACATACTCAAATGTGGGGGATTTCAGGCCGAGGAGCCAAACGAACGCTAAAGTCGCCAATGAAGGCAAGGTCTACGGAGCTTTCTCATAGTGTGCAATGTGGGATTCTGAGAAACACAATATGCTCGCCGGTTTATGGATGGGTTTCTGCGAGTTTCGCCGTTTCACCCATCGTGCTGCGTCTTTGCAAAGGGTCGTCTTGGCCGTGCTCGAAGGTTTGACGATGAGCCAGCGAGCCAGAGCTTAGCTGGATACCCCTGCTGCATGAGGTCCATTCGCAGGCGTAATTGGCCAGCTCTGATCCTTCAGCAGCGCCACTTCCAGAAAGTAGATTCTCAGCCAATGGAGTATCGCCGCTCAGTCCGGAGCTATACCATTCTCGGATCGATACATTTGGGAAATATGGGAATCGTGCTGCCGGACCGAACGGCGAAATGGTGGAGGACGACTGGCAAGGAAACGGCTGCCAAAAGACGGGTTTGCAACCAGAGTTGGTCTGCAACAAGACGGTTAGCCTCAAGATCCCACAGCTGCACATTCTTGCAACCTTGAACTGGTCGGCGCCTCACGGTGGATTGCGGGGAGGCAACCGTCGTATGTGATGTACTGTACCGATGAATTCACGGCCATTCGTGATTCCACCATGGGCGCTACCAATTCGCATTTCCCCATTCACGATATCGACAGGCCAGTCTCACCGGCAGTTGGGAAGCGGTCGGTGCTGTCTGTTGTATGTGCTCAGTATGCTTTTTGGAAGCGAATGCACCGTTATGTGCCTCCATGCGCAGTAACAACCGGGGGCACACTACTTGAAGATCTTTTTCGGAGACAAGCTTCCTGTCCTTGTGCTGGTGCTCAGAGATGCGGCCAAGGGGGGTTATTACCGAAAAGACACGCCATACTTCTCTGTACCTGTTCAATTGTTGTTATGGTGGCCGGAAATTGGAGGTTACGTATATCCATCCTATCAAGGTGAGAAGGAGCGGCAAGCTTGGGAATAAACGATAACGACCAACCCAAGCCTAGCACTCTAGGCAAGCCCTCGAGCGTTTAGGCCAGGCTGGGCAGCTGAGCAATCAATCATGAACCGTGCGAGGAGCTCCCGTCGTCAGTACACGTGTGGTGTCCAGCTGAGTAGGTAGCTGAACAGCCGCCGCAGTACGGATATGCATTGGCTAGATGGTGGGCTAGCCTGAACGCGATGTGACTGCAGAAACACAACAGATACCTAGTCACCACCACTATTTGGTATCTTCTCCGTGTCGCCTCACACACATCGCAGATATAGATCCGCATTGAGTGTAAAGTGAAGAGAGCAGATCCAACCAATACGTAATTTGCTGGGATAGCAAAGAGGCATTCAGCTACCCCGTAGTCGCCCGTTGTTTTGGGAATCAAATTGTTTGAAGCTCAACCTTATGGTAGTAATAAAACCGAGCGTTATAAGCGCCCCGCGCTCAGGGTTCGCAAGCCCACGTTGCTTGGCGCTGATCATTCTGCTCGAGTCTGGACGCAGGCCAATATTGCCCAATCAGGTAGATGGCTCCGTGGCGACGCCCCCCAAAAGAGCGAGACTGGCCCCGCTTTGCCCCGCGCTTCCCTGTTCCCGCGCCCAGTACGGATACATCCACCATCCCATTTTCTCCACGCCTCTCTACAACGACACTACGCCCAAAAGTGCTCAGCTGTTGACTGAATTGGATCGTGTCCGTCTCCGACCATCACGACAGATAATCAGCCCTGGGACCGCCACCCCTGGCGCACGCCTCCATCTGCATGTGAGTGTCTGTCCGTCCGTCTCTAAGCTCTCCGCATCCGCATCCCCATCCCACCGTTGCTAGTTGGCCCTTGACCGCTCCCGCCCTGTCGGGTACAGTACGTGCCTGGTACTTCCGGCCTTCTCGCCGTGTCGCCTCGCTTCGCCTCGTTTCCTCCCGCGCTTTTCCTCCTCGATCTGCGCGTCCTCATCTTCCGTATTGGGGCTTAAGGTGTTGTGATCAGTGCTGCGGCCTGCTAGTCAAGTCGACATCGGCCTCGATCTCGGCATCAACCTCCCTGACCGTCTTCGTCTCCATCCTTAGCCGCGCCCTCCTCACCCCGGCGGCCGCGCCCCCCAGGTCCAGCTAAACTCCCCGTATCTTTGTTTCCCTCCCCGATAGCTTCGGCAACAGCCGTCCGCTCTTGTCTATAAACACCGCTCTGTCCGACGACCTCTTGCGACCACTCTCTCTTACAAAGATATTGACCCCACTAAGACGCGTCGTCTCACGTTCGAGAGAGGCCTTTCTTGGCCGCTTGCCAACTATTAGACCACCATTGTTATATCCTCTCTTGTCTCTCTGTTGCTGCTATAATGTCTGGCTATCCCGGTTCGAATTACGGGGGGTATGGCGTTCCCGCGCCGCAACAGCAATATGCTGGTTATTATCCGTGAGTCCCCCCCATCTCTAAATCTACCCCTCACGAGCTTAAAAGCATCGAGATCTAACGCCGAGTTGAAGTCCACAACAAACCTACAATAGCTATCAGCAGGCCCCTCCATCTCAGAGCCCCGGCTATGCGTATCAACAATCCCCCCAGCAGTATAACTATCAACAGGTCCGTCCTTTGACCGCTTCCCCGGTATTGGTTTTTATACACTAAACTTCTTCTGCCAGCCCTCACCTCAATCATATACCTCACCGAACCCCGCGAATGCTTATGGCAGGCCTGGTAAGTTTATTTTGTCTTGAGTAGGTGAAGAACCGATGTACTGAGTACGACAGGAATGCCCTCGGTCGACTCGAACTCGTACGTCCACGAAAACGCCCAAGCTCCACCTCCGCCCCCCCAAGCCCCCCAGCATTTCGGGTTCGGCGCTCCGCAAGGGTACGCGTTTCAATACTCGCAATGTACGGGTCGGCGGAAAGCTCTCCTTATCGGCATCAACTACTTCGGCCAGCGCGGCCAACTCCGGGGGTGCATAAACGATGTCAGGAACATGTCCAGTTATCTTGTCGAGAACTTCGGTTACAAGCGCGAAGACATGGTTATTCTCACGGATGATCAGCAAAACCCCATGAGCCAGCCCACAAAGCAGAATATCCTAAGGGCTATGCATTGGCTGGTCAAGGAGGCACGTTCAAACGACTCGCTATTCTTCCACTATTCCGGTGAGTTTCCAAAAAGCCTCTCGAATTTTGTGTACAAGAATCAGCATCTGATTTTATTTGACAGGTCACGGCGGCCAGACCAAGGACCTTGATGGGGATGAAGAAGACGGATTTGACGAGGTCATCTACCCCGTCGACTTTCGGCAAGTTGGCCACATCACCGACGATGAAATGCACAGAATCATGGTCCGGCCGCTCCAGTCAGGCGTTCGCCTAACTGCCATCTTCGACTCGTGCCACTCCGGAACCGCTCTCGACCTCCCCTACATCTATTCTACCCAGGGTATTCTCAAGGAGCCCAATCTGGCCAAGGAGGCCGGACAAGGGCTGCTCGGTGTTATATCTGCCTATAGCCAAGGCGATCTTAGCGGAGTGGCAAACAACATCATGGGCTTTTTCAAGAAAGCTACTGGCGGCGAAGACGCTCATGCGCGTGCCGTGGCTACCAAAACCTCGCCCGCCGATGTTATTATGCTCTCCGGAAGCAAAGATGACCAGACCTCGTTCGTACTCCCCTTTCCTTATCTTACGTATTATTTGCACATTACATGACGACACATTTGCGCTTTCTCTTTTGTTTACGTGCTGGGCTGAGACCTTGGTTTCTTGTTTTGTTTTCGTTTTAACCGACTTGAATACCCGCGGCAACGCACTCTTCCTTCCTTTTCCCACATTATGTGTCTAGACTCCAACACATTCTCACAAGAGTTGGTTGTCTTTGGGTGCTGGGAGGAATGTTCTACAACTTCGGTCCCCTGCCTCATGCGCTGTTTGGTCTTAATGAAAGGATTGGTCCTTGCACAGTTAGCTATTCTATCTAGGCATGTCGGCTTCTTTTTCACGCTCTAGATCCTGGTTGCAACCAAATCCTTGGTTGTGACTTTGTGGTCTAGGGCGATGAGTCACGTTGGAACGAGGGGCCTGATTTGGCACGAGCTGGGGGTTGACAGAGCGGCTTCTGTCTCCAACATTCTCTCCTCGTTTCACTGACTTCAACTTAAAGTCAAGGATAGCTAGCTAACTTCTGGTCATAGGGCCGACGCCACCATTGCTTCTCAAGCTACAGGCGCTATGTCGTGGGCTTTCATCACTGCTCTTAAGAAGAACCCCCAGCAGAGCTACGTTCAGTTGCTCAACACTATCCGTGACGAACTGCAAACCCGTTATACCCAGAAGCCGCAGCTCTCTTGTAGTCATCCTCTTGGTGAGGCCTATCTTGTAACAACATTTAAAGCGAGCCCGGACTGACTGACAAAATTTTCTTTACTTACAGACACGAACCTCTTGTTCGTGATGTAAATATGAAACCTATCATCCCTTTTTCTTTTCTCGCTCAAAATTTGGGCCAACTCTAACAATCTTTCCTGTCTTTTTTTTCTTCCTTTACCCCTGCATGGCTTGTTTGTTTCATGGACAGAGTTGGATGATGATACCTTTATATCCTAATATTACTCATATCGTATCAGGAAAGACTGCCAAGAACGCGCCTGTAGAGCAAGCGGCTCGGGCAAGGGTGGAATGGTGGCGGAAAGTGGTTGGGTCAAAATCAATTTTGTTACCTACAAATACTTAAAAGTGAACGAATAAGAGAGAGGTGGGTTAGTCGGCGGCGTTTTATCTAGCATGGAGGAATAACTATCTTCGAATCACAGTATCAGGTTGTGGTTGACCGCCCTCTCATTTTGAAGAAGTACTCTGTAGATAAATTGCCTTCCTCAGAGGAGGTTGGCTGCTGCTGTAGTCTTCCTGTTTGATCAGCTCACGAGAGAGGAGTAATCGAAGTCCCATATATTAATTAGCGAATGCAAAGAACTGCATATGTGGCGCTCGTTATTTATTACTCTGTGTTGCCATCTCCCATGCCAAATAGACGTCTTCTAGATGACTAAGTCCTCCGTCCCAAACCGCGGGCTCAAGTTGGTGATTGGAATGGCCAGTGTCAGCAACCATCAAACAAGTTAATTTATCCGTAAATGATAGTAACTACCTAATTACACGTTCCTCAATCGTTTGTCAACTTCGTCTCTCCCTGCAGACCTGCTCACTGCCTGGCGGCTTGCACATGTCCAAATCTAAGCTCGTGTCGGAAAACAGAGAGGAGGCGATGCATGAATATAATTAATAAAACCCGGCCTTGAAAATGTACTGGCCTTACGTATGCCTCATAACTCGTATCAAGCTATACAGGAATAAAAGACTGGTGAGGATAAACAATGGCAGCAATGACATTGAACAGGAACGAAACCAGATCGCCGACTCCGTGCGCCGGATGTGCCTTTTGCGGGACAGAACAAATAAAACCTAAGCACGTATACACCATTGCAAAATAACCATGCCCATACCCATGCCCACACCCACCGCACCCCATCCAACCCGAAGGATCCTTAGCTACCTACCTAATCAGCAAACAAAAGATAAAAAAGTTACTCCTTCAGCACCTCCCGCCAACCAAAACTGGGCCCCTGGCAGCATCGACACGCCTCTCAGCAGAGGGCCTTGGCGCGATGGTTTTCTGCCCTACCTGGGCGCGCCACTGGTCGCGCATCTTCTTGATACGCTCTTCGCGTTCCATGTTTTCGACAGCGTCCGCGAGTCGCTGGCGTACCTTGTCGTGCTTGGCCCAATTACGGGCACTAATTTGCATACGCACAACGAATCGCACAGCATGCAGGACGCGGCGAAGGGCACCCCCCTGGCTAGAGTTGGATTGCTGCTGCTGCTGCTGCTGCTGCTGTGATGAGCGGACGGAGCTGAGCTGGCCGAGCACAGTTGAGCTCGAAGGGTTCAGACTTGCACGGATGCGGTTGATGATAGCCAAGTCGGCTTTGTTGCTGCAGAAAGGGAGGAAATTAGTCAAAGCAATATTGGTGTTTGTGACAAACCCCAAGATGAAAGGGCGTGGGCATCAGAAACATACCATGCATCCCGAACCTTGACCTCTAGCTGTAAATATCGTTTGGCAAACGCCGCGTCGCTGCGCAGTTTGGCCTCGCGATCCCAGCAAGCCTTCAACCACTCCATCTGCATTACCATGCCACGTATTTCCTTTTCGTGCCTCCGCTCGGCCGCTTCGGCAGCTCGAATTATGGCGTCAGTGTCAACCAGCCCGTTGTCGAGACTCGACTTGATAAGGGTGCCGTCTCGAGGCAATTGAACCAAAGCGCGCTCCTCGTTTGCAGCAGCAGCAGCAGCTACGGTCGATGCTGCTTCGGCAACGGCCTTGTCCTTCTCCGCCTGCATTGTCTTGGCCACTCTCTGTAGCTTCTCGGCACTGGCGCGATATGCCGCCCTCTCGCTCCGCGCCCGGTCGAGCTTCTTGTGCAGTGCCATCTCAGCACCCATAAGCTCCTCCAGAGCCACACGCTGTTCGCGCACCTCGCGGTCCAGCTTGTCGGCGGCCAACTGCGACTCTCGCAGCATGTTATGCAAGTCACGCCGTTCTTCAAGCGTCATGTCGCTGATGCCGCTGTGGTTGCTCTGCCCGTGCTGCAGGTCGCGAGCAGTAGCAGCCAGTTCCTCTCGCTCCCTTCTGTACTTATCTAGCTTGTGCTTATACTTCTTCAAAGCCTGCTCGTGAGACGCTGCGGATTCCTCGGCCGCGACTTGAGCGTCATCGAGAGCTTGCTCAAGCCCAAACTTTTGATCCTCAATCTCCTCAATGCGGGATTGGAGCTCTCGCGTAGTTGCCGCGGCTTTGTGCTCTGCATCACGCAGCGCCTTCTTCAAATCATGCGTAGAGTGAAGGGCGGCTGAGAGCTGATGGCGAAGTTCGGAGATTTCAACCTTTTGAGCCGATCCGTTGTGGGATGAGGGAGACTGGACTAGGCGATCCAACGCTGCTTCGTGTTCTTTACGCTCTAGATCGGCAATTTGCCGCTTTAACGACTTTATTTTTCCCTTTTGTGTTGAGTCATGCTTGAGCAGTTCGACCTCCTTCTGTCTTGCAGCTGACAGACCGCGGTGAAGCAAGGACAACTCGCTGTTGCCTTCGGTCCCCTGAACTGCGGGGATTTGAGCAGCTGCCAGCTGGATTTCGTAGTCTTCAATTCGACGCTCCAGCTCGCGGATATTGCGACGCGCAACGGAGAGCTCCTGGCTATCCGAAGCTTGGCGAAGTTTGACCTGAAGCTGGCGAATCTCTTGGTTAAGACGCTTTTCCTCGGCCGTGGCCTTCTCTGCTTCGATCTCGAGCAGTTTCTCGACCTCATCCCGCTGATCGGCTAAGGCCTTGTTTTCCTCTTTGAACCTGCGAAGCTCAGAGTCCAATCTTGTCTTGGCGGTGCGCAGGTCGAGCTTCTCATGATCAAATCTGAATGTGTCCTCGCCCTGCTCCTTCAGTTGCTGAATGTCTGCTTCAAGATCGTCGCGCTCAGCTTTTGTTTCAGCCAGGGCAGTCCTGATGGCACGCAGCTCGCCATCGATTGCTGTGCACCGCTCTTGCAAAATGTGCCGTTCCTTCGTGACCCTGGCGAGACTTTCTGTCGAGTCGGCGAGCTGGAATTTAAGGCGAGCGAAACCTTCACTTGTCTGCCTAGCAGATTCCTGAGAGGCTGAGTTTGAAGAGTAAGCAGAATCTGCAATTACTTGCAGCGAAGCAAGTTGAGCCTTCAGGCTGCCGCATTCTTGTTTTGCGCGCTCCTGTTCAATGCGGGCTTTGTCGGATTCTTCATCAATGGTGGCCTGCAGGACCTCAACTTCGTCCTCAAGGCCCTCTACTGTTTGCCGTTGCGTTTGGCAGTCCAGCTGCGACTGGCGGAGCTGGTCTCTAACCGCCGACATGTCTTTTCGTAACTCTTCTAGCATACTCTGCCGGGAGTCTAGGTTCTGCTGCAAATCATCGATTTGGCGGCTTAGCACAGATTCTTCGCCCTTGTGTCGCTCTATCTCGCTTTGAAGAGCCTCCTTCATTTGCAACTCTTTATTTGACAAGGCACCTTCGGTGTCCCGTAGCCTGTCAATAGTTCGCTGAAGGCCTGTAGCGCGCTCCTCGGCACGGTCCCGTTCTGATGCGAGGTTGCGGCGCTCCGTCTCCCACTTCTCGCTGTCGTTGTCGTAGAGATTATCCTTCTCGCGGCATTCGGCCTGGAGGTCTGAGATTTCATCATTAAGGCGAGCAATTTCGTTCGTGTACTGGCCCCGTATATCGCGCTCGATTTCCAAAGCATGTTCTCGCTCCTGGTCCAAACTCTTCTCGAGCTCTGCAACAGACTTCTGCAGGCTGGAAATTTCGCGCTGCAAAGAGATGGACTCGTTTGTCAGAGCGTCGTGACGGGTTTGTAGAAGCGCTTTCTCGTCAGACAGGTGGTTCAAATCGGCCTGTGCCTCCTCCAATTTAGCTGCTAGTGACTGGCGAATGCGCTCGGACGAGTCACATTCTCGTCGCGCCTCCCTTAGCTGAGATTTGATATCGTTGATTTCGCGATGTTGAGAATTTTGCGCTTCCTCTAGCTTAGTCTCCAGATCATAGCGAATTCGTTCCGAAGAATCACGTTCTTGCCGTGCCTCTTTTAGCTTGGACTTGATGTTTTCGATTTCCTGTTCCTGAGAGGCGCGCTTTTCCTCCAGGGAGCCGCATTCTTGTCGAGATTTCTCGAGATCAGTTTGAAGACGGATAACCTTCTCCTCAACCTGTCGCGAGAGACTTTTCGTGGCCATGCTCTTGTCGGCCAGCTCCTCTTGGAGCTCGTCCAGGTCCGCTTCCGCGCGTTCCTTTTCTGAGACGGCGTCCTGTAGCTTATCCTTCAGGTCGTCGAGTTGCTGTTCTAGCTGCCGGGCATTGGCTTCCAGGTCCTCGATCGTTTCTTTGGCCTCTTGGAGTTGGTCGCCGTCGCGTGCTTTCTCCTCAAACTCTGCCACGCGTCGCTGGCTATCCTTAAGACGGCCCTCAAACTCGTCAACCTTCTCTTTTAGATCATCCAGCTCGTCCTCGCGCTCCGATATGAGCTGGTCCTTCCTCCGGACGTCCGCCTCGAGATCGCCAATTTCGTCTTGCAAATTCTCGATCTTGTCATGCTTGTCCTGCGTCTGTTCGACCTGACGCTGTAGGTGTTCCACCTCCTGCTCCTTCCCCTCCAGCGCCTGGCGCAGCCGCTCGAGCTCGACCCGCTGCACCTCATCAGCGTACTTTCGCTTGGCTTTCTCCTGGACCTCGATGATCTGTTGGCGGTAGGTCTCGAGGTCCTTCTCAGCCGAGGTGAGGTGTTTCTTGTACCGCTGAAGCTCGCGCTGCATTGTTACCTTGTCGACTTTCAGTTCCGTGTTCTCCTTAAGTGCAGCGGCGCTGAAACCTGGCCCAGCTTTTCGTAGTGCCTCCTCCAGAAAGTGAATCTTCAGCTTGAGCCCAAAGTTTTCCTTCTCGATTCGATCTATGACATTTTCCTGTTCGCGCAGCGAGAGTTGGTTGCCGTCCTCGAGTGGACCGTTAGCACCGTCGCCGCGCCGCCTCATGACCAAGGGCGTGGACGCGACGCTACTATCGTCGGCCACGGCGGGGAGAGGCGTGTTGTCTATATACGACGACGCGTTGTGAGAGGCTCTATATACGCTCATCTCACCGGCGGGCATGGGGGTCATATCCTCATCTATCCTGGCTAAGAATGCAGGTGTCTGAAGCCCGTTTTCTTTGCCGGGGACACCACATGGGCCGCGTCTCGCACTGTTCATGGTGGCAGACTTGAGGAGTGGCGTAAACTCGGCTCCAGCCAGGCCGGCAGGGAGGTTTCGTCGGTCGGTGAAGGGGGCACGGTTGCCTCGCGGCGTCTTGAGGGTCGGACGGTCGCCGTTGCGGAGCTGGTGTAGTAGGTTCGCGTCCTTGGAGGGCGACTGAAAGGAGAGCTCTTGCGACATGTCGAAATCTGGCTGGCGGCTAAGATATGTCGCGTCACCAATGTTGGTGCGTGGGGTATCGAGGCCGCCCATGCCTGGCTGGGCCATGCGGCGGCGACAGCTCGAGAGAGGAGGGGAGGCGGAGCGATAATGTCAAGATAGTAACAATAAACGCGTTCCTTGTTTCGGTGTCGCTGTCCTGCGCCTAAATGGGACAATTATAATCAACTGCTGTCTTTCTGTAGACGACGGCGGCAATTCTCGTCGGTGGCGGGCACGCAATTGCCATGGGACTGGGTGGTTTTGATGGAGAAGTCGCGTTGGAAGCGCGCGTCCCGTCCGTTCGTCGAAATCGACCTTGCCTGTCTTTCTTTTGTTTACTTGGCAAAATTGGCCAATCAACGTCAAGGACCCCCAAGCGGTTTTCCGTTCAGCGAGGGGGGGGACTTACTAAATTCGTTACGTCGCACGGCCGCACCGACAAACACAACCCAAACCCCACCGCTGCCCCACCAAGCGAATGCCCCTTGCAACTAACACCGTCGTGTATTTCACGGCATCAAGGCATCTTATAACCTAACCTCCAAGTTCTCTTTGAAACATTTTATAAGCACGACATCATTATTGCACCCCAGACAGCCACATTTCCACTCGAGTGGGTGAACGAGAAACAGCCGGTAAATTGCAACACGTAACAAAAAATACGACCGAATTACTACTGCGTTGCAAGTAATACGGTTGAATACACTTCGGACAAGACTAGTACTTTTGACTCTGCTGTGTGATGCTTCGTACTCTCTTCGCCATCCTGCGCACGGATTCTCCGATATCCCCGGCATTATAGCGAGCGTAACAACACCAGGCACAACAATAAACAACAACAACCGAGGGGCGACCAACCACCAAACACATCGCCAAAACAAGATCGAAGGCTGGACAAAGGGGGAAAATGGCACACCTCAACCCGCACACAGCAGCAATATTCTCCCCCTCTATGGCACGCGCCGCTGCTAGTACGGCCAAAGATTGGTCTTTTGTCGATAATTGGCTGGCGCGACAATTCCCTGGGGGGCGCTCGCCGCCAGTTTTTGAGCGCAACAACGACACGCTACGGGTGTTGCTAGCGTTGGCATCAGCGAACGAAGCGGCAGACGAAGAGCGGCAGCGAATTGGGCGACTTGAGGCCGGGGCACTGCGCGACCTGGAGCAGCAGGATCGGAATAGGAGAGACAACGATAAAAATGATCAAGGTGAAGCTAGTATCAACACAACCAAATTACATGACACACGCGATGCCATCCTCGCCGCCGTTAACGACGGACTCTCCCGAGAGGGGAGGGTAGCGCTAGACACCATGGCCACTTTGGCAGTGGAAGGAGGCATTGCATTCGCCACACCAACGAATCTGGGGCAGCAAATGGTGGAGATGGCGGGGAAAGTCGGTGAGCTCGAGCAGACTGAGGGACGGGTGCAAGTGCTGGCCCGGTTCTTAGGAGCTGAGGCGCTTATGATAGAGCGGCTGAGGGAGGATTTGGAGACGAGCCACTATCGACCAGGGACAGATTTGGCCAAGCAGAATCTTGAGATGCAACGCAAGATCAAGACCATGGCGGCACGGCTGCCTGACTTAAGAGACAAAGTCACGTTCCTGGCAAGCTCTGTGGGGAATATGGCGAGTCCAACGATTGAGCAAGTACGGCAGGAAGAGGAAGCATACCTGACGCTTCTAGCACGGAAAAAAGAGTTGGATTCCCAAATCAAAGTCTTCCAGGGCCTGCCTCCGGATACAGATCAGGCCAGACAGGAGTTGGAGAGCCTGCGCTCTGAGCTCAGACGAATGACGCAGCGTCGAGATGCCGTCTTTGAAGGATTGGTCGAGAGAGAAACACCAAGAAAACCAACACGATAGGAGAAAGAGATAGGGAATAAGACGATACACAAGCCGGTAATTTGTCCGGTTCCATATTCCTTCCGCTTCTTAGGGGTATTACATTACACGCCGACATGATACTCTAGAGTTAGTTGTTGTCAGTAAAAAGGAAACCAGGACAAAGGAAACCCTGGGAAGCAAACAAGAAAAAAAAGCTATCATTGTTGCGTTCGCTTGCCTCGCCCAGATACTGCCCCTCCCAATCTCCCAAATTGCCTTCCGAGTCCTGATCGTGGTTTTGGTGTGGGAGGAGCCGGTGCGGGCGGATCCTTGACCGGCACGGGTGGTGCGCGCACCTCTTTGGCGGTTTTTGGTTCCATCGTTCCATCACCAATGCGCAGTTCACTGATTCCTAAACTCGACCCGTCATCCATGTCGCTCCCCAGCCTCTGCACACGCCGGGCACGCTCTTGGACGGCTCGGAACTTCTCCAGCAACTCATTCCATCGGATGATGCCATCGTCGCGCCCCTTCAGCCTGTTTGGTCTGTCAAAAGAGGAGGCACTAGGAGTTGTGGCGTTACTGAATTCAAGATATAAGTCTCATTAGCAAGGCTTTTTTTTTGTTGGGGGGGGGGGGGGGGGGGGGGGGCGGAATAATAAGGATTAGGAAAAGAAACTCGCGTGTTCCCGGCTTAGTCAAGCCGAAAAATATATGACGGGGTAGCACTGGCAAAGCAACATACGGTCTGGGCGCAATGTGAAGATAGCCGATCGAGCTCACGCTGTTGAGCCGGTTTTTTAGCGCCGCAAATGCCGAAGATTGGGGCAGGAGCATTAGAAGCCCGTAGAGACATTTGTATAGATGCGGGTATTTTTCTGGCTCAAGCAGTTGCAGCCGGAGGTCTAAATCACGTCAGCATTCACTCGGCTGCAGAATAGGGGCGGATAGTATGGTACAGGTAAACACAGGCGACTCGAGAAGCTGCACAAGCTTGTCGATTTGAATGAGTATATTGACCGTCATCTCGAGTTCGGCACTTGGTGGTCTATTAGCAAGACTCAAAATCAGAAAGGACGATGCGCCACACACAATATCTGCAGGAGATTATATGCCTGTTCGTATGCCTGGGCCAGCAGGCAAAGTGAGAACGTGGCCACGGCGTTGTAGCACCATGACCGAAATAGGGCCACGAAGAAGGTTTGTCCGTCCTGGAATTGTCAGCTCATGCCATACTGCGCTTCTACAGCCGTGACCGCGAGGGATCTAACCTTTGTCTCTAGATTTCGCAGTCGTTTCCGTACTTCAGACAGCTCTGGCGCCGTAATTAAGTTGTTGTTGAGATTTTGCACCATAATGCTGGCAAACTCGACATCTTCTTCCTTCTCGATACAGTCGGCCAAGGTTCTGTAGATGCGCTCAGCGCTAAGGCTCGTGCAGAGTTGGCGTATGATTAGATTGCCGCGTGTCTCAAGAAGCTTTCTATCTGTGGAGAAAATTTGAAGCAAGTTGACCATGAAATTCGAAAAGTAGTCGTCCTCGCTATTCCGCGAGATCTGCGACAGGAGCTGCAAGTCCTTCGTCACCACTGCCTCGGCAGGGTCCGAGAGGGTCTTGAGCAAAGCCGGGAATGTCCCGTCGTTGAATGCTAGCACTTTTCTGGGGGCTTTGCGGTGTAGCATGATCAACCACGTCAGCGCAGCAACGCGGGTGGCCTCGTGGTCATTGAGGAATAGCAGGGTGAGCGAGTTTACTGCAGCCGCATAGTCGAGGTCCGCTTGAGGGTTCGGCGCCGAAAGTACAGGCGTCGGGGTCCTTGGGATTCCCCTTCCTTGAGCCGGTGTGGGACTTCTAACCTCAAGTTCCCTCGAGCTTGATAAAGAGGCCCGGGTGCTCGCGTTGCCATCTTGACGGTCACCTTGTACGGGAGGAGCCGGTATGCGCGATTGAGATTGCATGGTCATCAGCTCCGCGTCGTCGGACAGAGAGACAACATAATCCATTAAAGAGGTGTTGACTCTCGCAGCAGCCTGGCGGATCGATTCAACGCCACTCGCCATGGCTGGCAGCAAGTGGGCCAGTATCTTGGGTGTGAACGGAAGAACTTCTTCCGGGCAAATGTCGAGAAACTCGACAATCCATCGAAGCGACTCCAACAACCCATCCTCTTCTGCAATACTGGTCAGCAATCAACCGACAAAGCGAACAGATCAGAGAGCAGATAGACTTACCTAATGGCGAATCGAGAGTGGCTGTGAGAATTTCTAAGACGGCCTTGTAGTTGATTTGCACATCTTGGCCAGGAACCCAGTCATCTTCACTGCTCGCATCGTCGTCGTCGTTGGCTGTCTCGGAGTCTACCTCGTCCCCTTCCTCAGGCGCAATATGCACGCTCCCGCTGTCAAGAGAGTCCTCTCGCTTTCGCTTTCCATCCCCCTTGGACTTCTTACTCTCGGCGATGCCCTTCTTCACGCGGGCAATCCGCTTGATCTCGTTTAGGAACTTGTCCAGACAGCCCTGGGTGGCGACGTGGACATCACGGTTCGAGTCACTTAGAAACCGCAAGAGGCCCCCGAGAAATTCGGGCAGGAAGGTAACAAGCTCGAGGTCAGGGATGGAGTCAAGCAAGATGATCCATCCGACCAGAAAAGTCCTCGTGAAAGGGTTGAGGGCAAAGATGCGATCTCTGAGGAGCGGGATAAAACGCTTCAGCGAGAAGGCAGTTGGCAGATCGGAGCGCTCATCCTGGGTTTCCTTGTCATCGGCGCTGTATCCAGGGGGCTGTTCTAATATTGAGACATAGGTGGCGGCTGATTCCGAAACAATATCCTTGATCAGCCGATCGAGCAATTCGGCGCCATTCTTGACGGAGAGCTCCGAGTCGGCACCCAGCTGGACGGTAGTGGTGACAGTGAGCCGGAAGGTAAAGCAAGGGGGTGCGGGATGCGGAGTGGGTTTAGACATACCTTGCAAAGCGCATCAAAAATATGGTTGAAGTAAATCAAAATCTCGCCCTTGGCCACCTTGGCTATGTTGTACATAGCCTCGCAGGCATAGTACCGGACCCGGGCATCTTGGTCTGTGAAGCAGGCAAGGACAGGGGGCACAATGACCTCAAGATACCTCGCAAGTTCCTGGAAGGGTGAGCACGGGCAAGCAGTAATGGGAGGGCATGGCAGGAAAGCGGAGGTTGCAAGAGGCTTGCTTCATAGTTGCAGCAATGTGGGGACGGTATGTGCTAAGTGGCGAGTGGTCAGACGAGGAACTTACTGAGCCGAGGGCAATAGCAGCAGCAGCCAGGCCTATCAGGCCACCATTCCGGGCATGAGGCTGATGGACGGCATATGCATAGTCATTGCAGAGCTGGTCGAGGACTGCTTCCACCCTGGGGTAGTCCTTGACAGTGACGAGCTCGCGAATCACGCGCTCTAGTCTGTTGTTGCGAGAGGGCGTGAGTCTACAGCTTCACAAGGACAGGGCAAGCCAGCTCTTGAAGTCTGTCCAGGGGCAAACATGTAATGTACGTAGGCAGTGTGGGGGGACATACTCGAGAGCGCCAACTTTTCTCTTGTCGTAGAGCTTGTCGTTGAGAGCTCGCTGGATATTAGGATCCATGGCTCGGGTTCAATGTTGGAGGTCTTGGGCCCTGATAAGCATGCCGCTGCGGCTACTGCTTCCTGGCGGTGGCGCTTGCGGTGCTGTTGGTGGTGGAATGCTTGTATGTACCCTGTGCTGCCAAAGCAAGGATGGACAGGTTGGGAAGAGATGGCCTGGGGGGCAGGGTGATGCACTCGGCGCCTGATCTGCCGAGGCCGATATGGCCAAGGTAAGGTAAGGAAGGTCCTGAGTACCAAAAACGCTCCAATGGGTCAATGAGAAATGAGCAATCAGCGAACTGGCCGTGGGATGCCGGCGACACACTGTGTGGGTGAAACGATGTGGATGAAATCCAATGTTGGCCGTGGATGGGACGAATGCGAATGCGCTGCCCGTGCACCTGGGCTGCTCCGTTGGACGGTCCGAGCAGTTGGGCCTTCACGTCTTACTGTATGTACTGTACAGTACATGCATACATACAGTAGCGTTGCGGCTTTCTGCGGGCTTAGGTTCGGTGTTGATATGTTTGGACTGCTGAATAAAGTGTCGACATGTCTTGAATACCTTGCATGGATGGCGGACGCGATGATGACAATGAGTGGCCATGAACATGTAGTTTCCAAATTGAGTTGCAGGACCAAGCGGATTCAAGGCTGCAGTACCCCCAGTCAATCCCGAAAGAAAAACGCGTCACAGCACCCTCGCCTCGCCGCCCAGCCCAGGGTTGCAAGCCGGGCAGGCTTCCAGACTGGCCAGTGCTGCTTATCCTGTACGGGTTACCAGCTAAATGCCGCAATAACCCTGATAGTAACGTAATTACTGGTATCAGCCAACATCAGTCCAGAACACCAGATTTGATTCTGCAGGGCGCTCGTTAAATCATGTATAGCGACTGAATATTTGAAACTACCTCATGAGTGCCTTGTCTATTTGAACACGAGGTTTGCCCATGCATGGATGAATTGTTGACACGGAACGAGAAACTAGGGCGTTAGTAGTACTTAATAGACAGTATTAAATCGTAATACACAAGGTAACGCCCAACCTACACAAACGTACTACCTTAACCCACCACCTTACTTATCTTGGGTGCTCGAATTTATGTGGTGGGTGTCTCTTACCTTTTCTTTGGTTGACATTGGCTATTAGAAATATCACCTAGTGTTGTCTCTTTATATCGAGTCTCTCCTCTGCCGCCACCAACATACATCCCTTTCTCAACTCCTCTTGCATCCCATGAAACCGATATCAGCTTGCTGGCCACCGTGTTTCTCATCAACTAACATTTGAAAGAACAGCAAAGGTGTCCAAAGGATGAAAGTAACTATAGACGGTATATGCCCCGTGTCCGTGGGGCTATCCCCATTGAAGACGTTTCCCCTAGGTAGGTACGAATAGGGAATGTTTTATCATATCTGAGACCAGGGTTTCAGAGAGAGGCTCACGAGCGCCGGCCCCTCCTTGTGTTAAATAGACAACCAAGCAAGCACGCGGATAGCTGGGGAAACTACCAGTGTGGGTTGTGCCCACTTGGGGCCATTCCAGCCACCTTTATCTCTTCCTGTTTTCCTGTCTCCTACTCTGATGGCTCTGCACCTCCCCGTTCTTTCTCTACCTGGGTCCCCAAACAAAACCAACACGTGACGCATCCCTCGAGCCTTCAACCTACCCACTATGTCTGCCAGTCCAAATTTCCCGGATGGAGGGTATAATAACTGCCTATCCGAGTATGTCGAGTTGGCCGAGACCCACAGCCATATGAAGAGGCTGAATAGGGGAGGGATACGGCGGCGTAAGGATGTGTTTGCCGGGCATTGGCTAAGCAGGTCCTTGGCGATAATGATGGTGCAAGTGTGTGTGTGTGTGTGTGTGTGTGTGTGTGTGCTTTGGGGGGTGGGGCGAGAGGAGGGAGGAAGAGAGAGTGACAGCCGAACTGCTCTCCCACTTCTGCCTCCTCCCCGGCGTGTGTGCCATGCCGTGAGTTCCATATCGGCACTCATCCGACTTTTTGCGCCTTACTCTGCGCTAGATCTCTTTTCTTCGCAGCAGAAAGCTCTATCTCGCGTTAGCTCTGTGACGCCAGTTGACTTATAAGCGGTAGGAGTGAGTTTGTGCGCGTGTGAATGCCTGTATGTACTTGTGTGTGTCTGCGTAGGTGCGTATGTGTGTGTGTACATACCTGGAATCCAGGCCCGCCGCCGCCGCCGCCGCCACGTCTGATCGCGGTCTGGATTCGAGCCACGTCTTCCCTGCCTGGTGACGAGCTCGGCAGGAGAAAAAAGCAATTTCATGGACTCCATTGGCCCTTCCCAGCACATCGCCGTGAGACATGGCGAAGAAGACGCTCGACTTGGTTCCGGCCCCAGTCTCATGACCCATTCTAGAAAAATCACTTGGCTGCACGTTTTGACACCAGAGAGATGGCGTCTGGGGACAACCCAATTCGTCCGGGTGGGCGGATACACGACATTTGCTTTGATGCCTCGCTAGGATCACGTGTGATGGGACACCAAAACTGATAAAGTGGGAAGAGGCGAGGGGGAGCAGCAACTTCCCAAGCTGGGACTTGGCTTGGCATGGGCTTACACATGGTGCAAACGCATCCCCCCCTGGGTTGGGGCTGTGGCATATGCGGCCTTGTCGTATTGTTCCTTTCCCGGAAGTCTCGAATCGACTTGCGAAAACGTCGTCACTATACCATCATGAGATGAGATTCCCCTTCCGTGTCGGATTGTCCCTTTCTCGGAGGTCTCGAATCGACTTGCGAAACGTCGTCACTATACCATCATGAGATCGGCACGAGCCTAACACGAAGAGGGAATTTCGGGCGGCAGATCAAAAGGGCCCGAGTGAGACCGGGCTTATATGAACTGGGAAAGGGGAAAGAGGCGCACATGATCCGTGCAGGCCGCCCACAGACTACTGCCCGTTACTAGTCATTTGGATTGCGTATCTGAGTTAGTACGCCTGGTTCTTCTTCCCTGGAACTAGTTCAAAGAAAACAAGATACTAAACGCGAAAGACACAAAAGTCGAGTCAAAATGGAAAGCAAGAAAGTGGAATTACACACCACTAAAACGACATCACTCACACACTAATATTATATAGAATATGCCCGCCGATATATATCCTAGCACGCGTTGGGGGCTGCGGATAAAGCACCATTCGTCGTCTCGGCAAGCATCCAGCTAGGTTGGCAGGCAGGGAAAGCAACGGGCAGACATCATTGTTTGCTACTTGGATCCTCCTCCCTGCTTTCCGCCACTGCCTCCGTTGTTTCCACTGCCTTTCTGGCCGCTGTTGCTGCTGCTACTGCTGCCACCGCCGCCGCCTCCGCCGCCGCCACTGCTTCCTTTATTCTGCCGAGCAGCCATTGCAGCCCGCCTGGCAAAATCGTCCTGCAGGTTTCAACGTGTGAATAAAGGAGCAACAGACAGCCTCCCTGACGCCTAGACACAGGTAATGGGAATCTCGCACCTTCTCACCCCTAGCCCTACGAATCCTCTCCGCTGCGGCGTCGTCCATCTTGCCCCTACCCATCTTGTATTCGTCCTTTGGTATCAAGAGTCCGAAGAGAAGAGAGGAGGGCAACAACGCCTTTCCTTGCTTGGCGTTGGCAACAGAATTAAGCTGGTGAGACTTGCAAGGAATTACTTTGACTAGCGACGTCCAGCAGCCTTATGTGGTGTTTATGTGGGATGCTGGGGAAACGAATGTTTGGGTCGACCTGGGCCACGAAGTTGCGAGTCTCGATGAAAGATCTTTTGGGGTCGGCGCTCTAGAGATATATAGCCATGTCGGCACATGGGATCGAGGCCCTTTGCCAACCTAGGTAGTAGTTTCTTTTGCCCGGGAACCTCTACCCCTAGTCCAGCTCCCGCTGGACGGCCCTGCATGGATGGCCTCGTCTCGATCGTGAGTCTGAGAGACGATCGCTCCTATCGTATGATGGGTATGAACGTCCTCTAGCCCCCGATATGTGGGAGCTGTGCGTGTGGGGGGGGGGGGGAGACAATGGGTGCAGGGTATGTTTGTATGTACATACATTGCTGCCGGCACCCAAACAGCCAGAAACCCCATGGGGCGGAAGGGTGCCTGGCCTGTCTGTTGTCCTCGACGGAATTATTGCTCCCGCCCCACTGGCCCAGCAAAACTTGGAGAGAGATGCCAAGGGCCGTCCCGAAATGTCACGCTGATACGTACTAGTGGGATACCAATGAGAATGCGTTTGTCTTCTCCGTCCTGCCGTCCAGGAACCTGGTCGAAGGTTAGGGCCCGGCTCGAGAGAGGCTCTACCATTCTATTCTAGTAGAGCCAAGCCGTACCCGCAGCTTGGGCCACCTTACCCAGAACCACGGATGAGGGAGATATGATGCTCGCCTGCGAAACCTGTCCCCACGACAGGGAGCTGGTGCCTCCTGCAGAGGCTGTTCGGACCCTTTCCACAAACGATGCCAGCAACCGAAGGAGCTTGGGCACTCGGTGTATCCAAAGACGGCAAATCAACAGAGGATGGAAGGAGAGGAGATGTGAACGGGCACCCTCCCCCCCTCTGCGACTAATTAACACATCAGCCGTGCAGAGGTTGGCCTCGGTGAGACCATTTTGAGGAACCGATGAGGGAAAAAGAAAAGAAAACCGGCGTGGAAAAAGAAGCAACAAGACAAGCGCTAGCATCATACAATGAATATTGAAATTGTAAGGGACTAGACCTGCAGGACCACGACGAGGAGCTAGTTAGCAAGTAGTAGCAAGGATCCCAGGGGGGGATGGGGAGGCTCCAGTACATACAGTACATTACTTACAAACCCCCCCCTCTCTCTCTTCCTTTCACTTCCAGGTGGACAGAGGTGACAAGACCTTCCAAAATAGCTTTTCGATCAAGCATGCCAAAAGGAAGAGCACATGCGAGTGATGCCCACGCGATATCCATAAGAAGCTGCCGGCCCCCTCCCCCCACTCCCCCCCCCAATACTCGGTAATTTTCTGCGGCGAGAGCAATCCTGTCCTCGACAAACAACGATCTATCTGTGTATCTATACGCTATCGGTGTGGTGTGGGCGCACACAGACCGTCACTTGACGGGCTGTGGTGGATTGCAGATCGTGGGCCCAAGGCCGCGGGACTACTGCAGTTATCTGCATACAATCCAGCGCTGGTGGGTTTGTTAGGCTGGTTCTCTCTACAGGGGTCCCAGGCCAGGATTGAGAATTCGGCCGTTGTGTAACTAGCGGCATTGAACAAGAAAATCTCTCCCGTGAAGGAAATATACAAAGAAGCTCGTAACGGTCTCATTAGCGCAGCTTTATTTAAAAGCTGGAGGCTATCATTTCGTTACGATTGAAAGGTTTCGGAAACGTTAGAGAGGTCACTACCTAGGACGTACCTTGGTATAGCGCCAACAGACAGTCCAGCCCTAGATTGTTGTAAAGGGGGGGCCGATCCCAACCCCGCGCAACCAATGCTGGGTGTCGAACATCAATCTCGCCCCAATTGCTTCTTTTGACCACAACGACAAAGCGCTTTGGCCACCATTCTGGCCTCGAGATACACTACCTATACGGAATAGACCGGAAGGGGAGTCTTCTTCCGCCCAACTCTCAGGTACGTAGCTAGACACCAGCCACGCTGGATTTAGATGTCCGAGTCTTCTTGTGCAGATGCATCCGTCATTTGATTTGGATCAACGAACTAGATCCAAAAGGGGGGGCGTGAGGGGAAATTGGGAAAGTAAATATATATATATATATCTTTCGATTATCCGCGGGTGTCCAAGCAGGTATTCAACATCTGTTCCCCGTACCTTTTAGTCAGGATTGATTTTGTGACTTGGAACCCCTGGAGGTTCGGAAAGCCCCAGCACTTTGTCGTCTCAGGCGCCACCTGGCCTCTTGGCGTTTTTCTAACTTGGAAGCCTATTAAACCTATACTTCCCGGGAGTAACTACCATTTTGCCATATCCAATCAGGTTATGGGCTGCGGCTTGCGGCGCGAAGCACACCTCTGTAGCAGCTCTGTTGAGTGCGGCTTCGACAGAAAGGCATGCAGTAAACAGGCTTCCGCAGGGGCGAGGCAGAAGGCACGCAGCAATGACTGTATCATGGCAGGAAAGCAATTGACCAACTGCCAAAATATGGGCCATTTGCATGTTATAATTCCTAACAGCTCGCGTCTGGGGAAACCGCCGGATGAATTAAGCCAATACTCAGGATATCGCGGAAGAGTAGCCTTAGAAATGATGAGCATGCGATGCGTCGACGTCAATGCTCCCAGTTATCGCACTCTGACATTTCGCCAGGATCGCCGCTTGTCTCGCCACGTCCGCCAGTCTCCCGATAACTTCCTTGTTCCCGTCGACAAAGCCGTAAAGCGCATATGGAATGCCCACCTCATTGCAGAACTCCTGCACGAGCCTCTGAGCACTTCGTAGGTTGTGTCGCGGGAGGCGAGGATAAAGGTGATGGATGGCTTGAAACTGCAAGCCGCCGTGGAAGAAGTCAAGCCACTGCGGGCAGTCGACGTCCATGGTGGTGCGAAGCATTTTCTGCGGGAATGACTCATGAACGCCAAGGTCTGCCGTGCTCATTGCAAAGTGTGACAGGGTAATCTGGACATGGAGCGGTGCCGTAACCATATGGCTGACCATGACGAAGAGAAATCGGTGCCAATTGGTATCGACACATCTGTAGAGGATGCCATAGCCAAACCAGGCCCAGAAGAAGATATTGCCCGCCAGCTCCAGGTACCTGTGCCACCATGCAGGGCCTTTTCTTGGTCCCTGCCCAAGGATAATGTATGCCCACGAGAGGCGGTACAGATTAAAGCGTCCAAAGAGGAGGAAGAAGTAATAGGAATAATGCTGGAGGGAAACCAGGAATTTAGCAGCCGCGTCGAAAGGCATAACACGCTCATAGTAGGTTGATCGTAAAGACCCCAGAAAGCGGTGGGATACGGCAAACAAGGGCATGTGCTCGATGTCAGGGTCGTGCTCGGGCGAATTGGTGACGATATGGTGAACGTTGTGATTCATCTTCCACCAGCCGAGAGACAGACCACCGAGAAAATCAGCGATTATGATGCCAATTAAGGTGTCACCCTGAAAACTGTGCGTGATGCCCATGTGGCCGGCATCATGAGCAGTGAAGACCAACTGGTGCCAGAAACAGCCCAAGAAGAAGGAACTTGTAATGTACCAGCCCCGATGAAGAAAGGAAAGCATGAGGGCAAAGAGCGAAACGTAGCGCAAGCACTCAATGGCATAGGCGGAGTAGTTGCAGTCGAACAAACCCTCGTCCTTGATCCTCTCGTACAGAAGCCGGTACTTTTGCACGATGGAATCTTGGACTTCTGGTTCAAGTGAGGGATATTTATCCATGTCCAATTTTATCTCCTTCCTGGTCAGGGCATCAAGGTGAGCCATGCCGTCAGTTATTTCCGCGGGAGCATCGGCGGACGATACGAACGATGCGGAGGCAGATCTCTGGGCCGTGGGGTGTTGCTGTTGCTGTTGCTGTTGCTGACCACGACGACGGCGACTCGGACCAGAATCAGAAACGTCAAACAACGGCGAGGGGGATCGGGAGCCAGAACGGCTCGATGACGTAGTATTGGGAGAAGGCGATTTGGTCAGCGTGACGTCTTCAACCTCGCTGTCGTCGCATGAAGTGGCGAGGCGAAAAACACCGCCCTGAATTGGGGGTAGAAAGTTATCCCAGCGGCCCTCAACCGTCCCAATACGATATCGGTCCATATGGCGGCGGGCCTCGGGCGAGTGAAGGCTAGGGCTTGGTCAGTTTCACTAATTCATCGCTGGGGATTACCTGCAGGCGTCGTGATACGCACCTCTTGACCTCGTCTGAGGCATCTCGCCCAACCATGTGCATAATGGTTTTCTTGCCCCCGGGATGATAATGGAGCCATGCGTCCACCTTGAGCACATGCTGGTCCACGATAATAATTGAGCGCCCTTGGGCAATCATGGCCTCGACTTCGCGCCGCGAGAGCACCGGATACGACCGCCCGCCAGCCTTTTGGCTCTTTAAATCACGTGTTGCCATTATAAAAGAGGGCGAGTGGTGGGGGTGAGCGGTGAGCTGTGAGCTTTGAGCCGGCGCGAAGGACGGGAGTTGATGGGATCCAATTGCTCGCACGCACCAGCCTAGAAAATCGGAAGACGCGAGGCCCGGGCTCGACTGTGCCTGCTCTCGTACCTGGGAGGGGGCACTGTACCCAAGGAAATTATACTGTGAGAATTGACCTGCAAGTTACCTAACTTGGCGGGCCGCAGTACGATGCGGAGACTTCGTGTCAATGGAAAGATGTTGGGATGTTAAATCTTGATAAGCCCTTTCGCCGCCGAGACTAAAGATCAAAAGCGTATGGATCGGGGATATGGGAGGAAGAAGATGGAATGGAAACATCACTCTGAAATAAATGGTATGAAATGAAGATACGGATACTTCGTGCCTGGATTCAGAACGCTTCCTGCTTTAAAAATTGGGCGCGGCAGCCGGAAATACCGGCATGCTTGATCTTGTCAGGTCCAAGCGTCAAGCCGTATGTTACCTACCCATGCCTGGGGTGAGGGCTAACAGGTTTCCCGGAGACATTTTCTTGACAACCAAAATATCCACTCTATTTGTTGGGTCACTTTGCGATTGCACGTCTAACTATTTATAAGATGATCGCGAGAAATGGGTGACGTGAGAGGGGCCATCGACACTGGTGGTCGGCATTGGAGTTTTCAGTCGATTTTTTTTAATGAGATGGAAGCAATGGGTTTTGAATACCGTAGGGGAGCATTGAAGCAATCAATCGGTTGAACTCCTAGAGCTAAATCATATACTGTGTCGACGAGTAATATCGGCACTAAACACAACTAGGCATTGACATGTTCTTTGTTTGTTGGCCGTATGGAAACTCATCCGCCTGCTGCTCCTGTAACGTGTTGAACGGCGCGCTACTACTCTCTCTGTCATCTGGCCAAGTCTATTTACCAATACCACCGGGGAAACAAACATACAGTTACAAGTACACCAGAAAAGCACGCCTCGTCAAATACAACTTATCCCCAACTGGCTTAGAAGTGGATGGCCTTCCCGTGCGTGGCCATTGCCGCCTCTTTAAAGGCCTCGGCGAGCGTAGGATGCGCATGGCAGGTACGCGCAATATCCTCGCTCGATGCACCGTACTCAAGAGCCAGCGTTCCCTCGGCAATCATTTCACCCGCATTTGGGCCAATGATGTGGACTCCGAGAAGACGATCCGTCTCTGGGTCCGCGAGCATCTTGACCATGCCGTCCGTGTCCAGGTTCGTTTTCGCCCGAGAGTTGGCGCTAAAGGGGAATGTGCCGACACGGTACTTGATGCCCGCCTTCTTCAGATCCTGTTCCGACTGGCCAACCCACGCAACCTCGGGGAAGGTGTACATCACCGAGGGAATGCAGCCATAATTGACATGCCCAAAGCCCTTCTTGATGTACTCCACTACAGCCACCGCCTCTTCCTCGGCCTTGTGCGCAAGCATTGGCCCAAACGTAACGTCACCAACGCAGCGAATGTGAGGAATCTTGGTGCGGTATTCAGAGTCGATGATCACGCGCCCCCGCTCGTCGAGCTCGAGGCTAATATTCTCGAGTCCGAGGCCCCCGGTATACGGCCGGCGACCGATTGCGACGAGGACCACGTCAGCGTCAAGCTACCAGAGAGCCATACAGTCAGCAATTATTCCAGGCCTATGTGTCAGCCCAAGGCGTGGCTCCACGCGCCATGGTTTGCCAGTCCAGAAGTAAACACGGGGTAAGTGGCAATGAGAAAGTCCAAACATACCGATTCCTGCTTGCCGCCCTTGGCCGAGTCCACGTCGAGCTTGACGATATCTCCGCTTTGCTCCCCGCCCAGGACCTTGGTGCCCGTCTTGAAGCTGATGCCCTGCTTCTTGAGGATCTTCTGTATCGATTTGGCGATCTCAAGATCCATGCCCGGGCCACCAATCTGATCAAGGAACTCGACAACAGTCACCTTTGACCCCAGTCTTGACCATACCGAGGCCATCTCGAGGCCAATGATGCCGCCGCCGATGACGAGCAGCTTCTCGGGAACTTTCTCTAGCGCAATGGCGCCCGTGCTGCTGATGACGCGCTTCTCATCGATCTCGAGGCCAGGAAAGGGAGAGACTTCGCTACCGGTTGCAATCAGGATATTCTTGCCGACGATGCTTGTCTCGCCGCCATCGTTTAACTGGACATTAATGGTGTGCTCATCCTGGAACGTGCCCGTGCCCTTGATGTACTCGACGCCATTCTTCTTAAAGAGGAACTCAACGCCCTTTGTAAGGCCCGAAACGGACTGGTCCTTTGCCTTCATAAGCTGCGCAAGGTTGAGCTTTACATCGCCAACCTCGATTCCTCGGTGCTTGCTGTCGTGCATAATTTGGTGGTATAGATGCGAGTTGTTTAGGAGCGACTTTGAGGGAATGCAGCCGACATTGAGGCAGGTTCCGCCGAGGGTTCCGCGCTTCTCGATACATGTGACCTGTTGGAAAGAACATTAGATACGCGCGCTCTCTACGGCGGTGCGGTGGGTTGCGCGGATCGGGCTTACCTTCAAGCCCTCCTGGCCAGCCTTGATTGCAGCGACATAGCCAGCAACACCACCACCGATGATGACGAGGTCTTTCTCCTCTGCCAAACGGTAAGCCAGGCGGTCAGATCTGGTCTGGACAGAAATACTAACCAGCCTCGGTCGCATATGTCCGTCTCCATCTAGCCGCGGGTACAATTGAGGGAAGTCTGTGATAGCGTCAGTGGGAAGAGCCATTTTCGGTGGCGTGGAGCCGAGTCATACCCCGACGGCCTGAAGGCAGACCTAACCGCAGCTCGCCCGAGTAATCTTTGAGACAGCATGTTTGTGGTGAGGCTCTGGGGCTGGACTAGCGAAAAAAAGAAAAAAAATTGGAAAAGCGAGGCTGATTGAGATGGATCTTTTGGCAGCGCCGGCGTGGGATTGTTGGGTGGGACTGTTGACAAAAAAAAATGTCCCAGTTTCCAACCCGTCAGGAAGCTCTACTTCGGGGTGAGTCTGATTCTATTGGCCAGGCTCAAGGCCCCGATCGGCTCGGCGCGGAGTGACGGCCGCTAAAATTTCGGGCAGGCTCGCTAAGCCTGTCTAACCCGCCTGAATCCGACCAATTTGGAGGTCATGGGAGGCCACGAAGGAGGAAAGCACCCCATGACCATTGGAGCTCCCCTCTCTCCGACTGCTGAGGAGTCCGATTCAACGAGATAGCCGCCAAAGATTGTGTAGATTATCTTAACAGTAATAAACAGCAAGCAATACTTATCAGTAGAGAAGCGATTCGCAATCCAATCGCAGGGTTCACTCGAGTAGAGACGATGCAAGTACTGTGCAAGCACGCCCTAGCAGTCCCTGAAGGAGTGTCGAAATCGAAGCAGACACCAGGGGCGCTGCATGGTAAGTTATGGGGGGAGTATCTATTATATCTATTTTATGAGGCGAAGGTGGACTGCTAGATAGATGCTATGGTCATACCATGACACGACTGACATCACCGTCACCGCCATATGCTGCAGGTCTCGGGATTTTGAGCCTACTCTAGTTGGTCTTGTGTCGAAGAGAGAACAGCCTCCAAGACGGATTCCGCTATCTTGCACGCCTCCTTGACATGTTCGGCGTTTTCTTTGCTCCCGGCCAAGTCGGATTTCCGGATTACTTTTTTCATAAACCACTGGAGTCCCCTGGCCAGCGGAGGGGCTGTCTCGGCTGTCTTGAAGGCTGCAGCTATCGCGTCTCTCGGTGTTTCGCTCGTCTGACACTCTAAGAGGGTGGCGATAAGCATGATCTCGACAAATGCCCGCGTATTTGACTGCAGGTACGGAAGGTTAAGGCATTTGAGGACAGGTAGCCCCAGCGCTCCGCTTGCAACCAGGGATCCGAACATCTTGGCAATATTTACGAGACGTCGCGTGTCGGCCGCTTCATTCTCGTCCACGTCTTCTGCGTCGTCGCCGAAGATAGATTCCCCCAGTCTCCTAAACAGCCTCCAAAGACTGTCTTGGAACGACCACCTGACCTTGCGGTCTGAGCAAAGCTTTTTGGCGACCAATGTATAATACGGGTTGTATTGCTGCTCTGCCCCAGAGCATTGCATTATGACATTGGGGACCTCCCGCTGGCGCTCCTTGTTGAGTCGAAGTTTGAGGATACGTAAGTAGGCGTCCTCATAATCAGTAGCCGACAAAATGGCAACAAAAATTGACCGCCGAACATCTGTGTTCATCATTTGCTCTCTCGCAAGTTCGGCAAGGTCTGGCCCCTGCTCAGCGTCGCTGAGGAGGAGGCTCTCGTCGTCGTCGTCGTCGTCGTCGTTGTCGTGGCTCTGCTCTGTCTTCTCCGGTTGACCACCCGCATGTGGGCCAGCCCAGCTTGCACCCACAAGCCACCACTTTCCTTTTTTGTCAGATTGCTGAATGTCTTTCAGACCCATCCTTAAAGGCTCGGTCGACTTAAGTTTCCTCGAATTTAGGGAGCCAAGGATCTTTTTCATGCGGGTGGTGTGCTCAGAGACTACTGCCGACGCACCGACTCCCGCCTTCATCTTGTTGTTTTTCAAGTCATTGATCGTCTCGATCATGAATTTTGTCCTGACGCTGATGCTCTGTTCGCCAATTCTCGAAACGGCCGGGCGAATCAAAGAGATGATATCCTTCAAAGCCATCGGGTCATCTTGCCGAAGAGAAGAACCGCACATGCGAATAATACGCAGTAAGAGCTCCGCATTGAGCTCCGACAGATTACCCAAGAGCATGCGAATGTAGTCAAACAATAGGTTCGGGCCTATCGCCTGGAAGCTGTAGAGCTTTGAAAGGAAAGTGATCAGGTTTGATGTCTGTTTCGGCACATCGGGTCGCCCAGTCGCAGCTAAAGCTGCTGCCTCTTCGTAGAACCTGTCGAAGCGCTCGACGACTTCCTGAATTAGCTGGGCCCCGAAGTCCATGCCGACTACTTTGCAGGCGGCAGTAGCAAAGCCCGAGGTAAGGATTAGGAGCGTATCCGGCAAGTTTGCTGGATCGCAGACTTGAATCAGAAGCAGGTCTACCAGGGTGGACGAGACGTGCTGTCGAGGATGCTCCCTATAGAGCTTCTCAATGTCGCCAAGAATACTTAGCATGCTGGTTTCTGTTATTCGATTGACGAGACCTTGTGTCTGCCGGCGGATACGTGCTGTCAACTCTGCGTCTGATCCCGACTCCTGCCGAAGAGAAGGAGTCACGTATTTGACAATATCTCGTGCCACTGTAGGAGCAACATATGGGTTCTCGCGCACTCGTTGTACCTTCTCGGCAGGCACATGGTCCGCTCCAAGCTCTTCAGAATCGCCGTCTTCGCCACTGTGGTAGCTGACATCGCTCATATCGTCTTCGTCATCGCCTCCAGACCCAAGATCCAACGCATCATCCAGGCCCACATCATCCGAGTCGGCGTTCTCGTCAGAATCGGAACCTTCAAACTCGTCGTCGCTCCCTTCAAAGTCGGTCTTTTGACAGTGTTCCAAAGCTTGCTCCGCAATCGCCTTTCTTCGTTTCTGGGACAGCCAATCGTCTACTTCTGCCTTGCGTTTCTTCCGTTGCGAGGCTTCTTCATTGTCGTCCCCGTCAAATTCACCCAATTCACCCAAGAGCTCAGTGAGCCCATCTTCTTGGAAGGATTTTGGCAGTGATTTTCGCCCCTTCAGCCCAAGCTTCCTCTCCAGTGCCGCAATCTCGGCGTCGTCTTCTGCGAGGCGCTCCTTCACGTGCTTTGGTAGATCTGGTTTTGAGGAAATTGGGGGCGCCTCCTCCTCGTCAGACACCTCGTAAGAAGAAATATCTTCCTCGTCGTCGTCGTCGTCGTCCTCTTCGAGATCGATATTGTCTTCACTGTCCTCTTCGAGATCAGGTATTCTCTGTTTCGAGGTTGGCCAACTTTCGGGTTTTTTAACTGTCACGGCAGGGGACGTCGCCACCTTAGTGGCTCTCCCTAAAGAACTAATTTTGGCGTATTGTTTTGGATTTGCGCGCTCGGCATAGGTTTGAGACGCAGTGATCTGATGGTCTCTCTTCTGTCGTCTGTCGGCCTTGCGCTGGTCTTTCCTTGACAGGGAGTGTCGTTTATCGCGTCCTTGCTTTCCCTGCGACTCTGCGCCATGTGAGTAGGCAATGCTAGGGAGATGTTTCCGCTGTGGGAGACGTACCTGGCACACCTAGCTCTTTCAAGAAGTGTGGGGGTAGTTGCGGACCCGGTTGTTGTAGGTTCTTCATCCTAGGTGGTGCCATTTCGTGTAGTAGACCCTAATATTAGGCCTAGAAAGAAGTCTTTCAACCTTTCTTTTTACGCTTTCAGGTGCGTCTCAAAAAAGTCCGTGTGGGGTCCAGTCCCGTTTTCACGACGTGGATAGGGGGGTAGCTAGTGGGGGCTGAGAACAGAGCTAAAATGAGGAGCCTGACCCCACATCCACCTGAACGGCAACGTCAACCCTTTGGCGGGGCAACTCTTCATGGTGTTTCACGCCTGCAATTCCCTATACCAGAGCCTCCACCGATTCCTGAACGCGTATAAGACACCTTGTTGCCGGGCGGTAATCGCGGCACCATGGACCATTTAACACACGATGAGGTTGGCTTGAGCCCCACCAAATTTACCGATGATATATTACTAAACCTTCGGTGTCTCCAGTTCTTTATCAAGCTCGCGGAGCTCTTCAGCTCACGCAAGAACAAAGATCATGGGAAAATCTGCCTGACCCAGAAGAGATGTAGGATAACTTCCCACTTCGAGTTATGGTTCTCTTCGCGACGCGTGGCGGGAGAGCGTTGTGCCTTGAGGTGGTCAGCGGTTGATGCCAAAGACTCTGAATCACTAACTTCAATCCTCAGTTTCCTATGGCCAGGACATCCCTGAGCCCTCGGCAGCAGACCATTTCCCGGATTTGAATGTTGACGGTCCCTTGCCCGTCCTAGTCCGTGCGTCCAATGGAAAGTCTAAGCCCAGACGTGCAGATAAGGTCAAGCTGTCAACCGTTGTCGAGCCCAGCGACCTGGACGCTTTCTACGGGCGGTATGCCGAGGTATGCAAGTCGGGTATGCTCGCCCTGAAGCCGCGCGATCGTACCAAGAGGAAAGCAAAGGCGAAGAAGAAGAAGGGAGGGGCCCAGCAGGCCGCAGTCGCTTCTTGAGAATCATGTTCTGTTGCAACTAGACAGATATATGGCGTAACCCGTTAGGCAATGAGTTGGTAGGTCTAAATATACCGGCTCTCTCTCGTTCTAAAATGAGAGTAGCAAACGTATTTGGGCGAATGGAAGTGATTGTGCGGTATTGGCCACCTACGTTAATCAGGTACCTTACTTATCACGTTCTGATCAAATGGTCTAGGTGCGTTTATATCATATCAAGGATGGCGTAATAAAAGCATCATATGAACGGAGATCTTGAAGGTTGCGCAGATCCTGTGATGAGATGTATATTATATTTCGTCTGCTTCAATGAGGGACTTCTACATTTAGATTTTTTGATGAGATGTATAAGTACCTTCAGGCATTGTATTAGTATCATATGACGAAACATTCTAGGAATAGACCTAAACAGAGCGTTATAATATTTTTACAGGCGTCGGTCAGCATTATCTAGGTACCTGTGTGTTTTTAATCCACTTGACAATGTCTACCTACTCTTCGCATTTCATACCCGGCAGTCAAAACTCACGAAATCGTTGCAGCTGTCTTGTAACAATCCCCCCTTTTACTCTCCCTTCATTATAGACCTACCTTGGGAAAACCATGGATGTATAAGGTATCATATATAAGTTCAGTATAGCAACTGAATATTTCAAGGAAGTTTTTTCTAAGTTCCACCAACGTCTGCCCAGACTATAGCCCATACACAAGACACATTCGCTAATTGCGTTAAACCGTAGCACAAAATGCCAAGGGTCCCTCTCTTTCTGACACGCTCTAGTGTATAATGGCTTTCGCAGGCCGGTTTATTAGCAAATACCGCGAAAGATTCGTCACATACCGGTCAAATACAAAAAGTAGGCTTTTGAGTACCTGAGGTTCAGTAGGTAAGTGAGGTAGGTCTGGAGTCCCATGTACTACACAGTGTGGGCAGTGTGGGTGGGTAGAGACGCCTTAATAGTCCAGACATAATTCTCATTTTGATAATCTACCTAGCCTTTATCCTGTACTCTATGCTATTCTCTATTCTATGCTGGCAACTTTCTTGAGTACTCCTTATGTTCACAGAGGCGCTAGTTCAGGTGTACCCTGAAAGTCCTCGTCTTGTCCCCATGGTTTCAGTCAACTTGCACTCCCGAACCGTTCTTCAACCATGTGTAGGTAGATGAGCAACCCTATTATCTGCGAGGCTTGCAGGGGTAGCGATATTGTAACCGTGTGCCATACTGTCTTTACCACCGATTGCTCGCTGGATGGGAACGAAACTGCCTGGTATCGACTCGGGCGTTAATGCTGCTTGGTGTCGCAACATGTGGTTAACTGCGTTCGGAACCGAGGCGGCGGCGATAAGGACTACAAGACTGGTATATGTGGGGGTAATCGGTTGCTGGGGTTAGACCACCTGGGTCGATTCTTGACAAACAACATCGCCTCTAGTTTTCGCTAGCCAGGTACAGTTCGCCGAGACGACCATGTGCTGAAGCAATGTTGTGCGGTGGGTGATATGTGACGGTCCTAACAACTCAGGTACAGGAATAAAATGTCGCTTGTGTGCTGTGGGTGACGAAAGTAGTAGGGTGAATGGGCAATCAGGGATAGTTGGGGATTGCGTTTTGGGACTCCGGCGTGAACTGTGTGCTCCCCCATCGTCGTCCTTGGACACGGGAAGAAGGCTCACGAAAATGGTGGATTCTAGCACAATACCCTCGCGGCTGTGACTTTCTAAAAGACGCGCTATTCCCTTCAACCGCGATGGCTGGCTTCCACCGTCTCCAACAAAAGCAGTACTACCATGTTGTTATCGAGCTGCGCAGACGAGGCAGTCAGACCCGCAAGATAAGATGTAACCCACACACCACACACCAGGGCACAACATCAGTCACGCCTGTACCTTAGGCGCCCGACACTGCCGGAAAGATCCTACGTCTTGCTTCATGCACTCTCACCAATTTCTGCCTACCACCGAAAGTCTTTCACGAAATAACGCCAATAACACACATACAGCTACCCGATACCTTCCACCGAACGCCCACCATCAGCGGGAGAATCAGATGCTATTTGAGTGTTCATTCTAGCGTAAAGCCGTCCGATCTCCATTTTCACGGGAGTCCAAGTGAGTGTAAACCCCGAAAGCGCAAGACAGAAACATTAGTGTCAAAACTCTCGCGTTCGTGAGTTCGCTCGAGATTCGTTTGAGATGCCGAAGACTAGAAGTGAGCCTCACAGCTAGCTCTTTCATACCAGACTATCCTCCCTGAGCAAATGCTCTACAATATTACAGCTAGGCGCTGGCGAGTCCTGTTATGCTGTTTTTCGGGATTGACGGGGTGGGTTATTTTGTGACAAAACGTGTAAGGAAATCATCGTAACCGGTGAAGACTTCAGGAGTGTGAAGGAAAAGAACACGGCGATGATAGCTTCCTTCACCGAAAAAAAGAACCAACGGGCTTCCATATCGAATAATGTTGAAGAGCATAGGAATGCGCCATTCGTGGTTTTTGTCGAAGACAGGAAGCCAATGGTTACCGAAGTCCAGGAAGGATTAGCTGACAGCGCATGAAACAACGCCGGCCCGTATCTCGCCCTACATGATCTGGTCTTGCGTGAGGCCAACAAGAGGATCGGTGTCCATGCTGTCTCCAGTACCGGGCGTGGTGTATTTCACAAAGCTCAGGCCAAGCGGACGTCCGCCATATTGGTATCCCTGGAATTTGGTGATCGCCGTTTCTGCCGTTTCCACACTGTCGAACCTGACCACACCGGTACCGCGGGATCGGCCACTTGGTTCGTACTGAATCTCCGCTTGCTCGACCTTACCAATGGTCGAGAAAAGCTCGACAAGATCATCATTGCTCGTAGACCAGGGGAGCTGCGGGATGGTAAGCCTAAGGTCTAGGTGTTGGGAGAAGAGAAAGGGAAAGGGAGTGAAAGATATGAGCAGGGGTGATGGCTTACGTTGCGGACGTAGATGATCTCGCATCTCTCAGTGCCCGAGGTGGCGAAGTCGGTGAATGGGTTAGGTGCCGCTGGAGCACCACCACCCGGGGCTTCGAATCCAGGTCCGCCGCCTCCACCTCCGTATCCACCACGAGCTTGATAACCAAATCCTCCACGGCCACCGCCGAATCCTCCACGGCCACCAAAGCCACCGCCACCGAAGGCTCCGCGACCAGCGCCGCCAAAGCCGCCGCGGCCATATCCTCCAACGCCGACACCAGCGCCGGCAAAGCGATCTTCGCGGACTTCAAGCATACGGCCTTGCCAATCATAGCCGTTGAATTGCTGAATAGCATTTCGCGCATCGTCTGGGGTCTCGAAGACCACAATACCCGAGCCTTTGGGTCGACCGTCTTGTCCAAGGTGAACATCGGCGCGAATGACGCCACCCGTACGGGCTGAATGACAAATTTAACTTGTTAGTAAACTCCACAAGGCGGCTCCGAGGGCTGATTACTTACCGGCCTGCCGGAATAGATCCTTCAGATCTTGCCAGCCGACAGTGTATGGTAGCTGCGGTGGCTGGTTAGTATAATGACGCGTGGGGAATAAGAAGGGTAATGGGGAAAGGAGGTAACAAACGTTGGAAACATAGATCTGACGGCCGCCGCCAGCTCCTCCTGCTCCTCCTCCAGCACCGCCGCCGCCGGGCATTCCGGGGTTGAAACCGGGGCCGCCGCCATAGCCTCCAGCCATCGCGGGGCTACCGTTGAATCCGCCGCGGGCAGCGCCACTCGGAGGGCCAAATCGAGGTTCGGCTTCACGATCCTGTCCAAAGTTCAGCAAGAAGCTCCGTCATTGACTTTGGGTAGATAAACTTGCCTCGCGAACATAGACAAGTCGGCCCATCAGGTTTTGATTGCTGAGTGTCGCAACGGCGTTTTGAGCTTGCTCTCTCGTTGCATACTCCACAATTCTGAAAACAAAAAGTTAGCAAAAGGTTCGCAAACCGCGCGGCGGCAGCGTCCCGGGGAGGGGGAGGATTAGACTTACCCGCATCCCTACAAAATCCATGGACAAAGTCCCGACCCGTCAATCCAACATTCCATCAAATGACCGAAAGCAAGGGAAACCACAAAAGAACCAGCCAAATCACTTGTAGGCGCCCACCTTCGACATTCCATTCGGAAGAAGCAAAACATCGGCGTAGAGAACCTCTCCAGCTAATCGGTAAGAATTAGCACAGCCCTTGGTTCAAGTAGCGTTGGTTGGTTAAAAAACATACCCTGTCTCATGAAATCTTTGAGATGATGCCATTTCACGTCGTACGACAGATTGCCGACGTAGACTCGGCGGTCCTGCTGTGACGTCTCTCGGATGTTGTTCATGACTTGCTCTCGGTGAGCTGCTCTGTCTTCGAAAGATCGCTGTGGCGCACCACCGTAACCCGAAACTGATCCTCCGACAGATGCGCCTTGTCCAGTCATGGGAGACCGGCTTCTTCTGCGAGTTCGACTCCGCGATCGATCACGAGGCGAGAATGATCGGCGGGCGTTCGGGCTTCGTGAACGTCCCCGTCTGGGAGAGCGCGACCTCTCACGCTGCGATGTGTTAGTATATGGCCGGAATACAAAACATGTCCATGGCTCTGATAAAATCTGGGACGACAATAGGAAAGGTTTGCCGCAAGGACAAAGGCAGTTATCCGTCGAGCCAAAAAATGACCACTTCAAGCGAGACAAAAATGTCTGGACATGGTAACCAGGGTAGATAACGAACTCCAAGATATCCGGAAGGGATTAACCCTTTCATGGTCAGATTTGCGATTCATGACGCGATGCTATGTCGGCATGGCGTGGCGTATAAATGAATCCATGAAATATGCCGAGAGGCATATTTGGTACTCCTGAAAACCAAGAGTGAAGCGAGAGCGGGATCAAACTTACTGGACGGTACGTGTCTCCGGAATCAGCTGTGGAGGACCCAAAGTTAGAAACAACCGAGTAAGTATTGAAATCGAATAGACACGATGAGAGGACGGGTTGAAGGAAGACGTGAAAGAAGTAGAGTGATTGAAGACAGCTGCAAGTTGAAGAGTGCAGCACTCGGGGTGCGGCGGGGGTTGATGGTATCCGTGTGTGGATCAGGATGGGAGAGAGGGCATGCACGGGGAGGGGGGTGAGGGGTGTTCTGATCGTGTATATGTAGGTGGGATGTATGAGGCAGGGCAGTGCAGGGCAAGGGACGCAAGACACTGCAGCGAAATGCAGCTCCATGGATGGGGGAACATTGAGCGAGAAGGCTTGAGAAGGCGGCCAGCACCAGGACGAACCAGCACTGGGCCCAATACCAGGCCCAGAACGAGCTCCAGCTACAGCCAGGCTGTAGGAATCGGCGGGAATGCTGGTTGGCAGGTTTGGGGGTTTACAAGATGTGGTAACACGTCGAGGCACCCAGGGTTAATGAATGCTCACGATAGTGGTATTCGCAGATTGGCCCAGCGCGTCGCGAATGGTGTCTTTGGACGCGACGAGGCCACGCGACCTAGGCTTGACAGGACTTGGATTGCCTGGCTGGCATGGGAAGGGAATGGCAACAGGAAGGGACCATGGCTTGTTAGGGACGCATGGGGAATCGGGGCCCTCAAAGCTCTGCTTTTGACGACGTAGGACTTACCCATGGCTGTATAGGAATTGTGGTCAACTTAGCCGCTTGATGGAGGGGGTTTTTCGGCGACGCGACGATTGGATGCTGGCTGTAGCAGGTAGGTAGGCGTGCGTCTGCAACCACAGCACAGGGCGGATTGTCGCTCGCTGCTTAGACTGCCGGTTGGGGACAGCAGGGCAGATTAGAGGCAGGTACGGAGTACTGTACACTGCGGCTTTCGCGCAACGGACCACGGGCCAGGTAGATAGATGGGGAAGAGCTCGGGTGTGGTTGTTCGAGTCTCCAGCCAGTCGGGCAGACGAGCGTTCCTCTGTATCGAAGATCGGGGGTGGGCTGTAAAAACCGAAACAATGCGGCAGGTGGTTAGGTACAACCGAATGAGGGGACAACGGTCAGCGCGCCAAACCAAACAGAAGGTTCCTCGATGTGTCTGACAGCCTAGCAGGAGGGAGGTCAGTACGAGGGTGATCAACAGGGAAAACGCGTGTCGGCCGTGGCCCAAAAAGGCGCCGCAGGGATTCGAGGTTGACTGTGGAGCCCTTTGCAGATTTGTGGAGGCCACAAATGGCGCCTCGGAATTGAAGGAGTGCGTTGCGTTGGGTTGGATGTGTGTGCGGGAGGGAAGCACAACTGATTCCAGCTGCAGCGCACGAGTGGGCAATTCAAGTTTGTCGTGATTTCCGTCTACAGCGGGTCACTAGCAGTGTCGGCAAAAAACAGGTGGAAGGAAGGAACTGCCACTGCAGGGCGAGTAGGGACCCACCACCACAATCTGACCGGAAAGGAATTGGAAGGAAAATGGAAACGGTGGGGCGCACAGACCACACTGATATGTTAGGTACCTGAGGTACGAGTATTCCGTGCACGTACCTGAGGTACTGGTACTCCAACGCATGCGCCAGTTATGGGGCTGGAGGGGACTTGAACATTCTCCCAAATGGCAGCGTTTCTTATGTTTAGAGATACCTAAAGCCCAGTCCGGTTCAAACCGCTTGAGGTACCACCTACCTTACCTTATGCAATAGAGAACAGCACAGTAAGCGACGAGCAGTCAGTAAGGTGCCTCAAGGCTTGGGAGAAGGGAATAAAAAGTGGGCAAGAAAATTTTCTCTGTCAATCTGTCAAGCAAGGGTCAAGCTCGCATTGAACCTTTCGGTGCTATATAGCCGAAGGCTGCCCGCTACACCTAGCTACAAAACTTCAGAGAACTTCGAAGATTTATTATTTTATTAGACTTCGTAGGAAGCCAGGCACCTTACTTACGACAGGTGCAGTGATATCTTCGGTTCAGTAGTCGCTCGTTTTGGCTAAATATCCCTATTAAATCAAGATCATGTCGACTGTTAAGACGTGCATAAGTCAGACCTAGGTCCATTGCATTCCTGCCAATCTATGCCGATCTAGGGACTTGGAAGGGGAAGGGAAGAACCGTATCTCTCTTCCTCCCATTGCGAGTTGCACGCTCTGGGCTCCTCTCATGGTCACATACGGAATATGTTGTGGGATTAGGACAAGCTTCCCGGATGTTGGAACTCCCAAGTTGTTAGTTGATGATGCCAGGTCGGAGATCAGCAGCCTCCTCCGAACCAAACGCAAAGCCCCCCCAGCTTTCTTGCGAGGCTGCACAGACACTGCACGAATAGAACATAGGCAGTCGAGTGATTCTTAGCACCAAATACGGAAAGCGGGTGCAATGGTGGTTGGTACATTTATGTGTGCAGAGGAGACCGGGCCGTCAGCGATAGATGTAGGCACTCCATGTGGGTCGAGGCCAAGGACCGCGACAATTCACCACAACCGCCCCTCATTTTACTGCCCCAAGCGGTAAGATCCCTAGTCAGACAACGAATTACTAAGTACGAGGCTATGCTTCATCTTCTATTGACCACCTAGGTAGATAAGGTAGCTCAAGGCTTCAAAATGGTGAGCCGGCTTTTGAAGCCCAGGCAAGTAGCACGGACAGTGCACGGTTGGCATCCCGGAAGTTAGGTTTCCACCAAAGTAACAGTTACGGGCTGACCATGATATCGAGGAGTGAACCAAGGCAGCCGCGGCAAAAAGCGCCCAGCAACATTGTAGGCTGTGGGAAGAAGAACGAGAAGTTCTAACATTCCAAGACCAGTATATATAAGCCAGGTAATTCCAGAGGATCTATCAGAGTACGGAGCATATCAAGTACCACAACACTTGTTGTAATGTATGTATGTAGGTGGGTATATACATGCCTACATTCTTGTTTGACCCCTGGCTTTAGCGGATTCTTCCCGCTACACTTGCGGCTCTTTTAGATGCTGGCACGAACCCCGACGGGCACACTTGATTCCATGAAACTTGGGGTATCGCCTCTCAACCTAGCTTCATACGGCTTTTGGGCTTGCTAAAAGCATCATTGCCGGCCAAATGAACCTCACAGCTGTTTTTTTTTGTCGAGCTCGAGTTCTATGATTTTCGCTTTCACACATACTGGCTTTGTCATGTCCTGTTCAATCCCAGAAAATAGATCCATTGGGATGGTGGGGTGGATTGCAGCTGCAGATGACAGGGGCTTGACTTCCCGCCCCTACAGCATGTTGGTCTGTCCATTTGCCGCCAGTAACCTCGGAGTATTGTTATCAGATCAGTTGCGGACGGCGGTAAGAAAAGTAATAACCAACAAGATCCAATGGCGCGCGCACCAGTGTTAGAGTTGTATCGCAACTTCGGGTAGGCATTTCGTTCGGTATTGTCTTGGGGCAGTGCGTAGTGAGACCCTTGGAGAGCGAACTTTCATGCCTCAAAAGGGATCCGTTCGCTAGGTAGTTACTTGTCATCAGCTGGATTTTAATAGCTATTAGTCGGTTCATCAAAAACCGCGTACGACGCATATTGGGAAGAATTCATACTTACCTAAGGTAAGGTAAGGTAGGTAGGCAAGTATCGTAGACATTGTACATGTCAAATAATTAAAGAAAGTTGAGCTACAAACACTGCAGATACACATAGTAGTATACCTTGTCATATGTGCTGGACTTTTGTTAGTTATTCGGAATCCGCTGTCCCCATTAAGTCTTATTTATTCGCATTTACTACCACAACTGTGTTCGCACCGGAGTACGGACCCTTCTCTCAAATTCCGCATCAACCCGCTGTGCAACCGATTCGCGAGTTGGGCGTCTTTCGATTGGAGGATAGTGAGGCAGTTAGCATTGAATACCATCCAACCGACGTTGAAGGGGAGGGAAGAGTTTTCTCCTTCCCCCCCATAGGTGGCCTTGAAGACTGCCGTGCTGTGCCATCCACCTCTGCCACGGCACAGTTCATTTGAAACCATGAGGTTAGGTAACTTAGCACAGAGGCTGCTTCTTTTAGCTCGAGCAACTGATTCCTTTCCTTCAAGCCCAAAAAGTCCCCTCAAAGAGGAGACGAGTGGTATAAAAAGACCGTGGTGGGTGCTCGATATCCCATACCCGGCGAAAACTTTGCTGCCGCTGTAGACGTGTAGCTCAACCGCCGTGAACCATTGAGGACGTTGAGTAGAGGCTGGGAAAGAGAGATCCGCCGGGTATTGGCATCCCCTACACCGAGCTCATCTTCGGTTTCCAGACCAGTCTGCTACCAGGAGCTCGTGGGATGGTCACACAACAGGTCGATGGGAGGGGAAGTCACCCAATCCAGTCGCTTGCTGCGGTATTTCGTGTCAGTCAGACTCCAAGCGTCTCCGTCTTGTCAAGCTGGCCCTCGATGGGCGCATTTTCCATTTTGCGCCCTTCTGTTGTTCTGGACATACCCTGGGGTGCCTCACAGCCCGCGTATAGTGTGTGTGCTCAAAGGCCTTCGGGTTGGTTGAATCGTTCCGGAATCCTCATGCTGCCTACCCACCCCCCCAATACTGGGGCACGCCTGTTAAGCTTCGGCGTCCAATGTGCCATCCCCGACGTTGTCGAAACGGGGCAAACCTGGCTCTCCACTGTAAATGGCCAACCAGAGGCAGGTAAGAGACCGGTCAATGCATGATGGAATCGGTTAATAAAAGTGTCCTGCAAGAACCGCTGTGGCGCACAGAGGCCGACTTGGGCAGAAGGGGGAGGGGGGGGGGTTCCTTTTGAACTGAGTCTGGATCACCGCTTCGGCAACGGAGGTTGGGTCAGGGTTAAACGGGCCGGGGACCTGAATGCGCACGGAGAGGTCACCTCACCGAATGCAGACGAAAGACAGCTGGAGGAAGACTTGCCTGGGCTGCAAGAGACAGACATTGGAGCCGGCCTAAAAAGATCACGAGTTTGCGGGATCATATCTAGCCTTGTAGTCTCGCACATAGAGAGACAGTTCAAAGCCTCTGCTCGTCCATTACTCGCTGCAGCCCATGACCGAGAGAAGCACGGTTCATATTCTTTTCTCTTGCGATATATTATGGCTTGATGGCGCTGCTGTTTCCCGAGCTTGAGATGGAGGGGTTGGAAGCCTAGTGTGATGGACCGCGGTCCGCCCTCCTCAGCGGCACGGTATGGGTTGTCCCCCCGAGACGCACCTGCACCTGCAACCTGCACACACGCACACACCCACGTACTTGTGAAGGTGGAAGCAAAGAAAGCATTCCGCGACTGTGACTGCGACGTGAGGGACATGATTTGGAGCCCAGTGAATCTCGGCACGGAGACCCTTTCCTGTCGTCCAGAACTTGATATCACATCTGGCCTCCCATGCGTCCGTGCATTAGCTTCTTTGCTGCATCCCTAGCCGCGTGTGCTCCGTCAAGACACCCCCCACAATGGTTGGACGAAAATGCAGAAAAGAAGCGACGCAACGGGAGTGCTGTCACTCCTTTCTGAATGGTGGTCGGTCCTCGCCGTAAACGGTCCAATCTCAGTTCTAGAGTTCTGGGTTGTCAGGTTCGACCAGAGACAGACCGACCCTGCGAGAGATTGGCGGGGCAAGGTGTCGAAGAAGGAAACCCGGGACGAAGGAGGAAGAGGGGGAACCTGGCGTAGTGGCAAGAACAGGTGTGCGTTTGTCACTCTTTTGTCAGGTCGTAGCGATTGTGGCTGGAAGGGAATCTGTCTACTAGAATAACTAGCTACCTTACCTTGATAGATACGGTAGTGTGCGGAATAGAGCGAGGTGTGGATGGAGTGGGTGGGATCACGAATGCTGCAGCTTCGAGGGATCCATGGGCGCTAGGGGTGCGAGCGGCAGAGCGACAGCGCGGACCGCTGAGGCTAGACCTAGGTGCATTTTTTTTGTGGGGAGGGGTCCTGTTTCCCGATCGGGATGGAAGGTTTTGAATCAATCCAATCATCCAGCCCGGCATCTCATGAGCGGCGAACAACCTATTGTGATGGCCAGCCAAAGTCAATAGTGCGCTGCCCGTTCGTTCAGACGCAATGCTGCCTCTCTCCTCACCCTACCCTGCCACGGCAGCAGCTCGGCGGACACTTGTCCATCATTCCATTTCCCTGCTCCAGTCTACGGGGCCATTTGCAGCAACACGGTCCCTGAGCAGCTCTGCTGGTGCTCCACGCCCGCCGCGTCCTCTCCTCTCGCGGGCCCGACTCTGCTGGACAGCAAATGGGTCCGGCCCGGCGCACCACCGGTTCCGAGCGTACCATTCATACGACCACCCTGCACCGGCCGGACCGTTCAACGAAGCCGAGGAAGCCATTCTCGCTGCCGCGTACCGCCAGGTCCCTGAGCATGGCTTCTCGCCCGAGGCGCTGGCCATTGGCGCACGAGAGGCCGGCTATCTCGACATCAGCACGAACCTGCTTGCCGACGGACCCTTCAGTCTAATACGATGGCATCTTGTCAAGCAGCGGGAAGCACTTGCGGCGCGAAAGACGGTCCTGTTCCCGGATGGGGCAACGATCGATAATAAACCAGTTTCTGTGAGCGCCAAAGTCGAGGCGCTAACGTGGGAGCGGCTGCTCGGAAATGTCGACATCGTGGGACGGTGGCAAGAGGTATGAGTGCAATTGGCGGCACACGGTTGACCCATGACAGTTTACGTTGGCCGGCCGCTACAGGTTGCTAACCCATATTGTCTCCATTCTGCCACAGGCTCTTGCTATGATGGCGCAGCCTAGCTGTGTCCCAGCATCTCTGAAAGAGCTCGCCACTCTGGCAGACGAAATTCTGTTTCTGGCGGGCGATGTAGCTGTCGACTCGACTTGGTACACGAAGCGGGCTTCACTTTCGGCCATTTACGTGGGCGCCGACTTGTTTATGACTACTGATCAGTCGCCTGGCTTTCAACACACCCACATGTTCCTACGGCGACGCCTTACTGAGGCAACTGACGTCGGAAATGCAGCCGGCTCGGTACGGGAATGGATAAGCTTTACCGCAAGCGCAGGCATCAACATGTTGAGGAGCAAGGGCATGCGGATATAGTTGGCGGACATTCGTCCTTTTCAGCCCGCCCTTAATCCTTCCAGTCCTAATTCATGGCAGGCTATGGAGTATATGGTTGTACAGCATGAGTTGTAAAAGTAGGCGTGTACGAATAGAAGTGTAGAGAAAAAATACTGGACTGGATACCATAGCGCAAGGCCGAAACTCTTTGATATCTAGAAATAATAGCCGGGTTCTAAGGTCGAAGGCTCCCGCGGGAAACGCAAACCGCTCTTGCCCGGTAACTACATATTAATCAACAAAACCCCTTGATCCCAGGCCACAAAACCTGACGGCGTCGCTAATGCGCGACAACTTGTGGCGTTAAATTCCCAACGCAAACTCCAACACGAGCTAATCCCGGAATAAGACGCCAACCAACCTAGAGTGGAAAGAAAGAGAATAGAAACTCAATGGTCTGCCAGCGTCCGCTGTCGGGGATCTGTGAGTCTAACAGAGAGCCTGTCAGTCAAAGCTTTCATCTCAGTAGCAGCAGTTTACCTCGAGAGTCTTACCTGATAATCTTGACGTCCTTATCTAGCGTGTTACGGCCCTCGATAGCGTTGGGCGTGATAAAGATATATTGCCGGTTCACGGAACGGCGTGCTGCCGTAATCTGGGCAATGTTAGCACAATTAGATTGCTCCTTCTTGTCTCCCTTCTTCAGGAGGCGGTAAACTGACCAACATGTTTGTGCTAATGGCGCGGTTGATATTGTCCATGAACACATCAAATTCATCCAAGCACCTCAAGGGCGAACCCATGGCTTCCCAGATAGAAAGGAGCAGGCAAATAGACGAAAAGGACTTCTCGCCGCCAGATAGGGTCTTGGTGTTTCGTCCCGCCGCTCTCTTTGCGGTCCTGTCTGGCTCTACCTGAAGCTCCAAAGCCTTGCGCTCGTGATCAAGAAGCAGTTGGCCTCTGAACCCGCGCTCACTTAGCAAGTAGATGAAGTTGGCACGGGACTGCGATGATATATATCGTTGAAACTTTCTCCACTTCTCCAGGCGCAAGTTGAGCGTATCTCGCAGGCCCGAATTCACCTGCTTGATAGAAGTGAGGTCCGTCACCATCTTGTTGTACGCCTTTTTGGCATGAGCGAGGTTGTCGAAGATTTGTTGATCCGACATTCCGTTCTTTTTCTCCTCGTCATGTAATCGTTTGTTCAAAGCCTCGTACTGTTTTATGAGGCTTTGATACGTCTCCTCCGCGGGTATGTATGCGCGTGTATCGCTAACCCTTTTAGCTTCGATGATCATCTCCTCGACATGAACTTTCTGCCTTTCTCGTCTTCTTTCCAGCGCCACTTTTTCCTCCTTGTATAATTCAACAGCCGAAAAGGCTTCATTTAGTTCAGTAAGGATAATGGTACGCATTTCCTGGAAACGCTTGAGCTTATCGTCAGCCTTTTCGAGACGTGCCTCGAAGTCCTTCAACAGCAACTTTTCGTTTCTCAGAGATTTCGAAGCCTTCTCCGACTCCTTGTTCTTGTCCTTTTTGTTGGCAAGAAGAAGGCCATACTGCAATCCGTGGTGGTCGTTATTGACCTTCGTCTCGACAAGCTGCTCCTGTAGACCCTGCAATCGACCGTCGGCGCCATCAAATTGGTCAAGGTCAGCCTCAATCTGCTCGACCTGGACTCGAAAATTTCTTAGTCGGGCCACGAGTGCAGTCCGCTCTTTCTTCAAGCTATCCAGCTCGATCTGGCAGCGTTGAGCCTCTTGTTGGGCCCGTCGCCTCTCGCCATCGAGTACCCGATATTCAATCTCCAATTGATGCAACGACTCTTGGTGAAAGGAGATCTGTGAATCCGAATCCGTTTTCATACGAGATTTCGTGGTTGGGTTGGGTTGCACAGGCGTGGTCGAGATCGCTCCGCCATTGTTGACCAACCTAAGGCCCTGGCCACGTTTCCGGTCATGAAAAGACAAGCAAGCCTTAACATTCCGCGGTGGCGCGTTGCTAAACATGATATCTTGGGCCTGGTTCCGGTCGGGAACAAGAATAACTTGCTCGATCATGTGATTGATCACCATCTGATCGCGAACCATCTGATTGTCGAACTTCAGAACTCGGAGGATTGTGTCAAATTGCGCGTCAGGCTCTTTGCCAGCGAGATCAAGCGTATGACCGCCACCAATCAAGATCGGGCAACCTCTGATACCCAGCCGATTCATGAAGCCGAAAAGGGTTTTTTGGTCACGCTTGCTAGTGACAAGGAAAGCACTTAAGTTCTGTCCTAGTGTCTTTTCGAGGATCGAAGACCACTGGGGATTCACGAGTTGAATGTGAGCCCCCAATGGGCCAATGGGCTTGGTGTCGAACCCACTCTCTCGCTCAATCATTTTGAGAAGGTTAGGAACCTGAGGGTCATATCCCTCGAACCCTGAGCCGCGATTGTTCACGAGGCTTTGAACCTTTGTCTGGGCAGCGTCTATCTCCTCTCTTTTTCTTCGGTGCTCGTCATCGATTGCGGCCAATACCTTCTTAGACTTGTCAAGCTGGTTGATGAGATCGGGCTCGCGACTCTTGGTGTTTTCGATATTATTTTCGATACCCGCAACCTTCTCTTTTGCCTGCTCCAGCTCCCGGAGCTTGACGGAGTGGGCCTCGCCATTTGTGTCCTCCAGGCGCTTCTGTTCCGAGGCAATTTTCCGCTCCAGGTCTTCCATATCATCTTGTGAGTTCTTGAGCTGGGTATGTGCTTCTCGCTCTTCAACATGAAGATGCTGAATTTCGCTCTTCATTGACTGAAAGACCTCAGTGGCCTCTTCCACTCGCCGCCGATGGTCGCTTTCTTCTTCTTTGATGACGTTAACTGACGTTAGTGCATTCTCAATTTTTTCGTTCGCATTCCACAGCTCCGATGTCTTCTCCTCCACTACACGCTGGGCTTCAGCGCTCTTGACATCGGCCTGCGCAATGACCTGATCGCGTTCGGCCAAGATCCGCTCTTGCTCCTCGACTTGTGCCCAAATGACTTGGTGGCGCAGGATTCTTATCTTGACGCGGACCTGCCGGTTGCCCTCTATGGCCTCCTTCATCTGGGTCGCCTTGTCCAGCATGGCTTTGGCATGCTTGACGCGCTCCTCTTGATCTGGAACTTTGGCCACCATTTGCTCAAGACTCTCAGATATCAGTCTGTAATCATTATCGAGCTGTTGTAGCTGTACACCCTCAATGAAAAACTTGTACTTCTGAGTCTTCGTTGAGGTATTGAGAAATTGGCGGGCGTTGTCTTGAGAGAGCACGTTCAATGGGTTGTCAACTTGAAGAGCGTAATACTCAACAATCTCCTCGACCTCCTGTTTCTTGGTCGAGTAGATTTGGCTGAGGGCCGTCTTGACCTTGAAGCCGCTACTACCAGATTTGTTGAAGTGGCGCTCCACGATGATTGAGTCGCCGTAAATGTCATGCCGATAAGCATCCTGACCGGCATTCTTGATCTTGACAGACAAGACACCACGTTCGCAGCCCTCTTTGACGAAACTCTTCAGGCTACCTCCACGGTTGGTTGAGCTTGCCTTGCCTCCAAGGCAGAGAGTGATCGCAGTGAGAATTGCACTCTTGCCACTGCCATTCTCACCTACAATGAAGTTGAGCAGTGGTCCCAACTCGCAGTGCAGGCGCTGGTGGCACATGAAGTTCACGCATGTGATGCTCTCTATGATGCCGTTGTCGGCGATTGCATTGTCGCCTAAAAGATTCGGGCGAAAACGGAGTCTCTGCGTGGCACGCTGGTCATCGGCGGCCTCATGGCGGAGATGATCAAAATTGTTGTCGCGCAACAGCTCGTACTGGGTCTTGGGAGGGGTGTCGGGCGAATTTTGGTCCTCGACGGTAGCGAGTGCAGGGCCATCGGCATCTATCAGGTTTGGGGTAGGTTCATGGCTAGATCGACGTTTGTCTTTACTAGATTCCGCATAGGAAAGACGGACTCGTTTTCGCTACATCGTGTAAGACACCGCATTGGGGGTAGGCAGGAAAGAGACGGGGTGAGATATCATTCGAATTACTTACATTATCACCACGAATAGTCGAGCGGACGGGCTGTACGTCGACCTCTTCTTCATCGCTGGCGGCAGGCTCTGCGCGACGAGGGCGTTTTCGGGAGGACTCGGCCTCGATGTTATTCACAGTTCTTGCAGGCATGATGCTTCTTGACGAGTCAATGTCGGCACCAATGCACTGCGAATTGTTGTGAGACGAAAAACAGATTGACAAAAGACTTAAACAGTTGACGCGTGTGCGCGTCGCGAACAAACGGAAGCGGCCCAGAAACTTAGCCCCACCTGGCTGCCTTGCGTTCCAGCTGGCCGGCACCGACTGGGGAGGTACATACATACCTGGTCCAAGCTTTCTTCCTAGCCCCACTAACTCGGGTACAGACAACGGGCGGAGTACTTCGTACGGAAGTCGAGCTGAAATGGGTTGGGGTCTTTCAACTAAACGGGCTTACCTAATGCAGATACGTAATTGTGTTAAGCTTCTACGGGGTGGACCGTACGATTCATAACATTTTATTTTCCTCAAAAACCTAAGTCACGGAGTAACCCGTCTTTAACCACCACGAGAAGATTCGCACTTTCCTCTTACCCCTTCCTTGTTTTAAGAAGATTTTCAGAACTCTTTCTTTTCAAGATCTAACTTCTTGTATCAGCATACCTAGCGCCTGCCTATCTTAGCCACCCTTAGACCACCTATAGGCGGCGGCGTAAAACAATATGGACACAGCAGGCGAACTCCGTCCAGGAGACGAAGGTTTTGATGGATTCCGCATGAGCCTTCCTGAAAACTGTGTCGAGTACATGATATTTGTCGTGAAAGGAAACGACGACACGGACTTTCCAGAGGCTCCAAGTTTGGAGACGATTCGAAAGGCTGCTGTCCAAAAGCTCGACGAGCTCGCCAAAGACTACATTTGGCAGCGCGATGTTTTCAAGCTGGAGACTAAGACTCACAATGGCAAGCTTCCTTGTCCACACTTTTCGCCCCATCTGCTGTTTCCCACCATACCATACATATCCTTTCAGTCTTCCTGGCCTCGCCCGAGCGAGAAGGCAAAAGCAAATACGCCGAGCGGCAAGCACATCACATTGCTGACTGATCCCGCCCAGGCCTAACCTACCTGCATGGGACGACAGACTACGGCGACAATGTAGAGGACGAATGGTTGATTGTGTTTCTTCTCCGAGAATTGGGCAAGGAGTTTCTCAGTTTGTGGATCCGGGTGTTTGACAGTGATGGAGAATTCCTTCTAGTCGAGGCCGCGAAGGTCTTGCCCAAGTGGCTAAGCCCCGAGAATGACAGTAACCGCGTGTGGATCCACGGGGGGAGTCTGCGGATCATCCCGCTAGCTGCCACTCCCATCAAGGCGGGATCGCAGCTGCTTTCTCTCCAGGACGCGCTTGAGGTCATCAAGTCGACGCCAGACTTGCCCCTCCACTCGGCCTTCGTTGAGGCGGAGGCTTTCTACCGGCTCGAGAAATATCCTGGTCAAATCAAAGACTCCCAACACCACGCGCTGGTGACTATTCCAAGAAAACTAGCCTACATATTGCATGCAAAGCCGGCTGCCGTAGCCCCCGTCGCGGAGGCATTTTACCTCCGCAATCCAGTTGTGGTCAAGCAGCCTATATCGCCCTCTTTCGAGCCAATGTTCCCACCTCGAGACCTCGTCACTGTCAGCATTCGCTTCACTAAAGTTCTGTATGCCCAGCTCAAGTCGCAGAGATTTGAGCCCTTACCAGCTTGGAAGGGTCTGCTCCAATCTGCGGATCTCAAGGTTGCCAATGATCATGACCTAGCCCTTTCGAAGCTTGCACATATTGAACTCGGCATGAAGGTTGCGGCCGGCTTTGAGATTCTGGCCAGAAACGCCCACACGAGCGACAGTCGCCTAACTCGTGAAATCGCGCTGCTTCTGGATGACCTTGGAGAAGACGGGGACTCGGTCCTTCCCACCGATGACGACATAAGAACATGGGAAGACACCAACCGCGAAGATGACGACTCCTGGATAGATATCAGCTATATCGACTTTGAAAAAGAGCTTGACGGTCGCGGCGCTTCTAGTTCAGGGTTTGGTAATGCCAAGACTCAGGCTGACTTGAAGAAAATTGTTTCTCGTTTCGAGGCATTCCTAAACGACGACGAAGCCGGTATCGAAGGGGCCGAAGTTGATGAGATGAACCAGGATAATGACAGCGACGATGCCGATGATGCATCCGATTCACTGGATGAAGACACAGAAGACGAGGATAAGGAAATTAGCTTTGACGAAGAGCAGTTTTCCAGGATGATGAGAGAGATGATGGGCCTTCCATCAGGGGATATAGTCCAGGGGAGAGACATGGAGAAGGATGATCAGGGCGACCAACCAGCTCGTTCTAGGCCTAGTTCAGATACTGAGGATGAGGATGAAGACGAGATGGAAGAAATCCGTAAAGTCATAGCACAGATGGAGTCAGAGCTTGCAGACCATGTTGCCTTGGCATTGGAACCAGTCGCAAAGAAACTACCATTGCTCGGGGTTAGGGGCAGCCCAGACAGAGGACAACCCTCTACGAATGCGGGGGTGGATGAAGAAGACGCCGACATCGATATTGATTACAATCTCGCAAAAAATCTTCTTCAGAGTTTCAAGAGCCAAGCAGGCAAGGCGGGTCCTACCGGAAATCTTCTCGGCCTGATGGGCATGGGGTTGCCTCGGGATGAGGGTGACTCGGATGAGGAAGGAAAGTAGAAATTAAATTTTATAGCCGCCAGCTTTAAATCCTGGAGAGCCAAAGTATACAAGCCGCTGTGCCAGGGAGATCTGAGAAGTCCAACAATGCTAGGAGTCAACAAAATCCTTCTCCCTGTCGATTTGGGTCTGGTCTATACTACCTAGGTACGAGCCACCTGGCAGACCAACGCCTTCCTATATGTGGGAAGAAGCGAACAGGTCCAGCTAGATACAGGCTCTGCAGACCTACCCTTTGGACCTCTCGGCCACTTCGTCTGGTTTTATCCTCTTGGCTGGCGACATCTCGCCACTCGGACGTGGGTGCTTCCTCTTGGAGTCAGCTTGGACTTCTACCAACCTTGAAAGAACCTCGTTCAACCTCCTCCTTGCCTCTAGTTCTCGTCTACTGCTGTCACCGTGGGGCCTGTAAAACTCCCTGACAATACTGACCGTCGCATGGTATGTCTGGTAGATTATCAACCTCACATCGGCCGAATCTACATCATCTATGATGTCCCTGCCCAGCGGGAGTTGAGCTGGACCCGGGTCCGTCTTTGTGCCATTAAAACCCTCCAGGAAGCTTTCGGAAGGGCCTTCGCTGAAGACGGTCGCCAACAAAGGGTCGCCGAAAATGCAGTTGCTCCAGTCGCGGAGACCACAGACTCTCAGGCTCGACTTGCTCTCGTCGAGAGCATTGTTGTTGTCGACTGCGCTCTTTCCCTTCAGTGACGTATTAATGCTTGTCGTGAAAAGAGTTTGGGGGGCGCTCCCGCCATCGGCTGGTTTGGACACTAATATTACCGACTCGTTGGTGCCATCGACGGCGACGAGACGTGGGACCGAGACCGAATCGAGGAAGTGGCTTAGCCGCTGGAACTGCCTCCGTATTGCCGAGTATGGTATTGTTATGGCAATGTCCTCCCCGTCCCGGAGAACGCTCTCTAACATGGAATGAAACGCTATTGTCCAAGTCGCCGCTCCGCCGAACCCCATCGGGCCACTGCCTCCAAGTTCCGTTCGATGAAGGGAAGAAGGATTGAGGACAGCTACGGCGGGCCCGAACATGCCTGATGGCGAGGTTACCAGTGCAAGTTGCCGGAAAAGCTGACCCATCTGTCCGTCCACTCGTTCACGCCCCAACGAGGTAAGCGAACGGGAGACGAGCGCAAGAGGCGAACCCGGAGTCGGCTCAAGGAAGCTGTACGTGAATCCAAGCTCGTTCGACCTTTCTTGTGAAGAATGAATCAGAGTCGGGAGGAGTCGGAGCAGATCGGTGTCTTTATCGGAAGCCTCGTGCCGTTCCACGTCGTCAACAGCCGCGTGAGCCGGTTCTCGCGACCCGTCATCGGGTTCCATCTTGACCGCTACCATCTCCCCAGCCGGGTTTCTAGACAGCGCCGCCCTAACCCAACGAACCACCACGGCCTCGGATGCCACCATCAACTGCTCTGACCTCAGAAGCCTCAGGATGGACGGTGGCGGCAGAACGAGGATCAGAGTCTTGCCGTTGGAGACGATGACTTCATATATTCTTTGGGGTCCGAAGGATGGAATCGGCTGGAGCCTCTCGACAGTGACATTGGGCCATACGGTCCCGAGGATGGCCCCAACGGACTGCTGAGAGGGCGGTTGGCACATGGATAGGAAGCGAGAGCTAGGAGCGCAGGATTCCCTGGCGATGCTCGACAGAGTTGCTCGGGCTTGGTGCTGCTATAAAACACAGTCGCACACCCACACCCACGGACAGGACTGGGGCCGGCAACCTATCTCGGCTGGGTGGTGGGTAGCGAAGTTCAACCGAGAATCGAGGAAGCTTGGTGGGTTCGCTGCCGCCGTCAATCTTGGCCTCTTAGGAAAGGGGTGTATGTTGCATATGAATCGAGGCCGAGCATCAGTCGCCGGAAAGAAAATAAAGAATTGTGGCTGTCGAGGACTGACAACGGTGGCATTCGGGTTTCAACGGGGATATTTGACATATGTGTGTCTCTAAGTGGCAGCAGTAGAACATTTGTTTTCGGTGCCAGCTATACATGATATTATATATATCGCCTGCTGGACACTAAAAGGGGTGGTGCTTAACGACATCGTGCTGGCAGTAGCCGTCGAGGCGCAGGATGGATCCCTGGCTGGTACGTCTATCCATCCATCCCTTAGGGGATTGATGATGCATGCGCGTTTAGTTGCAGGGTCCGTCAAAGAGCAAAGGATTCCGCACTAGAGCGTAGATCTACTACGCAGTAACATGTATATGCAACCGAGGAGGAGGGAGGAGGTTCGTCTAAAAGAGGAAAGACTCGTTCTGTTCTGGATCAAGTTGCAAGAAGAAGCATAAGCAAAAGACTCAGTTCGATAAATTCGTCCTCATCAACACTTTCCTACTTGCGGATAGTCAGAACTGGAGAAAAAACGCCCACACTAATCTGCATTGCGACACATCGCATCCCACCCGGACGGGCTTCCGTCTCGGTCACCTTCTGGTCATCGTAATGGGAGAACCAGGATATGAAAGGCGAGAACGGACAGCCATGTGACAAGACGCGTACGCCTAGCCAACTCACAATTAGGTAAGGTACGTATCCGTTGTTAAAATGCCTTATAGACAGATGAAGTATAATATTGAGCCAAGAAGCCGGTGGCCCTGGGGAGTTTTGCCGCCAAGGGCGGGTTTCGTGGAGCAAGGAGCGGCCAGCGGTTGGCGAATAAGGCGAGACGCGTAGCGAGAAAGGAGGCTAAGGAACACTAATACTTACCTTGGATATAAAACGGCCTGCCTGTGTAATAATAACAACGGCCGAGGTACGGAGTACTTTACATACCAAGTACAGGACAGGACGTTGGGGGCTTCCAGCGTCACACCCTGCGGGATAGGGGTAAGAGGATCTCGGAGACTCATCCATTCGCAACCACTGATACCTGAATGAAGGTCTGGGTGCAAATACCTACCTACCTTACCTTAGATGAATTCTGACATACGCAAGATTTCTTACAGTGTATGAATATGGAACTGTACGGTACCTCCACATTTACACTTCATGGGTACCTGGCAATCAATGACTGGTAACTAAAGGATCACCTGTCTGCACTAAGTCCTCGTGTTAAGGATGAGGGAAAACCGGGAAGAGAATGCAATAAACCAAGGTTGTCCTAGTGTATCCAATGCATGTAAGGTACTTAAACTGTATGGATACTGCTAGTGAAGATCCCCGAGCGGAGCCGTGGGTAATTAGGCGACGATTCTCAACTCTGTAGCTTCTTGATGCTGGTTCTGTTCGCGATCTAGTAGAAGTACGCGTAGAAGAGAAAGAAGACATAAGAAGTAGTTGTCTAGTACATCAACATACCCTGAAGAACTAGTAGGAAAGACGAAGAAGAGGCGGATCAGGCGCCGTGGCGGGCCTCGCTCGCTAACGGAGTCAAAATAACTGGGAGACTAGTGTAAATAGGTACATACCTTACCTAGTTGAGATCAGGGGTGATCCGCGGGGGTGGGGGTGACTCTCGAATTTTATAAAAAAAAAAAAAAAAAACTGTCGAGACATGAAGGGGCCATTGCTCCATGATTTCTGTATTTGGGTCAAAGTAAGCAAGTTTTCTGCAATTATATTCATTGTCACTCCTTACTCATGGAAGCAGCAAAATTTGAAATAAGAGTTGCTGTTTTTGTGTCTTACGTACCGACAGTACGAAAATACAACAACCACAAACCACGCCGGCGGGGAAGAGTGCCTAGCTGGGAAACAAAGACCGACTTGGCACACGATTGCAGTTGCGGAGATCCGATATTAGAGGACATCCGTCCAAAGATGGAACCAAGCAGCTTGACAGCGTGCGAGGTGTTGTTACAAAGGCAGCCGCGGGTAATTTCGTGTAACCTGTCCGACTCTGGCCCACACGGCCTCCAGACCGGTAATGGATCCCAGGCGGAGTATTCATACCCCTAGACGCATTAGTACTTTTTCCCCCGCCATCCACTTACAAACACCTCCATAGGTAGGGGGAGGCGTTGTAACATGCTATTGCATGGAGGGGTGACGAAAAGGCAGAGCATCCATCATCCATTCTGTTGAACCCCAACCCGACTTTGGAAATCGGTAAATGCTGTGTGTGTGTCTTGGCGAATACGGGCAGGGTAGCTCCATGCATCCACCAATCCCCGAGAGCCACCTAGGGCCTGGCACGCTGCCGGTTGACCGCTACAACATGCCGAAAGCAAACGCCTCAAAATGTAACACAAAATAAGGAAGGTGACGAAATCCCAAGGTAGAGAAAATAAAACCCCGAGGGTACGGATTAGTTCAAGACAGTGGAGGTCTGTGACCCCCCGGCATTGGGGGAGGAGGGGGGAGGGGACGCCAAACTCAAGCCAAGGATAGCTGGAGACGCAGGGTTAATCGAATCAAGTTGGAGCAAGCGAGTCTGTTTTATTTCATTCACGTCGCTCGCTCGCTCGCTCGGTGAGTGCGGAAGATGGCAGCCGTGTTGCCGTGACTGAATGGAGCTAGCCGACTCGGGCCACACTCCGTTGTTCTATCGATGACCAGCAGGAAGCCAAGCAGGCAAGCCAGCGAGCATAAAAAGGAGGTCCAGTTCTTGTGATTCTTTACTACGCATGTACTGTGTTGTAGTTGGAGGAAACACGATAGAGTGGTCTTCTGGGTTGCATATGGGACAAGCGAGACGGGAGTCGACTGATTGGACCACATTAAGCGAGAACCCAGCCCGGAATTTAGAGCTGGAGCTATGACCGACGATGGGGAACGGGGAATGGAACAAACAAAGACGGGCTCTGCCAAACGTAGAACATCCGGGATGTTTTCGTATTCGTCTCACTGGGCCGAAAAGGGGAGAGAAGCTGGGTTTGACTGGCAAAGCTGGATCGAGCGGTTATCTAATAATCATCCTGCTTTATTTTATTTTTGCTCTTTTTTCCCCCCTCCGTTTCATGCAATACTTCCAGAATAGGCCAAGGTCCGACCCGAACGAGGCTGGAAGCTAGGTAACGACACACAGCTAGGAGACCTACTCATTAAAATGGTAAATTTCCTAGCAACCTAACGTGTGCCAAAGAGCTTTATAGACGGTCTCATTCACTACCTTGATAGATAACTCAACCATGTTAACTTCAAGCGTGCGCCAGGGAAAAGTGTCTGCCTCGTATGATGTGTGACTTTAGTATTTCGGTAACTTTACATAGTGTGTAACTTAACGTCTGTAAATACTGTATATATGGACTCCGTACATACATATTGTTCAAACACTTCCCTTTTACAGGCACCGTAGCAGCGAACTATTGACGGTTGAAGTTTTATTTAGGCGGCCCGACGCCGCTCCAACTGAGCCGCGATGTCGAGCCAGGGCCTCACGGACCAAGACAGGGGACCGTGGTCGGCACACTCGTCAAATTTATCTGGAATAGGGCTTAGCGCCGTCCCCCCTTGGCAGCTGCACAGCTGCACCTCGCTCTTCAGCGAACCGCCATGCTTCAACCGTTGTACATTACATATACTACCAATGTGCACTATCAGTACTGTTTATGGCTGACCAGATGCCCGCAATATTGAATGCTGCCCGTCGCTGAGGCCCAATTCCCTATCCGGTCCTCGCTCTCCTCGCGGGTTTCCTAAGTACACTCCCGTCGAGATTTGACTCGAGCAAAATTGTATCATCCATTGTTCTTGACAGCTTGGCTATACAGCTCGGTGAGATTGTACCGCTTGAGATCATCCCAGTCGCCGTCAACGACACTGATCCCGCAGGTGGACTAGTGAATTGTTAGGGGTTGGACATTGCGCGGTGGGGAGGGCGGTGCTGTTGAGGATGTCTCATTACCTGGTAAAGGTCAACCAAAATCACCTTGTCCGGCGCCTTCAAGTTGACCTTGTGGCGGTCATCATTGATGAGACCCGCAATCTCATTGATAACAAAATCCCGCTTCAACTTGCTATGGTTGCGGACAGTGGGACGGATGGCGAACTATGATATTGGCACGTACTTAGTCGTCACTGTAACAAGTGGGCAAGAGGAGCGACTGTTCATAACATACGGTGAAGGCCTGGTCGGCCTCTTTTTGTTGTTGGTTGGCGGCTTCTCCTTCTGAAGCAGGAACTTCGATACTCTCACTTGGTCCATCCGTAATGGCGTCGGCAGCACCAGCAAGGGCCCGCCCACTATCTCCCTCCTGTTTCTGTTCCGAAACTGCGTCTGCAGCGGATTCCGTGCGGGGCTCGGCACGGGTAGCACGCTTACCACCCAAGTCGAAGAATGGCGCGAGCGCCTTCTTGGCCAACTCGACGATCCCCTGTTCGGTTGCTTTGCCCATAACGGTCGACGGTGTGAGCCGGTTCACGTAGCGGCACCTAAGTTGCCTGGGATCGGCACAGGCTTTCGCATCGACGCAAATACGCCTCACAAACTCGACCGGTTCAATCGGCGCCCTGGTCTTGAAGAAAACAAGACAGTCGACGCCCATCTTCATGGGTGTGAATATGGCGGCGCTATCATACTCGCCCTTGGAGTTCAAGGCTGCGATTTCCTTTTGGATTGCAGCTTCGATGTCCTGGGAGTCCTCGTCTTCCGAGCCGACGAAGTCCTTTTCCTTGATTCCGTACAGCTTTTCGGCGTACTAACTTGGTTCACACAAGTAAGCAGCCAACCTCGTCTTCAACGGGTAACCAAGTAGAGCCTAGCATACTCCCTGATCGTGGATCAGAAGGAAGAGAGGAGCTGGGGCTGGAGCAGAGAAGAGGAACAGGAACAGAAACCCGGCTTGGGGTTGGCGAACAGACCTCGGCGAACAACATGCTAACTTCTCTGGCGGCTCTGGCTTCTTGGTGTCTAGCGCATGTCACCCATATTCCCGTGTCTCCTGGCTGGAAGCCGCTATCGTTTGGTAGAGAAGCTTTGGCCTGGTGATGCGGTGTCCTCCATTTCCCAGAGTTACCTGTCTTTTTATCCGGTCGGGGTTAGCAGAATTCATGCGGGCAGTAATGTACCACGATGGACGGGTTGGTTCTGCAGAGAAGTAAAGAGACATGGGATTGGCGAAGCAACCATATACAACTAGGTAAGTATTTCATATGTGATTGGGGCTGTTGTTCGGCGTACACTGCAGTGCTATGCAACGCCGACAGCCCACAAAATCCCTCGTCGCTCCTCCAACTGAGTGCATCAAGGTCGATATATGATCGTTCAGTGTTGATAATTTCATTTACCTTTTTTTTCTTGTCGTGCTGGGCACCTGCTGATCCCGATGGGGCTTCTTTTCTCTTAGTACTTTCCGTCATATCTTCAATGGATGGACCGTTCTTTGGTGAAAGCGAATGAGCGAAGGCTTGGCGACGTGTGTTCCAACTAGTTTCTTCGCCAAACGTAACTAGTTGTAATAACAACGGTTTAAAAAAAAGGTATGCCAAATCGCTTCCCCCAAAATGTCCGGCGGCTTTAGTAGTCTCGACACTTTTTTCGAGTCTTGAGGTTGTTACGGCGTCGGTCGTTGATGGTGGCCCGTTTTAGCAGTCACTCGGCTAAAGGTGCTGTGATTGAGAGGGGTTTGGTACCATCTTCCGCTCGGCGCAGTCAAATTATTCAAGGCCGTGACCCTCGGTCACGTGCAGCCACACCCTTCTTAACCCCTTTTCCGTCTTTCCCTAAATTGATGGGGGAGCACAACAAAAGAAAAACATAATGCCAGAGCAGCATTCAGACCAAGGTTCGAAACTCGGCAAACTGTGTATACACACCAACAAAAGAGAAGAGTCACGAGGGCTATAATTGAAATTCACGGCGGGCGTGCGGACCAGCCTTTGACACGGTAGGGACGGCATTACCTGCAATCCGAGAACTCATTTGGACCTGCCTGCTCATTGCATTTACGGCATATTTCAACAATCAGTGTCGTAAAAGCGCCGTCACCAAACATCATATCTTTCCAGTAACCCCCCCCTAGAATAATAAAAGGGGTTGAACTTGACCAATCCCGAACCCGATCAAGACAGGAACTACATATGCACAGCAAAGCTGCAAACCACTCAATAGAGACCTCAGTCGGCCTTCGTGTTGTTTCTCGCCGCTATCTCGGCGGCGAGTTTCAGGGCACGAGGAGCATCGTCTCTCGCCATCTCCAGCTCAACAAACTGCAAACCTAGGCCGTTGGTGAAGTCCTTGTTCGTGAGAAGCCTATCAACTTCATCCTTGGTCTCGACCACATATTTCTTAACCTGCTTGTCCGTGGCTCCGAACACGCCGGGGATTTCTGTGTACTTCCACGGGACAATGTTATTGTACTCTGCATCCATATCGTGGATGCAGCGCTCAATGGTGAACCCGTCATTGTTGATCAGGAAGCTGACCGACAGTCAGATTCAAGTCGCCCTTTGGCTCAGCAGTGGGAATTAGAGGGGGAGGGAAAGTTTTTGGGGGGAGACTTGCATCGTGATATTTAAACCATGACGGATCATGGTGCTGACCTCTTGCACTGTGAGCTGGAATGAACCATCACCGACAAGCAAGATAGTGCGGCAGTTTAGGTTCATGTCTCGCGCGCCTAGTGCTGCGCCTTGTGCCGCGCCCACCGACCAACCAAGGCTGCCCCAAAGTATCTGGTTGATACCCGTCACCCCGGCAGGGAACCTTGTTTCCCAGATGCCAAAGTTGGCCGTGCCGGTCTCTGTAACAACGATGTCGCCCTCCTTGAGATACATGCCCAGCCTGGGCCAGAACCAGGCCTGGGTAATAGTCTGGGAGTTGTCGCGGTTCTTGGCCACTTCGTTCACCACCCTTGGCATGTCGGGCGGTGACAGGCGGGTCGGGTCGACGCCCTCAGTGATTTTGCGGAGCACACCTCGCATTGTAACCCCCGGGTACTCGGAATAGCGAACTGCGCAGTGCGTGCTGTGGAAGTCGATGGTAGTAAGTTGCGAAGTATGGTAAGAGAATCCTGTCGTGTTGAAGTCGCTCTTCAGCGACCCGACAAACAGGACAAGATCGGAGCCTTCGACCTGAGCTATGACATCTGGACTTGACCCGCAGCCCGCGTAGACACCGCCGTAACTTGGCGAGTTCTCGTCCACGGCGCCTTTACCCATCGGAGTTACGAAGACGGGCAGTCTCGTCTTGCTCACTAGGCCTCGGACCTCGCCCAAAACTCGGTGCCGGATAGCGCAGGCGTCGATTAGGATGACGGGTTTTTTTTAGCGGCGTATAGGTATTTCAAAACGGCTTCAACAACGTAGTCCTCGCGCTCGACGTCATTCTTGGGCTCCGACAGATCAATGGCAGTGTCGAGCCGCCGACCCTCGACCTGCTTCTCGGCCATGTCGGTGGGGAGCATGATGTAAACGGGTCTGCTACGTATCCAGCACTCCCGCAACGCATGGTCAATCTGCTCGGCAATCTCGGCAGGCTTGGTTAGCCTAGCAACATCGCACGAAATCTGCGAGCTCATATTCGCGAACACGTTGAAGTCGCCGTTGCCAAGAGTGTGGTGCAACAGCATCCCATTCCGCTGTGAGATTGTCGACGGGCAGCCGACGATGTGCACCATGGGGATGTGTTCCGAGTAAGCGCCGGCGACGCCATTCATTGCCGACAACTCACCCACACCAAAGGTGGTGGCGAGCGCCGAAATCCCCTTGGAGCGGGCATAGCCATCGGCTGCGTATGCTGTGACACACTTGGTAAGTCCGCCGCACAACCAACCTTACCAAGATTAGGGTCATACTTGCCGGCGTTGAGTTCGTTGACACTGCCCACCCATCGGAGCTTGGCTTTCGGGATGTAGTCGAGTGCCGTGAGGTTGAAGTCTCCCGGTAGGCCGTGAACTGAGCGGATGCCAATCTGGTGCAGCCGCGTGAACAGATATTCGGCCACCGCCACGGGCTTCTTGAGACTCTTTGTTCATGGATTTGGATCTCCCTGTTCGCCGTCCGCGGTATTAATTCCGCAGGCCTGTCTGGGATCCTCATAGACAAGAGATTCGAGTCGAAAGACAAGGTGGCCACGGTAGCCTGGAACACCAGCAGCTCTTTTGTGTGGAGGAAGACGAAATGGGAGTGACCTAGTATTGCCATGCGAGTGATTCTAGCCCGCACGGCCAGCCATTACCGGTGGGAGCTGTCAAGTATATGTTAAACGGCCGCAGTTGTTAGTAATGAGCAGGTCAGCCCTTGAACGCGAGCTGTAATAGGTGACGAAGCATGATGTTAGATGTATTGCCGGCTAGGAGGTTTGAGAAGCCTCGCGCACGTCTGATGTAATCGATCATATCCCAAAACGCCTACTCCGCAGGTAAGTCACCTCAGCTGGGTTTCGACGTGGTCCGGCTCGGTTCTTCCTGTTAGCAAACGACACCATCTGTTCACTGGTGAGCCAGAACCCACCAATGGGCTGGCTGGTGCTTATTTGTATTGTACATTACTTACATTTGCAATTATATGTTCAAGGCTGAGAGGAGACTGGCTGTCTAAGAGTAGAGCTAGAGTATTCAAACATGTAAGAAACTATGCGCTGGTTAGGTGACGGCCAAGAGGGGGTAAACAATGTTGCCGACTTCAAACACCCAATGCCGCGCTACGTCCATGACTCTACCCTCGTTCTGATACACAATTCGTACAATAGGTAGTCACATAAACTCGACCGGAATGTCTGTAGTAATAACGGCGCAGGACTTGACGGATTTTAGTCGCAGCTCCCATCCTTCCAGCCAATTCTCCACCTCTCCTCCCACTTGGAGCAGTCAAACACCGGCTTTCCTAGTTTTTTGTTGACTTCGTTGTGTGCCTCGCATAGCCAGTTGCCAAACTCGTCTCTACTGCCAGCGCGGATTTCCTGTTTTTGTATATATTGCTGAAAATCCTCGGCGCAAACCCAACAAGGGTAGAGTTTTGCGAATAGCCTCATAAAACCCTTGACGTCCGACTGCTCTGTGGTCGTTGGGAGAGTCGGATATGTGGCTGCGATGGAATGCAATAAGGTCCATGCACTGCGACCGAGCATCTCGACATCAGCAGGGCACTCCCTCGGCGTTGCGGATACGGCGGAGGCTGTCTCGGCTGTCGTCGCTTTGAGCGACGATGAAGTCTGTGATGCCCATGCAGCGAAAGACGTGCAAGGTCGACACCTACATGAGTTCGATTAGCCGATCTATTTGTTGATGGGAGGCAGATAAATCGCTGCCATGTGACGCAACGTCATGAAAACCAAAAGCCATGCCGACTTACGGCTTTCCATCCTTGTCTAGGACAACACCTTTGGCAATCCGTTTTGGGGGTGCTGCCAGAGTCGACTCTGCAGCGCCGCGACTTTCAGCAGACGTGCTTGAACTCAACTTATCGGCCATAGCAGGTCTGACAGGACGCAGCTAAAGATGACCAGAATAGTCTTCCTGGTCAAATGCTGCGTCCGCAATGGCCGAAATGTCCGCTGCTGGCTTTCTCTCTGGTACTAGATTGTCAGACCAGTTTGTCAGCGGCGGGTGACGCGCGAAGCAAGCGTCTATCTATTATCGATAAAGCTCTAGTGGGGCGATGGTGCCTTACCTAGTCCAGTGTCCGTAGATGGACCAGAGAAGAAGCCCTCTGAACTCTCAACATCGTCAACACCAATTCACGCCCGACCGATGCGCCGCGGAAAATGTCGCAGATGACCCCCATTTTATTTCTCAAGACCCGATCAACTCCCGGTGATGCTTACGAAGAGCTATTCGTGACCGAGGCCGATGGATTCACTTTCGAGCCAACCTTTGTTCCCGTTCTCGAGCATCGGTTCGACGACGTGGGTATGGCCAGAGTGCGGACTCTTCTCCAAACCAAGTCAATAGGCACGAACCCGAGCTGCGACTATGGTGGTCTTATTTTTACATCCCAACGGGCTGTCGATGTCCTTGCCAAGCTAGTACAGGATGAGCGGAGCTGCGACGGAGGGTGGCCCCATCTCCAGGACGTCCCGGTTTACAGCGTTGGGCCAGCCACTACTCGCGCCCTGCGAGCGGTAACACAGGGACCGCCTTTACAAATATTTGGCGAGCACACAGGGAATGGTGAAAGTCTTGCCCACTTCATCCTTGGCCACTATGGGGACTGGTACAAAGGCCGCCCCTCCTTACCGCCCCTCTTATTTCTGGTCGGCGAGCAACGGCGAGACATCATCCCCCGGGTCTTATCTGGGGCTGAATTGCATCCGATGAAGAAGATCCGGGTTGAGGAAGTTGTCGTCTATGGAACTGGGGAGATGCCAGCTTTCAGAGACGAATTCGAGCAGCTTCTGCGGAAGACGGCCAATCGATCAGCGAGATGGGTCGTAGTCTTCTCTCCCAGTGGGTGTGACAGCGTGCTGGGCGCGCTCGACATGCTGGACGAGGCCAGCGGGAAAGCGAAGCCAAAACCGCCAGGCCGTAACACATTTATCGCGACTATAGGGCCGACAACTTGTGATTATCTAAAGCGGAAATTCCATTTCGATGCAGACGTCTGCTCCGAGCATCCTAGTCCAGAAGGTGTTTGGCAGAGTATCACCCACTTTAGCAAGCCCCTGTTGAGGTGAATGAGATATAGAGGCTTTGACCACCATGTGCATGTATTTTGATAGCAATTTAGTTAGGAGCTGGGAAATCTTGGACTTTGAATCCTTTTTATAACCTACCTACTACAGCAGGCACTCAGCGCTGAACCCCTCTTCCCCTTTACTGAATTAAGCTGCCTTCAGATACTTAGTAAGGTTGTCGACATCCACCCATGAACATACTCTGTACCCTTTATGTACTTTTTGGCATTTTTGACGCAGAAACTACTTAAAAGATACATTAAACACAAACGTGCCTGAAGACACTAACGGCTGCCGCCTCCCCGCACCGCACGACAAGCGCTTCACGGATCCTTGCATTGCAGGGGCGTTTCTTGGTATCCGACTTGGCCGCCGCGCCACCATCATCATACGCAGCATTTCTTGTTAAACTTCACGACACAACTCTTCCCGTCTGAAAGAAACCCATGTATTTGTCGACGCCCGGCACTATACCGAAGCACGGCACCCCTCTTGCCGACGCTCCACACACCACACAACAGTGCTATCGGGTTGTGCCTGCGAACGAACGCGCCTCCTTTTGCACACTCGCCGAACCATGAGCTCCTACTCGTCGCAACAGGACAACCGTCTTCGTCCTCGTAATACCGAATACAACTCGTCGCCTACACATTCACCAGGCGTAGTTACGCCAACAGGAGCCTCCGCTAGTTCTTCGGCTTTCTTACCATCATCGGTATCTAGCCTCTGGGGTGGTCTCGTCCGCCGGTTTTCGTCGGACACCGCCTCTCCGTCAACATCACCCAATTTCAACTCGTCCTTCCATAATTCCCAGACGTATCCCACCGGTGGTGGAAACCTCCACAGCAACGGCCTAGACGGCATATATACTCCGCCGCACACGTATCGGACCGCGTCGCCAATGCGACCCCCGCCGCTCGAGCCACTGCGGCTCAATGGCTTTTCGGATGACACGACGCCAGAGGCCAGGCTACTGACCACGGCCATTGCGGAAGAAGTTCGCATCATGGTGCCTACACGTCTAAGTATTGGGGATGAATGGAACCTGGTGTATAGTCTTGATCAGGACGGCGCCAGCTTAGCCACGCTCTACGAAAAGTGCGCTGCATACCAGGGGAGGCGAGTAGGCTTTGTACTGGTGGTTAAAGATTGCGAGGGCGGGGTGAGTCCTCTACGAGCATCCCATATACCGGCCGTTTCCCGCGCAAAGTCACTCTGTCTACTTCACAGCCTGCACTTAAGACGGACGGGCTTCTTCTTTTAACACGTGTTTTTTTTGTGCCTAGATTTTTGGCGCGTACCTTTCCGACTACCCACACCCAGCCCCAAGCTACTTTGGAACCGGAGAGTGCTTCCTCTGGCGGGCCTCCGTTCTAGCATCCCTTCCGCCTCCCCCTTCTACCGATACCTCTCACCTGACCGCGCGCACTACAACTATTGCCGCGGCCCCATCCTTAGGTCTATATAGTCAGTCATCAAGCCTGTCGACCCCCAGCACCCTGAACAACAGCGACACAGCTAGTGTTGCTAGCTTCGCAACAACCCTAGGCTCGCTGTCAATCCGCTTCAAGGCCTTCCCTTATAGCGGCGTCAATGAGTATTACATACTTTGCGAATCCCATTTTTTGAGTGTCGGTGCCGGTGACGGCAAGTATGGGTTATGGCTTGATGGCAGCCTCGAAAGGGGCAGGAGCTCGATGTGCCCAACATTTGGCAACGAGCGGCTGAGTGACGAAGGCGAAAAGTTTGGGGTCCTTGGTGTCGAGATGTGGGTGATTGGTGCAGGCGGCCGTTGAGCCTTGAAGCGCATGGCTCTTAAGTACGATACTGAGCATGGACGGTCAATTACTATCTTTGTATTCAAAATAAGGAGAGCTTTGTGTGTTTTGGCCCTTCAATGGGACTGAAGCTGGCAGAAGTGGATAGGTAAATTTATCTTATAGGAGGATGGGCGTTTCTGGCACGGCGTTTAGGTCAAGTTCTAACGGGGAAGGACTAAGGGGCACGTCTAATGAACAAAGCTATCAGATCCATGTTATTGACTAGGTACCTACCACCCTGCTCTATCTACATGCCTTAGGTTTTACGCTCTGCCTATGATGTTCGAACAGGCTACTACATCTGGATGGATATCGTGAAGAAACGATATCACAAGAAGTTGGGGGGAGCATGGGAAATTGGGTTACCACGTGTGAGTCATGCCCGGTGGTCAGATAAACGGCTCAGTTTTTCCAACGTCTTATTCCCCTCCCCCCCCAACCCCAATCGAGACTACAACCGCTTTTTAGTATCAAAAGAAATTCTCGAACTCGTCTGTATAGTAGGTAAAGCCCAAAACAATCCTTTCCTGGCACGTCCTGCCGGCCAAAGGAGTATACATTACTGCATAAAAGTCATGAGAAAAAACGAAGTCGAAATTAAACCGACAATTCTTCTAAGCAAATCCATCCCTGGATATCTGACCACCTTTCAGATTCATATCCCGCATCCTCGCTTATCGCTCCGCCAGCTCGATCCAGACAGGGTTTGGGTATCCAAGCGGACAGAAACTGCCTTCTGTAATTCAGAAGTACCCCCTCCCCACCTTGAACAAAGTCAAGCCAATCATGTAGCCGAAAAGCACACCATCTCGGGATTCCACAAAGGGAACTCAAGACAAAACCTATGAGGTTTTCTCCTATCTCATGATTTCCTGGTAGATCAACTGCTTCAGTTGCTCCTTGCTCAGATTGTCCTTGTGCTTGTCGAAGTCAAAGAACTCTTCCGGAATAGGGGGCGCAGTCGGTTCGTCATCGGGGTCGTGGTAAGGCTCCAAGTATGGGTGCTTGAGTGCCTCTTCAACCGTGATGCGCTTCACGGGGTTGAAGGCAAGGAGCTTTTCTAAGAGGTCCAGGGCGAGATCTGAAGTGTTTGGGAACAAGGTTCGGAAAGGAACCTTCTTCTTGAATGGCAGGGATCGGATGTACTCGCGCGCACGACGTGACTTGATGCCATAGTAATCCTCCATGGTTGGCGTTCCAAGGACGTCCAAAATCAAGGTAAGTTGATGGTGGTCTTCAGGATGTGTTAGTGTTGACGTTCGTTCAAGGCAGGTGTGGGCGCACATATAGGTGTAACTTACAGTCCTTGCCGGGAAACAGTGGCTTGCCGCTGAGCATTTCAGCTAGGATACAGCCCACTGACCAGACATCAATTGCCTTGGTGTATTCCTTGAAGGTCAACATGATCTCTGGGGCGCGGTACCAGCGGGTGGCCACGTATTCGGTCATGAAGCCTGAATTGTCCTCCTGTGATGCAGCCGACCGAGCCAACCCAAAATCGCAAACCTTGAGATCACAGTTGGCATTCAGCAGCAGATTAGACGGCTTCAAGTCTCGGTGAAGGACGTTGGCCGAATGCATTGCCTTGAGGGCGCGTAGAGTTTGGTAGATAAAGTACTGGCAGTGATCGTCTGAAAGATCTTGGGTACGAATGACCCGATGCATATCCGTCTCCATTAGTTCCTATTCTCGCGGTGTAAGTAAGGGCGTAACAATGAAGACGGTAGGGGCCGTCAATGGACCGTACCTGGATTAGATAGACTTCGTTGAAGGTCTCGTAGCTCCGGGGTTTCTGAATATCGAGGATAGAGATGATATTCTCGTGGTTGAAGTATCGTAGCAGCTTCATCTCGCGCAGGGTCCGTAGGCAAAACATGGAGTGGTCGAACGGGGTGATCTTCTTGATCGCAACCTTTTGGCTGGATGGCTTGTGGACTGCCGAGCTGTTCGAATCAGGTTAGATAGATGTCGTTCGGTACTTGGAATAGTCATGGAATCAACTCACCACACGACTCCGTAGGCACCCTCACCAACGACGTCTTGAATATCATACTGCTCGCTGACGTTGAAAGATATCTTTCGGGCGCCGGCCCGGGGCAGCGGGGTACTCATTTTCAATCAAAGTATCTAGAGAACGCTGATGCAGTTGAGAGGCGACGACAAGGTGGCTCGAATAAGTGTGAACAAACACTTGCGCGCAGCTGTGGGATTGAAAGGCCAGTCTCGGGCGCGGGAGACGGGGGGTGGTATGTAGAACCCGAGGACAGGCTGAGTATTGGGGTTAGGGACCAGATACCGCTGACCCCGATCAAAGCAGCAGCTGGGAGCTCGTGGGTGATAAAAATGGTCGCTGCTTGTTGGTAAGAGAAGGAGTGGCCGGGTTTGTGTTGGATACAGGTCTGGGTCTAGGTCCAGGTCTTGAACGTGGCGGACAGAACAAGAGACCGAGCACGCGGATTGTTTGGACAAGACCGAATTCTTTTGCAAATTGATTTGCTGCCTCGGTGGAATGCCAAAAGAATACGGGGAGCGACGAGAATTCCGGCTGGCAGTTCTATGTTCGACGGAGCGAGGTTTGTCTGCGGGATTGCGCGACAGCTGTTAGCTTGGGAAATCCAACGGGCAAAAAGGCGAAATACAATGCGGCCAAGGATCTGAAAGTTGGGACGATCGCTGCGCTCAGTGGCCAAGCACCCGGATGTCAGAAAAAGCCGCGGATACCCAAGTTTACATGAAGTTGACATTCGGCACTATAGATAGGGGAAAAACCAGGCAGAGCACACGCCACGGCCTGGCGATCAGGGATCAAATGGTAAGGAGCGAAAGCGGTTGGCGATTAAGGGGTACGTGGGTACAACTAAGAAAGGCTTCCAGAAGCTGTCGGGCGGCCGTGAGGGACCATGCGCTCGCAGGTTGAGAAGAGGGGGTGGGGGAAGTGGACGACTAGGCTGGCGATCAGACGCCTCGCCTGGTCTTTGGGCGTTTTTCCAACACTGGAAAAGGAGCTGACAGCTTCCACGCCTGTGAGAAGACAGCTAGTCCAAGGCCGGCCAGCGTGTCCCATTTTCATATTCAGGCAGGGACCGGTGGCCGGCTGGAAAGCGTATCTACATCATCTTCTCGGAGGACTTGAGCGGAGATAGAGAGAGACAGGCAGACAGGAAGACGGGCAGAAAGGCAGACGGACAGAGAATATTGACGTGTAGCTTGAGATGAGCACACACACAACATACCGGCTTTGCAAGTGGGAGCTTCACCCTGAACCTGGCGGGCGGGGGGAGATGTTTTGCGACAGGCGCGCGACAAGTTGCCCCGCTCTTGACTACCTAGGAAGGCGGGGGATGTGAGCTATGAAGAGGCCGGAGGAACTTTGAGCAGGGCCGTTTGCGTCGCCGTGAGGAGCTGTTGCGCGCACTGGGGAAAGTATAAAATAAAGACCGCGAACAGCGACCAGTTAGCGGCAGCTGCGACAAAAGACGAAGCTATCGACGAAGGGCAGTCTTCGGGGGAAGCAAAGAGGTAAAGAGGAGCAAAGAGCAGCGCGACAAGTCACGGGCGGGCAAGAAAGGGGTGGGTCAATCCGTGGGAAAAAGCATGGACGTCGGGTGGTTCAGGCTGCGATGGCGGGTAGATGGGCGTTGCCTGCCACTGTCCTGTGGGTGCTGAGGTGGGCGCTACCTTCTTTGTTGGAAGCCCAGGCCTACTAGGGTCTGGATCGGGACTCGCTTGGAGTCTCGACAGTGGGGTTCAAAACGCCAGTGCTCTCTACCTCTACCTTACGGCGTAGTGCACGGAAGAGTGTAGCGGGGTTCCCCGTCCCCGTCATTGGGCGGAAATAGATCGCCATGGAGACATGGGGTGTTTAGAGATACCAAATACAAGTCACTTCGTTGAAGAATATTGGCCATTGTTTTGTGCACTGTGCTATAAGCATGATCCAACATCCTCAGTGCCCATTCAAGTGAGGGAGAATGGACCTTGGCGGGTCCTTGCAGCTCAGTCGAAGCCAAGCAAAGCGGCGGGATGTTGGAGAGAAGAGGGCCTGAAATAATTGGAACGTGGATCTCTGTGTTCGGCCTGGCCCCTTCGCAACCTCCCGGGTAGGTATTACGGGGTTCTAAGGCATGCTGGCCGGCCAGGAGCAGTCTCACGGTGCTGAGTGGAGGATAAGTCGAGGCAGTCAGTCTTTAACCGTCGGCGCTAAAGAATCTCGGCCCTATGGGGTTCTCGTTGGGCTGTTTTGAAGACGCAACGCAGCGCGAGGGCTTGCATAGCGATACCTCTTCTGCCCTGTTGAAATGACGATGACTCGTTTTCTTGTCCTCGGGGTTATCATAGAGGTTGTAGAATACGGGCCGTGACATATTGGCGCCCCGCTGTTGAGGCCATCACGCTGCAGTTTGTGGCAGATACAATGCACACGACACTATACTAGCTGCCCTGGTTGCGATGCATGACACACACGCTTCGGCAGCCAACCAGGGCTCAAATTAGGCGCCGGCCAAAGTGAGCACTCAGCCCCTTGGTGTCGCCAGTCGAGCGCGTGTCGGGTCTCAATGGCCGAACGATGATTGTGGTTTCAGGCCCGGCCTAGCCATTTTTGTCACTAGAAACAGAATGCCTCTGGGCCTCTGGCCAATCCTGACGGCCCGGTCTGAGGTGAGAGGTCGTGCCCTTCTCTTGGTTTTGAGATATGAAACCCGTCCTGAGTGGGGACTGGGGACTAGGGACTTCTTGTGGAGCAAGAGCCGCACCTCGTCTGATTCTAGCCTACCTAATATAACAGGTGACTTGGATGGAGACAACGGCATCCGCATAAGAGGTAGATTCGACAACAGGAAGAACTTGAATGTAACAGAAGAGCAGCATGTGGTTTTGGTTGCTACTTCACTCCATAGTGGCATCGCGTCCTTTTGGAGGAAGCCCACAGTGTTGGGAATTCAGCTCGCGAGCAATCTTTGCTGATTCCTCTCCTCATTTTGTGACCTATCATCGCCAAGTGCCCTACTATGGAGCATCTCTTGTGCATGCGTCGTATGTACACTGTACAATGTAATATGTATATACAAACCTGGAAAGGGCGAGTTAGCGGCTCCTACATAAGGCCTTGAAACCTCCCAGTCGCACAATCCACGCTAGGTATCATACATTGTCAGATTTAATGTGTACCCTACGAAAATCAGGACCTGGTCGTCAAGAGTATCTCGTATAATAATCTTGGCTTCGGCAAGAATTGGGTTGTTTGTTTTTCCAATCCCAAGTTCAAGGCGATCCCAGGCCGCAAGGGGATCTAGTGCCTAGGTGATTCGAAACAGACAGATATCCCCGCAACACCAAAAGCCTACATTGCCAGGGGGTTTATTGCAGGAGATTTGACAACTAATTAATAGACAGCTTATAAACGGCCGACGATTGTCAGAACCCAGTTTAGCAATGCTGTTGTACTTGTACTCGCAAGTCTTCTGATTCCTCTTTGGTTTTATTTTGTTTGTTCTGCCAACCCCTATCCTCAAAAGAACAAGTTCTACTGGCGTATCAAAGGCCCAAACTACTCGGAAGCGAAAGTACACCGCCATGTCATTGAACCACCTACAACTAAGCATCAGCACAACCGTATCTGAATTTGGGCCGGACTCTGTTCAACCGCTCACCTTTTCTCTGAGAGCGCCCATCCATTGCTGGAAGCTCATGCCTTGATCCGCCCGATCCTCCACCAGCAGAGTCTGAGCCCATAGCTTAAGGCTTGGCTCGCCATCTTCGCGGACAATGTACAAGTGCGGAAGAATGATACTTCCCACCCCTCGAGACTTGTAGTCACGACTCTTTTGAATGACTGCTCGAACGCGCTCATTGAAGTCATTGTCGAGCTCTGGTACAGTGCCCTTTCCAACGTGTAGTTGTGTTCGGTCTCTCACGCCAAACACGTCAACTAGCAGCTGATGTATAGCATCGCGACCAACCCATAAGAATTGTGTCTGGCCGTCATCAATGAGGTACAGACCGTAAGACACAAATCTCTCGGACGAAAGATTGAGTGAGGGTGGAAGTACAATTTGGCTTGTCTCGGGATCCGGAATACCGGCATTGTCGGGCATGTCGTGGAGAGAAAACAATCGAGGATAGATGTACTGCATCAATAGGGGTAGAGGGAGGGTCGAAAGCTGACAGAGAGCTGCAGACCTGAGATCGGATGGTATCTGTGCCGACTTTCGCAAACCAACATTCTTTATCAGGCCGAGGAACAGAGCGGGAAGAGCGCGAAGGTTAGATGGGAACTGTAATCCTCCGCCCATGCTACCGCCCGCCAGCTCCTTTTTGAAGGTCTGGAGAAGCTCCGTGATTTTACTCTGAAGTCCTTCTCTAGCCGACTCCAGTCCATTACTCAAGGCCCTCTCCACGGCCTTGTGGCTAAAGTACGTCGTAATGGCACACTGATCCGCTGAGGCATAGACGTCGGCGAGGTTGGTCGTCGTTGGTAAAGCTAGCGTCATTACACGGATCCGCCGTTCACCGTTGCAAGTAGTATGCAGCACAGCTGCCTGCATACAGACAATGTTTTTGGTCAAGTTCTCGTCTATGGCGACCTCGACAACGTAGCACTGGTCGCGCGGGAAGGCTGGGAAAGCGCACAAGTCCGAGCTCCTATTGAAGAAGTTGCCGTAGAATGTGCTCATGCGCAGACCGGTCGTGGCTCGAACACGGAGGACAGCCTCAAGACCGATTTCCGACGACAAGTAGTCGCTGAACTCGGTGGCGAACTTGATGGCATCCTCTGCTCGACCTGCATTCCAGCCAGGGTAAAACCACGTCTGGCCACCAGTATATCTTGGTAGGTTGCTCAGGGACGCGACATCTTGATATTGAGACGAAAAGAGAAACATGTCGATCGAGACCTGGTTCTTGGAACACTCAACCGCAAAGCTCTTGTAAAAGCTGCTAGCAGTCTGAAGCAGGGCGCTCTCTTTGGATGTGCCAAGAAGCTTCTTGTCTTCCCTCATCTCCAGTTTTCCGTAGCCCACGTTTGGCAGAGATGCACTCAAAACCACAATCTTTCCGCCGAGGGGGGAGATGAGCTTATGTCCAGCCCTAAGGGCTGATCCCATGCAAGAGCCGTTGTTCTGATTGTTGACAAACATTTCGGGGAGTTTCGTGAGAAAATTCTCGATGCTCGCCCGGCACTCAGTGAGGGGAACAAGTAGCTCCTGGGGAACAGGGAGGAAAGGTTCGTCCAGGTCGCTGATCACTAACATGCTGGTCTCGCCATTCTCCTCGTTGTCCTTGGGCACCGCGAAATAGTGCAGACTCGAATCCACAGCAATGAAGCCGAGGCGGGTCCGGCGGTCGGCATTGGGTATTCGGTTAAGACTGTCCAAAATGGTCCGGGCACTTGTGGCAAGGAGACCGGTGGAAACAGCGGCGTAGCTGACATCAAATAGGAAGAGATAGACAAGTGGCTGTGGAGGTCTGACCATGTACTCTTGGGGAGCAACGAACTCGACAACTGCGTGGTTTAGCTCATGCCGTTGCCAACGATCCACGCTCTTCTGGGCTGCAGCATCCCAGTCAAACGCCTGGGGTACGTCATTGGTGAGGTTGCACATGTTGCAGCGCCAGCGATGGCCATGGTCCAGGAATGTCACGAATGGGTTAATGTAGGATCTGCATCTCCGACACCGCGAGATGACCTGGTCCTGGACGATCGGGACGGGGTCGTCGAGATCGTGAAGAGCTGCATACGGCTGAATAACGAGCGCAAAAGGCAGTTTACTCTTCTTGAGGAGTGAGTGCGTCGTAGGTACGGCATTTAATGTAGATCTGACATATTTCGGAGCGCAGTTTGCATCAGGAGATGGTGTGACGCTGGTCTTTCGTTGCGAGTAAGTATGAAGAATGTTTAAGAAGAAATCGGTATAGTTTACTTACATTCGGGGGCAAGATGATGGGAGGAGGGGGGAGGTCCAACTCTGATACATTGAAGGGTTGATTGAGGAGATCGGTTGGATACAGCTGATTCAGTGGGCCGGGTCTTGTCTGAGGCAGTTGTTGCGGCTGCTGTTGTCCGGGTCCTAGCTGCATGGACGAGAGCCCTGAAGTAATGCCGCCAACACCTCCCGCCGGAGCAGCGCCGGCAGCGGGCGGCGCTCCGGCTGAGGGATAGTAAGGCTCAGGGGCCTGGTAGGCTCCCACGCCAGTAACAGCCGGTTGTCCCGAACCGTACTGCTGTTGGGGGGCACTATAAGGAGCAGGCTGCGCGTCCTGCTGCGGGTATCCTCCGTAAGCTGGTGCGGCGGCTTGGGGAGCTCCAAACTGGCCCCCTCCTGGTAGTTGCCCTACTACTGCAGCATTCCCTCCCGCTGCGACATCAAAAGCACCCGCCGCATATGCTCTCTTCTTTTTTCTGCCGTGGTCAAGAGCAGGCTGCGCGCCGGCCTGGGGTGGAGGAGAAGATGAGTTCTCGAAGGCCTGTGAGGCTTGGTCCGGGTAGACGGGCTTCTCGCCAAACTGCTGCGAAGGGTACTGGCCGTAGCCGTCGTTGGGAGCAGACATTTTGAGTCGCTCCGTTACCGACGTACGTTGCAGCGCGTGCGCAGGGCGCGACAAAGTGGTGATAAATGTGAGTTGAGGCCCTGCGAAAAAGCGGCAGCCAAGTGTCGACTGATGATCTGATGCAGGTCACACAGCCGGGTAGACGAACTTGTAGAGGCAAAGCTGTTGAGGGTGATGTAGGCGGGCGGGTGGAGAGCAAAGCGAGCCCAGAGCTTTCGATTGATTGAAAGTTGGAAGCTGTCCTATACTGTTTTGGCCTTTCCACATTCGGCGGCGAGGGGGTTTCTAGACAAGGTATGTGTGCAGACAACAAACCAGGTGGCCTTGTCAGCGAGCTTGATCCGCACCAATTTTCACGGATGCCCCCAATGTCGTCACCGCCTGGACAGTAAGAAATTCGGGGCTTGGGTCGAGGATGGCGAAGATGCGGAAGTTGTTTTAGAACACTGTGGCAAGAGTCGCCGAATGCGCCCAGGATGGTTTGTGGATGGCACTCGAACTTGGACCATTGGGGCCTAGCTGGCTGGGAGTGGCAGGCTCCGTCTGAGCGGTTGTCCAGACAGAGGACTCGCACGTGACTGTGCGCACGGACTAGCGTAAAGCACAGTACGTTACCTTACATAAGGTACATTACCTAAGGTAGTTTACGAGGTACTTTCACCTTGGTAATCGCGGGATTTCGTTGGTCTAATAAAGGATGACGACCTACCTAGGTAGTACGAATAACAGGTTTAGGTTGTATTCCGTAGTGCCGATTAGAGCGCCCCACTCACATGTTTAGTCAACGTAAAAGGCCCCAGGGCAAGGAGGCCTCAAAGTGGGGAAGAACTTTGAGCGCATACAAGCTATGTAAAGGTCGCAGCACATTATCATTTTTGTCGCATTCTCAAGTCGGTTTAGAGTTCTTATCCCGAGGTTTCCATGACCCGTTTCTAATGATTTAGTTTGCGTGTTTTCATCGAACCCCCCTGCGCGCGCATCATCTTCTAATTACGAGGTTGGTGGAACGAGTGGTTTGCCTCCCTGTCTCAAGACTAGCGCCTTTTCCCAAGCCGACGACAACCAAATCTTGGGAGCCGCAATCACGGAAATTTTCACGCTCAATCGAACATTTGGGTCACTTCTGGTCTTGCTAGGCGCTAATATGGCTTGGAGACGGGAAAAAGTTGATGCCCCGCGATCAATCATCAGGTCTGTTGCCCCTTTCCCAGGCTTCTTTCTTTGTGTCGGTGACGCGGATACTGACAGGAGCATCTTTCCAGTCATATCCTCCCCCTTGCCATCACGCTCCTATTTCTAGCATTGTTCGGCTGGGTCAGCTATCAGATCTACCAGTCCGTGATGCAAATTAAGGCGCAAGCCAAGAAGCAGATGGGAGACAGGAATGTGGTCTTCACCAAAGACGGAGTGCGCGTGGGTGTCCAGCACGTCGAGGACGAAGATTACCTTGACGCAACACAAAGCTGGTTTGTCAAGGCTTGGAACCTGGGCTCCAATCCCGAGGTTGAAAAGCACAGAAAGAACAGATGAAAGAGAGATATGGATGAGCAGGATTTTCAGGCTGTCTTTGGCGGTTCATTCAAGCCAGGAAGAGAAATTGATGGCACCCAAATACCTACGATCAAGGTAGTCCGCCCTCTCATCGTGGCGGACAGATTCGATCCGGAGCGTTATATGCCTTGCAAACGGTAGGCGCATCCGGCCAGTGACCTTATTAGTTTTGGTGCATATTACCACTACTGACAGTTACTCGAGCCTCGCACGAGAAAACATGACCGTATCGTAGGCAGGCCTTTTATTAGGCTTCAATCGACCACCAGGCGTTTCTGGGTCCCATGTTTTATCACGAATATAGTTACACTATAGACTACATTGTTCTACTCTTTGCTCGTTAGAGATATTGAGCAAGAATAACAGTACGTATGGAAACTGAGTGCCCTGACTATCTGAACGGCGTTGTCAGCATGAGAACCACAACAAACTCGCTTCCAGATTCGGTGTTGTTTCCTTATCCGGGCGACGTGTCTAAATCTGCTAGATTCGCCTTTAGTGAGACTAGGGCGCTGGGGCGCTGAGAGGGGGCGGCTAGTTGTGAAAAACATAGCCCTTGAAAATGCTCAGCATTAGCACAGTTGCTAGTGACATGTACATACAGCATCTGACCCAATAAATTGATGGGCCGCCTCTTCTATTCCTACATAGATGTAATAAGACGCTTGCCCTGCAAACTCCAGGTTTCGACGACACCAGAACTAGGAGGCAGCATTTTAGGATGGCAGGAATACCGCTAACAATCAGCCATGACAGCTACGACCTGAGGTACGTAGATATACCCACAATTAAGCATTGTCCTGTACATAGAACACAGCGTATTGATGGCGGAATCTCCCACCACTGCTTGCGGTTATCGATACCAGGTCGGGCTTGCGCTTCGAAACCATGATAGACAGCACGCACCCAATTAGCCAGCTTCGTTAAACATATTAGCTACCCCCTCAAGATCTGGACTCTTATTGCGAGCAGCAGATACGCCGGCATCAGCGGTTCCATCAGACGGGGCCGGATTGTTCGTCATGAACTCTTGGGCCATCTTGCTCCGTGAAGACTTTCTTCCAGACCGCGAGCTAGGCTTGACGTCTAGGTTCTTATTGATCTTGCCCATCTCTGAGATGCTGACACCCTTCAGATCCTTCAGAAGGTCCAAGACAATTGCCCGTTGCTGTCGAGGGTGCAGGCTGGACCGACATAACTGATTTATCGCCTGATCCACGTCACCAGGCCTCATATTAGGCAGCGAAGTGAGTATATTTCGAGGTGTGGCCGAGACGAGGGAATACTCCGTAAGGATTGCAGCGATCAGAGACCCCAGCTCTTTCTGGGATTCAACGAAGTAGGGGTCGTGCAGCGAAGAAATTGCGGCCTTCAGAACATCGGTTGAGATGAATTCGCGGATCTCGCTAGCATTCCCTTCGGGAATCAGAAAGCCGTCTTCGGGAAGCGCGCCAATTTCTGATTCCCTTTGGGATTTTGTGGGTTCATGATTGAATTCAGGGACGATTGACCGGAAGACCCGCAGCACCACGCCGCAGCACCTACCATCATGCATGCGAATTGCGTGGCTACAGAAGGTCAAGAGCGGTCCGATAATGGATGCGTTCATCAAGCAAAATCTTCGCAGCGAGGGGTACTTCGCGCCCTCGCCAGTTTTGCTTGAGGCATCCGACAGGGGTACTTGGAAATATGTTAGTTTGCAAGTACAGACACGAGACAAAGAGCGATTTAGCACTTACATGGCCTCGCTGGATCGAGAAAGTCAGCCACCATAATCACAGCTGAGTATGTGAGCTGGCGTAATATGCTCTCAGCCTTCATCTCCTCGGTCAGTTCCTCGGCGACTGCTCGTACTTCCTCTTGCTGTCCTAGCTTCTCCCATTCGGAGCTGATCTTAGCATCCATTTGTTGGAAGCATGTGGCTAGGATGGGCGGCAAAAAGTGTTCCCTCAGCCCCACTGGACAGTGATCAACTAGATATCTCACTAAGTTGAGGAGATTGATGATCTGATGTGTCGACAGGCTGAAAGAGTCTCGAAACAAGGCATTGGCCAGAGGCCCCGGCAGCTCGACAAACCCGTAAAACTGCAAATCCAGCCGGCTCATGCAGTATACGATAGCGTAGCAGGTTTCGCGTACGAACCGAACCGATCCACGTATGGTAGAGGCAAGACCTTCGAGGGTGTTCTTTTTGTCGAGTACTCTGGCATAGAAGTCATCCTTGCTGCCTTCAGATATACCGGCCTGCCAGAAGCGATCGGTCAAAACTCTGCCTACCACGGACCGCATTTCCACTGGAAGCAAGTTCCAGTTCTTTGGGTCATGGCATGCATGCGCGTAGCTATCCAGAAGTTAGCAAAGAAATATTCTCGAGTCGGTACCTATACGATAACATGCCTCAGGAATTTGAGCAGCTCGGGTAGAATAAGGGAAAACCCGTCCTGCCACAATGCGCAAGAAGCAAGGTACGGGGGTGAGTTCTTTTCCAGCTTTTCTACCGAATATGTCAAGAAAGACTTGGTTAGGCGCAACGGCAGCAACTAAGCACTGGTTAGCACACTTGAGGCTTAGATAGTTTAAGTGACCACATACCGACTGCCTTTGCTCCATCTCATTTTGTAGTGCCAAACCTTCCGCATCCAAATCGGTCGAACCCCAATCGTTGATTTCGTGGATGCGTCGATCGGCAAGGTACTTTTGCACCTTGTCTAGCCCAACAAGCTCGCAGAAGCCTTGATAGGAATTCAAGGCTTGTTTGAGAGATTCGACTTTCCACTGGTTTTTGACAGGATCGATGAAGGTTGCCAGGCGCGTCATCCTGATCCCCTGATCAATGCTAGTAGCTCGATGACTAAGACCCAGTAAGCGTTTTTTTATCAAAATCCCAACCCCCTTTCCAAAATCGCCGCATGGTAGACTTACATGATGATGAAGAGAAAACTTTGATAGGCGACTTGACGTTTCTCATCCAGAGTACCTGACGCAATCATCTCATTCACCTTCTCTTCGAGTCGGTCGTAGACCCCCTGTGCATAATTGTCAGCCCTAATATCCCCAATAGCAATAGTAGACAGATCCTCACCAAGAGGTGATTGGGCATTTTTGAAGCGAGCCTCTGCAGTTCAACCATGCTCTCTGTTTGTAGTTCTCGAATGGCGTCGTTGAAAAGCCGGTGGTCAGGCTGTAGCGCCGGCCAGGTCATGAGAATGTGCTCAAGAACTCTAAGCATGAAGGCGGCATTCGTATCTAGGGCTGTGGTTGAAAAGGCCACAAGGAGCTGGAGGAGCCGTTTCCGGATCATTGGGTCCTTGAAAGACGTTAGTAGACTGACTGGCTGTTGTGAAACGCTTAACATACCTCAAAGTTGATCTCCAAGAGCTGATTGCACCATTTTTGGAAGAACACCTCAATTGCCTCCGCTTTCTGCTTCTGTACCGTGTTAAAATTGAACAAGCAGCACCGAGCGTGATAAGTTACTTACATCCTCGGGATCCTGGGTATGAGTCGACCTCCACTTAATATAGCCCTTGAGCGCCGCTTCTATAACTGTAGCGTGGGTGTCGACTTTTAGCACAGCCATGGAGTTCTTTGAATAGTTCGCGGCTGTAAAGCGTTAGTAGATCAATCAATGTCCCGATAGAATACCAACTCACCGTCAAGACAAGGCTGCCCGTCATATAGCGTCTGCAACGCGTTTTCGGCCCGATCGAGGATATGAGAGAACGACTCGGACAGCTTGAGCTGGACAATGCTTTCGATGATTTGAGTGCTATACCGCCGGTAATTACCAAGAAATGCATGACGCTCGGGTATGGTATCTGTGTCTTCGACAAGGAGAAGGTATGTCGGATCTTCATTGTCTTCTGGAAGGTTCTCAAAACGTATCAAGCGAGTGCTACACAGTTCCAAAAGAGTAACGACAAGCGGAGTGTTGGCAGCCGCCGGTCCCAGGGCCTTGTGATTCAGAAGTCGTGTCCAGGTAACCAACACGGGGATTGACACGACAAGACTCTGACTTTGTACCACGAACATCAACAGCTCCAAGAACCCTTGAGCGTTGGTCTGGGGCGGTATTGCGGCGAACTTGCGGTCTAGGTAGTTCCCAAGGCAGGACAGCATTTCAGAAAACTTTTTGGCGAATTGGTACTTGTCATCGTCGATGTCTTGGGCATCAACGGCTGACCACTCAAAGAGCCGCCGACAGAGATCCACGAGATCATTGCTGTACATTGGTACAACAAGATCAACAAACTCATTGGTAGTGAAGTTTGACCGGGAGTAGAGAGAATGAAGTGCCTCCAAAGCAGCCTTTCGGATTGGTACGTTGAGTACTGCAAGACAACTGCATATGACGGCGCGACAACCCGCGGCGTGTATCGCGTTTGGAATTGCCCAGGGCAGGACAGAGTTGAGAACTGCGAGAGCCCGCACCGAACACGCGCCAACATCCTCGTTTTGCTCGAGATCCCTACTGAGACATTCGCTGACCAGTCGTGTTACTCTGCCGATCCAGCCCTCCTCTCCAAAGCGTACTTTCGGTTTGGGCTGCCGGTTTGGATAAGACTCGACAAGTACAGCTGCAGATGTGAAGATCTCAACGCAGGCCTTGCTCAGTTCCCCTAGTCGCATAGCAACCACCGAGTCCTCCCCGTTGAAGATTTCGTCGGAGAGTATCTCGAGAATTTGGAGGACGAACTCTTTGTGGACCGGGGAGTTTGGCACTTCCCAAAGCCGCACCAACAGTTCATCCATATCCATCCAGTCATCGGCCCAGCACCGTTTGGATATTTCCACCCAGAGCTGGGCAATCTTGCTCCTCAAATACGATGGATCCTCCCTGGAAACGTTCTCGGACAGCTCCAGGACCCAGGATCGAATACATTGCCGTTCTTGTTCACCATATTCTGCCCACTTGTGTTTCACAGAATGCTCAAGAATCGATAGGCCGTAGTGGCGTACGATGGGCGACTGAGCCTTGTTGGAGGCAAGGGCGAAGCCGTGGGACGGTGCTTCGGATAGTGTCTTGATATGCTCGAGAAAATGCTGGGCGTCTTGCCGAGACAGGTTGGTCGAGTGCGGACTGTGCACAATTCCGAGGGCATTATGGATTCTCCCGAGAACCTCCTCGCCACCGACGCCGGCAGCCGCGACGCCAGCTACTCCGTTTCGCATGATGCTAGACATGCCGGGGGATCAGAAAAGACTGGACTGCCGCAATTGTCAGGCGGCCGAGTTGGGCGGGTGTGGTTGAGGGCGAAAAACACGGTAGCCACCAGAATGAATTCAATAGTGAACCATATGTTCAGGTGTTGGTGAGCACGCAGCTGACGACGGGCGAAAGAAGCTGGTATTTCTCTTTACTACTTGGCGGTGAAGGGGCAACCAAGAAACCGATTTGCCGGCTAACTTCGGAAAATGCAGCTTGTTCAGCAAAAAGAAAGTTCGCCGAGAGTCGGTCCTGTTTTAAGGCGCGATTAATTGTCAGGGCTGGTCGTCGGGTATCATTGGGATGTTTCTGGACGAAATCCAAAGCAGTCATTCAAATTACCCACTCTGGTACTAAGGCAGCTGAAGAATGTCAGGCGCGCCCAGGCGCGACAACTTTCAAATGCTCCTCCTAGCTTGTGTGGGTACGCGCGGGGTTCTGGATGGTCCGTGCAAGCTGGGGCTCTTTGGTGTTGTGTTGGTGGGGCTGGCACCAAATTGCGTCACTGGTCTGAAGAAAATAAATTTCCAGGTAGGTTGCTTCGTATTCCGATACCTTTCTACCTTACCCAGGTATCGCGTACCTGCAGTCCAAACGCCCGGCTCTGGGATTGAATATTATGGATTCGTACTATACAGCTAACGCCTCCCTCAGCCGTAAGGTATGCTGGGCCCTTCGTATCTTTGGGTACCCCACGAACAAACACTCGAGGGTTGGACTTTACAATAAGGACCATCATTTTCCACAATGCCTTCCCGATCATGCAGTTTTATCATGAGTTTCCCCAGTAATGAGTTTCTTCTTCTTTCATTGTGCGTGCCGCGGACATGATTTATCGCCTCAAGTCATCCGGCACTCCCAAAGGCACATCAGTTTGTCATAGAAGCTAGTTGATACAACAAACAACCTATCCTTCCAGCCTGGCTGGAAGTCGCTTGCATAGTTCATGCTCTGATGCTCTTCAAATCTACCAACCGTGACGAACTCATACTCGCTACTAGGAGTTCTGAGGAGCTCGACAACCCGTACGCCAGCATGCATACAGGAGACAAGGATCCTGACTCGCCATGAATAACCGTGACTTGCATCCTCGTCCACGTCGATGAGCTTTAATCGCCACACGCCTCCCCCTAGCCTACTCTCGACTAGACACTTGGGCCTTGGAGAATCGTATGCGGCTTCGGTAGAGGTAATCGAGAAGAGCCTAATATACTCGTCGTAGCTTCCCGTGACAACCAGCCCTGGGCTGCTCACCTCAATAGTAGGTGGCAGAGGCAGAATCGCAGTGACTCCAGCCTCATGTCCCCTCACCATAGTGGCAGGGAGTAGGTCATCTGACATGCCAGACGATGTATCGTATGTGCATGTCCGGAACCGCAGAGCCGAGTCGTCTCCGCCGGAAAGCACAGTAAAGACGGTCCCGGATTCCCGGGGCTTCTCTGCAGGGTCAAGGTATGGTCTAATTGCTACGCACCAACTCTCAAGAGTATGGGTAATGACCGGGTCGGAGTGCAACTTCCAGTTTCCATCGAAGGATCCAAGGTTGACTAGGTACACATGGCCGGTCGACGTCGTTATACCAACCAACTCAGCTTTTGTTGGATGCCAGCAAAAGGAAAGAAACAGAACCTCGGAAACACGCGTTGGCGGTTCCTTGGCTCCAGACAGAGTCGAGATATCCATGGTCTTGAGGTGCTTCAGAGGCTGCGTCTGGGCTTCGCCTGGCGATAACCTGAACACTGCGAGAGTCGCGGTGCTCGAGACTGCCCCGCAGATGTCATGTTTCCCGGCATTGGGGTTAAAGTGCAGGTCCAGGATGGCCGATGGCTGTGGCTTAGACTGGACCTCAATTCTTGTCACAGATCATCAGCCTTGAGTTCGGAGAGCAGAGCATGGACAGTTTGGATGGTGTAATATGAAAATGAACCCACAAGTCCTGGGTATCCGAGACCCTAAACACTATGATACTTCCATCACGGCTTTGTGCTTTTGCTGGCTCTGCGGGCAGGGGGTCCTCATCTTCTACACCCGCGTCGTCGTGTATAATAGCGTCATCATCCGTTTGAAGGCTGTATGTCCCAACCAAAAAGAAAGATGGGAAGGCTGGGCAAAACTCCACGCAGCTAGGTTGCAAGTCCAATACCCGCGACGCTTTGGACGAGACCAGCTCATCTGAGCCGCCTGTTCTCATTTTCTTGCAGTCTAGGTGAATTTCTTGACTGTGTTATTGGACAAAGTGGATGGGAAATGCGGTTTGGGGTTGTTGAAATTTGCTTTTTTTTCTACCGGCTAGCAAAACGAAGGTCAAGCAGGATTGGCCAATCCTAGAACCAACCAATCTGGCTGCCGTCTAAACAACACCGGAAATACACATGCATATCTCTAGCGGTTGGCCAGGCAAGACCTGCCCCTCTGTGATAATTATGAACTAGAATTTTCTATCTCTTGACCGCCATTTAATCGGCCGATCCTCTGTCTTATGGCCGGCGAATGTCCTCGTTCATCTAGTATAGCACACAACCAAGCTCCCGAAACTCATGCACGCCAAAAAGAACCCGGAAAGGCAAGAGAAAGAGAGAAAAAAAATCGCGTCCGCGCGTGAAGCGTACAGAAAGGGCGTCTACTATGAGCGTCAACGATGGATTCAGATTCGGACTTCTATGGTCCTCCCTCCTACCGCTGCCTCCCTCCGAGAACTCAGCATAGGCTAATCTCTCTGACCAAGAATAGGCGACGAAGAGACCATCTCAAGGTTAAAGGCACGCGTTGACGATTTCAACGCTGAGACTTGGTGGAAGAGTCATAATGATGTTACTTCCCACGCATTTCGTGAAGATTTTGAGAAACAGCCCGGAAAGGGGCACTTGCACAACAAATTCGAGGGCAGAATCGGTGCCTGGCAGTTGAACGAAAGTATAGACAGTTTTCTTGCTCGGCTGCCCCCGGCAACCACCAACAGGACTCCGGGCTTTGATTGGATATGGGTCGCGAATCCCTTCATTCCCGGCGAAAGCAGCGGAGCTGTCGCCGCGTTCAAGCAGGGCGGGGAGGAAAGACTCCGCATGCTATCCAAGTTTATCGCCATGAGCAATGCGAGTGGGAAAACACCTTTTGTTGCGAAGAGAGGGATCTCCAAGGAACGTGAAGAGACCGTCCAAGACCTTCGTGATCTTGCGATTGCTTGCAATGTGCTGAGCGGCAAGTGGATGCTTTTCCCTGAACCCGGAAATGTCAATGAAGTATGGGGCAAGGTTGCTCGAGCGACAGCAAATAACGAACTCGGTACCGCGGCCAAAGTCGAAACACGAGTCGAATCTGAGAAGGAGAGACTTATCTGCATATACACCAGAGACTTCAGGGACAAAGGCGATATCGCCCGTGTACTGAATCGGATGAGAGAGCTGGAATTCGTGAGACCAAGTGGGAAGCAGATATATTATAAGTGTGGTTAGTTCTTCACATCCGCCAACTGCAAACCTTACGAAATTTTTTTTTTAAAAAGAAAACTATGTCCTTTAGATGCCTGGACAGAAATTGGGATTTATGGAGGAAACGAATGGGATATCCCGGCGTCGATGGTAAGGAGCCAAGTTCCACAACATACCGCATGGCTGGAACTAACCTCGATCAGTATTCCTCGAATGAGGTATTCCTATATATCAAGGACAACTTTGTCTTGCGACGCATGTAGTGTCAATGGTCCCCTTAACGAACGACACGGGAGGATACTATATGGCTTATCTATTATACCATTCAGTCGATGGCCGAAATCTCCACCTAGTGATTTCACACCGAATAGCCATTGATTTCTATACCCTGCCGGGAGCTCCTTTTCGGTGCGGGGGTGTCGAGATAGTGCTTGAACAAAGTCCTGGTATTTATGAGCTCTCTATGGAGTACTTGGTCCATGAATTGGGTTTATTAAGAGCGCTTCGAAATATCGATGAGACAATGGGCATTTTCCGTGTGATATTCACTTTGAGCGCCTAAGTCCCAGATAGCTCTGCTTAGAGGGAGGAAGGAGTTTGTTGCTTTTTTATCCACGGCCAAACCGTTCTCACGAGGCTGACCAATCCTGGCCACCTTCAAGTATAAGCTGCTTAGGTTGTGTCGAAGGGTCCTCAAGGCAGCCGTCGCCAATTTCCCCCTCGTGGCTCAAGTAGTACTGGGCCGAGTGGCTTTGGTATTATTTATCACTTATGGCTAAGACCGTGGTCCTGTAACGATGGTCGTGGAGTTCAGGACGAGACCGAATACTGGGTCTTGCAAAATCTGCCTAGAACGCAGAGCAATGTGTCCGTAACCAGGCATGGAGGAAGACACCGCCGGGGCTAGCCTGATCATGGAACATAGCCCTTTTCTTGGTAAGTAGGTAGGTAGTTACCTGTTGTATTTATCTACTTTGGCACTAGGTCTGCGTCATCGAGAGAGAAGTCGACAGCGGCGTCAGGGTCTATTGCCTTCAGAAGCAAGGCCAACCGGTAGGCACTGTTTCCATTAAGGTAGTACCGATGCAGCTTCTTGGACCGTAAAAAGCCCAGACGTTCGTAAAGCCTCATTGCTGGGATATTTGTTTCCTCGGTCTCTAGGACGACCTCGTCGGCACTCCTTTCGGCCATGGCATCAATAGCCTTCTTGACAAGCGCAGTAGCAACGCCATGCCCACGATGCGTAGCCGACACGGCAAGCATGGCAATGTAGCCACGGAGGGTCGGAGGCGAATGCGAGACGTGTGGTTCAAGCTTGCATATAATTACACCAACAAGCGACGAATCGAGGGGATTAAGTGCCTGCAAAGGGAAGATGAGGTTGGGTCAGTCTAGCTGAAGACTCGGCAACCTTGTAGGCAAGCGACACAAGCAGTCGAAGACACGCACCATAAAGCACAGATGCCCCCATTGGTATAAAAAATAGCGGTAGACATATATGCTATACGGCTCGCTCAAATCCTTAGAGATAAGCGCGCGAATGGCCGGTAGGTACTGTGTCTCCAGCGAGTGTTCGTATTGAATGTATTTCAGTTCGCCAGGGAGCCCAGCCTGACGAGGAGCGTCTTCCATGGTTTTCTGATCTCGCGGGAGGGCTGCCACAGGCGAGGGTGGGTATGCACCGTACAAGGCAGGATGTAGTGTCAATGGTGCAGATTATTAAGTCACAGTTGCTCCTTGGAAGTGGACACGGTCGTTCTAACAAATAAACAAGAGGAGCACCTCCAAAGTCAAAGGAGTTGAGCTTGGAGAGATCAGCTGCTGACGACGTAGAAGGTACACTCCGTACTAGCTAACTGAATTGACCCCGCATTCATAGGTACCTACTAGTACAGAGTACGGATTAACAGCCTTCAGTTTTCTCGGGCTCTCACATGCAAGTAATAAGGCGGATTCGGAGTCAGGAGGGGATACCTACATAAGTTAATTATTACAAAGTTTTATGTATTGTACATGCATATCTGACCTACGGATAACTAAGCTACATAGGTACTTACGTATCCAAGGAGTGAGGTCTGTATGTAATGTATTGTACGTTTCTTATCCCACGATGTTTCCAGCTTGAAGTTCGCAGTTAAAGGTACGTCAAGACCCCTGCTCTCAAGTGTTTGAACTAAGGTAGGTTCTGCGTAAACAGCAGCACAGTTCTGAATAAGGTACGTAAAGTAGTGTGACACGACAATAGAATAAGCCGAGTTCCACAGAGGCGAAGCGCGAGCAAGCAATCGCCAACCGCTGCAGGGTCCGTCTCAGATTTGGAGTGGCCATCGTGATGCGGGCGGTAATATACTGTGCATGTATTGACCAGGGTAAGGAACGCTAATAATTACCATACTGAAACACGGAAAAACTCTCAAAGTAACAACGAACTTGCTAGCGACCCAACGCCGTCAAGATCTCTAGCACCCAATCCCGTCTATATTGAAGGAAAGTAAAACTTCCAATATAGTCTCATGGCAAGCTAGCTTGTACTAGTGGACGGGAGTCTCGCAGCAGAACCGGCGTGTGCCTTCGTTCGACACAGTTGGCCGCTTGTCGCGTTGGCATTTCATTCAACCAGGGCCATAAGCCGTCTCGATCGACAGACAGCGTACATTCACCATGGACAGCACCCTCCGCCGCCGTCCAGTCAGAAATGATTCTTCAGAGTCGCCGACGCCCAGGGCCGAGAGTCCTGTCAAAGATGGCGAGAAGGTCAGGGTAGTCCACCATCGGCCAAAAGCGCGGAAACGGAGGACCACGGCGATTTTCCTGCTAGGCAGTCTATTTGGCATCATAGCTGCTGGTTTTTTTGCCAAGAGCAATGACTTGATTGGATTCCCGGAAATTGGGGAGCTGAGCATGGACAGCCTGTTCGACGTTCTTCCGGCTGGCTTGGTGAAGGACATGCGGGATCTCGTCGTACGTTAGCATGCACACGATGGCACGCCCTGACCTCGCTCACCTTTACGATCTTTCCGCTGATGCTGCATAACCTCAGAATGGCGAACGCGATTTTCTTGACAGTTATGACGCCTTCTCGGTTGGTCTCAAGGTCCGCTCCGAGGGTCTCTCCGCACACAACCCCATCATCATGATCCCGGGGGTGATCTCTACCGGACTCGAGTCTTGGGGAACCTCGAACATATCTCGGCCCTACTTTCGAAAGCGTTTATGGGGCAGTTGGAGCATGATGAGGGCCCTGGTTATGGAGAAAGAGGTCTGGAAGAAACACATCATGCTGAACAAGAGAACGGGCTTGGATCCTCCAGACATTAAACTGCGTGCTGCACAGGGGTTCGATGCTACCGATTTCTTCATTACGGGATACTGGATTTGGAACAAGATTCTAGAGAACCTGGCATCCCTAGGGTACGACTCGACCAATTCCTTCACTGCGGCGTATGACTGGCGGCTGTCGTATCCAAACCTTGAAACGAGGGACCATTATTTCACCAGGTTGAAATGCTACATTGAGATGTCGGTACACGTCGAAAATAAGAAGGTTGTTCTCACATCTCACAGTATGGGCGGCCAAGTAGTTTTCTACTTTCTTCACTGGGTCGCGTCCGATCAGGGCGGCAAAGGCGGCGATGATTGGGTCGAAAAACATATCGATTCTTGGATTAATGTTAGCGGATGCTTGCTTGGCGCAGTCAAGGATGTCGCAGCCATCCTCTCCGGCGAGATGCGCGATACCGCACAGCTAAACGCATTCGCTGTCTACGGGCTTGAGAAGTTTCTTAGCAAGGATGAGCGTGCCGAAATCTTTCGTGCGATGCCTGGGATCTCATCAATGCTTCCAATTGGCGGAAGTGCTATTTGGGGCGATCTTGACTCGGCCCCGGACGACCAGCCCGGCCAAGAGCATAGCTTCGGGTCGTTCCTGAATTTCCGAATCGGCCAGAATTGGACGACCCCTGATAAGAACTTTACGGTGGATGAAGCCATGAAGTATTTGCTTGAGACCACTGACGACTGGTATCGGGACCAGATCCTGGGTAGCTATTCTCATGGTGTCGCCCACACGAGAGCCGACGTTGAGGCCAACGAAGCCGACCCGAGGAAGTGGATAAATCCTCTGGAGACTCGACTTCCGCTCGCACCCAGTCTCAAGATATATTGCTTTTATGGCGTGGGAAAGCCGACAGAAAGAGCATATTTCTACCGCTCTCCAGAACCCGGCTCAATAACTAACTTAAATATGACGATAGACACGGGCTTGACGCAGGGCGAGGTTGACCACGGCGTTATTATGGGGGAGGGTGACGGAACGGTCAACTTAATGAGCACTGGATACATGTGCAACCGTGGATGGAATATTAAGAGATACAATCCTGCAGGTGTCAAGGTGACCGTTGTTGAGATGCCACACGAACCCGAGCGCTTCAATCCAAGAGGAGGGCCCAAGACGGCTGACCATGTCGACATTCTGGGGAGGCAAAATTTGAACGAGTTCATCCTTAGGATCGCCGCTGGCAAAGGCGACACCATTGGAAACTACATTGTCAGCAACATTGTCGAGTACTCGGAGAAGGCGAAGGTGTATGATGACGAGTGAAACTATACAGGATACAAGGAAGGCCATGGGTTCTTTTAATAATACGACAATAGACGGGGGAGGCGTTATGGGTTGTTGGGTTGGATTTATAGGTTGGCAGTGGCTTGTTAGACTCGATCGTAAAAAAATATATTTACCTGCAGTTCATGCCGACCTCTCGAATATCCAAGCTGTAGACTCCTTAAAAATGCGCCGAAAACACAACAGTGCCTAAAACTACCGGTACATATACACGTATCGACCCATTTGATCATGGAGAAAAAAAAAAGGAGAAAGTAAGGAATATCTTTACCTTCCAAGCTGAATGGTCACAGATGCCATTTTCCTGCGGGTAGAGCCGCCCTGGACTATTGCAGCTGGAATTCAAATCCGATCTGTAATTCTCGAGACACATATGGGATACAATCAGAACCCACGTCGGAAGATTCCGATCTGACCATAGGCTCAATGTGGCAGGTTTGGCCCGTGCATGCGAAACTCAATCCAAACAAAGACTGGGAAGCGTCTCGGCAGCAAAAGCCGAATATGTACGGAGTATTGAGGGGAGGTTACCCCGCTATCCCGTCATCCCGCTAGGTATCCCCACTGTCCCGCTCACTGTCCCGCTCTCCGATGCAGGCGCGTTACAGTTTGCATGGATACTTTCCCTGGATGAGGAGGACCTCCACCAACTTCCAAAAGAACATCGAGCCAATTTCGACAACGATTTGGCGTGCCTAAGGCTGGTTACGAACCCCGTTCTCGTGATGCCCAGTCCCTCGACTAAGCTATTGGCGCTGTTCGCTTAAGAACATGGCGGACCTCGAGGTCATTGATTGGTCTGCCGAGAACGAACAGCAATTTTGGAATGGTGAGTCTGGTGGTTCTCTTGCAGCCCGAGCACTCTCGGGTGGTCTTTTCTCTTGCTTCGAGACGGGACATTGCTGATGTCAATTGATCGTTTTCCAGCTTTGAACGAGATCCTATCCGGACCCTGCACGACTTACGAGGCACTCGACAATGCCTTGCGCTCCTGGCTCCACCTCGTTGCCCAAGGCCGCGATCAATACCTTAGCAGTGAAGACGATATCGCAAGTTGTTCCCAAAAGCTTCTAGATAGTGCAATCTTCAATGCCAACAAGGATTACGTGCGGACGCAAATCATATACAGTCTACTGCAGGAGGACGAGTACGGGCCTCTCCATGGCATTGCCAACTTTCTGCTTCTCGATGGCCGCACCGAGGAATCGACGTTTCGGTGCATGGTCTGCGAAGGCTGCTTTTCCCGGTTGCTCGATCTCATCAAGGGTTGTGGAGAATGTGACCACCGCCTGCATCGTCTTCTCTTGGAGCTAATGTACGAGATGTCTCGCATTGAGCGCTTGCGCCCCGAAGACCTGATGCAGGTTGACGACGGGTTCGTCACGTATTTGTTCCAGCTCATTGAGGCTCTATCTGACGATGTGAACGACCCGTATCATTATCCCGTCATCCGGGTTCTGGTAGGTTGGCCCCGACCCTGGGTTTCTTGGATGCGCATCTAACAAGCACAACTAGCTAGTTTTAAACGAGCAGTACATGGTTGCATCGACATCAGTAGCGGTCGATCCCACATCGCCTTCATCCCCGATGACGAACAGGGTCGTAAAGGTCCTAAGCGTTCACGGCCCCTCGTTCCGCACCTTTGGCGAGAACATTATTCTACTTTTAAATCGAGAGACGGAGACTTCCCTTCAGCTTCTTATCCTCAAGCTGCTCTATCTCTTATTTACGACATCGGCGACCTACGAGTACTTCTACACAAACGACTTGCGAGTTCTTCTTGATGTCATTATTCGTAACCTGCTCGACTTGCCCGGGGAGATGAATGTCCTCAGGCATACGTACTTGAGAGTCCTTGCCCCACTGCTTGCCCACACGCAGCTCGGCCAACCGCCCCATTACAAACGAGATCAGATTCTCAGCCTTCTTGACATTCTGCGCGGCTCGGGAAATGCGCACTTCATGCCCCCTGAGCCGACAACCCTTCGCTTAGTGGAGCGAGTCGCGAAAATCGCCTGGCTTCTTGATAACGACAGGTTTGAGGAGACTCCGAGTCCTGTTCTTTTCGGCAGTCTTTCTCTGTCGCAGAGCGCGAGTGGCGTCAGTCTCATTGCACAAGTCTCCGAGAAACCAGGGATTATGACACCAAGTCTCAAGTCGGATCTAGCGCAGGAGTCCAGAGACAGGCGCGAGCACGAGGGAGGTCACGGTGTTGGAAAGCAGGCGAAAAGTCTGAGGCCTCATAGATCTCTTCCAGAGGTGCCTGGACACAGTCACGGCATACCGATGACCCAGTCACCAAATGTAACACGGGTTCATATTCACGGAAGCGGTCAAAAGAAGCTACCACCGAAACTCCCACCTCCTAGAAGGCGGACGAAGCTCAAGACGCCCAATGCTGGAGAATCTTTGGACACGAACGAAACGCTGCCAGCATCCGGTTCGACCACTGCCTCTTGACTGCAGACTCGAGACGAAGATGATAGGCTATACTAATTCGTTTCTGGTGGGTTACGACAAGAAATGCCTATTACCGGACAGGACCGGCTTTCACGTATGATTGGATCGCAAGTCTTGGTATTTGCTGAGGATCATGATAACGACGGGCTCTGAAAACATTCAATATTAATAGGTATGGAACGACGAGGCATAGCAAGGCGTTCGTTTTGTGGTTTTTTTCTCCCTTTGAATTTTAATATCCACCAGCCGTTTGTTCTTAATATCTAAAGAGATTTTACTTAAATGGACCTAATAGCGATTATTGGCTTTTGCTCCTTGTATTAGACAAGGTAAGGAAGCGGATGAGATAAAATATATCCCGAGTTACTCTAGGTATTTAACAGTACGAACTGTAGATGCCTAGCCTAGTAATTCTAAAACGTAAACTATACCTAGGCAGGTATCTAGAAATAGAAAATTGTTTGTATTGCTTCTCTGCGTATTGTGGATATAGGCAGTATCAAGATACAAGTACGAATACTTGTAGGTAAGGTATTTACCATATACGTAAGGTACCGAAGGCACTTTGCAGGTACTGACCAAATGCAACATTGGTGGAGCTCATGCCACAGCTACACGAGCTTTATCCGTGGACCCACTTCCCCACTTCAGAGCCGCAGACTGATGTACAGCTGGGGTTGCACCCAGGCCAAAATTTCGACAGCCTCACTTCAAGGTCCTCGGTGCCTTATCCATATCAGCTCGAGTTTTTTTCCAAACCTCCCCCCAACGACGAGAAGAAAGAGTTGGCAAGACCGCCAGCTCACAAAGTACCCACCGGCATACCCCGATATCAATACAGTTTCGCCCCCATTGTGGTAGCAGCGACTTTTCTTTCTTGGCGTTCGCGAATTAGTTGCCGTTTATCGATCTCGACCTTTTCGCAGAAGGTCGCGCGCTCGTTCTAGCAATGGCGACCTCCACTGCCATCACAGCCTTTACGAAATCGTTTCGGGAACTTCATGGCGTTGTAGTATCGGCTGGGCTTATGGACAGGACGGTCAAGGTCACGGTCGGCGGTCAGAAATGGAACAACTTTCTCAAAAAGGTGCGTTATGGTTAGAGGGATGTGAAAGAGAAGTGACTGCGGGACTCCCAGGGAAATGTTTCTGTGCGTGTAGCAATAAAGGGAGATGCTGGTAGTGGTATCAGAGTTGGCTACTAATTGGGGTGTCGCGTAGTTCTTCAAAGCTCCCCAGACGCACCTCGTCCACGATCCCAACAACTCGCTCAGGACCGGAGACGTGGTGGCCATCACGCCTGGTTGGCGAACCTCAAAGAACAAGCGCCACGTGGTTAAGCACATCATTGCGCCGGCCGGCGTACCGATTGAGGAACGCCCCGCGGTGCCCACAGAGCAGGATAGATGGGCTTCTGAGGCGGCGTGGAGAGAGGCGAAGGATAAGAGGCGAGCTCTGCGAAAGCAGCTAGAAATACTTGATTTAAAGCTTGCGAATGCTGCAAGCGTTGCGAAGCGGTTACAAAAGGAGGTACGAGGGAAAATTCCCCCCCGGGAGGTTGACTGAGAATGGAAGCAAGAATCTTTCCGAGCCATTGTTCTCTATCCCGGGATATGTCTGGCATGTAATATCTGGGGATGCATTACTGCGTATATAGTCTTGTAACATTTGATCCGCACTGTTACCGCATTTTGAGGCTCGCGGATGGGGTGGGTGTTGCTTTGCATTGCTTGGGGATGAGGCGTAGTCACGGCTAATCCGACCCCCTTGTACGCGAAGAAAGAACCGAAATAATGATGAAGACTTCGCAATGTAGCTTAGGTATCTACGCACCTACCCGGACCTAGGATCCTGCGTCTTGAGTATGTGGAGACGGGGCTGGGTAAAGTGTGAGACATCAGATTGCTGGTAGATGCCATACTACTCTGGTGCGAACCTCACTATTGCAAATGCTGTACATTCGGAAATAACGGTAAGGTATGCTAGTCTTCCCTGCCTATCCTCCCCGTTCTCCAAATTCCTTAGCCCAATCCTCATATTCTTGGAGTCCCGTCTTGCTCACACTGGGCCGAATTGTTACCAGACTAGCAACAAAGTCTGAGAGTTCAATTGGGCGTATTTCGTCCATTGTCATATGTAGTAGTGCTTCGCCGAGAGATCGAAGGGGGCCCATGGCTGCGTCTTTGGCGAGAGCTGTAATATCGGAGCCAGAAAATCCTGTTTAGTGGTTAGTTAAGATTCGGCGCAAGGTATGCACCAGACTTGATCGGTTGAGCGGCGACATACCATCAGTTAGGCCAACAAGAACTTCTATATCGGCGTCAGTGAGAGTATGGTTCTGTTGCTCGAGCAGCGTCTTGAGCTGTACCGCTCGTGTCTTTGATTCTGGTAAAGGTATATACTGGCGCCTCACAAAGCGCCTCCTCGCAGCCTCATCGATGGCCCAGGGAAGATTTGTCGCAGCAAGGACAAGCACCCGACTGGCATCGTCGCGATCTTTGTCCCTGTCCACCACCTCTCTTCCCGCGGCTGCTCGCTGTAAGTCACTCCACTGAATAAGGAACTCGGTCTTGATCCTTCTTGTAGCCTCGTGCTCTCCGGAGCCGGATCGTTGCGACAGCAACGAGTCTATCTCGTCCACGAAGATAATGCTTGGGGCGAGAACCTTGGCCAGGGAAAAGAGTGCCCGGACGAGCTTCTCTGACTCGCCCAAGTACTTACTAGTGAGGCTGCTAGCAGATATTGAGAAGAAGGTCGACTTAGATTCGGTGGCAACAGCTCTTGCTAACATGGTCTTGCCCGTCCCAGGAGGTCCGAACAGGAGCATTCCCCTTGCAGGTTCTCGCAGTCCCATGAATAGGTCGGGACGGAGAAATGGATAGACAACGTTTTCCCGCAGGGCGTTTTTCGCTACATCAAGTCCGGCAATGTCACTCCAATGTACTTCGTCGCCCCGGACTACAATCTCGTTCAGTATTTGTTTGGCGGCATGTTCATCAACCCCAGGAGGAACCTTCTTGAGAGTTGCCGTCTTCTTTTTCTTCCACGAGCTTGCAAATTTACTATCCTCATCCTCAATATAGTCGATGGGCGACTGTATCTGTGGGTTCGCTATGAGGGAGTCTTCCCTGTGCAGCATCCTCCGCATGTGCTGTTCTGGTCCTGCGCGACTTTCAGATAAGGAGTCATCACCACTCGACGACGATAAACGCTGCCCCGCTTGGCTTCTGCGATGTCTAGCTCCTGTCGGCTGCGTTTCAGGCTTTCTGGTTTGTCGATTACGCACTGGTTTGTTTATGCTTGCCGAGAATGCTGGGCTTCCTGGGACTGTTGGATGGCGAAGTGAGAATGAGGACTCTGAGGCGTGTTTGCTTCCTGATAATCTTTCTCCCACGTTTCTCGAGTATTCCACTTTTGTGTCTGGCCCCTTCCTTGGAGAGCCTGTCCGCGACCTCTCGGATGAAGCATTTTCCTGCTCTATAGCACGCCCCCCTTCTGGCATTGGACGCCCCGCGTTTTCACGTATAGCCATCAAATTTATTGCATTCGACGCTGCACTAATAGAAAGAGGCGAAGGGCGAGGGTATGAATATTCGTCAGAGTAACGAATGGGGGACTGAGTCGGACTCGATCTTTCATCTAGTGGGTTTCCTGGACTCCAGGCCTTGGGGGGAACAAGCCTCCTTGAATGGGTGTCCCACTGTCTCTCCGGCAACTCAAAACTTTGACGTGATTTTTCTGATGGGGTTTCGGGGTTGGATAAAGGTTGCGAAACTGTCTGACTGCTGGCCAAACCCTCATCCGCCTTCCCACGGCGACCAAGTGTAGACCATGCTAAAATCGCAGCCTTGTTGGCACCAGGGCCATCTGCTGGCTTCGGTACTGGGCGCCGTGAAGTTGACTTCAGGGATTTGTCTCCAAGACGGGTTGTCCGCAGGGTTGTGCGCATCGTATGCCTCTCTGGGCTGGGCGGCCGGGAAGATCTCCCTTCTGTGGGTGGGGGCATTATGGGTTGAGATTCAATCAGTGCAAGAGATGGCGACTCCGTGTTTACCGCATATGCCGCGTAGTCCTCACTAAGAAATCCTTGTTCGGAAGAAGTTCTGGTAGGCATCGAGGGCCGACTCGGAAGAACCGGTCGAGAGAGCTCGGCGTACGTTACAGCGGGGATCGTTCCGCTCCCAATTCCAGAAGATTTTCCCCGTGTTCCGCCCGACGACAACTGGTCGCGGGATGTTTCCTGCCGAGATAGGCGAAGAGCTTCAAGAAGATCGATCCTTTCTTTACACTGCAACTCCAGCTGCCTTAGGCTCTCGATGAGAGCTTTCTCCGTCTCCGACCGAGGCGTGTAGTTAGGGAAGGCCCTGTTCGAGTGGTGATCGTAGATTTGGTCAAGTGCCAGTTTCCAGCATCGCATAGCTTCGTCCTCGTTTCCCTATGCCCTCCGAATCAGCAAAAGTACGATTTGCAGCTAAGTCAAGCAATAATGCAATTACCAGCGATGGGGAGACAACTTATTAGGTACCTACCTGGCTTTCATAGTAGACAGCAGTTGAGCATGTCAGGTAGCTCTCATCGTAGGTCTTCTGCAAAATTGGAGCGGCGCTTCTATTGCGTAGCATGATGTGGTCAAGGTTTAGTTGGTCTCACCAACATGAATCACCGCCCAGTAGATGACCTGATATGAATGAGTAGCGAAGAAGACTTGAGCGGTTGTCTATACCTATCGAGGTCATGGGCTCAGGACATCGCTGCTGGTTTGGAAACGAAGATAATGGGCTCAGAACGGTGAGTAACTGAGGTAGTCACTGCCTTGTCGGGTTGCGATCCATAGGAACGCCGTTGTTATTCGGGCGCTCTTTCCAAGGGTGGGGTAGTGATGGCGGACCCTAACCTGTATGAATAAGTGTACAGCCTTTCCTATGTATGTATGTACAGTACAAAGGTGGAGACCATTTCCAGAGGTAGGTTGCATACGTGGAACGGATACCTCCGTAGTACTGTTTGCGAATTACAGTCCATCCTACTTTTTACATTTGGTTAAAGAATTGTATTGCTATTCTCCCGAATATTTCAGCACACGGTACGTTGGGGATTCTGTGCTTAACTTCCACTTCCTATATCAAGTTTCATTATCTGAACTTCGTAGCTGGCTGGAAATTTTCTATCTGCATGCTATCTTTGCTAAACAATGACGCTGCAAACCAGGGGATCTAGGTAAGGTATTCGTCCCGTACAATAAGGTGTGTACAGTACAGTACGGATACGATAGGCCGGATTGCACCCGCTAGGTACCTAGGTATGCACTCCTCACTACAGTGGAGCTGGAAGTGACGTCGTTGTACGTCCCAAGTGCCGAAGGTTCTGTGGAAGGAATTCTGGATTAGACCTACGGTACCTTACCTGCCTACCGTAGCTAACTCCGCCCAGAAGTACATACAGTACGTACCACTTTGTACTGACATTAAAGGTTCGAGTTTGTTCCTTATCTGGACTTAGCACACATAGGTTGGAAAGTTAAAAGAATGAAGACACGAGAAACTCTTACGGCCACACGGCCACAATCAATAAATAGTTGATATTGGCGTTCATGATTGTAGTAGTGTAGAAGTGCACGTTTTGTCGTGGCGATACATAAAAAAAGCCTGGGTTTCCATGACTAGCCGCTAGATCCTAATTTCTTGTTTCTAGGCCTTCGTACGCAGGAGTCGTTTTAGGGTATGTTTCGGGGCCGGTTTTACGACAGCAAAACTCGTATTTCCCCTATTGTCCTCGGAAACAGAGCCCGGAGACTCTGGACTTCTGGTATTCCTTCAACAGCATTTCTCCGTTCTGACATCTCGTCTGCCAGCGTCAGCATTTCTTCAACATGCTCAAAGTCGACACAGAACCTCTTAGCTGCGTCCTCAGTTATATCCCTGGCCAATTTAGTGTCCTGGAGCAGTCTCAAATTTTCAACCGCGTCCATTAAGGCCGATGGCAAGAAGTCGTCAAGCATCTGGCTTGCTTGCACCAGTTCCGAGGCTTGTATGGCCTCAAGTGACGACACCTTTTCCACATCCTCGTCTTTCTCCTCCAGCGCCCCCAGTGATTCTATCAGTGATTCAAGGCCAGACTCGACTCGGAGGAAAGCGTATTGGCTCTCCACCAGTCTTGCTCGTTCCTTTGTAATCTTTTCTTGCAGCTGTGCCGTGCTCATTTGCATGAAGCTGAACTTGGACAGTGTGTTGAGAGAAGCTATGAAGCAATTGACGAGGAAGACGGAATTCGATGGTGCGCCAGCGGCCTGGGCCATTCTGATGCACCTGGATAAAAAAGGGTCGAACGCCTCGGCCATCACTGGCTCAAAATCTGCTTCCCGATCGCCAGGCGAGGCAAAAGAGGTTTCGTAGGTTTTAATGATGGCCAAGAGTTGCTCCAGTGCATCAATGAGGAATTCTGGAGGGCCCAGGTCCGGTGGGGTGTGATGGAACTCGCCCTGTAGTGTGGCAATATGGTCTCGAGCCAGTGAACGGAACTGTCGGAGTGCCTCAGACTCAAGTAGCCCCAGGAACTCGACAAGACTGGAGCCAGGGCTTAATAATCGACTAAAGGTTCCCTTGTAGAAGCTGAGGAGGTTTGCGAGTTTAAACGCCAGAATCGTATCCTCGTTCGTCTGTATGACCTGCTCGACTCGCTGACGCATTAAGCGGACTGCACCAGACATATCTCGGTCAACTAGCTCATTCAAAGCCGACACGGCATCGAAACTGCCAGGCCCCTCGCCATCTTGGGCAATCAAACGCCAGACTTCGTTCTCGCGTCCGGCCTGGATGCCCTTGGCAATCTCATCCCCATCAGAGATGAACAGTACCTCGAGGGCCTCCTTCTCACCAACGGTGGCTGAGTGGACCCAGGCAAGCATATCGCCAACGTATCTCAGGGGGTCGTGGGCTGCGAGTTCGATGGGCTTCACATACACGCGCTGGGCACCAGATGCGGAGCCACCAGTCAGGGCTGCGTGGAATGAGTCGGACAAGACATGCTCTCGCGCGTCAGCCAAGAAGTCCAAGCAATTCTGAAAGAGAGTCGGCCTCTCGGCCAATACGCGGAGGGCGCGTCGGATAGACGACCCTATTTGTGGATTCTCGAGGTTTAACGTCTTGAGCTCTCTCTGAACCCACTTGTACACCTTCTGGAATCCCAAGCTGAGATTCTTTGAAGCTTGTTCCATGATCTCCAGTCCAAGGGTCTGGTTTCCAAAGCCAAGAAGTACCTCGCAATCTTTGCTAATTTTCTTGGCCTTGGAAAGCACGGTAAAGAAGAGCTCGTCGACAGGCTCCGACGTAAGCGTTAGGGCGGCGATTTCATTCCCCGACAGTACAAAATTTGCGTTAAAAGCCTTCAGTAGTGCCTGCTTCTTATCGATCTGACTTCTTTGGGCCATGACCAAAGATCCCTCACTCAGAGCGGATGTGGTTGCCTTGTGGGCAGCCCCAATTTGCGTCTTGGTCTCTTGGAAGTTCTCGTTGAGCCTGCTAATGGTATGGCCTATACGCCGGAGTTGCTATGGAGCTTATCAGCTCACCAAGCCGTCACTTGTAGCATATGCATGGAGGAGCACACAAGGAAGGGGAGAGAACTCCATACCTCAGCGACCTTGGCAAACTCATTGATGACTTCGCCGTTGCTATCAATGACCTTCCTCTGTAGGTCTAGTCGTAACCGTCTGCGCGACTCCGCTGTATTATTTACGCCTCGGTCGTCTAACAGCGTAAGCGCCTCGCGAAATTCTGTATCTGCATATGATGCTGAGAGAACGCTGGTAACCTTTGATGATAACGGAATTGTTCCTCTAAGCGACTGTTGCATTTGAGGCGCTTGATGCAGGAGAGGGCTGAAGCTGTCACGCGCCTGCAGGGAAAGTGGCCTTTCCAGCGCAGCTTCGTGTGAGGCCATCTTGGGTAATCTTGCGTGGGATTTTATGTGACCATATTATGCCTGCGTCTGGGGGTTTGGGCAGCCGCCTTTCGTCGATTACTCGGCTGGGCTAGGGGCTTGGATGCTTCTTTTCATCGGTAGCACATTGGGAGCTGGAAAGTCATCTAGATACTCGAAGGGGCAATAGGGACCAGCAGAAATATGCGGGTTGATAGGGGAGGGGATGTGGCTTGTTCGCTGCTGAGCGGTAACCTAACTTGATAAAAGTTTCTGGGGAACGTGGGACGGGAGGACGTGGGTATCTTGGCTCGCCGCTTAGGCCCATATCAGTGCCCGCCATTGAGCCTACTGCCGCCCAATGTGGTCTTCCCTTGATGGAATGTAATTACTTTAAATTCGTTACGTGCAATAGTAGCGCCTAGACTATGACATTACATTAATCCACAACGCCAATCAACCGCGCTTGCACCCTGCCAAGAATTCTTTACCTCGCATCCTCGGAATCAGCGCGTTCCAAGATAACCACAACAGCCCCGCCCCTCCAGGCCCAGCGCCGGCCCCCTAGGCCGGTTCTCGAATTGCCCTCTCGAGACGATACCCGCTTTCACCATCCCGGTTATAGCAATGACAGCCACTCCTAACTCTCCCTCGCGTCGATACTACAACATTGATTTCTACCTACGGCGTACATCATAGAACAGCCCTGCTAGCATGCCAGATTATCGCTGGGAATGCCTTCGCCAACAGCTATTTGTCTCTCGATAAGGCGGGTCAACAGCAAGTCTAGGTGTTACTTGATGGCATATTGACAGACGAGGAGTACTACTTCATCGTTCAAGGCTCAGGTAAAAACTCCCTCCTCCCTTTAAGCCGCTTTTGCTAACCTCTCAGTGCTTTATCCTATCGTCCCTAGCTTTCAAGATTGGGAGTTCCTCCACGGCCGCATCCCCGATTGGTGGCCTTCTACCAACGCCGACCTTATTACCACCTTGACCTGCGGTATTACCAACGCTGGGTATGCCGTCGAAGAAGCCTATCTTGTGCCAAAGGAGGAGAAACGTTGGTATCAGGAGAATGTAATGCGAACCTATGGGACGGGTGATATCAACAACCAAGGCAATCTTCTTCCCATGAGGAAGGATTTACACTACTACCCGTTTAACGCCCGGTGGTTTATTATTATTCCAAAGGTTGTTACCATCGATTCTTCCCTTCAGCCCTCCCTTCAGTAAGTTACGCATATCATTTCAGCGTCTATAGCGGAATTATAGCCTACATGTCACAATACCCTCGTCGAGTCCCTCCATTTTAAGTCTCGCGCTTACCTTTTTGCCCGTTTCGCTTGGGCTATCCTTTTCCGGGCCAACCTCTTCGTCATCGCAGGCCAAGATCGTCAAATCATCCAAGTCTCTAGAGATAAATCTAGCAATGTAGAGTACAAGACAAAGTATTGTACTGGGGAAGATCTTGAGAACGCATACGGCGGTGGAGGATCAAAAACGGCAACCCCGCTACATCCGAGGAAGAACAGGTCCGGACAAGGCAGTGCAAAAGAAAGCGAAGACAGCTTTACAGAGTCATCTGGGGACAGCGATACTAATATGGACGACATGGACTGGAGAGAAAGGGGAAGACATAGAAGACAGGAGTCCTCAGAGGAGACTGCCCCTGATATCATACCACGACAGAAGTCATCGGAGGAAACCGCCCCCAATACCAAGGTACACCTGGAACCAGCTCTCGAGGTGGAGCTCAGGACAGCTTTACGCCAGATCATACCGCAGCAGGGTGTAGCCTCGGAAGACTAGGCAGGGATAATACAGAGGTGCTACGACTGAAGTAGATCATTACAGCAGGATAATATAGTAATAACCTATGTTAATCCCTATGCTAATCCCTGTGATAATTGGATGTTGCAGAAATTCAGGGTATCTAAAAGCGGCAGCCCAGACCGCGGCACATGTTTTCTCCCTGGAATATAGGCAGAATGCAAGAGAAACAAGGACGAAAAGTCCTGCAAGCCATGTTCAGGAGACAAGATATGAGAGAGAGACAGAGGCCAGGTGGCGCCCGATGTTGTTCTGTACGACATTCGAAGAAGCACGACGATACCCGTGACGAGTCAGGCCAGTTCTCCGGAGACAACATGTCGGCCTCGGTATAGCATCCTGAGAATGGCAACGTGCCCACGCGCTATTGGCGGGGCGCCTCGAAAACATTTAACATGGCCAACAAGCGCCTACCTTCCGCATGGGACAGCGAAAGAATGACCAGAGAGACATGGAGGCGCGTGTGGAGGCGCGTGTGGCTGCGCCCGTTCTTTACACCGCCTTCCTCAATTGGTCAAGTGCGGGTACAAGCTTGGACCGCCCGCGTCATAAGGAACTGTCACCTGGACGCGGGACCCAACCCTGACCCCAACCTACTGACTGATACAATTCTCTAGGTACCTACCTTACCTAGGCATCTGTCACTCGATAAAAAAACCCCCCCCCGGAACTCATGGGCGAATCAACCTTGACCTAAACGTGCATTCATAAGGACAAAGGCATGTCCTGCGACATTCAGTCTTAGTGAAGACTCGTTTTCCCTATTCCAGGCACTCCTAAGGCTTCGACTTCCGCATTCCGCGTTCCGCATTCCAGCACGCAGCTACGTAGCCCTACCTCTGCCATGGTCTCCAAGACCTCGAACACCCAAGACGAGACTATACACCGTGCTGTAGGCACTGATGGCTTCAAACGTCTTCTCGAGACTGATGCCCTCAACCCGTGGCCGATCATTTTACGAAGAGCTCCGGGGCCGAGATGACACACTTGAGAACGAAGAGCATGCTGGCTTGCTTGACGACGAGAACTTAAACCACAACTTCCAAGACTACGATCTGGAAAGCGCCCAAGGTCTTGCTGTCGATGACAGCCGCATAACGCTGGGAGGCGCCCCAACCTCGGCCCCAAGAGGTCGCGGTCGTTTGGCCGCACGAACGCATCTTGATGCTGGTATGGGTTGGGCGTCCCACGACGATGACGGCGACAACGATGTACCTGCCTCGCTTCTCGTAGAGCGCCATGACCGGGATAATGCAGGCGGGCCAGGACAGCCGACAAGAAATCAGGCCGAAGACCCAACGGCGCCAATCCCCGGGCCGTCAGGAGCTCGTCCCCAGTGGGAAACGACACAGGTCAGGCAGAGGCTCCATAATGATGAAGCTTTTAATCCGTCTCGATCCTATAGTGACGCACCCAACGCTCTCCTCGATGGGGTCATATCGGGTAGCGCCAAGAAGAAGGCAGAGTGGAGGTGGGCTAATGTGTCAAACCTTGACAACTTCATCAAGGACGTGTACGACTATTACCAAGGCTGTGGAATGTGGTGCATTCTCACGGAGAGGATTCTCCATCTGATGTGAGTGGCCGGTTTCGAGCTGTTTCCGCATAAGAGGCTATACGTACTAACTAGCAAGTACAGAAACGTTGCGTTCGTTGCCCTTCTCCTGACTTTCCTTACTCAGTGCGTCGACTATAAGAGGGTTCGGGAGAGCCAGAAGCTATCAGAGATCCTCGTCCCTCAGTGTACAAGCAATATGTCAGGGCTCTGGAATCTTGGCTTGTGGATGTTTGCCTTCTATTTTATCTGGAAGTCGATCCAGTACCTTCTGGATGTCCGGCGGCTTCTGCACGTTCGCGATTTCTTCCTTTATATGCTGAGCGTGCCGGATCAAGACATGCAAACGGTAACATGGCAGGATATTGTCGCTCGGGTCATGGCGCTAAGAGACCAAAACCCTAATACAGCTACTAACTTGACGCCTGCGCAACGACGCTTCCTTGGCAGCCAATCGAAAGAGAGACTAGACGCGTCCGACATAGCCAACAGGCTGATGAGGCGGGAGAACTACCTAATTGCGTTGTTCAATAAAGATGTCCTAGACCTGACGATTCCTATACCGTTTCTGCAGAATCGCCAGCTGCTTTCTCGGACACTAGAGTGGACTCTGATGTTCAGCGTTCTCGACTTTGTCTTTGATGAAAAGGGGCAAGTCAATCAAGAGTTTCTGAGGTCTGATCGTCGAGGCGAACTCAGCGCGAAACTGCGAGGAAGATTTATGTTTGCCGGTGTCATGATCCTTATCCTGTCGCCTTTTGTAACCGGATACCTCATCATCGTATATTTTCTCATGTATTACCACGTAAGATTATTCAATCCCCCCTTATATGTTGCCGCCGAGCTGACCCGTTGCAGGAGGTTCAAAAAAACCCTTCCGTTTTATCATCCCGGACATATACGCCGCTCGCAGAGTGGAAGTTCCGGGAATTCAATGAGCTCCCTCATCTTTTCAAGAAGCGCCTTGATATGTCGCACCCATTTGCCACCCACTACATGGACCAATTTCCCAAGGTCAAGACAGAGATGATTGCCAAAACGGTGGCGTTCATAGCCGGATCACTTGCTACGGTCCTGGCAGTTGTTTCTGTCTTCGATCCCGAGCTGTTTCTTGGCTTCGAAATCACTCCGGATCGGACCGTCCTTTTCTATACGGCAGTCTTCGGGAGTGTTTGGGCAGTTGCTCGTGGCACAATGTCTGAAGACAATGCGGTATTCGACCCCGAGTACGCCTTGCGTAACGTAATCGAATACACCCATTACGAACCAGATCGGTGGCATGACAGACTTCACAGTTTTGATGTTAAGAGAGAGTTTTCTGAACTTTACAAAGTCAAGATTGTCATCTTCATTGAAGAAATTCTGAGCATCCTAACAACTCCGTTTGTACTTTTCGCCAGCCTTCCCAAGTCAAGTGACCAGATCATTGACTTTTTTCGGGAGTTTACTATACACGTTGACGGGCTTGGCTATGTCTGCTCGTTTGCCGAATTCGACTTCAAAAAGGGTGTCGGCAACTCGAAGAGGCACGCAGACGGGGCCGATGTCAGAGATGACTACTACTCAACCAAGCATGGAAAGATGGAAGCATCATATTATGGTTTCCTGGGAAATTATGGCAACTATGCCCTTAACCCCAAGATGGGCGTGCCAGCACCACACCTCCCGCCCGGCATGCGAAATCAGTTCCACCCTCCGCCAGCCTGGCCGGGTATGAGCTCGCCAACGCTCGGCCCCGATATGCAGGCGTCACGCATGGGTCGCAGTGAACGTGCAAGGAGCAAGGCACCTCCCGCAAAAACACCGCGGTTCGGCCCCATCGCACTTCAGTCATCACCAATGGCATCTATTCTCTTGGATCCGCATCACCAACCGCCAAATCCGGGCTTTGGCCATCGAACCACCCATATAGCACGCCAACAGCGAGGCATATATCAGGGCGAAGGAAATAACATCATTGAGGAGTCTCTAGAGGACGGTGGAGAGGAGAGTGATGTGGGGAAACGGCATGATGAGGACGAGGTATACGAGAGTGGAGGTGCTTTGGAGGATTCAACATGGCAGACATCTGCAGCAAGGACGCTCAGCAGAGAGAATAGTGGGGCCGAGGAACGCGGCGCGCCGGATGCTGGAGTGGTACGCATGATCTATCAGTTCAACCAAGCGCAGCTGAACCGGCGACCTGGAGGTGTTCGCTGAAGCGAGTAGGGAGTGGATAACCGGGCGTTGGTATGGGGTTGGATTGTGATCGGAGTTAACATTGCATTTATTGATCGGGGTTAAATGGATACGGATTGCGGTTACGTAGGAAATGGGCTTCACTGGGCCGTGGCGTTGGCTTTCATCACGTATCGGGCCTGTTCTAGAATGCTGGTCGGGCATATTTTTAGTGGCATTGGATAGAATCAACTTGTTTCTATTCCTCCAGGGCTGTTACGTTACCGAGGACAGCTGAGGGTCTTCTCGATGTATATCATGTTCTGCAGCAGGACACTGCCTTCAAGTGATTTTCAATGAGCTTCGCGGAGCGCGCTCTTTGAATAACAGAAAGTAGTTATTGTTTGCTTAATGATTATGATAAATATAGGTCGTGCACTACAGGTTCGGTTTACACCCACCCAAAGGCGAAGGTGGGCCCGCCTGGCGGGGCTCCCCCTGTCCCCAATTCCCGACCTCCGGTCTGTGCTACGTATCCGATTTTTTTTCCGCGTGAGATGATGCCGACAACGGTCGTCAAAAATTCGAGGTTTCAGTACATTCAGAGCGCCGCCAGCCCACCGACCGTTTTCGGGCTCTTACCGACGACACCCACGGCCGTAAGTCTGGCGACGCGAACCTTGATTCTGGAGAGCGACATAGTACTTTCTCACAATCGACTTACCGCAATCATTAGACGCCAAGCGCCTGGGAGCAACGTCGTTGCAGCTCCTTGAGAAGCTTCTGCATTGCGTCACGCTGTGGTGCTGCATCTTGCCTCGTCTACTGCCATCGTCACTGAGCAAACTTGGCGACGCCTTGCTCGCCGCCGGCCCGCCGCAAAAGGACAACGTCGCCCTTCAATCTGGCTCTCAGCCTCGGAGCCTCGGGAGCTGCGGCTTCCCCAATGGCCCAGCCAAATGTCGAGCCCGAGGATGACTACGAGTACGTTTCCTCCCCTCCCCTCCCCCGTGGCTATGATGATACCTTCAGATGGGTCCCTTCTATCCTACGTGGCACTGTGTTGTGCTGGAGTGTGTTGAATTGAACTACATGCGATCCCTTGAAGGTACTGACACGCAGCATGCAGCTATGAATCACTCCCGCCAAACTTTTCGTTGCTACAGAACATGACGGCTGGCGCCTTTGCGGGTATTGCTGAGCATTGTACAAGTACGTTATCTCCTTACAATATACACTCCCATAGCTAACCGGACATAGTGTATCCTATCGACGCCATCAAGGTGAACAAATACCTTTCTCGATCGCCCCACCCGCGCCCCGAGGCTCCTGCAGACTGCAGACTGACACTCGGTGACTCGCAGACACGAATGCAGATAATCAACCCTACTCCTTCGGCCGTCTACAACGGAGTGTTCCGAAGCACCTACCGGATAGCCACGAGCGAAGGTATCCTAAGTCTATGGCGTGGCATGTCGAGTGTTATAATAGGGGCCGGTGAGTTGGGTACTTTTCCAAGCTTCAGTATCGCTAGCTGACAACTGATTTACTAGGCCCTGCCCATGCCGTCTACTTTGCTACATATGAAGCGGTTAAGCATCTCATGGGTGGGAATCAAGTTGGTATGCACCATCCACTCGCCGCGGCAACCAGTGGGGCGTGTGCAACCATCGCAAGCGATGCGTTGATGAACCCTTTTGACGGTACGCCACCTACAGTAAACCTTTTTTCTAGTTAACATCGCTGACACGAATAGTCATCAAACAACGGATGCAAATTCAAAATTCGGCCAAGATATACCGCTCCATGGTTGACTGCGCGAAATATGTGTACAGAAACGAGGGCTTGGCTGCATTCTACGTTTCCTATCCGACCACGCTTTCCATGACGGTACCCTTCACTGCATTGCAGTTTCTAGCCTACGAATCGATTTCCACTTCCATGAACCCGACGAAGCACTACGACCCCGTTACGCACTGCCTTGCCGGCGCAGTCGCGGGCGGGTTTGCAGCAGCCCTGACAACGCCTATGGACGTCATCAAAACAATGTTGCAAACCCGCGGAAATGCCCATGATGCCGAACTAAGAACAGTCAATGGATTTGTTGCCGGATGCCGGTTATTATATCGGAGAGAAGGTTTCGGCGGATTTTTCAAAGGCGTTCGTCCGCGGGTCATGACCACAATGCCGAGCACCGCCATCTGCTGGTCTGCTTACGAGGCGTCCAAGTGCGTATCTTGAACTACTTTGTCTAGGATTGAACTCACTGACAAATTTGCTATTTTAGGGCCTACTTCATTCACCAGAACACAAATGCAACAATATCATAACCCGTATCCTCTCGGCACATCCGACTAAGATGACTATGGCGTTTCTGCGACCTTTATCCCCTCGTCCGCCTCGAGTCTGTGGTGTGACTGCCAGGCACATAACACGTACCTAGAATTAAGCGGAAGCTTGTCTACATCTCAGCCGGGTTGGTTCATCTAGATGTAAATTGTGCCTCGTCGCTTTGAAGGCACCGAGGGAACTTGCTGCACCTTTCAAAGGCCCTTCCACGCCCGACCTTGAAACTGGTCGAGGTTCTGGAAGCGGTTAAACCTAGGCATGACTTAACACATGTGTACATTAATAGTTGTTGTCGCTCCTTGTTAAATCGAGCATACCACCGCGGGCATGATTTGACTGAAGGTGGGAATTTGTGGAAAATTTTTGTTCAAGCGTTGAGTGAACGAAAACAGTTCAACGATTGGCTGCATTGGCTACTAACCTACCCTGCTATTCGAAATAAATGGCCACGGTGTTGGCTCTCCGGGCTAGATCGCAGCACGCGAAATCTCCCTCTATATTAGATACCTCTATTCGTGGCGAGAGAATGATACGTGCGAGGCAGTGTCTTGTCCCTCCTCGCCGACTAAGGGCGGTTTTTTTGATGGTTAACAAACAAGATGCAAATTTTCAACAGACGAAAAGCTGAGCCTGGAGGAGGTTCGCGTTGTATCTTTGAAGATATCGCATTTAGATATTTCGTCTTTCCACTTGTTATTTGAGCCCTCAGTCTTTGGCCTCTCTGCTCCGATAACGTTTTTGAAGCCACACCCAGCTGTTCACGTATATCAATATCTGCAGATAGATTAATAATTAATACTGCCATGGTATTTATCCGTCTTGTAAGGTTAGAAAGACGAACACATGTACATATATACGTATGAGAAACCGCAACGAAAAAAGGACACGTTAAAACTACGCCTATAGACGACAACCCGCACCCACCAGACACACCATAAATTCCACATACAGATAGTAAACCTGACTCGTCGTCAATGTTCTTAGCCAAACGGAGAGCCACCACCCCACCTGAATTCGAATCCGCCACCGCCAGGACCGCCCTGCTGAAACATGAACGGCTGGCCATGGCCAAATGGGTGGCCTTGTTGGAACTGGGGCTGCTCGTGAGAGTTGGGATCGTCTCCTCGGTCAAAGCGTGCACGGAGTTCCGGGTCGCTTAGCACCTCGTATGCTTCGTTGATGCTCGCCATCTTTTTCTCGGCTTCTTCCTTCGACATACCTTGCCTGGTGGTCTTATCGGGGTGGTGTAGTTTAGACAGTTTTCGGTAGGCTGATTTGATTTGCTTCTCGTCGGCGTCGTGGGCAACACCAAGAACCTTGTAATAGTCCTTCGTCTTGCTACGTTTTAAGGCAACCTGAGCCTTTTGCATGAGCGGATTGACGATTTCCTGCCTCTCTGGCCTGTTTTCTAAGGCTTTCTTTAGTGTGTTGATGCTGGCCTCAAACTCTTCGGCGTCCAGCTGCGTTTTGGCACGCTGCAACAGTCCGTAAAAAGAGTTCTCGTCGAGCTGCAACGATTCGTCGCAGTACTCTTTTGCCTTTTTGCCGCTGGACTGTGTAGAATGTCAGCGATTTGCAGAAACTAGGTAGAAACAGGAGAAGGATACTTACTTCGTAGTATGCCTGACATGTCATCTCCAGGACTCTGGCTACCAAAACGTTGCCTACTGACTTTGGAATTGTGCCATCTTCCTGTAAAGCTTTCAAGTTATCCTTGGCCACCTTGAGCAAGCCCTCGCTTTCCGCGCTTGGGAGAAGTTGGCGGATCGCACTCATGGGTTGGCCCTTTTCGAGAGCCTTGGTGACCTTCAGTATCGCCTTCTCAACCGCTTTCTCTTCCCTCAGCAGCTTTTTGCAGACCTTGGACTCGGGATCAGAGTGCAAACACTTTCTAATGGCCGCCATGCCATTGGGTAGGTCCCCAAGCGCATAGAATGTGATGGCGGAGATTATAACATAAGGTGATGTATCCCCAGGCTTCATCTGCAGGACATGCTGCAAATCACTTATGCCAACTTCAACACTGCCGCGTTCAAAAGAACACCGGGAACGCAGCTCCCGCAACGGCAACGCCCTGCTCGCGACCAATATTGCAGCGCCTGCCTGAGCGGCGCATTCATCCCAGTCACCCCTTTGGACGGCAGCCTCAGCAAGCGTAGCCGCTCCCTTAGCCTCTTCCAAAGCCGCAATTTCTTCTGTTTTTCTTGCCTTTAAGAAGTGCTCCTTGGCAGCATCCCAATCGGCACTGCGCGCCTTGATCTTGCCAAGCTGCGCATGCGCACCCTCGAATCCCGGCTTGAGCGATAGCACCTTGTTGAAGTCTTCGTTTGCTTGCGAAGTGCGCCCCAGCGAAAGAAAAGTGGTGGCGCGTTTGAAGAATGTCAGGTAGTTTGTAGGATCCCGCGCAATGGCGGCATCGTAATACACTAAGGCATCGTTGGTTTCGCCTCGCGAAAGGTGGCTCTGCGCTGACGTGAGGAGCGCAGAGAGCGGCGTGTCTGAAGGAATGTCCACTGGCGAGAGACCTGCTACAAGCGAGGGCGTGGAAAGTATGCCCGCCGCGAAGGCCAGGGCAGTGAGGGGGACTAGCATGGCGGCGGCGATATTGAAAAGGCAGGACAAGAGGAGAATTACAGAGTGGAAAGCGAGGCCAGAAGGTGAGCGGAGGGCCTCGATGCCAGCGGAAGGCAGGCCGAAAAGTTGAGGATCATCAAAGAAAGCAGAAAAAGGCCACTATGGAGGTCAGGCTGTCTATAGTTCGTGAAAATGGGTCGCGGTGGGACAGGGCAATAAAGCGACTCGGACTAAATCTGTCCTTTGTCTAAAGAATGGAGGAGTTGGCATAAATAGATCGTGGAGTACCTATCCGCCGCACGCCCAGTGATCTGGCCACTACAAAAGGCCGGATTACTCCTTGTTCGACAGGCTGGAGTGGGATAAGGTACACTATAAATTCAGCGAACTTAACCCATGCCCAAGTACCGATACATACCTTTCCTGCCAAGACAACATAAAATGCGTCGCTTCGCGCCCAGCCCTTGGTTGATCTCTACAAGGATTTCAAGGCCTTAGTGCGGGACGAAACCACCACGTGACTTGTAACTGCTAGAAAAGTGACTTCAAACACCCCGTTGCTCTAGCTTATATACCCTGTGATTTCCAACCCCTGGCGGAGGTGGAAGTCGAACTTTGTAGAGCCGTCAAATAAATACTCGCGGAATACAATTGTACATGCTTTGTACTCCGAAGCAAAGCTGCCTGCCTACAATAAGGTACCTTTGATCATGTTTTTTCGTGCGAGGCTCGAGCAACTGTCAACAGGCAGCGGTATGCACTAAAAGTACGGTAGGTTAATGGAGAAGTATCCGTATAGTGGGGTAGAAGCTGGGGGCTAGTGGGGTTAGCGGGAGGCTGAAAACCGCTAGCGGCAGAATTATTGACCGCCACAGAATTCGGGCACGGAGCATACCAAGACTACGGGGAAACCCGAAAATTTCGCCGATGCAGCTTCCACGGAAAGCTCACCACCAACATCGGATCAAGACAACGACACACCTAACTCTTTCTACAACGTACACATAACTACCCGACAATGTCATATCGCGGAGCTCCACGGGGTCGCGGCGGCGGCGGCGGATTTGGCTTCGGTGGGCGAGGTGGAGGTGGAGGTGAGAGTGAGATTTCAGCTCGATACTCTTTCTTAGCAAGGGAAACCGACCACTGACAAAAAGCTCAATTTAGGACGAGGCGGATTCCAGCAGCGGGACATGGGCCCTCCTTCTACAGTTCTCGAGATGGGCAAGTTTATGCATGCGTGCGAGGGAGAGATGGTCTGCGAGAGCAGCAATGTGAAGATTCCACATTTCGGGGCCTCCATTTACCTGGAGAACAAGGTGAGTTTCCTTGGCCACTCCTATTCCATTCTCACATCCTCGCGGTGTTAGATTTTATGATACTAACGTAGATCAATCCAGACATCGGTAGGGAAAGTCGACGAGATTCTGGGCCCTATCAACCAGGTTTTCTTCACCATAAAGCCGTCAGAGGGTATCCAAGCCACTTCCTTTAAATCCGGTGACAAATTCTACATCGCGCCGGAGAAGCTACTACCGCTAGAGAGATTTCTCCCAAAGCCGAAGCCCGCTCCAGGCACCATGACCAAAGTGAAGAAGCCCAGCCGAGGTGGCATGTCGCGTGGTGGACGAGGGGGTCCTGGAGGCTTCTCTCGCGGAGGCCGGGGTGGCGGTGGTCGTGGAGGTTTTGGCGGCGGCAGAGGCGGCTCTGGTGGCTTCTCCCGAGGAGGTCGTGGAGGTGCGCCGCGAGGTGGTGGCGGGAGAGGCGGCTCCGGTGGCTTCTCCCGGGGTGGTGGAAGAGGCTGGTGAAGACACTTTGAAACCCTGGCCATATCTCCACGGCGCATTTTCAAGAGTGTGGACATTGATGCATTGTGGGCGCCACTCAGCATCGGGCGGACCGATCATGGCACAGAGGAGTTGTCTGGGATTGCACTGGCTAAACCGGCGTTTTGGAAGGTCTCGGGACGCTTGCTTTTTTCTTTTCTCTCGTGTAAAAGGCTAAGCGGCGCATGTACATTCGACGGGCACGTGCAGTAAATTTGGGTCAAGCCTTCAGTCTCTGTTGCTGGGTTAGCTCGATGATTGCACTTCGTTATGGACGGAGGCTAGATTCAATATCAGGCACAAGTGCAAGCCATGTTTTCTGCCAAGGCGCCTTTATATATGACCGACCGTAAGGGAAAAGGCCAGACACCTCGGACTCGATTAAGCTACCTACTATGCTTTTCTGAGAGGAAGCTCCGAATATCGCGCAATGAGCGAGCGCATGGGAGGGTTTCCAGGACATACCAAGAGAGTCGTATCCTTGATGGCAGAGGCTTATGTCAAAGCACCTGTCATTATTGAGAATAACCTCAGGACCCAGTATCCGGGGGGCTTTGTCTCGAGTATTAGCAAATTGTCTGCGGCTTCTCGTATTTCGGCCCAATTTTGAAGTAAATACATGAGATATATATGTGGAAAATACGGAGTATTGCGGTAATGAGTCTAGAGGTGAGGTCAACAAGGTCGATTATGTCACCAATTAGCCTAGGTGTTATTGCTAGTCTCTGCTGTCGAAAGGCAGACGTTGGCGGTATTCGAGGGAGCTCAAACTCTGTTTCGGAATTCGTGGTGTCGTTGATACTGTTTGGCAAGCAGGGAAATACCTTCCTTCTCTACTGCCTTATCTTGAGACCCATAGCAGCCACAAACAGGTGGAGTGCGTTCGCAGGAAATACAGCTGGACAGCTGGACCGTGATCAAATAAGCAAAGGATTGTAGCAAGAACTGATCGAACAGGAACCATAAAGGCGCCAACGCAAGTCTCGTCTGTTAAAAATAAAAATAGAAAACCCAGGTAGTAACGAAGCCGAAAGACAAGACAAAAAAGTGATGGCTAAGAAAAGCCCGAGGTTGAGCCTCTAGGATATTCTCCAGGAATATGCAGGTGCGAGATGGTCGGAACGCTATCGTTCCGTACTGTTCCACCTACTGGCCGTGTCAATCTTTCGCCCTCCCGAGCAATGGCACCGCCGCTCGCATCCAAATCCAGTTCCCTAGCCCCATCAGCTGTTGCACCACCCGAATACTGGCCAATCACCACCACAGGGTCTTCGGAACTATGTGAATTCGTGAAACTTCTATCGCTTTCGGACGACAATATCTGTTGGCCTTTCGTGGTGGAATCAACAGCAAAGTCGGGAGTAATGGACTGTACTGGCCCAGTCCACGCTGAGTCAGCTCCGATCATAGGCGATGGAGGCAATCTGAGGCCTGTGGGCAAGGAATTTGCCTCCGTCCCAGTTCCCTGGCTGCTGGGTCCCCATGGCTCATCTGGTGCGGTTCCCGGTATCTGGGCTCCCACTATCGGGGACTTCCCATAGTGTTTTGAGGCTGCGTGAGGGATCGATTCGCCTCCAAGACCGCTCCCTGAGCTTGGCTGGATTACACTGCTTTGACGCGCCGCTGACCTGCCCAAGTAGTCGGAATCGGGGTCGTGGGAAGCGTAATGCGGCTGGCCAAGTTCATTTTCGGGCAGATGGCCAGCGGCGGCGATAAAACCGCGGTCAATGATCTCGTTATATCCGGAGCTCACACTAAGCGGTGAGAGCGGGACCTGTAAGCCTCTCTCCGGGTTCACCTGTAGATCAGATGGGAATCGCCCACCTGAAGGACGTCGCGGCATCATATCTTGCTTTGGCTGCTGGTTGACCGATCCGGCTGTCGCTGTAAACGGAGGGTCCTCGTCGTCGTCAACCATACCGTCGCTGCTCAGCGATGAACGCTGAGACGACCGGCTGAGGCTCCGCCCATGGCCACGCAAAAAATTGCTGCGTTCTTCAGGGGTCCTCTCGGTGAGTGCCTTTATGTCTTCATACCAGGCCATCATTGTATCGTGGCTCTCGGCTCGGAAGACCCATGTGTGGCCACGGTGCATAGATCCTGTTTGGCGACCTTTGAGGATGAACTTGTTTGACGAGCCACCTTCGGTAGAATGGGACCCCAATTTCTGTTCCGGGAGATACAAAGACATGACAGGAGCCTGAGTCTTGTCCGCGGATTTGAATTCGTGGAGATGAGTGGGTGACAACACATACCTGGTTAAGTTAGCGGTGTAAGTGTGCCTTGGATCCACAGTGCACTAAAACAGCCAAAGAAAACCCACCATCCAGCCGTATAGCTCTTTAGATACTTGCTCTTGCGCTCCAGTAGGCCTGCTCGGATTTCTTGGCATGCGTAGTGATCGCGACCTGGGTACTGGATGAACTCGGCCGCTCGAATTGGCACGTCCGGGTCCACGAAACGCTCGTCTCTTTGGACGAACGAGATCCACTCGGTGTCTTTGGGCATGGATACTGGCCCGATCCGAAGCTCCTCGACGGCGTTGTAAGCCGCATCCGATTCTCTCTTAAGAATTCCGGCGTATGCATTGTATGACTTTTGGATTTCCCCGACGACGATAGACTCTAGCTCGCGTCCGGAGTTCTCCAAATTCAGATAAGCCTTGAACTGTTAGCTACGCCCGGGGAACAAGACCAGGTTCGGGCGCATGCATACCTGGTGTAGGTAGTTCTCCTCGTCGATCTGCTTCTCGATCTGTCGATCAACAGCTAGTCTCAAGAGATAGGGGTCTTGCTTCCCGGTTGTAAGAGCAGAGTCGAGTTCAGTCTGTCCCAAAGCTTCCTGCAGATGATTTACGACCCTGCGTGTTGATTCCATCTCCTTCTCGACCGAGTTCTTGAAATCGCTAGACAAGTTCTTTATCTCCTTTATTTTCTGGTGCAGGTCATTCCGCAAGCCCGTGAGAGCAAGAATAACGTCTTCCTCAATCTCGGCCGCCTTATTTGCCTCGGTCACAACCTGCTTGTTGAGATTTCTCAGTATCTGCAAGGCGTCGTCGAGTCCACCAGAAGCGAGAAAACCGGGAGGGGTCGCCGTATTGTTCAGCACGTTTGTAAGTTTAAGGAGCGACTTTGCTCGGTGCTCGTAGTGACTCTGAATCTCCCTGAAGTAGGTGATGAGGTCTTTCAGAATCTTTCGCCAGGCTGCCAGAGAATGAGTGTTAGCCAGGGTTTTTCTACTGAACACAGGTAATGCCCCCCCCGGGCCAAAAAAAGGGCTGCTAGTCTGGAGCAAACAAACCTTGGAATCTGTTGGCAAGTACTTCGGTCGGGGTGCCTGCAGTTGGCACCGGGCAGTAAAATGCACTATGTATCTCATCTTGATCGATCGTTGACTGGAGGGCTAAGCTCCTAACACTCCCAGCCTTCATGCTTCGGCGGCTGCTACTGCGCTTCAGGCTTCCATTTCGTCGCAACGACGCTTTCTTCTTCAACGTGTTGCCACGAGAGAGACCCACAGCCCCCTCGCCCGTCACCCCTCCTGCCACCGAACCTGAGAAGGAGCTGGACCGCTGCATTTTGGTGACTTCTATAATGGAGCTTCCACGCTGGCTCGCATCCCACTCCTCGGTGAATTTTGTCGGACGAATACCGACAGGAGCGGCAAGGTGATTGCTGTGGTCCGGCTGAGCAACGTGCGAGTTTGCCAAGGTGTTGGTGAGGGTTTCGGCGTCTGCGCTGCCGTGATAATGTGGCTGCTCTTGCTGCTGTTGAGGGAAATAGCTAGCTGCGCCGTCCTGTGCGCGGTCGTGAGAGTGTGGGGGTGTAGCAGCGACCGGAGACTTAGTGGTCGCCATTATTGACGCTGACGCACATTAGTAGTAGCATTTGCTTTGATAAAGTAGAAGGAGTTAGGTTTGCTGGGCTCTTTGTTAGCTCGGAATATCGAACTAGGATGTTGGAGAAGGTGGCCTTCAAGGCAATTAATATCGTTCTAGGGAGATAAGCATGGGCACATACAGCAGATGCAACCTTGTACGAAGCAGGGTGTTCTCGTTGTCCTCGTCACCTTTGTACGTCTCCTTGGATTTTGAGGTGTGTCGTCGTGGAGGAAAGAGCGGTGTCGGAGGGGTAATTAGTTGTCAGGTAGTCGGCAAGATTAACGGGAACCCCTTCGCTTTGTTGTCGTCACTGCGCACTTCCGGATTATTCTTGACTTTTAGGGCCTGACATTACCGAGGAACGATCTGGGGTCCTGTGTGACAGTGCAGCTCGGCCACCCGCCATTCAAAACTAATAGACGTGTACAAGTGCCCCAGGTAGTGCAGGCAGCACAACAGTACCAGGTTTAGGTATGTAAGGTACATTTATACATGGTACTATCCTTGGAGAATGTACTTCCGTTCTTTTCTTGTGGTTCTTGCCTCTTCTCCTGAGGCCTAATATTCTCCGCCCTCGCCTCCAGAACAAGATCATGCTAGGTGCATGTATGTATTGTACTGTACCTCAGCCGCCGATATGCCGGGGAAGGTGTTTACCAGCAGCGGCCTTCATGCCTTCATTACATTAAAGTTATCATATCGTTGTTTTTTATTATTCTTACTGTTGTTATCTGCCATTTATCACGGGTGCGTTCGTCTGTTGTTGGGGCTGCGACTAGGAAAATGTGATGTCCGGTTTCTCGCTGGCTGCGAAACTACCAAGTTCCAAGTTCCCGTTTTGTGGAGCCTATGACGTATTCTTGCGTTGCAACGTGTACCTACCACCACTTCTTCGATGGGTGATGTGTCAAACATCTCAAGCGTGATCGAGATTAAATCCACTAGTACTACACCTGTTTTTGTCAATGGTGTTGCTTCTCTGGCATTATGTAAGGACAGATCCCCTGCTTTGCTCTTTGACAATGAGAGCTGACTACGTCTCTATTCAACATGTATTCCCAGCTCCCGGCTCCCGGCTCTGGCCTCGTACATGGTGTAACTGCGACATGATGCCCTTCTCGGATGAGAGTAACTAGCCGGGCCGGCCAGCTAATCGTATATCCGTGTAGTAAAATTACCCTACTGTCTTAGCTGCAAGTGACTTACACAAAAATGGCTAGGTATCCACCTTTGTTGGTAAAGAACTAGTATGAACCGAAGCTCATGTATGCTCTACTTGACTTGTTCTACTACCTAGTTGAATCCCAAACAACCTCAGGTATATATATAACACGCAACAACCTGAAGCCCTCGTCCCTAGTGAACTAGGGAGGGTCGTGGAACAGTTTCAGGGTCTGTTCGGCCTCAACAAAGTGTTGTACGAAGTTTCAACATTATGGTTTAAGACTTGCTCTATTTTGGCATACATAGCCGCGAGAGAAAAAAAAAGCCTCCCAACACTTGCACACTGGTGGTGCCCAGCATAACCAGTCGAGAGGGTATGAAAGGGGAAGGGGTGAATGTAACGGAGGAAATAAAAAGTGCAAGAAAATAAAAGAAAAACATGACAAGGAATAAGTTAGTTGAAAGTGGCCACGACCCTCTTCGGAATCCAATGGGCATGACGAAGGTAAGATCACCTCCCCTTTACAATTATTATTCCGACAACCCCCAGAAAAAGACTGCAACATTAAAACACTCCGCAGAATGGCACAGAAACAGAGCCGATGCTGTCAACAATATTTCCCAGTCGAATCCCAAGGCGTCATTTTAAAAGACCAACTGGCGGCGCCTTGCTAGGCGTACGAGACGTGCGAGACGCGAGGCCTTGCCTTGACCCTTCCCTTCACCGTTTTGATCATTGCCATTGCCGTTGTTGTTCTCGTTCCCCTTGCCGTTGTTCCCCTTGCCCTTACCGTTGCCGTTGCCGGCGTTGCCGTTGGTAGCAGCGGCGGTCGAGTTTGCGTTTCCATTTGCATTGGCAGCCTGTCCAGCGTTTGCGTTTCCACCCGGGTTGGGAGCACCGGGGCCAAGAGTAATGGCCTGCGCAATCTGCGCTGCGGTGGCTTTGCCCTTTGCACCGTCACTTGCGGCATCATTGACAGTCTTGCCGTTCCCGGTCACAGTGAATCTGACGCAGTCGTCCTGGGCACCCCGCTGGGCTACGGGCATGACCACCGGCTGGTGGTTAGAAGCAGATGTCAGGGTGCAAACACGGTAGTTGCCGGCTGGAAGCCCCCCGGTCACGACGGCTGAAAGAGTGCCGGCGCCGTTGCCCTTGTCGTTGATTCCCTTGAAGAAGGCAAATACAGTGGGGTCCATCGGTTGGGTGGGGTTTAAATTACTGCCCGTATCTTGGACGGTAACGTGAGTATGTCCCTCGACGTTACCGTTTGGATTTACTACCTGGGGGGCCGCATAGTAGGTAGCGGCGGCATTGGTAAAGGACCCAGGGTTCAGGTTCAGGACCTGGACAGTGATATTAAAGGTCTGGCCCGACTCAACGGATGCGCCATTCTGAGGGTTCGTGATCACGCAAGTAACCATGTTGCTCTTTGCGGGGATCTGACCCATGACTGATTTACATCCAGGTCAGCACATATCCAACCAGTCAGCGTGAGTGTTGACATACCGATGCCATTGCAAGATCCCGCTGTATTCTGGAAGCCATTGGTGAGGGTCTTGCCCTTGCAAAAGTTGATGAAATTGTTGTTCGAGGTCAGCGAAGCCGTCTGACCTGCATCGACACCAAGAGAGTTCAGCCCATCAACGCCTGAACCGGCCTGTACAACCGCTGGGTCCAGCGTGGTCCCTCCCGCATCATTGTTGTTCTGGGCCTGTACGAGGGCAAGAGTAAAGAGCGACGCAGTCGCGAGAAGTGATTTAATGTTCATTATGTCGTGTAAACTGGTGAGGCAAAAAGGCCGGAGTCTAGATTAGACCAGCCAGGACCCTAGCCTACGAAGTAGAAATCTCGCGAGTAAATATGGGCGTGGTGCACCAGACAGGTGTATGTTCAATGCGATATTATCTTGGGCCGGCAAGCCGGAGCGCAGAGTTGCGAGCGAGAGCGAAAATGACAGTGGTAGGAGACGGCCAAGAAAACTTCTTGGCACAAAGGCGATGGGCGAGTCTATAAGGGTGCTAAGAGTGTAGACGTCACAGCATGGGAGCTGGCAAGGGAAGACTACTTATCTCCACTCGGTGCTGCCGGGCGGCTGTGTCGGGGCCTTGAGGGAAAGACAGGCGATCCAGGGCCATATGGAGTTGTTGAAACGGGCCACAAGGAACAGTACGTCGCAGGGGAAGCGCAGTACTGCGAAGATGAAGTCGAAGTCTCGGAGGCGTATTTTGGTTGATAAAAAGGAACGTACAAATGAGACGGCCGGCGGCCAAGGGGCGCCAGATAATCAGACATGGCGGCTCATCTGATCCGAACATGGACGCCTCAAAGGGGCTCTCGGGGGAAGGATGGAAGTAGGTGGGAAGACCGGTAAGGCGCGGATAGAGAGGACTGTAGCGCCATCAGTCACCTCAGCGTCGAGGAGTCCCGAGTCTGCATCTCGGCCAGCTTCAGCATAGTGTGTCGTCTGGAGGCGGTCTCGGCCCTGGGGGTGGGCTAATTGTGCCGGCTCTATGGCTTCGCGACGGATGGCTCTGCCCAGGCCTCCAAAGTATCAACTTTGCGAAGGGATCCCGATGGAGAGCGACCGATGGCTGGAAAACAACCAAGTAGAGTCTCGCCGGGGGGGGATAGGGGGTTCATATTGCAGCCCGCAGGGGATCCGACGGGCTTCAGGATAAGCTTCTGTGACGATATGGCGCCAGGTCTTATGCCCAGGTGGTTGGTCTTTTTCATGCCGGCCTCAGCCCTAACAGATCCGAAAGAAGGGGCAACGAAATGCCGGAAAATGAGGGCCCACGTGGGAGGATTGGCCGCAGACTGTGGGCACGAGCCCGGTGGCTGCGGGGAAAGCTTCATAGTAGCCGGCATTACTATACAGTCATCCAACCAGAGCGGCCGCCCGGCTCAGGGTCCGAGTGGGATTCTGCGCGTTTTATTGCGTGGACGCGAAACGAGAGGCGTTGGAAACCTGCAACGGGCCCTAGCTCCCGGCCGACCGTCAGCCAGCCCGGCCGCCGGCCCGGCCGCAATAAAACTTGACCACCAAAAATTGGATCCATAGCTGACAATGATTTAAACCCAGCCCCATTACGAGTCGTTCGTTATCTGCACCTGCACTAGGCGACTATTCGGTAGAGCGGCAGATTCAAGGCGATATCCCAGGTATAGCAAATCAACGTTTGTCGTAAAAAAAGACGCGGGGTTAGAAGCCTAGAGTTATACGACCGGTCTCCTCCGATGGCCCGGGGTGCTGTGTGCGCATTGCTATTTCTCGGCGAAACATGTTTCGTGTTTGGTTAACTCCCGACCTTTTGCCGATAGTGCAGGCCCAAGAGGCAGCTAGCTAGCTGTGCTTATTCCAATCGCCTCCGATAATATGTCGCGGAACATTTCGGTATGCCTGATATCTTCCGGATACAATCGTTCCAGACGTCCCTCTCTCTCCCAATGGATGAGTCCCCATCTACTGGCATCTGCGCCCCATGGGTCGCCGGAAGGGCCTAGTATCGACACAACGAAGTCGCGAAGGTTGGGCGCACAAGGTCGCCCCGCCGGAGCTCGGTGTTGGTAGGTGCTTTACTACCGAAATCCTGGTCGTGGTCATGTTCCGAACGCCGCTTGTCGGATACTGGTAGGAAGTTTGCGAAAAGTTCTGACTGACGTACGTAGAGGCTTTCTAGCGCCCACGGAATCGCCTTGACCTTATGGATTGCCTGCTCAACTCCGTAGCCGGCTGCTAATATAACTATGTGCGCGTTGATCAGCCTGGCCTTGCAGGCGACATGGTTGTTAGCTACGAGGTGGCGGGGAAGACTTACGACGGCAGGTGGGCGGCGGATGGAAGCGCGCCGTTGGCATGGGTCGCGTAGGGAGAGCGGAAAATTGCCAGCCCGACAGACAATAGACAATATGATCGACGGCAGAATACGCGATACACGGGCGGGTGAGGAAGTGATTGAAGAAGTGAGCGGGGTATTCGTTCAATTCCCGGAAAAGGCTCGCGGCGAATGAAAGGTTCGAGCAAAAAGGACGAACGAGAGGCTGCTTCTAGCTTCGAGGGTCAGGTGCGGTTACCCACTCCGGCTTCTTCTACTTACTCCAGTACTGACATTTTTTACGGTCGGCTACAACCTGCAACACCTCAACCAGTTCTGTTCGACACTCAGTGCACGATGTCAGCACCCCCACCACTCCTCGAGGCCCGCCGCCGCCCCAAAAAGCTAGACCTGGAATTGTCTCCTCGACAACAAATTCTGTTTTTACACCCAGGCTACGATAGCCTGAACACGCTGCTAATTCTCCCTTGCGTTGATCCTGTAACATCGAATACAGTCATTGTCGACTACGGTGTATACCACAATACGGCGCTGTTGGCTTGCCAGATTATTGCTGGTAACGCTTTCAAGGGCACCTATCTCGCTCTCGATGAGGCAGGGAAGAAGCGAGTCCAGGTACCTCGAGAGGGCACCTTGACAGACCCAGAGTACTACTTCATTGTGCCAGGCGAAGGTATTCTCAAACTCCTACCTCATAACGACCTAATCCTTTACTAATTCTGCTTAGACCCTTACCCAATTGTTCCTGGCTTCCAGGGTTGGAGGTTTCCCCACGGATCCATCCCTGAATCGTGGCCTTCGGTTATCCCTTCCCAAAACTCGAACCAAGATTGTTCTCTCACGAACTCCAGATACTCGGTTGAACCTGCTCATCTTGTCCCGAAATCAGAACGAGATTAGTATATCCGGAATGAGATGCACAAATACGGTGGGGTCTATGGCGACATCGACGACGCAGGAAACCTTATTCCCCTCAGACAAGATCCACACACTACGTTTAACAGTCATCGATCGTTCGTCATTGTCCCAAAGGAGGTCGCCATACGCTCTGAGACTTCTGTCGACTCGGGCCGGGAATACGTCGTACACCACTTCTCAATGGATGATGAAGAAGTATGGCGCTCGCACCATACGGTAATTATTGAGACCCTCCACCGTCGAGCTCGCCCTTATATCTTCGCCCGTTTCGCTTGGGCGGTATTCTCCAAATTCAAATTCTTCGTTATCGCAGGATTAAGACGTCGAACCATCCGCCTTGTTAAAGATACAGGGAGTGGAAATATTGCGTATCAGACAGATTGGGCTGGTGGGGACGACCTCTTCTCGCTGTACAGTGCTGGGAGATCCCAAAGCGTAAGCTCGAAGAGGAAGAAGACCCAGGGGGAAGGTTCCATCAGTCAGGCGGGAAGTAATAAAGCGGCCATAAGGTGTACCGCTAACGCGGCGTCACTGCCTCTACCTAGGTAAGGTAGGTACGTTACCCACGTAGAAGCTACTAATTGAAGTACTTAACTGCCTACCTAGATGTTGAAATCTACGGAGCATGGTCATTTCGAGAGGGTTGGGCCGCTGCGAAAATTCACCTCAGTACATACGGAGGGCTCTCGAATTGAAACGTAATTTTGTTATACGGGGGTTCAATGGTTATAATTGGGAATAAAGTCTGTGTTGTAGGTAACGTACATCTCTATTACGTTTGCTCTAGAATTGTTGTCAGAGAGCTTGCTGCAGAAAAGACGTCTCACGAGAATCCAACATACCTTAAGTACAGAGTATCGCCCATACATTTGCTGCGATCAGAGTTAATTGAGCCAATGTATGCCTACGAGGTTTGTGCCAAACCGGGTTCCGTGTCAGCATCGCCGACAGCCAGCCCGGACTCCGGTCCTATCCTAATTGAGGCACTACCTACGGAGTCGGACATAGTTTACAGGCGCTTAACCGATCTTGGATCGGGCTTGGCATCAGCCACCCACATACCTAAATACCCAACCTAGCCCCCATCCCCATCCTCCCCACACCCCTTTTTCTGTCCAGACCTGGCATTTTCATTCTCCCGCCCCTCTTGTCTTCACCGCCAATTGCCTGCTAAAAGATTCCGCACGACCCGAGGACACTGTCACCTTGTCGCCGAAGTCAATTGATATTTCTCGCTCGCTTCTTTTTAAGACGTTCAAGTCCTGCGGATTGTCTTCAGCCCAGTCTTCGGCCGCGATTCTCGATCGACTGAAGTCTGACATCCACATCAACCCACTGCTCCCTCCAAGATGTCATCGTCTCCAGAATACCGAGCAGGCAAACGGCCACGTAAGTCTTGAGTTGCGAAACCTTACTCCCACCTGACGGCGCCCACATCCCCCGCCATTCAACGCCTACATTTTTGTCTAAATCCGAGTTTGTGCCGTATTTCTGTACGGTTGATCTCAAAAGGCTGCCTGTCTCTTGTGTCGGGAAAGGCCAGTCGGTGGTCAAACCTTTGGCATACGTTTGTGGAGGCAAGCCTGTCTACTAAGCAACCAGAAAAGAAGAAGGCAGCGAATAGGGTTCCGAGGGGCAAAAACCTTGAGGCAATGGCCAACCCCACTTTGAAGGAATTGCATGTGCGGGGGTTCCTACCTATTCGAAGCTCTTCTTTGCAACCAGCCGTACCAACATGTTGGACAGACAATATCAACAACCTCTGACATGGATCACGCAATCACAGGTACCCAGTCGCTTCCTCCTCCGGCATTGCCGCAGTTGGTGGCCGAGCAGCACGTCGCAATTGCCCCAACTGACAAGGACACGAAACGACTTGTCGTCGTTCTCTCGAATGCCAGCCTTGAAACTTACAAAGCCTCACATGGCGGAGCCAGCCGCATGGGCGCGCAGCGAGAGGACAAGTACTCATTGCTCAACAGCGACGAGCACATAGGCGTGATGCGCAAGATGAACCGGGACATTAGCGACGCCCGGCCGGATATTACACATCAGGTTGGATGAACAAAGTCTGCATTCAACATGCTGGCGCATCTGCTGACGGTTAAATTCTTGTCCCTGTAGTGCTTGCTCACTCTCCTCGACTCACCGGTCAACAAGGCAGGAAAGTTGCAAATTTACATTCAGACGGCCAAGGGTGTGTTGATCGAGGTATCGCCATCAGTCCGCATCCCCCGAACCTTCAAGCGGTTCGCTGGCCTGATGGTTCAGCTTCTGCATCGCCTCTCCATCAAGGGCACGAACTCGCAAGAGAAGCTTCTGAAGGTCATCCAAAACCCAATCACCGATCATCTTCCCCCCAACTGCCGGAAGATAACGCTCAGCTTCGACGCTCCCGTCGTGAGAGTCCGCGAGTACATCGACACTCTTGGGCCCAACGAGAGCATCTGCGTTTTTGTTGGCGCCATGGCCAAAGGCGAAGACAACTTCGCGGATGGATATGTGGATGAGAAGATCTCGATCAGCAACTACAGTCTATCTGCCAGCGTCGCGTGCAGCAAGTTCTGCCACGCTGCCGAGGACTCGTGGGACATTCTCTAGACGATGTTGTCAGCATTGTCTATGTGCGAAGAAACACTCGAGTCGCTGGTGTCGGTACCAGCGGGGAAGGGAGTTCGGCTGGAAGATCTGTTTGCCTCACTCTGTGGGAGAGGTGCGGTTGCCTTGGTCTGTTTCGTGATCACAACATCGCGGTCAACGGCCTCTGGCTTCCGGAACTTGGGTCGTCTGTGCTTGCGCTGTCGGTGTTTTTGCAACCAAAACATGGGGCGTTCAACAACGGATCCAAGACGCTTTCGTCGTCTTCGTGGTGCCACTTCAACTTGGCCCGCCTTCCCCTTTCTTTTGTCTACCAACGGTTCCGAGCCCACCCGGCTATTCCCAATATTGGTACTTGCCCTTTACCGAAGTGGCAGCTTCAGGAGGAGTGCCTATATTTTACGTAAACCAATTGAGCAAAACTGGAGATCGGGTATCTTTTCCCATCTCTTTTACAGCCTTGACCGAAATGCTATAAGATGCGCGGGGTCGGGAAATGTTGGTAGTTTTCATTCGGGCTACCAGGTCCATTACTGTCGGTCGGGTTAGTAAATACGAAGGTGAGCCCGTAATCATTTGCCCTGCCGCCTACTAGCTTCACCATGCGAATCCATGTCTCGGCTTAGCTTCTTACACCCCAATCTCAGGATTAACGAGAATTTCAGTGTCATGGCGCGGCTGCGTGCACTCACCAAATTCGGCCCAGGTCAGTATCGGGATCGATCACTTCCTATACGATAAACGACCAATAGCAGCCAGTAATGAAGTCCCTCAACCCCATCTGGCCTTATTAATGTTATTCACACTCATCGTTTCGGTGTGCTTGGCCATCAAGGGCAAATACATCAATCATCTTGCTATAGCACTTGGGACAGCCCGTTTACAATCGAGGAACGGAGGGGCAACGGTCGAGAATCGAGATGTGACTGTGATACAGAAACAGACACTCTCAATTGGTAACTCTCCGGATTGTTCCCGCACCAAAAAATTTCCTGGGGAGGCGGCCTCACCCAGGCATGTGCTGCTCTGTAACCAATCCGTTCGTCACACGACCAATCACCAGCGCGGCAGCCGGCTGCCAGATACCCCTCCCTGGACCTGGACCACTGCGCCGACTCACATTAATCTCGCCAGGCCACACTGATGACTACCTACCAGTGTCTCTCTTGGTGGGAAACAGCTTCTGCTTTGCGTTTGCTAAGAGGAACTTGGCTCGTTTTTAGAGAGCAAAACTAGGATTCGTTTTCTTGTCCGGAATTCCAGAATCGGGTAGCTCCCGTCGCAGGCAAAGGAGGTCGACAACACACGCAGCTCCCGTCGGTACAAGTGCCTAGGTAGTGTACGGCGCTTGGGCTGCTTCCAGGCACATTGTTTGGGGATGCGGTAAAAGTGCCTCTCTGCCTGGCTGAACCCAGCTTAGGCGTCAACTGACAACATTTCAGGTTACGGTGACCTACCTATCTTGGCAACCTCCACGTATGTATGTACCTGGTACACATACATTCCTTGCTTGCTGTTGTCGCGTTTTATTTGGATCCCCACCACAGCAGTCACAGTGAAACCCCCAGTCAGAGGGGTTGTTAAGGTGTCCCTCCCGAGCTGATCGCCAGGGTAGCCTGCCCTGCCCTGAGTGAGTAAGGTGCCTTTCAGCCGTGCTATGATAGACGTGTTTGGGCAAGGTCCGTTGAATACCCAATGAATAATTTAAGGTCAAGTTGGGCATCGCCAGATGCACACCACCCCCATCTCCCTTGATAGTTCCGCCCTGCTTCCTCCATTCCATACAACACCAGCAACACTGCGGCAGGCGAAAACAAAGAGTCGCAGTCTGGTTGCAAAAAACGAAACTGCCCTTCCTCACCTGTCCAGTCTTCTTACTAGCGAGAGCCTCAGGAGACAGAAACTATTATCCCCCGCCCTCCTCTCTTCATTGCGCACTTCAGCTGAGCGGTCATTCGCATCGGCGTGCCCAGCGTCAACCGGGGTGGCGTTGCTCGCACCCTCCTCACGACAGGACCCCTGTCGGCTTTGTTCTCTCGCGCCACAGCGCCCCAAATCATTACTCCCGCCCCCTCAAGACTTATCCGTACCGCAAGCTACCTACGTACTGTATCCAGTACTAAGGAGGTATACATACACACTACGTTGCGCCTACCAAGTTCTGTCCGTCGCGCCCAAGGCTGTGGTGTGTGATTCCCTGCAGGTAGTCACACTGGGGAACCTATATTGACCCCGATGCTTCCCTCACTCGAGGTCGGGCATCTCCCGTCGTCCTCATCCTTTTATGCGGCCATCGTTCAGCCCCTAGGCCTGCGCTACCTGTCGACGGAAGACGGGCCATTACCATCAATCAACTACGGCACCTCGCTGCGGGAACCGCCTGTTTTCCGGATCCGACAGGTGGCAGCGAGCAGCGAGCAGCCCTTGCGACTCTCACGTATCACCCTCAGCGCACCCTCGGCTGACTCGGCCGACGACGCCTTCGCCTTTGCCGCGCGGGCCAATCCCGACACACGGGAGCCTAGTTTGCGCCACCCGTTTGAAGCCCGTGCAGGCCCATCGGCCCGCCGTTCTGTCGGCCCCGGCGGTGAGACGCGGGTGAAAATTACCGACTTCGACGGCAACACCATGGAGATCGTCTATCGTCCTCCCGTCAACTATCCCTCTCACTACGCCGGCTCTACTCTTCGGGCGACCAACTCGACAAAGGAGGAAGCAAGCCGCATTCTGCACTGGAACTATGACGTTGCTAGTTCCGTCGGCCCCGATTCTGCCTTGAGCGACGCTCCGCGCTCTGGCTCCCGCCGTGTCCGCGCTTCCTACCCGGAAGACGAGCCCTACCCTGCCCTACGGCGTAGCTTCACGGCCGATTCTCCTGTCTACGAATCCAGTGCCTCACCTCGTGAAAACTCGCACGGCCTGAGCGCCGGCGCTGTTGTTGGAACGCTTCTTGGCGCCGCTGCTGGCGCCGCATTCACCTATGGCATGGTGAGAAACGCCCGCAGCCGGGGTCCCCGTCAAGAATTTGACGTGCCCTCCTTCTCTCGTCATGCCACGTTTCCGGATCAATACCCCGAACGCAAGGGCCAGTTTGTCGAGGCCGAGCGCGTCGCCAACGGGACCCGCGAGTACGCATCTAGGGTTGAGTACCGGGCTCCTCCAGAGTTCATCACTCGGTACAGTCAGGCCGGCCGGCCGTCGAAGGATGGAGTGGCCGATTACATGTATGATGACACGCGGAGCCGTCACTCGTCCTTGCGGTCGCGTACGTACCTCCGCCCCCGGAGTGAAGCTACCACGAATAGACAACCTCTCATCTTGGCTGAGACCGAGCATCGTAGCTATCTGAGTTCTTCCAGAAGCTCCAAACATCATCCTCCAATAGTGCAGCGTAGCTACACATACGACACTCCTGAGAGAGAGAGTTACGTGTCGGCAAGAAGCCATCGATCATCGAGCACTATCCACGCCCCGCCACCGGCGGAGCCAGCACCAGTCACGTCATCACACAATGTGACACGGTCACGCTCGAGGACGGCGGGGAGTCGGGCGACAACCACGACTTTTCTGGTTGGCGGCGACCAGCCAACCCCTCAGGCTTTTGGTCGAGCCGGTTCTTATCTCTCTCCACGGCACTATCCGCTCCCTCCTAGCGGTGTAGGTAGCAGCAACGCAAGATATGACGACGGCGAGGATGGCGACGACGATACGGGTAGCGTCGGGCCCGACGATAGTATTAGCTGCGTTGGTAGCAGCCGTCGTAGTGGCCGGTCGTATTATTGACGGTAATCATTTTGTTTTATATGGCGTAGAGCATTGACGTGTGATCCAGCGTGACGGGGTTGAGCTTTTTGTTAAATGGCCGACGAATGACCAATTATTTATAAGAGGAACTCTTTGAGAAGCTCAAGTGGCATTTTAGGACAGTAGATCAATCCGTATATACATACAGACTAGTACAGCGAGTTGCGTCCGATTTGTGAACCGCCTTTCTCCTCATTGACTACCTTACTTACCTTACCTACATGGGTAGGTATCTAGGTATCTAGGTAGCTCCAGGTAGTGGTTAGAACTGCCTCAAGATTTAGCTGTTTTGGTGCATTGACTTTTGATATACTGAAGAATTCCAAAACACTTGAGATCGACAGAAGCTTTCCCTTGCTCGTTCCCTTCTCGCCGCAACAAACTGGGTACTAATAGGAATCTTGAAATTATTGCCCATTCACAACAAAGGTACAAGTCTAAGAACAAAAATACTCGCTGAAAGTCACTCGTTCGCGCAATGCGAAGGGACAGGCAGGAGCGAATTGCTTGGGAACCTGCCCCCAGATGCCCCCCAGATGCTAAGGCAGGTAGGGTACGGAGTACAGCATGTTGTACCTTACCTTGGGCGGGTGCCTCAGGTACCCTACCCAATGAGTAAGGTAAGGTACCAAAAGTCTTGCGCCACTTACACTATAAAAAAGCCACCAAATCCATGGTTGGCCAAAATGACACTCTACCTTCAAGATGAAAAATCTTCACCGTCTTTTCACCTTTTTTTCCTTTTCAACTGTAAAATGGTTGGCATTTCGAATAGCTTCAGAACAGAGCTTTCAGAAGAAAAAAGGGCCCAGATTTGGGCTCTCCACGTCTTCGGAGCGACCGCAACCACCATTTCGGCGCAAGTGGGGGCCGGCAGGTCCACTGTCAACAGGACCATACAAAAAGTAACGCAAAACCTGGCCAATAGCCTCGAAAACCCATTCGGCTCAAAGCCTAGAAGCGGGCGCCAAAAGACGCTCGATGACCAGGCGAATCGAAGGCTGATTCGTCATACAACGCTGTCTCGAACAGACACCCTTGTAGCCCTTGGAACGCACTCAAAGTCTAGGTACAAGATCAACCGTCTAACGGTCCAGGGCTCCTCAAGGAAGCCAATAAAGGTCGCCGGCGTGCCCGCAAGAAGCCCTGAGTTTCCCCCAAGAACAAGGAGAAGCGCCTAGTCTTCCGCCGTGTCAATAAATACACTGCCTGGACCCTGATCTGTTGGTCAGATGAAGTATACTTCGAAGTCGGGGAAGACGGCCGTTCAATCTATGTTACACGGTCCCTGGGCGAGGAATACTACCATGACTGTCTATGTTTTATGGGCCCTGAAAAAGGGCCTATTGTTATACTCCGTCAGGGGACCCGTCTCAACCGTCAGGAATATACCGATCAGATCTTTATTCCTCGTTTCCTTCCTTTCTACAACCGAATGAAGGAAAAGTACGGTTACGGCGTTCAGATACAAGAGAATGGAGCTTCCTATCACCACAACGGGTTCCTAGGTCTTTTTCGACGTTAGAACCCTTAACTGGCCGCCACAAAGCCCGGATCTTTCGCCCATTAAGAATCTATGGCACTGGATGAAGCTCAAAATAGGGGCACGAAGGCACAGGATTAAACACGTCACACAGATGGCGCAGGCTATTGAGGAGGTTTGGGCGGAAATTACCCCTGAAGTCATGATGAAATTGGTGAATTCTATGCCCAAAAGGATGGATTTACTTAGGCATTCAAAGGCCGGGCCGATCAAGTATTGAATGAGGATCATTTTGGTATATTTTGCACTTATTTTAGCCTCAAATTGATGAAGTTGTGATTTTTGTAAGAAAAGGGTGTGTAAGTGGGTGGCGCAACACTTTTGGTACCCCGTTGTACCAGGTAAAGAAGGTAATGTAGGGTATCCACCTACACTAGGTGGTACCCGTACAGTACCTAGGTCCCGTCATTACTTTGAGGTTTCGATGAACCTTTTGACCTGAGGTGGATAAATCTTCAACTTATCTAAAGGGACGAGCTATTTCCAGATCTTGATTAATTTGCGTAACAGGGCAGCGGCGTCTTACGTCGGGTATTTTAGACAGCGCGATTGACTAGTAGGTCGAATACGTTGATCGTAAACCCACGCCGTTTCTGTTTCCTTCCACAAAAATTTTAGTTTTGCCTTAGGTTATCAGTCTTGTAGCTCCGATGGTCGGAAGTAAGGTATACATAGGAAGGTGTAAGCTGGGCACATCATCCCTAGCATTGTGGCGGCCATGTGGAACAAATTAAACCGGGATGGGGGTCTACAACAACTAACCTTGCTTCCATTCTAAGCCGTCCAAGTCATCTCATCCTCTCCACGCAAAGCTCACGCCCACCAGCGTAGTGAAGTCTTTCCAAATAAGACGCCCGTCTTTACATTTCTAACCTAGGAAACCCTGCCCCCGATCAATCAATCACTCAATCAATCAATCAATCCCCCTCTAATTTTTACTCTAGGAAAAGGAGAGAAAAAGAACATGGTAGAACAGTGACGTGCTTGTGATTCATACCAACACTGACCGGCTTCGTGCCTCTTTCTTCCTGCAAAGATGCCGAGTTTTGATCTCGGGGAGTCCATCCCGCCGGACACGGCACATGTGCGTCCCCCCCCCTCACCTCAGCCCTCCCGCCTCTCTCCCATTCTCAAGATGTTACACGCTGACAGGTGACGGCCTCTTCTGACAATTATTAGGCCGTGAGTGTCTCGCTACCAACTTGGGATGCAAATGTCGGCTACGAGGAGGGCCAGGACTGGGTTGTTCGTCGCATGACGACTGGCTACCCCAGGTATGACTCTTAGCATCGTCACCGAGGTGCACGGAAGCTTACACGAGTCCTAGATTCTTCATCCACCGAAGCATTGAGGCTTTTGCCAACGACATTGTAGCCATGTTTGGGAGCCCAGGCTTACACGCCATGCTCTTCCCGACCCGGCAGATCGCCAAACGCTGTGTGGCTTTCGTCAAATCACGCGGCCCCCCTGGCGTCGCCAGGAATCCCGAGATCATTCACCTGGTGCTAGACGTGGCAAACCCGGCTTCGGCCGCCCTAGAACCTCTCGGCCCCTCCATCGCGGCTGTCATGTGCTCACAGGAGGCCTTTCCTTTCGCGAAGCAGTACTGGCAGCACAGTGGTGACGGTGTCTCTAGTCGCAGGGCGGAGTTTTGCCACGGCCTGTTCAAGGACGGCCTACTGTGTTTCGACGATGGGCCCAAGAGCCCCTCCGCGGCCGCTCAAAAGCCCTGCAGGGGACCAAAACGATACCGGCGAATGTCGTCAATTGACGCAGGAAAGACGCCCATCTCCAGTGACGCCTCTCCCACCTCCCCGGCAAAGGAGCCTGGAGTCATCCGCGAGGCTCAGGAGTCATCTCGGTTTCTGGAGGAGCGTTTCGGCAGAAATCTCGACATAGCCTTTGTCGAGCCTGCTAAATCCGCAATCCGGAGGAGGATTGCCGGTGCGGTGACAAGCGACCATGAACTCTCGACTTCGCCGATCCCTGAGATGAACGCAAATTCCAGAGGGATTGTCAACCTCAAGGAGGACGACGTTTACCTTTTCCCCTGCGGCATGAACGCCATCTTTAATGCCCACCGCGCTCTACTTGACATTCGGGGCAGCATGAAGAGCATCGATTTTGGCTTTCCCTATGTCGACACACTCAAGATTCTCGAAAAATTCGGGCCCGGGTGCGTCTTCTATGGCCATGCGTCCGAGTCGGACTTGGATGACTTGGAAGCGCGGCTCGAGGGAGGGGAAAGATTTCTGGGCCTCTTTTGCGAATTTCCAGGGAACCCGCTGCTGACCTGTCCAGACCTGGTTCGTATCCGCCAGCTCGCCGACAAGTACGATTTTGCTGTTGTGGTGGACGAGACCATCGGCACCTTCGGCAATATCAACGTTTTGCAGTTTTCAGACGTTGTCGTGAGCAGCCTCACCAAAATCTTCTCGGGAGATTGCAACGTAATGGGAGGTAGCGCCATCTTTAACCCGGATAGCCGATATTACTCCGCCCTCAAAACGTATGCGCAGACTGAGTTTGAGTATACCTACTGGCCGGAAGACCTCATCTTCATGGAACGCAACAGCCGTGACTTTGCGTCACGGATTGACAGGATCAATACAAACGCGGAGGCCATCTGTGATGTGCTTCGGTCTCACCCACTTGTCAAGATGCTATACTATCCAAAATATGGTAACTGGAGATCTAACTACGAGATCTGCAAGTTGCCTGATGGAGGTTATGGAGGACTACTGTCAGTCGTATTCCACCGCCAGTCCCAGGCCGTCGCTTTTTTCGACACGATTGACACGGCCAAGGGCCCTAGCCTCGGAACTAACTTCACACTCACCTCTCCGTATGTGCTGTTGGCTCACTATCAGGAATTGGACTGGGCGGCTAGTTTTGGCGTGGATCCTCACCTGATTCGCATCAGTGTTGGCCTGGAGGAAACAGAGCATATTGTAAATATCTTCAAGTCTGCCCTGAGCGCTGCAGAAAAGGCACTGTTCGAATGACGAGGGGCGTGCTGATGGTCAAGACCATTAAAATTATGGTTACTACCACATAACATCATGTACGTGCCCTAACGAGTGATATGGACCTTTCCCTGGCCATATTTCTGCTTCTCCCGGTATTCACATGATGGAGCATCCAGTATCTATGTCAGTCTCGCCTAGGAGCTCCTTGCGTCGCTCTATTTCGTTGTAGGTTTGTTTTTCTTTCGTCTCCTTTGGAAACCAACGCTCCATAAAAACCATGAGTTTCGCGTCTATGTGCGCTATACCAAATCTTGTATCAGTATGGGTGACAGACGTACGAGTGTTTGGAGGGGGGGGGAGGGGAAGAACAATGGGTTAATGGAAAGCATGCCTTCAGTAGCTAGCATGACTGTATTAGCACGACACAGCGGACAGAGTCTCTTATTTCGATTCTGCATCTTGATCATGCAGCGGATGCAAAATGTATGTCTACAGTCGAGCTGTATGGGCAGCCAGCAGATAGAAAGGCCTATTCAGAGTCAGCAATATTTCGACGGAATCAAGTCATCTAGGATACAGCTTGCCGGCCATTGCCAATGAGCCAAATCAGATTGTGACCTACAAATTGTGCATGTGTAGTCTGCGACCTGTGGAACAATGTTGAGTACCTCCTGGGACATTTGTGCGCAGATGTCCTTGGAAATACATTCAGCGATGAAGTGGGCGGAATTCATGGCTTTGGGAAACACGTCCTTTATTCCCAGCGATGTTTGTTTGTCGAATTCTGTAGACCAAGTCAGGATGGGTTCGTAATGAGAGCGCGAGGTAAAATACGAAAAAGGGACATTTTCTTTTCTATGGAAAGCACCAAGTCCCGGGACTTGTCTGTACTTCTCACAGATATATATCTCTTCGTGATGCGATAGGAGGTTATGACTAGAATTACACTGCCTGGTGTATTACCCACTCTTGATGATTTTGGTGACAGCTGTCTGGTTAAGCTCCTGGAATTGCAGATTCTTGAGTAGTGCTGAATTCAGTGACAGAAATCGTGAATAAGCAATAGCGCTGGCTTCAAGTTTGAACCTGTGCAAGAGTCGTCGCTTATTGACCTCGTCCTGGAACCAGACGAGTTGTTTTCGCGCCTTTTCGCTGGTTCGGGTACCGCCGGCTGTTTCCACGGTCGAGAAGAAGACTTGAGCAGCAAGGTAAAGCTCAAATATCTCGCGCCACCGATATAGATCTGACTTTGAGAGATGGAAGAGCCCCTTCCGGGGCTTGGCGACTTCGAATATCTCGTTGCCAAGAACATGGATGTCGTCGTTCATCAACTGCCGCTCCTTGGTTTGTAGTTTATCCAGCTCATTAACGTCGGCCTGGAGGACAGCGAAGAACCTAGTGTCGGCATCTAGGGGAATCTTCACCCATCCCCACTGATCAGCTTGGTATTGTTTTTGGGGGAGAGGCTCATTTCCATGTAGCTTCAAGGCACTACTAGACTCTGCCAAGGATGTGATTGTCGTAAAGCCCTCTGTCTCTGGCTCTGGCTCTAGCTCCGGCAAAGGCAACGGCGAAGTGTTAGACTCTGGGCGCACGACAAGCCTAGGCCGTAAAAATTGTGAATCTCCCGCTAGGAGGTTATACTCGGCGTTACGGCTTTCGAGGAGATGGTGAAGGGTATCGTGGTCATAACCCTTTTTAATTAGCTCCTCTCGAACCTTGATCAAGATTTTTTTGAGCTCTCGATAGGGAATCGCCCTCTCTACCCAGTGACTGGGATAGGCCGCCCCCTCCAAGGCCTCCTTGAACGAGTGGCCGAATTTCATCGCTCTGTACCCTCCGACTAGACAAGTTCCTGGGTATTTGAGAGCGTGCGCATGACGGGAAGAGTCTTCAATCAGCACGAGGCTGAGCCGCGAGGCACGACACACTGTCGACGTCTGTTCGGATCTGAATAACTTCCTGGTTTGGAGACCTGACGCTGTGAGTCCGTTGGTTGATCACAGGGGATAAGTGGCGATGTTGCGATCCGCGAATTCATAGATCAAGAACGCTAGAAATACAAGCCTAATCGGCATAGCCAATCGTCTTCCTATGGCGATCTTTCCGCCTGGCCGTGGAAGCTTGAGAAAACCCCAATTACCTAGCGGTACTCCCAGCATTTCCAAATTCCTTCCTAGTCGTCCTTGCCGTGTCTTGCGTGTGGGCCAGGTGATCTCGCTGAACCAATACTGTACATACCTTACCTACCTTACCTAGGCACCCTGTAGGGTTCCTTCCTTACAGCTAAGGCTTGCCCCGCCTCAAGATCCAACGGCTTGGGCTTACCGTGCGAATAACCGCTTTGGAGGGACGTTGCGGTGGCATGCAAGGTACATTTACACGTACTATGTACATTTATAGTACATCTTAGTACAATATCCACACAGTGTGGAATTTTGTCGGCGAAGACGACGATGAGTTTTGGATAGGCAGTTTTTAGTGCTCACAGAAAGCTTTCAAACTGCCCCTCGCTTCTACCCAATAATACTGGGTATATAGGAAAGGCAACCTCAAGGCTTTGATCGCGTGACTCCGCCCAATAGCTAGGTAGCCGTCACTTTGCAAACAAATTCCATACAAGCCTGCAGATGGGGGCAGATCAATCAACCCCGAGGGCCAGTGGCCAGCCTATCCTAGTAGGAACTAGCAAGACCTGCTACTACGAGGTTCTTGGCGTGGACCGGCTGGTTGGCGACGATGAGTGAGTATAGCTGTCTCAAGCCCGTATCCCTCGTTCATGTTCTCCTACCGCCCTTCCTATTTTCCACCTCTGACCAAGAGCCAGGATCCGGAAGGCATACAAAAAAAAGGCCTTGGAGCTGCATCCGGATCGAAACTTCAACGACACCGAGAACGCCACCAGGAGATTTGCAGAAGTCCAAACTGCTTACGAGATTTTATCCGACCCCCAAGAGCGTGCCTGGTATGACTCTCATCGTGATGCCATCCTTGGCGGCGATCCTGATGTTAGTGGCGGCGCACCTTCGGAGCAGCCTGGTAGCCGCTACACATCGGCGACAACTATATTCTCCTTAATGGGCCGTTTCAACTCAAGCGTACCAATGACCGATAGCTCCAGAGGCTTCTTTGGGATACTAAATGCTTTCTTTGACCAGCTTGCGGTGGAGGAGACTACTACATGCGAGTGGGATGGGATTATTTCAGTGGAATATCCACCATTTGGCAAGGCTAGTGACAACTACGACGCAGTGGCTAAGCTCTTTTACAAGACATGGTCTAGCTTCTCTACCAGAAAGTCCTTTAGCTGGAAAGACAAATACCGTCTCAGCGATGCTCCAGACCGCCGTGTTCGCCGGCTCATGGAGAAAGAAAACAAGAAGTTCCGTGACGAGGGCATTCGCGAGTTCAACGATGCTGTTTTGTCACTAGTGACTTTTGTCAAAAAGAGAGACCCTCGTTACATCCCGAACACACAGTCCGAGGCCGAACGCCAACAGATCTTGCGCAAATCAGCGGCTGCTCAGGCTGCCCGGTCACGGGCAGCCCATCAAGTAAAGGTAGCTGAATACACAGTACCGGAATGGGCAAGATCACGAGATGACAGAGAGCGCCAAGAGGTCGATTTCTCATTCTCAGATGAGGATTCCGAGGTCGAGCACATTGAATGTGTCGTATGTAACAAGACCTTCAAAAGCGAGAACCAGTTCGAGGCGCACGAGAAGAGCAAAAAGCACATCAAGGCCGTCCAGCAGCTGCAGCGGCGGATGAAAAAGGAGAACGCAGAGTTGGACCTTTACGGCAATTCGACATCTCAACGGGGGTCTGAGAGGTCTGAGGGTGTGGTCGACGCTGATGTCGCAGTTGCCTCTCCAGAGGCGACTTATACCCCAGATATCACAGAACAACGTCCGCAGTCTGTCTCCAAACAAGAGGAAGAGTTGAAACAGGGGGCAACTACCTCACCTACAACCGAGGATGATGACGAATACACATCACGTTCGGCAGTTGCCGATCGTCTCCTTTCTAGGTTGGCCCATCCTACGAAGTCGCCAAAGACCCAAGGCGATGAAGCGGAGGAGACAGACTCCTTAACTTCAAGTGTCGGCCATTTGACACTGAATGAAGACGGCCCTGGCAAGAAAGTCGGTAAAGCAAAGTTGAAGAGGGAGAAAAAGGCGGCTCGTCAGGCCATCAGCACTGGTGATCAGGATTCGGTAAGTATCTAAGTAGTGACGACCATGTCCGGCTTCACGCCCAACCCGAGCTAACATGGGCAACTATAGCACAAATGCGCCGTTTGCAGTGGAAGTTTTACGTCTCGATCCAAACTATTTGCCCATATCAAGGAGTACAGCCATGCTGCCCTCGTTCCTAAAGCGGGGGTGAGCAAGAAGCAGAGGTAGTATCGGTAAAACCAGCGCCAGATATCTGAGCTGATTCAGCATGCATGCTTCTGGGGGACGTGACAAACATCAGTCACGACGGGATGCGCCGACGTCTGACTAGAGTTGGAAAAAATAATGCAAGCCCCGGGTCACCTATGGGACGGGCTTGTGGCACAAAGGACCGTGAAGTATTGGATCGCCAAGTTATAAGTCCCGAATTAACACAACGCCCCATCCAGAAAGATACAGGCAGAGCCTCGCCAAATACTCAAATACAAAGTTTGTGTCTAGAGACCGAGCTAATTATGCCTCAAATACCGTGTCGGCATCATCGTCGCTAAGAGTTTCTACCTCATCTATAGCTTCCGCTCGGCCTGAGCTAATCCCTCGCGCCGGGTCGTTAGGGGATACTGTGATGATGGCTTTGCCCTGGACATGCTTCACGGAGCTCTTCCACATATCCCAGTCCTCCTCATCCTTGATCAAAAACCCAATTAGCATGCTGGGATCCATGTCACCAACATGGAGATGGCGCAGCCGTCGGGTATGGCAAGAGTTTATCTCCTCTACCGAATAGTCTTTTGGATCTTGGTGGTAGGGTAGAGCTGGCCTTGGATGGTGAGGATCCAGGTAGAACAACCATTGACCATGGGCACCCACAAAATAGTGGGAAGACGAGGGACGGCCGCTAGGATGGTTAGCGGTTTTTCTTTTCCTTTTTGAAATGAGCCGACGGGTGGATGAGTCCTTACCCAGCAATCCCAATAGACTGAGGCATTTGTAATGTAGAAATAAGAGCCTCTTCGTAGACCTGGTTAATCTTATCGATGCCAAGCCTTGTGCAAACCAATATCAACGTTGGCTGGAAACCCAGGCCATCGGGATTCGCGACTGCCATGAAGCTATCTTCATAGACATCAGGGAGGTCACCCGTGGAGTAAACTCGCAAGGAGCTTTCGTGTCCATTAGACAGAGCCCTATTCATGTCAATGATAGTGTCCACACATGACCTTTTCCATGGCATGACTTACTGAATGCACCGGGAAGTCGCTGACGGGCCAAACCACTCCCCGGGATGCTTTCCACATGCCACAGCTCCATGCTTAACAAAATTATGCAGGGAATATGGGGCGCGTGGGTCATCAGCAAACAACGCCAACACCTCACGTTCGGCCTCCGGTTCTGTAGATCGTCTCCATCCTGAAACGAGCCGCACTTAGTTCAGGTTATAACACAAACAAATGTAGTGAACATACCTCGACCAACACGGGCGGTGAGAATAGCGTTCGCCAACAGACTCTGACCCGATCTGATCATGCAGCCCCAGCCAGTGTCTGAAGAGAAGCCTGCCTGATCCCCAAACGATGTCTTGAGCCGCATGGTAAACGATAGAGCAGACGATGCTCTGGGGTCGGCAGACCTGGGAATTATCTCAAAGCCTGTGCGATACGTCATCCATATCCGGGACTCAAAGTCATCGAGGAACGCAGGGGGCCATCCACCATCTTGTCCGGGCTCTTCATACGCAAGCGATGAATCAAAACTACTAGCAACCGACTCGGGAGGCGTGGCGGGGACCCGCACACTTGCGGAGGAGATTTGGCCAGTTTCGGCCACATCTGCTGTATCGGTTGGGGGTGTGCTCGCAGTAAGCAACGGCGAGCCGTATGTCTTGGTGTCGAGAGTGTATGCATGACCTAGACACCATGCTGGCTCGTTGGCTTTGCGGTCGTTCACGGGCTCGGGGTCCCAAATCTTCTGGAAGATGCGGCGGCCTACACGACCAACCTCTGCCGCACCAGCGATGGCAACCTCCATTGCGCTCGCCAGCTTTGGAGACGTGCCCGAGACCGAAGACTGCCAGCTTCCACTGCCACTACTGGGCCGAGTCGACTTCATCGATATCGCGCTGGGCGGGAGTAGGATGGAGAGGGTTTTACCGACGAATGGCCCCTGGGCTGACTCGAAAAACGTGAGGAATGCACCGCCGTTAGCAAGAGCTCGGCGGTTTGTAGGAAGGCGGCTTCGGTCCTTCGTCTTCTACTGAGATGGAAAGACGGGGGCAGGCTGGCGTGGGCCGCCAGGACGAGGGCCGGTGTCTGAGCGAGGGTCGGAAATAGATGAGAAAGCACGCTGACTACTCCGTACGTAGTCTACCTCGCGACCTATATCTGGAAGAAAATATTAGGGCTTTCTCATCGCAGCTTAATACGCGGCTGGTTCTGAACGGACAAGGAGCGCTTGGCTATGTGGAGGATAGGCGTATGCGATGTATGTCATCTGAGTTCGGAGTTGTAGGGGGGCTCCGCTTGAGAGCTACCTGTGCAGCCTGGAACCTAGTAGCGAAGTTGGCCCAGAAAGCGGAACCCTAACCCTTACGTGCAGCCATGCCTATGCTTTTTCCCCAGGCATAAATTAGAAAGTAACCCACTCATTCATCAGTCTACAAATGCTTACTCTGTTTATACTCTGTGGATTTGTCGATAGAACTTTGTAGTAAATCAGTCACCTGCGAGCGGCAGCCTGGCAACCCGCCTTGCCTTCTACAGGACGATTGTTTTTACTGTGTCCAGGATTGTGCAAGAGCCGAGACCTAGAACCAGAACGCCCAGACAAACTGGATGATTACGGGTTATTTACACCCACAGACCTGCAGCCCACCAACAGGTTGTGCCTTTTCTCATTCTCACCTGGCTTCGCCTCAACGTCGGGACCATGCCCCAGAGGAGGAACAAACGCCCGCCTACGGCTCCAAAACCTTCTCGTCTTCATTCTGCCGCCGTGCAGAACAGGGCTATTAATTTACCCCGTGGCGGCTTACCGACATTACAATCAAATGGTATGCAACTAAATACATCCGCTTCTTTCCCCTTGATGTCTTCGACACCCGGTATCTGATATTTCGATAGGATTCACTATGCAGGATGAAGCGAGAAATACAAGGTCTCATGAGCTCACCTGTGGTCAAGATGCCGGGCTTAGAAAAAAACCTGTCGTTTTCATCAGTGCTGGTTTTATTGAGCCGCTGAAAGACGCCGAATTACCTTCCGCTGACGATGGGGCTGCTGAGGGGCGCCAAGAGATTTGTGAAAACGACGGGAAGACGCTTGAGCAAAATACCGACGTGGAAGCCAGTCCGCACGTCAATACTACCGTCGCTATTCTCACAACAGTCAAGCGTGAGGCGGTAGCATCCCAGAACTCTATCGGTGACAGCAACGTTCTCGCCACCTCCCCTGGTCCTATGAACCCATCCAGCAATGTTTTCTTTTTTGACCTAGAGGGAAACAAGGAAATGCGCAACACGCGCTCTCGCCCAGATATAGTATCTCCGCACTCACCTGATGCGTCCGATTCGGGCGATGAAGTTATTCTTTTCAGGGGCAGGTCTGCTAACACTCAAGGCGCTGTTCATCCGGGTAACCGTCTTGGAGAGCCCGAGAAAACGCCCAACTTGCTAGTTAACTGTGACGACATTTGCACCAAAAAGCGAGATGTGACAATCGGTAGTTCTCGCGCAAACAGCATGATACACCAGGTTGCCCAACTGTCATCGAGTCAGAATCGCCCGCGTTTTCTGCAACAAGTTGCCCAAGACGCGAGTGAGGATGGAGAGGACGAAGAGGACATCATCCTAGCTGATTATATCGCCAACGTAGCCGAGCAGTCGGATAGAGAGCTACTTGCAACCCGGTTGCGACCCTTCAACACCCAGAGAGATCTCGGTGGTGACCACGGTGCCTTTAACTCCGGGTTTGGGGATCAGGGGGGATTACCAGCCACAAATACTTCATCGGATGATGAAGTTGGAGCAGGGCCCTGCACTCCCAATAACAACATGGGCGACGACGGCGAGCGAAATGCAGCGGGCAGCGAAAATGAAGGAAGCGTGGAATCCGAAATTGATGGCGAGGATTTCGCTAGACTCTTCGCCAAACAGGAGAAGCTTGGCCTCTTGGGCAAACATCGTACTTCACCGGCTACCTCGGTTGCCGAGTCATTCGTCGAAATGAACTTGACGGACTGGACTCAACCTGGTCAACGACCAAGTAGAAGCCGTCGTAGCAAACAGCCCCCTGCCTTCAACGTCTCGGACTCAGAGCTGGAGACAGCGCTAAAAACCGCCTGGCAAAATGACAGAGAGCGAAAGAAGAACCGCAAACTGGAGCGTGAAAATCTTCGCGCAAATGGACTTCTTCGCAAGAATTCGAACCCAGATGACCTACGGATCAAATATCACTCCGGAATGAAGCTTGACGATATCAAAACAGAGCTCGTGTCCTTTCTTCTTAGCCCTGCAGAGACGTAAGTAATTCCAAACACAGAACTGGACGCAGCTAACTAAGCCCGCCCGTTTAGCATCCAATTTCCGCCCATGGACAAACAAGCTCGAAAGCTTCTCCATGAACTTGCAAACAAGTTCAAGATAAAGTCTCAATCGACTGGCAAATCGGATCAGCGACGCCCGGCCCTTTATCGAACGAAGCATACAGTGAAGTACGCGGAGAACCAGGAGGAAGAAGTGGCTAGCCACGTCAATAGGGCTGCGGTATGGATCAAACGAAAGTATTTCCATCGCCTCGACGTGAAAGGCAAGGCCTTCCTTAACTCGCCAACCCCAGGTGGGCGATCTAGTAACAAGGCCATCATGTTGCGTGAGGGAGAGATTGCCGGGGCGTCAGCTCCGGAACTGGGCCAAGACAACAAGGGCCATGCCATGATGGAGAAGATGGGCTGGAGTAAGGGCATGGCTCTGGGTGCCATCGAGAATAAGGGAATATTGGAGCCTGTCGCCCAAGTCGTGAAAAGATCCAAGGCAGGTCTGGGATAAGATGTTAGCAGTGGGTAACCGACCTTGCCGGTTTCTCCAAACGTACTCCCATGTGCAGCATCTTCTCACGACGGAAGCTAACCCAGCAGTCTCGAACACATGCGAACTAGACTTCCGCATGATAAACCATGTTTAATATTCGCGATTTGTAACGTTCAAAAGCCGCGTTGTTTCATGTGCACGATTTCATTTCGTCCGAAGCCTTGATCGATATCAAAGTGTATAGTACAACCGCAAAACCCCATTGACCGTGAGAAGACATTGCCCCCAAAAAGCAGACCATCCGTAACGCATTGCATTAAGAGACTCCAAGGAACTGATGAGCCTCGGCCGGTCTCGTCATGACACCCAAATGCCAAGCAAATCCTATGCCCTAAGAGAAAAAGAAAGAGACAACGAAGACCGGTTTATTTCGTGCTGGAGGAGTACTTGGTGACTGCCTTGGTACCCTCAGAAACAGCGTGCTTCGCCAACTCGCCGGGAAGGATGAGGCGGACACTGCGAGACCAGTGTTAATATGGCAAGCTTGATGGATTCGCACAAAGAGGGACTGCTTACGAGGTCTGGATCTCCCGGGATGAGATGGTGGACTTCTTGTTGTATGCGGCAAGCTTGGAAGCCTCAGTCGCGACGCGCTCAAAAATGTCTGCGAAAGTATATTAGAACGAGGCGGTCTGTATCTGAAGATGGACGACTACTCACCATTGACAAACGAGTTGAGAATCGACATTGCGCGATTGGAGATGCCTGTGTCGGGGTGGACCTGCTTCAAGACTGCGATGCGTTAGCAAATTTTGAAGGGGTGGCAAGACTGGGGATGCTGATGATCAAACAACTCACCCTTGTAGATGTAGGAAGAGTATGTCTCCTTGCGTGCCTTGGTGCGCTTCTTCTTGTCGCCGGAAGCAGCGGTCTTCTTGCCTGCATCCTTCTTCTCTGGGGCCTTGGACGCGGTCGCAGGCGCCTTGGACGCGGGCTTCTTGTCGGCGGCTTTGGGAGGCATTTTGGCGATTGAAAATGTCGTGAAGTTGACAGTTGTACGGATCAGTTGTAATGGATGGATATTGCGGTGAGGTGCGAAGATGCGGATGGAGTGCGGAGAGGAATGGTTGATGGAAGGAGAAATGAAGTCGGCGAGGGGACAGACCCTTTTGTAGCTGAACGCGACAGGCAGGGCGGTAGGACTGATTGACTGATTGATTTGGGGGGCGCGTGGGAAGCAGGGACCCACTAAAACGTGATTTGGCGAAAAAAAATAAGGCACAAAGCAACGCCCAGCCTTGCCCACCCGGCTTTTCAAATGGCAGCCGGTGTCGCGGTGGCTCGAGCGTCACAACAAGCCCCTCTAACCTGGAATTGACGGGACCGCACGGGGACACGCCGGCGGCAGCTAACGCGTTTTTACGCAAGAAGAGATCACAAGTCTCCTGCCGCCAGTGAGTCTCCAAAGATGACTACTCCGAGAGCTTACCACCCTCAATACTGTTGAACGCCCAGGAGGCGATGTCCTTTATGTTTTTATCTCTATCATCAGCCATGTAGAAGTCCAATATGTAAACGTTTGCTCCGTAATGCGTTAAATATCTCTTGCCTACTACGACAACTTATGCGCATCCTTCCATATCTGCTAAGTATACTCTGTAAATGTTATTGTTGGCCTATTTCATCTCCCTGATACCGATGTCTCCGTTTCCCTACTGCTTATCAAACCGGCCCAGATGGACGTCACTCTTCTGCTGTGGCACTTGGGAAACCAAGAGAGGCTGAGTACCATCGATGACACTCTTGGGGGAACCGTGCCACGAAGTTGGGTCCATTGTTAGAACTGACGGGAGCTACAATGGTTTACTCTTACATCACTGATTTCTCGGCCCGAGGGTGAAGAGGAGAACAACGGCCTAGCTACTGAGCATGCACAGAAGGAGAGAATAAAAGCCAATATATCTCAGCTAACCGATCGCGCCCGGCATAACTACAAGATGGTTTATTTGACACTTCAAAGCTTGCTACAGCTCTCTACGCGACGTTTCCCAGCTGAATATATATCCAAGCATCGAGAAAGGACTCGGAAGGCGAAGTCTGGCCACCCCAGCTCAACTTAACCTGTCCCATCCCCAAATGGGGCAGTGTGGAAACTGATAAACTCCCAACTACGAACAGCAGCAAAACATGATTAGGTCGGAAGAAAAAAATAGGCTAATAAATATGGTTTAACGCAACGGGGAGTAAATCTCGCACAAAGCCGTTATTAAATAAAGAGAAATGACCAGGACAGTGCGCACACACACCATATTAAGCATCAGAACAAAAATACGGAAAGCAAGCAACACAGCTGCGGACGGTTCAAAAGATCAAGCCTCCTCTGATTTCACTAAAAAGAAATTTAATAGTAGAGGCACGAGGACGGACCGTGGCTGGGGCCAAATATTGCAGTCAACCACAATTTTGCAAGTGGGTCATTCGGTCGGAGCCTGATTCGCGTGTGGCTGACTGCAACGTGGCTTTGGTAGCCAATTGCTGTGCCCCATTTTTCGCTGCTGTGTTTTTACTTCCACGCGCGTTCTCCACCCCGCCCTGCACAAACTCCGCTTCTGGACTAGTCCCAAAGCCCCCGATCAACACCCAGGAAGGTGTGGGTGATCCGTGATCTCGCAACAACCTTACGCGAAAACTACTTAACTCACACGTCCCCCGCCAGCATCCAAGTTTTCCACTTCATCACCATTTCCATCAACCAAACTTCTGCTCTCGCATCCCACCACAACACAAAGGCCTTTTGTCCTCCCGTCCAGCAACTTTCTCTCTCACCCAACTTCCCAATAATCCACTAAAATGACTGGAGGCGGCAAGTCCGGCGGCAAGGCCAGCGGGTCCAAGAATGCCCAATCGTAAGTCACGGCTTCCACGCTCGTTTTCCTCTCTTGGCTGGGATGTCATGCTTTTTGAACTGGAAAGTGTCGCGTCTTCTGGTCGCGTCTTAACGTATCTCGCTAACTCCTGCGCAGTCGTTCTTCCAAGGCCGGCCTGGCTTTCCCCGTCGGCCGTGTTCACCGCCTGCTTCGCAAGGGCAATTACGCTCAGCGTGTCGGTGCTGGTGCTCCCGTCTACCTTGCGGCTGTCCTAGAATACCTCGCTGCCGAGATCCTCGAGCTTGCTGGCAACGCCGCTCGTGACAACAAGAAGACTAGAATCATCCCCCGCCATCTCCAGCTGGCCATTCGGAACGACGAGGAGCTCAACAAGCTGCTCGGACACGTCACCATTGCGCAAGGCGGTGTCCTGCCCAACATTCACCAGAGTACGTTAATCTCTAGCTTGTGCACCTCATCTCATCTAACTGGTTTTTAATAGATCTGCTTCCCAAGAAGACTGGTGGCAAGACTGGCAAGAACGCGAGTCAAGAGTTGTAGATTGGGCCTTGGTTTTTTTTCCCTTTGCTTTCTGGTCGGCACGTTGGGTTCATGATATGGGGTCACGGTTTCGGGTCAACGGTTGCTTTCATGCGCTTTAGGTTGTACATTAGTTCCATGATGGTCATGGTCATGAATGAGAACATCTTCTGAACTATACATCTGTTTTTGCACTTTTCTGGTTCTGGATGATTTGCCATGTTGCCGACTTCGTTTGTACTTTGTATTTGAATCTCTTTTACAGCATTTGGCTTGGAAGTTTGGGACTTAGTTGCATCCTCGAATTATGGCTGTTCGTTATATACAGTGCTACCCTTCTGTGCTACCTAACTTTAAAACTTCAAATCAGGTGGGGGGGCTGCAGATGGCAAGTTATTAGCAACGGAGAGTTATCAAGAGGACGCTCGTAAGGCTTACGATCGATGTTGTGGATAGGCAAATTTCTCTCATATTTTGATCCTATAGCGGTTAGATATACGCACTCTCAAGCCACATGCTCTTTGCAACACATACCTCCAGGAGCTGTCGGGTGACAATAGGGATCCGGGTGCTTCCACTTGTCAAGCAATTTTTCTGTCTCCTTCAGCAATGCCTGTATGGATGTCGTTAGTTCCCCGGGCCACGGTCCGCTTTGGCTTGTGCATTTTATGTGGCACGAACCCGTTGTTGTCTGGGGTCTGTGACGGTTCGATTCTTCTCGAATAAGGAGCGTATGTATAGAGCTTGGCCGCGCCACAAGTGCCGATGGACTGCCCAGTCGAGCGCAAGCTTTAGGGAGCGACGGTAAAGGGACCTACGGCGGTGGTTAGTCGGCTGAGCGTAGCTATCAGATTATTGCCTCGTCTACTTACAATGCAGCCTGTTTTGTCGACATCTTGAGCAAGTGGCTGAGATCGTCGCGTGTTTAGTGGTGGCAACGGAATTGACCGGTGTCTTTTGTTGAGCGTCAGCGCTGGAATCAACGACTGGACCTGACCGAAAAACTTTCTCGCAACCAGGCGCGCAGTTAGGAGTGTCAATTGAGGCCTGACGTCGAACTTCGTCGTGATGTTGAGCTCAATCGAGATTGTGGATTGACGAGCTCGCTAGTGCAGAAACCGGGCGCCTCAGGCATCGTCTAACTGGCGAGCCGGGAATATTCCGCAAGGCATGATCGGATAAACCCATGGTAGCAATTCTTTCGTTTTCCGCAGACCACCTTGGCACTCTATTGGAGCAAATGAACAGGCGACTTTAAGTGGAGTATCCCCGTACCTTGCCGCATATGGATCTAGTGAGGTACCTGAGGTTCAATGTTGCAGCTCGGTCTCCTGCGGTCTGAGGTCAAGCGGCCTTAGCCAGACAGAGCCAGCAAAACCTGCGGCTGGAAAAGCTGCCGACTGCCAAGTGCCTGCATTCCCTGGTTAAATTTTTTTGATTTTTTTTTACATCGAGTTCCCTCAAGGGCAACAACCTCTTAAATGGTTAGAGAGAGTTGGCGTCTAGTTCTTGTATTCTTCATTTGAATTTACCAATTCGCCGACTTCGCTAGTGCCTGCCTACATACCAAGGGTCGCGCATCAGTCTTTTTTCTACTCCACCCACGGCATACTCGGTGATTTTGCGCCGCGTAGCTTGGACCCAGGCTTAACAACCAACCTTCACACTTGTGCATTACCTGACTCCGTCTTCCTGCTCTTTGATTCACCCAGCCATCCCACACACACGTGGCCACCCAACGCCAATATGCTCTATCGAAGCCTCCGCATTGTAGCACGCGCTGCTCCCAAATTCTCGGCGTGCGGTTCGCACACGCCACTTCGACACCTTCCCCTGCAGTTCCAACATGTTCGAACCTATGCAGACAAGATTGTCAAGGTGCCCACGATGGCAGAGTCGATCAGCGAGGGCACGTTAAAGCAATGGAGTAAACAGATTGGCGACTTTGTTGAACAGGACGAAGAGATTGCGACAATCGAGACCGACAAGGTACGCATTCTGTCCCCGGCCAGGGGAGCGCACGCATTCTCCTCACCAGACCTGACATGATTTATTGGTTTCAGATCGACGTCGCCGTGAATGCACCTGAAGCGGGGACAATTAAAGAATTTCTGGTCAGTGAAGAGGATACTGTCACAGTTGGTCAAGATATCGTGCGAATGGAGCTCGGGGGCGCGCCTTCTGAAGGTGGAGAGAAGAAACCCAAGGAGTCTAAGCATGTCGCTGCGAAAGAGCCCGCAGCTGGGAAGGATGCGAAGCCCGAGAGTACGCCAGAGCCTGCGGCCAAACCTGAAGCCAGCAAACCTACCGCGCCACCTACCCCCGAGAAGAAGGGCGAAAAGAAAGACGACGGTTCGGCGCCGAATCTCGCCACACTCGGCAACCGAGAAGAACGACGGGTAAGTGGCACTACCTTCTGCTTTAAGGTCAAGTTCGGGCTGTTAACACGCTGTGCAGGTCAAGATGAACAGGATGCGCCTGCGCATTGCCGAGCGTCTCAAGCAGTCTCAGAACACAGCGGCGTCTTTAACAACCTTCAACGAGGTTGACATGTCCGCTCTAATGGAGTTTCGCAAGTTATACAAGGACGAGGTTCTCAAGAAGACGGGCGTCAAGCTCGGATTCATGAGTGCTTTCTCCCGCGCCTGTGTACTCGCAATGCGCGATCTTCCTGGTGTGAACGCTTCTATTGAGGGACCTAACGGCGGCGACACAATTGTCTATCGAGACTATGTGGACATAAGCGTTGCAGTTGCAACCGAGAAGGGTCTCGTGACCCCAGTCGTGCGTAACGTGGAGACTTTAGACATGATTGGGATCGAAAAAGCTATCGCAGATATGGGCAAGAAGGTATGGCTCATTCCCTAGTGTGCTCGGCTTTGATGTGTTGCATTGTTCTGACTTGGCATGTAGGCTCGGGACGGGAAACTCACGATTGAGGATATGGCTGGCGGCACGTTCACCATCAGCAACGGAGGCGTATTTGGCTCACTGATGGGAACTCCGATTATCAACCTCCCGCAGACTGCTGTTCTCGGCCTCCATGCTATCAAGGACCGCCCTGCTGTCGTGAATGGCAAGGTTGAGGTTAGGCCTATGATGTACCTTGCGCTAACATACGACCATCGGTTGCTGGACGGAAGAGAGGCTGTCCAGTTCCTGGTCAAGGTCAAGGAGTATATTGAAGATCCTAGGAAGATGCTCTTGTAAATATCTCGTTTGCTAGTATGTGTTCTGGTTTAGGTACGCCAACGGCTACTTGCTTCCGATAGAAGGTTAACTAAGTACCTCGTCAACAAGGACCTTTGTATGATATAGATTATAATAGATTTTATAAAATTCCGTTCTACGTCTCTTTAGTCTATTTAATCGCTTATATAGAACATAGAGTCAAAAGTCTTCGTCACATTCCTTACGTAAGCTTCGCTAAGTTGACTTACCTTTCTCAACACTACGAATTTTATTGCCAATTTAAACCAACCTGCATATTGCAAATCAAGCCGCATATGTATATATTTAATAGCTGTGTGACTAGAAGCTTCAGCGCATTCAAATAAGGCTATTTGCATTGTTTTTTGACAACTTGCGGTAATCTAGACATCCTCTCAAAAAGGACCAGGTATTACAAACCACTTGACTATTAGGTGTGGCGAACCTGGTTCGTACTGGACCAGCTGCAGGAGGCAGGCGCCTCAGGCAAGACTGGGGGCCCCGCTCGTCGAGAGCCAATCAGACGGTGCCCGGTGCTAAGAAGGGTCTTGGCACCAGGCAAATGGCCCGGCACGCTAGCAGTGCCCGGCGCCAGGCAGCTCCTTCCTGCCGGGCAAGTAAGAGCTGTGCTCTTACTGGCCCGACATAATTAAATAAATACGATGACCGTGTCCACGGTCTTAGATAGTTCTTGCTTGGTTCTCCAAGCAAGCAATACACATTCACTGCACTCATACACTTTGAGTGGCATTCCGATTTGACTGTATTACCCGTGCGATAGGAGCTTGCCCTTTGTTCTATCTTCATAATTACCAACCCCAGCATTCTGTGGAGCCCGTGCTCCCTTACAGACAGACGACCCTAACAGTCGAGTGGTTTGTAATATTAGGGTCGTTGTCACTGCACGGTACCGTAGGCGCTGTGGGCAGGCCTACGGATGTGTGACCATACCATAGCCTACTACAGATTGTAGCTCAGCAGCTCGCAATTCTGGCATCCTTTTGGAAAGTGTGGTACAGCGGTAGTAGGTGCTCAGCAGCTTGCAATTCTGGCATCCTTTTGGAAGGTGTGGTGCATGTTACGATCCCATGAACAAAAGGTGCAGGGGGCGGGCAACGCCCCCTGCAGATTGGCTGGAGCGGCATTTAGGGTGGGGCTCTCGGCAAGGGAAGATGCACCTAATCAGGGAGTGCTCAGTGGGGTCAGTGCCAAGACGCACTGAGCGCGACTGAGCACGACGGAGCACGACTGCGCACAGCTGAGCATGTGAGGCAGGGGCTCTGATTGGTTGTTCATAGTTCTATATAGGAGATGGCAGAACGCTCTCTCTGGGAGAACGGTTCTGCAGCTATCAATGCATCTGGTTAAGCATACATTGGTTGTGTGTTGAAAGCCTGTCTTTCGCAATCTGTGCACGATACTCCTTGCCTCCTAGCAATCTCCTACCTGCCGTCCCAGACCACACAATCCTGGGCCGGGCCTAGCTCCGTGGACTCTGTTGTCCAGATTGTAACAGTGCAGCGGCAGTAGATGCTCAGCCCCGGCGTCACAGTCGTCTGTCCCAAGTAAGCAGGGGGGCTCCACAGATTGCTGTGGTTGGTGATTATGAAGATGGAACTCAGGGCAAGCTCCTATCGCACGGGTAATATAGTCAAATCGGAATTCCACTGAAAATATATAGGTACAGTGAATGTGTACTGCTTGCTGGAGGAATCAAGCAAGAGCTATCTAGAACCGCGGTTACAGTCATCGTATATATTTATTTAAGGGAGCTGATAGGTCTAACCTTATCAGAACCTCAGTTATTGACCTAGCCTTCACTACACCCTTCAAATCGATTACCTGGAATAACTGGGACTATACCGAATCCACAGGATCTGACCACGAAGCTATAAGCTTCCAAGGCTGGCCAAATTCAACGAAAATTACTAGCAAACACACTAGTACAGGCATCTCTGACCCTCTTACAACTACAAAAGGGCTAATTGGGATATATTTACTACAAAGTTGAACACCAACGAAAAAGAAGCCGCAAAAGCAGTCCAGACTACTATACAACAGAGGGATTGGAACAGTATAGTATTACAAACCACTCGACTGTTAGGGTCGTCTGTCTGTAAGGGAGCACGGGCTCCACAGAATGCTGGGGTTGGTAATTATGAAGATAGAACAAAGGGCAAGCTCCTATCACACGGGTAATACAGTCAAAACGGAATGCTACTCAAAGTGTATGAGTGCAGTGAATGTGTATTGCTTGCATGAAGAACCAAGCAAGAACTTTCTAAGACCGTGGACACAATTGTCGTATATATCTATCTACGTAACCAATAACGGTGGTTCCGTTGTCCCGTTGTCCCGCGTCCGGGTCACCGCCCGACCGGACCTGTCCCGCGTCGCCGAGCTCCAGAGCTCGGAATCCTGGAACGCTCCTGATTGGCCCGCGCCAAAAGTGCATGCCCCATCTTTGTGCATAACCACAGGGAATCCACAGGGATTGGTGACATATAGCTGATATAACGCCACGCTATAGCCCTAGAGGCTGCATGCGTGTAATGAAGAAAAGAAAAGCTGATATACTTACTCCAGTAATCACAGAAGCTGCAAACAAGGCAATTCCAAGGCTAAGGATTACTGAAAGATCAAAGCCTTGGTTGTCTAACAACCTTACAACTCTACGGAAGAGCTTACATCATGCCCAAAAAAACTATAAAAAAGACCTTAACCAGAAACAAGCTTATATGACGGCCCGAAATACGTACTTCCATGCTATAAGGGCTGCAAAAACAACACACTGGCAAGAGTTCCTAACTAGGGCGGAGTATTACAAACCACTCGACTGTCCGGGTCGTCTGTCTGTAAGGGAGCACGGGCTCCACAGAATGCTGGGGTTGGTAATTATAAAGATAGAACAAAGGGCAAGCTCCTATCGCACGGGTAATACAGTCAAATCGGAATGCCACTCAAAGTGTATGAGTGCAGTGAATGTGTATTGCTTGCTTGAAGAACCAAACAAGAACTACCTAAGACCGGTGCCACGGTCATCGTATATATCTATCTAAGCTGGGCCAATTGGAGCGTTGCTCTGTTGCTCTCTGACAGAGCTACAGAGCGTTGCTCTGTTGCTCTCCGACAGAGCTACAGAGCAGCCAACCAAACCGTTGCTCTGTTGCTCCCCGACAGAGCTACAGAGCAGCCAACCAGACTGTTGCTCTGTACTCCACCGTGCAGAGCAAATGCCGGCCCTTCTGCTCTGTTCTCCACCGAACAGAGCAACTGTGGGTCCAAGCCCCTCCTTTAACGTGACTAGCCGAGGCGGGTCCAGCCACCCCTGCCCTGCTTCCCAACCAGTACGAACAGGGATTCGTGACACGGAGGGGAAAGAAGCGTTCAAGGCTCTTAAGGTATACGAAGGCTACGAATAATACCAAAATACCCACTATCAACTACGTAGAAAATGGCGTGAAAAAACAAGCCAACATCTTTGAAGAAAAATGCAAGGCCTTTACAACTACCTTATTTCCAGAGCCCGTCACCCAGCCTACCGCCCAGCCTGTTACCTAGCCTAGGCAGAACCCGAAATGGGAATGGCCAGAACTAGAGGCTATAGAGGTAGAAAGAGCAATATTCAGCTCAAATCCTACTAAAGCACCCGGTCCAGATAGGTTGAAATTCGAGATACTACAACAGGCCCAGAAAGCCATACCAACGTTATTCAACCAAATATACAAAGCTCTCTTCAACTGTGGAACCCATCCAGACTCCTAGAAACAAGTCGTTAGAATTATACTACCTAAACCTGAAAAGGGAGACTATGCTATACCAAAGGCCTATAGGGTAATAACTTTAATACCAAAGGAACCCCATTACTATGAAACTATTACCTTAATAAGGCCACGCGCCTAACGATCTACTTAGCTCTTGCTTTCTCTATTTCCTACTAATACACTAGGGAGATAGACTGCCAGTCTTTGACTGACCACGCCATAGCTCTAGAGTCTGCATGCGTGTAATGAAGAAGAAAAAAAAGGCCACGCGCCTAACGAAGTACTTAGCTCTTGCTTTCTCTATTTCCTACTAGTATACTAAATAGATAGACCGCCAGCGTATAACTGGCCACGCCATCGCCCTAGAGGCTGTATGCGTGTAATGAAGAAAAAATATAACTTTACTTCACTGTTCGAGTAAAACCCAAGAAAAGATCTTTTGTTTTCTTCATTACACGCATGCAGCCTCTACGGCTATGGCGTGGCTAGTCAAAGACTGGTGGTCTATTTACCTAGTGTACTACTAGGAAATAGAGAAAGCAAGAGCTAAGTACATCGTTAGGCGCGTAGCCTTATTAACATGATGGTTTCATAGCAATGGGGTTCTTTTGGCCAGACTTAAACTGTACCACCCTCGGGCCTGAATAATAGAGAAAGTGTAGTTTTATCCCAATAGGACCAACTAAATGAGTAAAGAAATTTATAAATAAGAATGAAGGAAATAGATCAATCTTTGCTGACTTCTTCTAGCCATTTCATTGTACAAATCCCCGTACTACTAAGGAAGTCAGTCTCCTAGGACCTTGTAAGAGAAGGCAGGTACGCCTGATCAAGGTGGTCACGATGGAGGGAATAAGAGGGCGAGCAATGACTGGCATTGGTAAAAGACTTCAACCTGGCCCTCGCAAAGGAAGGTGGGCGAGGGCCACTATTTATATACATAGTTGGGTGGCTCAATCTGGCGGGTGCCTGGGTCGGGTGTTTGGGGCCAGCTGGTGGCGCCTGGGCCGGGCCGGGCGTTTGGGGTGCTCTTTCCTTACAGACCTTTTTTCCCTCGGTGGTGTAGAAAAGTATTTGGAGTGTGAGAGGGTAGTTTTTCAAGGCTTTTGTCAAGGCCTTCCGCTCTATAGTGTACTTTTGTACTGTAGTAGTAGGTGTGTAGGTGTTTGGTCCTCCAGACAACTGGGGCACTCGCGACTTTCCACTTTTCCAATCTTCGCTAGATAACTAACTAGGAAGCCTATACCGGTCTTCAACTGGATATCAGCTGACTGGTTTGGTTGAGCTAGTAGTGGTAATGTAGGCTTGAAGCTGTAATTGATTAAGTCCCGGGCTACGCTTCTATAGTGTGTGCCTAAGCCTTTGGATTTTTGTCCTATT